TTATATTTACAAGCAGTTTTAAACATACAATACCTAACCTATACTAAATATTTTAAGCTATTAATAAGCAATACCCTTACCTTATATATATAGTTAACCTATAATCCCTTTATATAAAAAGTAAAAAAAATAAAAATAAAACAAATAATATATTAAAATAAAATACTACCCATTAAATACCTTTTATGCTATATTAATTCTCCGTTTGGATTATTTAAAGGAAAAAAAATAATTTACTTAATACTATTAAACTATAAAAACTAAATGTCGTAAACAGGTTTACTATAATATTTAAAAAGGCATATTGCTATAATTATAGGAATACTATAATGGAACTTAGGTTTAAAAAGTTAATATAATAAAAAAAGTTTTCATTTATTAATAGGTATATAATATAAAAGGATTACTTAATATATTAATAATATTAATAGATACTTAAAAGTAATAAATAAATATATTTCTAGGTTAATAACTTTATATAAATTTAAAATAAATCGCCTATTGGTTTTATAATAGTTAAGTTAAATAAGTTATTTATTTATAAATAAACTACTTCTTTATAACTATTTTTAATCGTTAATTTTATAATAAAATATTATTATAGCTTAAATATAAATTATTTATTAAAATGCCCCTTATATAAGTTAAATAGTAAGCAAAATATTATTAAGCTACTATGGGTAAATTTATAAAAAATATAAGTAATTCTAAAGTATAAAGAATTATTATTATTAATAAATTATAATATTTACTTTATATAATAAAAAATTAAGCTCTATTACCTTATATATATATAATATAAATATTATAATAAATTTTATTAAATAATGTAAGCTATTATAAAATTAATCCTACTTTATATATTACGTTAAAAATTGCAATTTTACTATATTTATTAGGTTTTGCAATAATAAGTTATTGGAGGTAAAAATAAACGATATCTTAAAACATTATAAAAGCTACCGCTGCTACTACCTCCCTTTTAAAATAAGCATACAATTTATAACTTTATAATAAGTACAGTAAAAGGTTTTATAAATAATAAAAAGCATTTATTATCTTTAATAATTTTATACTATAATTTAATTTATATTATAATACTTATTCCTAACCTTTATATTGCTTTATTTTTTTATCTATTATATTATAACGTTAATATATTGCCTATTTATATTAGCCCTTCTATCCTTAATTAAGCATTTTATTTTAATTTATTCGCTCCTTATTCGTTATATCTTTAATCCAAAGTAAAAATCATATTTCTATCGTACCTTTTATTATTCTAACTATTGTAATCATTTTAATATTATCGTTCTAATCTTATTGTTTCACTATTATTAATTTTAATGTTATTTTATATTATTATCTTTTTAATATTATTATTATAGTAACATTTTTTTAATATCATCGTTTTACTATTAATATTTCCTTATTTATCTTTTTATTTATTATATTAACTATTATTATAATAATTATTATTATAATAATTATTATTATAATGATTATTGTTAAAATAATTATTGTTAAAACAGCTATTGTTAAAATTGTTATTGTTATTATACCTATATCCTTAATACATTTCTATATTAATAATATTAAATATCTTCCTTATTTATTATTTAGGTATAATTATTAAACCATTTAATTATTTCTTATAATAGATTTCTAACTTCCTTTTAATATATTAACAATATATTATTATTTATATAATAAGTTAAATTATCCTAAAGTATTATTATTATAATAAGTCCTATATAGTAAGCATTATTAACTTTAATTTAAAGGTACTATTGTAAAATCTAACCTGCTATCCTTAAGTCTTTAATATAAATAATATATATCCCCTATCTATATTCTAATAATTCCTTAAACGAATATTAAACAAAATAGCATTACGGGCTAATATTTTTCTTAATAGTACTTAAAGGTTATATTTACCATTGCATTATCTTCCCTCTTTAACCTTTAATCCTAATTCTAAAAGCTATATTATACTAACTATAAATAAATAGAATTTTATAAGTAGCACTAATCTAGCTAGGCTAATATATAGCTTACAATAATTTAGCGTTTTATTTTACTATTATCCGGGGGTGGAAAATATAATTTTTAACATTAAGCTTCTTATTTCCTTAAACTATTATATAACCAACATTTAAAAAGCCGGAAATCCTTTTTATAGGTAAATCATACCTATAATATTTATTAACGCTAGCTATAATACCACACTAATTAATATAAATAATAAACATTCTTTTATATTTTTATCCCTTAATAAAGCTAGTATAATATAACAATAGCCTTTATTAATAAATACTTATAATAAGTACCACATTTCTTAATAAATATAAAGGATATTAAATTTCTTAAATAAATTAAAGTAAATCAATTATCTTTTTTATAATAAAAACTAATAATTTAAGTTCTTAAGCTTAAGCTTAACTAAATAAGCACTTTATAATTAAAACTCCTAAACGTAATATACGGGATATTATAACTTAAAATCTTACCCTCTTTAATTATATTATACAGGTATATTAATTACTTATATAATTAATAAAATAATATAGAAAAATGAAATAAAAACTAATATAAATAAGATTTTAACAATAAATATTAAATATAATTAAATATCTTTAAAGCAGTAAAGGTAATCCCATATAAAAAGAAACCTATTATAATTTACTAATAATAGTTTTAATATAAAAATAAAGGGGTATAACTAAAAAGCTATAATTTAAAACAATATAAGCTATAATAGTAATATAACATTAAAACATATAAGTAATATTAACTTATATATAAAAGGATGCATACTTATTAATAATATTAAATTAAAAATGTAAAAATATATATTAATTAATAATAAAAAGCTAATTGGTTTAATTATATATAAGGTTATATACTTTAATTTTACAATTATAATAATTTTAACTATTAAATTATTAATAAAATTAATAATAACCTTGTAGGCTAATGCTAATATAATTTATAATATCCTTAAATTAGCCTTAAGGTTTATAAAAGTCTTTATATATACGTTAAAAAAAAATTCCTTAAAAAAACTTTTAATAATATTTAAAGCTTTTAAGCTCCTTATTAAACTGTTTTCCGCTACTTATTAAAAAATCTTAAAATTTTCCTCATTAACTCCTCCTTTATTTAATACTTCCTATTGCTTATCCTTCATTTTAGAATATATATAACAAATATATAACGTTAAAACCTAATTTAATCCAATAATTTAATTAATTATATTCATTGCCTATATTATCATTAGTACACTAAAGTAAGGAAAAGCAAATATTACTATAAAATTTAATATAGGTAACTCTAAACGTACCCCTTACTAACAATAATAACTATATTTAGCTTTATAATAAAGCTAAAGTACCATTACTAAATAAAGGTATTAATAAATAATACTATAAATAGCTAATATATCCAACTAAACATTAAAACACTTTAATAAAAATATTTAACCAAATATACATTTAATTAATTAAAATGCTTTATAATAAGATTTAATAACCAATTAGATTTTATAATCTAATTAAAACTACTATAATAACTAAAAGCATATTATAAAAAAAACCAGATTAATATAATAATAACTATAATATAAACATTATTTTTTATAATTAATTAATACTAGTTAAAAAGTATTTTAATTAGCTAATTTTATATTAAAAATAAAAACTAAAATAATATAAAAAGTCTATTAAAATATAATAAACATACTGCAATATAAAACTATTACTAATTAACAATTATTACTAAAAAGTAACTATATCTAACGCAATACTATTATTAATAGTAATAGAATCGAATTAGTAATAAATACCTACGCTACACAATATCTATTGCTCGTTATCATATTAGCCACAGCACTATAGCTTATTGGTAAATGCCCTACAAATGTTTTCGGCTATAAGCATTACGGGTTATAGTAATAGTTGCAGTAACCCTTACGTATACCCCCCCCGGGGCGGTAAGGTATGTACCTCCTATCAGGGTATACCTATTCTACCCAAGCCCAACCGCGTCGCCCCTCGCGCTCCAATCTCCTGTGTTGGCGGGGAATTGTGTGGTGTGGGTAGGTTAGAATCCAAGGTAGATATCATCATCTTGATCAGCACGCGCTCACCAACATGACGTCGAAACCCAATGAGCCCAAGGTGAACCGGATGCCACGGCCAGTTAATGCCTACAATCTACCTAGGCAGTACGTGAGGTAGCCGGCCGGGACAGACCCGGGACACCTAGGTACACGTAGTTGGGTTGTATCGCCGCCTCACAGAGTGACAAACACATCGACACTCAAAAGAGGCCCGAGCAGCTCTCCTTCGCCGTCTCTCTCACCACGCCAACTAGACGTGGTGTATATACATCGACAAGGATAGCACTTGAAGTCCACAGGCTGTCGTCGCAAATAGCTACCTCATATAGATGAGTGAGCCATAGCGAGGCACCAATGGGCCCTAAGTAGAGCGCTTTGTTCCCACTTACATAAGGCATGCAGCCAGCTAACATAGAGGACTGTACAGCTCACCTTGCATTCCAAGAAGCTCCTCGACTTAGGCTGCTGGAAGTCAGTGCCCAATCTAAACCGGTGCCTAGATATTGTATCGTTTCTCTAGGTGGCCCGTGGCAAGGCTACATATTGATCTACTACTATGTATGTATGTAGGCAGTTATTCATGTCTATTTCCGTCTGCAGTCTGCACGTAACACACACAGTACCTACATTGCATTCATGACCCTTTTTCAAGAAGTGACGTGGCGGACAGTGTGGCCATTTCAAGTCTGGCTATGCCGATCTGTTTCTATCTGATCCTATCACATGTTCAAGCACATTCAGCGCTTGCATTCCGTTTCAGACTTTTTTTTGAACTTTGTTTCGAACTCCCATGCAAGCGCATTAGGTGCCCAACCAGGGGCCGGGGGTATCTTATGAAAAACACACACACATGTTGTCAGACTCCATGACCCATAATCACCGACAACATCATCTACAACCGTACCACGCCGGACTTGTGCATGATCCGGCGAACTTCTGCAGCCCGTTCCTCCGCCGAATAGCCTAGCAGCACTTTTTTGAGCATCCTCCTAAGTATTTGCTCCGTCATGGCCACCGTCTGTGCAACCGTCTTGTTCAGCTCCCAACGAAGATTGTTTAGGTCTGGACAGACAGGAAATGAAGCTTGGATGCGCAGAAAGAGTAGCCTTTGCTCTTCCACTGACCATTCGGACGATTTCAAGGTGAGGGGGGGAGACGGGCGAGATGATGCGGTCGAGTTCTCACCGTGACAGTGTATGGCACGAATGGATAAAAGAGATTGCTTTTTTCGCTCTGCAACTGATGCCTGCCTTGCCTCCTCTGCCGCTTTTCGTTCGATCTCGAGCTGCTTCTCTCGTGTAAACAGTTGCTGGCGTCGGTTTGATTCCTCCTTGATGCGGGCTTCCGTTTCGGCCAGCTGATCCGGTGCCGCTGAAAGAATCTCGTATAAGTCATTCAGTACAGGACCTATCGCTTCTCTTTCGTCTTCCCCCCTAAGCCAAGCTTCTTGCTCTACCCGGTATTCAGGTCGTTCTCCGAAGGGAGATCGCTCGAACTCATTGAGCAAGCGATGATAAAGAATCATTATCCAGCCCAGCGCCCTTTTAAGGAGCTCAATAGCAGTCCCCGTAAATGATGCTTTGGTCCACAGTTTCCCACCAAGTCTCCATATAGAGGCTAGAACGTGGACTAACATGGGAAGCACGTATAACACGAGATCCCGTGTCATTCGCTCACGTTTGCGGGAGTCGGTATTTTCAGTTTCCAGGTTGCCCTCAGGAGCCCCTAGACGTTCAGTTCGTATGTGTTCAACTACTACTTTTATCTTATAAAAGTAGTATCGCAGCATATCCCCATGCTCCCTTAGGAACTGGTTCTGCTCCTTCAACTTGGGAGCTGAAGGGACAGCTTGATACAATCTCTCAAGTTTTATAAGTAACGGTAGAATAGCTCGGGCTGGTTTAGTTTCCGCGTGTTCATAGTGAAAAGGTCGCCCTTGCCATCCACGTTTTAAGCCAGCCCAAGCCTTATCGCCTAAAAGCTCACAGAGTTGTTTAAGGGGTTGATGATTAAGATGAACAGCTAAGATGTCATCATCTGTGGGATTATCAAATATCTCGTTGTCTCCGATATCAATAATTTGACGAGCCCTGAAAGTCTCCACATCATATTCAAAGCTGTCTTCGAATGATTGATCAACATCTTTGTGACTTCCTGAATCACTATCGAATCCTTCAATAGACTCGGAGAGCGTCTCGCTGGTGTCACCAACTAACACCGGTAACGATTGCGGAAGTGTATGATCTAATGCCGGAAAACTAGGTATTGGCTTTTTCCGGAGCCTAGCGATGCGTGTAAAGTACTCTTTATCAGTCTCATCGCGGAGCCGAGGATAATTCTTCCTTGGTCGACCTCTCTTCTTTGTAGGTTGTGGATCGGGTGAACTTGGCATCTTCCATAAATCACTAGACTGTCGTACAGCAGCATCTGCACGCGATGGTACTTGTATTTCTGAATGGTCCCCTTCAATCGGTGTGGCCTCTGCTGGCATCGCTGCCTCGCCTACGCCGTTTTTGGCATCAGTAAGCAAGGGAAGAACACTCAATTCTAAAGGTGGTATGTCCAAAGACCAGTCCGAATCTTCCAGCGCTTCCTCCAACTCCGTTTTGTGCAATATTTGTAAATCTGACGGTCTTTCTATCCTAGCCGCCTGTTGTTTGTCATCATCTTGGGATTTTCTGGCTTGTAGATGACGGAGTGCATCGTTCATGCTGCGGACTAATCCTTCTCGAACGTCATGTTCGGAGCTGAGACTGCTCGTGCGGAAATGGTTTGGGACGGGTGTGTGTGAGGAATCAGAAGTTGAACGTGGAGGAGATTCTCGGGAAACCGATACCATATTATATCCATTCCTCGGCTTCTTAGATCCAGGGTATAACACAATACCGCCTCGAGTTGTGTCAGAAAGAGACCGCTTCACTCCGTTAACGGGGAGACTCGTAGAATTGTGGGCGAGAGGCTTCAAGGGGGATACACTCGGGAGCCTATTGGCTGGAATGTCGTCATCGTCGTCGTCGGAACTCTCAGCTGCGGATGAAGTACGGTGGGGATGTTCGGTAGGTAACCGCATCAATTCCTGTCCGGGAGATCGCATCCAACCTCGAGGCTCCATGATTATGACCAAACACGCTACTTCCCACCAGTATGTATTAGCGTATCAGAGCACAGGATCCGACTACTCATCAAATCATGATGTGACTGATGGCAATGTTCGGTAAGAGCTGACGGTATCAGGCTAGAGAGACGGCAAGGCAAGTCCTTCAGCTGAATGGACTTCCAGGTTGTTCAAGCCCAGGCACCTTCGAGCCTACCTATTATTAGGTACCTATCTACCACCTGGGCAGTTACCTAGTGTACTCAGAGCACGTTTTTGTAGTGGGTCAACGGCGGGAACTGACAGTAAGTACATGTAGATCCCTGCTGGAGGTACTTCCACTAAAGAAGGGTACCTGCCGAGCTTCACCCCCACCTAGAGCTAAATGGCGTGTCTCAGAGCAGTAGGTACACTCTAGGTAAGTACGGAGTAGGTACCGGGTACTAATTCCTTACCTAGGTTTGTACTTGGGTGTACTACGTACCTAGGTACTAGTAGCTGCCTCTGACTGACGTAAGTACCTGCTAAGAGGATGCCATTACATTCATCGAGTCGAATCTTCATACCGATAGCCCAGCTTCCCTTTAGTCGGCGATAGTTACGATTGTGTCCATTCGACTATTTTTCAAATATGGAACCCCCTTCAGCCCCCGCAAAATCTCAGGAGGCTGAGGGCTCTTTCCCTACCCTTGAGTTTCTAGATCCCACAGCTCCTCACGTTTTCCTTAAGCCCGTCAAGCAGATCAACGAGGGTCAAGATGTTGCTAGATTCTTGACCTCTAAAGCCTATCGTGATATTGGCATATTCGTACTGCAGCTCAACCGAGCCATGTGTCCACGTAAATCCCAGGATCCTGATGGGAAAGATAAAATCCAAACTTTCCTCATCGGCTCCGAATATGAAACCCAGCCAGCGGAGTCCGCGAAAGGTCTTCAGCAAATGCTCGCCAAAATAGAAGCTTTAATGGACAAAGCACCGCCCGATCAAGGCCCGAGACGCTTTGGTAACATCAGTTTTCGCAAGTGGTATCAGTTGCTGGAGGCGGAAGCTACAACTCTTCTCCGAGAGCACCTGCCTGAATCAGTCTTAAGGCGTAGTTCAGGAGGCAACGGATCGGAAACGACAGCTGAAGTTGAACTTACAACCTATCTTCTAGGAGCTTTTGGCAGTGCACAACGTCTTGACTATGGAACCGGCCACGAGTTAAGCTTTCTGGCCTTCCTTGGGTGCTTGTGGAAACTGGGTGCGTTCAAAGATGGAAGCCCCAATGGTGATGTTGAACGAAATATTGTGCTTGGTGTCTTTGAGCCGTATCTTCGGGTGGTACGCCGTTTAATTTTAACTTATACTCTCGAGCCCGCTGGTACACATGGGGTCTGGGGCTTGGATGATCATTCATTTCTACCGTATATATATGGCTCGGCTCAACTCACCCGGGCCATTTCAGAGACGGAAGTAATGCCCACTGAGGGATCACTGTTTCGAGCCCCTAAACCTTCGACGATTGTCAAGTCTGAATATGTTGACGAAGAAAGAAAACGGTATATGTATTTCTCCGCAGTTGGCTTCATTAACGATGTCAAAAAGGGTCCCTTTTGGGAACACAGTCCCATACTTTTTGACATATCCGGTATAAAGGATGGATGGGGTAAAATCAACAAGGTAACTCTTGATCAAATACAACTGCCTTACCGTATAACGAATGGAAGCATGCTGACGTTTGACAAAGGGGATGATCAAAATGTTTAACGCCGAAGTTCTCTCAAAGTTCCCTGTCGTGCAGCACTTCCACTTCGGCTCGCTATTTTCTTGGGACCAAGATCCAGACGCCGCCACTCCCGCACAATCTGTCCATATGGCGAACCAGCATATTGCCTCGTCATCAATGCCACGACCTCTTGGCGGCACGGCTGCACCCTGGGCCAACGCAACAAATATGCCTGCCCCTGGCATACTATACTCAAGAGTGCCTTTACCACCAACACAGCAACAGCGTGAGCCACATCCCGCAAATGAGGCATTTACGGTACCAACGGCGCCATGGGCAAGATCGAGCGATCGACCTAGCGGCTGAAATATCGGGTTTGGAGGCTACGATTGTTGTAGCTTATCCCAACCAATGAGCTAAACACTAAATATCGTAGATTGAAACGAGGGAACAGGACAATTTAGAGCTAGAAAGGCCATATCCAGTGAATACAGACCCGTTTTAGCTTATCATAGAGTCGATGAACAACGGCCCTTTGTGGCTGAGACTTAGCTTGCATGTCTTTCCTGTATAAAGCGACCTAAGTCTTCTCATCCCGAGGGAGCGCAAGACAGGAGACAGGCATAAAGTCGAGCTACTTGCTTCTGGTTAAACCTCTGATTCCCAATGATCATGATAGCGACTCAAACTAGATTCTCTATCACAGCTTAAGGTATGAACCTTAGTGGATGTTGTCTCCATGTCATTTATGTCTCTAAATCAAGTTAAACACTGTATTAAAGTCCATTACACAGCCTATACAGCTGTTTGACCTGCCTGTTTGCATAAGGAGAAGTAAATCCCAACTGTGACTGTCCTTGGTGTCTGAGGCCTATTGTATTGTCTTTCCACAGCAGGATCCCTTTCAAACCAGAAAGAACAAGCTGCTGACAAGCTTGTGCCCCTATTGCATATAGATGTGGTTAGAGAAATGAGATTCTTTCACTTCTGAAGGACTGAACGAGCATGGTTCCCCATAGAGCGTGTCTTCCTCAGCGTCAGTTGTCCCCAGGTAGAGAAAAACGCTCTGACCATCTAGAAAGGACGCTAAGTCTGTAAGAGGCAAGGCGCCATCTGCTAGCTCCTTACGTAAACACGTCATCAACAGCATCACGTATCGATAGGCGATAAGCTTAGCGTATTTAGAAATAGAAGGGCTTAATTGTTGACCACGAAGGGTATCTCAAATCTCAAACTCCATCAAACAACAGCAGTATGTGCTCTTGAGAATCAGCCTTGCCACAACGAAACCATTGGGCCATATATGCGCGAGGGCACGCCGTAAAGATGTCAAATCAAGGATAAACTCCGTATTCCGTGTCCAGCTCAGCTATTTATCAACGCCATCTCGAGAGGAAGTGCTTCCACGGTGGGGTCGTATATTGTCGGCCTTAGGCAGCTCCGGCAGGTTTGGTTTCGGTCGTAGCACCAGCCTCAGCAACGGCAGGGACTTCGGCCGGAGTTTCAGCAGCAGTAGCGGCAGTCTCGGTGGCCTTCTCTGGCTTTGCCTCGGCGGTAGCACCAGCAGCTTGGATGATGTTAGCGAGTGCTTGTAACTTCCAATGAGACGACCGTTCATGACTCGAGTGTTGCCAGTGGCACCAGACAGTCGTCGCGGGGTATGGCGGGGTCAGCCAACTTACCACTGTCAGTGACAGGCTTGGCCGCCTCCTCAGTCTTGGGTGCTTCGGTGGCCGCAGGTGCGTCTGCTGCAGGAGTAGCAGTCACCGCGGCGGCGGCAGAAGCTTCACTGAGTCAGCATCATCCACAGTCTTCGCGTTAGAGCTCAACATGCATGGCATGTTGAAGCTTGTATCTGGAATCTACAGTCTCTACAGGGGACTTACCAGCAGGAGCATCAACTTTGGCTGCCTCAGTGGCGCCACCAGAGGTTTCGCCCTCCTTGGGTTTTTTATCTTTCTTGCGAAAGGCGGCCTTGAGCTTGGCCTTCAGATTGGTGAGTGCGTTCGGCGCTGTACGGGACATCATACGTTAGTATGCATTCGTGCTACAAGGCACGAGGTGGAGCGAATGGGAAACGACTCGCCCATCTCTGGTCAAGCCACCCGAAGTGAGGGGAAAGGATAAGACGATCCGCATTGACATTGATCCCTGAAATGGGTATGAACATCGTCTATGACCATTTTTGCAGTGGATGAGGAAAGCTTGGGAAGGCGTTCAGAATGGGTGCAGGAAAAGGTGGACTTTACGAATTCCAGGCATTGTGTCAGTTTCTGGCTTGAGTGCTCCTTGAGTGTCAGTGAAAGATGATCCCCTGGGGGTTGGGAGAGATTTTCAGAGAGAAAGAGACGAAGATTGTCGATTGAGTTATGACAGTTGTCGTTGTCCTAGACGTAAGGATAGAGAGAGCGTGGTTGTTGTGATGCGGCTGGCTGGCTTGAAGAACAGAAGTGTGGATCTTGGGGAAATGGTAGGTATCGCCAGGTGGATACGCGCTAGGAAAAAGAGAGAGGTACAGCCAACCCAACCCCAGCTCCGCCCAGCCAATCTTTGGAGACAAGCAGTGGGCGAGGGGCATTTTAGCGCGCGCAATGCAAGGCGCTCGGGCCTGCTCTATTGTTCCTGACAGCCAAGACAGCTTCAGGGGGCCATCAAAAAAATAACGAAAAAGGAGCAACAATCTCGGTTCACCATTACCGAAGTACATCCGCCCAGCTGGTACTCACGAGAGGGGATGGATATTGAGATTGGGTGGTATTCATGAGACCTATAGGTGTTCCTGGTCTTATAACCCGTTCTTCCTGGTTCCATCATCATCTTGAAACTTTCAGGCTTATCCTCCCGTGGCCATTACCAAAGCACTTCGCGTACAGGTGCACAGATGCAGCAGCGTAAAGCCATTCGTATCCATTCATTCTTATACCGCATCCTCAGGCAATAATGGCTTGACATTTCTCAAAATCCTTATACCTACAGTAGATCCTGATACTACCAAAGTACTCGTGTCGAGCAGATCGTTTAGAGCTGCAGCGTGTAGCTGAGACCCCATTTGATAGGCAGGGCACACATATGGTGATTGAACGGCCTAGGCGTACAGTGACGGTACTCCCTGTTGTCACACAGACAAGGGCAAAATTACCTCCCCAGCGTATTGCCTTGATTAAATGTTTCAGGTACCTATCATTGCTTAGGGTATAGAGGACTATTTGAGCCGATGAGATGAGCGTACCGAAGCGCAAGCAGTACGCATGCGACTTCAAGTACTTAGGAAGTCGTTCAGTCAGCCCCCAGACCGAGCCAATCCACCTCGTGATTAGAGCGTGTATATATAGCTGCAAGCCGCAAGCACTGACCTTGCCACCTATAGAAAGCACCGTTGGTTGGTAACTCAACGGTTCGGCCAGGGGTTAGTTTGGGAATGCTTTTCGCCAGAAAAAAATGACATAATATTTTGTTCGTTTTTTGTATTCGATTAGCAACTGGTTTGTTGCTCTAACTTCTTCTCCTAATAATACTATCTACATGCTTGTACCTAGCATCTAATACTAGCAATTGAGCCTTTCTTTGACAGGCTGTGATGAGGTATATAATTCTCCCTGAGAGCTGGCAAAGTTGTCAATGGTGTACTGCAATTATAGGCTGGTGTCTCGGACGGCGGCGCCCTTGTGACCGTGTGTATTGTAGAAGACAACGTAGTCGGCGTTAGTGCATAGGTACTCTGCTGGACTCGCTAGTTCAATACTATCTCCTTTGCCACGGTCCGAGCCTTGAAACCTGAACTCCATGTGGCACGTGTCTTCAATGACGACGATATTACTGTTACGTCGAAGCACCCTCTTGCTAAAGCCAGAAGCCCTCCCGATATAGGTATCGTTTTCACCTCCTGTGACGGCAAGCTCCTTGCGCAGCGACAGCTCCTTTCGCACTCCTTCTAGCCTAACGCTGAAATTTACAGCAGTATGAAAACCAATGGCCCTGCGAGAAGCTTCATTATTGGAGGCTGAAGGCCCTCGGGAAAAGGGAGGGCTCAACATCACCTTGTTGGACTGCTGTGTGTATCATGAATAGATAGCTGAATTACTACCTAAGCTACTGCGATCGACAATAGAATGGACCCTACCTACTAAGTTTGTTGACGGCCTACATGTAGCAAAACCTCGCTGATCCGCTTCGCCACAATCTCGCAGAAACTCCCTCCAAAGCTCCCTTGGTTAGCAGTTCGATGGCGAAATTACATAGGGATATGATTGCATAGAATATTTGTATTCGCTCCAAGCTGCCGTGTCTGTTTGGCAAATTTGAAGCCTCTAGTAGAAACGATGAATGTCGCGACCGAATTGGTCACACAAGTGGTTACACGAAGAGAAATCCCGACCTTCCGATTTGATATATTTGAGCTATCTAGTCGTATTCTGAGTACAAAAACTGACATCTCATTCTTTCCAGTACTGTAGTGGTCATGTGAACCATGTACTGATACATAGCTTAATATTCACCTCGAAATCATTTCCATTTCCTATCATAGCTGAAGAGTGTGCGTTTCCACCTTCCAAACTTCAAGGTAATATCGAAATGAGAGAAATTTGTATATTCATTTTCTTCGATGGAATTGTCCTCAGCACTATTGTCGCCACGGGGAACAATTGTCCATTCCTGAGCATCGTTCGTCGCGTGGCTTTGGGGCGAGGGCTCTGTGGATGCATAATGATAAGCTTAAGAAGTCAACAGGCCAGAAGGGACAGATAAAAAACAGACCTGCATGTTCACGATCATTTTCAGTAGTAGATTTCTCTACTTCTTTATTGTTGGTAGTGGTGTCTTTGGTACTGGATGGAGCGCTTGACGGTTGCGTCTGGGGAGCTTTTTCTGCAACCTATTAGTTCGATTTCAATCATGAAATGTATAGCGCAAATTGAGATGAGCATTATGGATTCTTCGTGATAGTGTTATTTCGACTTGAGTCATACGGACCTCCTTGTTGCGGCATCTGGGATATCTGGTAAAGCTGCTTAGATAAGGCACAGACTGAAGCTATATTTCAGTAGCAGAAAAAAGACAAGTAAAATAGGATACGATAACAAATTTCTAAATCGCTAGAAGTACAAGCCATGGTACCTGCCTGACGTGTACAAAATGATATTACCCTCATTTTGCCACAGGCTGTACGGACGAATCTCAGGACGCACCAACATCACATACTATGACGCGAATTCGGCTGACGTAGACTTCGTTGCTGTGCCCCTAATAGGCAGCGTGGCTGTAAAGGCGATCAGACCAACAACATCTAACTGCATATAAAGACCCACGTGTGATGTCAATAATGAGTTGTCTTTGTTCAACGCAAAGTCGAATAGCCGTGTATCGTCACCGACGACATAGTTCGAGTCAAATTCTTATAACTTCAGGTTTTTCTCCGAGTACTGCTTCCCCTTAGAATCCTTAATTCGCTATAAAGCTTTCATATTCTGAGAGGCTATTCCTGCTCCTCTAGGAGTAGAGCCTTGATCAGGCTGTGGGCTCTAAGTTGTTCTCTTTCCGTGGTTCCCCTTTCTTCGATTGATGTTCAAGATTACATGATGATTTGATCATGTAATTTTTGTTATCTGCTCGGATGGACCTCAGAATACATCTCTGGCTGTTATTCTCGTGCTATCCAATGTCCCTTTATCCGCGGCCCTATCTACCTACTTCATAACCACTCGAGCCCAGGGCTGCTCCAGCTGGTCAACCTGCATTTATCTCACTGGGCCACTACTCTCTGCAGAGGAAATTACTGCTACACTCCTTTCAGATCCTATGACATATCGACATGCTTGTCTTACACAGGTTGGCAAGGAATCATTTCTTGTTGTCTTTCCTGCTCGCCTTCCTCGCCATATATAGCATCGCCGCCTTCTACCTTTCCTATGCCTGCCATCGTGACCCCTCATCGATCTTCTGGCAGCCCGAGAAAGCACTCCAACTATCGTACTCAGAATTTCGCAAGGAGGAAGCCCAGAAGTTTACCGATCAAGCTGAACGACTTGAGCAGGTCAAGTGGGACGATGCCACGGCACCTCGACTCTGTCTCGGCATTGGATCTGTCAGTCGACACGGCTTCTCATACCTGCGAGAGACACTTGGTTCTCTACTCGAAGGGCTAGACGATTTAGAGAGACGACAGATCTATATTACCGTCTTCCTAGCTCATACTAATCAGTCTCAACACGAAGACAGCAGCGCTAAGTGGTTGCATAACATTGCCGATAGTCTACCCGCATACCCGGACGATGACCAGCTGATAGAATTTATTCGAAGTCTGGAGGAAGATAAAAGCTACTCGGCTCATGCACGAAAGCACAAGATAGACTATTCAGTCCTACTAGGCGAGTGTGCCAAGGTACGACCAGCGTATACCGTAACCCTGGAAGATGATGTTATTGCACTAGATGGTTGGTACCACCGCACATTGTTCGCACTCCAGACCGCTGAGAGGAAGACTAGGGAGTTGGGGAGTAATAAGTGTAGGTCCACCTCCTTTGTTTCCGTCAGATTCACCTTTTCTGCGCTGAATGCAAACCCTAACCGTAGCGAGACGAAATTAACTAACGATATCCGTAGTCTTATACCTCCGAATATTTTACGATGGCCGCCTTCAGGGCTGGAACTCGGAAGAGTGGCCGTACTATCTTGGCTATAGCATCCTCGTCGGTCTTAGCAGCCTTATTCTGATTTTGAGCTTGCGCCGGTATTTCCCAGCCGCCCGGCAGGCCATAACCGTAGAATTTGTGGTAGTCATATGCGGGATCTGTACGCCGATGGTAATACTTCTCATCTTCGCCGCCGGGCGGAGTTGCGTGTTTCCCAAGCGACCAGGCGTCGACCTCATGCAGAGGTACGGCTGCTGCCTTCAGGGTGTCGCGATACCGCAAAAGCAGATTACCGACCGGCTGCTTCCGCTGTTCCGCGACACGCAGGACTCGCACGCCGCCGCAGATACGTTTCTGGAGGACTATGCCAATGAGCATGATGAGTTACGATGGGCCATAACGCCGAGTCTCATACAACACGTCGGCGGCAAGAGTTCGCACGGGGTAGGCGGCCAATTGAACGGCAGGATCACGGGCGACATGCCGTTCAACTATGATTTCGAGAAAAATGATCCTGCAAAGCTTGCTCAGGAGCATATGGCCTACATTGAGGAGTTGAAAAAGCATTTTGTAAACATATCATCACCCAGATATCTTGAATAATCAACTGAGCCCAATAGCATTTGGAACGAAATTCCCGTAGCGAAGTATTAAATAGGTAAACCCTATCTGCACATGCTACGACGTCAGACCTCTTTTGTGTACCTATTTCAGATAGGACATGGCAAGAAGAATGGCAAGACCACGAGTAGCGGCGCATACTCCTGTCTCAACTCCGATTCCTATCGTCTGACGCTGACACGAGAATCTTGCCGTCGGGCGAAAACGCCACCGAATTGACTGGATCGGTATGCCCTTCGACCATCTACAAGCAGCTGCTCCAGTAGCGCTCGGCTAACACTATTAGACTAGATAAACTTAGTTAAGTGACACAGATATGCGAAGCTAAGCAAGGTCATACTTGGAATGGTGATTGTAATACTCTAATATTTTGGAGGCTTTCTGACGCCCTTCCGATGAGACTCAGCACCTCTAGTCAATGAAGCAAGTGCTTCTAGAGAAAACAATATATCTGGCCATTATCGATCATAACATTTCTGGCTTGCTGGACGTGGTATACCCAATGTTGACAAGCATACTGGTCCATGCCTAATGCTTAGAATGTAATGAACAGACGGGCTGAAAATAAGTGTGTAGGCGTATACTGCTAGTAGCTCATCGAAGCCCCAGGCGGCCTCGCTGATAGCGCCCATCTTTTTGTATTTGAGAGTCATCTTTGCATAACAATCTTCTGCTTCCAAGACATTTGACAGACATTATGATTATATATGAACCCAGATAGAGTTTGAAAGCTGACATATTCAGTATCTATTGAGGCCGATCAAGTGGAAGTCCTTCGCGATTTGGCAGCGATGGCCTGTTTACGGTATCAATAGACATACCAGAATATCAGGCAACGAGCCAAACCAGGGGTCATGTACTCCGTGGTTATCGACGGTCGGTATCGCAAGAAGATTTAGGATGTCTTGATGCTGTACAGAGGTCGCTATATCGCGCACTGAGGGAATAGACCTTGACGATTGGCTTAGGCGTCTAGACTCGCATCTATCAGACCTATTATATAGTAGCATATGACACATGGGTTGGTAACTGGTCAAAATGTCGGTACAAGGTTTGATAACAAACTCGAGCACCGCCGTTGCCGATTTGCCGTGAGACGGATCAACTGCCTAGGTTGACAGATCCGCCCCCGCAACCATCATTGGTAACCAGCGCCGAACTCGGGACTCAAGCCCCTGGCCCTTTATGGCCGGTCACGATCGAGTCAGACCCTAACACATGACTTTGGACACGGACTACACCGTAGAACCTTACCTTGTAACGATCGTATCCACTGCCTTCGACGTACTTGTTTGATCAAGCGTTGAACAAGGGGTAAGATGATCCGACCTTTTAGATAATGAGTCTCCACTTCACGTGGGTTCTTTGTCACCCCAGGAAAGCGTCTTCGCACCGACTTCGTGATCCACCATGGGGAATGCTGTACCGTAGTCTGTCGGGTTTTCATATAAGCCTTACTCGGAGCTGCTGATTGTTTCTTCGTTGCCCGAAGTCTGACCACGCCGCTTACCCCTAAAGTTTGCATTAAAAAAAAAGGACAGGCCTAACTGTTCTTTCAATCTAACAAGTCTGCTTGTTCATCAGAAAAGCTAGTCTTTTGCCTTAGCGTTACGTGCAGTGGTGAAGTGGCTTGAAACAGACCATCAAAATGGCACCCGTCATCCACCTAGTTCGCCACGCGCAGGGCTACCACAATCTGAGTCTCGAGAATCAATGGATCCACGACCCCGATCTAACAGAGTTTGGTAAGCAGCAGTGCGAGGATCTATGCAAGGCCTTCCCATACCACGATAAGATTACACACCTTGTCGCCTCGCCGATCCGCCGGACTATATTCACGTGCCAGTTCTCCTTTGCGCCGGCCGTGAAGGCGGGTAAGAAGATTGTAGCACTCCAGGATGCGCAAGAGGTTTCGTTGTATGCATGTGACATCGGCAGCGACGTCGAGGTTTTGAAGAAGGAGTTCGGCGACCTCGTTGACTTCTCCTCTGTTACGGACGACTGGAACCAGAAGACGAAGGACTCAAAATACTATCCCGATCCGCGGAAGCTGGAGGCCCGGGCCCGCGATGCGAGATTATGGCTCCGAGATCTCGTCAAGAAAGCCGGTGATGACGCACATGTGGCTTTGGTCACACATGGCGGGATCTTGCATTTCCTTACAGAGGATTGGTCCGGTATAGATCCCGGACGCGGTAAGTCGCATGCCTCATGTTCTCATGTTCTCATGTCCTCATGACAACTATCACTCTCACCAATTTCCCTACTTGTTTACTTCCCTTTTTTCTGTATTCTGACGACTAATCCGCAGGAACTGGTTGGCACAACACTGAGTACCGCTCCTACGAGTTCGCAGATGAGACCGGAGCAGATCCAAATGCGAGTTTGAGGGAGCTTCCGGAGAGTCTTCGTCGCAGAAAGGGATCCGAAACCCCTTACACTGACGACGAGAAGAGAGAAATGCGTGCTGCGTACGAAAAGATCTTGAACCATGATATCAAGGACTGCGTTGAGAAACTCGCCAAGGCGGCGGCCAACGGCGAAACAAATGGTACTAATAAAGCCTGAGACTAAAGGAATAGAGAGATAGACAGAGGGATCCTCGGATTACGCCTCTCCTTGAGGATAGACAGATTTAGAGTTATAGAGGCATTCATGATCTTCGTAAATAGAGTAAAGACTAAGCACGAAGACTTTGTTTCACTACCGTTTTTGTCAGTCAACAATCCCCAAATAAACGAAGGGCCTTTTCCCGCTTTGGATTGCGCATGTTCCTCGGCGAATCTCAATCTGTTACGGTGAGGATACAAAGACAGCATCTTTGACCTTCGTGGTCAATCATGCGGATATCCGGCCATCAGCCGTAGTCTACATGTAACTAGTCTAGATAAGCGGTTAATTCGCGTTTGTGAACAGGCCAGGGGATTATTCCTCATACGTACTATATTTCATCGGATCTCGAGTGATGAAAAACCGATGTGTAAGCAACAAAACGCACGGAATATTTCAAAAGCGAGGGAATTCAAAGAATATGGAATTTCTCTGCGAGTTGTTCTATGGAGTCTTGATGACCAATGAATGAATGAATGCCCGTGGCCTTCGATCTTGAAATATTCGATATTTTCTAGCTCTGGGACAGAAGTAGTTGATAAAGTGTTTTTAGTAAAGTGGCCTATCGTTAACATGCGGGAAACAGATTCTAGAGAATCGCTTGTTGGTCTCCCTTTTCAACACACTCCGAATCACAACTTTCATAGGTGACTTGGAATTGAGCTGAGCTCATAATACACACCCTTCGAACTCAACAAATGTCTAGTCCTGTTCGTAAAATATGGCTTGGCCATTTGGCAGCAGAAGGTAGCTGTTTTCGTCAACATTGGTTTATGATAGGTGGTAAGAGAACGCCTCGCGAGCGTACATTCCGCCACCGCGAGATCAACAATGTCTTTGCAAGCAGATGAAAATAGGAACATAAGAAGGTACTCTACAAACTGCCTTGCAATATCAATGGAAAATAATGAGTCTGACCAGGAACTCAGCTTGTTTGAAAATGCCAATGAGAAATTCCTATTCCAGAGGTGAATACAAGCAGCTCACATGTTTGGTTCACGCTAATGGCCCATTCATTTTGACTTGATGTTTATTTCTTCTATTGAGGAACCGACCCCAGTGACCCGAGAACTATAACATATGGAACGATGGCTCGTGGAAAAGATTGCTAAACGAGCTAGGCGGATACCATTGTGCACAACCAAACTCCAGATCATCCGAAAATAAATCGTACCGTCGTGCTATCTTTCGTTACGGCACTTCGACAGACAGCGAGTTGCAATGCACCGGCAAGGAATAGAGGAGTTCGCGTGGGTTGGCAAAGAGTTCGTCACTAATTTTTCCTTTTTTCAACTCCGTAAGAAGGGATTCCAGGATCGGTTGGCGGATACCGGGGTATCAATGAAGATGCGAAAATGCCATTGCCTTTGATCACGAAACACTACTTGACTATGTAGCTAGTCTCGCTCCCTATCCCTGACCGTTATGACCCATATGAAACCGTTTATGAATCCTTCTTCGCCTTCTTGCCCTTTGTCTTCTCGGTACCGCGGAGTGTCTTCATGCGGTTCTTGCGTTGCTTTCCTGTAATGATGGGTTAAGATAGTTGTCCAAAGCAGACGAAAGAATGATCAAAATAAGACGTACTCTGTTGTCGGGATGCGCGCTCGGGCTTGGTAGCTAGGCCAGCACGGACGAGGCGGTGCTTGGCATCGAACTTCTTGCGGGCCTCAACGGAGTCGTAGATGCAAGCGAAAGCAGTGGTCTTGCCACCACCGAAGGCAGTTCGCAGACCAAATACGCTGACCTGCTCGGGGGTCGCCTTGTAGAGGGAGGCGAGCTTCTCTTGGAGGTTGACCTTGGAGATACCGGCCTGGTCGGGGTGGATGATGTCGCTATAGAATCTTGTTAGAAATTGATGCGAACAGCGAATCAATGATCGGGAAAAACGGTGTGGCATGATAGAACTGTGAATAATCGTAACTGATTCGCCTTCACCGTCGCCATCGCCGCTGGGTTTCGAGGGTACGTCGAAGAAGAGAACTTACGCGACCATCTGCTTCTGCAACCCAAAGGCCTGTTAGTAATAATCCAGTAAAATGACAGCAAGAGGAGGATTACGAACGCGAGCAAGCAGGGGATTCCGCTGGAATTTGCGAGTACGGAGGGTGACTGAGTCGGCCATTTTCGCTGAGGTTGACTGGGAGCGAGGAGGTTGATGTCGTGAAAATAGTGGTTGGACTGCAGTTTGTAAATTCGTTTTGGATTTTTCGTGACGGCCGAGATGTGTGTTGTAGCGGGGGCAGCGGCACCTGCCCACACCTGGGCAGCGAGGCGAGGTGGCGCTTAGACCACCTGCACGTGCTGCATTTCCAGGCTCCACGCTCCAATTATTGAATCCACCTGTTTGCTTTGTTAACCCCGGTATATTCATTGTAGACCCCAGTATAAAGATAAATCTGTCTTATCGCAAACTTTCCAGCTGGGCAAAATGCGCCAGCGCATACTAAAAATTTGGTGAGTTCAATGGGCTGCGAATTAATAATTAGCTGGTGATGTTTTCAATTTAGAACAGCTTATCACGAATTGAATAAATGTCTAAGCCCTTTGGAACAAGTGATAGGTGCGACTAGAGGAGGGTATGGGCACTTCAACAGTGAGCGCCGCAGTATGTAATAGTCTAGCCAAGGGGAAAAGTCTCTAGTTGGCCTTTGAATGTGTTCAAATTCAATGTCTTCATAGATAATTATCTATATAACTTTATCTACTTCGTGGAAATACATACCTACTGCTAGGAACCGGACGATGGGGGTAGTACGGAGGTCGAGGTCGTATATGTCCATCACCCTTAGTATTGGCCTACCGTGCCAAGCCTGAGATATATTGCGACCCGAACCTATGTAGTTATTTATCGTGTATGTTTAAGGCTTGCCCGTGACACGCGTTTGGCCTTGTGAGCCACTGGACTCGGCTGAACTTGTCATGCGTTTTCCGTTGCATCTCTCCAGCATTTCTGGCCCTGTCGTCACCTCTGCGCTCTTGGTAACCCCAGCCAATTCCTTCTGCAGCTTTTGAGTAAGCTTGTCAAGAATCCAACCAGCTTCATCGCGTGGATCCATTAGGGGACTATGCCGCCCAATCCACGACCACTCCGTTCTGGCCTGCTGCTGCCGGCCACTGCCGCTGTCACTGTGTAGTCGAGTCGGTTGGCGGACTTTCTTGTTGTCGATTGAGTAAAGGATCTTGTAAGGATTACGATGTGTGGACGGGTCGTCCTCATCTTCGCCGATGAGATGGAGATAGAACGCCCTATTACGGATATCAGAAAATTCAAATTCCAGTTCGGGGATAACCCGTCGCAATCTTAGATTGCCAATATTAGTGCTGTTCATATGGTTTCTACTCACCACTCTTGATAAGTGTATTGCCGTGGGGGGTTATGTTGTAGATGATGCGACACCCTTCTGATCTCGGCAACGAGTACAAGAAGATATTCGTCACGACTCCAAGGCAATTTGTTGGGAATGTCTTCCCCAGTCAAAGAGTCTTCTCTCCTATTTTTAGGCCTTGTGATTTGATGCCTGATGCTCCTGATTTTTGACAATATTGGATTTTTTCGCCTCACGTCAGTATGTTGTCCCGGCGAGGAAACCCTTGGCCCAAGCTCACCCTTTTCTTCGTCTTTATACTGGCCCTCTGGAGCAGATGATTCATCTTCCTTATCCCCATCTGACTCACTGTGCGGTTCAGTGGCACCAAAAAATCCTGGCGGTGATTGATGGAGCTTGACTTCCGAAAATAGCACGCCAAATGATAGCCTCGATAAGTACCGCTTGATATCCACCCTGTAACCACGCTCTCCAGGAAGGATGGTGATATTACCAAGAAACACTGTGAGATCTCGGACTTCTTTCACAACGGTATCACCGGCGTTTGAGATGAGAACGGTCAGGGTGGGTAGAGCCAGAAGTGACCAAAAAACAAAGAAGGCCTTAGCAGCGTTGGATAATGGAGTGATGTCTCCGTATCCAATGGTCACCATCCCTTGAAAAGAGAAGTAAACACCATCAAAGTAGCTCCAACTTTGATACGGATGCTCGCATACCTGGAATATCTTTGCACCTACAAGCCAGAGTACCAACCAGCAGCTAGTTGACACTCCCATTGCCATCCACCTACGCTCTCTCGACGCTTGATCCTGGATTTTCCGCATCATATGATATTCATTTTGACGATGTGCCAACTCCATATCAAGCGATTCTATCTCCGCGATGGGCTCCAGAGCTGTGCTTTCCCCAGTGCGGTTGAGGCGCCGAACAAAGCGACGCCGCTTCTTTTCAAGCACCCGAGCGTCCAGCTTGACTTTGCCTCTGTCTAGTATTAGGCTACGAATTGAGCCGATAACGAGACCGAGAGTGGTGACGCCAATCAAGGAGTAGGGAATCATGAGACCACGACCAACGTTCGTTTTCAGAGGCAAATCCCCAAAGCCTACCGTGAACAGAGTAATATCAGCCCAGTACACGGCATCTAAGTAGAGCCACCCTTCAATATGAGAGAATACCAAAGCTCCAAGAAGTAAATACATCAGGAACAGTATTGTTTGAAGCATTAAGGTCCTCTGGCTCATAGTGAGCTCAAAGTCGCGAGGGAAATGTCCAGCATGAGCCCCCCAGAAAGTGACGACCATTAATGAAGCAACGATGAAATAGAGAACGGCAGCAAATATCCCGTAATAGAAAGCTTGTGACCAAATATAGTCATTTTCGTGCTGCAAGAGAAGAAAGCCACTAGCCGTACTGCATAAGACGATGAGCATGATAGATGATAAATACCACCCTGCGAACGTGACAGGTTGCGCTACGGAAAATCGTATTCTCTTCGTCATATTAAGCAGAAGAAAGAGATTCGCAATGATGGCAATGACAAGTTGGACAGCATTGGTAGCCAAAAGCCATGGTGGGTCATGGATGAAGATAGCATTCGTGATATCCTTTCCGGGAAGAATTTGTTGGCGCCAGGGTTTGACAAGAGCACAGATAGAGAAAGCCGATGCGACTGGACCTAGCGTGCCCGCGATCATTGGGAATGCTGCAGACGCAAACCACCAACGGCTGATGATACTGGTGGTTAGCTGTGTTTCGTCGTAGTGAAGTAGTAACTCACGCTTGGTCATGATGGAGATTATCGGTCTGAAGTGTTCTGTCATCCCATCCTTCATCTCGTTTCGTCTCGAAGACATGGTCCACAACGTCGGAATGATCAGCTATATTTTCATTGAGATTTGCATCGTCCATCCTGATCCTAAGCTGATGACATGTGGCGATATTCTTATAGACGCGCCCCTCACTAAAACACAAAAGTATATATGTGGATTATTGGGACAGGATCCGTATGACTATAGCTATGGTCTAATATAAATGAAAGTCGCTGAAGGTGATGTGGTCGATTATTAACGGTGGTAAGTATGGATTAGTGAAATAATGTTGAAGTCTAAATTAGGGCATATGGTAGGTAGTCTCTCTAGTAGAGTGAACCATAACCAGCTAAGAACAGGGTGTTTTCCTGCTCTGAATGCATGTCATGGTATGAGGGCAAGTGAGTAGCACTCTACTCTAAATGCCAGGTGCCTAAGTAGACAAGAAAATCAAGCTGTGATTGCCGAGTTGGTGGTTGATGGAGGGGACAAGGACGTTGTCACCTGTAATGACGTCGCTTGGCATTCAAGACTTGGCATCGACTCCAGACCGCCTTGGCGACGATCACCTGGGGCGGTGGTCACCCCACCCACAGAGCACCCACAGAAGTACCTATGTAGGTATACCTAGACTACCTACCTAGGACAGATTGAACCTCTTTTACACTCGAACTACGATCGCCTAAGTATCTTACAAGAGATTCAGCTTGATAAAGCCATTTCGAATTAAGTATCTACCTAGGTACTCTGAAATTAACCGAAACAGAAACGGCGCACCCTGCACAGCAGGTAGGGGCTAAAATCTACGTTATGCTCAGTCCCCTTGAGCTATTAAGGATACCTAGGCATGAGGGCTCACACACGTATGCCTACCTACACATCTATCAGGGTAGCGTTGTGCTATCTTCAAAGTTGGTAGGCACCTAGTAAAGTAGTAAAAGATCGCGATCAGCCGCATATTTAATGCCATACGATATTGAAAATGCCTTCAAATGCATGAATTGATATCTCAAAGCTACGAGGTCTGGTACGTGGCTGGGCTCCTAAGCATTCGATCTTCCAACCACCTAAAAGCAAGGCCGTCAGCACTGGCATTGTCATTCGCTTCATGCACCTGGATCCGCCTATAGGCCTCGTCATTCCAATCATCCATATCTTCGTCCCACTTCATACGCTCCCTGAGTTCAATCTTATTAATACTCCTGCGCATATAACTAGCCAGCTCCTCCGCCTGGGTTCGAAAATTATTCCCAAAGTTCTTCTTCTTCCGTCGCTGAAGTCTCCTCAGCCAGGATGGTGGGAGAGGCGGCGGCGTATCATGTATTAGCAGCGTCTCGGGAATTTTCAGCGTTGACTTGCGAGGAGGAAAGACTAGCGGGCTTTTCCGGGGATGCTTGAGAGGCATGAGCTCCTCTACCGCCTCGTCAGGCAGCCATGACAGGTCAGCTAGAGCAGATGAGGGAGCAATCGCAGACTCGTTGAAAGATGGAGGGACGAGGAGCCCTGGCGTGTGAAATAGAAGACAAGAGCTGGCAAACGGATCGAACAAATCGCCGGGCTTATTAAATAGTTCGTCCGTCATTTGCTTCATCCCCTGGAACTCTGGATCTGCAGGAAGAGAGAGTATGTCTTCCAGGAAGTTCCTCGATGATGATACCGGTAGCTTGTTGATAGGATGATCCGGTAAGAACATCGTCCAATTATAGACACCGTTATAGGCCACGCATCCCCGGACGGCCATCCGCTCATGTGGATGGGACTCAGTCAGAGTCAATGAAGTGGCTAACGAGGCACCAAGATACGAGCCATAGACATATATATCTCTACGTCCGTAACTCGTAGGGGCCAAATTTTCAACGATCCATGTGTAAGCCTTCAGAGTATCGTGGATGGGCGCTGGCCAGCCTGGATGAAAGCGCCGATGGACCGATGCCTCACCGCCATCCGACTCGGAGTCCTCTATTTTTTCTTCATTGGGCTCGGATTCCATCCAACGGTAATGAATCACGGCTGTTGCACATCTCTGAGCAAACCTTGGCAAGTGTGTTACATCACTCGCGGGGGCCGCCGTGGAGTACGGTGGCAAGTAGACTAGCAGTGGCTCGGATGACGAGACCTTAGCTAAGTTATGCAGACTGGCAGGAAGTTAGAGACTTTCTGCACTGGTAATTGAAGTGGTATCCACGGATGAAGACAGCTTACTCGATATGTACACTGCCAGACGAGCCCACAGGCACACTCACTCGCTCTGCATGGCGAAGACCTGAGGCGAGAGTGTTTAGGGATCGTGTTCTATATCCAAATAAGACATGGCGGGCTTCGAACCTCGGAATGCTATTGAGAAGCCATTTCATCTTGTTGAAACCTACATCTCTCCAGGACCATGTTAGATTCTTAGGTAACCTGTGGAGCACGCAGCTTTGCTGTCAAGTCACCTCGGTCTCTATCTGGTTTAGTGCATGCAGGGGTATGCCAAGAAAACCCCAAGGTCTGTCCAAGGGTCCTCAGCTATCCACTTGGCGTTTACCAGTGAGAGGAAAAAAAAAAAAAAAAAAAAAAGGCTTGAGATTTAATATAGTTGTTAAACATCTATGTAATTACTTGATAGCTTCTCTATTATAGATTTTCACACATGTCATTTAATGCAAAGTTATTTAACTATGTTTGGTGACAAGGTTCTTAAGGTAGAGGCAGTAATATGCAGTGTATCAAAGAATGACTCGAGTTAATCCCTAAACTGCCTACCAACGATCAGCTATCAATTGACATCTACCTACATGGATAGATAAGAAGTGAAATGTGAATAACGAGATCACGTAGATCCAGAGAAATATGAGCGAAGACCGCGCCCGATTACAGACCACATGGGCTAAGTTAGTATTTGGTGAGCTGAAACAACCAACCCCTCCCTTGTTGTTCTCGCATGCCTAATTTCCCCCCTCTGCAACTGTTTTTCTTTTTCGTTTCTTTTTCGTGCCTTTTCGTTATTTTCATGAAGGTTGTGAGCTCCATACGACCGATACCCAATGGCATCTGAAACAACTATTCCGCCCATTACCAGGCACACCGCTCCGCCAACGCATAATGATAGTGTATTTATTCATGGTGTTTAAGATGGACGAGACGCTGAAATTCACGAATCAGTCCCTTTAGTGATTGTATCAAGTGGCCTGTATTACGCAGGCGTGCTTCATACTAATTCTGGAAAATTAACACCCTCAAACCATTTAGTCCTGTTACATGTTAGCAAACGTGCTTGCTATAGGAGTCTTGTAATATGGAATGTCGATGTAAGCTTTACTTACTTAGGGACCAACTGTTCTTTCGTAAAGTGTAAGTCTCCCCAGCTGACGGTGTTGTAAAATGGGCATTGATCGCCTCGCCCGCAAGGTTGACGAGGGCAATGATGGGACAGGTAACACTCATAATCTGTGCAATAAGGCCCTTGAGGGCATAAACTTGTTCGGGCTTTGTAACGATGGATAGCCACTTCTAGTGGATTCAGTTCTACCTCGTGCTCCTTATCGCAATTTGCGCCTCGCTTGCATTTTCCTTTCAGGTAATGATCATTGCAAAATGCCTTGGGTTTGGTGGCTTGAAATTTGTCTTGATATGTTGCCTGTGCTTGGGAGCGAGGAGGATGTTGCGTAGGCTCGTCTATACGATGTTGATCTTCGTTATATAATGCATATTTGATTGATTTTTTGGGTTTCGTGAGCTTCACCGTAACATTTTGGTGATCGATAGTTCCACCAGCCGTAGCATAGCTGATTGAAGTACCACCATTGCCTGAAGTGATGATGTTTGTTGTTCGGGGTAGCACTTGAGACTGGGCGGGTGATTTATCAGGTGAGGAAGACGCTGGTTGCAATCGATCATGTGCGATTGTAGAATCACTGGTCGTTTGAACAGGAGATGCTATGAGAGAGTTTGTCGACGGCGTGGGCCGTCGTTGCTCTTGGAACTCGGGAGAAATAGCCTCAGCAGGGGGAGAAAAATATGGAGCTTGAGTTGGTCGTGCGATCGGCCCCGGGATCATTTGGTTAGGAGAACGGCTGCTGAATGGATAATATTGGGCGACGCGTTTGGTTTCGTTGTTTAAAGGCTCGGATCTAAAAACATCATCAAATCTCCGAATAGGAAAATCAAGAGACCTAAAATTTGGCTCCGCGGGTGTCGTTTCAATCAAAGTAATCTTGTTATCTGCATTGCCCGCATATTGACGAAGGTCGTGGAGATAACCATTGTCATGGCAACAAGCAACAAATATCTTCTGACACTGCGCATTTTTGTGATAATGATCAAGTAGTCCTGTAGAGAAGCGTCAGCTTGGGTCCACCTGTCGAAGTTATCAAGCTCTCTTAAGTACTCACTTCTGATCTTGGCATCTGTATTTTCTTTTCCCTTACCGACATTGATGAAGTCGCAGTCAACGTGGGTATTGGTAAACTGTTCGGCAAAGACATGCATACTCTCGTCACGAATGATGACATCGGACATGCGCAGTGACTTTGCTAGGTCATTGAGATTCGCATAAACTCTGACTAGAATAGGCATATCGTGACCATAGTTGGCTTCCTTGACCGCTTCTCTCAACTTCCGAGCGGCCTTTACCGCACCTTGGTCATGATCGCGAAGAAGGTCGTCACGAAACTTTGCCCCATCACCATCAACAAGGACGACGACGAAGGGCTCCCTGATCTGCTGTGAAGGTTAAAATGACACGATGAACTACATGGAAGGAAACGTATTATTATGACTAAATGGAACGCACAAATTTCAAACTGTCCATCTTAGCTTCAAGCTCCATGTACTTTTCCCGATATTGTTTCCGAGATTGTGTTTGATCTGCAAGATCAAGCTCAAGCTCGGATATTTTAATTGCGTCGCTTTCAATTTTCTGGATCATATTCTGTTGCCAACACAGTCAGTTGCAAGCTTGCCTCCGTCTCCATATCAGATAACATTTGATTCAGGTTCACAGCTGCCTATCCTGTAAAGGGACAGGATGGACAAGAGTGACGACAAACTTGTGCAGCGAAATACTCACCTGTATGAGATTAGATCTTTCGCTATCCATTTGTTGATACAGATTCAGTTGAGCTAACACCGTTTCGGTGATGCTTGAAGGCTGACGCCCGTTTACCACGCTGTTCAACGCCGACATGGCGCTGAAGAAAGCAATAGTGCCTGATTTGGTCGTTTGGGTGATTCTCGATATCGAGCACGTCGTTCACTATCTAGCTCCGTACAAGAAAGATGGAGTGGGAGGGTGAATGAAAATGGGTCTATGTATGAGGTCTGGAGCAGGTAGTAGTAGTTGGAGTGGCAAACAGGCAATTACTGAGACACCTGAGGCACCTAGGCAGCAGCTTGATTGGGGATCCGGTCTTAATTGAGCCCAGCTGTCAGGCTTCTCTCCCCAAGCTGTCTTGAAGACCACAGCAACAGAAGAATATGATGATAATAAGGTCAACAAACCCTGGGATTGAGAGACTGTATGTCAGGTTGTGCTGGGCAATAGATCCGGGCCAGCAACGCGATTAATGGGCCGATAAATAGAGAGGTGATTCCGTCAAAGAAACGTGTCAAACGCGGCGAACGGATGCACGGGATGAAGTGAAGAGCGAACTGTTTTTATTCCATTATACCTGGCCTGATACAGGCGGCTGCTGGCATGTTTTATCTACTGCGGATAGCCACGTTGGTGGAGAAGGTACCTCCAGCCTACCTAGGTAGCTGGCGTGTTGGACAGCGCACCAAAAGACACCTGAGTCTTCTACACAGTACTTAGGTGGGTACGTGAGCGGCTGCAGCGCTGTATGGGACGTTAGGACGCATAGATACCTACATAGGTAAGTAGGTAAGTACTATGTAGGTAAGCAAGTAGGTAGGAAAGTAAGTTAGGGATACCGTACCTAAAGTAAGGGACTAAAGCCGGGCTTTAGGTGCCCATGTAGGACGTAGCTAGAGGAGACAAGCAGTGCTTTAGGTACCTACTTCCAGATTATCGAACTGCAGGCAGCCAGGGTAAAGAGGGGGGGAGGATTCAAACCGATCAAGAGAATAGCTAACCATTGATTTGAGAAGCTATCTCTAACTTTAATTGAACTTGGATTGTATAATATAATTGATTTCAAGGTTTCACTTAATTTTTTAGAATATAATACCTGCCTGCCCTTCAGTTAGCTATCACAAGAAGAGAATTTAAATGGTAAGGTACCTAGGAATACCGGAATTGCTCGAAGACATCTTTGAGTCTATATTTTTAAACAGAAGTTAATTTTCGATGCTATGCCATGTAAACTATAATGTAGTTGTCGATTCAATCCATCAAGATTGTGTCGTATGTCCAGCAGTTGCAACCTCTAAGATGTCCTTTTCCAATCCGCCGACCAATTGTACTTGGATACCAGCCTCTTCAAGCTTCCGCCGGCTTGAGTTCCCAGTAACAAAGGTGTCGGGCTCCTGCACGCCGACGTAGACCGTTCTGATACGCTTCCCAACCGAGAGGATCCTATCGACGCAGGCTGTGTTGCCGCTCAGCCGTTGCGAACAAGGCTCCACTGTGGTGTAGAGGGCAACGGCGCCAGGCAGAGCCTCGCCCAAATGTGTTCCAGTAGCTTTATATTTCCGAGTCAACTTCTCTATGCAACATTGTTCTGCATGAGTGTTGCCCGGAAGCTCCAGTGTATAACCAGTAGCGAGAACCTCGTTTGTGTCTGTATCGACCATGACGGCACCCACACGGTAGTTGGTGGGTTTGGGGGGTGATTTGGTTGCGAGAGAGAGAGCCAGCCTCATATAGGCCTCATGGTCCCCTGCTGTGATCTCTGGAATCAAATCTTGTATAAGTTCGGCCATTATGTAGGTACGGTAGGCAGCATGATGAGCAAAAGCAAGAAGCTATTGAGACAGCCTGTGGGCAATCCTCCCTCCAGCAGCTCTCAAGCAGTGGACCATCTGACCAAGTAGGTACCTACATGTACCTCATAGGTAGTGGAGAGCTTCAACTACCCCGCAGTAGGCTGCCCCGCGATATAGGTACCTACTGTAGGGGAGATACCTACTATAGTTAGGTAGGTAGGTTCGGTGAAGTGGACCCATTGATTAATTGGCACCGCTAGAGACCTACGCGCGTTGCTTGTAACGCGCATCATGCGCGTTGTCACGAGTCCTCCTCATAACTATCTTCATATTCAACCTGCAGCTTCATCTGAATTATGTGACTGCGCAGAAAACGCGCACCGCTCCTTGTTCATCATCAATCCTCGGTTTGCAATAATTTTTCTTGTCCATTCATCATGGACGCATCCGACGATCTCGATAGCGAGCCGCCCAATATTGTGAATCCTTACGAGGTGCTTGGCCTTGAGCGCACCGCAACAGCAGATCAGGTAAAGTCGGCTTATCGGAAGCTTGCCTTGAGAAACCACCCAGGTAAGTAAGACGGGCTTTTTAATGATACATGACGATGCTCTATTTCAGATCTGACAGATATGTGGTTGGTAGACAAAGTATCCGAGGACCAGAAGCAGAATGCGCACGAGACCTTCCAATCTATTGCCTTTGCATACGCTGTACTTTCAGATCCTACACGGCGCAAGCGCTACGACGAAACTGGTTCGACCTCGGAATCCATAGTTGATTCAGATGGCTTCAGCTGGTCGGACTTCTATCGCGAGCAATTCCGCGATGCGATATCTAACGATGCAATTGAGAAGTTTGCAGCAAGGTATAAAGGTTCCGACGAAGAACGTGACGATATCCTCGTCGCCTACGAAGAGCACGAAGGTGATATGGATGCGATCTACGAAACAGTCATGCTCAGCAACGTTCTCAAAGACGATGAACGCTTCCGGAAAATAATTGACGATGCAATCGCGAGCAAGGATGTTCCCGCGTTCAAAGCATATGTTAAAGAGAGTAAGAAGTCCCGACAAGCACGCATCAAAGCAGCCAAAGATGAGGCTACGGAAGCCGAAGAGTACGCAAAGGAACTGGGTATTCACGACAAACTCTTCAACGACAAGAAGGGAAAGAAGAAGGGATCATCTGAGGATGATCTTGCAGCTCTCATTCGACGAAACCAACAGGGACGTGAAAATTTCCTCGACAACCTAGCGGCAAAATACGGCGCTACGCCCGCAAAGGGCAAGAAGGGGAAGAAACGAAGTGTAGAGGAAACTGAACCTTCAGAAGAAGCCTTTGAGGCCACTGCGGCTAGATTGAAAGAAAAGAAAAAGCGTCGTCTTGAGGATAGCGAGCCTTCAGAAGAGGCATTCCAGGCAGCAGCGGCAAGGCTGAAGAAAGGAAAAAGGAATTAAGAATTGTGGTATGGCGGGCTTGGTTGGTTTAAATTTCGGTGGCGTTTTTTTTTTTTTTTTTTTTCCTGGTCAGGGGCGGGGGTAACTCAAGGTACGGTCGGGCGTTCAGGCATTAGGCATCCAATGAATGCATGAATATGGTGAATAATGCAAAGATCATGATACATCTCGTTTTATTTTTTGTTTCCCGCTTGCTTTTCTTCCCTTGTGACTGGCAGAGTAGGCATTGCGTAGGTGCCTATTACTGGTGCGGGGCAGCTGTCCCCATACTTGAATACTGCTACGTCGCGTCGTCTACTATGTAAATCACTTTTATCCTGTTCAACCATTTTTAGGCAGAGTCTTTCCCAGTTTTAATCCAGACGTTTCGCTTCTAAAAGCGTCGTTATCTACAAAATGCGATGACAACTGCTGGCCCGCTAGTTTACTATCCCCAGTACTGCTTCCACCTATCGCCAACTATCAATGCGTGGTGTCCTTTGCGCGCAATCGACATTGCTGGCCTAGTGTCGCGAGCAGGTTTTGAAGGTTAGTGAGAAATGATCGCAATCCCTCAAAATCCCTGGGACTAATTTAGTCTAACCCGAATACACAGATATAAATGTTTTCTTCTGTCTAAATCACCCCATTCAATGGGTGAGAATCGTAGGGGTCGTAGTCGCGATTGACCACTATTATGGCCACCAAGTCTACACCGTTGACGATAGCACTGGGCAGTGCATCGAGTGTACCCTACGAGTTCCAGTCACCAAAAATGGCCAGATAAATCGTCGCGATACCACCGAGGCCAAGGCAAGCGAGCCAACAACCCTTGCCTCGAAAACACTCAATGCAGCCAACACTGCGGAAACTAGGACGATAAATGCTGTGTCTGTGGCACCACTCCCAATGGATGTTGATATAGGCATGGTCCTAGAGATCAAAGGAAGTGTGAAGGAATTCCGAGGCCAAAAGCAGATACAAATTCACACGGCAAAGGAAGTCTTGTCCACGACTCAAGAAGTACTTTTCTGGGACAAGATTCGAGAGTTCCGCCGCAATAAACTGAGCCAGCCATGGGTACTCAAGGATAGAGAAATACGAAGATGCCGGAAGCTACAGCAATCGGAGGCCCCTGAACTAGATGAGAAGCGGAAGAAAAAGAAAGCTGTGATATATGCTGATGGCCCTGAGGAGGGCGGTACTGGAAAGACACATGCGCCTAGGAACAGCGTCGGCGGCACCTCAGTTAAGGCTGCAAAAGCTGCTAGGGTGGAGAGCTTGAGCGCAAGGATTGGTAACAAGGATAAGTATGACGCCCTGGGCTTATGATCCCAGTTGCTTTCCTAATCGTGGAGATGTGCTTAACCTATATCTAAATCCCATAAGGTATTATCTATGCTCCAACTACGCACCTACGAGTTTCTGGTCTTTTTTGGAATATTGAATACAAACAGAGTTATGAACGCTCTATTAAACTTCCTCTTCTGTTTAAAGTCGCTCGAAACGGTTGATTCTTCATTCTGGTTGCTGAGTTACCAGCTAACGTCCCTAGAACCGGGCATCCGTCGCACTGACCACACGAAGTTTCTCTGGCTCACATCATTTCCAATTCAAGATACCTACGCGCTAAAACATTAGATCTCCCCCTCGCGATTGGGTTGTTATTACTAACCACTGCGAATGATAAGATCAGAACAGATTCATAAAGAAACACCTACTCGCAAGGCCATAACCTAGAACGAGTAATCATGGAAGTCTCATTCCAACACTAATTGACAAAGCAGGTGCAAGCGTCTCTCCGTAGCGATCTCAGATTTCCCATTTAACAGCAAACGTAACAAATATCCTCATAAACATCGTGCGCATTCTCACATCTTCTCTGCTCCTACTAGACCCTCTCGTCAAATACAGTACCTCAACCGGCGTGGCCGTCACCCTTCTATATATCTATTATGTTCTTTTCATTCCAACCCTAATTTCTATTCCACATTCGTTTGGTATTGTTTACAAACAGGTAGGGAATTTCAGTATCATTTAAGACACCTCATTCCTACAACTGAATCAAGACCTCATGTGCTTAGCTCGTGGCCACGACTTGGCTAGAGCAATGAGGCCATCACCTCGCAGACAACGCGCATTCCTCGGGCTCGGCCAGGCCGTACGATGCGTTTCATACAAAGCGTCTGGCAGCCGCTCGTCGCTGAACATTGCTTTGACATTTATATCATTGTTCTCGGTTTCTTCCCCTGTCGACAATTTACAACTCGTAGCATGATCTGAGCAGCGTTTCATGAGTCACAACATTTTGAATAATAGCGACACCGCCGGAAATTATAGAAATATTCTACTTTTCTCTAACCCTCCCCTTACTCCCCTCCATTTCCACTCTTTCTTTTGTGACTATGTTGTTGATCTGGATACTAACTCTTCTTCAGCATCCTACAGTTGTGCGGTCGATTCCACTTTCACCATTGGTCAGTAAACAAGTCGAAGCTCCCTATGCACGAGCATCTCCATCACAAGACCAGTATCTCCAAAGATATTATCCTAATTCGACGGCAATAAACTCTAACCGCGAGAGTTATCAATCTATTAATGTTAGCACAATTACAGTTTCGTCAGCTATCATACAGGTACCAGCCCCTAATGTGGACTCCAACGCAAATACAGCAGGTTTTGTTGTTACAAGTTTAGAAACTGGTGGTCGAGCAAGTGTAATTCCTCTCCTCACGGTTCCAATTCCGAGTCCAACCGCTCTGCTTGAGTACGCTGAGTGTACGCTCAAGATGTCAAATGAGCCGACTAAGCCAACGGACCCAGTGTCGTCCAACATATTTGGAACTCCTATCGCAACTTCAAAGCCCTCGAAGATTTTTGAAGAGCGGAAAGATCATCCCGCACCTCGAATTGGGATAAGGGGTTCTGGACCTTATGGCACCAACAAGTTCTATGCCAACTTTTTCCTCGGCAATCAAAACTCCCCCGCTTATGTGCATCCATATTCCCTAGCATGGTCCAAGGGTCAGGGATCTACATCCAGCTGGGGGATCGCGATCTCGCACGTGGAGGCGAGCCAGAGAGTTTATGGGGAGACGCAACCAGAAACAGGGGCCGCGAAATACTTTCTGAATCCTATTGGGATCCAGTCTTTGTGTCTCTCTGCGTCTGAACTTGGCTCTAAGACTTCACTAACTACGGACAACATGAGCTCCCATTCGGCAAATATAAATCTGCATGCCGATTCGAAGTCCAAGTCGCTTATCACCTTCCCTTTGGTGCAGGGCATGGCCTTTGTGACAGCAATATATAACGGTGGCACGCCTGTTATTGAAACTGGGGTTCTTTTCAAAACCGTCACTAGGTCAGCCAAAGGCCCTCAGTCGGGTGTTACCAAGTACACGTTCCATCTTGACGACGGAAAAGTCTGGCATGTCTATGGATATTCTGAAAAAGGTGACCCTTTCGATCTCACGGTGCTCGACAACCGCGTGGCCAAGGCTGGCAAACCTTTCCGAGGGATTGTCCAGGTTGCAAAGGACCCTGAAAATGCTGAGTCGATAATAGATGCGGCTGCTGGAGCCTACCCTGTAGGAATGGTACTGTCTGGTACGTCCTCAGGGTCAAAGGGAACATACACCTTCCAATATCAGAAAGCCGGTTTCTCAAAAGTCAAATTGCTGATGTACGCTTTGCCACATCATTACGAATCTTTTGATACTGCTACCGCCAAAGCGACGTCCACGGTGAAATTGCAAACCACTACAAAGGGCATGGCAAAGGCAGTGGTTGCAGATTCATGGACGATGATCGAACCAAAAATGCCAGTTTCTATGGGCTTCGCTCCTTGGGATCCCATTCAAGGCCCTAAAGATAAACTCTCGGACTCCGCAACAAAAGCCATCACTCCCGTTGCGCTGAAAGAGCTGTCTCAGAATGTTGATCAACAGTCGAACCAAGATTCAATGTATTTCGGCGGCAAAGTAAGTGGTATTCCCAGCTACCACAATGCTTACACAATACTGAGTGAACTTAATTCTATAGGCTTTGGCCAAATTTGCCGCAATCTGCTTTACTGCGAACAACATGTTAAAAAACCCGAAGATGGCACAAGCCGGACTAGAAAAGCTGAAATCAGCCTTCGCGCGGTTCATTACTAACAAGCAGCAGTTCCCCCTTTACTATGAATGTGAGTGATCTTGATTGGGTGTCGAATAAGAAACCGGGCTAACAGGATGAAGCTGCCTGGGGTGGGCTTGTCTCTTCCGCTTCATATAAGACAGGGAACAATGGCGCTGACTTTGGCAATACATTCTACAACGATCATCATTTTCATTATGGCTACTTCATCTATGCGGCGGCGGTCATCGGGTACCTTGACCCCTCTTGGCTAACGAAAGAGAATGTCGAATATATCAACACATTGGTTAGAGATGTAGCCAACCCCTCCACTGCTGACAGGTATTTCCCCGTATCACGGAACTTTGACTGGTACCATGGTCATAGCTGGGCACATGGATTATACGAAACTCTTGATGGAAAGGTATGCGGGGAGCTCTACAAGTACTTACTACTGAACCATAGAGGCTGACCTCATGGAATAGGATCAAGAGTCAAGTTCAGAAGATGCTATGGCAGCCTATGCTATAAAGATGTGGGGAAGAACCATCAAAGACGCGAACATGGAGGCCCGGTAATTCTCACCACTCACTCTCTGCCACTTTCTTGTCACCAAGGAACAACTAACCAATGAATACTGACTTCTACATAGCGGCAATCTCATGCTATCGATCATTGCGCGCTCACTGAACCAATACTACCTCTATACAACGCAAAACAAAATACAGCCAGAAAAGTATATAGGCAACAGGGTAGCGGGGATTCTATTTGAGAACAAGTGCGACCACACGACGTATTTCGGGGCGAACATTGAGTACGTGCAAGGCATCCACATGCTCCCCTTGCTACCAAGCACGAAGTTCACGCGGCCGGCCGACTTCGTCAAGGAAGAGTGGGCAGCATTCTTCGACAAAGGTCGCGCGGACAAGGTCGAGGGTGGTTGGAAGAGCATCCTGTACGGAAATCTGGCCACCATCGACCCGAAGGCAGCGTGGACGTTCTTTACCGACAAGAGCTTCGACCCTGCTTGGCTGGATGGAGGCGCATCACTCACATGGTATCAGGCATATGCTGCTGGTAAGTTGTCCCGACAACAATTGTTGCTAATGATGTCCAATCCATCGGAGATGGGAGCTTTACTAATGCTGCGAGAAGCTTTCATGTGATAGGTGATAGGTGGTTGCTATGGCTGATCGCAGCGGATGATACTTCCCTTCGACGACGAACATCTTCGACATTACTTCAGCACATTATAGATTTTCTGTACGATCGAAAAATGATAACGGCAACGACGATAGACGACAAGGATATTATGACACGACCGCAGATGAATTGCTATTTTGCTATTTTGTTATAGACCGTAGTACATTGAGCAGGTGTCATCACAGAATGGACACATTGACATCGAGGATACCGGTACACCGAAGACGGCATTGGGATGGACTTGGAAATACTTAGACTTGCTTCTCATTTTCCCCTTTAGAGATATGTTACACCACAAAAGAAGACTTGAATACATAAACAGAACACTTACCCCTCACTTGCGTTCCCTACATACGTGTGTACATAGTATGGGCGGAATCAAAGTTCTTCATGTGCCCATTGCATGTTCTCTACCTTACTTAGTCAGTCGAACACTCCTACCTACTTAAATGACGTTATTGTTTTCGCTGCTTGGCTCGGTCTAGGCCCGCTTGGCGGGGAATCAGAGTGGTATTCCCCTTTGTTATCGATAGAGTATGCACTCTCGACTCAGTCAACTTAGGTGAGTATTTCGTATAGTAGGTGCCTATTTAGGTTAAGCGATGTTATTTCGTTATTTCGTTGCTAGGGTACATACCTGGATGTATGGATGTACTTAGTAGTATGTATGTCGCAGGGATGAGATTGCGCTGCCAAGATTACTGTACTACCTCAAGCGCGGCAGAGTGGGATTTGCTCCGTAAGTAACTCACCAGCTTTTAGTCGGAGGCCTCTCTTCCTCGCCCGACACAGCCACTCTTGGCGGGCATCTGGCACCGCTCCCTGTGGTGTGATAGACCGTCGCTACTCATATTCGCAAATGTGCAATTGTGACGGGATTCAAACTTGCTTTTTGATTTGTAGCACTCGAACTGCTCTACCTGGCATCCTGCATATGTGGCTCTTTGAAATACCCGAACACCATTGGCCAACACCCAATTGGAATCGCTTCATGTTTTCCTTCATAGATATGACGTTCGATGGACCCCGTACTTGGAAGCTCTTGGGTGTCAAGGCGGCCCAAGCTTAAGCTCCCCTGACATCTGAATTCAAGAATGCAAAAACTAGCCAGGCCAAGCTGCTCCGGAGAAAGATCCCTATGCCACGTTTTGCTGAATGCGTCAGAACCTTTTGAGACTAAACCCGAAGAGGGTTAGAGTGCGCAGGGATGGGGCAAAGCTTGTAGTGTGGGTACTTACCTATCACAGTGAGTTTGTGGTGACAAGCAGCGCAAAAGGTGCTCCCAGCCATCTGTCACCATTGGGTTGCGCTTACTTACAGTAGGTAGTGTAGGTGGGTACCTATGGAGCCAGGATGTACGGTAGATGGTCAGAGACTGGTCAGAGGTACAGGTACCTACATAGGTACCTTACCAAGAACTACTCGAGCTAAGAACCAAGAACATTACGGTAATCTACATACTCCTACTTCCAAGTATCCAAGTGGTCTCGTCATTGACATCACAGCTTGTGTTTCAGAACGCCTTTTCTGCGTCCTGGATACCTAGGTAGTGTGTTAGATAGCTAGTTAGTTCTGTTGCGAGACTACCAACAAGTTATTTCGAACCAGTCGCTACCTACTACTGTACATAACTAGGCGCCTACGTAGTTAGTTGATGGACATCATTTATCGTCGACCTTTCCTCTGCCAAGTCGCTTTATTCGACCCAACACTTCAACATCCCATCCATGACATACTAAGCAAGGAGCTGGATCATTGGTATGTACCGCTAGTCTTTTTATTGCCTATTTACCAAAGAAGCGCACCGCCTCGGATTATCTGCAATTCTACTACCTACGCTGCATACTTCGTAGTAGCTGTATACCAGGACTGACTGGGCAGGTACCGTAGTGCACCGGTAGTCCAGGAATCAGAACACGCGAGAGCGGTCAGTCAATTCCTCCTATCTGTCTCTACACCATCAGCTGCTCCTCCTGCTCAAGGTAGCCTGCTCCTTTGGCCCAGAACCAGAGCGGTGCCCCCCAAATCCCCCCCTCTTCGCGATTCAAGCACGCGCACACAGCCCTCTTTGCTGTTCCTTGGCCCGCTAATTGAAATTCCTATTACATGGTTGTTTCACTTTGGGCTGACGTGACAATAGCGTGAGAAGTAAGGATCAAGAACCTGAGCCCAAACAAGCAAAGCCCCCAAGACTCCGGCTGTGAAGCCCGTCACCAGGAACCTTAAAACATAATCTCCGGGGCCGCCTGTATCCTGTCTTACAGTGTTCGTCCCGAAGAATGGCTCATTGTAAGTACACCGGCGGCAAAATGCACTAAGTTCAATCTTGTCTCGAGCACACGCTTGCCCTTTTATCCCTATCACGCCGTTGTGGGCTAAGCTTTTATACTGCCCATCTCGAGTCTGCCTTCATCGTGCGCTTTGTTCTTCGAGAGGCATCGAGCGTTCTTTCTCTGTTCTCCCGTTTCAATTTAATTTCCGTCAATATCCCGCCGACTATGGTGTTGATCGCAACCGTTGTTTCAACGCTGTGTCGCCATTTCTCGTCAGCGCGTGTCGTCCGCTAATGATGTGATGCGATGGATCGCCAAACAGCCCTACCAAGTTTCCAGAACCAAATGCGTAAAGCCACTTGGGGTATGTTCGGCCACGATACCCAGGCTCGACACGATGGCAATGGAATGCCAGATGAGCGCACGCCTCTTGTAAACGGAAACGGCAGTTCGCCTTCCCAGAACGGTGGCGCGAAACACCGCGGTCTGGCATGGGAGTTCTTCTTCAATTCGAAGGATACACCTGGCTGCGACAGCCCAAAGCCGTGGGTAAAATACCCTGCGCATGTGTGGCATATCACAAAAGCCACGCTCCTGAGTAGTTCGTAACCCTTGAGACCCCGACAAGGCGATGTTTGCGTCATGGATGTGCTGATACTCCTCGGTCAGGCCCGGTCAATATCCTTCTTTTTGCCGTACCAATTGGTATCGTTGCAGGAAAGACGCACTGGGACCCCATAGCTGTCTTCGTGATAAATTTCTTCGCGATCATCCCGCTAGCTGCTGTGCTTTCTTTCGCCACGGAACAGATATCCGCCAAGTTAGGAGAAGCCTTAGGTGGACTTCTGAACGCAACTTTTGGAAATGCGGTTGAATTGATTGTGCGTGGAACCCAGTCTCGATTTTCCAGCCCGCGCTTGCTAATGGCATATTTTATAGGTTAGCATCATCGCACTCCGCGATCGCCAGATCGAAGTTGTGAAGTCGTCCATGATCGGTTCCATCCTCTCCAACCTGTTGCTAGTTATGGGCATGTGTTTCTTCTTTGGTGGTATTGTCAATATGAAAGACTCACAGAATCGGGGAATGGAACAAGAATTCGCGTCTATTACGGCTCAGACAACAGCATCCCTTATGACTCTGTCGGCTGCGTCCATAATTCTTCCTGGAGCTGTAGGGACCCTTCGCATACTCCCTTGATTGAATTGCGCTGACTTTTTGCCAGTTGTTCATGATCGTAATGAGGGGTGACAATGCGAAAGATGGACGAGAAATTACTCTGTCACTTTCGCGAGGCACTGCCATCATCCTCCTACTCATCTACGTCCTCTATCTCTGGTTCCAACTTCGGACACATCATAACCTATTTGGCAACGAGAATGCTGGTATAGAAGCTGGACCAGCGCAAATCGAGGGAGCAGAAGCAGAACAGGATGAAGCGAGGACGACCGACCCTGACGTAGCCGGGCACCATGGACAGCACAAGGAGTCCGAGGAGGAGGCAGTCATGAGTCCTTGGTCTGCCGGTGGTGTCTTGATCGTAACTACTATTCTGGTCGCCATCTGTGCTGATTACTTGGTTGAAAGCATTGACTCTCTCGTGGAGCGAGGTGGAATCAGTCGTAGCTTTATTGGTCTTATCCTCATTCCTATTGTTGGCAATGCTGCGGAACACGTCACGGCAGTGGTGGTCGCTATCAAAAACAAGATGGATCTTGTAAGTGTTGTTCCACATCAGCCATTTCTGGGGGTTGCGCTAATTGGCTCTAGGCAATGGGCGTTGCTATTGGCTCCAGTATCCAGATTGCTCTGTTTGTGACGCCGTTTTTGGTAGTTCTCGGCTGGATCATGGACCGCGACATGGATCTACATTTCGAGACCTGTAGGTACCCTCAAGCAAGATTTATGTTAGACCTGGCTAATACGCGTCCAGTTGAAACTGTTTCCTTTGGATTGGCTGTTCTGGTTGTCATCTACACAGTCCAAGATGGAAAGTCCAATTACCTTGAGGGTGCTATGGTATGTTGTTAGCTGATCCGTTGCTTGAGTTTTGTTGGCTAATATTCACTAGTTGATGAGTCTTTATGTCATCATCGCAATTGCATTCTTTGTAACGCCGAGCCGATATTTCGACGGCAATCAGATCGCCTCTGGAGAAGTGGTTACGACCACTCCTATTTAAGACCGTCACATGAATCAAGGTGTTGTCGTGAATCCTTTGATATTAGAGCTGGCGTATGCTGTTTTTCATGGGTTCCACAGCTCATAGAGAAATAAGGACTGCAGCTTAATTAAGTTGATAGTCTTCTCAATCACTACTAATTTTGTATGTCTACACTTGTAAAATAACTGGTTGCCTGGTTTGGCTATATGGTTTTCAAACAAAAGGGGATTCTGGTACATGGAATTGGCGCAACGGGGTGTGCTCGCTATATATCGGTAAGTAGGGATTGAATAAATATAGTAACCTAACGATTTCCATTATGTGGTTTTGAGAATTCAGAACAGCGCAGTCGAAACAGCTCGATCTAGCAATTGGTCTTTGGGAGCATTCCTCTCTTGGATGATTTGCACCAATATATAACAAGTAGACGTCTAGGGCACATATTGACGAAGGCTGAACACTAAGACTAAGGATCAACTTTATCCCAAGACCCACGACAGCTTCCGGAGTGGGGGTGGTGATGATGGCACAAGTCGAGCTATCGCGGGGCTGCGTGAACCTCCCGCGCGGGGTGATCCCGTAATTATATTGGTTCTCTTGGAGCTCTGGCCGTAGAAAATCGGTGCTCAATGTACATGCTCCAGGTTCTACCAAGACTTCGACTCTCATCTTCAGTGCTACGACCCTTTGCGCAGTCTGCATGTAAGTTCTATCTAAGCCAGTCAGCTCCTCTTATGGGTGTAGATATAGCTCGCTAAATTCACCAACGCAGACACACGTCGACACTTCGCGGCCATGGCGACGGCAACCGATACGAAGAACTATAAGTTCAATCACTCGATGTAAATACCATCATTGCCCACACAGGATTTCCAGCAAACAAATCGGGAAGTCGGGAGGCTAACGCGCGCCCGTGTGTGCTACCGTAGGCTTCGAGTAAAAGACCCCAAGGAGTCTCGTATGTCACTATAAAGCGAATCAATTCTCTCTTCACCATTGACTTGTGTCACTTCCTCATAGCCAAGCGAAATCTGCGGCTAATGACAAAATCATTTAACAGTCAAATTCTATGAGTTTCTGGGCATGACCCAGATCAAGAAGCTATCGTTCCCCGAAGCCAAGTTCGACCTTTACTTCCTAGCGTACGACGGGGCCTCGGCGGTGTCGCACGGCAACAGCACCTTCGACCGTGAGGGCGTGATCGAGCTGACGCACAACTACGGCACCGAGAATGACGAGAGCTTCACCGTCAACAACGGCAACAAGGAGCCGCACCGCGGCTTCGGCCACGTCTGCATCTCCGTCGACTACATCGAGGCGGCGTGCAAGCGCATCGAGGACGCCGGCTACAAATTCCAGAAGAAACTCACCGATGGGCGCATGAAGCATATCGCGTTTGCGCTGGACCCGGATGGATACTGGGTCGAGATCATCTCGCAGAGAAAGGGCTCCAAGGGCGCCGATGATCCCGAGGAGAAGAATGCGGCCACAGACCCGAGTACTTACCGCATGGTTCGTGATGATTTCAATTCTGCTGCTACGCTATTCCTCTCTCTCTCCCTTTGCCCTTTGGCACTTAACATATCCCACGCACGTCTTGCCTCAGCTTTACTAACTTTTCCCCGCTTCACTCGTCCCGTACAGAACCACACCATGATCCGCGTCAAAGACGCAGAGAAGTCTCTCAAGTTCTACCAGGAGACGCTCGGCATGACCCTCTTCCGCACTGTCGAACAGTCTGCCGCCGGGTTCAACCTGTATTTCCTCGGCTACCCGGGCGCCGAAGGCGTGTCCGGGGACGGATTCACGGCGCTCAAGGAGGGTCTGCTGGAGTTGACGTGGAATTACGGCACCGAGAAGGACGAGGGTTTCAGTTACCATAATGGAAATGACCAGCCGCAGGGCTTCGGGCATATCTGTGAGTTTTACAATTCTTTCTTTCGTTTCTCCGGTACCTTTTTTACTGCGTAGTTACATCCGAGTAAAGGGGGGCTTGATGCGGAAAGGATGGGACAACGCCGTGTTAGTATTCTAGCTGACGGACTTCCACAGGTGTCTCTGTCGACAACCTCGATGCCGCATGCGAACGATTTGAGAACGCCAAGGTGAACTGGAAGAAGAGGCTCACAGATGGTCGGATGAAGAACGTTGCGTTCCTGCTGGACCCGGATGGGTATTGGGTAGAGATCGTACAGAACGAACGGTTCGCTGGTAAGGATAACTTCTAAGGCATTTTCTGTGTCTTTTCTTTCTTAATCTCCTGGGAGCATAGTTCTGCCTCAAGTTAGGAAAATTGATCATCGAGAATTTCAATCGTCTCAACTTTGATGCTTCGAATATTCAAAGGGCATTGGATATGTAATCGCTCGCTCGAAAATGAATTAGGGGTGAAGGAATATAGGGCCGAAATCACAGTTTGAATCATATTTTGTCAGGCTCCGAGTATTAAGAACATGGTCGATGCTCATGACTTGGATTACTAGCCATCCGAGATACTATCAAAGTCGATACGTCATGAAATTGTTTGTCCATGATTGGAAAGAGGCTACGACATTGTCGCATATCATAAGCGGGACTTTCGCTCGCATTACCCCGTTAATGCGTAGACATTCGGAATAATCGTTTTAATTCTCGCTCTCTTTGCATCGTCTAATGGCTCATCTCACCTCATAACTTCCCATAGCCGCAAGCCATAGCCTTGAGATAAAGAAATGAGAGCTGAGGCGGTTTACTGGAGGTTCCTTTTTTGTGTCTGTGTTCCTTTGCAATCAGTTAATTCAACCTACTTGATTGATTAGATTTTGAAAAGTATCCTTCTTCATTATCTAGTTTGTGGGTACTGCTTCGCGCATTTACATGAGTTGCCGATATGTTGGCCGCATAAGGTGTATCGTCGCTAGCTGACAAGAATGTGAGGACTCTAAAATGAATTGACTAATCTAGGTTTCTTAAGATGTACTATCTTGCGCATTTGATCTGAATAGCTCTTCCTTATTCACGTTCTCTCTTTCGTGACGTCTAATCCTATTTAAGACTATTTGGCAACGCTCGCTAGCATCGCCAAGTAAAACCTGGTGACGGGCTGCATCCAATGTTCCAGATTCTTGAAAAACTACCAAACTTGATTAAACACGAAATACAAGACGAGCCCGATAGATCGCCGTGGATACAATTCTACGTTTCTAATTTATGGGATATTCCGCCGGCGGGAAGCCACTGTCAAGCTAATCCAACCCGACGAGAACTCGAGAGCTTGGGCAGACTTAGTCGCCAGAGCAAAGTATATATTCAAGACTTATATTGATCGACATATGTCGAAACTGGGTGCCCCTGCGAGAATACCTTAGTAGGCTAATTCGCTACAGTCTAAATGCTTTGAATCCTACCTCAGACCGTCCATCGGGTGCGGTCCAGAGGCGGATGTGTGTCCCCGGATGAGGTGTCGCGTTTTACTGCCTTGCCTAACCTACCATGGAAACGGAAATGCTGCAATCCGCGGGGTAAGATGCTGCACGGGTTCTGCATTAGTACCTAAATCTCGTGGGGGAGGGGAAGTTGGAGAGGGGTTCTTGCGTGTCTGTCTCAAGCCTCAGTCTCTAGTCCCCGTTGTCTCCAGAACGTGATTGGGTATGTGCCTTGGCGATGACCTCGCGAGGGCAGTCTTCGCATGGCGAGATCCAACCAACAGAGCGCCCGTCTCTGACGTACAGCACAGCAAACAGCGCATGCGAGTCTAGCCCTTATTTCCTATGCTATGTATGGCTTCACGGTCATCTGCTCACCTGCATCTGGAGGCGGTTCTGTGTTTTTGTATCCTGTCTGGGATGGATTTTGGCGCGGTCGACTGGATTTGCCGGATCTATTTCAGTGTGGAAGGGCGATCTCCATTGGTTGTGCTTTATCCTGCCATCTCGCCTCTGCTTGCTTATTGTGGCCGACGTCAGTTGGTGCCGTTCTCAGATTGCGCATGCATTCCTGCGGAGAGGAATGTCAAGTAGCCTACTAAGAGACAGTAATACGTAGGGGAGCAACAGTGTGTAATATCAACATGTCATAATCGTCCTTCCTGCTCCCTGAAGATCCGTTCTTTGTCCAGTGTCTGTTGAGTTAGTGAACTTTTGTCCTCATTGAGCTACAACGACGCAAGCTCGTGTCTTTGTCTCTCCTCACTCCTCACTGGTCTTCAATTCCTGTGCTCTCTAGCTATGTCACCCGGGAATCGAGATCTGATACAATCTAGAACGCGACTTCAGGCCATTTAAAACCAAATTAAATCACGAAGCAAAGGCTCGCATACCCCTTTCCCGTCTCTGCTTTATTGCTTCTCTCCAAGTCTACCTTCAAACGATTGGTCAGCTGGCAAAACCAACGCTTCAAACCTTCTTAGTAAAGCGTTGTTGCACGAATAAGGGCAAGGAAAATGGTTACTGTGGCTAATCCCAAGCCCCGTATCCTAGTACCTGAGAAGGTATCCGTGGATGGGCTAGCCCTTCTCTCTGAAGACTATGAGGTCGACTCGCGTCCGCAGGGCTTGTCCCCGGAGGAATTGCTCACACTAATCCCCCAAAGTATGTTTCCCTCCTACTTTGGCATTACTGAAGTCTAATAAAGTAGTCGACGCTCTTATCGTGCGTTCTGAGACGAAAGTGACGGCTGAGGTGCTCAGCGCAGCGGGATCTCGTTTGCGCGTCGTGGCCCGGGCAGGTGTTGGCGTCGACAATATCAATGTAGAGGCCGCAACGGCTGGAGGCATCATTGTCGTAAATTCGCCAGCCGGTAACATCGTCGCTGCAGCGGAACACACAGTCGCTTTACTGTTAGCTACGGCGAGGAACGTCGGGCGTGCAGATCGTACGACGAAAGAAGGACGGTGGGAGAGAGGCAAGCTTGTTGGTGTCGAGGTCGGCCGTAAAACTCTGGGAATTGTGGGATTGGGAAAGGTTGGAATGAAGGTTGCAAGGAGTAAGTACAATTTGACTTGCGATCTATTGATTTCCTCTCGATTTAGAGTAGTGAATGACTTAATGTCGGCGCTATGGGGGTTGACGCGCAGCACGCACCCGCAGACCTTTGGGGGTTCCCATCTCATCATAAGAATTCCAACCCATATTGAAACTGTTTTATAGTGTGCATCGGATTGGGTATGAAGGTCATCGCATTTGACCCATATGCCAACCCAGACCTCGCACGACAAACCGGTGTCGAGCGCCTGGTTCCGCGGTTGCAGGATATGCTTCCAGAAGTCGACTTCATGACAATCCACACGCCACTCTTAGCATCAACACTGGACCTAATTGGAGAGGCCGAATTCAAGCTTATGAAACCGACCGCGCGCGTGCTGAATGTTGCTCGCGGCGGTGTGTACAATGAGGCGGCGTTACTAGACGCACTAAACAAAGGCACGATCGCGGGCGCTGGACTAGATGTCTTCACAAAAGAGCCGCCGGATGAGAATACGCCTGCTTGGGAGTTGCTCCGTCACGAGAAAGTCGTTGCGACGCCACATCTTGGAGCTAGTACAGTGGAAGCCCAAGAGAACGTCGCCGTTGACGTATGTACGCAAGTTGCGGCAGTGCTGCGGGGGGAACTGCCTACGTCGGCTGTCAATGCACCTCTTATCCTCCCTGAAGAATACCGAGCTCTAAAACCCTATGCAAAACTGATCGAGCGCATGGGGGGACTATATACGCAGCACTTCGTTTCTCCTCTCTCAAGGAGTGTGGGAGTCGGGGCCGGGCATTTTGAGCTAGTCTATCACGGTGACCTAGCTGGTGTGTCGAACTCACGCCCCTTGCTCGCAGCTCTCATCAGGGGCTTGGTATCGCCATTCTCAGACACTGCGGGCAGACACGTGAACATTGTTAATGCCATGGCCGTGGCTCGCGAGAAGGGGATTATCATTCGTGAGATACACGCGCACAGCGGAGCAGGAGGTGGCAAGGAGAACTCAGTATATGCGAGTTCTGTAACCCTGAGGGCTGTCGCTACTGAAGACGAGAAGCTAAATCACGAGAAGACTGAAAATATCAACATCGGAAGACAGGTGATCGAGGGATACGTTTCCGCAAATAACGTATATATCTCCCGACTCGGTCGCTTCAGCGCCAACTTTATACCTGAAGGGACATTGCTGATTCTACATAATTTCGACGAGCCTGGGAAGATTGGCGGCGTGGGCTCTGTGCTTGGGCGTCATGGCATCAACATTCGGTTCATGCAAGTTGCAAGTCTAGACTTGGAACGGTCGAAAGCTGGGCAGGATGGGACTAAAGACCTAGAGAGGAAACAGCCTGATCTTAATGCCCCCAATGGCAACGATGACTCCCAACAAGCCCAAGCCTCTGTCTCGGAAGGGGGTTCAAAGAAAAAGGGGGATGAAGCGCTCATGATTTTAGGTGTAGGTGGGGACGTCACAAAACAAGTGATGGAGGACCTGCGTACGGCCGAAGGTATCTTAAATGTGAGTTTGGTCCAGCTGTGATTGCTGGGAGGTCTGAAAAGGGTACCTTCACGTTTGCTAGACTAGCACTTTTCGAAGTAATCTCTAGTTAGAATCTTACAAAATATTTCATGTCCCTAGATTACATATATTACGCCTGAATTATGATTTGTGGAAGGCTTGAATACCTGATCTAGTAACTGCCTGTGCACCACGCAGACGCCCTACTATGATTTATTAGTATCGAACAGAACTATTCCATAGCTGTGCATTGCCAACTGTCTCACAACACCATTCAATAACGCTATGTTTCTGGCTACCTCGGCAGAAAAGATGATGGAAGGAGCGAAAAAGTGAAAATGCACATAGTAGGAAAGTTCACATGTGGCTGCTAGGTTATTCTCTAGATCAGTATTATCAGTGCTCCTCAGATGGCTCGCATATGCGTCAACGAAATAGGGGCTAAGCCGTTTGATTCTCCTGTTCCCGAATCCTACTCTGTTCGTTTTCACTCTTCTCTCTCTCCTTCTGTCTGAAGAATACTAACATGCCAATATCGTATAGAGCTTTCAAAGAGCCGGATAACAAGAACGAAACCCAAAACAAGTTGTGGTCGACAAGGGTGCCAGTAATGGTGGGACCGAGGCTCGAAGCAGCGGTCTTAACCACGTTCAGCGTCCCCATTACCGCTGTCCGCTCTTCGGGGAGTACGAGGGTTGCAATCAATGCGGATCGTGGCGCGGTGCTCATATAATTCGTTGACGCATGTAGTATATAGAGTAAAAGCGCGACATGCATATTGTTAGGCAACCCGATTACAGCCCGGAAAAATTGAGAAGGAAGGTGTGTTAAGACCATCGTCTATCGGCGTTAGAGATTTAAGCGCAAACAAGGTAGGGTCTAAGGTAATTTAATAGAATTAGACAAGATAGAGGAAGCGTACCTTGACATTACCCAAACGTTTTGAAATAGATGAAGCTACAATCATGGACATTGCAGCTAGAATCTGTGACACAAAGAATATGCTGCCCAATTGGCCCTTTTCCACATCGAATCGCCATTGGAAGTAGTATGTGGTCCAAGATCTGACAGCAAGGTCAGTTAGCTCGTTCTGGGTTGCGGACCATGAGTGAGAGAGATCCTAATTGTCTCTTACAGAGGAATTACGCTCGACCCAAAAGCATTGAGGCCATAAAGAAAGCACAGAACTATGACAATAGGCGCACTGTCTCTGCTGATATTAGGGAGAAGTACTCGGAGCCCCCCTTTTGGTTCAGCTTCTGAGGGGACTGCCTGATCCCTGTCTCCAGGTTCGCCATTCAATAGAGGCGTCGTTTCATCTCTTCGCATTGGGGTCTGTATTTTCTTCTGCTGTCGCTTTTCCGACTCGATGGAATGAGACAATATGAGAGTCAGACAGAGCATGAATACGCCTATAGCACCGTATACGAGAAAAATAGTACGATACGATTTCATCAGATCCCAGTGGAGAGTTTCGGTGAGGAGCTGTAAGACCCAACCGGATATCATAAGACCTGAAGCGGCGCCGGCCAATCCACATAGATTATACCAGGCATATAGATCGCTTCGAATGTCAGGTACAGTGAGGTGTGCAATGATACTTTCTTCAATGGCGCGGAAAGGGCCAATTTCGTTACCACTATACTCTATAATCAGAAAGGCCGTCATAAATAAACCTGCTCGGTATAGAGCCCGAGATTACGCTTGGATGAGAAACAAGCAGTTCCTTGCTTACTTAGGGCTAATGACACCCACTATGGCCGCAATAAGCAAGATCCAGTACGTGCCGAACAAGGCAAAGACGGCACCGCTAGCAGCCATGAGTAAAGCCCCAAGAGCGAGCGTGGCCTTGCGTCCTAGGGCGTCGGCGAACAAGGTCAGGAAGAAGCTGATGCATGTGTCCCCCACAAGTGTCAGTGTCATGAAAAATCCAATCTCCGTCTTGTTGTTGCCCAAGGCATCTAAGTAGGCGACGAGAATCAGTGTCGATAAGCCGTACCCTACCGCACGCACATACCGCTGCGCACATAGTAGCTTGACGTCGCGCGGAGAGTTCCATAGAGCGATGAGGCCGAGCTCCGAGAGCACGCTGTTTGCAATGGATTTCTTCTGAACAGGCAGCGCTCTTGCTGGATCGAAATCAACAGTATCATCTGACATGGCGACTAGATATTCTACGCCAGACGCTTCGATTCCTCGTGTTGGAAGTGCTGATTTGTAACAGTGCACCCTGAAGATTACCTACCTATGTAGGTAGGTAGGTAGTCAAGCGGTGCTGAGGTTATGTTCAGGGAGGAACGGTATGCTTTTATACCTAAATTAACTACCTAAGTAAGGTTAGGTAGTGTCCGGGGTATTTCGTCAACGAGATCGGCGGAAGGAGGCCCCTAGGGCCCGGCTGCCGTAACGCAAGCGTTGAGACCTGTCTTCCTCAAAAGCCTCTGAAGAAATGTCAGATTCTAGGAGAGGCAGGTCAGCAAATTGTCAGCTTCGTGTTTCATATAAGCATGTGCGCTGCATCTCGTGCAATATTCTGGGTATCTTTCCCACTTAACTTGCACCCTGTCGAAGCCCCGGATCTACCCGGACACCCCACGGGCTTCTTGAATATATTCAAACTCATCGCCGCAGTTAAGCACGTAGTACCATAGCCATCGGAAATCTCCCGTATACAGAGCGGTATGAGCGCCAACTTAATCGTTAGGCTGATGACGACCAGCGAATTCTCAGTGTTGTATGGCATCTCCTTCCGCCTCTCTTCGAGGTACCTGGGAAGGTAAATTCCTTTGCGACTTATAAGAGCAAACATCGGGGAGCTCTACTAGTCGAAAGTCTAACTAACCACTCTTTCTGCTTATGATTTTACACTCGTTAGTACAATCAGTGAGTGCAGTCATCATGACAGATGCTCAGATGTGCTACTGGCTTCATATCGAGCGAATCCCCTCATATTCCCAAGTTTTCTTCCTGGCGTAAATAGGGCTTGTTTGCTCAACTGTCTCACTTGATCAATCTCGATCTTTAAAATAACAAACACCAAACACGCTTTAAGACGCCTTCGCTATTTAGTCCTTATCCACACTCAGACATCATTCTATGTGACTAATCTCTACGCAAATGTCTGTTAGTCGAAGTCTGGCTTGGTCTGGCATCTCGCCTTCGTGTACGTCTGCGGCGTATCTAATACTGAAAGAGACCAGCACTAGCTCGACCCTGTGATTAGATCAGTGGCTCATTCATCTAATGCGTAGATTATGTAACACCTAAATCTTGCGATGCAGATCTCGATGCTGGTGTGTTGCACTACATAAGAGATAACTTAGACAGACCAAGATAAGTGAGGCGGCGAATACATGTTTGAATGTCGGTACATAGCGGATCAAAATGACGAGGTACCCTACAATGCCTCAATTATGGGGGCAAACCATTGAAGACCGGCAGTCATTGGTTCAGGATCCAAGGCTGTTCCCACCACAAGATACTTACTAGTACCTAGGTAATGATAGAGACAGGTATCGGGTAGCAAGTCAAGGGTGTGTGCTAGTTCATTGCAGTGCCTGATTGATTATGGAAGTTTCTAGTAATGTGATTTTCTAATCAACAGGTGGTCTAGATATACCCGTGGGCAATCCTGATAGAGCGAACACAATAATAGGAGCTGTTAGGTGCAGACATGATCATGCTCGATGCTGTCGCCTTACCTGGGTAGCTGAGCCATTGACTTCCCACCTTGACAGCCGGTTGCAGCTGTCCGTGGCTCGCTGTGCTGCTTTATGAGAGCCAAGATTAAAATTGGCAGTTGCGGTCAATACTTAAGGAGCGACTCAGAAGTCATAATGAATACACATGTTTTCATATATTTCTGACATTAGGTGGAGGGCCCTCTCTCTTCTCATTCTTTTAATATCGGTGGTAATTTGGTGGACCTTAGAGCTACGCCGAGAAGCGATGGCCGAAGCCCCTGTTCTCCCCCCCAGCAACCTGGAGGAGCAGGTGGCCGCTACTATGCTCTCATGGCACTCCTTAGAGCTCACAGCCCTCAAAAAGGTCCAGTCACTATGGGCAGGGTACGGCCACGTCTGTGAAGTGACGGCGCGTGCCAAAACAGCAAGTGCAGCTAGTCTCATGCGCGAACAGTACGGAGATATCGGCCAGGTGGACAGTACCGGCAAGGAGACGTATGCGCTTATCCTCAAGCTCATTTCTCCACCCTCTGGAGCGGAAGACGAGGGTCACTTACGCAAGATCATGAGCTATGAGGCCGAGCAAAATTTCTACGGCTCTGTTGCGCTACGACTGGGGACCGATCTGCCCATGGCACGCTCTATTTCTGCTACACAGGGAAAGCCTGGTTCGGACACTCCCGAGGGCCTCGCTGCCATTCTCATGACGGATTTGCGATCCAAATATCCGGTGGCCGGGGAGAAGCGGGCTGTACTTAATGAAACACAGGTGTATGCCGCGTTGAAATGGCTATCTGAATTTCACAAAAGGTCGCGGGGAATGCAATTACGCTTACCCTTGCAGGAGCTGTTTCTGCCACCTCTCGAGGAAGCAGAGAGGAGACGTCGAGGCGAGCCTCCTGGTAGCTTGATATGGCTAAACGGGGGCTATACATATCTTGCCACAAGGCGGAGTGAATACGCCACTCTTGCTGCTGACTTGTCGTCTGAATGGTCGTCAGCGCTTTGCGAGCCTCTTGAGCTTTCAGGGCACTCTATCGCGGAAATGGTGGCTGCTGTCTTGACGCCGCGTGGACGTGACCATGAAAGCCTCATCCATGGTGACGTGAAGTCCGAGAACCTGTTTACCACACAGTCTGGCACCGAAGTCGCATTCTATGATTTTCAATATGTAGGCTTTGGGTTGGGTGTGTGTGACTTGGCTAAGTTATTCACATGCTCAGTGCCAATACACATGCTAATAGAGGATGATGGATCTGTCGAGCTGCCCATGAGAGAGGGCGAGAGGCGTTTGCTAGAGCGATATCGCACTAACCTGCTTGATGGAAGCGGCAAGACATATGATTGGGACACTTTCGTGCGGCATTGGGAAACTGCGCTTGTTGATTGGCTGAGATTCCAAGCCTCATGGGGATTCTGGGGAAATACAGAGTGGCTCGAGGCTCGTGTCCGGTCGATACTGAAAGACGAAGGCTGGAAATCTTGGTTGTATGAACAACAGAACCTTATAGACCAAGAAACGGGCTTATTGTCCCCAAATTAGATATAATCGTGTCACGGCGAAAGACGGCCACATTAGTGCTGCAAATGAGCCACAAGCGGAAGACAGCAAACTTTTCATTGATTCCATGTTTGGTTCTGCCTAGACAGGGCGGAAGATTCGTACATTCTGGGTATAAATCGGAAAGGTGTTTCAAAATCACGTGTGCCATCCCATCGCCACGACGCCTAACAGTAAGTAAAACGACAATGAATTAAATACAACTTAAGCTTTCCACTCATCCCGCCCTAATCTGACGATATCACGTTGCTCAAGAACCCAGTAATCACTCGGGGCCTTGCCTTCGGAGGCCAGGATCGCAGCCTTGACAGCAGCGCGCGCGACAACCTCGTCCTCCTGCGCGAATGTATCCTGCGCACCTTGGCCTAGATATCTCTTCATACCGCGGAACACTGTTTCGAGAAGAGGGCCACCAGTATGAGTGACGTCTCGCTCGCCCATGAGAAAACCTGGGCGGAGGATGATGGCCTGCTTGAAGCCGAGTGACTTGATCGTGTCCTCCACCCCGATCTTCATCTTAGAGTAGGGAGCTACGTTGCTCAGTAGCCCACGTGTTCCCGCGGACGACACGAATACGAACGTCTGGGTTCCGGCGGCATGGGCTGCCTTTGCCAGCTCGACATTCACTGTGAGGGTGATGCATAAGTACTTGTGATGTTATTTCTTGCGGCTACCAATCGAATGGATGCTTACGGTCATGGTCGATTTTCCACTGGTTCTGTATTCCACCCGCCTGAGCCCTCGTCGCTATAAGAGTCTAGGTGTCAGAACTTCTTATCACAACAGGAATGTGTATTTTGGATGCTCATAAGAGACACGGGAGCAGCAGAAGCTTCTGCGAAGGAGGTATATGAAAGGGTTGGGGACTCGTACTGCCCAGCGCCGAATACACTGTCTGCGGGATTGGAGAAAGCGCTGCGAATCTAGACGCCCACTTCGCGGTGTCGGTTTCAATAGCGGCGTCGAGTTTCGGGGACGATTCAGTCTTGGGGGCACGGCGGGAAATGGTAGACACGGTCTCGCATGCGTCGATGTTAAGGAGGGTTTTGAGGATTTGATGGCCGACGAGACCAGTACAGCCGATGACGCAGGCGTTGGACGTCATTGTGTGCTGTCTTTCAACGGTATGGTACCTAGCGTTGTACGTCGAATGACTCTGCTGGAAAAGAAGGGTCGTGTGTGAAGCGGTCGCAAGTGATGGGAGAGCGGGCCAACGGGCAAATTTACAGCCTATGGACGTAGAGCAAAGCCGGATCGCAATGGTAGCGGGGAGGTTTGAGAGAAAGAGCTGTTGTATAATATACTGCCTTTGTCGCAATGCAGGCAGGCAACATTTGCATGTGAATTAGCTCTACTATTAGCCTATTACTAATGCCCTTGCTAACCCCGGATTCTGCCCAGCTTCCGGCATACTTTCTTTGGGAGCGCGCCAATGCTCTGACGTTTCCAGGAATTCCGAGATCAGGTTACATACTGTACATAGGTAATTAAAGAGAAGTAACGGACATTTTTCTGGGAGCTGATTTTTGTGTGTTTCTTTTTACACGAATACCTCGATCTGGCTTCATTAGGAGGGTTGGATGGAACTGTATGGATAGGTCTTTGTGCTGAGATTTCATGGCACTCCACTAGATGTTTTGACATCTATGAATCAAGCTTAATATGGTACTAAGAATAGATTACAATACTGTAAAACTTGGACCGTTACTCATGGCCGATTCATTAACTCCACCTGTCTTGGATAAGAGAGCATCTGCAATTCTGATTTTGCGTGAATGAGAATGTCTAGGGTTGGTAGCCGCAGAAACTGGGCGGCGGAGCTGATGATCTTACTCATCGAACGGCCTAGATATCATATGAGACCCAAGAGATAGTGTGCAGATTAATGGTAGTAGAGAGTTCAATGAACAAGAAAATTCATTTGTGAATATGCCACTTGAAAGATCTTCTGCCATACACGTCGCGGCTGAAGTAGAGAATATAGTATAGATGTTTTCAGAAAAGATGAAATATCAACGCATCGGCGTATCAGCATAGCCCACGGCTCCCTGGGAGTAGCAACTCATCTTATCAGACTCGATCACAGTACAAATGGGTAACCTCGCCGGCAATGATTGAGCGATTTCTCGATCAAGGAACGGAGTCTGTTGAAGCAACTCAAATCGGTTCAGAGCCTGTTCGAATACGTTATTAAAAATGCCAATCTGAAGTGGATTATGCACCATCTCGAGAAAATCAAGAACTCCGCTTTTAATGGCAAAGCTGGGTGAGATGCACAATACATCATCCATTGCACCCACGAGTCAGAGGTTAATTCATAGCTATGCCCCAGTGCGGAAAGGTTGCTGTCAACAGTGTGGTTCACCATGAGGATCCGTAAATGCATTTTGGTGACCAGAAAAACCGAGACGACTCCAACAAGACTCGCAAACGATAAACGTGCAGCTCGTATGTTAACACAGTAGTGCTCATCTTTACCTAGAAATATAGACTACCTGCAGTAAGTGAGCTGAAAACAGACAGAAAAGTCGTATGAGATATATTGGAGTGTGGACTCTAGTATCCTTTTTATACATATGCCGACGCCGTTTATACAGAATATGTCCGATCGCAAGATGGCTGCTTGCTTCTCTAATTTATAGGTTAATAATAGTCACTTGAAAACAAGCCCATACCCCTATTTTGCTGTTGAGTTTGCCGTCTAATACACGCCAATATTTATGACGTTCCGTTTGCACCGAGTTTTCCCTCCGTCTTCTCGAGGTAAATAACGAGATCCTCGATGGTGCAGACTTTTAGATTCCACTTTCTTGCGAATGCAATGCAACCCTCACCCCTCATCATGCCCGGGTCTCGCCGTATTGCCTGTCCAGCAACTTCTTCGCCGTCGTCGACGATCTCACCTATAGCAGCGGCCTCGGCCTTGCCGGCTAAGCGACAGAAGTCAATGGCGGCTTCAGTATGGCCCCTCCGTGCCCTAACGCCCCCTGAAACCGCGCGAAGCGGTAGAATGTGTCCAGGGCGGCGGAAGCTTGCGGCCGTCGCAGTCGGATCAGCCAAGCGTCTGACGGCCAAGGCGCGGTCATAGGGGCCGATACCGGTGGTGACGGATGGGTCGGCGGCGTCAATCGAGATCGTGTAGGCAGTACCGCGAGGATCCTGACTATTGGGGACCATCTGTGGCAGCTCGAGGTATTCAGTACGTTCGGGTGGAATGGGTGCGCAGACGTAGCCCGACGAGTACCGGACCATGAAGGCCATCTTCTCAGCGGTGCAGTCTTGGGCGGCAATGATGAGGTCGCCTTCATTTTCTCGGCCAGGATCATCCATGACTACGATAAATTCGCCATTGCCTACACGGAATGATCGTTGTTAGCATTGGCGGGCGAGGAAGAGAACAGCGGCAGCGCAAGACATGTGTACACAAAGAAACGTACGGAAAGCAGCGACTGTGTCCGGTATGCTGTCGAACTTGTTGTGATCAATTGATGCGGAAGGCATATCTATAGTTTTATCTCGAGTCAAAAAATTTATGATATCCTTCTTCAATTGGCCTTCAATGCCTTTTTCATCTAGCAAGAGGAAAGTCTAGAGAGTTGGGATGCCGCTCGCACTACTGGAGGTCGCGTAGGAAGGCTAGAGGCAGTGGAGGATAAGCTGTGAGGGAGGTATATGGAGAACTGGGGCGTAGCGACTATTATATTTTACGGCTGTAATCTCAATAAAAGGTTTATTGTATTTTGGCGATTCTTGCAATGTGTTCAAAACAAACGAGCAAGGTAAAAGGTAAGATGCGAAAATGCGAATCCGTCGGATGCTGACTGGGAAAAGGGTCCTAGTCAGTACCTTCACCGAGTCGTCCGCGGGGCTGTTTGCCCCACGGCCCAGAGGGGAGATGCGTCACAATAGCGTAAGCTACAGCGACTCTGAGCGCATTAGCGCTCAAAGCTGCTGCATGCGTGACTGGCCGCTGACAAACACCAGAGCCGCCATATGTATCAGAGCTTTGTGACCAAGCGGAGAGCTCCTCGGCCCTCGGGGATCGGTATTACCACCTGATTCAACGTAAAGCTTACTTAGGCTATGTACATAGTAGACGGTACCTAGGTAGTAGGTAGTAGGTTCGTTAGCTAGTACGGTAGACTGAGTATCAGGTGGTGTTCTAGAACAATTCTAGCGCACGCCCATGAACCTGTATCCTAGCGCGCACTTTGACAGGGTGCCGGTACTTTTGGGCCAAGAGGCGGTTTATCGGGCAATTCGGCTTCGATATCCAGTGTAGTAGCATTTTTCTCGAGTTTACTCCGGGCTCACCGAGGGAGGGACAGCAACAATAGACATGGAGGCACATCCAAGACACCACCTCCGAACGGTGCGTCGCGTTGCCCGGCAAGGATATTTGCTTAGACCAAGCAAACGAATATCGAGGCGATTCACGTCAATACGGCCCTGCGTCGCAACAGACAATCACTCATCCAGCAGCACAAGGCCTCCTCGTCTTACACCAATAACACCCGCATCATCATTTACTAGGATACCGATCCTCCGTTCCTTTACATCGACGTCCAAATTCCACGTGGCCGAAACGTCTGGTTCGAGCCCGGCCGACCCAGCTTTCACGACCGTTTCACCTGACGAGGTCGCTCATTTCAATGCGCTCGCCTCGTCGTGGTGGGATCCCCAGGGTCCCTCTCGCATACTGCATCTTATGAACCCTTTACGTCATGATTTTATACGCCAATGCCGAGCCTCTGTTCCTGATGCCCCCTCCGACTCTTATCCATCAACGGGGCTACGATATCTCGACATTGGATGCGGTGGCGGTATTTTTGCCGAGTCCGCAGCGCGGCTCGCCTCGACGTCATCCGTAACTGCGATTGATCCGAGCCCAGAGGTTCTTAACATCGCAAAGGCGCATGCACGGCGCGACCCCGCTCTTGCTTCCAAGCTGCAGTACCAAAACACGTCAATCGAGGCTCTCCCTCAGCCCGCAAACCCACAGCAAGATGGATACGATATAGTTTCTGTCTTCGAGGTGGTGGAGCATGTTGCGAACCCAGCGGCATTCTTGGACCGTGTTGCGCCGTTTGTGCGTCCGGGCGGCTGGCTTGTGCTTAGCACGATCGCCCGGACTTGGACAAGTTGGCTAACGACAAATGTGATTGCCGAGGACTTGCTACGCATCGTTCCGCGAGGTACGCACGATTGGAACAAGTACATTAACGAAGATGAGCTACGCCACCATTTCCTCCAAAGTAGAACTGGTTGGGCCGAACCGAGGATAATGGGCGTGATTTATATACCGGGAGTTGGATGGAAGGAGGTCAGTGGAAGCGAGAAGATCGGGAATTACTTCTTTGCTGTCAGAAGACTCCCGGAATAGGCATCACTTATCGTGATGTCACTTAACTTGACCTTTGACGAGTTACTACGCGCGTCGAAATGTACCATACATACTCTATGATGGTTGTGTGAGGTAGCGTTGTATACCAGCTTCTAAATCTTGAATATACCCCCGAAATCATCCATTTCGAAACATTGCCACCAGCATGCTACTTCGTACTCGTGGACACGCCATAGACCAATGTGAGAGATCCCTCGCTATTAAGGATGCGTGCTCCTCCATTTCATATCCCGGGCTATCGACATATCAACTGGCCACAGAACCCGAAGGAGGCCATGTTTGAATGATATCTTATTCGCCCCAGGCCCATCTAGCATCTATCGGTTTCAGGTCATATCATGAAGCGTGCACGGGAGAATACAATTACTGATACCATTAGGAGTATTGGTCAATTTAGGCTTGTTCTATAGGCCACCGCTCGCCCAACCTTCTTGATCTGCTCTGTATTCTCGTTCCATTTCAAAGGATTTATAAGGGTGACATGTTTAAGGGCGAGGTATGTCTGGATCGGTAATCCGCCAAATATTCCCAACCCTGATAACCATATGGGCAGTAAACAATCTGGAGCAAATCTCGGTGTGGCCTCACGTTCCAAAGATATGGCGCCATAGAGCGAACTTCTCCATTCAGGGTACCTCTGACGATCAATGCATTCAACCCGCAGTCCAGATAAGCGGTGAGTGGGGTATTGTTGCATGGGCGAGATACGGGTGGGCGATCATATAAGATAGTCCACGACCCCCAGATAGGCATGCATAGACATTCTATGTGCTTGACTACAACCGCGCGGCCCAACTGGAGTTATTCAATGGAAATTATGAGGCCATCTTCCGATGGAATCGACACAGAGAAGCGGTCGGCAGGCTCTCTAAAAGTTGACGATGTTGCGACTGCAAGCGAGGGGTCGCATGAAATGACACTTGCCGACAACGGCAATGTTATTGACGATGGACTACAGCGTGGGCTGAAGAGCCGGCATCTGGTGCGGGTTTAATTACTTTATGATTCTCGATCAACGATCATTGGACTGACCTGAACTGCAACCATAGCAAATGATCGCCTTCGGCGGTATTGTTGGTGCCTCGATATGGTATGGAACAGTACGGAAGCCTAAGTCTTGTATTATTTGTTGTCATAACGTTTCTTCACTCCCACATGCTCGCCTTATACACGCATAACTGCTGCAACTATCATAGGAGGGGAGAATTACTGACACCAAAATTCATGTAGGGCTCTGCTATTGCATATAGTGGCCCCGTCGGCGCCTTGATCAGCTTCATCATTATCGGCGTGGACGTCTTCTTCGTGATGCAGAGCCTAGGCGAGATGTCCACGCTGTTTCCCGTGCAGGGCGCTTTCATTGAACTAGCCGGCCGCTTCATTGACCCAGCATTCGGCTTCAGCCTCGGTTGGAACTACTGGTATCAATGGGTGACGAACATTGCTAACGACTATAATAACATCTCCCTGGTCCTAGGATTCTGGGCGACGCCCGTTCCGTCTTATGGGTGGATTTTGATCTTCTGGGCTTTGTTCCAGGCCACCTCCCTACTCGGGATTGTTTTCTACGGCGAGATGGAGTTCTGGCTGGCGGCGTGGAAGCTGTTTACTGTCCTCGGCGGATTCCTAGTCGCTATTTTGGTCAACACTGGGGCTATAGGAGGAGAGTACATTGGCTTCAGATACTGGAGAGACCCGGGTGTCATTGCCCATGGGATCAATGGATTCGGCAAAACCTTTGTTCTTGCAGCCGTTTACTACTCGGGAACAGAAATGCTAGCCATGACCGCGGCTGAGAGCAAAGACCCAAAGCGGGATCTCCCAAGCGCTATTCGACAAACCTTTTGGCGGATTCTCATCATCTTCATCGGCTTGGTATTCTTTGCTGGCATCATAGTTCCCTATAACAACTCAGACCTTCTCACCGCAACCAGCAAAGCAGCACTATCTCCTTGGACTATAGCATTGGTGAATGCGGGATGGGGCGGCGCAGGAAATCTGCTTAATGTTGTGATGATTACAGCGCAGTTCAGCTCTGTGAACAGCGCTATCTATATTGCCTCGAGAAGTCTAGTTGCTCTTGCACAGCAGGGACGTGCGCCACGGTTTTTCGCACACACGAGCAAAAACGGCGTTCCGGTCAGGGCTATCGTGTTTTCTAACACTCTCGGACTTCTTGCTCTGCTAAATGTCGCGTCGAGTCCTGGTAAAGTCTTCGGCTATCTTATCAGCATTTCAGGGGCCGCAACATTTGTAGCGTGGGCATTCATCGGAATCACGCACTTGCGGATCCGTAAAGCATGGGCTCTCCAAGGGTACAGCGTCGACGATTTACCTTACAAAGCTGTGTTTCATCCCTATGGCACCTGGTTTGTGGTGCTCCTGAATATCTTTCTCGTTTTTATCTCGGGATATTCAGTCTTCATTGCAGGATTCGCAGCTGTGGATTTTGTCTTCGATTATATCGTGCTTGTTATCTTCACTTTGCTATACCTTTCCTGGAAAATCTTTAAGAAAACTAAGATTGTTTCCTTGGCTGAGGTTGATCTTGTGACAGGAAGGCGAGAACATTTGGGTACCGGCCTGACTAATTCAGATGGTGGGGGTGCTAGCAAGAAAATGAGGTTGCCGTGGTACATCGTCATCAAGAGATTATTGACCGGTTAGTCTAGGGATTTATGATGACCTAATATTCAAGTGAAATGACACCTTCCCTGCAGACACAGTGATGCATCCTCTAATACTTCAAATCACTTCGCCAGTACTCCTTTCCCCTTTCTTACTGTTGTCGATTGCCTCTATAAGACTTTTATCAGCTCATCACGAGTTGCCATTACCTGCCTCCATAGCCCTGCCCATGAGATTCTTTCGATCTGATCATTGAGTATGGGCTAGTCAAACCGGTACTGCGCGTAGTTACTACTAACACATGCTTACGCCCACTTCGGCCGTTCTTATGCCGGTCCCGTGAGGAAATCTAAGATGTATAGGGCTAGAGGGTCCTCGTGTTCGATCATAATGCACGTCAAACTTTAGCAAAGACTGGCGAAAGGCCTTCTTGAAAGAGACAAGGGGCGTTAGCGATGCTCTCTCAGTCATCAGGAGAAGACTTGGCTGCCGCGCCAAGTAATCCATAGGTAGGTAAAAGCAGCCATTCTTATATGACTCTTCCTATAAATAGTCAGACTAAAGCGCTTAACTACGGTTTCAGAATAATTGAGTATGTTACCTTGCATGATCGAGCTATAAAAACTCGCTCTACCTATAAAGTAGCAACAGTAACCAGCAGTCAACCTTCCTATTAAGAACAACGCTACACAGACTTAGTGGAACGCAAGTGCCGTCTAGCGCACGCGGGGTGCGGATGGTTCCCGCATCTAAGGCTGAACACTACTCCTGGTGTTGGCGAAGTTATGTTATTTTTGGGTCAAGTGGTGTCACAGGAAGCGGCTACATTAGAGCAAAGTATTTAAATTACAGACTTTTCCTCTCTAGCCATAATACTTCAGTGCCTTATCCAGCTTCTCACTCATCTTTGACAATCATATCTTTGAAGAAAGCATCATGGCAAAGTCTATCATGAAATTCCTGGCACTGCCAGCCCTTCTTGCTGGTGCCGCGCAGGCCTTGACCTTCACCAACAACATCCCGGTTGATAGTTACTACAAGGTTGGGTCCGAGTTTACATTGGAATGGCTCCCGGAGACGAGAACCGACTCTTTCCGCCTAGAGGTGTCGTCATTCCTAGCTGAACCGATTCTTGTATCGCCCAGTGGCGGTCCGCTCGGCTCGCCAATTTACGACTACAAGTCGCAGACCATTCTTCTTGACGGTTAGTTCTTATCTTGTTGTCTTTGTGGTCTCGAGGTTTCCCTAACCGCATAATTTCTGGCTAGATGCTGTCAAGTTCACCGATGGTAGCTACACGTGGGTGATCGAAAAAATAGACGGTCGCACTGGTGGAGATTGGTTTTACGGCTTTTCGGCATCTTGGGAATACGGAGGTTCAAGCCCACGATCTTTCCACCTGGAAGCTTAAAAGTCATCTATGGGATGTCTAGGAGAACTGGATCATAAGCAGTGATGCTGTACAAAAAGATAGAACATTATACAAGTCAAGCAATGGAATTTGTACTATTATCACGCTATCTGTAATAGGCCTTGTGCTCGAATGGGGACAAGGTTTTGATACTGACATCAGAGTAAACTAAGGGGAGCGCGTTTACTACCTATTTCACACAGGTGTTCGTAACCGCCGCCGTGCCTAGTCTTCTACAAGGGATTGCCCAGTGCCAGGAACCCAGCATACGGTAAGGCAATGACTTCTATTGTTGCGCAAGGGTCCTTCTAAACTTATTGCGGGCAAAGCTGAACCTATAAACAGGAAGAGTATCTTTGTTGTCTTGCAGATTTGTGAAACCCGTCGCGTTCTTCTTGCTACTCGAAGACTATCCCTTTGAATACCACGAACGCTCCAATCCTGCCAAGACTTTAAATGTCCAATCAGAATTTCTTGTACTTGTATCTCACTTAAACATATAATCACGGGTACGAATTAATACATCAGTTTTAGTGTCGTCTTAAGAGGGATTTAAGTATCAGTTATGCTGATCTGTTACACGTGTAACCTCTGTACCGGTTGAAGAATGCAGTTCGCCTTACGCTTCGGCCGTACGAAGGACCATTGCAGGCTGTTCATGACCTTCTAAGACATGCAGGCAATATTGGGCAATATTGGAAAGTAAGGTTATACAGACTTCGCTTCTTGAAACAAACCTTAGAGACCCAGGCGGTTTGGGCTGGCAGATCATTTATATATAGAATCTCCTTAAGCTACCAATAGCCGAGAAGGAGTTGGTTGGTTAAGGATTAATGCAGCCCTAGTTCATTATTGTTAGCGCCGCCCACCGACCAAGTATTATTTTATTTGATTGCTAAATAACTTGATCAGTTAAAACAAGATAAGACCTTTTAAATTATTTCACAAACCAAAACAGATTTTTGTACTTGACTCCTTTAATTGCAATTAATTGCAAGTAATCTTTTGATTTTTCTGTTTTTTTTTTACAGGGTTTAGGCATTAGAAAGTTGTTGTTGAAGGCTTCGAAGGTTGGAAGGTTGTATATAGGTGACTGACCTAACCTAACCTACCAACCTATAACAAGGGCAGTTGAACTGGGCTTGGAACTGAGGATTCTGATTACAATGATCAACTAGGGCTGCATTAGTCCTTAACCAACTAACTCCTTCTTAGCTGTTGGTAGCTTGAGATAACTTTATATATAAATGATCTACCAGCCTAAACCGCCTAGGTCTCTAAGGTCTATTTTAAGAAGCGAAGTCTATATAACCTTACTTTCCAATATAGCCCAATATTGCCTGCATGTTTTGGAAGGTTATGAACAGCCTGCAATAGTCCTTCGTACGGCCGAAGTGTAAGGCGAACTGCATTCTTCAACCGGTACAGAGGTTACACGTGTAACACAACCTAACCTGACCTGACCCCTAACCTGACCCTTGACCTGACCTAACCTACCTAACCTACCACCTTAAGTGTAGTACGTGTTGCGTAAGGGGGCGTCAACGCGTAAGGCGCCTGGGACGTTTGGGTAGCTGGCACCGTGATTAGCTATAAGGGTAAGCTGTTTCCGTACTTTCCAAACTACTCCGTGCGGGCTAATAACGACCTATAAGGCTACTTCGGTTTATTTGGATTACTTGGTGACCAGTTACAGTCAAGCCAAATACAGATTCTAGCCAAGTAGGTCAAATAAGGCCAAAAATGGGCTCAAATCAGAGAAAACAAGATAAAGACAAATTGCTTGACTTGTTTTGACTGTGTGCAGCGCTGATCATTGTAATCAGAATCCTCAGTTCCTAGCCCAGTTCATCTGCCCTTGTTATATGATCCACTAATAGGGACTGCAAGAGACATAGCACGTGATAAGACTGGGTCAGCAATATATTGGAGCGTTCATGGTATTTAAAGGGATAGTCGGACAGAAAAGTCTTCAAAGCCCTGTCCATCATTATACAATTTTGTAGCAGGACCATCTGGTTCATGGTATAACGAATAATAACAAAATTCTAACCAAAATGTAGTGCTGAAAATCTTGAGGTTCAAAGCCATCAATACATAAATCATTAGTGATAGAGCGTTTACAATTAGCTCAACAAGATTCCATCCACGTGAATCTTGCCAGAGGAGATTCGGCTTGAAACTAGGGTCTGAGTGTGAGATAGACGAGGCACACAACCCTGTTTTCGTTGGCCCTTACACCGTTTATGTCTACAGTTTTTTAGACCATTTTGAAAATGGGAAAATAGTTGCTAACCAAGGGATAATCGACCGAATAAGAATATTTAGCAGATTTTCAAAGATTTATGTGATTATATACAGACTGTTTAATCTTAGAAATCGCCAGGCTTCGTCACAATGTTAAATGACTACAGCGTCTATTTATCGAATGCACACGTGGGCCTATAAAACATTCTATCACTACTATTACTCCGGTGTGGACGATCTCTCTAATTATCTTAAGAGCTGGGAGAACCTCTTCATTACATTAATAGAAACGAGCCCTTCAGTCTAAGAAGAAACTTATATTACTTATTCTGCTAATCAGACTGAATCTTTATATTAGACCTTTAACCCTTTGCTATTCCTATTACTGATTACCTAATGCATCGCGCATTGACCTTACTATTGGTTTTTAAGCGAGTACCGAGCTTGTGAAACTGCGAGCTAACGTATTAAGCCTTTGAGATGAGACCTAAGGAGATGATATCTTATATACGCTTTAATATCGAATATTTAGACGCGAAAGAACAAAAAAGGTATTTCACCGAGCAAAAAGTTACACCCAGACCATCGAGACATAGGCACACAGCAGGTAGACTTTGGCATCTTATTTAATTCTAACAATCATCATAGTTGTCTAGTTTCTGTTGTTGGGAGGTCTTACTCTAGACCAATGTCGATCGCTGCTAATAAGAATTCCATAAAGCCTGCATTGGTTTCTTGAAGGTTGCTCGTGTACTGAGCTGCCGTGGGATAGAAGGGGCACGAAGCTTGGTTGTTTCCAAAGCCAAACTCCACGGTGTAAGCATACACCTTGTTCTTCGTAGGGTCAGCGATGTGACGGGAGAATGCATAGTCGTCACTAGCGCCAGAGGTAGGGTACAAGTACGCGGATTGCATGACTGTGTATGTCCTGCCCGTTGAGGTGGACATGGCGTTCCCAAAGCGCGTGCCTGCAGTCTTGACGTTGTTCAAATCCCCCGTCGAGATATACTCGCCGTACCTGGTGGTCGTCGAATCTGACGTGATGCCGCGGATGCTGTTATAGGTTGAATTAAGAAAGTTCTTATATGGGTCCGCGCTCTGGTCGGTATCACTTCCCCAGCTGTAAAGAACATCGCCAGCGTACGAGTGAAGGTCGATGAACCATCTCACTTTGGGGTAAGTGTCCAAAACATACTTCATGCTCTGGGTCTCAGGCTCCGAGAAGGCAGCGGTGCCGTGAAATACTTCGGATGAGGGACTAGAGGAAGCCACGCTGCTGGCAACACTAGGAGCCCACTTGCTCAGATCCCAAGCGAAGTCAAAGTTGCGGTTTAGGTCGATGCCAACAGTGGCAGCACTGCTGGAGGCACTCTTGCGGTTGCGGTTCTTGCGCCAGCAGCTGTTCGTCTGCTGATCATAATTGACGCCATCTGGATTGATCAGGGGCGTAACAACGATGCCTGCGCTCAGAGCCTTGACCACGTCGGCATTGGTATATGTTTTCTTGCCGTACGTTAGACCCGTTTTGTGCTTCTGAGCATACAACAGGTCCGAGATAAAGTACAGGATACTATCATGCGAGCCACGCTCACGGGCACTAGGGTGTTTTCAGTCAGTTCGCGCTTCTTGATTGCCAATCCAGAGCGCTTAAGGGGTCATGGAACTTTCTAGCGTCTGGGCTTGCCTTGAGAAGCCCCTAATCTCAAGAGACAGGGTGAAAATAAGAAGAACCTGAAACTACTTACTGGATGGCGCCGTTCAGGTAGACATGGTAGGTACCTGAACCACCTATCTTCGCCCCTGTGATTGTCCGGCCTTCATAGGTTTTGTATGGGCTACTAAAGAGCTCAATGCCGTACTCCTTTACTAAACCCTGCAATCCTGTCGAGACTTCATTGATGTTGAGGATAGTGCTCATATCCGTGGCATTTCCACTACCAATGCCGCGTGGGAATGAGTTTCCATTACTGAAGCGGTCACCTGTGCCGACCGCTTTCCCGCTGTTACCCTGGCGACGGTTCAGTCTGTGAACCGAGCCACCAGCACGCTCCTCGGGAAGCAAGCACGAGCTGGCAAGGCCAGTCAGCAGCAAGAGGTTGCTCGCCTGTAATAACTTCATTATCAATGCTTGACAGCAGAGAGAGTACTAGAAGCAGAAGAAGGAAGAAATCGAGCAGATGAGAAATTGCCGCGAGCTCTTCTATGTATACTGCGTTTCTCTAGCAAATAACCCTGTCACCGATGTTGCTTCGGCGTCGGCTGAGCTTAATTGGGCAACTAGATTTGGCCCTGGGCGGTTATGAACGTTGCACCATCCCCTTCAGGCAGGTCGAGTTCCGTTCGCCTAGAAGCTTGGCGTGAGATAACCCGCAATAGTACTAGACCAGCATACGCGATATCAGCATATTGCCATTGTACAAAGCAATAAGAATATGCGTATCCCGGTATTATGCTGAGCTTATATTAACCCGTCTCGAGGGCTTCAATCCCGTTCGCGGAAATGCACCGACATCATAAAAACTCGGTAAGAACGTAAAAAGCGTTGAGCATAAATACTGCCTTTCCTTGAGGACAGGTTCGTATTCGAGTTTTTCGCTCATATTGTATTGTCAATCTTGCATGTTCTCGAACCTTGATACCATTCATGAAGAGTTGCGAGATAGATCAGGCACCGAAAGCGCAGCTAACTAATCAATGCGTATGTTTATCTACGGAATTTGGACTATTCTCAAGTTGCTACCAATTACTCCCCAGATGCCCTTTAAACTCAAACTCTATCCTAATATCCTGTAGCATGGGTTGTCTTATTTGTTTAGATCTCTACCAGGGTAGATCTTTCCCCTTTATCCCTTCATAATGATTGTATATTTTGAGTCCTGAAGCTGTATATTCGCCGAAGATGGCCTGGGCATTATCATTATAAATCCAGATCATTCTAGGGTTGTTGTAAGGGCTCATTGTAGGAAAGTAACCAACTCCCCTTAAGTGATACCCAAGCGATAGTCTATATGAACCACTTAGTCAGTAACTTCTTCAAGCGTTGCACCACGTGGCAATTTTTGTAAAACAGGTTCCTCAAAAATATAGCATGACTTACTCTATATCCACTGTCTTACCCCATTCACTTAGTATCAAGCTGAGGAGATCCACACTGAAATTACCAGTCTCCGAAAGCTCTTCCTCAGAGAAAAATGGGTCAAGATCCCCCGTAGCTCTGATCTGTCTGTATATCATAAGTAGATCATCTGGTGTCGGAAGGCTATTCAAGTTATACGAGACGCCATTGATTGTTGGGTTTAGGCCTAGTTGGTGTCGTAAACTATCTGCGATCGCATATAAGCCGCATCGTAGTGAATCATCTGCTCCCACATTAGGTATCCGAATGCAGCCATTTGGGAAGGTGCTGCTGAACACGCCCTGCATTCCTAGAGCAATTGGGTTACTCCCACTGCTGGGCGCTGCCTTGCTTATAATCTGTGATGCTTGGAGTGCCGACTTGCTCGCGACGGACAGCTTCACTGGCGAGAATTTTCCTGGGGAAGGCACAGGTGGTAACTGTGATGAAAACGGTGGGTTCCCCAGAGATGGCGAACCTTGGGAAGGCGAAGAACTCTCTGACGGTGAAGAACTACTTGGCGGGTTTGGCGGATTTGGTGAAGACCCCGGTGGTTCTGATGAATCTGATGAATTCGGCGTATCTGATGGTTCTGGCGGTGGAGGGGGAGGGGAATGGAGCCAGTGATCTATCCACTTCCTGATAAATTCATCAGTCTCTTCCGGAAATTCTTCTTGAACTTTCTCCTCTGCCTCTTTCAGCAGCTCTTCCAAAGTTGGTCTATCGTCGGGTTTATGGTACACTTGTAAGAGCTGTTAGCTAATAGTATTTACTATATTCTACTTTCTCTCCAAGTTTTACTTACTGCATTTGAAGACTGTCTCTCTTAGAGCTTTGTCAACCCAATCATAATCATGTACATCTGGATTTAGCAACAGAGCACAATAAGAAATTTTGAAGTCGGCATATTTTGGGTCTTGAAGTATAGCGTCGTAATCTATTTGTCCTTGTAGAATATGAGGTAGGTTTTGTGGCGGTTGAGGTGTTGGCGGAAGGGGTCCTTGATATTTGACAATCAGCTCCCACATTGACTATAATAACATGTTAGTATTACCAGGCGGTCTTTTGGTAAAACTGCAACTGGAAATGATAGGAATATCCAAGGATAGAGCTGATTATTTAGAGTCTAATGCGCTCGGGAACATAATCTTGCCCACCATGGAAAGTTGCGTCGAGTGCCTGAATTTACTCGCGTACGTAGTATCAATTGCCAAGGGAAAGTCTATTGATTGTATACATACCAGACCGATGCTCCAAATGTTAGTTTTATTACTTAAATATCCGCAGGTTCTTGAATTAGCGAGGTAATCTCCGTCTGGGCCCTCTTCTACAGGAACTTTCTCCCATTCCATTCCGAATATCTCCTAGAACTTCTGGTTAAATATCTTATTGGTAGGTGAGCACCGAAGGGAACTTACGGGAGGGACTTCCCCGGCCTTATTTGCAATTCGGTTGTGTAAATAATACATACTATCGGAAATAATTAAGCTTGATGGCCAAAATGATCACTCCATTTCGTTTTGACACTTACTTTGTCTTTTCTCGCTTAATGCATTTTGCGAGTCCGAAGTCTGCCAGCTAGGGTTCCATAACGTCAGTTTTCGTCTCTGTTAACTACGAGAGCATTGTCAAACCCTACTTTTAGCCTCGGTATGAGTTCATGCTCTTGTTTGAGACGATCCGGCCGTTTCCCCGTGTGTTGTAGATATGCTCTAGCAGCCGGATTTTTCTGTGTATCTTGCCAATATTTCAAAGCCGGCGCATCCAGCTCAAATCCGCTGATGAAGACTTTTTCAACAGTCAGCATGTGTTATGGAGTCTTAGATGGACAGACAAACTGTTTTGTGGGTCAAGATCTCGGTGTACTAGATTCTGTCTTCTTTCCCTTATCCAGTCACGGGATGGATCTCCTGACGGATTAGGGATGTTTTCAACCAAATCCCCCCCAAGTGCTTCACGTTCGGCCTCTATATCGGCCTGCTTATTTCGGTCGGCTAGGATTCCTAGTCTCCTTAACTCACGGAACATGCCAGAAGCCCTTGCTTTAGCTTCCAGAGGCTCTTTTCTCAGAGGATGGAATTTCCGTGGAGGATATTCCATCGCTACACAAGCCCTAACCACTATATCTTTGTGAGAATGTTGACTGATTTGATGCTCGTTGGTTTCGTGGTACTAATACTTACGACAAAGCCAAAACCCCCAAAGGACTCGATTTGGTACCCTCGCTAACTTTATGTCATTCGGTTTGGCTTCGATGAGGTTATCTATCAAATTTGCGAGACTGCCGTTGTGCATATATTCCATGATAATGTACTCTTTTCTTTCGCCTGATATATACTCCTCTGCAAGCATCTTTTCTATCTCTCTTTCTCGAGCTTGCTTTCTCTTTTTTTTCCTCCTCCAGTATAGAGCGTTACGGGACTTCCGCTTCAGTATTCGATGCCTTCGTCGGACTTCTCTGAAGTTCGAACTATCATTTCCGCTTGATTCTTCATCTGCACTTGAATCATAGTCTTCATATCTCATGAAGTATGGTCGGTGCGGAAGCTTTCCGATGTCTTGAGGGTCAATAGCCTGAATACAATGCGCAGAGCCCTTAACTTTCTAGTCGTTTTGAGGCTTGTTAGCGAAATAGAGGTTGTGGAGTTTCACTAGCCACGCGGCTTACCCTTAACACTGTGGTTATCACTGTCAGCACTCTTGATCTGGAGCGCACTTTGTGTTAATTGAAGCGAAAGGATCTCATAGGTAGGGTTTCAGCTCGAAGAGCTATGTGCACAAAATGAAGAATGCCAGAATAAGAGAAGGAGGCTCGACAGTCTGGTTGTCTCTTACTTTCTCTCTCGTGGTCGAGCTGACCAGATTGCCAACCTTTGAGAGCAATCTTAACAACAAAGTCTCGTCCCGGGTCATCAGTATTGGAAGGTCCACGGTCTTTATAATGGGCAGCCAAGCCATTGCCTCCCACACCCAGGATCCTCTGGAAAACACAGCGCTGCTCCCCAAAGTAGGCGATGAGCTCGTCCTTTCGTCGAGCGGCACTAGTTTGAGAGCCATTCGTATCACTGCCAACCGTGTAATCCTCTGGGTTCCACCTCTTGTTATCGAAGAAGCGCAAAGTATTAGGATTTGGCAGTGGACGAGGGCTTTGTACAACATACTTATCGTACAATTGCCTATACGATGGGCTTCTTGGATTTAGACTTGTATTATCATCGCCATCTATCCGGTATCTCCTATAGACTTCGTTGGACACTCTCAGCCGTACTTCGAAAGAATTGAGGTCAGGAACCCCGGCCATGGTGGCAATGCACTTTCCGTGAAAGTCGTATCCCGCGAATCAGGCGGCACAAGAATCAGAAGAAAAGAGTTCGTAGTAGTGGGTTCTCTATTCGGTGCGGTGTTGGTTTCGCTTGGGCTCGCAACAAAGCAACAAAGAACTTAACTGAAACCGACATATGTTCGTCATGGTGATTTCCTAAAACAGCACTCAGCTCCCAATTCGGTCGGTTTAGTTGGGATCACGCGTAGAACGACCTCGTGTCGTCTCTTATCATTGTTCATTGGTTTTTTACTTCGTTTTCTTTCTGTACCTACTTCCTAGGCTGACAGAGTCAGCTTGTAATAGCACAAATATCGCCATAGAAGGTGGTCACACAGTAGTAAGTACCTCTAGGTAGGTAAATTAGGTAGATATTTAGGTAGCTGACGTGTACCTTTACCTACTTAAGCAGGCACTGTAAAGCCCACTAACGCAGCCACTATAGTACCTAGGTAGGTAGGTAGGTAGGTACGGTAGTGTTAGTACGTTACCAGCATCATGCCAATATCTTGAGGGCGGAACGCCACGATTTCCAGATTAGAGAGGCCTTAGCCAGGACCGATTTAAGAAGACATACAGCGCTCTCAACTGGCTGTTTCCCATAAAAGCTGTATACCGATAACGGGGTCAACGACGACAGCGCGAGGCTCGATTGTCTCATTGGTCGCCCTGGCGCTTATCTCCATCATATGTAGGTATGTATGAATATGGTTTCCAGGGGTCGATGACTAGGTACGCATATCGCTGAGTCGCCGAGTCGACAAAGATTGAAAACAACTTACACATAATGAGTAGGTAGTTAGGGAGGCTTATCATTTATGAATAGTACCTATCGGCTCTTCTGAGTTTAGAGCGAAGAACCCCGCATTTTGTATTCATACCCGAGATACCATACCCAAGTACCTTGAGGAAGAATGCTTGCTCGGACTTGGAAGGTGGGTGTTATTGATAAGAGGACCGAATAGGATGGAGCAGATTTCGGGATTGCTATCAGCGAACCCCATCCCGTCTTGAGACTTTTAAGAACTGGCCAGGTCTATCCATGCTGGGGTAGATCGCGGTTCTTTTGGGCTATAAGATAACAACTCTCCTACACACCTACCATAGACGAGGAACAATGGATTCGCTAGACATCAGTTGCCTCTAACTCTCGACAATATGAGGCTTCAATTCAAGGGAGTAAGGTTTGAGCAAGATGCGAGCTTAAGCTCGGCGGAAGACAGCCAACCGAATTCGGCGAGGGAGCAACAAGGGACAATAGATGTCAGAGAAGTAGCAGCTGATCTGGAAAAGATCAAGCGGGCACACCAGTGGGATCCCAATCTCCCGAAGGGCAAGCTCGATGCCATCGACTATGCGGTCAAGGACGGTGATGCGAAAGAGATGGTGGAGGCCGATATACTCCTCACAGAAGACTCGCCTTATGAAGAAGTTCGCGTCGCTGTTCGCAACTTTGACGGTGGGGAGGCTGCCAATACAATACGGGCTTGGGTCATTGGCATGTTCTTCGTCACTCTTGCGAGTGGCTCGAACATGTTCCTCTCTATGAGAAGTCCAGCCATCAGTACGCATTCTACAAGGCTGAGCCCCCCTTCGCCTTGAATTATCCAAGCTCCTCTTCTCCCAGAACTTCATTTAAAGGGCAAGACCCGTTACCGCAAGTGTGATTCCTGACGCCTAAACTCGCATAGATTTCCCTTCTATTGTCGTCCTCTTGTTGTCATATCCGGTGGGACGTCTTTGGGCTGCTACCATGCCGATGAGGGTGTTCAATACATTTGGTATCAAGTGGACACTTAACACGGGGCCATTCACTGTTAAAGAGCATGTGGTCATCACAATGATGGCGCACGTTTCGATTGGCTATGCGTACAGCACTGATGCCTTGCTGGCACTCCAGGGCAAGCCATTTTACGATGTGAACTTCGGTTGGGGATTTGCCTTGATATTCACGCTCAGTTCGCAGCTTATAGGTATTTCAATAGCTGGGATGTTTCGGCGTTTCTTGATATGGCCATCAGCTATGATGTGGCCCAATCAATTTTCCAAGACGACTCTCTTCAATGCATTACACGATAAGAATAAGAACGACGATGTCGACTCGAATGGATGGAAGATCAGCCAATACCGATACTTTTTTTACGTTGTGATGGGGATGTTTGTCTATTACTGGATACCGGGTGTGATCTGGCAGGGACTTTCCGTATTCGCCTTCGTTACTTGGATCAGGCCGAATAATGTGGTGTTGAATCAGCTTTTTGGCGGCTATACTGGCCTTTCACTCATACCGATCACGTTCGACTGGACGTACGTTACGGCATACCTCGAGGATCCACTGCTAGCACCAACTCATTCTCATGTAAATACGCTGCTTGGCCTGTTCCTTCTCGTGATCATTCCTACGATAGGTATAACTTATTCTGGCGTGCTGTGAGCTCTCACCCTTTCATGTGAAGAAGACAGAAAAAAGGATGCTAACAGAAACCCAGATATTCTGACTATATACCAATGGTAACAAGCCAGACGTACGATAATACTCAGTCTGCCTACACAGTTCAGAATATCCTTGGGGATAACTTCACCTTTGACATAGAGAAGTACAAACACTATTCACCCCTATTTCTGTCACCGTCATTAGCTTTGAACTACGGGCTTTCCTTCGCAGCCTTGACAGCCTCTCTTGTCCACGCGGGGCTATTCCATGGCAAGGAAATTTGGTATCGACTCAACTCAGCGCGTAACCAAGAGCCTGATATCCATATGAAATTGATGAAAAAATACGCAGATGCGCCTGACTGGTGGTATCTTGCGCTGTTATTGATCTCAGTTGCTCTTGGTCTCGGCACTGCTCTTGGGTACGATACCCAACTTCCTTGGTGGACTTTTCTCATTTCTGTTCTATTGGCTCTTATCTTTGTGGTCCCTACAGGAATGATCCTAGCCATCTCCAACATATTGTTGTCCCTCAACGTCGTCTCCCCATTCATCGCGGGTTTCATTATCCCCGGGAAGCCTATCGGCGTCATGGTCTTCAAAGTTTTCAGCGTAATTACTCTTGGTCAAGCTCAGGTATATAGTGGCGACCTTAAGCTAGGACATTATATGAAGGTACCACCTAAGATTACATTCTGGTGTCAAATCGTTGCTACTATCTGGGCTGTGTTCGTGCAGATAGCGGTTATGAATTGGACGCTTGGGAATATACCTGAAGCTTGCTCGCTGTAAGTAAGCCCCATTGTTTACTTATATCTGTCACTCGCCATACCTAGTCTAATACACGAGCTTCACTAGCACCCAAGCCTCTCATTTTACCTGTCCTAACGGCCGGGCATTTTTCTCATCGTCAATCGTATGGGGCGTCATCGGCCCTCAGAGAATGTTCGGCCCAGGCTCGCTCTACGTCAACTTCAACTGGTTCTGGCTGATTGGCGGCGCATTGCCAGTCGTTCTCTGGGTACTGGTGCGCAAGCTGCGCATCGATTTCGCGCGCCATTTCAACGCGCCAATATTGCTTGGGGCAATGGCGTGGTTGCCTCCAGCGACACCGCTATCTTTCTCTAGTTGGGCAATTGTCGGGTTGGTATTTAATTACTTCATACGAAAACGTTACCACAATTGGTGGCGTAAATATAATTACATCACTGCTGCCGGTTTGGATGCGGGACTCATTATCGCCACGATCATTATCTTTTTCGCTATCACACTGCCAAACGTGACAATTCCGCAGTGGTGGGGAAACGTCGACATCTACAAAACTCTTGTACGTATTTTATGAGAAAACGCTAGGCTCGAATACTGATCAGCTCGTCTAGGATGCTTCTTATTCAGCCGTACTGAAGACAGTTCCGGAGGGAGGAACATTTGGGCCAGCAACTTGGTAACCCAAACTTGATTGGATTGAAGAATAACCCTGATGACTGGAGAGAACCTGGTCAGAACTTAAATACCTAGCCCTAATCTTGTCAGCGAATATGGTGATCCAAAGAAAAGTGGGAGATAGATAATATCAGAACTATTACAACCGTAGCAAGTATTTAGGGTGGATTGTAGACGCCTGTACACCACGCACGCAGATTGTTGGGTGAATTAGAGTTATGAACAAGGCCTACTACTGTGATTATTGCTTATTTTGAAAATACCGAGTATCCGGAAGATTATGATTCGTAAGTGGATAGTGAAATAGTCCTGTGCTATGAATGTTTTGAGGTTAGGAGATATCGCCATGGAGCATGTTTAAGGAAGTGCAGGCTATCCTCCAAACAATGAGGCTGTCTTATCCTGTTCCTGTCTAGCTATAGGATACCGTAGTCTCACTATAGCTACAAAGTGAAGTCATGCCAATGTCTTATCGTCAATATCATTCGGGTGTCGCCGTCGTTCGTTCTCTCCGAAGCTGTGGAGGGGGCAATTATCAACGACCCCTGAGCTTCTGTTGTGAACCCCCCCGCCCCACGATTTTAGCAGACATGGATCCCCGCTAACCCCACTGAGATCCTCTGCCGATTTGGGTGGATATAGTTGGTCGAGACGTCGCGAGTCTAACCTACTGTACAAGTTTGTTACAGGACTCTTGGGAAAACTCACTATTGTGTTACATCCACGCAAATTCTTTCCTTCATAATAGCATCGCATCGCTGTGGCCATTCTACGAATACAGGCCGCTGTAACGCTCAGATTTGCTATTTTCACTTTTGCTTGACCCCATTCCTCTCTGTGGCTTCCCCAATTCACCACCTCTACAATTTTAATCGAGATGGATGACCAATTCAATGGCCGAACGGATGATGATCTGTTTGCCGATGACTTCGAGCCCGTGAGCGAGTCGATTCCAGCGCCTATCCCAGAGCCGCAACCAAAAGCTCCTGTCGACTCATCTCAAGATCCAGCAACTGAAGCCCAGCCTGCAACTGCCCCTAAATTGATTCAGCCCTCACAGCCGAGTCCGGCCACCAACGCCCCAAGGACATTAGCACACTCGCGACACGCGAAACCTGCACATCAGCAGCGACCGCGAAAACACTCTCCCAAGAAAGCCGCCCCGTCGACGACAAATACTGCACCATCCGATACAGGTGATGCACCAAACTCGAGCGAGACTCCTGTCACCTCTAGCCCCGCTCTAGCGGCTACCACTGTACGCCCCGGCTCAAATACGGCTCTCGCTGACCGCCTAGCTTCCGGCGCGAACCCCCGTACGAAGCTCTCCGAGTCTGAGCTTGCCGAGAAAATGGAACGTATGCGTATCTTGTCTGCGGAAAAGGCGCGCAAATTTGAACAGGCAGAACAGGATAGTCGCTCGCACGCTCTCGCCTATGAGAAGGGTATGGAGGAGGCACGGCGGCGTCGTGCTGAGGAAGCTGAGCGCCGACGGCGGGGCGAGGAAGAGAGACGGCAGATGGATCAGGAGCGTGCCGCAAACCGCGAGCGCAAGTTGAAAGCCATGGGGGCACGAGAGGGCGGCTGGGATGAAGGCAAGTCGGCGGAGGACGAGAAAGATCGACGGGGCTTCAGAGGTGCGAATGGTGGGATTCGCGGAGCCCGGAACATAAGGGGCGCCGAGGCCGAAGAGCCCATCAGGGAGTTCGCTCCGGATGAGTTCCGTGGTCGTGGACGCGGTAGGGGTCGTGGTGGCGTGAGGGGTGGAAGAGGAGGCAGAGGTGGTTTTGCTGATAGACAGGCTGCGGATGCTACTTCGCATCATCAACCACAAAAGAAGCAGCCCGAGCAGACTCCTCCAACCGCAGACGACTTCCCGGCTCTCCCTCCAGCTGCGAAGGTGGACACGACTGTAGAGGCCGCCAAGCCTATATCTTTATCACCTGGGCTGAACTCCCCGCCCATAGGCAAATGGGACGACGAGATGGCTGCACTTGACGCGACGAGTTAAAACCTCTGGATAACGGAAATGTCTTACTGGATATGAAGGTTTTGGGGAATAATAGAGCCCTCGTGGATCTTCGTCTCCATATCTTTGGCGGCGTATCTAGAAAAGACGTGACATAATATAGCTGCTCACTGCATGACTGATTGGGTAATCAAGGGAGACAAGATCATTAGCGTGTCCTGATATAATAGTAATAGAAGCGTGGTTTTACGCATTAATGTTCTCAGTTATGAGAACACGCAAATAAATAGTAAATTTCTCATGGCATGTTTGTACAGTGATATCATGCAAAATTGCTTTAGTTATGCCCCTGCTTAACCCCATCAACAACGCCCAAACTCCAGAACATGTGCAAAGAAGAAGGCAGCCTCCGTCAAGTGGCCTCTCACCAGCCACCGCGGAATCCGCGACCACTTCGTCCTCCATAACCACCACCTCCGCCGCCGCCTCCTCCACGCCTCGGACCCCTTGGACCACCTCTCCAGCCATCGCCATCGTCACGAGGGCCGTCATCCATCATAGGTGGGGGGCGCCCACGACCACGTTCTTTGACCAATGCGTCGTAGGTTTTACGCATTTGGGCATAACCAAGGTGCATTTTTCCGTAGAAATGATCCGCCAATCGCCGATCGTTATCGAGCCTAGAAAGATATGCTCCACACACATCACAGACCTGTAGCTTCTGGTGGCCGGATGGACCACCCGTGTCGCTTAGGTTCTTGAGTTCACGCTCACGTTCTGCCTTGGTCTGCATAGCCTGGCGTACGCGGAAGAACTCCTCGTATGCCCGCGACACCTCGTCCAGGTCGCCCAGGACACGCACCTCGGTCAACCCGCAGTCGATGGTCGAGTTGAGTTCCGAGATGGTCTTGAGGAGCACGTTGGTCTGCCGAATCTCGTCGGGGGTCTTCTCGAGGCGTCGCTGCGCGGTCTCTATCCAGCGGTTGCACTCGTCTATGTACTTCTGCAGATCCCGGAGATAGTCGTGCTCAAAGCCGTACTTCTGCTTCGCAGCCTCGGGCAGCGCTTCGTATTCCTGCTTGAGGGACTCGGCGTGGGACTTGGGACAAGGGCCGGCGTCCTTTTTCGTGTTGATGAACAGATCGTGGGGACACGTGCCCACGAGGAAAGAGCGGCAGACTGTCGGATCGGTGAGCGACTGTGCGGCGCGCTTTTGCGGTGCGCCCATAAGCTGCTCTGTTGGCGGGTGTTAGTTCTGCATCTGCTGCCTGCCATGAGACATGTGGATGGCTCTATACTTACCGAGCAACTTCCGCTGTTCTGCAGCCATGTTGAATACCCCTCTACCAAATTCCTGCCGGGTGTGCTGGGATAGGTCGTGTGTTTGTAGTTGGAAACGGCTGCAGGTAAATATTCAAGCTTCCACTTTTGCGACAAGGCTGGGCTGATAAGTTTCTTGTACAGTAGTGCCGACAAAATCGGAGCTTAGGTAGGTATGCGGGGAGCCAATCGGTGGATTTAGCTAGCGCTAGGGGTCCCCTACCACTCGCAGAGCACACGCTAAACCCGACCGCTACAATGACGGTCTTTGGACGGTGCAGCAGCTCCTTTAACTGCCAAGCTCGTCAACCAGGATGACACTTTTCATGTGGTCACTTTCTTTTCGGTTCTTCAACTCTCCCAGGTCCCCTATGGCCTATAGATATACATGATGACGTCTTTCTTTTCCTATTTGATACCCGTGTTTCTATTTTTCTCTACTGTCTTTGCCTCCGACTACCATGAACAGCTGAACCTCAAGCCGCTCCCCCAATCCTCACTCCTTGCGAGTTTCAACTTCCGGTCGAACACAACGCTGTCGCAATTCGAGGCGCACAACTTTCGATACTTCCCCCGATCACTGGGACAAATACTGCAGCATGTCGGTACGCGGGAACTGCATCTGAGATTTAGCTTGGGCCGGTGGGATGCCGAAAGCTGGGGAGCACGACCTTGGGATGGCACCAAGGAAGGAGGCACGGGCGTGGAGCTATGGGCATGGCTGGAGGCGGACACGGAAGAACAGTGCGTTGATATCAGGCCGAAATGCGGTCCCGGCTAATCTGGAATATAGAGCCGACCTCAAATGGCTGACGTTGACGAATGCCTTGTCCGGCTTGTTCTGCGCGTCCCTGAACTTCATCGATGAGACTCGAACGACCCGGCCTGTTATGTCCTTTCAACCCGAAGGTGATCATGGCTCTAGCCTCGATAATCTGCATCTACTGCATGGCGTCTTACCGCATGAGATTGTGTGCACGGAAAACCTCACGCCATTCTTAAAACTATTGCCATGCAAAGGCAAGGCTGGAATTTCGAGTCTGCTGGATGGACATAAGTTATTTGATGCGTCGTGGCAGAGCATGGCAATAGATGTTCGACCTGTATGCCCCCGAGGTCAAGAGTGCGTCTTGCAAATAGAACAAACCATTGACATGGTTCTTGATATCGAGAGGTCGAAGCGACCGAGGGGTAAGTCGAGTACATCAATCAAGTTCACCATAGGCTAACACACAGCCCAAGGTAACCCTATCCCACGGCCACCGCCAGGGTATGATCTGAAATGCAATGCCACGAAGCCGTACCACTCAGGCGACACGTGTTTTCCTTCTGACTTTGCAGAAGGCGAGGACTGGTCCATAGACCAGATCTTTGGCAAGTTCCTCAGAGGGACGTGCCCTTTGACGGACCCGGATGTTCCGCCTGTTTGCATACATGTCCCAGAGAGAAGGGACATATTTACGACAGCTAATGCGGTTGAACTCAAGAACTCTGATGGCCTCTCTCGATGTTATCAAGTCCCTTCTGAAGGTGAATTTTCGATGATCCTACCTCGGATGCCTCGAGAGGGTGACAATGCCAAAACAATTGCAGATGAGACAGTTCGGCCAGAAACACCACTTCTTTACGCAGAACGTAGCTTGACGGGCCACGGCCAAGAACGTGGCGGTGTTCAATCTATTCTCACAAACCCTAGCCCCGACACTGCAATTGAATTCGTATATATGGAAAGCTTGCCATGGTTCATGCGCATCTATCTTCACACGCTCAAGGCCCGTGTTGAAGCTGCCCCAGGGGCCAAAGATGAGATTATCGAAGAAATATATTACCGCCCGGCTCTCGATCGAGCAAGGGGCACCCAACTCGAGTTGCGTGTGCGCATTCCTCCTGCTAGCACTGTATTTCTCACATATGACTTCGAGAAATCCATTCTACGCTACACAGAATATCCACCTGATGCAAATAGGGGTTTCGACGTCGCAGCCTCAATCATAACAATCCTCCCGTCAACTGCACCCGGGGCACCACCTTCCCGACTGAAGATATCGAATTTGCGAACGACGAGTTTACTACTCAGCTTACCTACCCCTGATTTCAGTATGCCTTACAATGTGATCATATTTACGAGTACTGCGATCGCTCTCGCTTTTGGAGGGCTTTATAATCTCCTGGTCCGGAGATTCGTAGGTGCCGATGAGAGCCCGGAAGGGGCTGGTGGTCTCAAGGGCAAGCTAGCTCTTTTAGTCAAAAGGCTATCTGCAAAATTCAAGGTTGCAAGAGGACGGACTGAATAATGTCATTCCGGCGAGTGATCATTAATAATAAGATCAAACTTACAAAGAGTACTCAACCACGCAGTATCAGCACCAGACCAGTCATGCTTGACAGAGACAGACTCTGTCGTTGTCATGTCACCATCATCCCAGTCACTTTGAGCTTTCAGCGTGCCACAAACACCCCTTTCTAGTATAAACTACCGATCACGGCTGCCCAGCAGCAAACACTTGGGTTACGCGGCACTGTTCAACCTTCATACCATTTGCCTATACAAACTTGTGACACATACGTAATCTTCGTTCGATGTCCTACTGTTGTACAGGTAGATTCGTACTCGGCAAACACGCACTAGGCCACGGGCCCCGGCGATCTACCAATTGTCCCACATTATGCTACGCCTCTTCCTGGATCTTCAGTGTTTGCGTAATAGGGGAGAGAAAGGGGAATGAGAGAGGATTCAGCACGGAGTTGATAATACCATAACCAAGATACAGCCTAGATATAACTAGACCATAGCTAGTACGTAATTAGAGTATCATGAGAGTATGAATGTTGCTCTACTAGAATGTTACCAGCTGACGTCAGGGCTCTGCAAGGCCCCTGCTTAGAGCACGGAGACTACAAGACGCACTGTTCAGACTATGCAGACAGGGAGGAAATTGTCAAGTTATTAGCATATCTTATCATGAGTTACTTATACCGTCGGCCAACAAAATCTGTGAAGGCCAGTAGTAAGGGCCGCAACGAACCATGCGAAGAGCAACGACTAACATATCGATTGACTTGTAGTACATACCCGCTGCTTGAAGTAACCTTATACCAAAGCAGTTCTTGAGAAAATCATCAGTCAAACTAACAACACGCGATAGATGAATGCTTCTCCGCAGACCTACGCCGCAGTGTTCTCGCCTGTCTTCTCCTTTCGTACATAGAGCTCGATCCCATGGAACGGTTGATACTTTGGAAATCCTAGGCAGATATATTCATTCTTGAGCATGGCGTCCACTCTAGGGGATGTTGGATCAGATCTATACAGTGATTAGACTAGTCTCTTGTTGGGGCCACATGTCTATCTATCTGAGGGAACCTTACGAAAGAAAATTCCTCTTATCGCCTGAAGGTGGATTCCACATCATAGCGACTGGGCGCGCAAGGTCGGCAACAATCTGTTTGACGGGGATAACAGGGGCGGAAGAGATCACGAAACTGGTATCGTCCAGGTCCAAGAATGCTTGGGGATCATCAATCGTCTGAATCCCAATTCTGGAAAGAGCCTCGATGACAGGAGGGGTTAGCTGCGGGTCTTGAGCAAAGCAGCGGACCTCGTTCGACTTCGCGGCCTTCGCGATAAGTTCTCCCATGCTCCGGAGGAGACAGTATTGTGCGGCCGAATTCTGTCTGTGTATTTCTCTCACGTCACGCATGCTTCCCAGAGCAATGCCGAAGATTTTACGCGCTGTCGAGAATGCCGGATTAGATGCGATGAGTTTTTGCAATGTCGCGTATTCAGACGTTGCCTCCCATTCCTTCTTCTTTTCGTGGAGCTTTTCCACGAAGTAGGCGGCAGGGGGATGGGGTAAATGCTGGTGCATCGGAGGGCAGACTTGTGTCCATTGCCACACCACTTCGAGGGGTAGGTAAGCACATTCCAGAGTGTCTACACCGCGGAATGGAAGGTTATATTCGAAGTAACCCGTCATTCTCTGGAGTGAGTTATACTTCAGTACTAGCCTTGTCCTGGCGAGGGTTAGTACTCTGACGCTGAAGATCTTGGGTCATGGGTATGGAATGTACCGTATCAGGATCCCACCATCTTTACATGTGTGCTTTTCCGGTAGTCCGTGAAGGTCCATACCCACCTCTTTACCATTGAGGCCAACGATTTTCATTATTGGAAATTCCTCTGTGTTTGCCGCTGTCTTTTCCAACTGGCGCTTGACGTTCTCTAATCCCTCTTTGGTGAACCATGGAACACCACGGTTGTACATCGATTTAAGGTCCAAAACAATCTTACGCAATTCATCACGATGGTTATACCACGCTGGTTTGGCTGCGCTCATGTTCAAAGGTATTGTAACTTGCTGATACACAAAGCTGGTTTTGCTTGCTGATACAACCACGTATTAGAAACAGATAGATGACGAACTGTATGGGAAACAAATTAATCAATAGAAGACCGATCTAATCTCTTCTAGCCATATATAACGTGCAATTTGTTTCAACATACCTGTAGACGCTCAAGGTGAGGAAAGGCCCCGGTTTGCAGGAGTTAGGATACTTAGTGGCGTAGGAGAGATGTCCCAGGTAATTAATTAATTGAGAAGTACAAGGGTGCTGTATATTCCTTTACCACCTATTCATGTGAGAGATCTATACGCCTCATTATATAAATGGAACAGGCGTCTGTGCTTTCGTGCTCAGTCATCCAGTAGTACAGGAAATGACTCACAGATCCCGTTCACCTACGAAAGCCCTCTCCCTTGGCAATACAATGCAGTGTTAACACAAGATGGCCTGATCAAGTAGGACTCAACAAACAGTCTGAGGGATTCTGAGCAATCAGGACGCTTCCGGTCTTTGTGTATCACTCATTATCTTGCCGTCCAGATAGATACACCATGGCAAGTCACCAGGAAGCCGGCCAGTGATGTCGTGAATTACGTAGATACATTACAACCATAGTACAGACAGCAGTACGAGTGAAACCACCAGTGATAACAAACGCCCCAAAATCCATGTACACTGAAATCCTTACAGAGCCAATATCCCAAATCCTTGTGATCCTTTGAACCTTTTAAGGGTATTGTTGCAACCCTGACGCCTTATCCTATCCGGTGTCTCTTATACAAATGATCTCTCTCCAGTTGGTGTGCCACCCAACAACTCCGGTGATAGTTCATCGGTCTCTATAATCTTAGAGAGCGCCGGGGCTCGTTTACTTGAAGCCTTCCTCACCACCCTGAAAAGTCTCCTGGGGGACTCTTCGGCCTTGGTTTGCTCACTACTCAGTTCATCAGGCTGTGATACAGATGATCGTCTAAGGGTTAAGTGCTCCGTCATGTTTAAAGCGAAAAGCCGCTCTCCTCCTCGTCTTAGCCTATCACGTGCCAAGGCACGTAGTATTGGGATCGAAGCAGCCATTACTGTGATATTGTGTCAGATACTATTGCTTACACTGATGCTCTCATGTCTGACTGCTTATAGTGTACGTGGCACTGAATGTCTTGATATGATGGAATAAAACTTGATTTGAAACACGTACTTGTGACTGCAGTCTCTGCGATGGACAGCACAACGAGCTGAATGGAGTTACCTATAACATAGATCAGTATTATTTTCCAGACATAATGCGGTAAGTCTTACTGATATTTTCCTCGAATGTACCGATCAGAGCATAGATCTTAGCAAGTGCGATCGTTCCGGCACTATGGGTCGATTAGTCTCAGTCATCGGTTACTCTCTGAAGAGAAACTTGGATTACAATAAGCCGAGGCTCATTGCGCATATAGCGCCAATTCTCTCTTTCTTGGTCATCTCCATCTTCCAAATTATCTTCCACGGTAGAAGCGCTAATAGAATATCCGTAGCTCCTGAATAGGCTGAGCCAGGGTTTGAGTTAGTCTTGCAAATACCAAACTACGAAAGCATTCATACCTGCAGAAAAAGTATTGTATCCGATTAGCGTTTCCCGCGGCCAACATGAACCCGGTGTGGAAGCGATGAAGCTTTTCTCCACTGGCGTACACGCTACCCAGTTGAAGGTGAGGCTCAGGCCCATAGCCACATTAATCGTAACAATCGCGAACCAGATGATCCACTTGACCCAACCGCTTGAAATGCGAAGCAGAGTGAGTGCGAACGAAGTCTTGCTGATTGTTGCACCTAGTATGGAGAAGAGGCCTGATATGAGCAGTGCTAGTAATATCTGGGGCAAGGCGCTCGCGGGAACTTCGTAAGGTTGCTGGCCAAAACCTTGCGATATTGCGACAGTAGTTGCTATGTTGGATAGCACAATGCAGATCTAAACAGATATGTGAACAAGATGGCGACACGAATGGATGTTTTTTCCCCCTACCCAAGACTTCGTCATCAGATATTAGTAAGTGTTCATCTCTAAGTTCCCGGATTAAGGTAAGAGGTTGTGGTTATGTAGCGAGGCAGGAATCCAATCACGGGCTCTGGCTGCTGGCCTCAACAAAAGGAGGAATTCAATAGACTCTTGAGCGACTCACGACTGTTAATAAATGGTCATCCCACCACAAGCCCCAGTGTTTTCGTAGTTTGAGGTAAAGCCTCAAAGCCAACCACCCCAATGAAAGTGCCGCAAGAGCCCATATGCACGCTGCAACTGCGCCACCGAGGTTGTTGTCCTCCAGTTCGTCGCCTAATTCAATCAGTGGTATCACTATACCTCCCAAGGACGAGTCTAAGATCAAGGCATCGTCTGTGTCCATAATAACGTATCAAAATCTTGAGGTTATCCGCCTTCGATGATTATTTGCTTTCTCCGGTCCTTATCGCGTAGTGCTGTCATATTACAGTGACGATGGATCATAGAATGTGAAAGAATAAGAAGAGGAATAGGGTTGCGGGTGTCCTTTCGACTAGTTGGCTCAGCCTTATAGGGCCCAATTTGGGGCTAGAACGGTACGTCGCAATGATATCTGGGATGCACTTGTGGTGATCATGAAGGGGTTCCGGGGTAAAATCAGGGTCGCTGAGATGCTGCTACTTGAAACCCTCGCACAAGATCGCCGCCAGGGATCAACATCATGGGGTAAGTAAAAACCACAACTCGCTTTCACCAATTCAATTTGCTGTAAAGAATTCAGGGGAGGCAAACCATTGAATTGTATATAATTGATCTACTTAAACATGTGTCAGACCGACTATCATGCCTGATCTGAGAGTCGAGTTTCGGCCCACCGTCCGGGACGTTGCCATGAGCGGGCCCCTCTTCTCCGGATCGTCCTGGTCTTCACAGTTCAACCGGTAATGATCAGCTATCAAGACATTCCCCGTTTCACGTTGCGCTCGGGCTTTCTAATTCTATGCTGAGTTTAAGTTCACTGGATATCGTATTTGTGGAATGCTACACAAACAATTAAGCGGATAAATATCCCACCTTCATGCCTTTGCGACTTGGCGAAGCCTACCATGCAGATCTTCTCCTTAGCTAAGGGTTCCTTACTGTGAGTGATTCTCTTCTCACGCGGTAAATCATACCATAAATTCATTACGTATCTATTCAATGCCAAAATCGTCAAGCATAATGCTGTGGGCGCTCAATCTGCTGATCCAGGTTGCGGTTGTAACGGGGACCTCGCCTAGTCTGTTCGTGTAGTTCCGGACTGTATACCCTCAAAGTCTATACAGCATACAAGGTCAGCAAGAAGCTCCATTGATAGTGCACTTTTCCATTTCAAAACGGCAAGCCTAAATATGCTAAATGTCACGGAATGACATAAGGAGTGCAGTACTATGCCACTACGCCACCAAAAGGTAACGACGAGTTATCAAGTCGAAGGCTTGACGTCTCTGCACTCACTATATAGTACTGTACTGTGACACTAAAAACATACGCCGACTTCGATTACTGATATGCAGGACTTTAGCCACATTAAGCCACTTCTCCGCACTTATGAATACTAAGTAGACTCCAGACTCGGGGTTCTGGTGCCGGGCGCGCTGTGGCTGCTCACTTGGCTATTATACCAACGGCTAACTACATTTTGCATTAGATCTGGTAAAGGAAAATCAAATTATTGGAGAGGCACGAGCATCCCCGGGTTCCTTAAATATGTAAAAGGGCATGAGAGATGTCGTCATCGATGAATTCGTTGATGGATTGTTATAAAGAGCACATATCGTACTTGAATGAGTACCAATTTAGAGGCAGTCATTTCAATCTAGTGCAATATTGTTTCTGAGGCCCAACATGGATGACCGGTTCCAGATGATCTTGCAAAGCTCATGCTCGTTGCGGCTGCAGAGTGGATATTCATATTAGCTCAGCTCTCTCAGTTTGCTTTGGTGATTACCTCGACGTCCATGATCTTACTGTGAACTAGTCACCTATTACGTAGCAGTTACTTGAGAGAAAGGCTAGACTTCGCCACTATATAATTAGGGTTTACCTAATTATCTATTGTATCTCGTCTATTGAACACCGAATAACAGAGGTCGAATATAGCTTACTAAGGACCCTTTACGTAAAATGGCTGTATGTTTCATATTCCCAATCTTGAAGTCCAATGTTTAATTGAGACACTGATTGCTATGTTCTCTAACCTAAGAAACTACAATAAATCGAAATCCCCTTGTTACGACATGTAATATGGCTGATGGCTGATGTGAGCTAGTGCTGGTTCGCGAATGCTCCTAGCGCTTCACACTTTAAAGGAGGGAAAAGGTCGATTCAACTCAGTATTAGAAGGACCGACTGATCATGTCTTACAAGTGTATTCGGCCCTACCTTATTAATATACCAAAGTTCGATATTGTGAGATATGCGCGCACCCGCGTCACAGACGTAAGTTACGTTCACCATCATTGTTCATAGAGCGGGGACACTTCGTATTAGAAGGCTTACGCTACTGTCAACGAATGATAGTATAGCCTGATTACCCCAAGGCTACTCCGAGCTTTGGCTTAGCCTCCTGCTATCAGCTCATGTGAGTCCTGAGCCTCATCATACCGGTTAACCAACATCGGGGCTGTGCTGACGGGCTTCGATTGAGTACACAACAACATCAGCTATCTGAACGCCATCCATTTCTGTCCATCCGTCTCTCACCGTACCATTAATAGAACAGCAAAGCATAAAGCTTCCATCAGCTAATGGAAGCTGTGCTTTTAAGGGTTCCGGGCAGTGTTGGTTAGTTACTACCAGCGTGGCTCTTATATTCAACTTGGAAGCTTCCACGATACTTGATGATGAATATCTCACAGGCTTCTTGCGGTCAGATACATCAGCTTATCTCGGTGAAGCCACGGAGCGGGTGGCGTTGTAAGAACTCCGGCTTCACTGGAAATACATAGGACTCTTTTCTCACACACCGATAGTCATAGTTGTGGTTTGGTGATCTTGCTTCGATCTTCACATTTCTACCAAAACCGCATTATGTATCCATACCAATGACATACGAGGCTCATCATAGGCTCACGTGGTCTGACGTGAACTTCTATTCTCTAGCATAAGCAGCAAGTCCTATGCTTGTCGGCGACGAGGCGCCGGCATTGTTTGATGATTAGATAATTCATCATCTGGCAAGTATAAGAAGGGCGACATTTCGTCCAATTTCCAGCTCTATTTTTGAGCACCAACACAAACGGTTTACGCACTTGACTTCATTATTCAATCAATCTCCAACACTCAACATCAATTCAAAATGCAGTTTTCTAACCTTCTCATCGCTGGCCTTGGCCTCATCGCCGGATCCCAGGCCCAGCCTGTCGAGGAACGTGGCGTTGTCGCCCACATCACCTTCCACGGCGGCCCTGCCTCGTACCAGCTATCCGTTCCCGCTGATGGAACCCCAGTCCCAACCAGTATGTCCATCTCCAGTATCACACATTCGGCAGAGCTCTCACGATTAGACTAACACTTTCCTCAGACAACGGTATCTCTGTCGATACCATTGACGCCGACTACAATATTCGGGATCTGTGCACGTTTGCCACCTCTGGCCCACAGACCTTGGTTGGGTCGACCACTCACCTCACAGTCGGTCCCCCTCAGCCAATTCTCAGCGTGACCTGCTGGAAGTCTTAAGCAACCTCATATGGCGATGGACAGCCGAGCATACTTGACGCTTCGTCTTCAGTTAGGGTAGGAAACTCTTCCCACGACAATCTTAAGAGTTGGCATACGATTCGAGCTGTGGATTAGCGATTGAGATTAGATATTATGTTCAACAGGACTGCTGGCCCCTAAATTCTCTGTCATATCCACATAAACATAGCCAATATTAAATATATGTGTGATATACGATAATATCTAACAATTCTCGGCTGAAGTGACCGCACTAGTATTTGTGACCACGGTGTGTGAATTTCGAGTAGGTTGTGAAATAATCTGTTTCGTAATATCTCAATAAGCATATTCTCTCAACTCATACTGAAAATGATTTCATCGCTACTTTGATTTTAATGGGTACATATATAAGCTCTTTGCAGTGTTGACAGTTTGTGATGATCGCCGACAAGAACGATTCTACTCAGCTTGTATTGTAACATGTTGTCTATTCAATCGTCTAGTAACGTCTTGCAGATTTGCGTTCCGAAGAGACTCTGTTATGGTGGTCATATCACTAATTTCAACATTGACAAATCGCTGAATTCATTCAAACTAACTGCGCTATAACTACTCCTGTAAGTTACCCCTATTCCTGGAGAGAATAAGATACATATTGTGCCAAAAACAGAAAAAGGAGGATCGTAATCTACATAATGGTAGCAAGTATCCATAACCTGAATTCGCTATATCAACGATTAAACGCTCATAATGTTTGCTTAGGCGCAGCCGTTAACCGATCTGTTTCAGGCGTTTGAGATGGACAAGTCTCATTGTGCCGAAATTGCGCTTTTCGAGGGTTTATCCTGCTCCTCTTGTAAAATTGCCTCCAACTCACTTTCCATCTTATCTTTAACGGCCAATAGTCTTAGCCAGAAGTCAAAGTCGTGGCCCACAAAATCTTTCAGATGCAGAACAGGCAATTGGTATGGAGGTGAGTCTGCAGCCCACTTAGTTTCATAATTTCGTTCGACCTGCGGCGGGAGATTTAAATCAAGCCCTAGAGCCTTCGCAAAAGTTATTCCCGATGGCGGTAAGACGGCTTGATCTAGTTTGGCCGTGTCTACCTTCTCCACGGCGGCAAGAAACGCGGTTAAAAAGCCGATCCAGTCCAAGGTTTCTTCCGCTGAGCGGCATGGTGGCACTGCGTTATGATGATCAGTAAGCTGTCCTTCGTTGGAGTCAAATCTAAGTATAATAGTATGAGGAACCATTTCCCGAAGAGTGTGCGTTCGTTGTCAAGAATGGAAGCTACAGATCTAGCTGAAACACTCACTTTGGCGGAATTCAATAGTAACATAAACATCGTCAACACCTGCGAAGTTCCATTTGCAAAACCTCCCTCCGCAAGTTTCTATGTCAATGTCAAACAATCTATGCGTTTTACCGCTTGAGTAGTCATCCGACTCAACAATCGCTCCAAAAGCGCCACCACACAGCAACCTATACAACTCGCGGATATCTTCGGCGCTGCGAATGCACTCCCAACAGCTCTTCAGGTCGTTCAAAGGCTTTAACCCATTGTGTCTGGGTCTTAATCTATTTCTCTTCGCATAGAACCGGCCATTTTTCCAGCCTTGTGGGTGCATCTGGTCATTAGGATCCATTGTGCCTGGCATGAGGTCGTCGATTGCTCTCTCAAAATAAACGACGCAGAAAGCAAGCTTTCGAGCTAAATCAATTGGGAATCGAAAGTATCCAGATAGAGAGAAGTGTACTAGAACTCGTTGTCAATCCTATCATTTCCGTCCACATCTTTGGGGGGGGCGGGGATGGGAGTGCGAAGGAGTATGAAACATCTGAGAGTTTTCTCAACAGAGAATTACAATGCTTGAAACAAGAAAACGTACTATGCGTGCTGCACAGCTTCCAATACCTCATACTTGGTACTTTGAAAGGTTCTATGATCCCCCACATAGTTTGAATGTCGCGCTTGTAGATAGGATTATTAATGGCTATAATAGGTGTTTTGATCTCGAAGCCCGCTCCAGGGTCTACAGATGATTAGTCTATGACATAACTAGAATAATGGATGTAGAAGGTGGCATTAATCACATTGTATTCCCAATGGCTCCAAGCTTGGATCGATAGTGATACACCATGTCCGATACTCCTGGTTTTGGTCGTTGTGTTGTGTGCCGTAGGCCTTAAGACCTTTATTATTGAATAATATAGCAAGTTCGTCTATAGATGCGGCCGTATCTAGCAGTTCGTTTTGCGCCGTCAATTCATTCCACTTGGTCATAGCGAGCGGCGCCTCAATTTCGACACCTATTAGCAATCCGGGCATTCGAGTATTGTGTGCTTGCTGTCCATTGGTGTTATTTCTTTCGAGGGATGTGACCTCCGTTGACGTGGTCTCCGTGGACGTTATTCCCGTTGGCGCAATATTGGCCTCTATGTCATCCATGCTGTAAGAAGTGATTATCGATAATATAGAAATAGGCTGTATAGGAATCACGCCGTGCTAGAAAATAAGTGGCGTGTCGATTATCTGCTATGTGAGTAGATCGGTAGAGCCAAAGATTAGTATTTGCTGTTTGTACTCGGAATTGAAGACGAACATGGGTCCCTTCCAATACAAGCAGCAACTTAGCTATAAGTCGAAGCAAGTGTAAACCCAACATATAGCTAAGTCTATTTTTGGGTCGTTCATTCCTTGTATAACAGCTCGAAAACCATAGTGCTTAGAATTCGAAAGACTGTATCGTTACTGCCTGATTTCGGCTCATAATGACCCGTTTTCACCTCCATCTGAGAGCTAATTACAGAATGAACTTGCCTCAACTTCATCAAGTAAAACTAATGCATCGAAGGTAAGGACGACCATAATACAGATGGCAGGCAGACATCAGCAAATCTATTATTAGTGTCCCAGCAGTGACTGTATTTCAGTCAAGAACACTATTTGTGATATGCGCTAGACATTCTGAACACCTTCGTACGCCTCTCTACGTGGTGTGCTTCTAGAATTTGGTTGAGTCGCCTTCGTATTCAAAGTTGATGCTATTCAGCCTCCGCTCGTTTCAGTCATGTTGGTAGACCGTTCAGTTGATAAAGAGTCAATGTCAGCCATCAGGGTCAGAAAGAAAGACTTCAGATAGACCCTCATTCTGTGCTGCCTTGCTAGGCAGTGAATGCACTTGATAGGCTGAAGACAGCATTGGCAGAATTGGAACGCTGAAATGAGAGGTATATGAGCGTTCCGTTCACCTAATCTATATCATAAGAGTAAGGTGGGAAAATCCCCTTATATACATGAACGCTCCTTCGTGTGCCCCTTGATATGGTACACGAAGCGACGTATTGACCACCAACACGTTCAACATGGAAGTCTTCGAGAAATTGGTTACCTGACACTACGTTCCCGATCATGATTGCTGCTCATCTGTGCTCTTCACTTATTCGCAAAAACCAAAACAACAAAACTTTTTGTCTGTATAACTGTGCATGCATTCTATGAATTGGGTATCTAGCAGCCTCTCTGAGACCTTACAAAAGAAACAGTTCGATAAGCGACCTCTCAAACTAAAACTTATGAATTTGATCTTTTGTGTATCCCAGCTCTCCCAGTATACCACCCGGCTGCTTACGGTTCCCAACAAGCGCCGTCTCCATAGCCGGCGGGCCACAAACAAACACTTTCGTGTTCTCTGTCGCAGGAGTCGCCGTCATGACTTTGCCCAAGAGCTCTTTCGTGACATATCCCTTCGGATAAGGAGAGTTGGGGATGGGGTTGCTGACGGTGTAGATGGCCTTGAAACGGCCCGGAAACCGGCGCTCGAAGTCCTCAAACTCCGGCTTCAACAGCACGTCGGCGTCCGTGTTGACGCCGAACACGAGTGTTATGCGGGTCTTCTCCTCGGGATTGTTCAATATGCCCTGAATCAATTGGTACATGGGTGTGATACCCGCACCTCCGGCGATAAGAGTAATGTCTTGGTGCTTATTCGGCGTCCACTTGTATCCCGAGATGGGCGTGACAAAGCGGAGATAATCGCCGGGCTGCAGTGAGTGGATGTGAGTACTCTGCTTGCCGTTGGGGTATTTCTTCACCATTAACTCGAGGACACCAGGCTCATCTAGGGGCCATTGTTAGTAACGCGAGGATTTGGCAACGCGGGTCACGTGTGCTTACCACTAGGTGTGATGGGCGTGTAAGGGCGTACACAGGGTAGAATGCTGCCTTTCGGCCAAGAAAACGTAAGCAGAGCAGCTGTTGGTTGGGTCAGTCAGCATTGTTATGCTCTAAGTACTAGTTTCATCCTTGCGGCGACTTACATGTAAGCGGCAATCCACTGACGTGTTGGTCTGTTGGCAGTGCAAAGCGTAGTTTCTTCATGTTGTGATTGACGACCTCACTGCTCTCCAGTTGAAGTGACAAGAAGGCCGGGCCACCTCCAAAGGCCTTTGGCGGCATGCCGCTGTCTGCGTGTGCCACGCCCATCATGTATCGTGAGTATATGCCAAGCCCGACACCAGCTAGCGCTACGGTTCCCACGACGGTGGGGAGCCGCCCAGTCAGAATGCTTCTTGTAGCCATCTTTGCTTAGGCCTAAAGAAGTTTCATAAAATGCGAGTCGAGGGTAGTAAGACGAGAATGAGACACGAGACAAAATAGAGTGATCGTTATGAAAAGAGACGGCCGGACTGCCCCAAATTCCCTTCCTGTTCGGGCAGCGGTGGCGTCTGTGGTTGGTTCAATTCAATAGTGGGTAGGTGCCCGCTGAAAGGAGAAGCTGTGCAGTGATGGTCTTCACGACGCGGGGAGTCTCGAGATAATAGAAAGTCGCGGATAGTTAAGTTGGCATCTACTCATTCATCGAAAAGGGCTGTCGTCGACTTAAGTATCTGTTTCGTCTCACAAAGATCCTTCGGTACCGAATGATTTTATGTAATCCGAGGCCGTGCAGGGGACGGGAACTGATGTCCGAAGCCCGACGTCTTTTCAGCTGCAAACGTAGGCGCCAATCAATTCGCTGCGACGGGCGTTAGGAGCTGGCTGACACCGGTGACGGGACCTTGAAAGCCCGCTGTTTGTTGGCCCTAAAAAGGGGCATGTACGAAGTAAGCAGGCGTTCCACAGACCCGGGACCATCTATCTCTAACTACGTCATTGCAAAAGAGAACGACAATCTATGGGATCGGACCTAGTCACGGTATTATCGTGAATTTTATCGCGGTAGAAAAGCATACCGCGTAGCTATTTACCTAGATACGATGGGTGAATTGAAAATGAGGCTTGTTATTAGGACTGTCTTGGTAAAACTGAATGCATGAACTGTCTCAAGTAAGTCTCCGCTTTAGGAAGTACCTAGGTCCGGTAGTTATCTGCGCCTCTACCCAGATAGATGGTGCAATAAGTGTCTTGTAGCAAAGGGTTTCCCCTGAAATCATTGATTCCGTACAAATAGTCTATCGCCCATATTTCCAGCACGTCCAATGAGTAATCTCTGATGAATGCTTGGGGGAGCGGTTCAATGTTCACAAAACTACTAACAATCTGTGTATTACATATTCACAAGTTAGACGTGTAGAGTCATATTGGAAGATATGATGTACATTCACCGAGGCAACGTGGCTGAGTGGTTAAAGCGTATGACTAGAAATCATATCCCTTCGGGGTCACAGGTTCGAGTCCTGTCGTTGTCGTTTTTGCTTCATTTTTTCTTGTATTATTCTGCTGATCTAGAACGGCTAGGTGAGATGTCAGATAAAACACTTGAAGACAGATAACTTTAACCGGGGTTGTGGTATTACACGCGTTGTCCCGGTAGTCATCTGTTTGGGGATTGTGAAATGAAAACAGTGGTAGAAATCGTCTCGGCCTTAAGCTGTCATGTTTCCAGACGACATCAAACCCAACCACGCCCCCCCCCCAACACGCCTAATGCACTTCGGGGTTGCGAGCCACTAACACAATGGCAAACGAGCTTTAAGAAATCTTATGATACAAATGCAATGCGAGAATTAGCCCACTCTGCCTCGATACATTTACATCATGTCACGATTCGCGGTGTACACTAATTTTACAGTAAGACCTTTATTACTGCGCGAAGTCCAGACGGCCAAGAGTGAAGGCATTCAGATTCCTTCTAACTAAATGCAGCTACAGCTTCTTTTCTCTTGGCCTCCGAAACATTGTAACTTCAACAAACAAGGCAACTCAATAACTCAATGGCTCATGTGACTTTGCGCAACACCTAATCCATCATTCATAACCCAAAATATGGGTAACTGGCATCCCAAGCAATCTTGATCGAAATGCAGAATATTCCAAGATGGGCTTTCTGCCTTCTTTTCCAGGCGGGGGGTTTATAGAGAGCTCATGAAGTGTTGCTTCAACAGCTTGGTGCTCTTCGGATGCATTGTCCCGGATGGCCAACTTCTCTGCGTAAGCCGCTGTCTTTTCGCTTATCTCAGAAACCTGTGACTCTTCTGTAGACGTGGATTCCTTCTCGTGTACTACCATCTCAGTCATTACTTGATGTGAATATATCGTCTCTGATTCACTAGTAGCGAGACCGCTCGGTTTCAAGTCTTCTTTAGCCCGGTAGCCGAGTCTCCTAATTGGAGCACGCCCATCGAGCCATGTGTTTCGGGCGTCGAGAGTGTCGGGCTCAGGAAGCGACAGGATTTCTTTTAACGCCGAGAGAGAAACGATGTCAAACGTTAGGACAGAGTCATGATCCTGCGCCATGTGAGAGCTTTTGGAGCAGGTCATGGTGGTGACTTTTGAGGGATCATCAGACCATCTATCTTTAGGAGGAGTGAAAATTTCCTTAGCTTTCGCATCCACATTTCCATGGAAAACTTCTTTCCAAACAGCATCTTGAGGGTCTGCGCCGAGACCAGCCTTAGTCCTGCGTAGTCTTTTGGGGAACCTATAAATTTGATTAGTATCAATTCGATTACTCCAATGTATATATGACTCACCACCCTATGTGCTTAGTCAACGCGTCCGAGTTGCCGGGATCTGCACCCAAGCAAACCCCCTCTTGCCATTGTGGGTGGCCGTTGACTTGAGACCACTTCTTGAGAAGTCTGTAGCCGAGAGGGTAGATGGTTTTTGGGTCTTCGTCTAGTCTGTTGTCCAGATCCGCTCTAACTTTCCGCCTTTCGACGTCGTGGTCATTAAAGTCGTCATGGTTCAAGAGATACTCGTCGTGAATGGCTCGGGTGGCTCCAGGCCCAGGGTATGTTTTGACACCCGCCAAAAACTGTGCTGGAACTCTCTCCCATCGGAAGTAGTTTACCTCTCGGGCAACCTGGTTGCCTTTGGTTGTGTAGGTGGGTCGAATTTGCTGGCCGTTGATTGTCATAGGGTTGTCTTCATGATAGTATCCCAGACCGTCGGGGTCTACAAAGGCCGCAAACTCGTGTCTCCATCTGGCGAAGTGCAAAGTTCCAACGGGCGGGCCTTCAGGATGTAATCGCCCATCGGGCCCGGGGCCGTAGAAATAGATAGCTATGGGCTGTGGTGCATTATAAAGCGAGCGGAGAGGGAACAGCAGGTCGCATTTCGCACTCAATGCTAACTCACGGTCCATCCGTGCTTTGCCGTCAGCCGCGAAGGCCTGCCAGCCCGCGACTGCACCAGCAGTTTTAGGGATGTCTTGTGATTCATACATACCAAAATTATGGGTGATGTGGTTTCGTAAATAGCGTGGTGCAACAAGATAAGACTATGCAAGGTCTAATAGGCATGAAGTAGGAGCGGGCAAAAGGCGTGGAGGAGGAAGGCGAAGAGATGAATACTTGAGTAAGTTAGCACACAGTTACACGATCAACAGTGATTCAAGTTCAACAAACGGCGAGGAGATGCAACGAAGTAAGGCTACTGTGTAGAAGATCCTGGAAGGAGCGAGGTGTAGGTCTCACCGAGAGTACTGGGGGAAGCTACCACCTACATAAGGTACCTAGGTACTAAGGCTAGTACATGTAGTTCAGGGTACAAACATTGAATGTAAGAGGTTACCTAAGGACATGAAATTATAACTTCATCTAGCATGAATGCGCTTGCCGGAACCACGCGAAGCAGTAGCAGTTCGGGTCATGTTCTTTTTCGAGAGAGTGTTAGTAAGATTTAGACAAAATGAATATATATAAACAATCTAACCTAAGTAGCAACGAATATGCTTTTAAGCTCTATGTCCATACTACATAAGTAGGTACCTACATATGTAGGTCACGACCTTCCTAGGGTGTAGCTGTTTTGAGCAAGGTAGCCCGCTTGTTATTGTACCTAGGCGCTGTTGTTGAATGAGTTATCATACTGCGGTTCAGAAAGCTTTCGATTGCTAAAGCACTGTACCAAGTATATTGTTTGCGACGCTCTTTTAATGGCATGAAGAGGGACACTGGGGCAATAAAACTATCAGAAGTATATATATAGTCTCTATCTAGATTCTTCTTTGAGGGCTTCGTCCACGCGTATGCAACCTACCCCTATCACTGGGCGAGATATGCCTCTGCAAGCCTTCGCGCCTTCCAATTAATGAATGTATTATCCTTGGCATGGTTCTTGCCTTTGATCTTGACCGTCGTTCAGACTCAGGGCTCCTTCTCGAGCGGCTACACGATCTCGACCTGCTGCGAGATATTGAGGCTTCATGACCACCCAACTCTATCTGCTGGTTCCCCGAATACCGAGTGTACACGGTAGCTCTATCGTAAATGCTCTCAAGGAACCTATATAAGGCGTCCAGGCAACGCTTCCCTGAACAACGGTACGAATTGCAGCGAAACACTGCGCAATCAACTCCAGGACAGCGATGAGATGGCTCGGCAAAGGGGTTGTGACATGAGTCTCGTTCCATGGTACGCCGTAACCTTCGTAGTCTCTCATCCCGCGCATCCGCGCTGTAACAGAGTACCTCGACCTGGGGATAGTCATCCGGTACCTGTTCAAGGATTTCTGCGAATCTGAACAGCTGCATATCTTTGAACACGATTCTAGCCACATGGCCGAAGAGCTGGCACGAAGACTGGTTCTGTCGCGGCGGTCCTATCATATCCTTATATCTCGGAGACACCAGACTCAAGAGCGCATATATCCGATCCTTAGCCTCTTGGGCCTCCTGATACCGCGAGAGGTACAGAAGCAGGCTGAGATCGAAGGACTTCTCCTCGTGATGGTAGATCTGCGATATAAGCCATACATTGCGCGTCTTCTCCACAGCTTGCTGGGCGTTCCCCAAAATCGACACGGATCGCGCGGGATTCCCCTTCATGGACAACTGCATCTTCATTGCGAAGTCGACCATGATGTTCCATTTCAGCTCGTACATGCCGCAGACCAAGATGGTGCGATTGGAGAGAGCCAGCTCCTGCAGGATCCACATCCGGTCCCAATAGTCCTTCCTGAACATATGTCCGATCCCGCTCGACAACCGGGAGTCCTGCTGTAGCTCCCGGAGGAGGCGCCGCTCGGCTGGGCTCGGTCGTCTTCGGCGCGTCGCTGGATCTGACGCACGTAAGGCGCGCAGACGTTCGAATGTTGTTTTTGTGTTGTCCCCCGCTTCGCCGATCCAGGCGATCACTTCCCTTGCCCGCGTGAAAATGTCCCCCATCAGCGCCACTTGGACGCTCTTCTCCCCGTAGACGTCGCTCTGGTTGATGCACAGGGCGTCGATCCACCACCACCCTATCCATTTGCTGTTCCCCCTGGATGATGACGCGGTCGCGCTAATCCGTTCGATGGCGTGTTCCAGAAATCTGTGGAGATTTTCCGTAACTTGAAATAACCCACCATCTAGGAGTATAGCCCTCCTCCGGTGGGTGTTACCCCAGGTATATGATAAGGCAGAGTACTCATAGGACGGATCTGTGATATGAATCACTTTCAACTCGCACTGTATCAGGCCTCCCGGCGCAAGGTTGCGAGCGATTCGTACAAGCCGGATCTGAGTAGTGGGATTCGGCAACGGATCATACTGGAACTCATGCCTCGGAAGAACGGCAGCACTATACCGCCCAGTTCTGTTGCCACTTTGTTCCCGCGCATTACTAAAAACTCCAGAAACGTGATGTTCGCTTCTTCGTCTTGATGGCAGTAAACTTAGTGCTTCGAGCAAAGCTCCGCCAATCAAGGCGCCACCGACCTAGATGTATTATCGTCAGATCATGTGAGATTGAGACGGACAGAAACGCTCTTCATCTTGAGGAAAGAGCCGATTTTGATTGATGAGAGACCCCTTACGATTGTGTCTTTATCACGGCCCATGGCATTACCGACGCGCTTCCTGACAATTAGGAAGGTTTGACCTGAGGACTACAGAATCATCCGAATTTCAAGTTGAGGCTACTTGAGTATATGAAGCTATTCAGGCGCAGATCAACGGGGGTGCGCGAACCGTCAGCCGGATGTTCCATTTCAGGGGTGGCGCAGAGAGCTGGGCCTTGGATACCAATCAGAACGCATCGTCAGCGAATTTTTTCTGCCACATCTCTCATAGGCAGTCAACTAGGCATCGTCTTACTGCTTATTATATACTTCTGGCTGCTGTTGTCTCCAACAGAAGGGCTTGGCGCTAGCGCAGCTGCAAGTCAACCTGCGGCTTCATGGGTTATGGTCTCGTAGGCTGCTTATTATCAGGCATCTACCCCTCCGTACTGGCGCTCGTGCCAGGCCTTCCAATTTACCTTCCTACTCCATACTCTACCGACTATGTTGTATTCTCCTCTACTGCCACCTATGACCCGTGAGGCCCTAGGTTGAGTTAGAAGATAACGGCTCTGGACTGGGATTAAAGCCAACATAGACCTTATTATACTTCCAATAGTCTGAACCTGATGCTTGCTTAGTCCTAGACACTTGCTGAAGAAACATTACTCACAATATTTCATGCTAGTGTTAAAGACTCTACACTACTCGAGTCTTAGCCGGGGAGTGCCATCGTATTGCGGAGTGCATAGGCTCACAGCCAAAAGAGAATGATTAGATCTAAGTTGTATTCAAGTGTCAGTTTTACTTGTACAAGATATAAACCAGAGATTGCTTCAACAAGCTAGTTCTTATACCTAGTGTTTCACAAGAAATAAGATGTGTGTTTCGAGGTTGGTGCCAGTTTGAAAATCCAATCAACGAGTCTTGATCGTGTAGTATGAAGTCTACTGTGCTGGGCTGGTTACACTTTTCGAGTGCTACACAGAAGACCACAAGAGAGTTTGATAGAGAAAATTTGGGCTTGGGCCCTAGACTGAGGTGATGGAAGGACACACTGGCCCGAAGGACATGCTCTATCAATCCTTGTTACTAGCAAGAGAGAATCACAGATAAACCCGGACTGAAGATAATAAGATATGGGCATACCCAATGCTATGTTGCTAGTATATTACTTAGCTCACTATACAGATTGATTGATGTCTTATAGTCTGGCACCGGCAAGCTTAACAAGCTTGGGGAAGTCGGGAGTGCCGAGCCCAGTAACAGGATCCCACCCTTTGACAGCTGGGAAGCCGTCAACACCACAACCAACCGCGCTGCCTTCGGTGATATCATTCAGTCCCTTGTACCCTTTAGAGTAGAGCCAGGGGTTTAAGAAGCCGAGCGGTTTCTTGCCAGAGGCCAAGAGGGCATCGTTGACAAGGCTGATGATACCAGCCGTAAGAGGCGTGGATGCACTGGTGCCAGAAATAGTTCCTTCCTTGCCGTTGTAGAAATAGGCGAAGTAGAGGCCCTGGGCGGCGATGTCGGGATACGCGCGACCCTTCTTGTTATACCAACCGTCGTACTCACCCTTGAGGTTCTTGACATACTTTGTGACCTCCTTCTTCTGGTAAGGGGGGATTTCAAAGATGTTGCTGAAGCCACCACCAGACGTGTAGTTACCATGCGCGACGCCATCGCTTCCGACGAATGCGGGGCGGTAGGCAACGACTTCAGGCTCAAAATTCTTCGTTGCCCCAACGCTCGTGATGTAAGGACACGAGGGGGGAAAGTCGGGGAGGAACTTGTCAGTGCCAAGGCCATCGTTACTCACGCATTCTCCATAGGGACCAACACCAGCATCACCGCTAGAGAATAGAAGCGTGGTTCCACGAGCGCCAACTTGGGCAAACTGTTGGCACACGCGTCGAGCATACGATGCTGGGACTGTTTGCTCATCATCTCCGTCTGTTAAAGCGCCATGATTAGTAACCGTCAAATAGCGCAATGAGCAAAGGAAAGATGTAGTGGCAGTGTGGCTCGAACATGTTGAGGAGAACAATAGCTCTAATAGACTTACATGAAGTGGAGATAACCTGGGGGATAGACTTTTGCTCAAGGAGCCAGTTCACCCAAACGAGATAGGGCTCGTTAGTGTTGGTAGGAGTGCTATTCGATGGCATGAATGGGGGCGAGCCGCCAGTCGAGTAGCTGATGATTGGTGTTTTAGGGTTGATACCAGCAATCGCTTGGAAGTCGAGGTTGGCCTCCTGGCTCTCCCCGTCGGTAATTGGCCCATCACCAGGTCCATCCGCAATGACATATTGTGGGAATGTTTGTGCTACTGAGACATATTCAGGCCGGAACTTCTCGAGGAACAGCTCGCCATCAGAGCGAATAGGGTGCTCGCCCAAGTAGTTCGTAAAGGCAACTTTGTTCTTTTGGGTCGATCGCGGCTATTTCAAGTTAGATGGCGCAGGACTCCTAAGTATCCAATGGAATGCTGACCTTGTATCCCTTGGTCTTGTAGAGAGTCTCAAAGCACTGAGGGGTCACGGAGCTAGTATTGCAGACGGCGCCAATTCCCGAGTTGGTGGGGTAATGCTTAAGGTTAGGATCGGCCAAGATACCAACGTCGACAAAGGCGTCGGAGGCCTGGTTACGAGCGCGGAAAAAAGAGTTCGTGGGCTGAATAGTGTCTATATGGTCATGTAGATGAGCTGGCAGGGACCATGACGGTGCTCGCGCCACTTTGGCGCCATCCTTGTGCTCAAAGATGTGGTACTCAGTATCGAGGAGACTCTCAAGTTTGCTGACGGGCAAGTCCACAGTGATCCAGTCCTTGGCACTGTTGTATGAAGCCACAATGCCATTGTCACTGAGCCACTCATGGACGAGCTCCGTAGTCTCCTTTGTTGGTTTGACCAGCTCCTCGACTTCATCCGAAGACAAATGCTGTCCATAATTGGGATGGTCTGGGTCCGACACTGGCCTCGTTGTTAGCGAGAGGAACGGTGCTAGTGTCGCCCATTGGCAATGGATCAAAGCATCAACACATCAACATACCTTCGTACAGTTGCCTCTCCAGCTCAGCGAAGTTGCCTTGCTTGAGGCCGATCTGGACTTGCATGACATGATCGGCTGGGGCTCTCTTGACTTTAGTCCAGCCCCGAGGAACATTGTGAGAGTCCTTCAAGCTGTAGCCAGAGCGTGCGACCGGTGAGGCAAGCACAACTTGCGCGGCCGCAACAAGAGCGGCCGAGAAGACAGTAACGCCAACCATTGCGGCAATTGGGTCAGCTCAACAAGACAGAGAGGAGGTAGGGAAGAAGGACGACGGGACGAGGAACAGTGGCAGAGAAAGGCGCCCCTGGAGCTACTTGTATTATTTCTTTGTCCATTTGTCTCGTGTTTGGATCGACAGGCGCGATTGTTGGGCTCGCGTGCTATGATGCCTGCATCAAGACCCCTGAAGTCAAGCTGCAAGGGTCGACAGGGGGTTTCCGAGGGGGGCAATGGCTCTGACAGACTCTGGACGAATGGGAAAATGTCGCTTCCAGCCGTGTATAGATAGTAAGTACGCTCGTAGTATTAGATCGCCATTTGTAAACATTATGATGTCTGCATCATCGGTCAGGTATCGGTTCCTCTGGTCAGATTCTGGTGGCTTCATGAACAAGGTGCAGCCTGGTAAACTTACCGAGCTGCGATGGTAAATTGCCTTTTCAGGAAGGTCGGCGGTGGTGGCTAGGCGGGGCAATTCCAAAAGCTGGGGAGGCTAATTAGAGGCTAATGCAGCACGAAAGCGAAGCTTTTACTTCGTACACTCGACACTCAGCTCTCCGGCCGAGCGCTGGAGTCTATCTGCTTTTAGTCTTGGGACAGCAGCAACAGGCCAAGACGGGTTTGGATGGTCCCAAGAAAGCTTGTTGACTGTTAGGTTTCTTGTCTCCCGTCTTGTCTTTACCCAAGTACCCCGCTATCCATGCTACAGGTAAGTAAGTAGAGTACCTAGGTAGTTATATAGGCCTGAAGCTGAACCATTGACTTTCCTTACTTACCTACTCACTTACATACCTAGAGGCACATACATACTGTATACGTGCTGGGGAGCTGACGGGGCTCGCCATTTAGTGTACCTAGATCGCCATGGCCAAGATAAGAGCTGAGTGATTGGCCTACTCTACATACCGTTCCAAGGTTCTCGGTAAGTCCTAACCAGGGCCAGAGACCTGGCAGAGACCGGGCAGACCGGGGACTAGTGAGTATTTACCTGCCGTACCTAGCTAGGTATCAGTAAGCTTCATGGATAACTCTACCTAAGTAACAACTAGCAGCATTTACGGGCAGATACGGGAAGGCCAGTGGTCGATAAAGATCAGCAAGGTTGGAGAGCATGCGATCTGCCCAATGTGCTATGTCGAAGTCTGTTTATCTATATGTATCTACGGAGTACTTACTTACTTATACAATGTATACCTCTCCACACATCTTGCTTAAAATTAGCAGGCCACCTTACCTAAACGAGACAGATTAGATACAGATTAGGTATAAGCTACCTAGTACGTACACAATGCTCAAGTATATTATGTATCTTTAAGGACTAAATACCCTAAGTACTACAACTACCTACCTACAGTATATATAGGTTACCTACTTAGAGGTAAAGGACTTTATGATCAATTAATATTTAAAGGTTAAGTATAAGTACTTAATAAGTACAATGTGTATAATTACCTCAGTAGATACGTAGAGAACATAGGTATGAATACTACGGGCAGCCAATCTAAGTGGCCTGAAAATCAGCAAGGTGCCAGTTTTGGTCTAGTGTTTTACATATCTGGGGCACCTACCTACCTTTCGGCTTTACTAAGGTTATGTTTCTAATCAACTTCAAACCCTCAACAAGCAAAGCAGCTGATTGAATTCGATAGAAGTGGCCAGCAGTGCATAATCGCAACCCAGTATAGGCTGAATCGGTCCGGTATTACATAGGAGAAAGGTGAGGACAAAGATGCACGCAGTAGGATACACGCCGATTCCCTGATGCGCCATCAAACAGGAGATGAGTTATGTAGGTATGTTAGGTATGTCATGAAAACAAGCCATCACCACCACACTGCTTCCGCTCATTAAAGCTGACATGTTATTCATGGTACTACAGCAGCTAGGTTGACAAGTAGTCCCGTTAGAGGATGAAGAGTCATTTGTTATGAGACGCAGGTTTCGGTCGTTCTCTCTACAAGCTTCTCGACCCTCTTAACTGATAATCCAGGAAGAAGTGTCATGAGACTACATCAGCAAACCAGACTTATGTTCAGCTATGTGATCATACTCTTGGCTGACAGCAGTCGGCCTGTCTAGCATCTCACGCGAAGGCAAGGCCTATCCGCCTGTGCGAACACCTACATACCCTACCTATATGTAAGGTTGCTGTCGAACTGGTAGTAAAGTTGAAGTATCAGCTTGTATGCTTCCTGCCAACTGCTGGTTCTTGAACTATCTACTACCTGGTAGTCATCACAGACATAGGGATCCAGCTTTGCTTGTTCCCAATGTCTTTATGGCATTCTTTTGCTATGCATGTCGTCTATCTTTTCCAATACCTCAAACCACTTGTCGACCTCACCAAAGCCACTACCTAAACTGTTTCTTCTCACCGATCACGACCCGTAACCGCCGGCGCGATGGCGATCGATCAAGATACCTGGAATCGCTGGATAGAACTCAAGGAGAAGGGGGAAAATCTTTCTTTGAGAGAGTCAGAGACGGACCTATTAGCATTCCGGGAAGCTATGACCGAAATGGCCCAAGAACTTGCAGAGACCGCGCGAAATCTCGCAGTAGTGAGTTTCCAGCCTTTTCAGGAAGACGTAAAGCATTATTGGGAACTGAACGCCGAGGCCGAAGTATTCGTTCAACGTGCTACTCGGGTGATTGAGGAGAAGCGCCAGTTCGCGATCGTTAACAGGAACATTGAGAGATTCTTTATGATCTATCTCCGTCTATGGTTAGATCAATGGTAAATATCTCATCATTCGTATTTCACAGCGGCCGTGGGAGGACATAGACCGCAGGCCATGTGATCTCCCCCCATGTGTATCTCTGCAAACCAAGGCTAACACCCATAGGTCGATCACGCGCCGTTGATGCTGTCCCATGCATTCGTTTCTCCAGGTCAATTTCACCATATGCATGCCTGCATGCTAGACTTGGATCGAGCAGGCAAAGGGGCGGAAGCACTGGGGTTAAACGACATTATTTGTCGCTCAATTCTACGACACAACATACAATATCAACTTCTTGCGAGCATTGGTGGAATGAGCGGCATTACTCTCATTGTACTTGGAGCTCAACCAGACTGGCCTCTTCATGTTCTTAGGTCTCAACGTTCCGGCAGAAGATCTACGAAGCGCAAAATACGGTATGCACGTGCCCCAAGAGGTACAGTTGACCAAATTGGTACTTGTCATGGACCTGTCAAAGATGCATTGAACACAACCACCACTTTATAATTAACTAGGCCAAAAGTGTATTGTTAGTTTCATTTAGGCTAGCCAACTAGGTCTCTACTGTTATACGCCTATAAGCTGTACTAGCTGAACATATTCGCCTTGCGCTTCGGCCGTATGAAAGGCCATTGCAGGCTGTTCGTGATCATTCAGAGACATGCAGGCAATATTGGAAAGTGAGGTTATACAGACCTCACTTCTTGAAATAGACCCTATAGACCTAGGCGGTCTAGGCTAGCAGACCAGTTGTATACAGAGTCGAGTCAAGCCACCAATAGCCGAGAAGGAGTTGGTTGGTCAAGGACTCATACAGCCCTAGTTGATCATTGCAATCTGAATAGCACCAAGTTCCAAGCCCAGTTATCTGCGCTTGTTATATCTACCTTGACAGCAGAAATTGTTCTAGTATCTCCTTTTTCTCTTTGGGTCTCGGCCATAATTCCACTGATGACCAAACGTCATGTAAGACTCCATGCTTTTCAGAATTTCGATGGTCCTACAGGATCTGACAATTCACTAGTCTGAGGTCGCTCACACAAGATCACAGAAAAGACGTGCAACAAAGCTCTACAGAAGATAATTAGAGCCATCGGCTTCTCGTTGGTCTCATTCATGAAAGTCCAATTCTAGACCACCGCAGATTCTATTATAGCGAACTGATCCTTGTCGGAATCCAGCGTAGCCAGCGTATCAAAAGGCAGCGTAAGCAGCGGTGACGAGTGTCCGAAGTCGACATTATACAAGATGGGGAATTTCTTCTCTCCCATGGGACCCTCGCATAATAATCCTTTAACCACATTGGCGTACTGCTCTCTCTTCTCGGATGTGTGGTACCCAAACGGACGACCCACCACCAAGCCCGCGACATCGTCGAATACGCCCTGTGCGATGAGGTCTGCTATGCCGGCCTGCACGCGGTCGATGGGGTTTCCCGAGACGAGATCGTCGCCGGCAGCCGTCTCGAGGAAGACGATACGTCCCCGCCAATCAGGCACGATCGCGCGCACGCCGGCTATCCGCGCCATGACGGTCAGACACCCCCCGAAAAGTCGCCCCGTGCCCTTACCACGGCGCAACCAGATCCAGCCGGCGCTGGGAAGGACCTCGTTCGGCTCTTCTGAGTTATCATCAAGCGTAGAAGGCGGCAAGGCCGGGTGGAAAACCCGCGAGCGCTCGACGTCGCCGATGGGCGAGCGGTTTGCGACGGCACGGAACAGATTCCTCACATTGAAGGCAAGGGGCATGTCCTCGTCTTCTGAGGACGCGAGCTCGCCTAGCTCGGGTATGGCCCCAGGGCCGTAGAAAGTGCGTAAGCCCGTCGTTGCGTGCAGGAACCAGTGCAGGCCCGTGATATCGGAGTACCCCACGACGACCTTGGGATGGGCTCGAATCGCCTCATGCAGGGCCGTGTCGGCCAGGAGCGCCGGAAGAAGCTCTGTGAAGGCCGGCCCGCCGATGGTGCAGAAGACCGCGTCGATGGTCGGGTCCGTGAACGCGGTGCGAAGTTCTGACAGTCGGTTTGCGATGCCGTTCTGTATGCTTGTGTCGCGAGTGAACAACTCGCGGACTACGTATCCTTTGCTCTCCAGCACGGCGGTGGCGCGCGCTATAACTTTCGGTAGCGTGTCGTTGTAGCGTGCCGAGGGAGACACCCAGGCAATTGTCTGGCCTGGCTCAAGGGCTTTGGGCAGTATGGGCGAAGGCATTTCCTCTCACTTCTTAGATACGGTTATGAAACGATGCGTTTAGAGACAAGGGACGGCGTACAGTGGTGAATCTAGTGACAAATCTATCGCAATATATATTGCTTCTGGCCGTCTCTTGTACTTCCGTCGTAAGATTGCAGTTGGGCCACGCTGAATAGATGACGCCCAAGTAGCTACGCCGTGTTCTACTCCGAAGGGCGTGCTTGACGAGACGCTACTACATGGATGTGGAATCATGCTTACCACTCATGCGCAATTAGAAAGGGTTCAACATGCATGTTCCCCAGCTCGGTTAGAACCGAGACAGTGCATCCAGACATATTCACCACATATCTCGGGAGTAAGTAGTAGATGGCACAAGTCAGTCGTCAGGCATTATATTGTGCGACATTCTGAAAAGTGGGCAACCACCACGAACTATAAGACAATATGTACGGGCTTGGCATCACCCGGCGGACTCCTTACCTGCACAGCACTGCATCAATCCATCAATTTTGGTGCGCGCGTCTAACTGTTGGGAAGTACGGACGTAAATACATAATACATTAGTAAATACCTTCACTAGGCACAGGCAAAGTGAGACAAAGCCCTCATTCTGGGTAAGACGGTTCATAGATACTGAGTTAGATATTACGAACACGCACCGAGGCCACAATTTCGAACAACCGAATCTCGCGGTGAACATCCAGACTGTATTGATATTATCGAATATTGTTTTTTCATATCGCATATGTAAATTGCCTGAGCTAATGACATGGTATATGTTGCGGCACTTTGGCCGTAATGCATCGCTTAATGATTGAATGCCAAGGTCTTCAAAACCCAATCCCAACGCCTATCCCCATATCTAACCCAATAGATTGATCCCATTCCCTGATCGACTAGGAGAGGTAGGTCCATTACATTCTATATCCCTTATACGCATCGGAGTGATGGTATTCGGATAAGCCCTTGTTCCAGCGCACCAGTCTATCTGTAGAGGTGGAACCTTCGGGTCGTCCGGCCTCATACATCTGGTCGAGCTTCTCGAGAGCGTCGTCGGTTCCTTGCCGCCTTTTCCGCCAGACTCTGTGGAGAACGAAGAGTATGGCTATGATCAGTATCACACCACCTACACCACCGGCTATGCCAGCAATGGCAGCAGTAGACAGACCGCCGCCATTGTTGTTACCAGTGCTCTGGTTTTGTGTAATCTCGTTGCCGTTTCCATCTGCGACTGCCACTGGAGTGGTAATAGCTGGGGTTGGAGACGAGACAATGGTGGTAGCGGTGACTTCGGTTACGGAAGCAACCGAGGATGGGCTGACCAATGAAGATGATGTCGAACTTGATGGCAAAATCGAGGTGGAACTGGATACTGAACTAGACAGTCCTATGCTTGTAGCAATGCTCTCAATAAGCGAACTGGAAGAGAGAGTAGATGTGACAAGCGTGGTTCGTGGTGTTGTTTGAGATTTTGGGGTACCAGTGGCTGATGAGGGTGTTGATGAGGCTTCGGGAGTTGGGCTAGTGAATACACTCTCAATTGAGGTTGGGCTAGCCTGCGAGGTTGCCGATGTACTGTTCGGAAGCTCGGTGGGTGAAGGTTGGGCACTCGTCGTCTCGGGCGTATCAGTCTCCTCCTCCGCTGATGTCGGCGTGGGATCCGCAGTGCTCGTTTCCGTTGGCAGCGGAGAATCGGATGCCGAACTTGTAGGTTCAACACTCCCTTTGCCCAGTCCCAAGCCCGCAGTAAGCCCCAGGTCCTCACCAATTTTGTCTAGTAGGCCAGCCATTTTAGATCAAAAGATAATTAGGGGAACGCCAGGTTCAACGAATAGAAAGGAGAAGACTAAGAAAAGTGATAAGGCTTCAGGGTTATTCCATCTGGTGTCTATCGTGCCGTTGCTAAAATCCCGAAGACTGGTTGGTGGTTACTGCCTTTAGGTTGAAGTTAATTAGAAAGGGAATGAAATCGAAATGGTCCCCAATGATTATTATTATTGCTGAGATATTGAGAAAAGTAAACAGACGAAAAGCGGGATCTTCAGGGAGGTCTGAAGGGGTCCAGTTGAAATCCTTCTGCTGAGGTCATGGCCCGAGCTGGGGTAACAAGGCAAGTTTCACATCTCTGACCTCAGACCATGTCGGTTTGCGTGTCGTAGCCGCGAGAGGGTGTGATCCGCTCTGATCCGCACGCAAAGCGGCAAACGCGTGCCGCGGCGCACAAGTGGCATTGGTGATCAAACGGTAAACCTATATCCGGGGATGGACGAAGGCTTATCAAACTGCAGGTGGATGAAACAAGACCCCTGCAGATCGGGCCCTGTTTGAGAACAGCTTCTTCCCGGGCTACGGCACACCGCCTGCTGTACCCGAACCTGAATATGAAAAGAAAGAAACAAGAAAAAGTGGCAAAGTAAGATTTAGTTTCAATCGGTGAGCGTGAATTCGATAACTGTATTAGGGCTGCAATACTGGTGCATGTTTGTCTGTTGGCAAAAGCAGCATTTCCATACTTTTAGATTGTAATTGAGGAGGCTTGGTGCCATCGCGAAGTCTCACGTACCGCCTCGCCATTGTGAACCAGGGAACCATTCGAAACTCGGAGTAGCGAAGGCTATTCCAAACTAGGAGCAAGCAACCTGGCAGCAAGCCATTGGTGCTGCACAATACTATGATCCTTCTTGGGTGTCCGTCTTCTCGACAGTACCATGTGTGGTAGGTAATCTTGTTTGCTGTGCTAATCGCCTTGTTGTCACAACGCGTGCGTGGTACGAGTATCAGCATCCAAACTTTTAAAATACAAGCGCGAATCGATCAGGCCGGTGTCTATTTGGTGGGGAGCGATACCACGAATAGATGCCACGATGGGTGAGTGGGCCAAGCTAGAATCAACCTCTGGGCAGTCTGGGGAAGCAATCAACGATTCAAACTTCGATACCACACAACCTCGTGAATTCCTGGGCTGACGCATCGAAGTGGACCGTCGCAGCCGCTCTAGCGACCTCTTTTGTTTCCTGTACCAGACCAGAGGAATGTTTGATCATGCCCCGAGCGGGTATCAGCCAAAAAGACACTTCTGTTCCTAGGCGCGCCAGTCTATCAATGATGCCGTGAAGTTCTTCCCATAGATCCCGGTTAGCAACCTGTCGCGCTTTACGGTTTTTCCATCGTCGTTTGACCCATTTGGCTAGCCACGTCGTTGCACCAAGAACGACGTATTCAAGATCAGTAGCAATCACAATGCGCTTCCACCCCTCTTGTTGCCATTCTCGGAACTCGAGCCCTGCGATGACAGCCCGGAGTTTGGCGCGATTGCTGGTAGCGACGTGCTGCTCACCGCCCGGACCAGATTGCTCAAGCGGAAATCCAACCATGCCGCCGTCACCATGCCCCGCCGTGAATGGAAAGGCGGCTAAACCCGACTTGCCGGTACCCTTATAGGTGAAGCTGCAGCCCCCAGCCGGCGGCTGTGAGATGGCACCGTTATTGACGCAGCTACCGTCGATTACCAGAAGTATCTCGCGGCTATCATAACGGTTCACGAAACGAGGATGAGAGGTGCGGGTGTATACCGTCTGTAGAGGGAAGTGCTCCTCCGGAGTCTCGTCTGAGCTGGGCACGAAAATAGTAGCAGTGCTAACTCTAGATCGACGAGTAAGGCGTTTGCGGATCTTTTGGGGCTGCCTCGACTCCGGTAACAAGCCTATAGCACCGGGCTGGGCGCGAAAGAATGGTGTTGTGCCGTTATAGGCAGCCATGGCGACTTAACCAGGCTTGAGGCTGCACTTGAGATCCGTCGCGTCGAAATCACAGAGGGCCTTATGAGAGGGAGTTCGACAGCGCAATGCGTCCAATAGAGAAAAGCATGTGAAGAGAGGATGAACAAGCGATGAGCAAACAGGTAAGTAGGTAGGTAGATAGGTGCTTGGCTAAACAGGAGGCGCAATCTAGTCTGTAGCACCAGGCACACTACCTACTGTACCTAATGGCTACTGTGTAGGTACCTGAAGCATCGTATCTGCCCGTACCCGTGAGCTAGCTACCCCTAGTACAAAAACCCGCATTACCTGATGTCTTTCTCTGGTCTTTCCCTCATGAATTGAATGGAATTACACATTCAGATTTCCTTGTGTACATGGTCTCGAACGCCAGGGGTCTAGCACTGTACTTATGGGCTTGGCAATCTTGGCGATCTGACGCAGAAGCACACAGTGAACTAGGTACATGTGCCCAGTGGGATGCACCCGTGTTGTTGGCTAGGTACATCAGGTATTTATCGACCTGTGAGACATTGCGAACCCAATCTGGAACTTGTTCAACTATACTTAAAGTAGACATACCCAAGTTAGGTAAGAGCTTGCATCAACATGACAGTCTAGACTTTGAAATTACTAACTTTGATTTTGACAGAAATGTCACTTGATTTGTCGACTGTCGCTACCTGCATACATACCGATATTCCTGATTCAAAAATACAAGCTGTGCTTTTACCCCTCGTCTATGTTCCGACGAGTAGTTTTCAATATCAATACTACCTAGGTTGCCTAACCAACCTACCTCTTATCCAGCTCATCGGCTTAGTTCATTCAGGCGTTGGGACCGGCAGTCAAAAGATCAGCCACCCCCTTAGCAACCACTTCATGGATCGCAGAAGTTGGGTGCAAGTTGTTGAGCCAGAAGTACTCGTTAACTGGGACGCCACAGCTGTCATCAAGAGTATCTTGTGCAGGAGTACCACTAGGCTTGTTAGCAATCCAATATCATTGAAGACCAGCACTTGTCTTACTTTTGGTAGGCGACGCAGTAGTCCGTGGTGTTCTTCAGCCCAGAAGTCTCGGCATACGATAACGGATCATCCATGGCCTCTCCGAAGCTCTTGTTCGAATCATAGACCCAGACATTCGTGTCGCCCTTACTCTTCAGCGTGTCGGCGAAATCAAGAACTAATTGATTCCAGGACGCGACATCCGCCTGGGAAGTTGATACTGCCCAGTCTCCTTGGGGCACGATCAACGGGGTCCTATCAAGGGGTGGTACATTGATGAGGACATAGTTCCGGCCACCCGCCTCATAGATCTGGTCGATTAGATCCGAGATTACATCAAAGATTTGGGTGTTGAGAATATCGGTTTCATCAGTTCCCTTGTAGTAACTGTTGCCAATGTCGTTAATTCCGATCCAAACAGCAAAGATCGAATTGTCACCCGTCCAAGTCGCCTTGGCCGAACTACCAGTGTAGCCCGGAATGAACTCCGACTCGACCTGATCTTTCAGTGACTTGACAGAGACGTCATACGGAGCCACCAAGTCCGCTATTGGGATAATGTTAGTATCTTGCTGCTCAGACTATCTGAATGACTACACTGCCACCTCTTTACCGCTCACTCACAATCCACTGTTGCGCCCCCATACGCAAGATTATATGTCAGTAGAGACGAGGCGTTGTACTTGAATGTCAAATACCTACTTGGAGGTTAGTAATTGGCAACAGTATCAATAGTTGACAAGCTTCAGAAGGGAAGCCGAAAGTCTCAATCAGGCAGTTTTATTGAGACTTAAGGAATCTTGAAGTACTTACCCGACCCAGTTCGGCCCATTTGACGATGTCCACCCAGGATATGCTGGGTTACCAAAGGGGTTCGCAGTTGAGGGCTGCGTCGAGGTGTAATCAAAGCCTGCATTCCATCAACAAAATGTTTTGTTATCGCATGTTAAGCTGCGAATTATAATTTTTACCCGTCTGTGTGTAACTGTCACCACTATTGTCTCTGTTAGAGAACATATAGGCAGTACCAGATGTTGTCACTTACAAGATAAAGGCATTCCTGATGTTCTCCCATCCTACCCACCTCTTCTCTACCCCACCAGATTGCTGGCGGAGAGAAAGGGCGGACACGCCAAGCGCGAACAACGAAATAACTGTTGCTGAAAGTAGGACCATCGTGAAGAGACTCTCAATGAGCAAGACTCAAAGTAATTGTCTTATGGAAGGTGAGCGCGCGGGACCAAGGGGTTATATCAGCAACGTCGCGCCTCAACACTTAAGAACCCCTAATCACAGTCTCAAAATGAAATATTAGCGGAAAAGCGAAGCGGCACAGTTACGTCACTATGCTTATATGCTTATGTACGTCAACAATATGCACTCACACGCAGAAAGCCAAGGTCATTTACCTGCCTATTCTGCTCTCGCTAGCCCATCGCCTCGCACGCTATGTTTCAAAGACTGAATTTTTGCATGTACGTGGACAATACTCGAGGTTCTTTTCAGAGACTGCGGTCCATCACTTCCCGCCCTATTGTATCTCAATGCAGAAGTTCTCCGCGTGAAGATACCCCTACATCATTTATTATCACGTGATCGGAGTGATAGCTTCCGTGACCTAAATCGATCGAGATCGCGACCCGAAACGTAAATCAATCGATTATATACTGATAATTTCAGATGTTTCATTACCTCAGAAGAGCCATGATGGTAGCAAACCTTTGCCGTTAAGGTATACGTATCTTTCAACTGTGTTGTTGACAGTTGAGCTAATCATGCGATATGGTATGGCACTTATCTCATGCTGTTCCATAAAATATTAGAGTTCCCCAATCTAAACATAGGTATAACTCAAAGAGATGCCTTTCAATTGCTTCAATGTATTCATCCTTTCATATGCGCGATATACACAGTATTAACATGCCATAGTTGCCAAAAATAAAAGCTGTTGAGGGTTACTATATGATCTACCTAAATCCGTTACATTTCTAAGCTCTGTCAACCGCTAAGAAGACTCATATGTCAAAACTTATAAGGAAGTGACAATTTTATGAGTTATCTATTCGCCGTGATAAATACATAAAGTTATTAGCGAAGCTAATAACGCTTCATCTGTTATTGTGGGTAATGTATGACAGTAAATACTTAGACGTAATTACACCGGTGCAAAATGTAAGTACCCGCCACTTGCTATCTGGTGATATTGGCGTATAAGTGTCTGCCAGTTGCAACTCAAATGACCCTTATTGAGCTCTTCCGTTTCTATTTTGACTCGGGGTTACTATTGATAATTAGATCGTTATGTATGTCCAATAGATGTCCCTAAAAGCATAAGTTATTGCCAATAAACAGAGCAGATATTGCTTAGGGGTCGTGTATCAAACAACTAGTTATCGATGTAGTTATTGAGTATACCGTTGGTCGTAGACCGATAAGTTTCACTATACAAATGCTACAATGTATGTATTGAATCTCGGGAACTCAACTTCTTGCCTTGTAACCCACTGCTTACTATAGCACAACTTTTACGACGAAGCAGCTATATACACATTCGAAATCTACCTGAATTGGTGAGATACGAGTAAAGAATTGAGGATACACAGCTCTAATTCAACGAAGATTCTGACTTTTGCGAGCCGTCTGGAGATTCCAACTGCCTTTAAAGACACCTGTAATTACCCACTTACACCCATTCTACAAGTTTGGAACAACGCCACTACTAACTTGGGTTGAGTCATAGAGAACTACTTGCTCGGAAATGCTGGCTATGACAACACCAAGGTGGACGTTGTTGCAAAAGCTAGGTTAAAGTCACCTTTTATCAATCTGCATACCTGCTGATCTCGATACAATGTCATTTCAAGGTTTCTATCGCTATACGGTATCACTCACTTAGTTCTTACGTGTCTGTAATGGAAGATGGCGACAGGAGCCTTTCTATGAGTGCAACATCATTCGCATGCAACGTGCTTTAAAATTCAAACAGTCCAGGTAGGTATAGGAAACTTCGCAGTATTTCCATTTAGCGGGTAAGTAGTATAACATGATTTCAAGGTCAAACGAATTCGGTACTTGTTAAGTACGAACTGGAAGGCAGGGGCTATGGCGATCGTCGAATTCGACGCTAATTAGTTCTAAAACAACTCATGCTGTTTATTGACGATAGCTTTATTAACAAGTAGTGATTGCCGCAAACTAAATAACTCAGCATGTAGGTGATATTATGAAGGGCAAAGAGAAATTTCAAGATCATGTAAGCGCAAAGGGTGTACTTGATTGATGTGTCTTATTGGTAGAGGCTCCAAAATACATATGCAGAGTGAGGGTCACGAAAACCATCAAACTGGCAATTATACGACTGCAGGCGCATGATCTAAACAAAGCCGCCACCTTGTTCTCATAGCTAAAGATTTGCTTCCATGTAGACTCACATATTGTTGCGGCCAGAATACTTAGTAAGAGACGAAGTCGTACTGCTACTGGTGCCACCCAACCCCAGGCCTAGAACACTTTGCCTGCCAAGACCCAGCTCCTCGCTACATGCTCAGCTGCCAAGCTCAACATTAAGAATAGCGACTCATTAGCGCATGATCTAGATCTCCTGATAGACTCCTAGTCTACGATGAAGATGCATCTGGAACAGGGCGAAAGGTGTGATATTCTCATCAGTCTGTTGTGCTTGGTATAAGAGGGATGCACAGGTCTCTTCACTATCTATCGTATTCATACGGCTCTCAAACTCCTCAAGCTTAGGGTCGAACTACATAGTCAAGCGCAAGTCACAATGAATTATTTCAAGAAAGCCCGGAGCCATGTGCAGGGTGCTATGAATGATGCCCGAGAACTGGCACAACAGATACAACAGGACTATAAGCAGTCTCAAGGGAGCAACGATCAACCCCTTACTACTACCGCCGGATACTACCCGCCCACACCACAGCAGCAGCAGCAGCCTCAGTATTCCTATCCCTCACCCTCCCGCCAATATGAGAATCATGGCTATGAGCCAAAGGTTGCGACCGGAACATTTAACATGGTGCCAATGGCGAACTGTCACACGGATGACGTGGACAGCACGGACCACCCTCTCGAGCGGGGTAATTCATGTATATAAAGGCTGGCTAGGTCCCTTTCTCCATTTCTCGAACTTGGAAGGTTAAGAGGCCCTTTAACGCCATAGCCAATTATTAGATCTTAGGAATGAAGCTATTCCCAAGCCCAGAGATACTCTGCCCTTGTGACACGAACGCTCTGCCTCATAGCTTCAACCCCCCTGCCCATCAGGCCAATACACACTCATATCCGACACCTCCTCCTGAGGAGCCGAAACAAATCTCATACTTCCATCTGAGATCAAAGGGCCAGGCACCATCAGCATCTCCAGCAGGATGTCCCGGGTCCAAGTTCATTTCAGTCGACCTAGTACAATTTTACGTCTTCAAGCCCCAATTCCGGGAGAAGGTAGAAATCATCGAAGACCAATTTGGGATATGCAGCTCGTGTTACGCGGCTCTCGAGCCAGAACTCGCAAGCTACTTCCAGCCCCTGAGTGAGCCCGAAGGGACGCACCCAGATGGTCCCACCAGGGCGCGACAGGCGACATTTAATTGTGACATGGCGCTCCCGGCAGTTAAAGCGCTGTTGCACTACGAATGCGTGCCCAAACGAACAATGGAACCGCTTCTGAACTTTGCAAAGGGCACAACGGAATGGTTCAGTTGCGGTAATAGTAGCCAGCAGATCACGCAACCCGTGGAGTATTACACGGTGAAGGCCATTGACGATATGGCGGTTTGTAAATGGTGCTTCGAGCGAAATATCCGCGGCACCGCATTTGAGCGAGAGTTCACTCTGTGTGGGCCGAGGACAGACTGGATTTGGATTTGCGACTTTGGGATGGGCGGCTATATATACAAGGCAATGCTTCGGGAGCTCGACGGGTCAGGGTCACAGTCCCCGAACATTTCTCGCTTCGTGGAGAATGCCCGTCGACGCATGGCGCTACCACCGTGTCCAGGCGCGGACAACACATTTCCACCGCCTGGGAACGGGGAACGTGTGTTCACGTATGAGGCCGTGGCGGGTAAGTCCGGAGTTTTCTGTCAGGCCTGTTACTGGGATAGAATTCTTGGGACCAGTATGGAACAACTCTTCAACGCTTACACGGAGCTTGGGGACGAATTTCGTGGACAAATCGGGTGCGATATGACGGCCGTTGGATCCCAATTCGCCATGGACGTAGCCATCAAGACTGGGAATGATGCAGCCTGGAGACGGTGTATGGAAGGACGGGGCAAATACCCGCAGTGTGCCGGCGTCCTTGGAGTCGATGAAGAGGACCTCCAGAATCAAGATCAAGATCTTAATAGGTGGTATCATCTCAACGACCACCCCAACATCGAGATCTGCCAATGGTGCTACTGCACCACCGTCGATCTCCTTGGGGCTTCTGGGCTCTTCTCCCCTATTAGCCGGCCTCTGTGCCCAGGCGTCGTACGCATGTGTTTTCTCTCCGTCCCGGAGGACCTCAGCGCCGACACGAGCGATCGTGAGAACTTTGAGAACACGCTCGTCTGGCGCGGTACTATCCTCCGCAACTGGCTGCATCAAGGCTACGAAAAGAATGGCGATTTTACAGCCTTCAGACAAGCGGCGAGTGCCATAGCAGCCCGGCCGCCTCCTTGTTCTGCCGGAAAGCGTGCCCACAAGCCCGCTTCGGGCAGGAAGTGGTACGGCAATAACTTCTACGCAGAGGGAGACTTGCACAAGACGGCCATAGCAGTCTGCGAGGAGTGTTATGATTACTGCATAAAAGGAACATCAATAGAGTGGTTCGTAGGCGCTGACCTAACTGACAAGACGTATGCCGGCTGCCCGAATGGGTTCTGCTGCAACTGTTCCACGAAGCGAGGGCGTACTGAACTACGCCAGGCCTGCCAGAATGGCGTCTTCAACGAGTTCGCCGACTATCTCGCGCGGCGCAGAGAGGTCGAGGCGCGCCGGAAGAAGGTCGACGAGCTCTGCAACGAGCAGGCGAAGAGACAATGGGCTCAGAAGGAGGCGATTGACGCGTCGACGGCAGCGATGCAGGTGAATCTCATGCAGCAACTCAATGCCAACACGAACGCGACAATGATGCGCATCGGCGGCTCCGTTGCCGAGGCCGCAGCACCGGATTACGGCCAGCGGTTCGGGAATTCCAATGTCGGTTATGGCTATCTCACCCATAACGGCGCCGCGGCAGCCCAGGCTAGTGTCGATGCCGCCAAACTGTCGCAACAATCGAAGTATATCTCGACATGGCAGCCTTCGGGGAATACGTGGCAAGATACGCAGGATCTGTTGGCTTTGTCGAAGATGATTCAGGCAGAATGGGAAGCTATTCAGTAGATTATGGGGCTTCGCTTAAATATGTATACCTAACCTAATAATTATATTTCACACAACGCCCACGGTGTGCTTGAAACTTGAGCATATGAATATATTACGAATTTCACTAAAGATGGAAGATAAGACCATGAATGTGTTGGCTGGATATGTCAGAGTCCCAAAGCAAACTAAAGCATATAGAAATTGTTATCTAGCGGATCAATCGTGGTATTTTAATCGTATGCCGGTCTCTACATCGTTATGGTGTATTAGTATTCAATCTAAAGCACCCGTTCACCCATTCTTCTGAGCCATAGGCTGCTCTTGAGAACGTCATAGCCAACGCTCGCCTTTCAACTTCGTATTCTTCAATATCTGAGATATACATCAACAACGCTAGAGAGAGCGATACTAAATTTCAAGATTTCTCATGCAGGCTCATAGATATCGTAGAATTTCGATCCCTTTCAGTATGACTAAATTAGAGCTAGTAATTATTCAATCACGGCATGGAAACACTGTGGATTCACTCTTGACTTGGTCTACTTGGGAAGGACGGAGTGAATGACTATGTAAAAAATAATACAGAAAATGAGTACATGAATAGTCGCAATTGTTAAGCCATGCGGCGCATGAAATTTCCCCATGGCAGATGCTTTGGCAATCTCAAATGCTCAACAGCATATACGGGATAAGATATTCCGGTTTTTAATAATCCTTCATTTTCTCGCTGTTTCGGCGTTAGAGCAGGACAAACTAAACTCCTCTCGTGTCTTGATGAGTTCATTGCGGAATCATGCGAACTCGCTTCAAGTGCTGCTGTCTCATCGTAGAACTACCTCCCTGGGCCGCAAGTATGCATATTCTTCTCATCAGCTCCGTCAGTGACTAAGCCTCAAAGTCCGATACTCCGCATCGGAGAGACTCTGCATCTCTTGTCCCAACAACCCCAATTAGTAACGCACTGCAATCATTTTATAGTCAGCTGTAACGCAATAGCTAACCTATCTAACTTAGGCCCGAGTGATCGGTCTTTCTTCTGGTGCATTCCTAGGCATTCCGGTCGGAGTAAAGCATCAACAATATCCATGCGGCGATAGGCTAACGCCGAAAGGGGTTAATGTCCATCCCGGTTCCCACTTGGTGAACGATTAGGCTTTCTATGCAATCTGCATGACGAACGAAAAGCTATGCAGAGCTGAACAGGTGAGTAACGACGCCTCTGAAGCGCGATGTGCGCTGGGCGGGCGATCGGCTGGGAACCCGATTTGTTCGACTCCGCCTTTGCTCGGCCGGTACTCCGCTTGTGCTCCCCCAACCCTCAATGGTGCCAACTTAAAAGACGCCATAACCCTCGACATTCGAAGAGAGACATTGCCTCAATACCAGCACGACGACATCACAGACATACACAAGGTGACCTAGCTAAGGACTCGGTGTATTAAAGATAATCAATCCTCCACCACCACCACACGGCTACACAGGCGAGGCTTCACAATCACAATCAATCACAATGCCGTTCATCGCGTCCGTCGTGTACCCCGCCGGAACCAAATTCGACATGGAGTATTACCTCGCACACCATGTACATACATATCCAAGACCCATTGTTTCCACAGTGTTAAAAGCTGACTTTATTCTTCTCAAGATGCCCCTTGTCCAGAAGCTATGGGCTCCATTTGGTCTTAAGAGCTGGAAGGTCGCGAAGTACGACAGTGAAGGCGCGCCCTACGTCGTCCAGGCATGGCTCGAGTGGGAGAGCAAGGAGCACTCTAACATGGGAGTCACCAGCGATGACGGAAAAATCGTCTTCGCCGACGTGGAGAAGTTCAGTGACAAGGCTCCCATCATGTTGACGGGTGAACAGGTCGGATCCGCTAGTTGGTAAATGCCACGGGAAAACAAGGACAATATCAGGGAATGGAGATGGATATTTAATGACTCCTTGTAGTGATACGTTCCACTTTTAAGCCGAAGCTCTAGCCTACGATACAATATCTACGACTAGATGAAGCATATGAGCATTCATGATACAATTCCTTTCAAACGCCCCTGCTCCAGATCAGGCATGCTGTTGGTGATTGATTATCGGGAAGAATTGACGTAGGATAGTATCACTCTGAATATCGGTAAGATCAACGCATTTATAAAGCAAACAAATGCGATAGGAAATTTAGGTCATGACAATGAATATTTCGGTCTTATGTCGTTATAAACGCTGTTGTTTGTTAGATCATACATCCAATTTTAACACATGTCATTTTTAGAGCTGAAATAATGAGTCCAAATTTGAAGATCTAGTTCAAATACTGAATTTATAGTGAATTCAAAAAGAATACATCCTCCTACGCATCTAGACCAGTCTCTCCGAGGTTGTCCTATAATTTATACTTGAAATAAGTAGTTTTATGGTGTTGAAGTCATGGTGCAATCTGTTTATAAATTATCAATAATGATTTAGTAAAGCGAGCGTATCTTCTAATGTTAAAGCCGTTGGAACTAGAATACAAGAGCAGAACAATTTGAAACCGACAACACACATCCGTATGCCTCCCCCTAACCTGTATGAGCTGTAGTGATCGTAAAGTCATAAAGTATCTGCCGGACTGAGAGAAGGAGAATAAACAGACCAAAAAAAGACGGCACAGCCGTACCAGTTCCTACTTATCCATTATAGTTCGGTGGAAGTGCTTCCCATCGTACCCTTGTCTTTCGCGTAGGCACGTATTGCTGCATGCGCGGTTTATTTCTACACCTACCCTAACCTATGGAGTTGTGTCTGGCAACCTGGTCAGATGTTGAACGCAGGTGGGGCTGTATAATAACCATTAGACTGCTCGAACGTCTAACGGCGTCGTTTTTGACGTTCAAGATCAGATATATTCTCAAAGGACCCAATCCTGGCGGAACGCTGTCCTTGCGCGTAACCATGTATTGGGAGATAGCTCGAGCCACTGTTCGTAGTGCTGTATTGACGTTCTTGCATCAGTGGGTAGCTTTGCCGTCTATCACAGCTAGTGTGCTCAGACTCATATGTCATGGAGGAAAAAGTACTCTCAGGTGGCGACAGTGGCTGATACCCGTAAAGAGGTCCTGAGATAGTTGTGTTGACGTGGGCAAAGTTTGTCGGAGGAGACGCCGATGGGGTCGACGAACTGGGCCATCCGCTCACATCATGTGTATTTCTGTCATAGCTAAGAGCAATCAGTCTTTGCTTTAGTAATATCAGTTTCATCGCGTACCTCTGCGTATAAGTTCTGGGCGTCTCTATGTTCATTGTATTATACGTGTGTCCCACGATGTTCGACATTCTAGGCTGGTTGTCCCTCATCTGCCCATGACCCGAAGAGTATCCTACAAATTCGGTCGGTGTCTCAACACTTGGTTGAGACAGAGGTGGACTCAGAGGTGGACTCAGAGGCGGAGAAGCGGAATTGGATCTGCTCATGGAGCCACCTGGGCTGCATACTGATATTGAAGCGCTCTCGCTTCGTCTCCTGCAATTATACTTCCGAACGCCCCATTTTATCAGTCGCCCTCTGTACGCGCGTGTCCTGTTCCCGCTTGGATCAGCTGATGATGATTTTCCAGGGGGCAGAGGACTTCGTACGAGGCTTGGAAGTTGTATCTGTCAATCATGGTTTTCCGAACCACGGCCAGCGTGTTTTCTGCGTACAATTTTTTGATAGTAGCTTCGTGTAGATCCCATGGTTTGGTCATAGTGAAGGTAGTTCATTCCAACAGAGTTAGTCTCCATGAAAGTTTGAGGTTGTGATTTGCTCGATAGAGAGGCAAAGGGCATGGGAAGCTATGGAAGCAAAACGTCTCCTCATATCCCCTATTTTCTATGGAGATGACTGGAGATTAGTCGAAGACGGTAGCCAGGCTCCCTTGCTGGGCAGAACTCCAAGAGGGGGTAAATAGCGAGGGATCTATTGCGAACTTATTGCTTGTCACCAAGATGCATCCCTGAGATGCAGGCTCTAGGCAGTTCAGCCATCCTTAGCCCGGCCCAGGTCTTTTTCTATATTCTCTTTGTGGGGTTGCGGTGAGGCTACGAATTAAAACTGTTTCTGGTTGTGAAACAGATAGTCGCCCACGTTCTAGGTCGTGGAAAGAGTACGATGTGATCAGCATGGTATATGCACGCCAATGATAGGCAAAGACAAAGGCATAGTCTCATCCTAAGTATATCCAATTAGTTCCGGCCCCCAGCCACGTTGAATACCCAATATGCATGGGTTGTCGCCTTGAAAAGCAGGGGTTTGATTGGTTCGAGGATGTAATGTAACGTGCTAGGGTGAATAAGGCTGACTGAGTCATTCGCGGTACGATTCGCTCCAGGATTCGGTTATGGGGAGTTCAGGGTTATCCACTTTTAGAGAGTGCGGTGATCAACATATTGATAAGGTCATGTTTCAACTGCTAATCAGTTATTACCACTCTTTCATGTTGATCTTATCTAGCTCATTATCATTCTGTTGAGTGGCTACCGGTGGTGGGCGTTCACGAACCGCTTGGAAAGGACTGCTGCCTAAGATGAGGGGGAAACTAGTGTGTGGTAGGTGACGTTGATCCCGTACCCAATGTCTTACACGTCTTGATTTCGCCCAACAGGTACCTACTCTTTGTGAGATACGAATGATAATGTAAAGCTGATAATGTGGTTGCATTAACTCAGCCACAGAAACCATGCAGGCGACGGGCCGGGAACCAGTAGCTTGGGCCTATCTGGCAAAAGGATTCTACAACATGAAAACCCCAGAGCTCTGTCAGCACTAATAACAAACTGCATTGCCTGTGTAAAGCCCGGAAATGCTGCAGGTGACAATAATATGGTGTGAGGTCGGCCAGGTACAGTTATTGCTTAAGGTAATATGCACACTCACGATAATCAGATATAAGTTGCCGAATAACTCAGAACACTCTGATTCAATATCTCTCGTGTCAGGATGACCAATGAGTGTAAGTGGCTTTGTTGAGGCGGTGGCAACTTTAGGACTATGCCTAGGTCTTCTTCAAAATCCGCACACATCCCCGCATTTACTTGCCCAAAACATATTGATTGCTTTCAGATCCATGCAGGCCAATATGGGATCCAGCAAACCAGCGCGAGGCATACAGATTTTCTCAGATTGATGAAATTCCGAAGCGAGATTTGCAGCTTGAGATGGAACGGGAACTGCACTGTGGGATCTGATGACGAAGTATATAGACTCATCGACATGGGACGCCTTGAATTGGACATCAAGTTTACAATAGCGTTCAACCCCATCTTCAAATTCTTAACTTGCCCTTGATTCCTAGGCATTAAGTGTCTTCTATTGTAAGTAAAAGAAGTATATAAATTTCTTTCTTTGCCTGTTAGGGCTGAGAATTTTTATGAGGGTGTAGGCTTACTTAATTCATCCACATTCACTGAGACTTGTTGACCCATCTACAATCAGACAGGTTGCTCTCTTTATAACGTTATAAGTACACCTAGACGTTCCTATATCCAGTCATTCTCTTCGGACTTCACATGGTGCCTATGCCAGACCCCAATGGCCTGCTGACAGGTTGCAATTGAGATGCTTGTTCCTGTGATAATCGGGGTAGTAAATGACACGTCGCAGTGTACGCATGTGTTCATAGGTGTCCATGTCCTCTTTGAGTTGTAATATTAGGGCATAATCAATGACGCGAGCTTGTCTGCACCACAGGATGTAACATAGGGACTTGAGCAAATTATCGTATGGACGTCGTATATGCAGGTATATAATGGGACATCGAACTCGTGTCCTAGCGGCCTCACATATCCTCACATCTCTAAAGTGTCTTCTTGTTTCAAAGAGAGGTGGAGCCCAAATCGAGCTGTCATAGAGTCGTAGTCCGACAAGGGAGGAATCCCAAGTCGAATGGTACATCACAAACTGGGCATGGATAGACATGGAACATGTGACCTTGATAGATCAGTGATATCCTTTTCCTATGTTGGACGGGTGCAACAGAAGACCTAAGTTGACTCACCGGGAAATACTACCTACTTGCCGAGATGCGGACGTCAAGGCACTCCGCAAGGCAACTTTGTGCTTTTGGCCCTGATATTGGCCCCTGTCATTCATCTCATTTGTGTTCGGATGGCCCATTTCAATTTCCCCGCTTTCTATTCACGTCATCCAGGATGGTGCATGGGCATTTTCTAAAGAGGTTCTTTGCGGCTCTTCGCTATGCGGCCTCATACCTGGTCGAAGCGGCTATTCCTTCCGAAGGTGAAGCACCGCCATGCTGCCTGGAATAGAATGACTTTCGATATAAGCTAACTTCGCCTGAAACGAATAATATTCTTAAAAAAACAAACCAATTCACAATATACGTAGATGGAACGCTCTCAAGTGATTTCTTAGTAATAAATACACATATCATATCCACAGTCAACAACAACAACCCACAAAGAGGGGCGGGCAGCAAAATCAGCCTTGCGAACGCCGATGCGGGCCGCGGTACAACACCCCTGTCTCTATCTCACCTTTGGTTGCCTTACCCCGTACCTACCTGGCAAGCATGCATCTATCCCGTCGCATCCATGGTTGTGGGAGAGGCATAGCAAGGGACGGGGAGGGGAGCCACGCTTGAAGCTCTATCTTACCTATCTAGCTGATCTTACCTGTTTCCAGAATGCCTGATCACCTTAAACACCAACCAGCCCGCCACGCGTGCGTAGCATGGCCATGCATGGGAAAAGGCATTTTAAGAAGTAGGTAGTGAGGTACTCGATGACTCCAGGTTATATCGCCCTAGAGTTGTATTCATAACGTGTATATGTTGTGTACGTCTAGACTTATAGGGCAGAAGACGGTGTAATTATAAGTAAGTAGGACTCGGCTCAGACTCACCTACATGCAGTAGTAGGATACCGGCAACGAACCCCAACAAGTAGTCAGGCACCAAAAGCTACACTACCTGACCTGAGTCACACCCGGAAAATCTCCGCAATAAGCATACTCTCGGCACGGTGAGTTCTCTTTTTCTAGAATTTCTACAGCATGTTCCCTTCCCTTTCAAGTCCCTTGCAAGTCCCTTCGCCCCCTCCTCCTCAATTCCGGCACACGCGGAACAAGTCGTTAACGTAGAACATCGCTACCAGTCAGGTTGATCACTTGACCTTATCTATCGGCTGAATATAGCTACTGTAACATTACCTCTGTCCGTCAACCAACCACCACTCTATGTCTACCTATGCAATGGAATTGTAGTTACAGTTGTAGTGCATTCAAGGTCGTACCTAATAGCATTTACTTGTCGAGCGGTTCGCCCTTCGCCCTGTGCCCTGTGCCCTGTGCCCTGTGCCCTGTGCCCTGTGCCCTGTGCCCTGTGCCCTTCGCCCTTCAGGCAACACAGGGACTCCTCCTATTATACGCCTCAGATGCCCTTGATGTGACTCTTCCGCTGATGAACACAATACACTCCACACCTCTATTCCCTCTCATCCATCCATTCTACACGCCCTGACGTACTTCAAATCACACCATCGAGTTCCCTTTCACCCTACACCGCCTTATACCACCCTATCTACATCTTCCGCGACCTCCGGCTCAGCAATACAGAATTCGACATGTGGTATTATCTCAAATCGCAATGAGCGAGAAAGGTATACTTATTCTCGGCAACAAATGATAGGATCAACCAATAAATGGCGGCCTCTGTTAAAAGAAAAAAAAGAAACAAATGGGAATATCTCATCACGACGGTAGTAGTAAGCTATGACGCAAACCCAAAGACAAGAAAAGATAAGACGAATATTAGAATTTCCAATTTTCAATATTAGTCATCCCACGTGCGCCCCTCCACCCACCCCCCCTTCTTCCAAGCAGCGAAATCCACCTTGTTCTGTTTCATCCATGGCCATAACAGCCCGCTTTTTCCTTCCATCGATCGGACGGAGAATTTTGACCGTCCGTCGGCCGAAGGTAAATCATAATAGGCTCGGTGTCTGATAGGTAGGTAGGTAGGTAAATAATGATGGCCCGCGTCTGCCTAGCGCAGAGCCTCATAACATGCCCATTCCGCCTGAAGTTGCCTTGTGCGCGCCTAACTAAGCCCACACCTCCACCTGTGCTGCAACCCAGCCCAACCTCCTGCTACACCTTCTCAGGAGGATTTAATGTTAGCTTAGTATATACCCCGACTTTCTACCAATCATAGCTGTATGTCCGTTAAGATATGGCTATATCTTAGCTACACTCTAGCTATGCCCTCGTGATTGCCCAGTTATACGGTGGTGATGGTATAAGAGTAGTGGAATCATTGGTTTTTGTATTGCGCTAATATTGAAGATTACCAAATATTACCTAGGTATTAATAGGGGAAGAAAACGACAAGAAGGGAGGGGCTGCTCAAATGCCAAGCTGCAGGCAAATTACATGATTCATCTCTCGTGACGGAAAGTGGTCTTAGTTCGTCAATTCAAACCGAGGTTCTCCTTGTGTCCTTGCCAGGTGACTCCTCACATATCTCAAAATGGGCTTTCAGTTTGCTGGTGCTACCTTGCCGGGAACGAGGAATCGTCCACGTGGTACGCCTCTAGCCCACGGTTTTCTTCTCCTCATTCGCAGGAGTAGTAGGACCAGAAGCAACCTTTTCCGTTGGTGACATGGCTGTAGGGCTGCTTACAGTTTCAGCCCCGGTGATGCCCGCTTCTTGTTCCTTGTGTCCAGAATCAACCTTGGAGGTCTTGGAGCTCGTCGAGCCGTGAGACTCGGTACCTACTATAGGCGATCCTGGGGTACTTTCGTACATAGAGCCGGTAGAGCCAGCAGCGACGCTGATGGCTTCGAACCACTTCTGAGCATCGGCGGGTGAGTGGGCCTTGAAAGCAAGCTCTGAAGTGCCAGCAAGCTTGCTGCTGAAGCTCTTGCCTCTGTCTTTCCCCTTGACATTGAATTTGTCCCCATTAGGCACACCAATGACAGCGTCGGGCAGATAGATTGACAGTTCAGGTTTCGGGTCGTGTTGCAAATTGTCGTCGTCTTTGAATTCATGAAGATATTTCGACGGCGTTACGACATAATAAGCAGACTGGGTGCCCCAAGAAAGCTTGTTGCGCGACTTGCGTTCGAGACTCCCTTCGATCAAGGGTTTGGTCGACCCGTGGTCTTGGTTTGCGAATGTGACAGCGTCTAGACTCCTCGGGGGGTCATTAGGGTTTACCAAGCGCTGTGCATTTCGTTGAGTAAACCCTTTCCATTCAAAATCGCCAGGGATGCGCTGTGCTGCACCGAGCATATCAGCATACAGAGCTCGAGTCTTTTCGGCCTGACCACCGGCAACTTGGTTGAAAGCCTCCATGACCTCCTGAACAACTTGAATAATATGAGCTTCGAAGGCCTGAAACCCTTCTTGGACATGAAGCAGATCGTTGCTATGGTTGTTCTCTGCGATAATCTGCTTGTTCAGCCGGTGGATCACCCCACGCTTGAGTACATAGGGGTCATCAGTGGGATGCAGTTTTCCCCCAGTGGATTCAAATGACGCTGAGTGTTGTCCAAGAAGCTCGATGTGCTTCTGGGTTGCATTCCTTGCCTTCTCAATTTCCTTAGCGCCTTTGTCGGCCCCATGAGAGACTTCCTTGTGTTTGGCTTTGATTTCCTTATGCAAGCGTTCAAGGATGGGAAGTACGGTGCCTTTCAGTGTTTTCTCAGTCTCGGTGTTGGAGTTGACTAGGGCCTGTTCACAGTCAGCCTTGCATTCCCTAAAGGGTGTAAAATCGAGCAACTGACCTGTGTATTGACTCGCATATTCTCAAAGAACCCAGCAACGCCACCAAGCCCCTGATCGAAGTGATGGCCCTCTCTTAAAGGGTGTGAGATTGTTTTGAGTACCTTCTCATACTCCTTGGCATGAACCTTGTGAACCTTTTCCACAGCCCCAACATAGTCCTCCAGGTATACAACAGCGTGTTTCCACGCTTGCAGCCTTTCTGTAAGCAGCCCTGCGGTCTAGAGGCAACATCCATCCGGTTAGTGTCACGATATGGAAACGATCAGAATGCGACTCACGGTGGTAGGGTCGATTTCGGGGACGGCATCGTCACTGCCGAAGGTCGTGCCCTGCCTTAGAGGCATTGACTTCGAATCACCGCTCATAGTAACTGGGGCCAATGGGGCTAGTATATAGTTTGGGTATTAAGTACGTAGGGAGCGCGCGTAGAAGGGATTGTGGCCGCTCGTCGCTCGTTCTCGTGGATCGGATGGCACAAAATTGCCGGTACGGTGGGAAACTGGGGATGATATGGCGACGAGGGAGTCGTGGTACTTTAGCAAGGGATTGATTGGCGTAGTGCCAGGGCAAGCGATCAGTGTCGTCACAGTCGCGGACGAAGCCAGCGCGCGGGGCTTGCTCGGGGGAATGAATCAAATCTAGCAACGAAAAGTGATGATGTTAGCGCTGGCTAGCACAAAATTGTGATGTCGCTATTGGGGGAGCGGACCCCTGTGTCGATCACGACAGCTGTTGCTGGACTGGCATCAAAGAGCGGTTCCAGTGGCCTGATCCAGATACCTACCCTCAATGCTGCTTTCAACATCTCTCTCCGTTCTGTACCATACCGCCTATGACGATGATTAGCTTAGTGGCAGTACCCTGAATAAGCTAGCGCAGATCGAGCCCCGCAGTATCTACGGCGAGCGCCCACGCTAAGCGAAGAGAATTAAGGGTGATCTAGGTAATAGTAGGTAGGCCACGAGAATGCGAGGAGAAGATGTATCGATGATGGAATGGGCAAATCAATGATGCCAAGGCCATGATCTCTTAAGCGATAAGAGACACTTCGTTGATCAGGCGGACATCAGATGAGCAAGTCACGAAGAGCGCGGCACGCCCCTGCCAATCTCCTTCTCTTCTTTCCCTGAATCTGGCGAAGGGGCTCAGGGTCAAGCCTGTGACGTCATTAGATCCGATAGCGGTTGAACCCTCCAACCTTGTACCTAGCCTAACTGATTCATCTTCTATCTACTACAACGAAGACAGGTTATGATATCGTTATGATATAGAGTATGTAGTAGACCCGGGTATTGCTCCAAGGTATACTACGTATACAAATACAGATTGAACACCGCTTTACTTGAAACAGCGAATATATATTGCCGTTCCATCTTGCTATGCCTTGCGCTAAATACACTGATTGTGGTATTATTTATCATCAGAAACCCCTGGCCAGCCATAGATGAGGAGAGAGAAAAAGGGGAGGAAAACAAAGTGCAGCCGTCTAAATGAGATTATCCCCTAATGCACTGGTCTATTATCATTCAGTCCTGTCAATCCTGTAACCCAACACCAACCATGCCCATATTATGCCATTTATATGCCTTTAAACGCCGCGATGATGATATTTGAATGCCCAGCCGGATGTTAAACGCAGCCGCTGAGTCGAGTGAGTCCGTGTCGTTGCACGAATCAGGAAGAAGTACCCCTATGCGGTGAAAGCCTTGATCGACGTTCGCCACTGAAGCTGCCAATGGTAATATGACTTTGATGGCTAGGGAAAAAGCTGAATCCATTCACGTGGTTTCGACCGCCACTTGATGCTCTTCTATGCCTGACGGATTCGCTGTTCGACGTTAGGTCTACAGAGTCTTCTGTGATCGTTTCCATGGGGTCTGCGACGACTTGAGTGGGGGAGCTCGGCGCACTCATTGCTGCATTATAGTCCGGAAGCGCGAAAAAATCGTTAGCGCTAGATGTCCTAGGAAGGGGTGTTTTCGTCGCTGTCGTGTAGCTGGGAACCTTGCTCAGTTGTTCCATGTTCGGAAACTCTGTGTGGGCGGGTGGTGTTTGGTGGCCAGAGTATCCAACATGCTCCTCCTCGCTCGTCCGTCGAGACAATTCGGGGGAGTGGTGTGACGAGTGCTCTGTGCTGGTGTGGTGATCGTGAGGATGATGAGGCGTCATCGCGCCTGAGCCTGGATCGGTTTGTGGCAGGAAATACGTGCGGTCCTGGCCAGCTTCAAGTGACACGCTCTGCAGCCTGGACGATAGAGCAGCGGGGGTGATGCCAGCGCCATAGGCTAGAGGTGCCAAGTTATCTGTTGATCCTGCCCGCGAAAGAGCGTAGAAGGGAGTGCTGATACCACTTTGCACCCCTGGTGTCATGATACCGCTGAGATCTACATCGTCATAGAGCTGATCAAGTATGTGCTGACCGTATCCAGGCGGTGCCATATTTCTCGAATCGTCCAATGCTGTGTCTGACGTGCCAGCCGACGCCGAAACAAGGTTGCCCTCGTCATCCAATGGCATGTTAGGTGAGATAAAGATGGCGACAGGCAGTGTAGCTCGGAGCTGTTTTTAAGTTAGTCGGCGCCAGTAATATGAAGGTAACGTAAATGTTGGGGGCATACCTCAGAGACATGGCCGTCCGGGTTGTTAAGAGCAACAGTTAGTTTAAGCTTGTGTCTAATTTTGATGCCTTGAACAGTGCAGTCTTGTATGCACTTGTTCAACTTCTTTGGCAACGGTAAGTCTTGCTTGACAACCCATCCTTCTTGTTCACTTTCTTCAATTATGTCTTGCCAATTGTTTTCCCGCGTCACTTCTAGGTTCCATGATGCTACCTCCCGATCGTGCTTGTGCATTCTCAAGGGGTGCCCCGATCCAGAAACTGTAAACTCTTGTGTCTCAAACATTTTAACCGACACAACTCCCATCTCCAACCCCTTCAGAAGCGGAGTGAAGCGCATCTCAAGGGGCACGCTGCTGCCGAATACAACGGCCTTTTGGGGAATGGAGACAGAATATTCGACCTTGTTGGGCCACACGTTTTCCACACTCATAGCGTGGTTCAACTCCAAGGCCGCAGGGTCCAAAGTCCGGATAATGCGTAACCGTTTGAAGGCATGTAGGTTCTTGGCTAATTTGCCACGAGAAACCGTAGCTTTAAAGAGATAAGTGATGCCTGTTTGGTAAAGGCCTTCAATACTTTCAGGCGTGTCGCCTGGGAGCATCAACTCAAACGGCCACTCATAGTTGCCTGGTCCCAGGATATTATGGTGATTTGTCTCGCCAACAAAAGGCGCCCAGGAATGCTTCAAGAGAGTGGTCGTTCGGTCAACCTTCTGGTTGTGGATACCTGTTGGCGTTTGCCTGCCATCTAGCCAGGCTATCCGGCAATGACCTGTGAGTCGTAGGTGGACATCCTCTACCTTCAATGATTCCCTCAAGCACAGCACGACGACGCCCTTCAGAAGTTGGCCAGATGCTTCGTGTTCACTCCCGCGAAATACGACAAAATCATTGTCAAGCCTACACGTGACTCAGTCAGTCATTGCAATCGCTTCTAGGTTATTACTGCCAACAGTAAAAAAAAAAAAAATTGACACTTTGAAACTTACCGTATCTGGAACAGTGAGCAGGAACGGTTACCATGTGCGCCAAATGGGTTGAATGACGGCATCTTTGTCGCCGAACTTGCGAGCCGAAAGATGCTATGTTGAGAAGGAGTGAGATGCCGCGATACAATGAGTTCAATGAGTTGGGTAGCTGATCCTCCCAAGAGATCACGAGACTTGCGGTGGTGAGCCGAGTCATGCAACCCAAATTGCGCTCATGTAAGCAAAGCAAAGCGAATTTGGAGACGGCGGGTGGCGTGCAGCGGCGATACCGACAAAGTAAGATGAAAAAACGCCCCTTGCAGTTTTGCCGACAGATTGAAAAGGCAATGGGGGTTTGCCTGGCGATTTTTCTTGGCTCCTTGAATGAGATAAATAAAATGGAGAAGTACGTCGACGAGGCACTGTTGCTCGTAAAAAGTGCGCAATGCTTAGTTCGAATTTATCTATTGGCCCAGGCACCCGACCTAACTAGAATTAAGTTGGATGGTGTTATGGGGGCAGCGTGTATCCCCCTAGGAACAAAGATAACTCTATTTTTCTGTAGATAGAGCAGTAGTTGGAGCCCTTGAGGGCGCTAGAGTATGACGAAAAAGGAACTTCAAGCTTCAGTAAAGAAAGCAGCGTAGAAGTTTTGAGTGGGCTTGTTTATTCTGTCGTCACACAAGTGGAATTTCCAAGACTTGGAGAATGAGACTTGGAGAATTTGCGACAAGATATTCCTAGGATAGGACGGAACACGGAGAAGCAGTCACGGTTACCAGCCAACTCGGAGTGATTCAAGGAGCTGCTGCAACATGTAAATACTCGCCGTCTTCGGGAGCTAGGGACGAGGGACGAGTGGCGACCACAAACGGCCCGCTCTTCTGTTACGAAAAAAACAAGGAAGCCCGTACTGTAGAAAGACTGTACAGTTCTGGTGCGGCGACATCCGGCCGCGCGGGCGCGAGCAGGTAAAGTCAATGCTGACCTTTCCCTTTCTTGGGTACCGTTTGCAAGATTCAGTCCACGGTGGAACGGTGGAACGGCAATGGCTTCGACGACCAGAGACGACCAACTGCAGGGGGTGCTCTCGGTGCACGGCGGCGGAGGGGCTGTCCGCCGGGGTCTGGGCCAGGACACTCTGTTGTCCAATTACTACCTATGTTGGTACTTAAGTGCACCTCTTTTCTTGACGGGGGCGCCCTGTCATTACATGTACATAGATAGTACCTACAGATACGTGCATGGTTTGGATCGACTGTTACATGTGAATGAATATGTGGCATTCCCAGTTACGGATGAGTAGCGTTGTATTCTTCATTCCCCTCTCGTCTCCTGCTTGACTCCCCAGAGAACTCCCTTTGCATACCTACGAAGTATGGATTGCATACGTAACATAGTGGCTCAGAGCTCCTAGAAACCAACCATTAGGTACCTACCTGGTAGTCGAAGAGGCTGAATGGGTGGATAGCTAGATGCGTACTGTACTGTACTTTTTCTCGCAGTGGATACGCACCAAGGTGGTGCGAATCAACGATCTAGACTGAAAACAACGATACGGACCGCAGGTGGACGTTACTATGTAAGTAGAAGCATATGCGATAACACTACTACTATACATTGAAGCGGCATTCTGTTCGCATCTTTCTGCGTCTTAGTATGTGAAAGCCCATATAAATTTAGACAACAAGCCGAAAGATGAATATTTCTCACGGTTGCAAGCCATCATAGCTACCATGGCTTCAAGGAGCGTTGAACTTGCGGGAAAAGGAAAGCCGATGCGGTGCGATGCCTCGACTCTAACCCGCCACAACGGCTCAGCTGATGTTCCTGGCACGCTGCGGCTTATGTTGCATCATATAACCCAGTGCAGAAGAGATCGTTACTTGCTACCTAAGTAACTGGGCATGCATGGTAGGCAGGTATATATCGGTATGCCACCAAAGTTGCCATGTTCGTCAAAGGTGCCTGCATGCTGACCTGCAGTTACTGTATGAATAGGTGCATACAATGAGCCAGGATCGGCAAATCTTTAAGCCTGCGTTGCCTTCTTGGTCATGGCGACATGTACACTACGATGCAGCAGCACCATACGATTGTACACATTAGGCTGTTGCCGAAATCATCCGATCGTACTATCAATCGGTCTGATGAGCTGCGGAATGGTCGTGCGCCTTACCTCACGAGACGTGCTGGAGTCGTTGATGCTTGCGAATTGAGCGGAGCGTCTCAAAACAAAGATAAGACTGGAGACTTCGAGCTCTAGACCGACGCAGACCGACGCGAACCGACCTGACAGACACAGCTAAACCTTGGCGATCAGATAGATTATTGTATCTTCATCTAGGATCTGCCTCGGTCAATCCCCCCACGGTGGCTAGCTAGCCGCCTTCTGTCTAAGTGCATGATGCTTGCGACCATATCAGACACTTACCAACCTACCTAGTAGATATCGGAACTTGCTAGGTAAGGAACATATCGTGAGGCTCGACTCCTTGGACCTGCAGGAATAGATTGTAGAAGCCGCCTTATTAAGCAGGTTAGGAACTCGCTGTCTAACTCACAGTAGCGTGGCCTCATAGCCATTGAGCTACACTACATGTTACAGCTAGGTGGATGTAAAAGCCTCGTGCTACTACGTACATAGTATAAAAATCACACTAAAGACGTTCGTGAAGATAAGGTGACACCTTGCTATTAGTTAGACACGGGAAGCCAAGCCTCGCGCACAGACTAGGTAGATCTAGCAAGGGCCATCCAAAGATAGGTTATATACTTACGTAGTATATGCCATTTCAGCCTCGAAGTCTTCTGTTTTGTTGTTTTTTTTTTATTTTCTCTCTTCAGATCTAAGACAAATCAATCAACCCATGACTTGTGCTAGTAGCCAGTATAATGGTTGCTATTAGACAATGCTAGATGTAAGCACATTAGAGATAAAGCTCTTCAAGGGCTGCAGTCCTTGCATTTACATGTAGATGATCGACGGGCGGAACGCACTATGTCCCAACTGCCGTCCGAAGTTAACCTCCCCTTGGCGAGCTTGGTTACATGTGCTGTACTAAGTTCATTATGGCACCTGTATGAAGTGCTTGCATACGCTTCGACCCGCTCTCATAGCCACACAAATAGTAGTCCTACCAGTATTCACAGGTTGGTTGCCTTTCCATGTCTATTTATATAACTTTCACTACGGATATTAGATAGTTGTTGTATCTCAAACTGTTTGAAACCGATCTAGTTCGTCCCGAGATAAGAAGTCTCATCTCAAAAAACTCGACTCTACATTAGCGGCTAAGAGTAGTCCTCCAAGTGCCAGTGTTTGCCTATCTAGTGCGCATCTGTGAATCATAGACTACTCGTGCAGGGTCTACAAGAGAGAGAGAGAGAGAGAGAGAGAGAGAGAGAGAGTTATAAAAAAAAAAAATAATAATAATAAAAGGAAAAAGGAGCATAAACAAGGTTCTCAATGGGATAGTTATGGGGCTCATTATCTTGCGGACCGCGACCGAAAATTTTCAAGCGGCGCAAGTAAGATTTCGACATCTGGCTAAGGAAGAAAAGGGCCGAGTAGCGGTAGATACCGAGTTGCTTCCGCATCTGCTCATCTCGGCTCAAAATTCAACTACCTACTGTGAGCCCTTGTTAGGTATCAAGAGCAACGATTATGAAGAGGGATATTGTGAAAGTTTTGCAGTAGTAAGAGGACTCCACCAACGGAGCCATGAGGAGGCGCTCCTAACAATAACATACACATGTACGGAGCTTTATCAACATCAAACAAACTATTTATAAGCTAAGTAGAAATTGTGGTCCCACGTGGGGGTCATTCAAAGCTTCGTATGGATCCTTTAAGGAGGCTCTTTTGCCTGCCTTCATGCTAGTAAGTACAGCAAGTGTCTGCGTCTCCTAGTACACTGGCTCTCTATATCCTACCCGGCAAGTAGATATCACAGATGGAACGCCTAACATAGAAAAGGAATCGCCATGTTGGCGTAGTTAACTGCACGATATTCGTAACTGTGCTAATGTGCTAAAGCGGAGTGCGAGCCTCTTCGAGTCCCTGAACATATACGGCTAGTATATATACTCGGCCGGCATTGTAAACTGAAAACTATATACGTTCTACCCACGATCGGAGACTACTTATCCATAGCGTGGTCGATTGCGTACGCCAGGCTACAGACGCATTACGCATTGACTATATCAGACTACAGTACTTTCTGTTTCGTGGCCATCCTACCCTACCATGTCTGTGCAAGAGCGATGTAACATCCATCGCGTCATGGTGGTTGTCGACTAGTTATATATGGCTGTCCTCAGCTAGTTTGTGACGCACACGATGACGGGATTCTAGATCCTGATGGTCACTAAACTACCAAGTTAGGTTCTTATAGCTTTCACCTCACAGACCTCAAGATTGGACATCGTAGATACGGCATTGAATCGAGGGGTCAATATCTGACCGATGGTATTCAGGGAAAGATCGCCAATTTTTATATCGAATGGCGCATATACAATTTCTGTCACCATTATGCGTGCGAATCTAATGGCCGTTTCCAGGTTCGGATATGCCCTATACGGACCAATGTCAATATAGCTCACGGCTTCATTGTAGATTATACTCACCAGTCTTGCAGCTTGTCATGATAGATTCTTCAGTGAATGCGATCCAACTTAGTGGGTCTTTGTCGGCGACTTTGTTTAATACCGGCGGCAGTATTGCTACATTGGACCGCGGCTCAACAGGATAATTAATGCTTATTCCTACATCATCACCGTCTAATGACGTCCTCTGGGTCTCGGCGCGGTGCAGCGTTGGTACACGGGACGAAACCGAGCCGCGTTGTCGGTGCGACGACTGTCAAGGTTAGCAAAATTGTGTGTTTGTGGTGATAGAGGAGCTCACTATTTTGGGTTTATGCAGCATCCCCACGTTGAAATCCCATAAGCAAAGTCGACAGTCCTCGCCTACACTGCCAAAACGATAATTCTTCTCATCGCACCTCCACGGATCAAACGCAACCGATGTCACCCACGACTGGTGTCCTTGACATCGTGCTATAAGTGTAGTCTCTTGCGGATACCAGATAGAAATCAGATCATCTTGTCCTCCCGTCAGGACATATTTACCATCCGGAGACCAACAGACGCAGGTGAATCCACCATAGTACGCATTATACAGGCCTAGTAGTCTATCACCTTATGTTAGGTTTCTGGAGGTATTAGGGTGCAATTAGAGTTCTTACTCCTCCTTGAGATAGTCGATGATCCGCATCGTCCCATCTTCTGAAACAACAGCTAGATGGCGATTATCTGGGGAAAAACTGAATGCATTAATTCGTTGATTGGAGAGTTTCCAGATAGCAACTGGATTGGTTTTCTGATTTTTCGAGTGAACAGACTTCAATACTGATATTTTATCTGAAGGCTTGATAGTGGAAGACGTATTATCAGTCTCCTGCTGAGCCTCCTCTTCTTCCTGGCTGAAAATGGCGTCTTCTTTCTCCTTGTCGTAAACGACCAACGAGCCATCCATATGTGCAGCTAAGAAAAGATTCTCAGCGCCGGGGATCCAGCGTATCTGTGATACCGGAGTCTTGTTGATAACGCCCTAGATGGCACAATTAGTCTTAGACCATGATTATGAATTCATAATGCTTACGTTTTTGTTTAGTCTCGTATATCGCTGAGACATTGCCTCCCACCAGATGATTTCACCCGTAGAGAACCCCATAATGACATCTATATGGCCAGTACTCTTTGTGATTTGGTTGACATCGTGGCTAAGACAATGAGCCTTGGTGAAGAGGATCTTAGTTAAGTAATCAGCTTTCGAGGGGGATGATAGATCCAGCCACTGGAAAGCACGGTTGATATTCGCGAATACAAAGGTACCATCGCTGGGCCGGTCGGCCATTTTCTTGGAAAATGTTTCGTTGATTATAACGCGCGAGATGAAGGATGAGTTGCTCTTGGTCATATTGTTCTTCGGCTTCCGGCGCTTGTTCGGGTCCTTGAACCTTTCAGGGGCGAGGAGCGCGTTTCCGTCACCAAACGCCGGAGCAGACACTGCCGTGGCAGAACCCGGGGCCCCGACATCACTGACTGATGTTTCTCGACCATCTCCATCACTGCTAACCTTGGCGTCGTTAGACAGCCTCCACTCGTTGGGATGTTCGGCTATGCTTCCGGTCAAGGTTGCTGTGGCGGCGAGTTTATAGAAAGCGGGCGGAGGCTGGCGTGCCTCAAGATTCAGGAGAGAGGCTTTTGTGCCGGCGGTAGCGGGCTGTGGGTTGGTGGCGAGCGGGTTAGGATTGATAACGGGGGCTTCTGAAGGATGAGGCGGAGGTGTCGCAAGGAGTAAGTCTTCTGTGAGCACATATGTTCCTATGACAGCGCTTCAGCGGTGAATCCTCAAGACAGCTGATGTGGAGAGTGAGGGGCGACACAGAGATGGGCTGGAGACGGAGTCACATACCCTCTCCGACAAGGAATTGATCTTCTGGATTGGATAATATATTATTGGTCTCGATCATAGGGGTCGCGTGACCCGCGGCGACGGCTGCATTGTATGCTGCCTGGGTAGGGTATCTCGGCGGAGGTGGTAGGACGCTGCTAATCGCCAAACGAGGATGCGGTGGTAAGCAACTGTACGAAGCATGTGGCGGTCGGGGGAAGAGGCGGCTTCAAGCACTGTTCCCGGGATGCTTACAACATTGTTAAAGCTAATGCAAAGGCAATGAAAGAAGAAAGTTCGTGAATTCCAGCCTCCTGTCTCTCCTAGGGCGGGGACAGGGGGGTCCAGTTCGGTTTATCCAGAAACGAGCAGAAAGCTACAGCACACATGCATGCGATGGTTGCGAGCTAACTATGCCAGAGTTTCCGCGCAATGACGTTCGTATGCGCGCTGCATGAGGTGAATGCAGCAATAGGTATCGGGCGAGGAGTCGTGCGTTATATGAAAGTGATGGTTTACTAAGTAAAGGAAAGTCGACATCGCGACACTTGGGCTGTTAGCAGGGGCAAGTCAGTTACATGTACCTACCTAGGTAGTGTAGTGTATCTGTGGGTACATACTTACATACCAGTAAGTACAGTACCTAAGCATGGTGACAAGGATTAGCCTTGCTGCACGTAGGTAGCTGGCCACCTGGGGTTTTACTTGTGGGGTAAGAGTTACATACTTACATAAGTAGTAGATATCGTCGTAATTCCAGATCTGAAAACATACTTAGGTATACCTACCCATGTGAGGGCACACCCTCGGCTAGGACCCTACTTCAAGTAGTTGATGTGATATATTAACAAGCTGCTTAGGTAGTTATGTATCATGGTGTACTGCTGTTATCATGTTCGTGCAGGTTATAATCATCCGTGTCATCAAGTGACGTCGTTGTCGGTGCAGGATGAATCGACCATAAGAGCAGAAATAAGACTAAATCCAGCAGCCTGGATGCACACCTACATGCATGCAGGTCCCTGAGTAGTCCACCAACCACATCCATGACTTGAGAGAACTAGAGCCATGCCTAGGTAGGTAAACATCTAAAGAGCTTTACTGTTCCTAGATACCTCATACCTACCTAGGTATATACGTGTTATTTGTCCAGTGCGAGGCACCTTACCTTTTAACACATATATGCTCTACTCTGTATACCAACATAGATACCTATGCAGTTGCTCATAGCATTGGTACTATCCCAGGTATTTGCTTAAAGATGAAAGCAATAGAGAGACATGACGGCATACTTAAGTCGAGAAAAGAGGAGAGGCCTACCTATCCCACCGCAATTTAGGTAATAGTTGCTTACTTAGTAGATGCCGCCTAAAGCAAACTCTCGCCTATTAGCTTACCACGCTCCTAATTACAGGGTATTTGCATTAATGGGAAACCGATAATTTCGCTGGGCCAGCTAATCGGAAGTGCTCCAACCCTTGCTTGCTATTGAACCCCCAGAAAACCCCCCCATCGTACCTTTTGGTAGTTGTCAAGCCCAGCCCAATTCCAGCTTGCTGCACCAAGCCCGCATTCCATCGTACCAGCGCTTCGATCGTCTGTTGGTCACCAGCTTCACCATTGCCAGCTTTCATCCCTAGCTTCAACCCAGCCAAGTCGCTTACACAAGTGGTGGCTCGAGCATATCTTGACCTCCAGGGATGGCCTCGCTATAGGCATCGGAGTAGAGAGAGACCCCGGGCAACGCCATAGTACAACCTCATCATGGCCACAGGTGCGACAGTCTTTCCTCGCCCCTCATAGCTAACCACGTCCAATCCGTGCTAACAACCTATCCATCAGTTCGCATCTGCGTATGCGGTGATGAAGGGGCCGGCAAGTCGAGCCTCATCGCATCTCTCGTTAAAGACGTTTTCGTGAACAACAAGATCCAGCCCGTTCTCCCACAGATTACCATCCCGCCCAGCATCGGTACCCCCGAAAATGTCACTACCACCATCGTCGATACCTCGGCCCGTCCGCAAGACCGGACAACCCTTCGGAAGGAAATCCGCAAGTCCAACGTTATTCTTTTGGTCTATTCCGACCATTATAGCTATGAGCGCGTTGCTCTTTTCTGGATGCCCTATTTCCGCTCACTAGGCGTCAACGTCCCTGTTGTGTTATGCGCCAACAAATCCGACTTGACCGAAAACCCAACCTCTCAGGTTGTGGAGGAGGAGATGTTGCCTGTCATGAGCGAATTCCGCGAGATTGATTCGTGTATACGTGCCAGCGCCCGAGAACACTCAAATGTCAACGAGACTTTCTTCTTGTGCCAAAAAGCCGTAACACATCCTATTGCGCCGCTATTTGATTATAAAGAAGGATGCCTCAAACCCGCATGTGTATTGGCCCTCAAGAGGGTATTCTATCTGTGCGATAAGGACCAAGATGGCTTTTTGAATGATCAGGAGATTCAGGATTTCCAGGCCAAATGCTTCGACAAGCCCTTGTCGCCTGAGGATCTCGATAACATTAAACTATCCATTTCCAAGTCGGTCCCTGGCTCCGAGACCGAGAAAGGTGTTAGCATGGAGGGATTTTTGCAATTGAACAAAATGTATGCGGAGAAGGGACGCCACGAAACGATTTGGGTAATCCTGCGCAAATATCATTACACCGATAGCTTAAGCTTGGAGGACTCCTTCATCCACCCCAAGTTGGATGTCCCAGAATATGCTTCGGCTGAGCTCAGTCCCGCAGGATATCGCTTTTTTATGGATCTTTTCTTGTTGTTCGATAAAGATAACGACGGAGGTCTGAACGACCAGGAGCTTGAAGCACTTTTTGCTCCCACCCCAGGACCGCCTCAGTCTTGGGTTGAAGCTTCATTCCCATCTTCAACTGTTCGCAACGAAGCTGGCTATATCACGTTACAGGGCTGGCTTGCCCAATGGAGCATGACCACCTTCCTAGAGCCTAAGACTACATTAGAATACCTTGCCTATTTAGGTTTTGAAACCCCGACTCCCCGGGGCTCCTTAACCTCAGCGTTGAAAGTAACGCGACCGCGCAAGCGAAGGCGACGGCCTGGTAAAGTGGAACGTAATGTGGTGCTGTGCTACATCATCGGCGCGGCCGGAGCTGGCAAATCGTCTCTCCTAGATGCCTTCCTCAATCGACCCTTTGATGGCCTATATCACCCTACTATCAAGCCTCGCAGGGCCGTGAATAGTGTCGAACTACCAGGCGGAAAGCAGTGCTATCTGATCCTGGAGGAACTCGGCGAGCTAGAGCCTGCTATTCTGGACAACCAGGCCAAGTTGGATACTTGCGATCTTATTTGCTACACTTATGACTCGTCAGATCCAGATTCTTTTTCGCATATAGTTGAGCTCCGAAAGCAAAACCCACGCCTAGATGACATGCCTTCGATATACACGGCCTTGAAAGCGGACAGGGACAAGACAACACAGCGATGCGAGCAACAGCCCGACCAGTATACCTTGGGTCTTATGATGGGAACACCAGTTCATGTCAGTGTTACCTGGAATAGCATAGGAGAACTCTTCGTTGCGCTTGCCGAGGCTGCTACAAATCCGAGCACCGCATTCCCGAAGAGCGAGGAACCGCCTCCAGATAGAACAAGCCTCTATCTTGCGCTCGGAGCGACAACGTGTGCAGCTGTGGCCGCCTTCATGATTTGGAGGCGCTCCACTAATTCTGTCTGACATCGAATTCCTCACTCCTCACTACCACTACTTTAAGCGTACTCTACCTCTGGTCTATGTCTCCTCACACCGCGCGCTTAGAGACATGGTTTACAACACTCGTCTACAAGTCGTGAGCATCAGATATCTAGGACATAGTTATAGCCTTTTACTTGTTTACTTATGAATGATGGATTCCCACTCTACTTTGCCCATTCAACTATGATACCCTCGAACAATCATCTCTTGTTCGGCATCCAAATATCTTCATATAGCTAATAATGAACTTAATTTCACTCGAACCTACTTATTTAAAGAATATCCCCCTGTCAGGCTAATTAAGAATATTTCATACCTAGGTAGCACTTACTTTCGGCGACTTAGGCGGAGAACCTATACCTTCCTTCGTTCACCGTGTCTGGAAATAGCAAGCAGACCTCCTCGCTGGAGAGAGGCAAAAGCGCGGTACATTGGGCTGTGCAACAGTCAATCCGGTTTGAGACATCCTTTGTGGTCTGGCAAATGCGTGTTCTACTTGATAGGAGCTCTTTGGTCATGTTGATCAATCCATGAGCTTCTAATCCTGATGATCACACTTTTCTCGAGTTGATGCAATCTTTAAGAGGTGCTTGCCTTTGCTATTCATGCTCGGCATATTCGCCTACCTTCGGCAAATATCAAACCATATTTCGGCAAGCGCTGGCAAGCCCATTCTTTCAAATTGTGTGTGTCCCAACATTGGGTCATATATGATGTCCTAGGCTTTCGTGTTGACAATCAACTTCTCATCACCTAATGGATTCAGATTGATATCTCTACTCGTTCCTAAGTTAAGATTTGGACGTATCAAGCAAGTCACCCTTGAAATTTGAGATATGAAGAAGTGGTAATTCAATGATTATCATGGTCTTACCATCAGATCGAATATCCTTCGCAAGCCTTGAAGGCGATAACTTCTTCAGTGCTTATTCTACGCAGCCTACAAGTCGGCTTATGAGCATCGCTACACATCCACAAGAGCAGCAGCTCCCGGAGGGTCTCAATTCTGCTGCACAATCTTCAGAACCTCTCTCATCAGTCTGTATGCCTTCGGGACTGGCTACTTCATCGAATCAAAATTCCTCCGGCGTTACCTCCAATGTGCATCAACTAATACCAGCCCCTTCAACGACTATCACAGCGCGACATGGGAGTTCAGATACCGGTAGAGAGCGAGATACACCTACTTGCCACCACCAGGTCAGTTTGCCAACTGTCAGCCAGTCGCAGCTCGAAAGTCATTTCAGTAAACAAGGAATGGATGGTATCTTCCGCAATGTCCGGACCTTTTTAGCTGCAAAACGGCATGGTATCGATCCTCTAGCTACAACGACCATTGGTGAAAACGATAAACCTTCATCGTCAAAACAGACAATGCCAGATATACGGTATCTCGAACCGCCCGAAGATCATTACTTGATCACCACAGATAACATCGCAGGCATACTTGATATTGTGATTGCCGGTGTGTGCAGCATTCATGATAATAAGGGCCTGCCGGATTGCCGATCACTCTTATTCGCAAGAGGTCAGCGTACAAAGCCAACGCTTCGTGTGGAGAATATTATCCCAAGTGATCCCGCTGTCGCAGAACCAGCTACCACATTTTGCTCACCTCAGCCTTGCTTCAGCTCATCCGACGGTTTGGTAGATTCTCAACCTCCACCTTCCGCGCCAAAATCGACATATAGTATGGTACCCGGAACATCCGATGTTTCTTTTCTACCTATATCAAGTCCTATTGTCACCGCACATTGCACATCCCGATCTCAGCTAGATATTCTTTGTATATGATAAATACTGACTTTGATTCGTGTAGTATCGCGCCAGAGCATTACAGAGATCAATTAGGAATTGTTCTCGGACGCATTAAACCGAAATGGTGCTTGTGATGTCAATTCTGAGATCGGCAATTCAGCAGCGGAGGCTCGAGAACCCCTAAGATACTCACCATTAAACGAACTTCCAAGTCGCCATGTCTCATGGCCGCAATCCTGTCGGTTCGGGCGAAGAGAAAGTGCTGGGATCGATCCATCTCGTAGATTTTCGAATTCCCCTAGACGTTTTTGCCAACGCGGACAACGGGCCACATCCGAACCATTCTTTCAACAGCCTCTTCAGAACAATTTCAATTACATGGTTGCCACAACCCCAATAACTTCCTTCCCTAGGCTTAAGTCGAGGTCTTGCACGAATGACTGGCTGACACCATTGGGCTTGTTCGATGATGTAGAAAACGCCGCATCCGCCGAGCGCCGAGAAACGGTCTCAGACCTCTATATTCATGGCATTGACGCCCACAGTGGAGATTCAAGCTACAGGCCTCTGCCGATTTTAGAGGAGGCCTCTCAATCAAACTCAACACCATCGCTTCAAGCCCAATGTCAAGACTATCAGTCACACATTCGTGTATACGATTCTCAGTGGTCATCCCAAGCCAGTGAATATGAGATGGACTGTAGAAAAAAGCCAGGCCGCTCGATTGGGGTTGCATGTCACAAAAGAATCAGGGTCAGAGAGCAAATTAACCAGACCCCAGACATAGCTGAAGGTCCCCTAGACGGGCTTCGTCATTATACTTTTCTTCCTCTTTTGGACCATGCATCTGAGTATATCCGCAAAGATGGACCAACTCGACAGTCAATGGAGATACTACACGAAGAGAATAGGACGCGAAAGCGCTCAAGTCAGGCATTACTCCAACAGATATTACAGCAATCGAATCCGTCTCGGATGGGCTTGTCAGGCTCAGCAGCAGGCTCGAGGTCAGGCTCATGTGCACCCAACATTGATAGATCACCGGATCCGATACAGCAAGATCAACTCAGAGCGGCGTCCTGTTCGGAAGATGCAGCGCCACATATCTGTATTGACGAGCAACGGACTGGTTAGAGTTCTCCCTAAATTGTTGATAGACTGGAATGTAGGGAGTACAGGGAATAAGAATGAGTATTGAGCACCGCCTCCAAATCCTTAGTCAAAGCTGTGTCAGTTGTGAACGTGAAAAAGTCATTGAACTTCTTGGGCTCTTTGCTTGTGTTTCAAGACTGTATGACTCTTCAAATCACCGACTGGATTTAGGACTGAGGAACCCAGAACTTTCCCTAAAGCAAGTTCATTTACGGTAGGCGCAATGCTACTGACACCATAAAACCCCTAGCTCCTTACTTATAATTATCTGCTCGTCACTGCCTTTACTACTTGTCCATAGCAACCAGCATCAACAATAATGGCTATCAACAAACACCACATACACCCTTAATTCCAATTGCCAGCTTCAATTATTCTCGTCTATCTGTTTGACTTCCTTATCACATATTACTTTCAGTAGAATAAAAATGTCTACGAAAAATGACACCCCAAACACACCCTATCTCATGGGTCGGGCTACTTCCTCCACCAGTTCCCTTACAACTAACGAGGAGAGCGAGAGAGGCCCATTTCAATATCTATGGTTAGGTTAGTGAATCTATATTTCAGATATTTATGTTTCTCATCTAGCGAGGATTAGGGCTGTCCGATCAGGGGCTCTACAACTCTTGAGCTCATTGGTATTATCTGCCACGAATGATGATCACTGGTACTAACTCCTCAGATAGCACCTATCTGCAACGGACCAGATCGATGCGCTATTGCCTACGACAACAAAGAGACACCTAAATCTCAGCGTCGCACGGATGAGCCACGCCAGGATAACTGCTTCGGAGTGGTCGCTGTCAGGAACCGGTACTTAAGACTCCTCGAGTAAATTACGTCTACGAGATAGGGGATTCAGGGTGATGGAGTTCAGACATCATAGAATTACTCAAGCGCTACTCGCTCCGCTTTGTTGACGGCTTGGAGAAATTAGGATCAGGATCGGTCCATGGCTTATTCTGCGAGCATTTTACGATTAAATTAGAGCATAAATTAAAAGCGAAATCGTCAATCTTCATATATTCGGTATTGAAGCTTGCTCTATATACCAAATTACACTGGGAAAGCATTGAAACGAAACCGTAATAGAGTATTCAAATAAATAAACCCCCTGCCTGGGGGAGGTCATCTCCAGGACAGGGCAGCATGGAGTTGATCAAATGAGATCTCCTTCTATTGAGGTAGGTATCTATCTTGTATTTCAGTACACTTTTCATTTCCAGAAGCTCGCGCTCTCCACCGCGGCGTCCGTCTTAGATTTCTGATACGTATCGCTCAACCCACCGTACCTCGCCTTGACCCGCGCAATCTCATCTCCCCACCTCCGCCCTTCCTCCCCTCCATACTTCTCTCCAATCTCACGAGCCAAATCCTCAAAGCTCCGCGCCGTGAAGAACTTGTTCCGCCGGTTATACAACGGCCTCGCGTTCAGGTCTTCGTCTACCCCGCCCTGCTTGCCGACGGCAGGGACGCGGAATACCTCCTGCAAGATGTCGATGTCGTACGGGATGGAGAACAGGTCCCGGCTGTCCTCGTACGTGAACAGGTAGAAGAAGTTGTCGAACCCGCTCCATGTTATCCCCGAGAGACATAGGCTGCACGGTTCGTGCGTCGCGAGGAACACGCAGTCGCGCGGGCTCGGGCGCTGCTGCGACGGCGGCTTTCCTGCGTCTAGAGGGTCTGGGAAAGACGTCTGCGCGAAGAATTGCTGGATGCAGTTGATCTCGCCGTGGAGGAGAGGCGAGGCCGTCTCGTTGTTCGTCGAGACTGTTTGTGGTACTAGTCCCGCTTTAGAGAGAATAGCAGCGCCGAAGAGTTTGTTGCCTGACGATACCCCCTTGGAAGTCAGGGGGATAACGCTCTCCTCGATGGTATTGAGGAGCGCTTTCAAAAGAGGTAGCGGGTCTGAATCGTAGGTTGGTGAGGTCATTATTGGGGGACTGCCAGTAGTAGTTGGGTAGATGCTGCTTGACTGGGTTGTAATGTGTATCAAAAGAAGAATGCCTTTCCCTTTAATCAAATAACCATCGTGATATATAAATCCATTCTCAACTTGAAGGGTATTATTTCAGCTGTATAGAAATGTGCTAGGTACTCTGTCGGGTAGTCCCGCTTCGGCGATCTCCGCAATACTGAGGCTAGAGGCTAGTGACAATTTGAACTTTGAGATTTACACCCCCCAAGATAATCTACTAAAATATGGCAGATCAGATCAGATGTCAAGTTGTCAGCTCGTGAAAAGAGTTGGAGTGTTTCATCTACACACGGTGGGAACAACACTCAGGACTTGGCATTCTTTAACCACTACTCCAATGAAACGACGATCACGAAGAAATGCGTTCTTGAAGGTTGCGAGGTTTTGTAATTTTAATGGTTTAGGGGTATCGTGAATAACAGTTGTGCTCCTCATAAGCTCCCAAATTCGTAAAACAATATCATACAATGTTTGTAACCTCAAACTCGCCCGTGACCTCAGTTACTTGGATGACTGCCAGAACTTAGGCCTTACGACTTCCATTGACCTGCATTCTCCACACCCTTAGCGACGCTGTTAGCGCCGTTCTCAACTCCAGTGCCAACGCTGCTGATAGCGTCTCCGACAGGCTTGCCAGCTGAGCCCGTCGCACTCGTGATGGTATCGCCGACCCCCCGAGTTGCGGCGCCCGTGACGTTGCCCACGGTGCGGCCCACGCCGCCGACGGCATTGCCTAATGTGCTAGTGACGAATTTGGCTGCGCCAGTAGCGCCCTTGTCGTTGTTGCTCTCGAGAGGCATTATGAGGATATTCAAGTGACTTGTTTTCAGGATTTGAGTTGTGTGGAGAGGTTGTGTGTGTCTGGTGGGGGGCGATATCTTTTAAGCAGGATCTAGTATTGGTGGTTTCTTAGGAGTTGAAGAGAAAACGTAAATCGAGAGTTTGAGTATTCTACTTCATGTTTTTATATGCCTTTAATTGTCCTCAACATAAGAGACACTTTCTTATGAGTTTCCAGAGCCAGACATGGTGTGACGTCATATTCTTACTCGTCCCCATGAGCTGCGACGTCACTGCCACGTGGATTTCTCACACATCCTGGGCTTACAGCGTACATTAACAGTTTCTCTGATAGAATGCAAGATCTTAGAACGGATACCATTGGGCGTGGATAGCCAATGTCTCGCATGCATGAGTACCAAGATCTCATCACTGCTACTGAAACTCTGGTCCACAGCCACATAGGTCATTCTCATACACCACCTAGTAGTCAACCGATATCGGTAATAGCTAGCTGGTTAATAATGCGATCAAGCACAGGGATTCTCTCAGCCCTCAGCGTAGGGAGTTGGGGTATTAATGTTTTGTGCTGACTAAACGTAAGATTCTTATTATGCAACCAAAATATTTATTAAACGTGCTCTATACCAGTATTTTTATTCGTCTACGGAGTACTGTTGTTAGTTTATTGATCTAGGTATCTCTCGGAATGCGTACAGAACATTCTCCAGTTTAGGATCCGCCCTCGCTTTCAATGTATTCTCGACAGTTGAAGACTCTATTGGGATCAACTCTGTCCTTGATCTGTAGGAGTTGCTTATAGTTGGATCCAAAGTAATCCTACTGCTGGTTGACACTGCTGTGGTGCTCGGTGTCGTAGTACTAAGCTGCACCAAAGGCAGAGGTCAGATTTCGGTCGGTGTCAGCTGAGGTGAGGTGGCGTTTTGCTCAGCTGTCGTGCCACCCCACAGGCCGAAAAGGTCAAACGAAGTTATACACAGTAGTCCAAGAATTCAAGTTCATATATAAGGTGTTACTTGAGTTTGGCCAGGACAACATGTTTCGGCAATAGCCGGATAAGAACGCTTGAATTTATCTTATCATATCTTATCAGTCAAGGCAGCCTTCGGTCTGACCCCGTTTTAACTCTCCGAAGAGGCAAAACGCATTGACCAATCCCAATCCGGTATCAATCCCTCCAAAACACCAGGAATAGAATCCGGAGTCTCAGTTGTACGCAGCAAAAACCATCATGACCGTGGCATAAAAACGCTGCGGATGCCCAGGCGCGCTCGCAAAATGTAAGATTCAGTTTCAATATTATTGGCAAAACATATCATCCTTGAAGAGCCCTGCCAAAACTGACTGATTCACCTTTTTTTCATCTCTCGTTCTTCTTACCCACCCCAAATCATAGCTCAGATGTCTTCAGCATTGGCAAAGTCATGCGGCTTATTGCTATATCGGGGCATCAGATTGAGCACGCCCCTGGCTGTCGCTAGACCCTTGTCGTCGACGCTTCAGCGCCAAACACAGCACAGATGGAGTTCGCATTCACCCCTTGGCAAGTCCTTGGACCCCACCAGGAAGAAGGTCACCATGGGTGTCCTTCGATCCATGTATAAGAAAAATGAACCCATTAGCGTCATGACCGCTCACGACTTTCCAAGTGCCCACGTTGCCGACGCTGCAGGCATAGATGTGATTCTCGTGGGTGACAGTTTGGCCATGGTAGCCTTGGGCATGGAAGATACCAGCGAGATCACTATTGATGACATGCTGCTGCATTGCAAATCAGTAGCCCGAGCCACCAAGGCCGCATTCACTGTAGGTCCCTCTCTTGTCACTTCTGCCTGCTAAATCTTACCAACCAACTCTTTCAAGATTGGGGATCTTCCTATGGGCTCTTACGAGGTATCGCCTGAGCAAGCACTCGCTACGGCCATTCGGTTTGTGAAAGAGGGGCGCGTCCAAGGCATCAAGCTAGAAGGGGGCAAGGAAATGGCACCAACAATAAAAAAGATAGTGCAGGCAGGTATTCCTGTGCTGGCCCATGTTGGACTGACACCCCAGCGTCAGAATGCCCTGGGAGGGTTCAGAGTGCAAGGGAAAACGGCTAAGGGTGCCATGGGAGTCCTCGAAGACGCATTGGCCGTGCAAGAGGCGGGATGTTTTGCCATGGTTGTGGAGGCTGTTCCCGCCGAAGTGGCCAGCATCATCACCTCGAAGCTTTCGGTCCCCACCATCGGTATCGGAGCAGGCAATGGATGTTCTGGCCAAGTTCTCGTGCAGGTCGACATGTCGGGTAACTTCCCTCCTGGTCGCACTATCCCGAAATTTGTTAAGCAGTATGGCAACGTGTGGGCAGAGAGTCTGCAGGCCATTGAATCCTATCGGGAAGAGGTCAAGAGCCGTCAATACCCAGCTCCCGAGCATACCTATCCGATTTCTAAGGAAGAGCTCGACGCCTTTACGAGAGAATCCGAAAAGTCCTGAGTCAGTTTGTTTCACATGGTTCTTGGCGACGGCGGCGGCGGTCGATTTTCTTTTTTTGCATTAGTAGGGGATAAGAGGATACCATGAAGCGCGTCATTTGTTGTTAGATATCACTTTCGGAGAGAGTCATCCAAATGCAGGGGCTATAGAATAGACAACAATCAACTGATTGTTCGAATCTTTGAAGCACTAGAATTTCGTATGAGTAATCATCGTCTTTACGCAGTAGGTGTAGTAAACAAGGCTGTGCCAAGAGTCATCGGAAAGACCACGTACTCTATGCAGATTGCCGACAATTTCATCCAGTGCAGGGGCGAAGGCGCTATTGACATAGAGGAACAGCCCGTCAGTCGGCTTCAGAGATAATATCTTGCGCAGATGCGTGACGACAGTCTCGAATTTCTGCGTGGCGCTAATCCTGCGAACTTCGGTCTTCAGCTGCGGTGCCGACCCGACAGCCTTGAAGCGCACAAGGACTTTCTCCTGGTCAAACCCACCGGCAGAAGCCAAGGCCGAGCTCGCGTCGCGGGGCAGAGCGGTGAGCACCGTCGATGCTGTCATGGTGAGCGGAAGCTCGGGCGACTCAGACCTGTCTTGGATCGGAGAGGGTGGGGGTGAAGGCGAGGGGCGGTCGGGATATTCCATCTTCAAGATTGCTTATGAAGAACAGACCAGAGAAGGATTGGAGTTCCTGAGGAAGGTAGACAATGTCTCAGCAGTGTGATCTCCTGTCTTCTGGCTACAATCTCAGACTAAATATTGACAGGTGTATAATTCCGTGCCTAAGTTAGTCAAGTGATGAGGATGACAGTAGGAGGTAACTACTATGTAGGTACTAGGTACTGCATGGTAGGCAACTGGCTGCCTTAGGAGGAGGTACCGGGATACCTTTTTAGGAGGCTCCAGCCACTGTGCTCGGACAGAGTGGCGAGAGCTGTGGCTGCATATTATGTCGTGGAACAAAGCAAGCACTCCTTAACTTCACCAAGGTGACTCATCATCCTCTTTTCCCACTACCTCACGACTCTCTGGGACTCTTATTCTGTTGGCTTTTGTCTTTCTTATATAAAAAAAATATATATACCTCATAGTTAGCGATTGGAAGACTGCAAGCTTGGCTAATCCGATTACGATGGCTTGACAAGAACCAAAAAAGGGGGTATTTCTTTCAACAACGGCATGAAGATTGCGCTGAAAAGTATTCACCTCGCTTTCGTCTTTCTACTCTGAGAATTTCAAGACGGACTAGATCATAATAATTTATACAAATTTCTCTGCTCAATTTGGACGCTCATTGTCTACGGGGCGACCTCGGATAGTTCAGCTCAGGCTAGTTCTGCCTCGATTAAACCTTCGTTGCCACGACCATCTTGCCAAATCTTGATGATTTTCAGTCCTGCATCAGTTATGACTTTAGTCCACATACCCTCCGTTCTTTCATACGCGGAACAGAGCGACATCATCTCCACGTCCATGGTCGATTGAATGGCTGTGGCACCCACGACTGGGAGTACCATGTCCTGGATGAGCACTCTGGAATAGCCCCTTTTCATCACTTCTACAGTGTTTTTGAGTATTTGCGTAGCTGCACTGTCCGACCAATCGTGGAACACCGCATGGAAATAGTACGCTCGGCTCCCTAGCGATAATCAGCTCTTATTCCGAGAGATAAATATTGTATGAAATACCTTTCACCGGCTGCGGTTTAAACATATCGTGTGGAATGACCTTTATCTTCTCATTCAGGTTTATAGCCCCATTGACGACTTCTGGCAGGTCCTCTAGCACCAACGATCCGGGAGGAAGATCTGGGTGCTTGTCGAGTAAACGTGTGAGATCAATGCCATGATGACCACCAATATCAACGCAAAGGACACCCCCATCGCTCAGATCGGCGCCATTCATTAAAGAGTCCGTATCGTAAAATGTTGGCCAAGGCACCTTGTATGTTGCCCAGCCTTTCATAAAATCACTGAAGGCCTCCTGGGACGCTGGCTCGGCAACGCACCGGTCGAAGAAATGGAGATGGCCGGGCGATTGGTCTGCGTAGTTACTGTTTATGGGGTCATGGGGCTCCTTGTAACCTGTCTTCGCTAGAAACCGCGGGAAGTTTACGGCTGAGCTACTCCAGTGAACGGTTCTGAAGTTTCCAGTTAGTTCTAGAATCAAATAATCTTAGAACAGGTCAGGACAAACCGTGAAGCAATCCACTTCCACATGTCGTCGTGCCACATGTGTGTCAGAGCAAAGTGATCTTCATTTGTCTCTGCGATTATGTTAACCGAGGCCAAAAGCTTGAGGAGACGGCCTACAGTTGTACAGATTAGCCAGTGACTTTTAGATAGGGTCTTGGGGTTACAAGGCATTGGCATACGAAGTAAGTTAAGATCACATTTAGGCGTGCATAATTCGCAGAGTTCATCAACAGATTTAGAGGCACCGTCAATCACCGTCCATTTCTGCCACAGCCCGAGGTCGAGAAGAATTTCTAGAGCAGCAAAGACGATGGGCTGGGAGAAAACGAGATCAAACCATCTCTCTTCCTTGGCCTCTACTCGAACCAAGAGTTTCTTGGCAGCTTCTATTAGTTTCAAACGGTCAATATCGTTTTCTTTGAAATTCCCTGCTTCAATGCCGTTGAGTGTGGTTATTAACTCTTCAAGATTTGACATTGTGGTAGGACTGGAAATATGTTCCCAAATACATGTAAGAACCAGGACAGTTGTGAAGACAAGGAAGACGAGAAAGACGAGAGGGGTAGGAGGGGTGAGTGGGAGGAGGGTAATCTTGATGACATGTATAGATTGTGGAGTACTAAACAATGGACCATATTATAGTGGAACATTGTTGCAAGGAAAGTACAATTTCATCATATATACCAGCTCCAGCATCCCATAGACTCGATCCTGTATCCAGAAACAACGCGCAGATGATCATTCTCACGTGATGAGCTGAGCATTAGACGCAGGCACGATGTGACAGAACAGCTCCCATTTGACCACTGGCGTTATCTCTGCGTTATGTGTTAACCTGTCTGGGTTACACAATTCATGATCTGATGTATAATGGTTACGCAGTTGTATGTATGACTAGTTCTTACGCCAAGGAAACAGATATTCATGGGCCACAAAACTGGTCACAAGCTACCTTGAGACGTCATATGCGTTCATTCGTTGGCGACATTGGGGATGCTGTTAGCACCAACCAATTGCCAGTGCACGAGAAACGTGCTGTTTCATCAGAGTCCATACCGTTACAGTAGTTACATGTCCCGGGCTATAAAGCCAGTCAGACTGTAGGACTCGGTTCCGTGTACCTAATCTGGCATAGTTACGAGACAAAGGGCGAGCTTACCATAGGTATTCAGGGTATTGAGGGGAGCGTGGAGATTATTGCTGTTGCCGCGAAGTTCTGACACCCTCTTAAGCTAGTATTTATACCTACATAAATATAGCTATTAGTTTTTCTCCAGGTGATTGTTTCAACACAAGCAATATTCGGTGTTTCTGATATATGCCTATACCACCACGCTTATCATGCTAGCTACGATAGCTTCTGATTGTGGAAAGGAAGCAAGTTGAAGACTTAACTATGGCCAGAGTATTACTAACATAAAGAAGTCCAGTGTGTATATGCCGAGTCCCTAGGCTTATAAATTAAGTTTCCTATACGGGTAGCCCAATTTTCCAGCGTGTTCTTCATCGCCTTAACTCATTTCAACAGCCCGGTTCATGCTTTTTCTTCTTCCCCTTCACGCGCCTAATTATGAAGACGTGAAACAATTGTGGTCATTAAGGCTTTGATCAAAACCTCCGCGTCTTGTCAATCCTGTTTCTCAGAGCATAACAGCATTAGTAAGAAGCACTGGCTCTTCCAATCTTGCCGTCTTCGAATGGAGCTGAGAAAAAGTTAACAGGTCGGCTGCTCATTGGCTGTGTCGAATTATAACGGGCTCGACACATGTCAAATAAATACCCTCTTATCAATCTAAGGTTGGTTATGTGAGATCACAACGTTAAGGAACGACGACGAACCCTAAAAGTCTTTAAGTCTCATATTTGGCCAATGGAATAAATTTTTCCACAAGGTAAATACCCATAAACCCTAGAACTATGTGTCGACTTAAATATAGACCTTAAATTCTAATATTTAGTTATGGTAAATATTTTAATGATCCACCGCGCCATAGCCAGAGCGCCAATTCGCCCGCTATATTTTACTTCCAGAAAAGGAAGGGGAAATGCATAAATAAAAGAAAAGACGAAGACGGTGGATGAAAATTAAAAACAGTTGCCCAGATAACCCATGTCTTTCCCAAATGCTGCTGATGCCTTTTCATGCCTAAACCAATCAGTTGCGTCGAACTTATTCATACACTGTCTCATGCAACTTAACGTATCGTAACACTATACTCCGTTCTGAAAATTGCTGAACCAAACGGGAATATCCGGTTGGAAGTCAGTACTAAAGTTCCAGTATGCTGCGAGGGAATCCTGAGAGTCCAAAGTGATTGTGGTATTGGTCCAGTTGTCCAGCCCTCCGATACACGGCGGACCGTCGACCGGAGGCGACTTCTGAGTACTCGCAGTAACATTCTCGCAGGTTACTGGTCGTGGCAACTCATTCTTCCGGCTCAGAACCTCTTGGGCTATAATTTGGATTTCTTCTAGGTTCTTCCCGCCCTGCGCCCACACCTTTGCTAAGGCTCTGATGTAGCCGACCACTAACCGAAGTTGATGCCGAGCCACCGCAAGCTGTCGTCCAGAGTACAGCGCCTTTATCGCCGCGAGTAATGTATTTGTACACGCAGCTGTCATGCATATTGTGAACGGGCTGCGACGGAATGGCTGTACAGGTAACACGAGGAATGCAAGTTGGGCTTCAACGGATTGGAGACACCGTTGGGTGTGGACGGTTTCCGAATCTTTTACCGGTAACCACTTGGGTGGCTCAACTAGACAGCTCGAAACGCCTTCTAAAGGGTGGAATGGTAGCTTAGAAAAGGGCCTATGTATTGCTATGAGGTTCCTACGATACTATTAGCCATCATTGGAACATTGTCGGGTGGGGTGTCTCAACACAACTTACGCGTGTACAGCCATTTGTGCTTGGAACATAAGCTCATCAACAATATTGCCTTCTTTCAAGACTTCCTTCTTAGACTTTGGGAGAAGAAGAAACCACCCATCTATAATGGCGTCAACTTCTGCTATCGTCTTTGGAGACAACCAATTCGAACAATCAGGCGAGCCAGCAGAGAGTGCCAAGGCGATGCTACGCGTCGCTCCGATGAGGTAGGCAAACGACGAGAACCTTTGGTTTTCGGGGCCAAATTCTCTTGTTTCGAAGTCATCCAGGCTTTTAGGGGTAGGTATTAACTGCCAATGAAACCTGTGTTAACCCTGACGAGCTCTGATCATGAGAAAGGAGGTCAACCTACGCCTGATTCATATTCGTCTTCTTCGCACGGCAAGTCGGTATCGGTATCCACTTCACATAAGCGAAAGGTCGGTAACCGTTTGATAGCTGCGTAGTATGCATCGATGCAAAAGACCTGCCACCAAGTTCGCCTCAAGCTTTCTTCCAGAACTATATCGCCGTGCCCGTGCTCGGCAGCAAAATCCCGATGATTCATGCCAAGCCCCAGTACAATCTCTATCGCGATATCAATCTCCTCGCGGGATTTTAGTTTTTCGGCAGTCCAGTATAGAGAAATAGAATAGAGAAGATGGCATTGGGCTAGGAATGGATCGGGCGGAAGTCCTCTTGCGGCCTGGAACCCTTCTATGACCTTGTCTTGCAACTGTGAGGTCAGATCTGGATGCGAGTACAATGACCCTATGAAACGCATAACGGCGACCAGAAGCGCCAAGCTTCCTTGTTCCGGGACCCTCTCATAGTAATGCTGAAGGCTGCGTTGCGGTAGTGCACAAGGGTGACACCTGTGGAAATGTTTGTAGTAAAGCTTGATGAGAAAGTCGTTTGAGATGCTCGAAACCTGAATGTCGACCGAGTCTGGCGTCCCGAGCGTCTCTTCCAAGTCGCTCGTCTCTGGTTCTGAGGATTGAACACTGTTCCCGTTTGATAAAGCTGAGAGGAAGTCGCCCGACGGCCGGCATTCTGAGGCGGCTGTCCGTACTGAAGAAGACCTGTCGGGGCTGTCGGACGGCGAACCGACAGTAGTCCTATTACCACTCTGGGTGTTTCGACGCCGTTCTGCTAATTTTGCCCGGTTCAATCCACCTCTTCGGGATTTAACGTATTGGCATGTTCTCCCCTCCGATGAACACCGTACGCACACGGGCTGTTGCGCATCACAGCGGACATGACGACTCCGACATGGAAGACAGGCCACGGAAACACGGCTACCCAAACTCTTCGTACCAACCAATAGCTGCTCTTCCGAACTCATAATATGTGAATTAGACGGGATTAACTTAGCGGGTATGCTCTTCAGCTTCGTCACGCAACCGTTCGGGACCGTAGTATAGATAGGTCTGAGGCCCTTGGCAGCGGTCCAATGAGCGGACGTCAAGGAAAATCGGGTATCCGGGTATCGGCCATCGGGTACCCGTTTCAGGCATCTAACCAAGGTAAGAGAAGCCAAGATTGCTGCGCTGACTTGCATCTTCCTTCCCACCGCCAATTTACAGTGTAGGCATGTCGCCGCCTTCCCTTACTCATTTACTCATAATCATACCCTGTCGTAGCTTTGCCGCGGGAGGCAGGTAATACGAGTCCCCGTCGGGAGTTGCAGAGCCTTGCGCAGCAGCTATCATGAGCTCTTCAACTGCTGTGAAAACACTGTTATACAAGCGCCAGATGATGGCCGAACCCATTTCAATTGCCGCGCAGACAGCCTCGAGTGGCAAATGGTTCTGGGTATCCGCGATGAGCGAGAAACCGACGCGGACATACCGCTATGTTGAGAGGGTTTGTACAACTAACGATGAATATAAATAACACGCGAGATGCATCAACATCTAGAGATTGTAGAATCGCATCAGCAGACCAAAGATAGAGCATCATACCACCTCATCTACTAATCACCACAAGTCACACTACTCATTTCGCTGTCACCATGCCTCAAAGAATTGTCGTTGTTGGCTCGGGATTCGCTGGCTTTTGGGCCGCCTTGTCCGCCCGCCGTCTCATCAGCATGGAGGTTGAGAAAGGCGCCGCGGAGATAGATGTCTACGTGATCGCACCTGACGCGAACCTCGTGATGCGGCCGCGACTATACGAGCCTAACCCCGCGAACATGAGCGCGCCAGTAGACGATGTGTACCGTGCTTGTGGTGTTCGCTTCGTCTATGGCATCGTTGATACCATCCGTACCGGAGACCATCAGGTCGAGATGGTAGATCGCGCGGGCGTGCGCTCTTCTGTATCTTACAACAAATTGATTCTCGCAGCTGGTAGCCGTGTTGTTCAGCCTGCCATCCCGGGGCTTAGCGACCACGCGTTCTCCGTGGACCAATTTGAAGACGCTATCAAGCTAGATAGGCACCTCCAGAGCCTCGCATCGAAGCCACCCAGCAAAGCCAGAAACACTGTTGTGGTGTGTGGTGGCGGTTTTACTGGGATTGAAGTTGCCACTGAGCTTCCTACCCGTTTGCGCGCAATCCTTGGCGATGAGGCAGACATCCGTGTCATCACTGTGGAACGGAACCAAAACATCGGCCATGATCTAGGATCGGGACCTCGCCCTCATATCCTCAAAGCATTCGAAGATCTCAAGGTGGAGACTAAGCTAGGCACCAGTATTACTGCAATTGACGCCGAAGGAGTGACACTTTCTACTGGCGAGCGCATCGAGACGCTCACTGCCGTTTGGACAGCTGGCGTGGCAGCGACCCCGCTAACCAGACAAGTGTCAGATAAGAGGGACACTCTGGGGCGTCTTCACGTTGACCAAGACCTCCGCGTGGCATCAGTCAAAGACGTCTTCGCAGCGGGCGATGCAGCAGCTGCAGTGGCTGACGAGAGTGGTGGCCACTGTGCTAAGATGTCATGCCAACACGCTGGCCCGCTGGGCAGAGTTGCAGGCAATAACGCTGCGGCGGAGCTCCTGGGAATTTCTACATTCCCGTATTCCCAGCCTGTATATCGGGTGTGCGTTGACCTCGGTGCCGCAGGTGCTGTCGTTGGCAAAGGTTGGGAGATTGAGGTTCAATATCTGGGCGAAGATGCAAAGCCCATCAAGCAGTTCATCAATACCACCCTGATCTATCCGCCCAAGGCAGTTGCCGCTGAGGCCTTTGCCGCGGCTAGCCCTGCATTCGACGGAAGTGATCCTGCGATTAACCACCCATCTCTGGGCGCTTTCATGCAAGATCATGGGGTGCCGCTAGCATAGGAATTTGGGCCTTGGGGTTTGGGGTTTGCATAGAGTAGACTGTGTAGAACTAGGATAGATAGAATTCTTTAATTCTTAGACCCATACCCATACTATCTCTGATTATAGCAGCGGCTTCCATTTTGACAGTGACTATCTCAAACCTTATCTTCCGAAAAACTACTTCCTCTTCCAGCCCACAATCTCTTCGTTTGTTGTTACGACTCGTCCCTAATAGCCTGCTTTACTTGCGCAGTCATTCAGGGGTGTGGAGCAACCTTCCCAGCAACGGGAGATGAGTCAGAAACGTGGTCGCCCACATGGCATTGGCATGTTCCGGTATAACTTATTGCCTAAATAAGTGAGCATACCTTTACTAAGTAAAAGAAAAAGGGGGAAATGAGTAATACGCCCGCATATCAATTTTCGCGTATTGAGTGCTGAAGACTATCCATTTAGTACATATCATCTCAGCCTCGAACTCGTCCATCTGCATCAGTGCCGTTGTTTAACTGGGTTTCGACACAGGGGACATACAGAGGCAGCAGGTGGACGATGTGATAATGTCAACATGGTGGATAGGCTCTCTTAACTTAGCTGATACCCTATATGCTATCATCTATCAGAGTGATGGTGTAAGCTCTATGCGATGCCAATCGTGATTTGCATTTATTTTTTAACTCATACTATACGCTTTATACACATGCGCAACTTGGTAATTTTGACGTATATACCTATAGTCGCTTGGTTCATCATACTGTGATGTTTCCTGGTTGTTAAAACATTCCAATCAGGGACTTGTGTCGTGCTCAACCCCACGAATTTGCATAACGGCGTGAGAGCAATTGACACTTGCCAAAACTAGCCCTCCCATGCAGTGCAATCCCCTAATTAAATATACATGTTAGACCATTGTCACGCCAACATGTCCGCATTGGTGCATGCGCTAGGACGTGATGTTGGAGTTAAAATAGGATCGGATACTCCAATGCTGTGCTATATCCGGGCCAAAACCGGCAGCTTAGCTGTTTTGAGAGGATAAATTAGATCGAACAAAAAGGAGAGAAGTCGGTGATGCATTAAGTTGGGTATCATCGCTCCGTGAATGCTTCGAGGACAATAGAAAATAGAGACGTTCGGTCATAGTGGTTTGAAGAGGGAAGGTTGATAGTGAGTTCTTGAAATGCTGGTTTGAGAATGCGAAGTCTAAATCGCAAATGTCACTTGTTAAAACATATCATGTTCTGCATTGTGACTCCACGGTGCCGTGGGCTTCCAAGTATGTCGCCTTGGGATACGCTCGAGCTGCGCGAGTAAGTCGTCCAGTTCTACCCAGTTTTCTTCGTTTTCGGCGAATTTACGATGCTTCGGAGCTTCAATATGCTACACCCAAGTTAATAACACAACCACATTTGAAGGCCTGCAATCTTACCTCGTCAAAGTCAGGGTACTTTTCAGCGCAGTTCTCACAGTACCCCGGTTTGAGATCACGGTCGCGTGGCTTCTTTCGAAGAGCGGTCCGCTTAGCCGATCGAGAATCATCGGTTCCCTCAGTTTCCTTAGCATCTTCGTCAATGAGCTCCAGCTTGCGACTCGAGGTTCGTCCCAAAGTGGGTGGTCGTTTGGTCAGACTGTCCTCGCGAAAACTAGTCTCCATATTCTGCCGAGAACTATGATCTTGCGAGTTCCATTTGAGGACTTGGCGTTGAAGCCCATGAACTTCCTTGCTCAGACCAGTAATAACGCCAGGCGTAGTAGCAGTAGATGAGATCATTTGGGACCTAATCGCCGATGTTACATTGGACGGCTGCACCCCAGACGCGACTGGCTCGCCGCCGTGTAGACGCCCAGTTGCAGCGTGACTAGTGAACGCCTTGCGAGAGAAGTCTATATTCTCTGCGCCAAAGCTGCGCGAGAGATTCGGAAACTCAGCCGAGGTTACGCTGGATTGACGATTATGCCCCATCTCCATCTCGCCCAGCGTTCGTTTTCTAGTGATCTGCCTAGGAGGGGCCATCCTAGGTGGTTGAAGAATAGGTTTGGTCTCACCTACAGGTTCTTGACTTGCGGTTCTAACCCGTATCTTCCGTTGCACTTCCCTAGCCTCCTTTGCTTCTCTTGCTTCTCTCGCTTCCCTCACCTCCGAATCCTCGATAAAGGGGCAACGCCCTAGCCCAGCAGTCTGGAACTGCGGCCATTTACCCTTGGATCGATCTGCTGCCTTTGGGTATTCCTTCACCATTATAGGCTTCTGCTTCTCTTCGACATCGTAAACATAGATGTATGGGCCCTTGAAGTAGAGAAGCTCACGAGCGAGGACAGTAGGATCACGATCAGATGGTCCGTTCATGCGCTCCTTCTGCAAAAGCTGCAAAAGATTGCGATCCTCACCCGCTCGAGATTCAACCGGTACGCTTAGGGTGTTCTTTCGCCTTCCATAAGCCATATCAGCACTACGGTACGGGTCTGTTTCCAGAAGTAATGCTGTCATTCGAAACAGCTTGTCTGCTGTCCAGATCTTTTTCTTCATTTCTCTAGCCCGTATCAAAATATCCACAGCCTTTTTTGGTATCCTCAAGCCCTGGTCAGTGGGTTGAGGTGGTACTCTATGAGCACGGGCACGCAAATCGGCGTCAAAGAGTTTCCTCTTGGTAGCAGGATTCGACACCCGTGTAAGCAAGGAGGGATTAATAGTCTCGGCTTGCTCTTGTTCGGGTTGTGGGACTTCTTTTTCGGCAGCCATATTACCACCATTGTCACGACCAACGGCGTCTTCGGCAGGAATCGCTCTGCTTGTAATGACATGGGTGACATCGACCGAGAAGAATGCAGTCTCGCGCTACACGTGCACACCTCACATTAGTCCAAGATACGGCAATGACATGTGTTGAATTCGATGACTTACACCTCCGAGTGCAGCTATCTGCCTTTTCAGCTTGTGAGCTATATCGCTGGGAATCTGATCAAAGTAAAAAAGTGATTTTGGAAATCTAGCGCGGTGATGGTTCTTCCAATTCTGAATTTCTTCAATATCTTTTTCAGTATATTCCGTCACAAGGGCTGCCTCTTGTTGTTGGCGAGAAACAGTCCTCTCCCTCGCCGACCTCGCATCACATGCATTGTTGGCACTCGTACTCGTTGGACGACGGGATTGGACAGGAATTTGGCTCTTAGTGACGCGTAGTTGTTGGGATGGCGACTTCACCACGCGTTGGGTGCCACCAGCATCAAGCACAAGCTTTTTTGCAGGAGGTTGCTGACCGTATGCTTCTTCCCTCTGCAGCTGAGTCAAGGTACGCTTCTGCTTGAAAGCAGTGCTTCGAAGAGGCGAATTGGCTACATTCTGGTTGGAGGCAAGAGGAACCCTTCTACCCGACATAACTGAAAGGTCGATGGGAGTGGGTGATAGGGATATAGCTGCCATATAATAAACTTATGACCATGCTCAATGGGAGTGAAGGATGCGGGTTTGAGTCGTAGAATCGTGGGAGGCTGTGTCAGGGCCAATGTGGACGTGAGTAGTGTATGACGTTTCTGTCGGCTAGAACCAAGGCGACAGCAAGCTCTCGGTCTTAATTGTCAACTATGGCTCAATGTTAATCATCGGGGAGTCGAATAGGCACCAAACAGCAAAGGTCGCCGGTGGTTGTAGATTGGGTGGTCGAATGCTGAGATGATGTTGGTAGCTGGGAGGGGCTCCATACCTGGGCTGGGGGTGAGCACACACGCGAGACCGAGGGCGTAGGCGTGGCAGGGCGAACAAGCACGACGCGAACTACAAACGGGCTGGTATTAGAGAAACATCGAGGCACAGAAAAACCCTAATGCCAATGGCCCAAAACCCCGAGAGAAGACGCCCAATACAGAACACGGGAAAACAAACAGCACAGCTTCAACCAGGGCCAGAGCGAGCGAGAGGAATAAGGTGGACAGACTGGATGCGTGGTAGTGAGCAGGTAGGTAATGAATGTTCCGCGGTGAGCGTGCAATGAACGCCCTGAACGCCCTGCCCTCCCCTGCCACTGGAAAAAAAAAGGCGGCACGCGCACAGGGCACACGCTCGGCGCCTCTGCACGCCCTAACACGCCCTAGCAATACTGCGCTAGCACCTGTAGGTAGGCGAGGTAGGTAAGGAATAGCAGGGAACAGCAGTGCAGTGCCCACTAAGCCACCGAGCCACTACCAGCCTCGGCCCTATCCGGATAGGGCCACAACACAACAAACCAACAATAATAGGCCCCAACATTACCCCACTAACATAAACACCTCAGCGTGGTGCACAGCAACCGTCCAGCGCCATTCCCGTTTAATTCAGCGCCGTTGGAGCTTTGGAGCCTCGGGAGCTTGTTGCCCGTTTGGGTAATGTCTTGGAATTAAGCTAAATGTTCTAGAAAAACTTCAAGTTCGTTAACGAGACGTAATTGGAGGGGATGAGCGGGTTCGCGCCGCATCATCGTGCACTTCATACCCACTACACCCGCCAGCCTATCGCCATCTCACTGTTACCAAGGTAGTTCATGAATCAGTCCTGCTGACGAATTGAGATCTGTCGCAATTCAGGTGAGAAGAACTTGTATCTACAGATATACGACCAATTATCTAATACATGCAGATTAGCTGTTCGATGTGCCCGTTCCCCCGAGCCTGGGCAAGTAATTGTTTCTAGTGTCCATCATATCATGATGCAAAGAGGGCCATTATTATAGCCTCCTCTCCTCCTCCTCCATAACCGCGCCATGAAAGCAAGCAGGCTGCCGATACGGAATTTCAAGAAATGTCTTGAACAGCAGCCTCGTCTGTCATATTCCCAATCGAGATCAATAACGACCTCCCCGGTCCCTCGGAAAGCATGTCAGATCCAATCTCGGCGGCCGTCGAAACACTGTAGCGCTGCCAACCGAGCCTACTCAACCGCAGTCCCGGCATCACAATTGCTCTTCGGACAGCCTGTCCACGAAACGCATCCGCATCTCCTCAAATCAGGCGAGTTGACGCCAGGCATAACAGCCCAAGAGTACCACGAGCGCCGGGCCGCGCTCTGCGCCCTTCTCCCCGAGAACTCAGCCGTGATTCTGCGCGCGGCGGACCTCAAATACCGTAGCGGTGCCGTGTTCCACGCCTTCCGGCAAGAGTCCAACTTCCTGTACCTGACCGGGTTCAGTGAGCCCGAGTCCCTAGTGGTCCTGCGGAAGACAGGCGATTCACCAGACGACTACATCTTCCACCTATTCTGCCGGCCCAAAGACCCTCAAGCCGAGCAATGGCACGGGCCATGGAGTGGCGTCGACGCCGCGAGAGACGTGTGGAACGCAGATGAGGTGGGCGATATCGGGCGTGCTGTTCCACTCCTAGCCGAGGCGCTGAAGGGTGTGGAGAGGATATACACGGACGCCGAACGCACCAAGAACGGCGCGGAAACGTCCTTCGGAGGCATGCTCAAGCTCGCAGCTCCGCATGTTTCCTCATTCAACGCCTTGAAACCACACATCAACTCTCTCCGCGCGATAAAGTCGCCCGCCGAGATCGCCAACATGCGGCACGCAGGGCAGCAATCCGGCCGCGCCATCACAGCCGCCATGCGCAGGTCTTGGGAGTCCGAAAAGGAGCTTGCGGCCTTCCTCGAGTACACGTACCAGACGTCCGGGCTGGACGGGCAGGCTTACATCCCCGTGATAGCCGGCGGGTCGCGCGGTACGCTAATCCACTACACCCTGAACAACGCGGCGCTGCAGTCCGACGAGATGGTCCTCGTGGACGCGGGCGGCGAGTACGGCACCTACATCACAGATATAACACGCACGTGGCCCGTGTCCGGGAAATTCAGCCCCGCGCAGCGCGATCTGTACACGGCCGTCCTCAAGGCCCAGCGCTCGTCGGTGTCGCTCTGTCGCGCGAGCGCGAACTTGACGCTCGACCAGCTACACAACATCACGGAGCGCTCGCTGCGGCAAGAGCTCACGCATCTCGGCTTCAACCTCAGCGGGGACGCGATGGGCGTGCTATTCCCGCACCACGTGGGGCACTACGTCGGGCTCGACGTCCACGACGTCCCCGGATATCCGCGGAACGTGCCGCTGAAGGAAGGCCACTGCATCACGATCGAGCCTGGCGTGTACGTGCCCGACGACGCGCGATTCCCACGGCACTTCCGCGGCTTAGCCGTGCGTATCGAGGATAGCATTGCCGTGGGCGACGACAATCCTCTAATACTGACCACTGAGGCAGTCAAGGAAGTTGAGGATATCGAGGCGTTGAGAAGCTGAAGACTTTGCGCGCCGCAAGCAGGGCCAGTTTTATAGAATCATTAAGATCGAGATAGAGGCGCTAGGCGTCAGAATTACATCCTGTAAGAACCTGTGTATAGACGCACATAACTAGAACATAGCGAGATAGAGAACAAGAAAGTAGGCACTCCAGCTTACAGCTATGAGTCGCTTGCTACAGCTGCAATTATTCCTACGCCCCATGCCTTTGTGTCAACGACATCCATACATTCTTAGTTTTCACATACAGAAGGAACAAGAAATGAAACGTGACCACTACAATCATGCAAGGCAAGCAATGTAATCAACTACCAAAATTAGGTAGTAAGCCTTATGTATATTTCCTGCTGTGTAGGTAATAGCTACATAGCATATTAATAGGTGGTATGAGTAGTAAAAGCTCCATGTGCCAGCCACAAAGCCAATAACATCTAGCTCTAGTCTGTTGGATCTCTCTCGACCAACTCGAATATATGTGGTTGATTCAATCCATTGTATGGATCTTTTTGGTTTCTCCATGGATGTCAAGGTATGTGCTCAGGCAAACTTTTGAAGCGAAGCGGTGGTATCATACAAGGGAGGCAAAGAATGAAACAGAAAAGAAACGCGCCGCCCCTGTGTTTTGATCCGTGCATTATGCTGATATCACCCGCTAACTTTTTTTTCATGATGTATTGATCAGCAACGAAAACACGACATGAGTATACCGGAAAGGGAAGGAGTAATGCAAGTAATGTCGTAGTCGAGAATCGACTTTTGTTTCCTCCCAACCCAGTATCATTATTTCATGTCTTCGTTAGTTTTGTGAGATGAGTGTGTTCTGCGTCCAATATGATCCGCCTTCTTTTTGTTTTCACCCCGAATACCATCGCCGAATAAGCGCCGACAAATGCAGTTGAAGGAAATTTCAAGCGTCAAGTAAATATGTTGTCATGTTTGTTGGGTCGACACGATGAAGACAGTGACAAAAATTAGCTCATCATCGCGTTAGAAACGTTGGTTGTATACAGGCCCGCCGTATCCTTGGGGCCGCCAGTTGGAACCAGGAGGAGCACCGACCAGTTGCTCGAAAGCCTGTAGCCTTCGAGCTAACTCCTCGTTCTTCTGTGCTACTGAACGATTACGTCGTTCCAGTTGATGGATATACTCAGTTGCTTTGGTTAGGACTGTGCCCTGCAATACGCGTCAGCATATGAAACAAAAAGGGCGGTAAGACAGGCGCAAATTTACCTTGCTAACTTTGGGTGCCGTTCTAGACGAGCCGGCTGGTGAGTTCGGGTCGTCATCCTCTGGTATAGCACGTAGCGATGGTATGGCATCGCGCAGTTCGGCTATTTTGTCTTTTAGATTGGTACGATATTTTCTCTCGATATCGTTGTGTGCTGCTCGTTCACTGTTCTTTGGCTTTTCCTTGGGTCTCTCAGTTCCCTCTGATGAGTTCTTTCGCGAAGGTGCAGCTGGCCTCGTTGTTGTGGTTCGAGGCTTTGGTTCAGGGGTGTTACTAGTTGAGTCAGAAGGACTCTGTGTCATCTCAAAATGGAAGTCCGCCACCGCTGGTGGTCGAGTGGCTTGCTGTGTTGGGGCTTGTCCTGTGCCCAGGGCAATTGCCAAAAGGCGTTGACGTTCTGCGTCGCCGATGGGCATGTTTGTATTCACGTAATTCATATGATAACCGGGACGTGGCTGTTCCCAGCTTAAAGGGGTAGAATAGAGCCTCTCCTGGGGCTCGGGTGGCGGCGGCGCTGGTGCGCTAGTCGTCGCTGGTCCTAATTCGTGAACTAGAGCCATGGAAAAAAGATCATCCTCATCTGAGAGCGCTTGGTCTAAAGCACTATCGTCGATGAGATCGCTTGTCACTGGCGGTAGAGCCACTTTGTTGGCGTCGCCGGTCGTCCCGACCGTACTTGTCTTTGATAGATGACGGCTTAGACTCAGCGACCTGACCTGTGCATCAGCGAAAGACTCAGCGAAGTTCAATGAAAAGCTGGTATCCGTCCCCTTTTCTCCACCACACGCAGATGCAGAACAAAAGGGACCTACGTGCTTGGTGTCCTGCGAGCTGTAGTCCAAGAACTGGTCTAGGCTTTCGTTGTCACTGTCAAAGCGAAGCCAGTAGTCGGAGCAATCAAGTGCGGACGGATCTTGGATAACCCTTGATGTCTTCGATTCCTCCGAACACCTCCGCTTCTTCGGCCCAGACTTCCCGGGGATGCTGTGTTTGTGAGACTGGTAGCTCGGCTTGCTGGGCAGCTCAGCGGATGTATGAGAAGCTGGTGAGTTAGCGGTGGTGCTTGGTGTTTGTCTTGAGACTGAAGCAGCCGCCGAGTTCAAGTAACTTGATGTTGACGAGTCGTCAAGAGTGTCCCAGAAGTTTGTTGCTGCGAATTGTTGAGTGAAGTCTGGAGAGTTGTCGAAGAAGGTCTCGGGACCCTGCTATGTGTTAACAACTAAATAGTCCGGAGCACTCCGCTGGGTAAGTACCCAAGCGGGTGTGCCATGATGGACCAAGCTTACATTAACACAAGAAGAGGAATAGCCGTCGATGTCTTGCATAACACGTGCATCCATGACGACTCTCCTGACACGTTCAGAGAGACCGTTAGGTCCGACCAATGAATCTCCCTAGTTCGATATGCTGCCAGATAGAATCGATGATCGTGTGAATCCGGCAGATATGACAAGTGACCGATGGCACTGACTGGTTGTAGAAGCTAAAGGAATTCCTGTCCTCTCAGCTTGGCGTGCCGGCCGAACAAAAAGCGGACAATAGATGTGGTGAGATAGATGTAGCTGTTGTCGATTATGCCTAACAGGCGAGGTGTCTTTTTGGTGAGGTACAGTGAACACACCAGCAGTATTAAGAGATTGTTGTGGTGGTGTGGCGATTATAATATAGTTGAATCTGTAACATCTGATGCTGAGAAGAATCCCTTGCTCTGGAAGGAGGAGCACCTGGTCTCTTCTTGTAGGCACGATAACTTTAGATAAACGGGGAAATTCGGATCACTTGATGGAGGGGTATGATCTTCAAGATCGGTTTGGGGATAGTAATCACCAGCTCAGGCAGAGTATCTATTATCACCAGGGACTGTCCTAAGGATTATTGCACGGCCGATACCATAGCACAATGGCCGAGACCGCCCGACACTGGAAGAAGCGAACACGAAAATGGCCTGACCTCTGTGGCGGCAGCGGGAACGCGATGCTTGGCCAGCGTAGTCAGATACAGGAGAATGGGCACCGATGCGGCACGTAGCGTGCAAGGACGGTGTGTAGGATAGGTAGGAGGTATAACAACAACGGAGTGGAGGATTACGGGCAAATTAGGGATCAACTGAAGCGAGGAAGCTCGTACTCAGCAGACCGTGTATACGACAAGGTATCCTGTGTATGCTGTTGTATATGGACAAGGGCTCGCGATGTCTGCTGCACGGGACTCCCCTGCGGTTAGAGATGCCAACCTGGGCAATAGGTAAGGCAGGTATAGTGTAGACTGAGATCAAGATGTTTGGGAACGCTAGGGGTGGGTGTCTAGACCAGGATGAACGGGGGAAATATTCACCTGCATAAGTAGGAAAGAATGATATTGTCTAGTCGAAGACGGCCCGAGAATTCGTCGAGGAGCGAGAGGGAGGGCGGAGTGTAGCGTACATGGGAGGTAGTGTACCAAGCGAGCTTCTATACTTATAAGTAAGTAAGTAAGTAAGTAATGTACAAGCCCTGCTCTTGGACTGGGGAATAACAGGGTAATTTTTTGACAGGATGAAATGCAGCTAGGGAACGGCTGGGACAACAACCTTGAAGATTCGAGTTCAACAACAACAACCTGGCACCCAAGAAGACTGCTCCCGCACACGGGGCTGCCTACACAGTCATGTTGCCAACCCATCCAAGGCAGATGTCTGTTTAATACAGCTGGAAGTGAACAGTTACCACCTCATACCTTTCACCGGTGCTGCCTATTGCATCTGATCTGATGGAGGGTAGCTAAGTACGTGCAGAGCACATGGGTTCAAGATGCCATTGATGTGTACCTCAGGTGTCGATATATGGGATGAAACTTGTATATGCCAGCCAAGGTACGGCATGTGTGCTTCGTAGCGGGATACATACATACCTAGGGCATACTCCTCCTGCTCCTGCTCCTGGCAAGGTCACTCGAAATATCCTCGCACTGCTACTTACTCTGCGTACCGGTATGGCTGACCATCATTGTACAGAAAGGTACTTCGCTCCCCGTCTGTTTAGTAGTACCTACGGTAGTGTAAGCGCGAGGCTAGGGTTTGTGAGGGATTCGGTCAAGCGTGGGATTGTACAAAATTCGACGATTCACATGTTATTTTCCTCAACAGATCACTCACTCACTGGGTTGAGATACCTAGACGGGCCAGAAATCCATGATACACACTACAGTACCTAGGTATCTACACCGCGCCAACTGAGTAGGTACTACCGGTACTACCGTAGAAGACAATGCAGCTAGATAATAGAGGTACCTACCTAGGTATTCAGAACATGATATTGCCGTGCAGTTAGCTACCACTGTACCTCCAGTACGTGGAGACTCGAGTGTGCGTAGTGGCAGGAGTGTGCGTACCTAGTAGCCAGTCCTGTGGGGAGAGACGTACAAGTAGGCGTTGAAATATGGGGGGTGCCGACATGAGAATCCCAGATGTGAGCAAGATTGCGATGATATGCGTGGGAGATGGATATTGTGGCCTGACTTTTGCTGCGCGTCAAGGAGGAAGCGGAGCCGATTAAGAAGATAAAGGGTAGTGAGGGTGGGGTGTGGATGACGATACCTACTTAGTTCTGTACTTTAAGTGTACATAGCAAGTAGGTACATGCAGTGTAGTAGGCAGTGTAAACAGAACAGAACAAGTAGTAGCACCTGGACCTCGTTTATTCTCGTTTACTCGTACAACAAAGGATAGGTAAGATGCTCTAACTTCTACAGGCCATCATAGCTATATCTAGACTATATCCAAGCCCTTGTTCCATTGGTATGGTACCTATTAGTATTCCGTTGAACTAGAGATACTCTATTGTAAACTACGCTACCTACGGTCAGGGCCAACCCCCACCTCCATCCCAATCATGTAAGTACCTAACAAGATTGCACCGGTGTAGACAGCTACCTAGCAGAAAACACAGAGCATCTATGAAATACCTGCCTACATAAGTATGTACGTTACTTACATAGTACTGTATGAATATCAACCTCTCCAAGTGCCTACCTACGTAGGTATCTAGGTACCTATAACGTCTAAGTAAAGGCAAAAAGGCAGGGCAGAGCGAGAGCTCCGGGCCTGGAACAACCGTGAATTGGGGACCTGTCAGGGCAAATGACCCAATAATCTAGCCAAGTGGGGGGAATCAGGCCATATGCAAGGCTAGATGGAGACATCGTATGAGGCCTGCGTTGCCGACTGGGGCGGAAGGAGTCTGTTTGTAGGAAAATGGGGTGTCGGATAAGCCCTGGACGGGTGCCGTGGCGAGCGATTCGACATGGCCTACCGCTAGGTAGGTACTTACTTACCTACATAGTACTCACTTATACCTGCCTACCTAGTTGTACTTGTTGTAGACATGTACCTACCTACCTAGGTATGTATGGAGTGTAAATCACTGCTATAAAGTTATATGTAGATACCCTCATTAGGACATCAGGTATGTAAGTATGTACAGTAGGTAGGATCTGGTACCGGTGGGAGCGTTGAAGTCAATAACTTCTACATACCTACATAGAACAGGTGGGGAGGAGCAAAAGTCTTGCTGCAGTGGGCTGCAAAATGCAGTGCAATCGCAATCGGCTGAATCCAAATTTCTCATTGGCCAGATGAAAGGAGAGCTAGTTGATACCCGCCTACACCTCCATAAAATTAGCAGCGTACTTATAGCCTTGGTCTGCCTTGGGCTTCAACCATCCCTCGGTGATCACGGCGCCACGCATACGCCCCATGCTGCTTCCAGCATTGTCCACAGACCTCTGCATGAAGTATGTATTCGGTATTCTCAAGCGACAAACTGGTCAAGGATAGGCGAGCTCTGCGTGAGGAGGATACCTGTGCAGTACGGCTATTGTAAGCCACATTTACACCACTATACCGACGCTCGGTAGGTATCAGCCTTATTAATGAATAAGTTATATCTAACGTACCTATGTACTAATATTTTTTTTTTTTGCTTCTCCCGCACACCCTCTTCGGTCAATACCTGCACATTGCTTCAGCTACCGTAGTATATTGTTCTTCCGTCCAAACTATGCATACATTGTAGTGTAGACTGTTCAACTGGTTCGGGTCCTGTCACTTGCGCCATCGGTCTATAAGCCAGCCATTATAACAACATACAGAACGCCACCGACCATATTTACATACTACCTACCTACCCACATTGTATAAAATCTCCAACCGCACCCTGTATGGCATTTTTCTTCCCGCATCTGCCGGTACTCATGCTCCACCACGTGCTGCACGTTCGCCACGGTTAGGTATGCAGATTCAAGTCTTGCCATTTGCCAGATCAGAGGTGGGTGTAGCAGGGTACTCAACGCTCCTGATTCCCCGGTGCGTCCTCGTCACTTCGAAGCGAGGAGCAGTTCGAAGTAATCACAAACAGACTGGCGATATCGTATTGGTTGGATTACTAGACGGTCAGCCAGATAACCAGTAACAGTTGCCTCTTCAGAGGAGGTCTGTCCTGTTGCTATTTCCAGGGCTGTAGTCAGCTGAGCGAGCTAAGACCGCGTGAGCATACATAGCCCTCACTATTGAATGTCGTCTTCGAGCAGGTATCTGTATCACGTGGCCGTTATCTTGACGCCGGGGCTAGGCGAATCCCTTCTGCATTGCTTCGGGGAGGGGAGGGGACGGGTCCCGATTTTTGACACGTCCCATCTCATCGGCTACCTATGTACACTACCTAGGTAAGTATACCTATGTATGTAGCTATGCAGTCCGAGCTTACAGTCGCTGCTACAGTAACATGGGCACTTTTGCTGCTGTACATCTAGCTGCAAGTATGTAAGTAGATATATGAGTAAGAAAAGCTTGGTCTTCGACAACACATTCCTCTCCCTACTCTATGCTATATTATACAATTTCTTTTGACTCCCATGATCAATACTACCCCCTTCGGCTAAACCCAGGGGGTTAATGAGCACGGCTTGATATTCGGGTCGTTTTCATGACTTGGCCGAATTGGAAGCGTTCCGACACTTGCGGTCTATCAATGACCCGATCGATCATGGCGCTTCATGGCGCCGCCGCCCGCGTCGGGTTCCGCGGCGGCAGCTCCCGGGCGGACTGCGTACTGACTTCGGATCGTTGGAACGATCTCCTGTGCATACATACATGCCTACATACCTACTTACAGTACATACCTATACTACATACTTCGTAGTAGATACACTACCACTATGTCCAAGCAGGGGTGAAGCCGAGAGGGGTGAATGGAATGTACACTACACGCTCGTTTATTCCTATCATCACCTAACCTCCTAGTACATATTCATAGACTCCTATTGTGAGTAGGTAGGTAGGTAGGTAGGTTAAGCAGTGATCCCAAAGGACTCGTTACGTGTAAGGAGGTGTGCTCTTACAGTACTGACTGCCTTATCCCGAGACTCGTCTCCTTATCGTACGATTCTTTAGTACGCACATGGAAGGTTATTTTCCGCATTACCGACAGTGTATTACGACCGCCTTGGGCCTATGCAAGTATGAACCGATTTTTTGGGATCCCAACAAGATCTCGCACTAGTCAGCGATCTCAATGCATCATCAAGGATTCATGGATTCATGGATGGAACACTTACATGGTACAGTGCGCTACAGTACCAGTACTCCTTCCCCTCGCTGGCCGTGACTGTTCGTCAGCCTTATTGACGTTGAATCTCGAGTCACGGCCCATCCATCCCTGTCCCAATCTTCATTTTACCCTTTTCTATATATAACAAAGCTTGATATTCCCATGCCAAGGTGTGCGCTGCCCCGGGACCTACCTCGTGCACCCGCGTACATTTCGCACAAAGTACACATAATAGGGGACCTGGATAAGTGCGACGAGGCGAGTCGTCGGAGTCGGCCGCTATCCAACCAGAATCCTCTCGATTATTTAGACTCGCTTCTACTGGTTCATTCTCGCCCTTGCTTGAAACGCTCGTTTAATCCTACCCCGGCAAGGCACAGACAGCTTGTCGACCTCCCATCAAGCACTTGGCCGTGAATTGTTCCGTGGAAGTGTACGTAGTACAGAAGAAAATCACTGAGTAGTGTACTCGCAAAGCGATGCCTAGAGTGTCTGCTCTGTGAGATACACGACATCCGTTCGCTAGAGAAACCTCTGTCGGGCAGCTCCCGAACAACAGTTGTAGAACTAAATTGTTTCTGTTTATAGACATGGACAAAATTCGCCGAAGTGCATTCTTCTGGCCGCTAAAAGGAAACCGCCGGTATTATATCACGACACATATATAGGCAGCTAGACATCAACAACCCTTACCTACCTACCTACACGAGTATCTACGCGAACACAGCGATACTACGGAAAGGATCGTTATGATTTTGCAACTACTTACTGGAGGGGAAATGAATTGTCCGGTGAGGGCAACTTGTCCCGATCCCTCCCCCCAAACAACGATTACAGGACCGTGGTACGTAGGTGAGAGTCGATAACCCCTCCACAGAACCCTCCATCTTGTAGCAGCATGTCTGTGCAAGTATGTAGTTCCACTGCGCATGTTCATGACAAACAGAGACACTCGGTAAATCTCTTTCTATCGGGCGATATAATTTCCTCAATGAGAGGCATAGCGAAGACAGAGCGCCGAGCACCAGGCGGTGTCTAGATGCGCGATAACAAGTTAGAAAAAAACTGGCGCCTAAGGGGAGAATTGATCAAGAATCTACAGCTTGCTCGATCACCGATTGTTCTCGGACCTCTCTTAAATGTAGCAGTGCATACCTAGGTAGGCATGGCCAACTGCACCTGTGCGCTAAGGCCCTCGATTTCCCCATGTCTTCTGCTCCTAATGTACTATGCATATGAGGCGACAGGCAACATTGCAACGTGTGCCATGCTCTCTCTCCATCCGCCCCTCCCGAGTCCCAACTTATTCACCTAGCTGAGAGAAATTGCGAGGCTGCTACTACTATAGGCATTCCGTAGAAACTAACACGCCGCCTCCACTTGCCGAAGTAATGCCAATGCTGCTCAAAGCGGCCCGCGGTTCAAGTTGCACAGCAGATCGTTTTCATGCAAGTAATCTGTTTGCTCCCCTGTAAATGCGGAATAATTAGTTCTCTATACCCCATGCTACCATGAAAAAAATTTCACATAATTATTGCTGTGCGCAAAAATAGGGTCCAAATCTAACTATCACTACCAAGGATTAAAAGGAGTCAGGCTTCCGCGCTTTGTTGGAGAGACATTCGAGAGAATACTTGTTGCACCAAGTAGTGTACTCTGAAAATGTCAGATGGCATTACACGTGCATATCTTTTGTCTACCCATCTTCTTCCTCGTGCCTCGGAAGTATGACTAAGATCTCGGTGCGTAACATCTGATATTAGAATCCTCGAAACGAGTTGATTGGTTGTACTTCGACTAGGGTTAGCGCCGTGTTTGCGGTTAGGGGGTAACTTCATTCGTGCCATATGTCTGGATTTGGTTTCAAGTAACGTTTGGGGAAACTCGGCGGCGGCCGGCCTAAAGTTCCCCATTTGCCGGATTTTCATGAACCCTTGTTATGGCTGTCCCTCCACGCCCTCGAGATTTGGTATCTCGCTTACGTTTAATCATCCCCGGGGAGCGTAGTTTGTTCCACATCCCCTTCACATCTCAGACGAACCAACGGCAATGTCGTACTTCAGACCAGCGCCTAGTGTACATCAAGAACACATCTCCAGGGTCGTCACGTTCTATCTCATATGGTCGACAAGGTATGAGTTTGATACGAGCACGTGTCGCACGAGGATCTCATAGTTCGCCCTCTACCCGCGATCCCAGCCGTGACACTCTCTTTGTTTTAGCGAGAGTAGTTGCATGGTAAAATCGGATCATGAATCTTCTCGAAATCACCGATGAATACTCGCAACCAGCTTTCTACTGCGCGTGCTAGATGACTTGATCCATCATGTTAGATTCCTGAGAGTCATTGTTGTATCGCCTAAACCCGAAGTTAGCTTTCTGAAACGATTACAAAACATTTGGATAATCAATTATATGCATGACCACCAACAGCAGCAACCCGTGCCTTATAGAAATAGTATGATGCTGAGCTTAGCAACCTTATAGCCTATCACTACATTCTAGAAGGATCAAAGTAGCTCTTACCCCTTGAAAGAAACCTAGAAGCTTATGGAGATCAGTATGCAGGATACAATATACATACTAATAGATAGATCATGATTACAGTGTGAAGCTCATAGAGATACATCTAGATATCAGCAGTTCATAAATTCATCAATCAGGAGGAATATCGTATCATAAACATTGAGCGCAGGCAATCCAGTTTCTGATCTGACAGCTTTCTGCTTTTGGGTAGTATTGTAGTGTGCCGTATTACTACATTCATACTCAGTGAAAAAGGTGAAATGTATTGAACACACCAAAGGCAAGCCCCTTGTGGCAGTATTCTTCATGTGAGATGAGAGATCTGCTGTGCCCGTGAGTAAAAGTTTCACTCACAGCTTTTGATATATAGCCCATGGAATGAACGAATGTGACGAGCTCATCCCAGTCGGTATTCATTGCATTGGAAATAGATTCAGACTGACCAATTCACCTATGTTCGAATTGACGGAGTAAACTTCAACATTAATTATCCCCTCACGATGGTAACACGCTACCCTGTATATTTCGAGGCTCTGTACTATCTATATATGTCTATACACACCAATTCGTGCTTCTCTTATTCCTCATATATATTTGGTTATATACGTCTTAGTTCACATCTTGTAATTTTGAATTGAGCAATACGGTAGTTGACCGTTATGTCATTCTTGAATGTTCGTCGCTGTACGTCATTCAAATGAATTACAGCAGCAACGAACTCAACCTAAAGTATCTACCAAGTTAACTAATAGTCATAAATCTCCTAATAGGTATCATATTGAATATCCGCTGTATTCACATACCAAAAGGTCTGACCCTATCTGGTTTTTGTTGTTCAAAGCACAGTTGTGCGAAAAGACAACTCATTCATATAAGACATAAGATATTTATTCATATTAAAGGATAACACTCATCTATAGTGGGCATCATCAGAGCTCTTGGGTGATGCTGTTTGCAGAAACCTGGTGACTGGGTCGAGTAAGAAGTGAGCGCTCATGATATTCCTTGAATCAACTCAACCTTTTCAATTCTCTGTGCACACAGCCTAAATTATTCGAACGATTTCCCTAGCATCCAATTCACACTTGATTAAGATAATTACTAAATCTCGCGAGGTTAGAACCGTGTAATCACTCAATACAATTCTCATAGATTTCCATTGCTGTGAAAGCTATAGTGAGAAGAAGAGGTTCACAGTTAATTTACCATGCAGTCATAAGTGGCGATGGCCTTAAATGAAAATTCTCATCAGTACAAGACGTGATATGTCTGAATGGGAAAAGTTGATTGATAACACACTGGAAATAACCAAGTCTGGCACTGAGTTGCTTAGTCAATGCACCTATGAATTACCAAGCAACAGTAGTTGTCGTCTCCATCATTACACAGCAATACTAGCCCACATGCTCCGACTTGCCGGAACTGTGCGCTAGATCAGCTAAATCTCAGCGGGGGTTGCCCCGATGAGATAATTCGGTCGGCAGATTGCGTAGTGCGGAAATTTCAGTAAAAATACTCTCGAAAGTTCCGAAAAACAAGCAATTAAATCCGCATCGCGACCGGCGCTGTTCTTCAATTTCGTACTGTTAGGGTTATATATCCTTTTGAATCGAGACTTACTTCCTGTAGTGATGACGGCGCCTTTGCAGAAACGCACGTATCCTTCGCCCCTTGCGGGATACGAAGATGCGCCCCCACTTCCAAATGAACGGGCGGAAGACGGGAAGAGCTTCGTGAATCCAAAGAACGATAAGTTGAGCACTGCATATGAGCAATTTGCGGATCCTCTGGACAAGGGACGTCGCGGGGGTTTGTGAGTGTTGCCACCATTTACAGTATCCTGTGTTCGTTTACTTGCATAATGAATCAAGAAAGTAATGAGATTCCTACAACTGACCATGAGTCTGACGAGGAAGCGACATACACATATACTACTATCAAAATAATAAGGAACAGACAGAGTATGCCAAGGCTCTATGGGAACGTATTCGAAGAGAATGTAAGTCTATTGTCAATCGTTGATGACGCTACATCTCGAATGTAATTTTCATCCAAGCACCCTGGATGATCTTATATTCTCTTCAGTCTAGTATTCTCTGTCAGAGCGCTGACATATCCTCACCCATCATAAAGTTCCAGAGCTTAGGATATACACATTCTGGGATCGTCCAATCGGCCCACACCCCGTTGCGATGTTTGAGGTCAACTTGTTCACCCCAGCTCAATTTGGAGCTTTCGTGTCGTGGCTCGTGATCTGGCGTGGTCCGCTCTCTGTTCTCGTCCATCCGAACACAGTAGAGGAGGGCAAGCAGGCGGCGATCGAGCTACGAAATCACTCAGAGAGGGCCGTTTGGATGGGCGAGCGGATACCGTTGGATTTGACAGGATTCTTGAATCAGATTGAGCGAGAGGAATCTAATTGAGTCTTCTGTCTGGTGGTACATCAATGTAAACGTAATACACTTTCGGAAAGATGTGAAAATTACCACTAAGCTGGAACTATTAGCTTCCTCCCCTACTATATAGTTATAACCCGTATCGACTAGCTAATGAGAGAAAACTTCAGATACATAAGGGGATAAACTTGATCGTTGGTGTGCAATTCTAGTAAGTTTAGCATTTCACCACATTTCGGATTTATTCATAGTGGGATAATATTACACGTGTAACCTCTGTACTAAGCTGAATATGCAGTTCGCCTTGCGCTACGGCCGTACGAAGGACCTTTGCAGGCTGATCATGATCTCTCAAGACATGCAGGCAATATTGGGCAATATTGGAAAGTGAGGTTATACAGACTTCGCTTCTTGAAACAGACCCCAGAGACCTAAGCGGTCTGGGCTGGCAGACCAATTGTATATAGAATCAAGTCAAGCCACCAACAGCCGAGAAGGAGTTGGTTGGTCAAGGACTTATGCAGCCCTAGTTGTTCATTATAATCTGAATTGCCTAGATTCCAAGCCCAGTAATCCTGCCCTTGTTATAGATAACACCTTTACACTAAACGCAATACTCGCATGATGCGATAGTTGTAAGAGCAGGAAGAACAATCCCACCTATGAGGCCTCAAAATAGCTTTATAACTAGTCTACGTATTGCCATCAATGCTTCAAGAAAAGATATAACCAGAAATGGTGGGATGAAAGACCCCTAGTTTACACGCACAGACCTCTCAAATGCATTGCTTGGTACTTCAGTGTGTGATAGTAGTACCAATAACAGTGATACTTTTACTTATGTCTAAGCTCGCTCAATTCATAAGACTAGTATGATTTTTTTCTGTCATAATAATCTGGCTTTGTTCGCTGCCTTCTTCCTTCCGTTGGATTCTATCTCATAAACTGGTGAATCATAATCGCGACTGAATCTTCTAACCAAGAACTCGAGTCACCAACCTCATCAACCCCTCATCTTTTAAAAGCATGGCCATAGCACAAGCCTCTGTGGTGACCATAACCTCGACCTCCCCGGAATCTGGTCGCGCTGGCAAAATAACCGCTGCCGGAAGGTTCCACTCCCCGCTCGCTCTCCGAATGGCGTCGGGATATTCCACGCCAGAGACACCCGGAAAGCTCCACTTCTGCTCGGCGTTTAAACCGACATACCGCCAAGAATTAAGCATGAAGCACCCGGCATCGTTGGGGAAGTAATCAAACACAAGCCTCCGTGGGTCCTGGAGACGAGAGAATACCGTGTATCGCTTGCGTACGAAATTCGCATCTACTTCTCGGATCGAGGCCTGTACACTGCGGCAGATGGGTTCGACAAGTTTCGCAAGTATTCCGAAATCTGTGTCCACGGTTGTTCTTCCACATACCTTCAGTAGATCGGCTGTGGTAAGAGTTGTGAGGGCAGCCTCAACTGCGTTTCCGAAGTAGCGATCTGCTTCGTCTGTGCTGAACACGCGTTTCCGGACATCTACTAAGGTGAAGAGTCTTAAATATTCCCTTGTATTGCTTAGCTTTCCGGTATCCATGCGTGCCTTCACAACGTGTGCCCATAGCAAAGCAATCAGAATAACGGATATACTGGGTTGCCCTGCATTCTCAGATTGACACATCTGGCTTCTGATCGTGTTCAAAGTAGCGATCTTGAACACGAAGATATTGCCGATTGACTCTTCATTCTGAGAGAATGGGGATGTCAGGAGAGTTCTCTCTGGGAATAGCTGGCGGATATACTCCGAGTTAAGCAGTTTTTCATCGTCAATTAAATCAGATGGATGATCGTTCTCATTAAAGGGGCTAGGGAGGATGGCCGATCTCCCATCATACATTTCTTTCCGGCTCACTGCAGAGAGCCAACTAATAACATCATCAACAGCTTTTCCATCCCCTAGGGCGTGATGGAGGTGGATCCCCAAAAGCAAACCACCGTCAATGGTGTAGATGCGTAGGATCAGGGCGTGAGTGACATCTCCTCTCGGGACCTCAAATATTGGCGCTATAAAAGCTGAAGCAGGAAACCCGGCTTCCTTGAGCTGTGTATATGTCTTGCCAAAAGTTTTATTGATGTCGTATACCTGGACTGGGATCTTTGGTTGGCCTATTATCTTTATATGTGCAGTAGGAGTGTTGACCTTGAGAAGTGAGTTAAGCACAGGACGAGTCCCCCCAAGTTTTACAGCGCAAGATTCAAGGTGGCTGATTGCAGCTGCATGTCTTTCATTGGGAATTTCAAAACACAGTAGAAATCGGTTATAACTTCGAGGGGCGAGCTGATTCCATGTGTTCAAAGGAGCCCAATGGGTGTCCTGGCGCGACCAACTTGTTTCTAATGGTGTATTCATTTTGGCCCTGTTGTACGTGCGGTCTTTTGATATGCCTCTTGATGAGCAAAGTGCTGTCGTTTATACACGGGTCTGCCTGTTAGAACACTCCGCCGCCGTGCTGTTGGTTGGCGTATGCTGAGGGAGAGTAAAAGCCACTGACGCCGTCCTAACAATAGCTGCTGTTGTTATATGGAGGGGGTGGTGAAACGTAAATATAGAATGGCAGTCCAGAAGCCTGGTTTTCCGGTACCACGGTCAATCTAAAGGGAGCACTTGTGCGTTATGAAACGTAATTGGGACAACAAATATGGTGGACAAACAATAAAGCGTGTCGGTGTGTGACAGCCTGACTATAGAGCCTGGCGACCTGGGAAGGCTACACCATCCCTTCACCTCAAAACTCATCAATTAGCAGCTGCATCCGATCGGACATTCGTTGTTGCTGTGACGTGGAAATGTGGTACACGAGCATAGTGTACACTCACCCCCGTTGTCCTCGTTCCCATAAAACTAATATGTACTGTCATAAAATGTGTCTTGTTGCCTGCACAAGAGTTTGCCTCTACAAACCCAATTATTGCTACAGCCGTAGAAATCACAAGGTTCCTTTTCGGAGACCCTGTATAGAGACCCTGGTAGAAAAGATCACTGGGGCGTAGTCGGAGTGTTCGCATTTCTATTGCCTTATACACCTTGCGTTCCAACAAAGGAGTGCTGCATTGTGTAGATAATCATAACCAATATGCACGCTGTATACTGGCTTTCTTTTTACTATTTTCATAGAACCAACGTGTGTTTTACCAAGAATACCTCCTTACTAGAAGAGTATTTATTCTAAAGAAATAAAATATTCTCATAGCTACTTGGAAACCACACATTCTCGGTAGAAAAAATGCTTGAGTTCAGTTTGGCAATGTTCTTGGGGTTTGGCTGCTTGAAATAAAACTGTTTTGATGATAGTGTGTATATACAATTAAGGCTACATCATGGACATCCATAGCCGTCAGGCGCAGTCAGTCCAGTGACTCTCAAATCTTACTCTCGAATCTTAGATATCGAACTCGAGGTTGGCGCCCATTTCTGCGTATGCATCTCGACGTTTAGAGATCAGAACTTGTACAGGGGATATAGGCTCTAGGATATGAACGGGAAGTACGCCGTCATTTTTCTTGGGAACCTTAATCCTATTGCCATTAGGGGCCTTGATATCGAAGATCAAGACCACCAAAGCTACGAGACTCAATATCTCGTTCATTGCGAAGTGGCGTCCTGGACAAAGTGTCTTCCCACCCCCAAACGCGCGGAATGCAGCAGGATGGATTTGGTTCTGTTTCATGGTCCCCGATTGTTGCTTTGGATCTAGGAAACGATTGGGGTTGAATTCGTCGACGTTATCCCCCCAAATGGATTGATCAGCATGTATAACACCGCCCGCAATCTGGACAACAGCTCCTTTCTTCAAAAAGTAACGGTCGGCTAATATTGTGTTTTCCTTGACCATCCGTGTGGAATAATTGTCAGATCCCAATCGCAAGCATTCTCGATACACAGCAACCAGCATGGGACATCGATCTTTGAGATCCGTGATACTGATTTTGTGGTTCTCAAGATGTGAACCTTCGCTCTTTTCACTAGGCCTCACAACTTGTGCGATTTCCTCACGCACAATAGATAGAAGCCCAGGGTCTGCAAAAATCTGGAGTAGGATCCAGAATGTGGAAGTGGTTGCATTCACTATGCCGGCAAATAAGAACGAAAGTTCTGAGCGCGCAGTGGCACGCAGCGTCCAGCCGTGGTGAAGAGTGATTTCGACACGTTTCTGAACTATTTTTGAGCCTGTTTGATGAGACCCATTCTCTAAATATTGCTCGAGCGCCTTGACTAGTCGCTCTCTCCCGTTATATGCATTCCTTGCAGTTACGGAAGGGAACACATTCATTAGCAACTTCCCGAGCCCGTGATCAAAGTCCCAGAAGCACTGTTCAAGGGCCGGGTCTAAAGCAATAGGATTTTGTGGGCCGTAGAAGTATTTTGCTGTCGAAACAGTGACGAGATGTCGTACCCATGTGAGTAGATCAATGGGCTTAAGGTTACGATTCTCTTTCTGGGAAACGGCGCAAGCTAATACTTCACTCCTTAGTTCTCGAGCGGCATCCAATGTGATTTCATTGAGATAGTTGCCTGGGCCAAACCAAGTGTATACCATTTCTTGAATATCAGCTAAGAATCCGCGGTCGTCTCTAGGGCCTGGATCCAAGTTTTTACGGGTGATCTCCATGGTAGCCTCATCTAGTCCGAGAACGCGTTCAGTGACCTCTGGGATAATGGGTGTAAAAGACAACACTTTAGAAGCCCGCTGGACGGCGGCAGCTAGAGATGGTTCCGTCACTATGTAGATGCGAGATCCTGGGACTGGCAATGTGAAAATAGGAAGATGTCTATTGCGAATCCTTAGGCTGCCGTTAGCGGCGTACACATATTGATATCTGGATAGACCCTTACCCTAAGTTCTTGATATACTTCCCCCCATGCAAGGCCATTCCTAGAATATGACCAACGAAGGGAACAATGGAAGCAACAACTGAAGGCTCCTTGGCATCTAATTTGTGCGCCGAGTACCAGTACATCAGGCCATAGACCGTGAAGACGATGGCGGTGCATGTTGCAATGGGTGAGAGAAACCACTCTTCAGATAGATGGATCATTATGGACATGTTTAGCGCGTACCACAACTCATATTTTATATCAAGTGTAGGTGAACCTTCCGGGTGGACTCTATTCGATAGGTGGTTAGTTGAATCCAAAATAAGGGGTTTGACATTATATATGTCATCAGTGAGTTGAGGTGAACTAGGGATAGGGAGACGTATGTAGCTCGAGACAAAGTGGGAGTAAAAGGAGCTGAGAGTGTCGTAGTGGTTAGGCTGAGAAAAGACGTGGGACAAGCAAAAAAAAATCCGATGACCTTTCCGATGACATATATTCTTAAGCGTTCTTTCCCTTCGCGCCAGCTTCACGTTCTGTTGTCACTAGCGATCAAGTATACCTAGGTAATAGCTGACGATGTGGCATTTCCACCTCAAGACAAGCAGAAAGAAAGATATCCAACTACTGTTTAAACATACCTGGGTATGTAGCACTAAAACTTGCCCTTGTAGACGTTGAAAGGGCTATGTATAGATCAATATAACGAACGTTTGCATGTAGCACGACAGTGACAGCGGCAGAAATAGGCGGGCTCGGGTTAGGATCTCCTCGAGCTCTAGTCCCAATTCATTCTCGAAGAGAAATTCTTGTAATGAGCACCGTATCTGTATGTGAATGTACTCCAAACTCATCACACTACTTCGTACGTCTTCGTATGCAACTGTTCATTGCAACAGGGATTCCCCGCAACCAATGGATGGGTCGCTGGCGGTGAAGCATTTAGCCCGTCAACAAGTAAGTAGTACCTACCTATGTAGATAATTTACAATGAAATAGGAAGAGTAGCCTCTGCTACAATACTTACTTAACTAAGGAAGCTTCCTTCTAAGGCCATGAAGATGGATCATGAAAATGAAGCCTTGACTTGGCCGGGCGCAGCATCGTTACGTCGGTAGGGGTACGCATGCTCTTCGGCTTCGAATTCGAATTCGGTTGCCTGTTTCAATCTACTTACCTAGTGTACATAGGTACATAGAGTAGGGGTCCAATTGAAACACTTAGGTACTGGAGTCAAGCCACCACAGCCACGTCTCTTGGCCCCCCCCCCCGGAGCTGAAGATTCCACTCATCGGGCCGTGGAGTAGGTCCTTCTGTTACTGCTTCTGCCCCTTCCTACAACAATTATGCGGCTACCTAGACTGGCGCTTGCGTGTTTTGGTAGCTAAGCCATCTTGGCATTGCTGTCGCCTGGTCGTCTCGAGATCCACCCATCTACATGTAGAGCTCCCCATCAATTGGACACATCTATCCACGATACTCATCTCTGAAACAATTCCAACAACGATTTGTATCAACACCATCAAGACAGCTTTTCTGTGACTACCACTACCCGCTGATTACTCTACAAATACCACTGGTACTTGCGACTGACTTGCCGAAGCATCCATCCGTCCATTCATCCCTTCTCGACGCCGTGGCCGCCCTGCGCATCGTATCAAGGTCGCGATCGTCGTCACCCGAGCCTGCCTTTGACTCGGACTAGAACCGCTAGGACCGCCTTATAACCAACCATCGCTGTCATCATACTCGCGCTGTTACGCACATACTGTAAATATCCAACATGTCGATCAAGGACGAGTTTGCCACAAGAAACTTCAGTGAGTTCTTTCATCCGCTGCGCCATCCCTACCTCCGCGATTGGTGCCATTGAATCTAATCATTAGTACTTAGGCATCTACGGACAATGGTAAGCTACCTCATCAGCCCTGGAACATGTAGCCGCTTAAGCCAGAATCTCTCAATCTGAGTACATCTGGCCATGGTGCCGTCGTACAGTCGCGATGGATCTACGAGAGGTGTTACGGATTAAAGCTAATGCTTACTTCGTTGATGATAGGTTGGGAATTCTGTCCATGATTCTATGCTTTGCGCTGGGCATCGCCAACTTCTTTAACCTCTTCCACTTCCTCCTCATCATCTTCGCCATTATCTGTCTGTAAGTTGCCGAACTAACTGGACCACTTTGAGGAAGTACGATAGCTGACTGAAGCTGAAATAGGATATCGTCCTTCGTCATCCTATTTCTGGAGGTGCCTCTCCTCTTGCGAATCTGCCCTACCTCGTCCTCCTTCGATGCTGCGATCCGCAAGATCTCGTCTAACTACACGCGCGCCGCTGCTTATCTGATCATGGCCGTCATTCAGTACCTAAGCATTATCATCACGCCCAGCAGCCTCATCGCTGCTGCCGTTGTTCTCACATTGACCAGCATCTGTTACGCCCTCGCCGGTCTCAAGGGCCAGGCTTTTGTGGGAAGCAAGACTCTGGGTGGTCAAGGTGTTGCTCAAATGATTATATAATCTACAGATTTCCTGCCATCCATCCGGGCTGCTGGAAGTGCAAGACTCCATCGAGACAAGGGTATTGGCGGTAGTACGCTTGAAGAACATGGCCTTTGGAAGCGGCGGAGCCTCCGAGTACAATGATGTTGAAAACTGAGAAGGATAAAAACAAGAAAGAAGAAGCGATGGCGAGCATTTAGGAATGGTGTATTGGCGTCACGGATATTGTATGAACAGGCCCAGTATTTTCCTATTCGTACTCAGGTGTGGTATCGAATCAGTTTTTATTTTCTTGGTATCAGGCTTGTGAAGATACCTCAGGTTTCCTGAATGAGATGAATTCCTATTTATTTTGGTTGATAGACAGCGCCGCCAGGCCAGAGAATACGTTCCTGTGTGGACTAGGCCTTGTCTTGTATGCATGGTATCATTCCAGTCTGTCCTTGGTTAGGCATCATTTGCATGGGTGTAATCGAGACGAGCAGGAAAGAAAATAAGCTACTTCGACACTGATAGTTTTTATTTATGAACTTTCAACGGCCTATGAGAACGCCATGGGCAATATGGTGATGTGGAAAGGCCCGGTCTAAGACGAATGCATCGAGTACTACCTACCTTAACATTGGTAACAAATTGTCTGGGTCGCTTAGGTTGGAGTAGCTATGAAAGAAGCTCAACTCCAAAAAACTGGAGCAAGGAGCGATGATGTACTAACCGTGATGTGTGTAGTCTGTGTAGGTACCTAGGTAGGGAGCTTGACCCAGTCAACCGATGGCGCCGAACACTGTTGCTTATTATGGACCTACATGTCGACATGCACCTTATCTCGTGAAATCGTGATCTGAAACTTTGCTTCGTGTTTTTGCTTTAAGAGATTTACTGCAGTTCACGTCTTTGACCGACGACTCATCTGTGTAACGGTCATCCGAGTTTCTAAGGGCTGTTGTTCTCTTCGATGAATATGGCCTTCCATTGACTATCCCAAGAACTGTAGACCCTGAATAATCTCCAAAAACCACTGCTATATAGCCTTCACCGCTAAATTGCCGCCTTGGGAAGCTCCGTGAGATCGGGACGAAGCAAGCATACTTTAGTAAGTACCCAAGTTACTAGGTGCGGTATACTTATAAAGTGCACACTACAATATGCAACTCAATCCGATGAAGGGATCGAGGTTCTAGAACGCAGGTAGCGCGCCCACTTATTGTATAGTACTCATCACGTAGACGTCAATAGGCCCTTACATACTTTTACTGAAGTAAACAAATCAACCGAAAGTTTCTGCATGTTTCGTTGTCGCCGTCGTCAACTTTGCTACTTCTGTGGCAGTGTTGTATTCGACAGGACAGCTCATTGCATCGAATCAAGGTCAAGAGCGACTGCCGTGGAGAGCAAGAGGGAAAGGCGTGCGTCATTGTTGGAGAGCCGAGCAGAATACTTGCAGCTGTACCCGCTGGCGAGCTGGATATGGTATCGATCGTATCCTCTGGACCCACGCATTCTCGCGAGCGTCGATGACACAGATGTAGGTAGTTCTGTGTAGGTAGTAGTAATGCTACGGTTGCAGCTCCTATGATGCGTTCGAGATTATTCGAATCTCGATAGAGCCTCGTCCATTGAGCACCGCAAGAGTACGCCTCAAATTTGGTGCTTAAAGTATGACAGCTGGACAGAAGCTTCATTGTGTGATTGAGTAATGTGGGGGAAGCAAGCCCACAGCTATATTTGTGCACAGTATGGATGGGGTTTATGTATTGGCTGAATTAGTAGCTTCTCTTACCTAATGTATGGGACATGACGACGCGGGTGGCTCTGCAGCGTGCTTATGGAAAACTCGAACTAGGAAAGCCATCGAGTCACGGTTCTGTACGGTATTCATCATGACGAAGCGTCTAACCCTCACTAATCCTTATGCTTTGCGGATCGATCGCATGCTCAACAACTACCGGAGGTAATTGGTTACCCAAACAGGTATGTACACGCAGTGCTTGTTTGACTGACGATACGATTCATCTACCACCTACCTAGGTACTATTGACATGGCATTGTCTATGTAGGTAATGCGGGTAGCTTCACGAAACATAAGACAGATTCCCTACTAAAGAAAAACAAAAAAAGAGGAAGAAAAAAAAGTAATAGCCACAACTAGCCAACCCCTTGACTGATACACCAGCGTGTCTCGGGTATTAGAAAAAGTTTTCACCGTCTAGATGCCATTATGGATGCTGGAAATGCAATCTTTCGGCTCAGGTGACGACCAGAGCGGCCAAAAGGGATTAGTTTTCCGGTGGAGATGCTGTGAGACGTGGGGAGGTGATCGTTGAGGCTGATGACGGACAGGAGGAACAGTGTTAGGTACATTACAAGTCCATCCCAGCGTCCATCGCATCCTACCTATCCCTCTTCTGCCCTCTCAACAAGCACAGCTCCTAGTCTACCTAGTCTCTAGATCTGGATAGGTTAATGCATGTTGTCACACCGTAAAATTCTGCCGTTATACCCTACACCACCGAGGTACTTACGAGTTGGATGAGTAGGTATACCTACCTGGTCCGTATCTCTCTTGGAGACACGATAGTGTGTCTTAGGAGCTGTTTGAATGGACTTATTTGAACCTTGACCATAGGACTATACTTATGTGCTCGTGAGAGAAGAAAATTCTTGCCGCGTATATCCGGCTCTCCCTAGGCAATATAGTAGGGATACCGGCACAAGCCTTTTGACTCGGCGCTGCGAAACACTGGACCCCGTTGCATGAAGCCATCACCGCCAGTGGCCACTGAGGACAGCGTGTAGGCTAATTGGCGCGGCGTCATTGGCTGGGCCAGCACACGGTACACATACCTAGGTACCTACTTACATGCAGGTGTACATGGGAGGTACCTGCCCGGGGAGTCCAGCGCCGCAATAGAGGGGCTAAACGGGGCGTGGAGGGGCATCATGCAGCAATAATACGTCGTCCATGCGTACCCCGAACGTCCCTCGCTAGCTACCTAGGTAGCTGGGCCTCGCCGGGCGCTGTAGCAGTGCTCTGTAGCGCTTTTGGCAGAGACGGCAGACTCTGGGCAGAGATGGCGGCGAGGGCGGAGATGTCAACCCAAAGCCCCTACTATGACATCTTGGTGCGGCGCCGTCGTGCCAGGAGCATCACGTTATACTTGCACGTTATACGCCTCTACCAGCCCGGTACATGGCCGGTCTGTCGAGAACTGGCTCGACTGGTACATGAGGGGCATCATAGGAACGCTGCCTCAGCCAATCCCTGTTTTCTGGTCCCGGGACAGAACCATAGCCCCAGATGAGGTAGCCGGTACTTGCAACAGGTCGGGCACCGCAGGCCAGACACAAGATCCAATGACATGCAGACCGCGACACTAGACATCACGGTACGTATTGCCCGGCCAGTTTACTATTTCCTTAGTGTAGATGCAATACGCAGGAGTCGCAGGGCAGTGTGTTGTGTCTGCTTGATTTAAATGGAACGCTTCGCTTCGCTCCGTGCGGGCAGTCGTCGTAACCTATCGTGTCTGCACATTCTCTCCATCCATTTTCGTCGACATGTGTTAGATGCCCAGTTCCAGTTCCAGTTCCTGCTGCGGACGGCAACAACCTCGCATCCTTAACCCAAACCCGAACCTAAACCCAGATATCCAAGCCCAAAGCTCTCAATTATCCCATTTCCAACAATTCTTCTCACATCTGCCTCTCTATCCCGTTATTTCTATTATAATCGAGCTGCAACAACTATCAAATCAAGCAACATCACTTGTAGAAGTGTTCTAAAAAGTAGACAACATTGTGTAAGTCGTGGACCATTCTGTTTCTACCTACGGCAGGTAGCTGCTTACCTCGAGCTCTGTGCTGTTCCAACATTCTTGTTCAACTCTGCATCCACCATCCAGATCCTTGCAATTGTGTTTTCCCAAAGGGCCTCTCCCGGCCTCATCAATCCACGTTGGTGCCCATGCTATTTTGGCAATGGAATTTGGGGCGTTCGACAGCATTACTGTGATGTGGCTTAGGTTGTTGGCTTTCTGTGAGAATGCTGTTATCATTATGTGACACAATTACGTCCGTTTCCGTTGGATTTCAACCTCTTCCACGTACATGCCAGTCAGCTTATACCACACCTATGCTTCACCAATATCTTTTCCCGCTTGCTCTTTATCGTTCTTTATCTTGGATACGGACACATTGTTACAGCCTTATCTGCCCCAGCAAAGCTTCTTTATCTCTACACCGCCGAAGAGCGATATCGCCATACCTAATACGCCGTTGGGTGACTAATAATGATAGACAGTACGATAAGCTCGATTCCAGATAACAGCTCCTGGGTCATCACGATATTATAGCCCAGGTTTATCCTCGACAAGAAGAGACTTGCACCGATTGCCTTTTTCTCTTGCATAATTGACCCTTTATATCTTCTCACATAACAACCTAAACTTGTGGGGTTCTATGCGGTATGTACATGTGCACTCTGACAATAGCCCAAGAAATGAGCCGCAGCTGCATGACCTATTCGGCAATGTCTAGGTAGTAACCAACCTTTGGGTGTTACTCCATTGTTCGCTTCAAAATGGCTGCGTTGTTGCGAGCTGGGAATAGTGACTGCCCAATTTGGAGTTGAAGTCAATGGGTTCTTTCCCCCTCGTGTGCTTTGACTGTTTCTGTGTTTCGTGCTCTCCAATCCCCGTATATATGTCATGACTCTCGATTCAGCCTATTTGACTACTCGCTGACTGTTACATGTGTTGCAGGCTCTTTTGGTCTCTGTCTAATACAAATTGCTACTACAATCGCTTTGAACATTTCAGCTAATACGGCCTACAACCTTTTGTTGTATACTATTCGTTTCTTACCCCAGTTATGAGCGCCGCCACCATGTCTTCGATCCCCACCGTCCCACCTCGTCCTACGAGGAGCCAGGAGCAAACTAATGGCGCTGCTCCCACGATTCCGGCTCGTCCTACTAAGCGTTTCAACCGCTCTGTCTCTCCGAATCCCGATAGGTTCGCCCCGTCACCTCTTAACGAGGGCGCTTTTGGTACCAAGCCTAAGCGACTCAGCCAAGGCTTCCTTGGGGAAGAACTTGAGCGATCTACCAGTGTTGATCTGCCCGGTGTTGGCCAGGAGGGTCAGGAATATGCCAGGGCCCTTGAAGAGCTTGGCACTTCATCGCCCGAGGAGAACCGCAGCTCATCTCCCGAACAGACTCGCATCGTTGGCGAGGACCTTAAGTTACATGCTCCAAAGCCCACCGTCCCCGCTGCGAGCGCCAAACAGCGAGTCGCCACCGTCACTCGTACCGACTCTGAACGCGCTGCCGCCTTCGGTATAGGGCGCCCCAACAGCGAAGAGCCGTTGCACTCTGGTGCTCGAAGCTTGAAAAAGAAGGCTAGTACCACAAGTCAGCTCTCTCACCACAGCGAACTCCACACCGATGATGAGCATGGAATTCCTGAGATTGGCCAGAGGGTCCCCATGTTATCGTATGCTGGTGACGTGCAAGCTCCATCGCCAGCACCACCGCGAGCTTCGAGCGTGGATAGCACCAAGAGCGGTCGTCACCACACTCGTAGGGCGAGTTCTCGATCTGGATTCCATGATCTCCCACCGGGAAGCTACGGGTTACATGGTCACGGTGTCGAATCTACGGATAAGCTGGAGAAGGCTTATTACGAGAAACACCCCGATAAATACCAGAAGGAACATTATCAACCACTGCATGATCGTGTCCATGACTACTCTATGAGTAGTGAGAATCTTAATAAGATTGTCCGGGACACCGCTAGCCGTGGCGCTGGTTTTGGTAACGCAAGCCATCAACAAACTTTGGAATGTTTCTAACCAATCATGACAGGTACCATTGGATATACTGGAACGCCAAGTGAACAGGTCGGCTTTCAAGCCAGCGATGAGTATACTTCACGTATTGCCTCACCCCAACCGATCGAGTCAGCCAAATCGCCCCTGGAAAATATCATTTCTGGGCCTACCGATGAGAAAGGGAATGTTATCCATGTTGACGAAGACAGTCAGTACAAGGCCTTTGCTAAATATGGCGATGAAAAGTCTGCCGAGGGTCACGGTGCACACGACAGTGCCTGGCCAATTTTAGCCGCCGATGAGGTAGCTAAAGACCCATTGGCGTATGACCTCCAGCCAGCCGTCCCGCACAATCGACGTGGAAGTGACGACTCCAGGAGCCGCCCAACAAGTCGACCTGCTAGTGTCTATAGTCCTCCTCCGCCTGAAGTGCGCTCCACACCGCTCGAGGATGTTGAAGAGTACGAGCCATTGTTTCCCGAAGATGAAAAAGGTGATCAAAAGCCAAAAACAGCAGCCGAAAAATTGAAAGAATATCGTCAAAGATTTCCTAGTCGGGACATTTGGGAGGATGCTCCGAACAGCGTCCACAGCACTGCCGAAGTCTCCACGCCTGAGCCAACAGGCACTCGCCCGAAATCACGCACCACATCCGTAGACTTGTCTACGAGGGAAACAGAGACACCGGCCCAGGCATTTGCCAGAAGGCAGGAGGAGCTGGCCGAGAAAGAAGCTGTCACACCGGATAGCTTCTTGAATCGAACACAGCGACCGAAATCATGGGTCGAACATCAGCCACATATCGCCCAAGAAATTCATAGCCGTCCCAAGATGTCTCATCGGTTCCCCAGCCGAGATGTTTGGGAAGACACTCCAGACTCGCTCCAGTTCACCACGACAGTGTCTACCCCCCAATCAGCTGATGACTTGGGGGATGAGGAGGCTAAATCGGAAGAACCTGCGAATAGGCATGTTGTCCCCACTCGTCCACCTAAGAAACAGAACTCTGGGGATGATATTTCTTCGAAGCCTACTATCCCCGATCGGCCAAAACCGCGGGTTCCTGCTCGCCCGGTCAAGTCGGTTGTCGATGCTAAGGAGTCTGAGGGAGGTGTAAAGCAAAAGCCCGTCGTACCAGCTAGACCTGTGGGTGGTAAGATAGCTGCACTCCAAGCTGGTTTCATGTCGGATCTCAATAACCGGCTACGACTTGGTCCACAAGCTCCCCCCTCTAAGAAAGATGTGTCTCCTTCAGAGGAAGCAGCTGAAGAGAAGGAGAAAGCTCCTCTGGCTGATGCTCGGAAAGGACGCGCTAGGGGCCCCCAGCGAAGAGCACCGACTAAGAGTCATAGTCCCGCCTCTGGAATAGACAAGTCTGTTCCACCACCTGTGTCTAATGGCCACCCCGTGTTATCTTTCTCCATGACTAGGACGTTGTGGAGTATAGATGAAGAGGGTACTGTGACGGTTGATGACTTTGGCTCAGAAAAAGCCGGGAAACCCAAAGTCAGCGTTAGTGAAATTGAGCCAGGGGTAGAGGAAGCAAAGCCAGTGGAATCCCAGCCAGAACAGACAAAGGTGGAAGGGGTAGAGGCTGTAGAAACAAAAACGGAAGAGGCACCCGAGCAGAAGGAACCGGAAAAGGCAAACGAAGAGTTAGATGACAAGCCTAGCGAAAGTCAAGAAACAGTTGAGCAGGAGAAGTCACTCGTTACGAACACGGCAGGTGAGCCTATCTTGACAGAGACGGTCGAGAAGAAGCAGGACAGCGATGAGGTGAAGGAAGTGGAAGATGTAAAGGATGGAGGCGTGTCATAATGCCACTAACGTGATGGGTATGAGTCCTGTCACATCTTGGGAGCATTGAAGGAGAAGCTTCAAAGTTCTGTTGCGAATCATCTTTACTGTTCCTTCCGCCTTTCTCTCATTGTTAGAAAGTATTTGACTACGTAGCGCTCGTTTGCCAACATCGGTGCCTTTTGAAATATCACGGCTTCAGTCGAGAAATAGCAGAGCAGCGATATATAAAAAAAACCAGACGATTTTGTTTGACTTGTTATAACTTGTTGCTATCTTTATTCTTGAGTAAGAAAGTGCTCTGTATGGTCTTGAAAGAGTAGGGGTTCGAAGAGTGGAGGAGGAGGAGGAGGAGGAGGAGGAGGAGGAGGAGGAGGAGGAGGAGGAGGAGGAGAGATATATGATCTGTGTTAGAGATTCGTCGCAACCTATAGAAGATATTAGGATATATACTTATTATTACTTTGAATGATTGGCCTCTCGCTTTTACCCGACACATATTGCTATATCGATTTGACTCCCTCCCGGTGAATACGCTACTTAGGTCTAGGTTACCGGCTATCATGCGCGGCACTGACCTCTACGATTTCACGATATGAGCTAGGTAGGTAGCCAAAAGTGCGAGGTAACTGCTGCAAGGCTCACCCAGTATTTACAGTTTTAAATCTCATTGCTTAATAACGCAAGCGAATATGAGAATGGCTTTCTTGTATGTAAATAGAGAACCATTGAAAATAACATAGGTCAAATGGTGGAGTGTTAGATCAAGGGGAGACGCGTCGATATATAGAAGAAGGGTTTTAGTCGCTGGTTGCACAATGACATGCCTACATATCAATACTCTCGAATATATATATCCCTTGCATATGTACTCATGGTATGTAAGTGCTTAGGTATCCGTAGGTTAGTAACCAACTTACGTTCAATATATTACCTATAGACTCCGAAACTAACCCCTTTCTATGACTATGTAACTGCTGTGGTAGCAAGTGCTGCCATATGAAGAGAAATGTCTTATGCACTAGTTCTCGAGTTTTAAATTAATTTCCCTAAAGGACATATACGTACCTCGCTTATTCACCTTTCTTCAATGGAGAATAGAAGGAATATAGTGGCCGAGTTAGTATGGTCTAGCATAAAGTATGTAGCACAGCATATAGCATCAATACCGTAGCGTTAGACACCGAGGGAATTGAACCCTCATTAGTCGAAACTCTTTCTTTTTCCCCCTCCGTCTTTTGACACTTGAGACGGAGCCTCATTGTCTGGTGACATTTATTAGTGTTAATTTAGGCAGGCAGTACTTGAGATGTGCAGATGAGTGAATGTGAAGACGACAGAAAAAGAAAACCCTGGTCTCTACTTTCCAGTCTTACTGAATGAAGTGCTTTAGTTACTCGTATCCGTTACATTTGCATCTACAATCGTCGTGCTGATTGAACAAGGTAAACGAAGCTGGCAATGTAAATGATGTATTTTTATATCACTCCCTTCCCCACTGACATAGATAACGAAGGCAAGAAAGGAGACTCATGAACAAAATTGAGACATTGGAAGATAACCTAATCTTCACCTCTTAATGTATCTATCTTATCCTATGTCCATCCGTATAGAGCGGACCAAAATTTCTATGTTCATACATGCTTATCCATCTATCTACTTGAGAATGAGTAACTCATCATCGTCATCATCGTCATCCAAGAACACCATGCCACGTCCTTGGCTTACTCCGCCACTAGTTAACTCGGTACCTAGGCTCTCGCGCCCAGCCTCGCGAATCCCTTTCTCGGTGACGAAACGGGTCTTCTTACGCGCCGGGGACCGATTTCTATCTTGACCGGCCTCGTTCGTCCCATGCGGATTATCGCTCGCAGCCCCATTGGTGGCATGTAATTTCTGTCCTTCTTTCATCTTCGCCAATTTATCCTTTAGTGTACCTCCCCAACCTAATGCGGCCCCGCCAGAGGCTGCCGAACTGTTGGCGGTAGAGCCGAGCAAGCTCGAGCTCCGGCTCGACAGCGCGCTTTCGACGCGCTTCCGCTTAACGGGGCTGAGATGGATCTTATTGTTCCTATCTGCTATGAGGCCAAGGCTCTTCGCATCGAGCTGGGGGCTTGGCTCTTCTATCGAGAGGGTAGAACTTGCAGTCGTCGTCGATGCAAAGCTAGACCCAACTCGATTCGCACTCTTATTCTTATATGATAGGGGGCCTGTCTTCATATATTCCCTCCCTGCACCGCTCCCGACCTCACCTAGTTTCTGCATAAGATCACGCTCCTTTTCCTCTGTCGCGAGGCGTCGGCGTAGTGCTTCACTACGCTCGATAGTGCTGGCGACACCATTATGGGCGCCGCCTAAGATCTCATTATCAATCAAGCTGGCCGAGCTGGGTTCGTGTAGGAAATAGGCGCTTTGCGTCTCGCGGTCGTAATTCCCTCGTCGCTTCTTGCCTGGGTCGTTTGCATGTTGCTCCCATTTTCCTAAACGATATGAATTATGTTTCTTAGGCCCAAGACCCGTGTTGTGTGCGTTAACATCTTGTCTAGCTGCCAGCTTCTTGGACAACGCCAAGTTCGTGTGGAACTCGCAGAATTTGGTGCGTTTGCTATTCACCCAGCTGCTACAAAGCGCACCATCTTTCTTGATGCTCTCGCAGAAACCGAGATCTCGTGCAGTACCCACTTCTAGGATTGTGTCGTCGCCGCTGTTGATTACGAGACTAAATCTACCTGTGTCTGTCCTGTTTGGAGGTGGAGGCATGATTGTGGGGTTGAGAATGGCGAGAAGCGTGCCGGGGGTCAATTTCCAGTACCGCTCAAAGCCTGTATTGAAGAGAAAAAGTTCGAGTTCCCATTTCAAATCTACCAGTGTCAGGACCATATATTTCGCTTTGGTCGGGTCATGCTCCTTCTTCTCTTTGAGGTTACTGCCCGTGCTTTTATGTGCTCTAGGATCGGATTTGGATGCTAGTATACCAAACACGACTATGTCTTGCTCAATATCAGGCAGTTGGAATTCCGGGGCTTTCACATGTTTTAAGACATCTGGGATTGTGTATGTCTTCTTGCCAGAAAGGTTGCGGGTGAGGGTCAGGTGTGGGATTATTCGCTTTGTAAGGTGAAGACTAGAATAAGGTTCGAATGCCGACGCCTCCTCTTCCGGAACTTCGGCTGGTGGGACCTTTATCTTTCTTGTATACGTCTCCTTCTGTTTCCCTGATTCTAGTGGTTCTTGATCGCTTGCTGCTCCTGACAATTGATCTCGCGTGCTTGGCATGGTGTTGCTTCGCCTCAAACCGCCACCTGCTATAACCTCATCTCTACTGTATTCTTCCTCTTTGATTGGTAAATCTGGTAGTTGCATAGCGTTCCGTTTGAGCTCCTCCAATTCTTCCCTGCCTAGCTGAAAAGCATTGGTCCTCACCTGTTGTATCTTCTCCCGCCGCTCTTGTCGGGATTTCTCGTCAGTTCGAGCAGCAGCTAGTCGTTCGCTGAAGCTTTTCGGCCGTTCTTGGACCTTTGGCTGATTTGCAACGCTCAGCACTGGCGTGTTTGCTCTGTGAAGGTAGCCTCCGTGTGAACTATGACCAGTGTCCACTGTTTTCTTTACGCTTGGGGCGCGCTTTAGAGAGACGTCTTTTGCTCTGAGTCCCTTGTCTATTCCTAATCGCACCCTACTAGGCGATGTCATCTCTTGTGCCGTCTGTGACCTTCTTACAGGAGAAGCTGGAACTTCAACATCTGCTTGTGATTGAGGTCTTATTGTTGGGCCAGACCTTAAGCCATCAGTGCGAGACTGGGCTCGACTTGGTAATGCAGCATCTGGTTTCGACAGCAACTCGGGCTGTATAGCATTTGTGTCAGGTTCTTGAACTCTTTTCGCCTTTGCCGCTTGCAGCTTTTTCAGCTTGAGCTTTGCTTGTATCGCCGCTAACTTCAACTCTAGAGTTTCTTCATCTTCATCACCATCCAGGTCCAGATCCAGCCTATCGTCTTCGCCGTTTGTTCCTCGTGCGCTATGGGAATTGGCACAATTTGCTATTGGCCGCGAGGCTCGCTTGGATGGAGATGGAGAGGGCGAGGCTCGTTCGGCTAGCCGACGAAGTCGCTCACGTCCACCTGGCGTGCTTAAGAGGGCTTCGTGAGGCGAGCGCGGTGGCCACTGTTGCTCTGGCTCCGTCCCTGGTCCTATTGATTATTGATGAGCAACCTACCTCAGGGGTGATGTGAGATATTGGTAACGTACTTGGCGGCATCTTGCTACTCGTTAGATAATATGCATATCACCTTTTTCTTTACTAAGCTGGCCACACTCGAAGCATAGCAATCCGTCGGGGGCAGAGGCGAGAGCATACAGCTTAGATCAGGGCACATGGATTAATCTGGGCAGCTGTAGCTGGTGCACAGCGAATTCGAATGTTGCCGGTTAGAAATGCCTACAGGCCAACTGGGCAAGACTAGAGACACGGCAGCCGCAGTTCTGTCCTGGCTTGACGTTTGTTACTAGGGAGGCGTACTCCGCCTGCGTGCTATATTCGTGAGTACAAGCGGCTCTTCCCAGTTACTGTGAGACGGTTGCGATGACCTACCGTAGGTATATCTGGATGTAACCAAGGCTCCTATCTCAACTTCTGGATCCCAATAGCATTTTGCCCGATACGGGTGGCTAGGGCGTTCAATGGTGTGCACGATGTATCATTGTAGACTGGCTGGCTGGCAGGGTCCAGTTCATTGCTCATTGAGTGTTTCTTAATTGTGTGAGAAGATCGAGCTGAGGGGTGACGCGTTTCGGATAATTTAGTGGAGACTTATCCGGGGCATCGACGCGACTCGACGCGTTTGCACTATAACTTGCAGGGACCAATTTAATGTTGCAGTAGGTAGCAGATTCGGGATTGATATTGTTAAGAGGTAACTAACCTAGTTAACTAGTTATAATTCGAATAATTAAGAAGTGTGTGACCAAGGTTGATTTTCTAAACACGAAAGACCCAGGCTCGAGGAATACTAGGCAACTACCTAGAGCTTTTCAGAGCATCTAGCAATCGACGCACTTGAAAGCGAATGGTCATATTCTCAACAAATCATGGCGAGGACAAGGGCCTCCAAGGGCAGTGATAGCACAGCCAAAGCAGACAGCTCAGGCGCAACCACATCTGTGTCAAAATCAAAATACACAATATCACAGCCATCTCAAAACCCCCCCAAGGTCTTCATACTGCCCAAGAAAGCGACCGACGATGCCCGCATTGTATCGTTATTACATCCCCGCTACGCGAAGCCAACGCGATACCTAGTCTGTCCCCAGACGGGCTTTTACGAATTCACGCGCATCGCAGCACCCAAGAGCACACCGCAAAGCTGGCTGATCCAAGCCGACGAGTGCCAAAGTCTCGAAAACCCCGAGGCGAGCACCAGACCTGTTGAGAAGGATGCCGAGAGCTTCGGTACGTACGTGACAAATGGCGCCGAGCTCTTCGTCGCAACCCCTATCGACCCTCTATTCCTCATCCTACCTACCCTAATTGACCCCTCCAGCAAATCCGAGAAGCGAAGATACATATCCGGCGACGACCACTTCGATCGGATACAGGAAGAGTCGCCGCATCTATGGGAGATATTACGTTGGGGCGAGGGACGGATACGGGAATTGCTGGAGACGCGGTTAGGAGCTGTTTGTGAAACGGTAGAAGCCGGTGACGAGCGCATGTTCCGCTTCAGCGAGGACAAGCTCACGGCGGAAATCCTGAGCAAGGCCCGACGGATGAGCGCGCGTCCCTTGCCGCAGAGCATGGAAGAGAAGTTCGTTGTAAAGCCGCTTGAAGCACCCGTATTAGGAGTGAAACGAGAAACGACTACCACAACAGCGTCTGCCCCGGCGTCGGCAGAAGCTGTGCAAAACGATTCTTCAGCCATGAATTCCACAAATGGAACGCCCAGATTGGAAGCCAGCGAGACCGGATCCTCGGGCTCCTCCGCAGAGAGCGGCTCAAGCTTCGCATCAGAGGCTTCAACGGCCGCCACATCCGTCACGGCCTCCGAAGACGAGAGCCAAGCGCTGGCCGCCGCCCTGCAACCCGCAATGGTCGCCTCGGACGAAGTGGTGTCCCTCCAACGGCTCCGCACAGCCTTCAATTTCCTCTGTTCGAGCTATGCGCCGGCGTCTCTAGTGACAATCCTCCGAGCTAAATTATCAGCGCTGCCCGAGGCCGACTTCGCGCCCTTGGACACATATCTGTCCGAGGTGAACCGTTTGAGACAGGAGGCGGCTGCGGCGCGCTCAGCGGGCGATTATTCGCGGAAGAGGGTGCTGGATGAAGAGGAGCTTGCCGAGAGAGCGGAAAAGAAGCGGAAGAAGGAGGAAGAGGATAAGAGGAAGAAGGCTGGAGAATCGCGTGGCGTGAGGGAGCTCAAGAAAGTTAATACGGCGGGTATGAAGAAGATGAGCGACTTTTTCAAGAAGAAGGCTTAAGGGTCTGCGTCTACAGGTTAAGGGGCAATTGTATATACGTAATGATTGAAAGGGAATGGCATTTATTGGGTATCATTTGGGATGGACTGAGTCTGCATTGGTCTGGGTATCGTCAAAAGGTTCTTTTTTGGTATTGGCCATATCAGACCCAGCTGCCTTAGAGCTTGGCATATGGCCAGTATGCCACATGTATGGTCGTCAAATAAACAGGACTATGTAACTCAGAGCATCATTTTCCCGTTAGGTATTTGTTTTTATGACCCTCGTGCTCCTCTCGATCCTGCGCGTAAGAACGCCCTTCCAATCTTCGAGGTGCCCCTAGCACTCGAGATGGTGGATGCCGTACTGTCTGCAGACGGACTTGCACCCATCCCTGACGTTGGTCTTGAAGTTCCGATTCCCCTTCCGCGCGCCGTAGCCCTCGTAGTTCCCCGAACCCCCCGAGTACTTACTCTTCCGCGCCCCGTGCCAGCACTACTTGAGCTCGCGGCGGCTTCGCGCTGTCTCTGGCTCTCTTCTGCTTTACGCCGAGCTTCAGCACGTCGTCGCTCTTCCTCGGCTGCTCTACGCTCAGCCGCTGCAGCTTTGGCAGCAGCTTCACTCTCTATATCTGCCAGATCCTGCGTTGCACCCTTCCAGGAAGGATTCAGAATGAGCCTCTGGTTATGCTCAGTTTGTGAGAGAATACGCGTCCATGTGTTTAGGAGAGTGGATGCTGCATTGACAGTACTAGAAACAGTCTGCGCCAGTTTGGGGGCGTTTGTTAGTCAAGGCGCTTCATAGTTCACGTTCAATGGCTCATGTGAATAGATAGTATGATGTCGACATCCTTATCGCACCTAGGTGAACGATGAGGCTCAAGGGATGAATGGGTCCGAAGTGAGAGGCCAAGGGATGAGATAGTGGTGATGTACCTGCATGTTCCCCTTTGCTCGCTCAAGCGTACCAACCACCCCCTCGATCAACTCGTTCATGTTTCGGACACCCTCCAACTCCCGTTGCAGCGCTGCCTCGCGCGCATCCTCAGAGTCATCATACCGGTTATGCTGGTTGGATGGGGTCTTGGGTCTGTCGGGCTGTTGTGCCTTAGGATCTTTGGTATCGGAAGGCGAGTCGTAGGGGTCTTCGTGGTCCGAGTCCTCTTGATGGTCTGCCATTATGTGACGTCCAACGCCCAATGCCCAATTGATAGGTCTAGTAGGGGTCCCTAGGTCTCTGGTTCGGTAGGGCAGAAGAAGATGACGGACAAGGGACTGGTCTCGCTTCCCAATGATCCGACGGTGGGGGCTGACACAAAGGTGGGTTAAACAACCTGAGATACATGTATACCACTGTAACTACCGGATGTACAAAGTTTGGGGAGCCCTACTTCGTAATTTTGTATAACTGCCAGAAATTAGCACTGTATCTGGGAATGGAGGCTACAACGCGCTAGTATGCGGCAGCTAGCATCGACGTTATCCGAGACGTCCGCAACAAAGGGATGGTCAACTCTGAGCGTGGATGGAGAGCATCTGTTGACATGCGATGTCGATGCGACTGAACGAGATGGTGGCCCTATGCAGCCAGTACCAGTAGAATGTCGACAATGGAATCTCCAGAGCTTGGTGCGCGACGCGTGCAGGGATGTGCAGGGATGTCGGCGCGTCGCGGGCGGGCCTGCAACTACGTGTAAAGAGGATTGAGCAAACACGCTGTACCGTGTAGACACCTGAGCAATGACTGTACCTAGGGAAGTACCTCCCGGCCTAGGATGAGGGCAAAGATACATGCACAGCACTCAGATGCCCCTCTGATCTGCTCTGATGTTAGTGTCCTCTAGCCCCTCTAGCCAGTGAAAGTCCCTAAAATGCCCCTCCTGAGCCTTCCCTTGTTCTCATGAGCAAGGATACATGTGCAAATGCACATTGAGGCCCACTTAAACTCACTGTGCATGTAGTAGATACCCGCTATTGACGCAGTAGGCACTGTCCAGTGGGCCTCATGACTGCGGGTTTTCTGAGCCCACAAGTATCCGGTACATGACGTGTGGCCGGAAAGACCAGGGCCAGAGTGCAAGCTTGGGAGCTGTCAGTGACCTGGCCGTGCCCCCAGCCACTCGACTTTGCCTTGTTCCCGTCGTCTCTCTCTACCTCCTAATACTTCCCAGCCTCAAACCACAATCCTCCCTAAAATTTCCCCATTCCATCCCATCATATTGTTTCCGACCTCATCACCCGGCCGATTGTTGTTTTCACCAAAACATCGCATCGCGACAGTATCATCTTACTAAGATTCGTTTGCTTACTAGCTCTGGCTATCAGGTCGCAGCCTCGTCATTGACTCTTGTCCTATTCTTTGCAATATACTATTCAATAGAATCCGTACCAGGTAACTGCTCTCGAATTCTAGTCGATCGCATTCCCAGATCGACCCCAATCATAGACCTTCTGTCAGCCTATGCCTTGCCTCAGAATATCCTTTGGCTATCAGTTCGGCGCTTAGGTTAGGAGGCCGCAGTAATTGAGTTTCCTGGCCGTGGCTTACTTGCAGTGTGCGCGGCTTCGAATCTAAACAACGGCGACAATAGACCCCTAACAGGCTGCAATTAGCCCCAACCCCCAAACGCTACCATAGCCCTAGCTCCAAGACTGAGAATTAGAAAGTATATGCGTGGAAGAATACTGAAGAGGTGGTAGCCTTTGTGTGTTGAAAGAAGTTGAAAAGATTTGGCACAAACTAGGACAACCTTTGACTCAGAAACGCGGTCGCTACAGCGGTCGCTTATTCAACCAGAAATGGCCTCCAGTCTCGCCGTTTCAACGCCCTCACCACCCGGCACAGTTCATACTCCAGGTACCCCCAAGCATGGATACAATGATCCTTGGGAGCCCTTTTCACCGCGCAAATCCGCCCGCATCTCTTCCCGACAACAATCAACCAACCGAACACCCTCTCCCCGCCACACCTACCCTCAATCCACCCGTTCTTCTACAAAGACTTCTACACAGTTCTCAACCCCCGCAACCTCACCTATAAAAAAGCGCCAACCCGCCATGGATTCCGTTCGACGTGCATCTGGCACTCTGACCGCTGAGAGCGCTGCCAATGCAGCTGACTCATTAGGAATTAGCCCTAAATCGCAGAAGAAGTCCCTGGGCGCCGCATCCAATTCTCATAGCACTGGCATGCTTCCTACTCCCGCAAAAACTCCTCGCAAGCAGCCCAATTCCAAGACTGAAGCTGTCTCTCGTAACATAGCGCGCAACCTTTTCGCGACTGAGGAAGACATGCTTACTCCCAGAAAGAAGGCCAAGAGGTACACCGGCCTGACTCTTGACAGCTTCAGGGCAGAGAACGTAGAGGAAGATATCGAAATCTTCACCGATACGCGAGATCAATTTCCCGAGGCGGATCAAAGTGCCGAGAACCCATTCTATGGCGCTCACACCGTTGCAGAGCCATCTAAGCGGCGAAGCAAGCGGAAACCTGTCGTGGTTCCCGGTGAAGGCAAACAGTCAATCGAAGATGCTGTGAAACGTGACGATGGTGTGCTTGTAGTCTTGTAAGTTTATTCCTCACCACCATCACATTAGGCCCCTTTCACAGTTGATGCTAACCCAATACCTGTACAGCCGAGGAAAGAGGATGTTCCGCAAATTCGCCGATAATGATGAGGAGTCTAGCAGTCAGGCTGAAGAGGACGAAGCGGTCGACTTGGACTCGACAGGCCAAGCTCGCCGCAATCGTCCAATGACCCGCTCATCAATCAAACCTCGCCTACTCTTCCCATCGGCCAAGGGCAAGAAAGCTACTACAAGCACCGTTGAAGACGAAGAAGCTGTAACCGACATCGAGGATAACGTCTTCAACGATGTCGAGGCTGCTGAAGCTGAGCCACCCCAAACTCCGACCCAAGTCGCCAAAGGCAAAGTTGAGACTCCCGACGCCCCTCGCTTCGGCCCAGCTTCGCCTCCTAGCACGGGGAGAGCTACCCGATCTACAGACAAGCTCCGTGGAGGTGACACGCCAATGAAGGCTAAAGGCCCGAGTCCCTTCGACGGCTGGCGTCGCTCGAAGAGTCGAGCTGCCCCCCAAGGTCAGAAGAGGGATGGAGACCACATTGCCAAACCTACAGCCAGCGCTAAACGCCAGCGTGTTTAGGTTGCGACAGTGGATGACGATGCTATTAAAAATGCGTACGATCGACCTTGGGTTTTGCCGTCTTGGCGAGAGTGACAAGATAAGTGTGGGATTTTCTATTCTGTCTGGTATGGTTTGGGTTGTTCTTGTACTAGGTACTGAGGTGCTGAAAGGATAGTACGGTAGTCATCATGAAGACAAAGTGGGAAAGGGAAAAGAATGGGTATTAGCAAACGGTGTCAGGCGTTTCGAGGGTTCACGATGACTGTTACGAGGATGAGTTCGCCGCGGCATGTCAGGGTAATGCCCTACAAGAATGTATTGGAGGGATATGCTTCCGATGAGGCGACAATGCCGATAGTTATGCTCAACAAACAATGAGTGAGTTAATTCATTAATTAGAGGTTATCTCTACCAACCGATGTGACTTTGATTGTATCGTAGTTATCCTGTTATTTCGAATAGAACCATAGAAGTCTCATTTGGCAATTTTGCAGTTAGTTAAATCACTTTTCGAAGTTTTCTAAAACGATCCCTGTTATTTCTACGCATTTGAATCTGTCACAGGATAGGCTCGCTCTTGTCCGTGCAGCTCCCAATACTGGTTAAATATTATTTTAAGTTCATTGATTTCAACTTTGTTAATGAAAAAGGAGACCACATACCTATCCCAGGCATTGTCGACGCCGTTGTGGCGTCATAGAAAGCTTGGGTGACATTCAGGCAGTACCTACCTATTATTGTAATCCTACGGTAGTTTATCTGTAGCTCGCGTCACTTGTAGACCGGATGTCGAGACGGGAACCGAAAACTGCCCCGCCCCCACCATGAAGCTCCCGCCTGCCCTCGTTGAGACTTTACATAGTAAAGAGGTAGGTAGATAGCTCCGCAAACCGCACCGCCCTCTGTCCCCGCGAATCCAAGCCCGACATATTTTCGGGACGAAGACTACATTGGAACCCTTGCTATAGAATTTCAGTCTTCTCTTCATTATATCACTCTTCACCTCAACTAACCCACTGCCAATTGCCTCAATTGCCAAGATCGGGTTACTACAGTCAGACGACGACAAGCTACTCAGCCATCATACATCCGATTCGACAGTCGCTCCACCGATTCAAATCCTGCCACATAAAGAACATGCATATTCTAGTTACCAACGATGACGGGCCTCCTGGCCCAGCCTCTCCTTACGTTCACAGCCTAGTCCGTGCACTACAGAAGGCTGGACACATCGTTTCCGTGTGTCTTCCTGATACTCAGCGATCGTGGATAGGCAAGGCACATATGATAGGACAGACTGTTAAGCCCGTGTACTACCGCCCGCCTATCACCTACAACACTCTAGACGACGCGATGCCGCAAGGGACAACTCATCGGTTTCCGAGCCGCGGTCGTGACGCCGTTGAGGAATGGGTTCTCGTGGATGGGACGCCGGCGTCGTGTGCCCAGATCGGTCTACACCACGTATTCCGTGAACGTGGGCCAATTGATATAGTAGTCTCGGGGCCTAACTTTGGGCGTAACTCGACGGCACTATTCGCGTTGAGTTCGGGGACTTTAGGTGCGGCAATGGAGGCTGCTGTCTGCAGACGTCGAGCTATCGCGCTGAGCTATGCGCACTTCAAAGATCGACAAGATCCCAAGGACCCCGCCATCATTGAGCAGGCGACGCGGCACAGCGTGCGCGTCATCGAGGCACTGGCCTCGCAGTGGCCTACCGACGAGTCCGTAGACTTGTACACGGTCAATGTGGCACTGCTTCCTGGGCTTGAGAATCGCCGCACCATCTTCACACCCATGCTGCAGAATTACTGGGGCGATGGCGGTACGTGCTTCACCGAGGTTGAAGGCAGTGTAGGTGATGAAGATGAAGAGGAGGAGCGTATTCGCGGCACTGAAGGTTCGAGCAAGGTGAATGGGGCGAAGGCAGAAGGTGATGAAGAGGACGACGAAAATAAGGGATTAATACATAGACACTTCAAATGGAAGCCGAGGTTTGAGGATGTCTATCAGAGCGTAGAGGAGGCACCCCCAGGGAATGATGGGTGGGCGGTCAAAGAGGGCCACACAAGGTATGCTATGCACCCTTCTCCTCCTTCCACAGTTTCTTTCATTTCCCCTCTCTTTTTCTTGTTCGTCTGCAACGACATAGAATTACTGGCTTGGGTATTAGTCGCTGATAAAGTCATGCAGTGTCACACCAATGAAGGCAAACTTTTGGCATGCAGCGTCTCATTTACATGGGAAAGAGTTAGATTTGTGAGTTTCTGTCAGTCTTACTGCATTGCGTCTGGTTTAGAATACAATTGGGCGATATCCTTACCGAAGTATGGTCAGAGAATGTCAGAGGATAGATCACCATCCATGGTGGGTTACAGACTGTGTTCACTTCTGTCTCGATAGATTGCCTGCAATACACTTAGAGACGTCTACTACAGGCAAACCGCATTTGTAGAACAAGGTGGCTCTGAAATTCAAGCGTCTTTGATTGGATTTGCAGCACTCATGGTTTTTGCTGTCTGGCTTCATGTATCTTACTTTTCTAATCCCATGTAGGCAATATCACAAGTCCATTGAAGAAAAGCTATCCCCGTCTGACGTAACCAGCGAATCGACGCTTGTCCTACGCCCAAAGGACCAGTTCCACGCACTCGTCGCCTACGAAGACGCCTATGTCCAGCCCCTCATCATATCCGCGCTCGAGACGCTATTCCCGCCGGAAACTTTCACTGTACTTGCTAAGGCAGCCGATGCTGTCAAAGATGAAGCCATTTCATTGGCTAAGATTTTACCGCACCCTAGTTCAAATGTCCTGCAAATAACACCCTATGAGGCCATCGACTGGGACTTTGTTGCCGCGCATTCAAACACATGCCTGGTTAATAGCTACATGTTGCGCAAAGCTCTGATACGGAAACATTACCTCGCAGCGACTGTGGAACAATGGGTTGCAAAGAGGCCACAGTCCATACTCAAGGACCATGTGAAACGCTCTGAGGCGTTCGAGGTCGACTATGCTGAGTTTTTGGACGACGCACTCGTCGAAGCGTTCGATCTCAGGGCCAGTCTGGAAAGAAACGAGAATTTGCTGAATAAGGACGAGAGAGAGGCAAAGGAGGCAGGAAAAGGGGGTATTGAATGGTGGATTCTCAAGCCAGGTATGAGTGATCGCGGACAAGGGATCCGCCTCTTCTGCACGATGGCCCAGTTACAAGATATCTTCGACGGGTGGGAGGCCGAGAGACCAGATAGTGATGACGAGGGCGAAGACGCCGATGACGAAGACGGGGGCGATTACATCGCCACGTCACAGCTTCGCCATTTCGTCGCCCAGCCGTATATCGATCCGCCCCTACTACTCCCTGGAGACGATCGCAAATTCCACATCCGCACGTACGTTGCGTGCGTGGGGGGTCTCGACGTCTATGTGTATCGACACATGCTGGCTCTGTTCGCGGCCAAACCGTATGTACCACCAAGGTACAGCCCACCACAACAAGACCAAGGACATGAGGAATCTTCGCTATCAGGTGGTAATATCGACCTTGAAGCGCATCTTACCAATACGTGTCTCCAGCGCTCGGTAGCGGAGAACACGGTCCAGTTATTCTGGGATTTACCTCTCTCGGACCTCCCTTCATCATCCTCTGTTGGAGAAGAAGAAGGGGGGAGCAAGGGAAGAGACGCCAAGACGCACATATTCGAACAGATCTGCGACCTCACGGGCGAAGTCTTCGAGGCCGCTGCCCGAACTATGCAGATGCACTTCAGACCCCTGGAAAACGCCTTCGAGATCTTTGGACTTGATTTCCTTGTCGATGCTGCCGGCGATGTGTACCTACTCGAGGTTAACGCGTTTCCCGATTTCAGGCAGACGGGCGACGAGTTGAGGGATGTTGTTGCGGGGCTGTGGAAGGAGGTGCTTGGACGGGCTGTCGGAGGCTTCTTTGGGGGTAGGGGTGGCAGCGGAAGGGATGGAGAGGCTGGAGACCTTGTTCTTGTCCGGCAAGTGGATTTGGGGTGGTGAGATTATAGGCATAAAGAGAGGTACTGTCGGTGTTATATACCGTGCTGAGAACAACACGGGGATCTGATAGCTGTTCGTCGTTATGCCCTCACTCCGGTATTTGCACTGAGTTGAATGAGGCCACGAGTGCAGTCTTGAGTCGTTCGCGTCGATCTTGAAAATCCAGCACAAAGGTAATCTTTTATTGGTGTTATATGCGGGAAATTCAATACAGATACGGGGAAGGGAGGTCGATGGTAGGTACACAGATGACTCAAGATAGCATCGCTCACAGGACATAGACATCAGTACATTGTAGCAGCTATTAGTTATCGTTAGATACACGAATTTCGAGTTGACTTGAAGAGTTTGTAATTGGTCTCTACAATGGCTTGGTGGCTTCTATTAACGAGGTTTTGGAGTAACCACCCAGCTGGCTAGGGAGGTCGAGATGGGTATGAATAGAGTGGTTTAACTCTTGTGCGGGTTGAATGTGCAATTTTATTTTATTTTTGACCAAGATCACTATATATGTATTCTAAACCCTGAACAGTACTTTTGGAGTGAATGTGAACTGTCGCACATACTAACAGGCAACCAGCTGGTCTGTTGACTCATGCTACCAATCCCTCGGTTTACTATGTAAATGGATGACTGAGACATTGTGCAACGTAGCGTAGTTTGCGCCCATACCCATAGCTACCACTTTATCTCTAACTTTAGGTAGCCTTGAGGTATCCTATGGAAAAGCAATCATTCCACCGCACCTTAGCGGCCATGATGTTTGGAACATGGCTTTTAACCAGCGTATTACCCCGAGGCTGTCCGCGGATCATCGACGAGCCTATGAGCTTAGAAGGGAACTGGGGTCGATTTAGATAATAATCCCTGAACTGGGATATATTTTTAAGGGCGTTAGTTAACAGGTGTGCCCATTTCGACTGCAAAAATTGAATGACGATGTTTAGTTATGGAAATTTTAGAAACTCTTGCAATGTTAGTCAATAGTCGGTCGAAATTGAGACAGCAGAGGTATCACGTCATTGTGACTGGCTTGGCTTGGCTTGGGGATGGGTAGATCTTTACAAAAGCCCTCAGCTTGAGCGAGCTTGAGAGGCTTCTCTTGATCTCGCCCGTAAATATTAGGGTTCAAGATCAGATAGGAGGTTACACTGCAGACAGATCGTTTATACCGTCCGGTTTCACAATGCTATGTGGCTGCCATAGCATACTCGGGCAGGCTCGGGATTGAAATCATGAGTTAGATGGATAATCTTTACGCAGTGTTTTGAACTTGAACCTAGCTAGTAGTGTAGATGTTCATGATAAGGTGGTATTGTTCAATGCCGGCCTTCCGGCTTGCGGAAGTGGTAGCACCTTCTAAATTATCAGGCGCTGGGAAAGCGATGAACTTCATCTTATGGGCCGACGTACTTTGTGGTTTGCGTGTGACACATCTCTCTGGCTGCATATTTGCTACACAAAAATCGTCACCTACTCCTATTGTGTCACTATGGACGGGCAGGGAGACAGATAGGCACGCTACTCTAGCTTGAGAAACAGTCTCTTCACGGCTATTCCCGCCACGCACCCACGTCATGGCAAACATGGCGGGTGTAAGTAGTGACTCAAGGGTTTGGATGACGTTTCATTTGCCAATGGCTCTTGATCAGGCTCTGCCCTTAGCACACGAAGTACCCGACCTCGAACCGGCATGAAGTTGGTGTGCATTTCGCTCCCCTAGCTTTGTGAGTCACTGGTGGTATTTTGAGGGGAAGGAGGTGAGTCAGCCAGGATTCCAAGGTGGTATCAGACAGCTCATCATGAGAAGCTCGCTCAACGCCTATTACTCAAGTCAAGTCAAGAACATATATCAAGGCACCATGCGTACTCTTCGGCCATTGTGATGCATTGAGCGTAAGGTAAGCCCTATTCTGCCAACAGTAAGACTCCCCTGCGACAAATAGGAAATTCTTATAAGTTATGACATTCTACTTGATCTCGATGTGCAGAGTTAAGTAGGTACAAGAAAGAAGTCAAGCCGAAGCTCTACTTCGTACATGTAGGGTACCGTAGCCCCTCCCCAGGTCACCTGATCACGGCCATTGTTCGCGTCCGCCAGGATTTGTAGCGACGCGTCAAGCATTAGCAGTACATTAGCGGGGCAGTACTGGTACGCTTGAAGAATCCAAGAATGGCTAGCCGGAGCACGCTATTGTCGCTATTGTCGGCCAAATACATAGGTATTGTACTTGCCTATTAAGCACTGATCCCTCTCTGAACACGCTGCCGACGCGCTGCCTCCTTCCTGTAGGCAACATTTGCGTCCAACCAACTATCTCGACTTTTTTTCTACCTCACAAATTGCAACCCGTGCCAATTTCACACGTCGACAGGCTGCGTTTTGTGGTCTACCGTTGCCATCAAACTGTTCACGTCTCACTCGGTTCGCCTTCTGGATCCTGCGACATTGCCATGTTCTGATTTTTGGACCGCGTAGCTGGGAGACGGTCTATTTACACACCATGGCGGATCAAGAAGGGTCAAGTCTTTTCAATTCTTGCACATTCGCCTTTGTGCCCTGTATCACTCTAACATGTCAAGTTATTGCCGAGGTATTTCTTCCCTCTATCGTCCATTGTCAGTCTTTCGCTCCAGAGTGCTTGTGCTGATCAATTGAAGCTGTCGCAAAGCATCGCCAAGTATGGCGGCCAAGTTTGCAAGCGAAAACGCGACGGCTCTCTTCCCCTGGCCAGCATTACCCATATTGTTTCCAACACGATCGAATTTCCAGAGTATGACCAATCACTAGCTATGATGATTCCGGTTGTCAAATCCAAATGGATAACTGCGTCCTTTACCAAGGGCAAGCTAGCACAAATCCGGCCATTTACGCCAGATCCGCGCATGATATTCTCTGATGTTATGTTGTCCTGCGCCGATATTCCTGACAATGATAAGGATACCATTACTGGCGCTACTATGGCTATGGGTGGCATGTATTCAGATGGTGTCACCAAACTGACTACCCATATATGTGCCTTAACAATGGACCACCCCAAAGTGCGGATGGCCGTGGAGAAGAAGCATAAGGGCAAAATTGTCTTGCCTCATTGGTATGCTCTCCATATACAAATTAGACAAAGGCTAGATGGTTTCTAACAAATTTCCAAGGTTCGATGACTGCTTTAAACTTGGAAAGAGAATAGACGAGGGTCCTTACCTCCTGCCAGATCCTGAAATCTTACGTATGTCGCCGGGACGCTCCATTGAACCACAATGTAGCCCATATCTTGATGGCGCCATCTCGGCTCGCCCAGATTATATGCAGCCACCCACAGATCAAGAAAGGGTACTGCATTTGACCATATTCAAAGACAAGAAAATTATGCTTTCAAATGACTTGGAAATGAGGGACCGGCTTAGACAAATTCTTGATGGTCTAGTTACTGGGTCAGGTGGACAGCTTATTGACGACGCGCAAAATTGTGACTGGCTTGTCTGCCGTTATCGAGACACGGAAGAATATGTTCAAGCCTCACAGCTGGGCAAGACTGTTGGAAACATGTCATGGCTGTTCTACCTCATACAAAACAACACATGGTCTAATCCTCTCCACCGACTTCTTCATTACCCAGAGCCTCGGAATGGAATACCGGGATTTAACGATATGAGGATCTCGGTGTCGAATTACGGAGGAGAGGCCCGAATATATCTGGAAAACCTAATTAAAGCCACCGGCGCTACGTTCACAAAGACTATGAAGGCTGATAATACGCACCTTGTGACGGCAAGAGATAACAGCGAGAAATGCGACGCCGCTCGTGACTGGAACATTCATATGGTTAATCATCTTTGGATCGAAGAAAGCTACGCTAAATCCGAGATGCAATCTGTTACAGTACCTAAATATACTCATTTCCCTCCCAGGACCAACCTGGGAGAAATCATCGGTCAAACTTTCTTTGACGAGAAAAAACTCCAGGCTCTTCATTTTCCTGGTGGCCCTGAAAAACCTACAATGCCCCCGCCGCGCAAGCGCAAGGCTTTGGAGATGACAGACGACGCCGCCCTTGCAGAAAGTGCAAGTTCAAACACGGCGGCTGGACGACAACCACGAAAGGAGTTTGACATCATGAGAGACGGTGATGCGGAAACTGCAGCGGTCGATGAGTTACCCCCGCCTTCAAAACGGCGTTCCACAGACTTTACTACCCCCGCACGTGGCCGCCACGTTCGGTCAGGAAAGGAGAATGAGACGCCTTCGAGCGTTGCATCATCAAGTCGAAGTGCAAAGGACAAGGCTCTGGGCAAGATCTCTAACTTAGCCCCTGATATTGCCTTGTATGAAAAAGAAAAAAAGAGAGGATTGAAGGACGGCCATGGCCTTTGGGGAGGGAAACGAGCGGCTGACCTTATTGAGCGAGAGCACTTGAATCGCCGCCGCACATCTAGTCCAACAGCTGTAGATGACAAGGAGCCTAAATCTGAGAAAAGACCAACCAAAAAAGCTAGACCAACGCTTCCAGAGGTGGAGATAAGAGTAATTTTAACTGGATTCAAACGATGGGTTAACGACAAACACAAAGAAGATGCAGATCGGGTAAGCTTTATCTTTCTTGGATTCTATCTAACACCCTGTACTAATCAACACACAATAGAAAAAACTGCGTGATATGGGTATTGCAGTCGTCCAAGATGGCCAGCCATGCGATTATCTAATTGCGCCACAATTAGTCAGAACCGTCAAATTTCTTCGCAACTTGTCTAAAGGAGCCATAGTTCTATCATCTACCTGGGTTGAAGACTGTCTCGACACGAAACAGATTCCTGATCCAGACAACTATATTCTTAAAGACAGTGAGAACGAAAAACGATTCGGATTGAAGCTAGAGACTTCAATTCGAAGAGCGCAGAAGAACAAAGGCCACCTCTTGGCTGGGATACCTATCTATTGTACGGCGAGCATCAAGAATGGGCCCGAGAGTTACCAGGCTATTGCTGATGCCAATGGCGCCCAATTCATGGTATACGGGCCGAGAAGCGGTAGCACAATCAGGGTTACCAACCCTGAGGATGACGAGGGCGGCCCCGACCCGGTGTACCTGCTTAGCACATCAACGGCCGAGGAGAAGAAGCTATGGAAGAGGTTTGAAGACATGGCACGCAGGGGAAACATGGAGCCGCGCGTTGTTGCTTCGGATTGGTTGTTGGACGTTGTAATGAAACAGGAAGTTAGCTTTGATGAGAAATATCTGGTAAGGAATTTCTTCATGTAACGTCATGGGGTTCTGATGCATATTTAGGCGCGCTGATTCTCGGGTTGGTATGGCGTTCAATCATTATGAATTATATGCTGCTTCGTCGTCGGCGCGATGTCGATGTCGATGTCGATGTCGAGTAAGTCTGGCGGGAACGATGTTATGGCGTCGAATAGCATGCTCTTGTAATTGTACCCTGACAGCACCTGTACAATTGTTCTTTGTACGACTAATTGTCTTAATATTTCATGATAATGATATCCTCTGCTCAGAAGAATTTGACACCCAGCTGGTCTTCCTGTCCGAAGATCTGCGCCTTGTTCCGCTTGACGAGCACCTGGAGGGCTTTCTGGAGTAATTCTAGATCGAGACCGTGGAACTCTACGTCACGGAGCAAGATTTATTCCTCATCAGCGTATATATACTACTTTTTCTTTCTTTTTTCGTTCCGTATTTCTTCCATACTCTTTCTTCTCTGTATGAGATTCATGTTCCCCCCTTCTCTTGTATAGAAAACAAAATACGAAGGAAAAGAAAGTAGGTGATGAATAAATGAATGAATGAATGAATGAATGGACTTACCGGTTCCAGTTGTATCCTCGCCTTGGCTAAGCTCGTAGAGCGTGAGCACGGTGCCCTTTTGCGCCGTCTCGTCGACCCAGGCCTCGACGAGCGCGGCCCATTCCTCGGGCGTGCGCCAGTATACCCACCACACATCACCTCCTCCGGCTCCCCCGCCTGCCACGCCTTCGCTGCTATCGTCGCCGCCCCCTGTCAACGTGTTCAGCGCAGCCGCCGTGGCGCTGCTGTTTCCCGATTTCACGAATTCGGCCCGCCCGTCGCGCCGCATGAAATCTAACACCTCGCGCCGGTCGGCCAGGCTGAGACGTCGGTCGATGCGCCGGTTGCAGAAGAGGTCTTCGGTCGAGGGCGACGATAGGCTGAGCTTGTATAGCTTGTGGTATGCGCAGTACGACAGGATTAGCGAGGCCCATTTCGAGTGTTGGCTGTGGAGCGTGCTGAGGTTCGGTTGCCGCGTGAAGAATGGGGGGACGTGGTACTCTCGTGGGAATTGGAAGGTATTGTTGCTGGAGGGGGAGAGAGCTGTTGTTGTTGTTGTATTGGTTGTCGTTGTGGGTGTGAGTTGGCCGACGGCGCCGAGGGACGAAGATGAGGTTGTTGTGAAGGAGGGCGCTGGTGTTGCCATTCTTATGGTTTGTGTTCGTAGAGGGGATGGATGGATGTATAGATGTAAGGTATGTTGTGGTTTGAGGCAGCTTTCATGTGCTCGTCTACTTGTTGCTGTCCCTACTTATATAGTTAGGTGATAGGTCGGTAGGATATGACCGCAACGTGGGGAATAAGTGGGGTAATTCGTGACGGGGTCACAAGTACAGTAAGTCACAGAGTTCGTAACGTATCGCACTGGTAAAGCAGAGAGCCATGCAAAAGGAGTAAGTAAGTAGGTAGGTAGGTATCATGATAAAGCAGTCGTTTCTAATTGTGTCATAGCCCATCGCGTCAAAACAACTCTGTAGCGCTCACTTTAGAGGCATCGTTATAACGCAACCCAACAGAAAACGCCTGATGCAAACATAACGAAACCCAGACCGCAAAACTCAAGTACATCTTCATCACAGCTCATCCTCAGGGACATCGTCTCCCCTTTCGCCGCCACAGAGTTCCTTTTCAAACTCTTGCCTAGCAAACTCATCATAACCCTCGAGGCCTTTCTGTATGTGGCACTTGAATTGGATCACGTCGATCAGTATCCTCTCGACCTCTGTATGCAGCTCTTCCCGCAGCGCACTTGCTCGAAGTTTTAATTGTTCATATCTGGGACAAACTAGTTAGTACGAGCGTGGATAGAATCACTAGGCCAGACCTACTCGATATTTGTATTCATTTCTTTTTGCTCCAACAACTGCACAGATTCTGTAAGCTGAGCGCGCATCTTTGCAAGCTCCTTTTCCATCTTCTCAATCTGTGCGTCAGAAGCGAGCTTCTGCGTCGTTGTCACCTGTCGCAATATATAGTTAGCTACCTACTGTTGCCAAGTCTGTTTCCCTCGGCATGCACGTACCTCCTTTGTCTTCTCGTATTCTTCTTCTGCGGCACGGACCCTGTGTTCGAGGGCCTCTACCTCATTGCGCTTGTCCTCAATTGCTTCCTTAATGCCGTCGAGAAGCTCATGATCTTTCATCATCGCATCCATAGCCTCCGTTCTCCTCTCTGATATCTCCCTTCGTAGCGCTAAGAAGCTGCTCTTAACTTGTCCGCGCAAGTCCAGGTTGAGAATATGGGCAGGCTGGTAACCGGTTACTGGGTCCGCCAACAACCGTTCAGTTCCCGTTCCGGTGGAATACGAGCCTTTCACCATAGATCCCGTAAAATCAGATTCGTTCACTGTTACAGCGAGCTCGTAGTCTTGTCCATTTGCGTTTGCGGCCGATGCTGGAATTAAACCGATCTGATAAGCGAGAGTGTTATACTTGTCCACAAGCCTCTCGAGCTCATCGAGCTTGCGGCTTGCTTCCATTTCTTTCTCTGCGACACGCCGCTTGCCTTCATCGAGTCTTTGCGTCGCCGCTTCAATCCCTTTTTGCAGCCTCTCCCGTTCCGAGGTCATGCGGTCGATATCCTGCATGCTAATCCCTTGGTCGTCAACTGCTTTCTGTAATCCTCGGCGCTCTTCATCTGCCTCTCCCAACTCTTGCAGTAGCTTATCTAGCGCTTCTTGTAGCATCTGTATGCGAGTCTCCAGTTTCTCAGATTTTGTCTCCGTTAAGGAGTTGAACTCTAAAAATTTAGCTCTATCATCCTTCATGATTTCATATTGGTCATCCAAAGCTCTGGGATCTGGAGTCGACTTCTCGAGATCTTCGATTTCTCTTAATAGGCGAGCATTTTCCTCCTCAAGCATTTCTAGTTCGGATAGATATTTTGATCTTGACTGCTCAAAAGCTTGGGCCATCGCATCTATATGTGGCTTGAACACCGTCTCCACATCTTCATCTGCTACATCTTCATCCATAGCTAACCAATCTTGGTATGTCGTGCACAGAAAGTCGAACATGATGCGATCGCCGGTTACATCAACTCCACTCTCTATGCAAGCATCATCATATCGGTGTGCTGCATACCCGTCGAGCATTCGTGCTACCTGCATCATCCAGTGAAGCAGACCCAGGAAGGTGCTCCAGTTCTGGCCACCAACAGCAGAAATATGAGACTTGGTGATGCCCTTTTCGTACGGATAACGCAGTTGTTTTAGGATTGGAGGAACTTCTTGGTCGATATTTTTCAGGAAGCGATAGCTCGGGTCAATGCGATGGTACAGCCATTGAAACATATAATTAAAGTCTTTCTGGGTCGGGGATTTAATGATGTTATGCGAAAGCGTGTGTTTCATGTCCATCTCGAAATTGTTTTGCGCCAAGTAGTCCAGCAATTCTTGACCGATTCGCGTCTGGAATGATCGATCCTTGAGAGGCCGAGGGTCTCGCGGCACGCCTGCGGCTTGAGGGGCCTGCTGGAAAAAGCTCTGATGGCTCGCAGGCCCGTTCGTAGACGATCGCGCACGCCATACGCTACTCCTGCGTTCATTCTCCGAGTGCCGCGTGGGCAGGTTGCTGGGCTGGAAACTCTTCAAGGCCGAGCCGGGATTATTGTAGAAAGATGTGCGCTTGACAGAAGACAGGCCTGGGTCGGCGAGGTTGGTACCGGAGGAGGAGCGCTTGAACATGGGCTGGCTTGGGCGGCCGAGGGCGAGGGAGTGCCTAGATCCCGACACGGACCGAGTATGGCCGCCGTTGTATGCCAAGCCGCCATTTCCGCTCGTCGAACTGGACCTCTTCATTGCGGATGGAGGCTGTGGAAGAGAGGTGTTGAGACTGATGCCGCCCAGAGTCTGTGTGTATCGCGACGATTTCAGTGAGTGGGTGGGTTCGATGCGACGGGCAGGACGGGGAAGGGGGCACCGGCGCGCCTATTGGGCCGGCGCATTGGCGCATTGGGGGGGACGAATGTTTGGATAACTTACCTCTCGTGGGCGGCGGACACTCCAGAGCCCGGTATCCTGAGACATTGTGTCGACGGTAATTCCTTTCAGCTGGATTCGGGCAATAGAGACAAGTTCTGATGCGAGGAGGGTATGGGGAGTGAATTAATACCTAAAGTTGTCTTGCAAGCAAAGCCAGCCTGTAAACTCGGGGTTGGGCGGCGCTGGATGTAAACAATCAACAAACTGCATTTAACACACATAGCGCGGGGCTTCCTGCATGCCTATTGTACTACTTACTAATGTACTTGTACCGCCTATTAGCGGCCAGTCCACAGCACATTAGCGTGCATGGAGGTATAGGTACGGTAGAGACCCCAGCAAGACTACCTAGGTACTATACAGTAGGTACCGTACCTAATAATTAAAGTCGCTGCAATGTCCATTATAATTCATATGAGATAAGCAAGCGATATATATATTTTCTGAGACTGCCTAGGGAGACTGATCTGTTCTTTTTATACATACATGATGATCTTTATCCCTCTCATAACAACATCATGCTCATTCTTGTTGAAATCTATAAGTCACGATGCCCAGGAAAGTTATGATTTTTGTCGGTGCACCGGAAGCGCAAGCTCTGGACTGGACCGAGTCTAACCTGCTAAACCACTTCCTGCAACCATTCGCGAGCTTCGTCCACCTCAAAGCCCTGCCAGAATCATCCTTAAGGGAGACGAGTTTTCTCTCCACACCTGACACGGCCGTATGGCGATCACTGCCCTTGCACAAGGAGCGGCTGCCCACCGGTTTCTCTCAAACTCATGCATTGGCCCACGTTTACCAGGGAAGTCCAGAGTTCTTCACTACGTTGACTAGGTCATTTGATACGACATCGGATCTCTCAGAAGATGTACTGGATCAAGACATTGCTGATCGGTTCTACGATCATTCTGTGGCTATTCATGGAGATATCCCCTCCTCACAGCTTCCAGCCACGAGCTTCGCTACAGAGGACTCGTCTTTCGAAGTTACGGGCGACTTCACCGAGGAAACATCTACCCAACCAGACGACACTACTCTGCTGCGCAGCTTCCAACAAGAGGATGTAGTCACACATCTCAGTGATTTGGAAGATTTGCCCGATGCTAAATACTTGCAGTCGATCTTGCCTCAGACTATGACGGTAAATCTCATTGTTGGTATTATATCAATAGCAGAGCCACGTACAGTGAGAACACGCTGGGGCGGGACGAAATCACTGGTCGAGTTGCTGGTTGCAGACGAGACGAGGTCCGGCTTTAGCGTGACGTTCTGGATGTCTTCCGAGCCGAGCGAGACCAATCAATTGGTATGCAGTCTGAGGCGGCAAGACATAATTCTTCTACGCAACGTTGCCTTGAGCGTGTTCATGAAGAAAGTCCACGGCCGCAGTCTGAGAAAAGGTCATACGAAAATCGACCTACTCCATCGAAGGCGGATCGATAAGGACGATACCGGAGGCATGTATACTATGAAAGATGTTGCTTCAACCAGGAGAGCGCATCCTCAGTTAGCAAAGACTAGAAAGGTATGGCAATGGCTTTCCCATTTTGTTGGAGATGGGGGTACAAGCCTGGGTAAGAGGAGACACAACGGAAAGCCTATTAGGAGGTGGAATTTACCTCCAGCTGATACCCAGTAAGGACAGCCACCTTTCCAATTGATATGGGCGAATAACTATGCTATGAAAGGGGCGCTTTACGACATGTCGAAGCTCGTTCACACAATCTCAAAACAGGTTGAATTCCTGCCGCTGTGTGGCTTCTCAGCTGCGAAGCGTCTCGATATTGCGACGTGATTTCTGAACGAGTTGTATGTATAATCTAAAGTGAATATACTGGATTCTTATGTGATCCGAATCTTGATCTTCCAACATCGGCTTCCAAGCAACTGCTTGTTCCTTTGCTTTTTCTCTGGAATAAGAGACGCATCTCAACGTAATTTACTCTAATCTACGTCACTGGACTGCCATGGACTGCGACTTGGTCGGCTAGTGGCCAATCACAGCCTTTGTAGAGTACGAAAAAGGCAGAGCGAACTGCACTCTCGGGAGCTTGCAGCCTTTCAGACAATAGGAGTGACCGGGTCTCGGGTTAAGTGCCTACATCGAAAGTATAATGGTGAGCGGTGCTATTATGATTCGAAAGCTGTATGTTTCATTATGGTTGCTCGATAGGTTGATTTCGTACATATTGCCTACCTAAGCTTATGCAGGTCATAGCTACCCTTTCCCCTCAAGAATCTGGGGACCGGAATGTGGGACTGGCTGGCATTGAGACAGCGGCCTGGTTTTCCACGCACCACGGATCGATATTTAAGCACCATCCTAAACCTAACATAGTAAAAGCTGGGTCGGTACGTACTGATACCCCCACAACGGTCCTTGGCACACCCAATCTAGCCTTTTTAAAAGTATAGCCCTTGTATCGACCAGCAGAACCTATAATAACCTATTAGCAAAAAAAACATCTTTAACCTTCACTTTCAACCTTCACTTTTAACCTTCATTGCACCTTCAAACATCAGCAACACCACGCGTTTCGCAATATCTATTAAAAGTAAGCCATCTCCAACTTCATCTATCAATTCTACATCGATTGCACGACGGAAGTTCTAAAGCTATAGATTCCGCCTACTTGGTGGTTTTTTAAAGGTTGTACAAGTACTTATGAATATCAGCGCAAGAAACTAGCCTTAACCGTCAACATTGCTAGCGTTTACGTCCTGTCTCCAACTATCCCAATTTGTATGGGAAAACAGGGGGGTCCTGGACACTGCCCCAATACTTACTATGTTAGGTTTAGGATGGTGCTTAAATATCGATCCGTGGTGCGTGGAAAACCAGGCCGTTGAGACAGCACTTAACTTGGGCAGGCATTTGCTTACTGGCTACCTAGTAGCACTTACCTATATGTTACGTAGGTACCTAGTATGTATAGGCTGGTGGGTTGCCGCTAATTGGTGCTAAATGCTGTTGAATTGGGCATTGACAGCGGCAGTGATGGGGCGGGACTCTGATAGGGCCTCCAAATGTACTCCCTGCAGCCATTCACATGTCCACGCTATTGTCGAACCGCGCGCTTTCAACGCGTGCGGCGACGTCAGAATCCCCTTCAGATACCTCCGTCCCATACCGTAGTACTTTCATGTAAGTATCTGCTGCCGGCCTATTGCCTATTATTATCGACTCTCGCCGAGCTCCAATCGCAGGCGCTGCAACTGCTTCGACTACAACAGCCTGCGTCCAGTGTTGGTGAGTGTTTCGGCAAACGAGGGCTCTCCAAGAGCTCGTACAACTCCGCCCTAGCCACCGTTTGTATCTCTGTATCGACTGCTATAGCCATTCATTTACCCAGCAACGACATCTATCTTTACTCGAAACCCCGGATTGTCCCCTACTACCCCTGGCATTTGCCCGAGTTCAATCAGGTGGTTGCTGAGCTGGCCATCCTACAGGAAGAGGCGGGACGTATGCGACTGAATGGCTGTAAGAACCGATGATAATGGATTCGCTATGATGGATGAGGATATTAGAGCCGGAAACCTAGGTGCCGGCAACGGCCAGGGCACACCGTTCCTTTCGAGGACGAGGAGCCTGTCGGATGGCGATGGATCCCAATTGTCGCCATCGCCCTACATCATCGATACCTCGAGGCGGACATCCAAAGATGACAGTGCGTTGGTGAAAGATAGGAATGAGGAACCTATTGCACCGGTGACCCCTCGCCGCCCGGAGTTTCCTATGCACGGTCTCTCACTTCACATGCCACCAAGAGAGACCAACACATTGGCCCAGTCACCGTTGAAACCAATTCCTTTGTCGCCAAAGCTCGACCATTCTCAGATCTACGCCTCCCCCACCAACATTCTTCCCCGGCGATCGCGGGGTCTGGACTTTTCTCGCGCTGCCACAAGTTTGCATCACTCTATGCTGGCCGAGCAGGCATCGCCAGATTCATCGCCCATTATAGGGGGTCGTGGGATGAATATCCCTCGGCGAAGTAATGGCGAATTCGACACAGAGCAGCCATCGACGTCGTTGCGGTCAATGATGAGCAATCATGAGCGCATGCATATTTCTAGCTCCGTAGGCAGCACCAATCCAATTGTATCAGATTCGTCTTCTAGCAGTGAAGAAGATGACTGTATGGACGATGAGATGGAAGACGCTATTCTCAACACACCCCAGGTTGCCAAGAGTGGTTCACAAAACCAGAATTTTCATCCTGTTCCCTGGATTCCTGGTGGGTCCCCTGCAGTCAACACCCCATCAAGTTTTCGGATTCGACCCCGAAAACTACCCAAGAAGAAGCCGCGAGGTTTTGCAGCCCTCGGTTTCAATGCGGCATCGCCTGCAGCCCTGTCTAGATCACCTCCTAGTAATAACCTGATGAAGGAAATGAGGGATATTCCTATGGTCCATCCACGGCGAGAAAGCATCAGCTGGGCAGCCAACCAGTTGCACATATCAGGAAGTGAAAATGAAGAAAGAGCTATAGAACCTGGAGATCATTCACCTATCACGCCTGGGAGAGATGGCGTAAGAGGTGTTGTTAAGAGAGTCGTAACGCGGAGAGGTAATCTTCTGGTATGTGCTCTATCCTCCCACTTTCCTGGGTCTTTAAATGAATCGCAACGTACTCATGCACTGGCAGCCAAAAACCAAAGGCTTCGCACGCATCCGTGCCGCCCTCGCGGAAGAAACCGCTCCAATCGATTCTGAGGTCCGTCGAGAAGCGGAGGTAATTCGCCAAGTACGAGAAAGTGACATGGACCTCGAACCTCGGATACCTTCAGGGATACAAAATCTCCCTTTAGAGTCTCCTAACATACCTACAGCGCAGTCGTCGCCCAAGTTTGGGAATACGCAAGAGCCGTTTGATGAGATACCAGATGATGACCTAATGTCCGACTCAGCACTATCTAGCAGTTTCAAACAGCAGGCCATGAAGAATTCCAAAGGCCAGAAATTCTGGGACACGTTTTCAGAGACGGGCAGCATCAACGGAACGAGAGTAACGCCGCCGCCCCCTGTGCTCTTACCGAGGGGTTCTTCTTCTGGCATCAGTGAAGATATTAATATGGATTCACCGTCCATGTCAGCAGGATCTGGAAACACCGGTTTATTCGGACCAGGTACAGGCTTCGTTAGTCATGGCAGCGATAGTCAGAAGTCCGGCACGCCACAGCCAACCGCCTCAGCAACGCCGTCGCAGACGGGCAGTGTCCCACCAACCGCTGCGGAGATCACGCGACGAATCAACAGTAAACGTCGGAGAGAGGATGACTTCGACCCCCATATATTCAAAAGAAGGGCTGTCTCTCCCGGCATGAGTGTACATAACTCGCCAATCATGCAGAGCCCGTTGCAGCGAGATAACATGCCCTGGGGCTCACGGCCGGGGAGCAACCACGGTGGTGACAAGGCTTCTGGTACGCCTAGCGAGAACGGAAGCTCGGGTGGCAGCAACAACAACAACGGAGGCCGACCTATTACTGGAGCAAAGGGACGCGTGGGTTTCCAGGGCATGAGTGACACCAACGATGGTTTGATGCGGATGTCAATCGAATAGGGCTCTGCAATATGGTTATTTTGAAACTAGCTGACCACAGGCGTCTTGATCGAAGCTATTCAACAGCTGCTACGAAACAAAAAACTGGCAGTTTCCCTTATTATTACTGTTATGGGCTTCTGATATGTACCATAGATAGGCGCTATATCACATTCAACGACTTACGACCAATTATAAAACGGCATTGATTTAAGGAAGTATTCAGGTTTCGGTTGGGCACCTGGTATGAAACTAATCTTGTACGAAGCATTAAGGCTTATAGGTTACTATAGCGTACATATAAGCTACGTTACAAATGTGGCTGATACTGCACTGGGTGAATACATGCTATCCAAGCCATCTATATGAAAACATTGGTATAAAGATACAGTAAGTTGCTCGGCTCGACTCGTTCATTATGAGATTTTACTCAGCCTAGTTGATCGCCTCCTACCTATATCCGACGGTGGCGTTGTTTGTTTCCCGCTAGTCTTCGCGTTGTCTTTCTTCCCAGTCACAACTTCACTTACAGAGGTGTTTTCATCATCTTCCTTTTTGATACTCTTCTTCTTCTTAGTATTGTTTGAGCGCGCTTTCTTCGCGGCGGGTGCGTCTGGCTTCTGTTCCTCTTCATCGCCATTCTTTTCTCCGTCGTTGTTGAAATAGCTACTACTTTGCTTGCTGGGCTTTCCCTTCTTGATAGGCTCCGGCTCCTCTTCCTTGACGCCTGCTGTCACACGGCCGGTCTTCTTCTGTCTAGTGGGCACCACGCAACTTGTGCGTCCGCCGACCGTTATGAACATGAGCCGCTCGCCGTTGGGCAACGTCTTGGCGGCGTCTTTCTTGCCCTTGCTCCACCGGTGGTTAAAGAGCCAGTCTTCGGGGAATTGATCTGAATCCCCGAGTTTCTCGACCGCTGTGTCGCAGACGTAGCAGATCGCCTTGTAGAGTTTTGCGATCTCGGAATCGGAGAAGTCGTCGCTGTATTGCTCTGGATGCATCCCTGCTTGATACATGATCTCGTCACCGACCCAATTTCCAATCCCGCTGATCATGGCCTGGTCGAGTAGTAGTGCCTTGATGGGGACGTGCCGTCCTTTCATCTTCTTGCTCAGATAGTCTTCTGTAAAAATCTCACGGTCAACAACGGGGTCAGGCCCGTTTTCGACCAGCGGACTGTTGGACCTGATCTCTGAGCCTGAACAATCTACCAGCCGTACGCGCCCGAACCGTCGCGCATCTGTGAACGCCACGCTTACTCCCGGATCGCCTTCGGTCTCGAGGTGGAATTTCCAGAATTTCGGTGGCCAGGCCTCTTCATCTAAACTGCTCAACTTCTCCGCGTACCGATTATACGCCGTCTGCATGCCGCGAATATGAATCCATCCCGTCATACCCAAATGCATGACCGGATGCGGCGGCGAGTCGAGCTCTAGCCAGAAATATTTCCCCTGATTCCCGGCGCCGACCACGCGTTTTCCTCCCAGCGCGGTCTCGAAAGCGGAACCGGTGGTGCCGACCTTGCCGAATATGTTCTTGTCATCTTGTGCAACGACATGGCTTATCCTCTTCCCGACTAAATGCTGACGGAGGAAGTGTGTCACACGTGCGACTTCATGTATGGAGGCACAGCGTTAGCTCTGTGCTCAGGGTAGGAGGTAAGTATTACGGAAGGAATCACGGAACACCGGATACCTCGAACCGGGCTTCGTCCCGAGTTTAGACGGTGAGAGAATAGTCATGTCATACCTTCTGCGATCTCAGGCATTACTAGCTGCTGCTAGGTATAGAGTTCAGATGGTAACAGACAGGTAGGTAGGTAGGTATGGTGACAAGTTACACTACGGCAGGACGGTGACGATGAAAATGGCAGGAATTGTTACGCAGTGTGACAGCGACAGCAGTGATATCCGGGATGAACCCAATGAAACGGGAGTTCGAGAGTCGAGAATATATCCCAATGAAATAAGCGATGCAGCACCAAGTAAGCAAGACAAGGCCGTGTCATGCCGTGGCGTGTCGCGTCTTTTCTGATCACGTCATCACCTGACCAGGCAAATGGATAGCAATTACGGAGTACATACATACATAGTACTTAAGTATTGCTGTTTTGGTCTAGGTAGTATTTTTACCTTATCTGTTACCTAGCTATGCACTTAATGTATTTCTGTTAACTAGTTAGTGCAAAAGAAAGAGGCGGCTCAAATTTGCCCTGCGGAACCAGGCATTTTGATGGAGGGGTACCGGCGCATCTGATTTCCTGGTTCATGGCGACACCGGTGACGCAGGCTGATATGGTGATCCGGCGTGGAACTGAATGATTTGTCGCAATTTTATAAGCCAATAGGCACCTCAACTCTGTTCGACCTTCTCGATCTTTTTCTTCTTAACTGCAGGGTTTTCATTGTATGTAGGTAATGTCACATTTCCCACAGTGAGCGGTGTGGGATGACTGACCTACGGTATGCTGCGTTCTACGTTCTACAGTACTGCCACAGCATAACCGCCGTACCCAAGATTAGGTGTTTGGTGTGGTTTGTCACCTAAGTACATATGTAGGTATTCTAGATCCGCCATGATCCAGACAGTAAGTACCTATGTACCAATACCTGTACTTGGATACAGGTATCTTATCTGCATGTTCTTGTTTCTCACGTCGGTTATGAGCACGGTCAGAGACCGGTGGAAACCGGAGTGCAGGAGGCGATGGCCTAGCACAGTAGTGTGCAGCAAGCAGTGGCGTTATAGTGCATGGACGACAAGGGAGAAGCTTCCTAGTGCAGCAAGTCTCGTGGCCAGTGACCGTGGCCTGGCTGGTCATCCAACGTCCTCATCAACGGCGGGTTATAACGGGCGGCGGCGGCGGCGGCGCGGCAATTACAGGGTCGCATAAGAGGAAGTAAGCGTGCATATATAGTACAGTATAGTACAGTACAGTCTGGTCTCTGTCCGTCTGTCTCTCTGTCTGCTGTTAAGAGTTTTTCCTTGCCCGTGCCATCCCATCCATCATCCATTGATTGCTACATACCTAAAGCCATTGCCTTCCATTCGTGCTGTCGCCGTGTCGGCTAGTCTAGTGCGTCTAGTTTGTCTCACTTGAAATAAAAAAGAGCCCCGCGGAGGAGGAAGTGGGTCCCCTCACCATTAGCTATTCCACTCAGTCGCTAGCCATTACGGTCCGCCTCTGTTAATCAACCCTGCTTTTTTTTTTTTTTCCTTTCCTCCCCGTCCAACGTCAACTGATAAAGGCTCTTCATCCAACTGCCATGATTCATAGCACGCATTCAACATGATTCTCCTTTAACACACATTTGAATCCAAATCCCCCCGCACCGCTCCCCTCAGGCGGAATCTACCAGTTTCGTCCGTCTTCCCCAGGTTGAACCTCGTACAGCTGTCGAGCTCGGCTTTTCTCTCAGTCACCGCGATCGGAGCAACAGGGATTTCCTCGGTCTTCAGCCAGCCTTAACTCTTCAAGCAATTGGCTGTTCTGTACAAAATTTATCATACCGATACCCTCCCTCAGTCAGTTCCTCCAATTGGCCCGTAGAGCCTTTGGTAGGACGTCATTGTTTCTGCCCTCTTGCCTCTCATCGGGTTGACACTGAAGTTGTCCTCTTGCCCTCTCAACCAGCTAGCGCTACGCTTTGTTGCAGGAAGCCCCATCCAACATGGTTCGAAACATCGTCATTCTTGGCGGGAACTCCCACCCGGTCTTGACCGAGAACATCTGTAATATTCTTGGCTTGCCGGTTAGCAACCGCACGCTGAGCAAATTCTCCGTTGGTGAGACGCGCTGCGAAATCAAAGATTCCGTTCGCGGCAAAGATGTCTTCATCATTCAGTCCGGAGGCGGTTCGGTGAACGACCACCTCATGGAACTCTGCATCAGTACGTGATCTATAACCGACGCCGCGTTGTTATGCGGAGAATTTAGCATTGACCTCCTATCTAGTGATCTCTGCATGCAAGATTGGATCTGCCAAGCGAGTCACTGCAGTTCTTCCTTTGTTTCCCTACTCACGGCAGCCTGACCTCCCCTACAACAAGGCCGGCGCTCCACTGTCGAAACCCCCGATGGAGGTTCCCAAGGACAAGTACACCTTCGAAAGCGTTCCTGCTACGCCGGGTCCTGGCATCCTCAAGACCCCGAGTTTCAACAAGGATACCGACTTGGCGAGAGTTATGAGTAGGACTTCTCTCACTAACGGAAATGGTCAGGGACTGGCGAATGGAACATCTCGTTCTAACGGCGAGAGTTCTACGAGCAGTGACCCGCCTTTGAATATTACACCCCTTCCGGCCCGCCCTGGTCTTACGGCGATGCATACACAGAGCTTCACCACCCATGATTTGCAGAACCCTGCACTCGTAAGCACATTTCAAGCGAAGCCAGGCTACAAGCGGTGGGTTGCACAGGCAGGTACTCTGGTGGCAGATCTCCTCACGTGTGCTGGCGCAGATCAGTATGTATCACCCGGTCTACCTTTACACACGGATTACCATTTGAATTCCTATACCGCAAAGGCTCGTGCAATTTGATATCAAATTCTACAATTCAACATCTCGTAGAGATGGATGACAACTGACGGTGCACTAGCGTGGTTGCGTTGGATCTTCACGACCCCCAGTACCAAGGGTTTTTTGACATCCCCATGGACAACTTGTACGGCCGGCCTTTGCTCCAGCGTTATATTCAACAGAATATCCCGGATTTCAGGGACGCCGTTATTGTGAGTCCGGATGCAGGTGGCGCCAAGCGGGCTACCGCTATCGCCGATAGTCTTGGGATGGACTTTGCCCTCATTCACAAGGTAAGATGGTGACCTACCTTTTGAGTGACGCGAAACTTAATCAACCCCCCAGGAACGACGACCCACGCGCATTACAGACAGACAGAATGCCACCATGATGCTGGTAGGCAATGTTGCCAACCGTGTCTGTATCCTAATCGACGACCTGGTCGATACGGCCAATACCATCACTCGGGCCGCTAAGCTTCTGAGAAAGGAACGCGCAACCGTCGTCTATGCTCTGATTACCCATGGTGTGTTCAGCGGTGATGCGATTCAGCGCATCAATCTTTCAGCTATTGATAAGATTGTGGTGACCAATTCGGTTCCTCAGGACGAACACCGGAAGGCTTGTCAAAAACTAGATGTGTTGGACGTGTCGCCGATCTTTGCCGAGGCTATCCGTCGCATTCACCACGGCGAATCAATCAGCGTCCTATTTCAATACGATTGAAGTATTGGTGGACACCATGTCTATTTAATTTGAATTCGCTGTAACTCGATAGGTGGCTGGCTTTCTACGGTACGCGCCACTATATACTATCGGTACCACACAGGCTGGAGATAAGGCTTTCCGTGGTCTTTTGGCGCCGAGCGGAAAATTTTCGCTTTCTCGGGAAATCGTCGCCGGCGCATGTTTCCCTTTCCTGTTTTGACCTCGTCCTTAATTAAGGTTACCGACATACCTCGTAACAGGGGCTGATATAATATGGTTAGAGGTATGAGAATTTATTAAGGTAAGAGCAAACGTGTGATGCGGTCACCTCCTCGTTCGTGCCTGGAGATGTTGCCTTCATGGCTTCGAGGCATCGTCATGGACGTGCTTGGCTGGGAATGACTCGAACACTGCATATTACAACCTCGAGATATGTCATCTCGGTTGTAGAATGTTTGAGAGGTTTGCTAGACGAGCGTACCTCAATTAGATATATGCACATGCTACACAACCTATTGTGATCTCGATTCCAGTGATGCCTCTAAATCTAAATTCGACCAATCTTTGCTCCCACCGGAGTCGCAGCACATGGACATTGGAAGAATTGAGATGCAGTGAGTATAGAATCTTTTACCACGAATGCAAAAATGAAGGGGGAATTATGTCACTCTGACGAGCGACTCCGTCTGAATATGCAGCCGGCGATCGTCCCGAGGATGAAGGGTGAACATTATCTAGGAGCACCTGGTAACCATACATATTATAAATGCAAAAAAAAAGCTTACTGATGAACAACCGTTTCTACCTATCATCTCCTGGATTGATCTATGTCTTTCTAATGACAATGTACTGTACTATGACCAAGAATAGCCTATGTCAGGAGGCAGGAGATAGTATATAATAAAGCGCGTTTTTTTACGGTTATCCTTAAACTAAGCACACACACACACACACACACACACATATATATATATAGGTATGTGTAGTCTTATGATATAGGTAGTTTAGTAACCCATTCAGTTCTCACCTACTTTTTCATGTACGTAATAATTAATTGAAGTAACCAGGCTTGTTCACAGTTACAGATGGAGGCCCTTCAGCCTGAGGCAGCTAAAGGTAACGCAAACTCCTGCATCGTCATCTGCTAAGTAAGACCCAAGGGCTAGCTCTGCTATTAGCTTACCCCAGTACCCCAGATAACTGGCCAGGATTGGACAAATAGGGTAGGTAAAGATGGCCGGTTCCAGAATTTGCTAAATGGGGAGGATTGACCGACTAGGTACTGCGTTGAAGGGGCCACTGCCAGCCAGAATTCCCGACCGAGCTACCTGGTAGGCAATGCAATCCACCGGCCCAAGAACCTCGGCATGTGCTGACGGTTTCTCGTGACTCTGAGACAAGCCGATTAATGTATGTAAGTAATCAATCACACCCGCCACGACTTCGTCCCTTTTTACCTGGGTAAGCATTTGTCGTAACTTTACAACCTGTCATCACAGCTACAGGTTTTGCCGATTCCCAACACACGCACAACACACACACTCGGTACGTTTCTTCTCGCGCTCCCATTCAAACTAGCGGCTCTGTCTTGCATTAAGCTGACGACATTGCTGCATCTAGTGTACATACTGTATGTGCCTAGACCTAGCAGACCTAGGTTAGCTGCGATAACCGGTCCCTTAACCCGCTACGTTCCCTTGCCGCGATACTGTTCTTTGTGCCACGTACTTAGGCGTCACATCCCATTCCTCGTTTCGCGCCTTCACTTGCAAGACAGACAATCGAAGAAGTGAACAATTGCCGAGCTGGTTGAATATCCTTGCACGTAATTGGTCGGGACGTTCTTCGTACATCAATTAACCCCTCCTCTCAATAGAGACACCCCTCCGGGTTTCGTTGCCCTCGATCAGGACCAGATAAGCCAGAAGGAAAGACGAGGAGAGAAAAGAACGAGAAGAACAGGCAAAGAAGGAAACGTCTTCGCCCAAAATGGTCGCCGACGCTCTCATCTACCACCCCTCGGTGTCGCACTACCTCAAGTTCGTCGCGACGACGGTGGGCCGCGACAAGGTCCTGCGTCTCCTGCAGTACTTCGCGCGGTTCTACTCGTGGTATCTCCTGCGGACGAACGCGACGCGGGCCGAGATCGCGCCCTACGACGCCATCAAGAAGTCGTTCGGGTCGACGCGCAAGCTGCTGCGCGTCGGCAAGAACGTCGAGCACATCAAGGCCGCCGCCGTCGCCTTCGACTCGCTCACCACCAAGAACGCCGGCGGCGACGCCGTCCTCAAGTACCTCGCCCTCGGCCGCCAGATCGGATACGCCGGCTACCTGACCGGCGACGCGCTCACCGTGCCCACCGCGCTGAACATCAAGGCTTGGGACGGCGCGAAGCGTGCTGGTAGGGAGGCGTACCGCTTCTGGGCCATCGGACTGGCTTGCTCCGTTGTCGCGCAGCTGTACACGCTGAATCAGTTACGTCAGCGCGAGGCTAAGGTCGATTTGAAGGAGGGCGAGGGTGTGGTAGAGGCTAAGAAGATTGCGCGGTAAGTTTCTCTTCATTCGTCCTGTCTTCGCGGGCTTCAATCTATCTACGCAGGTCCTATTGAAAACGAGTCTAACATATCTCGAATATCTAGCGAGCGTTATGCCAGCCAACTCCAGCTCATCTCCGATCTGTGCGATCTCACGGTCCCAACCTCGGGTCTTGGCTGGACCAGCTTCGACGACGGCTTTGTCGGTCTCGCCGGTACGGTCAGCAGTTTGATTGGCATCTACAACCAATGGAAGAAGACGGCGTAGATGAGGACCAGCATCTGAGTGGGAGATGAGGAGAGCGCGTTGAGTGAATGAGGAGTGCTAATCTGGGTTACGAGGAGTCTCGAAGGAAGGACCGTGATGCGTTAGTTACATCACGCCGATAAGCAGCTGCGGAATATTTTGATATCCACATATATCGCGGCGAACTAGTAGTCGAAAAGAACACGGCATGCTATTTTCAACAGCGTGCAAGAGCCACTAGGCATTATTTAAACACTCGCTCTGTGCTCTATGAAAGAGGAGGATGAGGTGCGAGCTCAGGACCACAGCAGCGTCGGTTTTAAAAGATGTTACATGTACAAATACCGGGAGAGAGGAGGCGGGAATGGTCGGAAACAGCGAGAGACGGAGTTCCTGTTCCAAGCTATTTATCTATCTATCTATCCAGTCATCAGGCTGTGATGGAGCTATCTCTATGAATTGATAATTTTTCTTTTTTTTGTTTACATGTTCAAAATAGATATCCTTTCAAGTGATAAATAGTCGGGCCCGCCTGGTCTTACCGTGCTATACGGTGCCACCGATGCTGCTAGGTGGCTTTGGATAGGCACAGCATTTCCCCGTGGACAAGTCTAACTTGAACATATGCTTTTGTTTTTCTTCAGTCTTTTACCTAACTAGAGATAGTTGAATAGGTAAGTTAGTAAATACCTAGATATATGCCTTAGTCTAACAGAGAACATCTAAAATGCAGAAGCCAATGCAGCAACGGTAGCAGGGCTAGTCGTAATGCTGTTGTAACCTCCCGAGCAGAAATACACCCAGCCCAGGTCAGTATCCCTCGCCTCCTGAATATACGTCCGCAGCAGCGTCGTATCCGCAGTGCGGCCGTCGGCGGAAGTGCCGACGTAATCGTGCACGATGACGGCAGCCTGGTCGTGGTATCCGGCGTCAGGTGTGTTCGCCACAATGGTCGTCGTGCTCTCGTACACGGGGTAGTTGGGGTCGTTCAGCGCGCTCTCGAAGACGATCACGACGTCGCAGATGGTGTAGAACTCGGTCGCTTTCACTGCGGATCCGAAGTTGCATACTGTCGTGATCTGCTGATTCCCGAAGGCCGTCCGCGCGAATGTGGTGGCTGTGTTGAGATACTCGAAGGAGTTCGTGCTCGACTCGTCGAAGAATATCCCCTGCACCGCGGTGTCACTGCTGCCACTGCCCCAGCTCGCCCACTTCGTGATATTGGACTGTAGTACGTCCATGGACGAGGTGCCGTACTCCGTATGCACGTATCCAATCGTCTGCACGTTGGCGAGTGCGTTCAGCTGCGTCAGCCCTGAGACGTAGTTCACGTCGTCGTTGCCGGGAAGGCCGGTACCGCCGGGCCCGTCAGCGGGGTTCACCACGACGAGCCAGGGAACACTGGAGGTAGCGGCCGCGGCGTCGACCACAGGCTTCCAGTTCGCTGCGCCGTCGTTGTACTCTGCTGATGGATAAACGTAGAGCGGGAGGAGCACGCCTGTTGCGGCGACTGATGAGGCTGCTAGGAGCGCTGACGCGGCTACGCGGAGGAGAGACATCTTTGCGTGAGGTGTGGTCACGGATCGATAGGTGGTGACACTGGTCGTGGACGCGAGATAATAGGCACAGTACTCCGTAAGTCATTTCATGGCAGACAGTCTGGCTTTATACACCACGTTATGAGAAGGACCGCCATCTCAGCATGTGGCGTTCGGCGATGACGAACGCATGAACTTGGCCGTGGGCTGTCGCTATTATTAAAGATAGGCCGAATTCCTCTGTCGCATGATAATCCGGGGTACTAGTCTATCGACTTGGGCACCTGTTCACATACTTACATACTACCTACATAAGGTATGTAGTAATGGTTAGAATACAGTAGTGTACGCATGGCTGATGAAACATTGTTTCATCGTTGTTAGTATGTCCATATTGAGTAGGTGCCGAGATGCCGCCCAGCCAGTGGCTAGCTGGGAGATGTGTCAAAATTGGATAAGACGATCTGGATGAGCAGAGGTGAGATCTCCTACACGGTCAGTACTGCACGGGACAAGTGTCGATCTATTACATGGTACGGAGGCTATCGAAAGCTCTGGGCCCCAAGCCCAACGACTGCCCTTGAGCCTCATCAAACGGGTCTTAAGCCAGAGCTGCCAGAGGTTGCATGTTGAGCATTGCGGTGGATAAGACGTTTATATGGTTCCAGAACAACAGAACAATTCGCTGGATGTAATAGACAGTAATCTCGATCATACTGGTACTTGATCGCTAGGATGATGATGATGATTGGCATCGCTCACCTGTTCAAACAGTAAACATGCGGTTTCATGAATTTATTCGCTTATTCTTTTTCACCAAGGCTTTGTAGTTTAGACTGTGATTCAGCCTGTTGTTGCCATACCAATGCATTAGGTACGCACTTCGGTTCCCAAATCTCCCTCATTCCGCCACGTGTGAGCTAACATACTATCGTGCGGGACGTACAGTCATCAATAACGACTGTACAGTAGATTGATCCCTATTCACGTGTTCGAGAGGGGATGCCGCAGCATCAAAGCCTTCGGTGATGCCGAGCATCCATGGCGGACTCACCACATGCACACTAATTTGCGCTACTCTGCAGCAGTGGTTAGCTTCCTTCACGACGCTGGTTATCCGTAGTTCCACGTGTCGCTCATCTCATAAAGTTACAAGAGCAAGCAATGCTGAATCTTTTTTGGAAGTTGACGACAAGGCGCGAGCTGTCACCTTCAAACAAACTCCTAGTATGCATTCCAGCCCTGGTCAAATCACACACCGAGATGCAGCCAAAACAGCTCGGGTCAGCTGAAGCGGCACACCTCGATGCCATGCCAGTCAGAAGCCGCGTAGCGGCCTGCCCAGAGTTCAGAAAGCTTGTTCTATGCCTGGACACGCTCGGCAGTCTGGCAAGCCACCGGGAGCCGAAGATCGAATGACAACACAGCGCTTCTCGATAATTACGAAGGAAGCTCATGGGTTGGATTCTGCTGTGACCATGAAATTAGATACGGCACGTACCTACCAAATACTATGTAAAATCAATCAGCACGGGGTCAATCGACGGCTTCCCATAGGTCAGCGTGCCCCCAGGACGCGCTTCATACATGTACAAGTAGGTAGAAGTAGGTATGTACATGTAGGTACAGCGTTCCGGAGCTTCGAGAATTGGTCATGGGTCACGAGGGTAGTTATCGGATTGGTATGTATGTCAAATACTACCTACCTAAGCTTGATGCTTCAGATCAAGGCATGTCTCGCCGCTCAAAATCTTATCCAACTATGGCATCCCTAATTTCATCGTCGAGTGCCTCCAACGGGAAGACAGGAAGGTGACTATCTAGTAATTATTTATTCTCAGATAGATACCTAGGAAGACCTGCTGCCTATCTGTACGTAGATGGACTTGTACACATGTAAGTAGGGCCTCTTCCTACTACCTAGGTAAAGATTCAGCTGCAGACAACAACCAACAAAACTATGTAGCGGACTGACAGGCCATGTCCCTGTCACCTCCACATCTTTCCCGGCTGGCGTTGGGATCACTGCATCCCCGTTCTAACCTTGAACGCGCTAGCTTTCGGTTACAAAAGGAAGAAGGCATGCAAGAGAAGAGCAAGACCACGGTGCTTCGAAGTTGCAACTTGCAATACTCCTACGTACGTATGTAGTTAGCTGACGACTACGAAAGTTGGCAATTGCATCGATTGAACTCAACAGTGGGTGATTTGTTCGCATGGTGTAATTGATACCTTTGGATAGCAGGTCCACAGGTACGTAAGTAGGTACCTACAGTGATTTAAATTCCCTATCTACTCGTAGGAGTGATCACAATATCGCACTACTGTAAGTCTAGAGGCACGTAGGTTGAGGTACGAAGTAGGTCTTCCGAGAGACATGGATTTACCATTTACTTATCTCAGGTAAGTTAGACAACTTGCCCAAAGAAGCAGTTGCTTACGCCTTTGGGGAGCTACGTAACTTCAACAGAGCCAGGGGAAACGAGCGATGGGAAAAGAAAGTTTATCTAAGTCCCCTACTTCGTACGTAAATAGATAAGGACGCCAACTTCCTCGCGACGCATGCCTCCCTTCTTTCCAAGTTCCTCTCAGGGACTGTCTCGTGAAGATTCCCAACCTAGGTAGTCATCTTGGGCTCCGCTTGCTTGACCTTCGTTTAGATTGTCGACTCGGCTTTTCTATACCTAATCTTTAATACGTAATTGATTCCTAGCTTCCAAGTAACAAAAGGGAACAGCAGATGATGTCGGGGGACAAGGAGACTGGAGAACAGCAGGTCGCCGCCGATGCGCCTGCGCCTGCGCCTCACAGCCTCGACTCCGAAGCCTCGGCTGGACTGCCGCCCATTGACCAGAAGCCCTTCTCTGAGGCTATCTGGCCCGTCCTAGCTTGCGGCGCAGGTCTCTTTTCCGACGGTTACATCAACAACGTGCGTTCATCCGGCCTCTTAACTCCTCGTCTCCTCCCTTTCGACGGTGCGCCTCTAGTCGGATTGGTCCCGGCCGGCTAATAAGTCATCACTTCCATAGGTCATTGGCTCCGTGAACACTGTCCTCAGCTACCAATATGGCGACCTGTATGACAACTCACAGGCAGCCAAAGTTGTGTCAGCTATCGCATTTGCTGGAACTGTACGTCCTACTCCACCCCACCTACCTACCGCTCACCACTCGATATCCGTAGTTTACGTGAGTCGCCTGGCTTGACTGACCATCGAATCCACATGCAACAGGTCGTTGGCCAACTAGTCTTTGGATATACTGCTGATCGGTGGTCTCGAACGAACTCGCTTCTGATCTCTACGATCATCCTTATCGTCTTCACGGCCCTTGCCGCTGGTTCCTATTACCATGGTGACCCGATTGGCATGTTCAACATCTTAGTAGCATGGCGATTCTTTGTAAGTTACTCGTTACACGCTATTATGATGCGCCTATAAACTAATCCAACATTCAGGTCGGTATTGGCATTGGAGGTAAGAAGAAGCACAACGAAATGTAGCGAAATCTACTAAGACCCTATTTAGGCGAGTATCCTGCCGGCAGTGTAAGCTGCGCCGAGTCAACTGGTGAGCTCAAAGGAGGAACACGGAACAGGTGGTTCATCCTGTTCACCAACTCGACGATTGACTGGGGATTCGTCATTGGAGCATTCGTTCCATATGTTGTGGCCGCTGCGGCTAAGAACAGGTACTTCGGTACTATCTGGCGAACAAGCCTGGGTATCGGTGTTGTCTTTCCGCTTGTCTTGTTCGTGCTACGTTTGAAATTGAAGGAGCCCGAGGAATTCTCTCGAAATTCGATGAAGAATGCCCGCACACCCTATAAACTGGTCCTCAAGTTCTATGGCTTCCGTCTATTCATTGTTAGTCTCATCTGGTTCGTCTACGATGTGAGTCACACCCTTTTCCAGGATTTAGGGTAGCCCATAGGCTTACCTACTTCATAGTTCTCTACCTATGCTTTCGGCTTATATTCTACGCCTATTCTCGCCAACATTTACGGCAGGGCAGATGGTTCGAAGGCTCCTTTGACAACCGTATTCGGATGGAACGTGGTCATCAACTTGTTCTACATTCCTGGAACAATGATTGGAGCTCCTATCAGCGACTGTCTAGGACCCCGCTACACTTTGATTCTCGGTTTCGTTGCCCAGTCGATTGTAGGTTTCATCATGGCCGGAACTTATGCCAAGCTATCCCAGCCCAGCGTCATTGGCGGTTTCGTCGTTGTCTACGGTATATTTTTGAGTCTCGGTGAACTAGGCCCAGGAAACAATATTGGCCTGTTGGCTGCTAAAACTTGCGCGACCGGAGTACGAGGTCAGTACTACGGAATTGCTGCGGCAATTGGCAAAATCGGTGCCTTTGTGGGCGTCTACGTCTTCCCCTATATCTCCGCAGCAGGCGGCAGCTCCGACAACACGGCTTATTACCAATACCCCTTTTTCGTCAGTTCTTCATTGTGCATTTTTGCAGCAGCTCTCGCCTTCTTCTGCTTGCCCAACGTTGGCCAGGATACGATCACTCTCGAAGACGAGAAGTTCCGCGAGTACCTGACCGCCAACGGGTGGGATGTGCGCCAGCTCGGTCTCAAGGCGGGAGAAAGCATCGACACGCTTCCGCAAGAGACAGCAGTGCAACAAAAGGACTAGATTCGGGGTTGTTGATTATTTAGATCTTGAAAGTCTTGCCTATATTTGCGTTGGCTTAGCCCCTTTAGATCCAACAAACGGGTTCCGTGAGAAAGTTCAAATTCTGCGCAATCTGTATCAAGCGTCATGTCATTTTTCATCCCACATTTCGTGATGTTGAGTGGTGATATCCGCCTTCGTACATGAATAAGAAAAAAAAACATAGTTACGATGGAACTAAAAATTGCCTCCTTGGTGCAACTACTTGGGTATACCAACCTGAGCGAAATATCCGCACTTAATAGCGGCTAGCTACTAGTACTGGCACATGAGTGTCTCTCAATTCCAATTTAGCTTGGCATAATGTAGTCACAGTTATTGTATCTCAAGACAACGTCAGCTTGTAAATTGTATATCTACATGTTACCGAAAGCTCATATAGTGCAACACGAACTCTCCAAATACAAGGCAATACCTACCTACGCAGATAGAAGGACACGACAATATACGAAAGTCGGATAACGATATCACGTGCTTCGAAAGAACTCGGAGAGAATGAGTAACTAGCTAGTATATATATATAGATATATCATGACTGTCACATACGAATACAATACATATTTGCAGACTATGCTAAGTCTTCTTGACAATATCTTGATACACTGTCACATTACCTACCCCACTCAGCCAAACTAATCTACTTTCTCCAACGGAAGGTTGCATTCAGACACATTAATTACGTTGGCATGATGTACCTGCATATGCTACTCTATCTGCCGAATATGAAATATATTACCGGAATCGCGTCTCTATGCCACGGTATCTCCTTAAAACGAAAAATTGAGGCGGCTCGCCTACTCCATGTCACTGAAATTGGAATTCAAACACAAACAATATGATTTAACTTCTTTGTTTTATGCGCCGGGGTATGCTATGTAGAAACACTGGTCTAGTTACTGATGATAATAGGAAAATTACAACTCATCGTGGCCATCGAAGTCATCATCGTCTTCTGAGCCACCGGCACCCTGGTACATCTTGGATGTGATGGGGTAGGCGACGCCTGAGAGTTTCTCCTTCTGCTCCTCAAAGTCCTCTGTGGAAGCCGTAGCGGCGTTCTCCTCCAGCCAGTCAGTGGTCTCCTTAATGGCATCGAGAAGCTGTATCGATAATTAGCGACTGGTATATGTTTAGAAAGTGTATTATGGAAAGAACTTACTGTCTCCTTCTCGTCCTCATCGATCTTGCCACCAAGACCGTCCTCGTCGTTGACCTGGTTCTTTAGGTTGAAAGCGTAGTTCTCCAAGCCGTTTCGGGCTTCAATACGCTCACGGGTGGCCTTGTCTTCCTCGGCATACTTCTCAGCCTCGGCAACCATGCGCTCAATCTCATCCTGGGTGAGACGACCCTTGTCATTGGTGATAGTAATTGTCTCAGTCTTGCCCGTTCCCTTGTCCGAGGCCGATACCTTCAGGATGCCGTTGGCGTCAAGCTCAAAGGAGACTTCAATCTGAGGAACACCACGAGGTGCAGGGGGGATGTTGGTCAATTCGAATTTGCCGAGCAGGTTGTTATCCTTGGTCATGGATCGCTCGCCTTCGAAAACTTGGATCAGGACAACGGGTTGGTTGTCGGCGGCAGTGGAGAAGATCTGGCTCTTGCGGGTGGGGATAGCAGTGTTACGAGGGATAAGCTTCGTCATGACACCACCAGTGGTTTCAATGCCCAAAGTCAGGGGGTTCACATCCATAAGAACAACTTCCGTGGTACCCTCCTCGCCAGATAGAACACCAGCCTGAACAGCGGCACCAAAGGCAACGGCCTCATCGGGGTTAATACCCTTGCTAGCCTGCTTACCGCCGAAGAACTCCTCAAGAAGTTCCTGGACCTTGGGAATACGGGTTGAACCACCGACCAGAACAATGTCGTCAACCTGATCCTTAGTCATCTTGGCGTCGTCAAGAACCTGCTTCACGGGCTTCAGAGTTCGCTTGAAGAGATCGATGTTGAGTTCTTCGAACTTGGCTCGGGTCAAGGTCTCGGTGAAGTCTTTGCCCTCAAAGAAGGACTCGATCTCAATACGAGCGGTCTTCTGGGAAGAGAGGGTTCTCTTGGCCTTTTCGGCCTCACGCTTGAGTTTGCCCATGGCCTTGGCGTCCTTGGTGATGTCGACAGAGTTCTTCTTGTTGTAGTTCTTGGCCCAGAAGTTGATGATTCTCTGATCGAAATCTTCACCACCAAGATGGGTGTCACCAGCGGTAGCAAGCACTTCGAAAACACCCTCATCGATAGATAGAAGGGAGACATCGAAAGTACCACCACCAAGATCATACACAATAATGTGACGCTCACCATCGGTCTTGTCTAGACCGTAGGCAATAGCGGCGGCGGTAGGTTCGTTGACAATACGCAGAACGTTAAGGCCAGCGATAATACCGGCGTCCTTAGTGGCCTGTCTCTGGTTGTCGTTGAAGTAGGCAGGGACAGTAACGACGGCGTGGGTGACCTTCTTACCGAGATACGACTCAGCGACCTCCTTCATCTTGCCGAGGATAACGGCAGAGATCTCTTCAGGTGTGAACTTTTTGGGCGAGCCGTGGACATCGACTTGAACCACAGGCTTGCCATCCTTCTCGAGGACCTTGTAAGGGAAGTGCTTGAGGTCAGCCTGGAGGGTCTTCTCGTTCCACTTGCGGCCGATGAATCGCCTGTTAGAAATGATTAGCGAAAACAGTCGTGGATAAATAAAGATGTGTGTGTGCTCGTGCCGCACGCGATATGCCTGCGGGGGACACCACGCTCATCTTGGAGTTTGATAGCGACTTACTTGACGTCATAAATGGTGTTAAGGGGGTTGTTGGCGGCTTGTTGTTTAGCGGCATCTCCGACTAATCGTTCGTCTTCGGTAAAGGCGACATATGAGGGTGTGATACGGTTTCCTTGGTCGTTGACAAGAATTTCAACTTTGCCCTTTTGCATTACACCAACGCAAGAGTATGTAGTTCCCAAATCCTAGACGAAGAAGAAGATGTCAGCAAAAAAGCCTGCGGCGTTGTTGAACTTATGAAGGGAAAGACGTGGAGGTGCTGGCGGTGTGATCTCGACTTACGATACCAATGACCGTGCCGAAGTCCTCCACATCCTGGGCTTGGGCGCCGGAAACGAAGGCAAGTGGGCTGAAGAGGAGAAGACTCCAGGCGATCATGCCGATGGCAATCGCCCAGTAGCTCTGGGATCGTCGAGCCATGGTGAATGGACGACTGGACCACAAGAACGACGATATTATCACAGAAAAAGAACAACGGGTATCAGTTAATTATGTAACAGAGCAAAGAATATAGTAGAGAATCCAGAGCCAAAGCGCCGAAACCTCTCTATTGCCTCTCGTCTAGAAGGTGAGGGCGGATTGGGTTGGTTGAATTGGGTTGGGGTGGAAGAGAGAAATAAATGGTCTGCAGAGGAAATAGAAAGGCTGGAAGGGATTTCCCTTATATGGCCGATGCAGGTAGAAGAAGCCAGAATTGCAAGTGGACAAGTTGCAAAAAAGACACATCTTCAATATCGACATAAAAGTGGGCCCGCCACCAACAGCAAACGATGGCATTGGGTCTCTGGCCAGTGCCGGGCCAGTACTAAGCCAGGACCTCCCCCACCGCCTACCGCCCAGGTAGATACCGCCAGCCCTGCCTACGAAGTACAGCGCTCCAGCAGCGCTCCGGCAGCGCTCCTTCATTCGGTAGTGGGGGACCTTGTACTATACAAGCGATACAAATAGGTATATAGGTCACTGTGGGACATACCTACAGTAAGTAGAGCGCCTACCTAGGTACTTAAAGCCGCCAGCCAGGGTTCGGTGGGGTTACTGGGTCATGCGTCGAGAGAATGGGCAGGCAGCCTTGTACCCCTTGTTACCCCATCCTGCCATGACTGGTGGCGAGTCAAACAGGACAACATGGCCTTAAAGTGCCACCTGGAGGCGGTAAAGAACCCACAAAGGTCCCAAGGCGGTACAAGTAGTACAAGGCACGGCGAGCGTCTACTTAGGTACGAACTTATGTATGTATCTAGATACATAAGTATGTAGATAGGTAGTTTAACAGTTGGGTGGGGGCTGCATGAACCAGATTCATGTATTTCCTTGGGTACCTACATTGGACAAAGTGTCCCAGAATAATGCCAGCTTTCAACAAGTTGGAGCGTTGGTGCTCTGCTGGTCAGTTAGTCATTTACTGAATTCTACACGCTGGCCTGTCTCACATGCGTAGACTCCACGTGGTTTCTCTGTCCTCTCAAGACATCCATCTGCAGTAACATGATCCCAACTTCGGCGGTCTTGATCAAGGAGCCCCAATTGCTGTTGGATATACTTATATAATATCACATTATCACTGATGGCGAGATTCTACAAAAAATACTTATACCATATGTAATATCCCACCCGAAACATCTTCAAGGGGGAAGAAATAATAGCACTAAATGGGATCTGGGATATTGCGTATAGATAGATATATATAGGTAGGTAGGTAATCTATCTCCGGTTTGTTTTCTCCGAATCCCTCCCTCCGACAGTATTGTGCGGGGATCCCTGCTACATGAAATTCTAATTAATGGGCAACGGGAGTACCTAGACTCATCTCCCATCTACCATAGTTACATATATAAAAACTATTGTCTCGATTATCTTCTCTCTTATTGCTGGAGTTTAGATTTTTCACACAACATTCGTCCTAGTTCCTAGATATGCTGAGACGAAGGTAGTTACTACGGCTCATAGGATCACAAGGTCGCTCATTGATCATTCCGGCACATGGAGATGAGCCACTAATGTAAGCATGCAAACGCAACCAAGGATCAGAACGACAAGACCTGTCTACAAGACAGACTTGCAGAAACATGGGTCTGCCAGGACGCATTGCTGAAAAAGGGACACGGAGCCTACACAGGATGCATCCAAGTCAATGGACCCCCACTCACAATGCTGCCTGGCATCCTATCCCTCAACAAGTTGTAAGGTAAAACCTAGTATCACGATCTGGGATGGGACTGCAGAGTTGTGTGCAGGGCAACTACGCTTGTAAATTATATACCAAGTACTCTTGTGGAAAATGTTGAACAACAATGTCTATCTGGCCTATTCCAAAAGGCCGGCTGCAATAGTTTCGCCTCCACTTCTCAAAACCACCCGCTGACCAACTTCTAACGGCACCTTATTATTCATCTTTACCACGATCCTCGCCACACTCGCCGGCTTGATGATTTTGGGCTTCTTCTTTAGCACCGTTCCCTTCACCTTGTCCAAAAGAGCAGGCATCTCGGCAATTTGACCCGCAGCATGTAGACGACCCCTATGCACGTCCACTTGCATTGGCATTAATATGTCAAATGCGAGTACCTTGACGGTGAAGGTATCAATGCAGGCGATGGGCTCTTTAAGATCGCACACAATGTCGCCCACGCGCACATGGATCGGGTCGATGTTACTGAGATGAATCACCACGTTCTGTCCAGCAACAGCCCAGTCAACCGGCTCCGAGTCTAGTTCTAGAGATTTCACATAGGCTTTCTCTCCGCTCGGTTGAATGAGGAGGGCATCACCAGCTTGCAATGATCCGGCGTCAATGCGCCCCGATACTGTAAGCGGACTTTGTGATGAGCGAAACACCTCTGATATAGTCATCCTCAATGGTTTAGTCAATGCTCTCGTCATGGGCTCCGAACCCTCCAACTCTTCAATAAGAGTATTTCCGCCGTACCAATTTGCAGAGGGGTCGGATGACTTGTTGACCAGGTTGTCGCCATTGAGACCAGACACGGGCACGTAGCTAACATTTTTGAGCTGGAATCCGGTAGCAGAGAGGAAACCGGAAACCTGCTGTGATATTTCATCAAATCTCTCTTGTGACCAGGCAACAGTGTCAAGCTTGTTGATGGCAACAATAATGCGTGAGACGCCCATACTGCGGAGGAGGAGGGAGTGCTCTCTAGTTTGCCCTTTAAGGCCAGCCTCGAAGGCACCTGTCGTCGCGTCGACCACCAATATGGCGAAGTCCGCTTGGCTGGCTCCGGCTATCATATTAGGGATGAAATCTCGATGACCTGGGGCGTCTAATATGGTGAAAGATGTGGAATCCGTGTCAAACTTGTTTGTAGCAATATCAATCGTAACGCCACGGGACCTCTCTTCGGAGCGTTGATCCAACACCCACGCAAGCGCGAACGATGATTTCCCGATGCTCTCGGCTTCCTTTCGATACCTTTGAATAGTTCTCTGGTCTACCACACCCAAGTCGAGTAGTAGTCGACCCATAAGGGTACTTTTCCCAGCATCCACATGGCCTGTATTGTTAATATGTTTCAGTAATCAGACGCTAAGTTAATAACCATTTGAACACGTACCAACCACGACGAAACTGGCGTTTTTCTTCTTCTTTGTTCGCTCAAACTCACTGAGAACGTCTAGGTTTTTGCTTTTCGGTAAGGGGGTGTCGTCAACTTTCATGGCCTTGAGCCCATCTATCGTACTTTCTTCTCTTCCTTCGGACCCGGCCTTCTTCTTATTTATGGTTGCCGCTAGTTTTTTATTACTCGCTAGTTCCGAATCTATTAGTATAGTCATGCGTATACCTATTTCGCTAAAAGCGAACCTTTGGATTGTGCTGTGAGGACCACGTCATCGGGACTTGGTTCTGAGAAAGCATCAGCTACTGAAGACGTAAAGCTCATGTACGGTATCGGATATTGATTCCTCGGCACAGGTGAAGCCCAGCTTATAGAGGACCCTAGCAAAGTTTGAGCAAAAGTCGAGGGAGCGGCCAGTATTGAAGGGTCAGAACGCGACTCTGTCGAGATTGAAAGATTCGATATAGCCTCTGTGGAAGTAAAATCTGGTTGTTCGACTGATCCATCAAGAGCGGTCCCGTTTTGTGACTTTGTCAGGGTTGGAGAGGCATTCGCATCTTCCCCGCTGCCCAGTTTTGACGTTTTATTCACCGAAGAGGGCTGGATCAGTTTGTTTGCCAGGTCCGGAGCTGCCTCGTTTGTTGGTATTTCTATCTTTTGATTCTCCAACTTTCGATTTTCGGCCTTTTTTTTGCGGGCTGCTGCGAGCGCTTGAAGTTTGGAAATCTTTCCCGAAGAGCTGGATCCTCCCAGCAGACCCCCAGGTGGCTGAGGCGGTTCGATGAAGACGGTGCGCCGATTATCGGGAATACCCAGCCATGGCATATCATGGAAGAAATGGGCCAAAGGAAGTTGCGGCCTGCGTTCTAGATGCCTATCATCTGTGCGCATCAACGTTAGAGAACGATTGGCCCGAAGTCTTGTCGATCTCGAACCCACCATCGAGCCCTCCTGGAATTACGGTGTAGTCTTGCCCAAAAGCTTCTGCGTGTTGCCTGTTGATGCCTGTGCCGAAGATATCCGTATGAAAACTTAGGGACTTACCTCCAGGCTTGTTCCCCTTCTGGACTGATGATTTGGCGGGTTTTGGTGAGATATACTTGCTCACTAGGTAAGTAATGGATTTGTCGACATCGTAATAGTAGTGCCATAAGGCTTCTTCAATCTGCTGTGTCGTGACCTTGGAGGAATCGCTCCCCAATGCCGCACGAATCTGAGCTGCACCAGCGGTCATCTGGGCTACGCAGCGTGTCAGTTACGGCGTTGAGGGTGAACAGGGTAGGGATATGGTGGTGGCCTGGGGTGATCCCACCTCGATCCTCGGGATCCAACTCATACTCGTCATCTGAGTAGGCTGCACCCTCGTATTCGTCGAGGTCGTTTTCGTAGTCGTAATTCCGATATGCTTGATGCCGTGACATGGCTGCGGTAAGTGAGTCACGCACGTGACGTAGTGCCTGTAGCGTAATTGCAGTTTCTCTCTATTGAACACTTGGATTATGCCGTGAGGGAATGAGCTTCCTCCTTATTCAGATTCTAAATGGTACGAGCAGCGAAGGTGTACAAGAAGAAAAGAAAGGTACAGAGCGAGAGAGAAATTCCTATATCTACTACCTCTACGTGGCCATTCTGGTGGAGGAAACAAGTAGGTAAGGAAGGTTGCTGCGACCAACTTAAAAGGAGGGGCACTGAGGGGCGGAGACTTATGTCTCACCTTATTGCCTTTACTTACATACTTAAGTAGTATGTAGGTGGATTACATAATGCGGCTCCATTGATTTAAGTACCTAGTGATTGCACTAACGAGCTCGGGATGACGCAGAGATTGAAATTAGTACATGTGTAACATGTGGTATTCTATAGCCCTACAGTAGGAGTAGAACTCTGCGTAAATCACAATCAATATTCCTTGTATCAAAATTGACATAAATGCGTTCGTGATGCACGGCACGCTTTGTCGTGCAAATCCTTCCGAGTATGTAATTGAGCATTTAATATTGGCGACAGTACTCTCCCAATCCTGATTCATGACACATCACCATGTACAATAAAGCCACCTGATGTAATTCTCATCTGCCTACTTTAGGCATCCGGGGAACGCACCTAATCAACATTTAGAGATTTGGGTAGTGTCCTAGAATCCCCGCTTTCATGGCGTACCTATCGTGACAGTTCCCGAAACCATAACTTACAATGGAAGAAAGCAACGGTTCTAAAAAAGGATTAGTGGAGATATTTGCACCCCCTATAGATCAATCAAGCTTTCTTCTACGGTAGGCTGTTGAGGTGTATGGTGCGGAGCCGATGGAAAAGGGTCTTGATTAAACCCTGTATAACCAGGTATGCTTGTCTGATAAGCATGGCTAAACTGAGCAGCAGGCTGCTGCTGCTGCTGCTGCTGTTGTTGTTGTTGCTGTTGCCAATAACTATGAGAACTAGGCTGAGCTACCTGTTGATATTGTTGAGGTTGCTGAGGTGGTTGGGAGGGTGGCTGAGCTGGCTGTATACTAACGGAGGCAGGCGTCGGAGGGACGGATTGCCTGTTGAAGTTCGATGTTTGATGCAAGTTGGGGTAAGGCGACTGTGTGGTCTCCAAAGATGTGGTTGGTGTGCGCCCGTCAGCCGGTAACGTGTTGTAATAGTATGCTGCAGTGGAGTCCGCTGATGTTGTCGCTGCTGATTCACGAGTTTGATTATGTGGTGTTTGAGGTGAGGGTTGGGGCAATTGGTTAGACTGTGCGGGTGTAGATGTATGTTCTGGTGGGATAAAGTTTGGCTGGGTGGGATATTGCATGGGAGCTGATGGTGCCTGTTTGTGATAGCTTTCATTGCGTTGCATTGTATGTGGCGGATATTGAGTGGTAGAGGGCATAGAAACTGATGAGCGTTTGTCATAGTTCGCGTATTGTGGCTGTGGTTGTTGCGTATAATCCTGAGCTGAGGCTTGGTGGCCAAAGTTCTGGGTCTGTTCACCGGTATAGAAAGTCTCTGCTCCTGCCGCAGGGCCACCAGGGGTAGGACCAGGGCCCACGGCCGGGTAAGGGTTGGGCGCCTTTCTTAAGCTAGGAGCGTTGTAGCCACCAAGACTGTGTTGGCTATAAGCCTTGGAGAGGCGCTCCTCTAGCATCCTGTCATAATACCGCACGACGGTTGAGAGCTTGGAGTGAAGATCTAATAATGTGTCTGCGTTGAATGTATTAGCAGCGGCAAGATAGAATTGCAAGCATTAATACCAACCATGTTTGCTCATTGTTTCTCCGTAAGTTCGCGCAAGTTTAGGTCTTAGTGTCCCAATCGAGTCATAAAGTTCTTGTATCTGAGGCTCCCTTAGAATGGTACCTGGGGGTTGTGTCTGTAATCTATCCACTAGAGTTGCAAATAAGTTGATATTTTCCGCTTCTACCGGACTGAGTTCGTAGTCGTTTTTGGGGAGGGTGAAATTTGTGGCCGTAACACTATTTGAACTGTTTGTTTGTTGTTTCAGGGCAGCGGCATGTCGCTGTTTCTGTTCTTCCATGTCAGCCAGCGATGCAGCTATGGCGGCCTTCAGATCCTCATCCTCTTGCTCAGCTTCCGCGGACGATGTCGGCGCTTTGGTGCTGGACTGGAAAGCTGATGGTTTATTGTCGGTAGGGGGTACGTATCCCCGCGAATGAGTCTGAACCTCCTCAAGACTCATTGCAAGTGCCTTTTTTAGATCCTCGTCAAATGCATCATCGACTCGAGCGTTCCGTGGCTGCATAGTTGATGTGCTCCGGTTCTTATGAGGGAAGGATGAGGCCGTAGGGGAAACAATGTCTACCGGAGGAGCTCCTTTGGTGGACCTATCCGTCAGCCTAGCATAACAGCCATCATCGACTCGAACAGCTTGCATGATCCCCAAGTGAGGCAACGCAAGAGTTTTAGCGGAACACTGTTGGTCAAAACAATTTCCACAGTTACGACAATGGTGTTTGCGGTTGGTGAAGGTAAACGGGGTCCGACATCGCATACACACGTCAGAATCAGTCCATTCAGGGGGCTATATTTAAAAAGTAAGCTTTATCGACCGAAAAGGGGCACGGCGACGGCAAGACGCACGGCGCTACTGTCAATCATACTGCTCGACACAGTTACTTTAGGAGGGAATTGGTAGCCTTCCTTCTGCAACGATCGATAGACTTCATTGATGTATTGTAAATCGAAGCGGCCCTCAGTTGCGGCGGCCCACGATTGAATTAACTCTAGCATCTTGGTTCGGACGTCTTGGTTCACGGCCGCGGGACCAACAGCATGGAGGAGAGAGACAAGATTGTCCATGAATTCCCGGGATGCAATCTCGACAAGGAAGTGTGAGCCACCATTCTTAACACACGTGTCGGTTAGCTGTAGAGGAGTCAGCAAGGCGATGCAGATTATGTCGAGAACATGGGAGTGAAGCCCGTACATTCAAGGCGCTAAGCTGAGTATTGGGGTTCTTGTTGCCTATGCGACGCTTGAGCGAGCGCATGGCTTCCTTCGGCTGCACTGTCTTTGAACGTATGACATCAGATATTTCAAGGTTGAGAGGGATATCTTCACTGCAAGAAGCAAGCAGATTAGCAGGTATGCGGAATTTATCAGATGTCGGTGGAAACCCATACAGGCTACTGCCGGTCGCCTTGTCAATCTGCTCGTCCAGGGCGCTGTTGGCCGAGGACGACCACCAACCTCCCATCATCGTGTAGATGGTTGCCACGAATCGCGCGACGCACAAGCTAGGTTTGAACTATGATGCGTATCAAAGTCGATCGGGCTGAGTTCTCGGGAGCCTCGCTGCTGTGATATTGGCGGAATAGTCTGCGCAGCGATGGATGACGAATGTGAACATTGGACATTGGTTAGGGGTCGGGAGGTTGCGGTATGGTGGAAGCAAGCTCCCAGACATTAAGAGGTAGCCTGTTGATGTAACTTAAGTGGAGTCTTCTGTATGCCCGACGTATTGTGGGTACCTACCCGCTGGCCTCTACTAGCCACCTACCGTAATACTTATGTAGGTACCTACCTAGGTAGGCACTTACCGCCATGTGCTAGGCACCCAACTAAGTATTGGCAAGGCTCCACTGGCGTTGAGCACTTAGTACAGGCGGGATGGTATAATCTTGGATAGTGGACCTATTGAAACATTACCTAGAGGCTTACGTCGACAGGCTCCTCTGGACCTTAATAAAGTACCTAGGTAGGTACCAATTATCTGGGTAGTGGCAATGGATGGAAAGTAGAAAATTAATAACGTTGGTACCTACCTACCCATGAATTGCCTGAATTGCTCCTACCTAGGTAGTGTTGAAGCTATCCCCAGGGTTTCTTCCACTCCAGAGGCTATGGGAAGCAGTGTTGCCGCGGTTAGAATTAAGGCATATTCGCATTTGATTGCATCTTAGGAGGACTGACCAAAGAACATTGTTATATCGTTGGAGAAAAAGAGCTTCTGGGCCCAGTAAGTGAGTGTTATAGTCATTTATCATGTGCAAGTATCTTACAAGTAAATAGTATGTGTTTATGTACCTAGTAGTAGACGCCCGAGGACGCCCCACCTAAAGCTTAACTAAGCAACTGAACTTCACCCAGCATTACTTCCAAGCCTGTCTGTCTGTCTTACACCCAATCCAATCCGTCCAGATAGCTAGTTAGTACTAGAATCCATCAATGAATTATGCAACTTACCTAGAATCAATACCATCTTCTTACCTCAACTGGCTCTATACCTGTTCAGATGCTTCTTAACACATTCAATATTGACCGCCAGGTCGTCATATTTGTTCTTTATATACCCCTTCGAATTCACTGTTAGAGCAACAGCCTATAATTGCCTTTGTCACCCACCTTTCTTTGAGACCACTTCCGTTCGCGCCCTGGGCTCTCTCGTCCGGCCGTTCACAGTCGCGAACTTGTCCTGAAAGAATGCCCTCTCATTCCAGCGTCCGTCCCCGGAACAATAACGGTACATAAGCTTCTCTGCTTCTCTATACACCGGCGCCTATCCCCTTGTGCCCATACTATCCGCATCGGTATTCTGAACCATTACTCTCTAGATTTGGATCAAGCTGCTGCTTGGATTGTTAGCCCCTCTTTCTCCCCCTCTCTTCTTTCCGAACCGAGTCTCGAGTTATGAAACACGCTTCAGACTTAATTCCGATATGAGTCCTGTCGCATATTCGGGGCCCGTCGTCACCCCTAGCAACGGCACGACTATGTCGAATAACCGCGGCCATGCGATCGACCCAGCTGGAAAGGGGCCAACTGGGGGAGTGGCTTATGGTAGAAACTCGGGTTCGGGCAAAGCACCTTTTCGCCACATAGACGACATTGTGTCAGTAAGCGTTGATCTTGATCCTCATACAACCTTGCGGAAGGTTCTCGAGGCTGGCGATGCCCACATGCGACAAGCTATTACCTACAAGGATTTTGGCCGGCCAGATTTCGCACTTCAAGAGTATATCAAAGCGTTTACCATCGCCGTGGATAAAGTGCCTAAGCACAAGGATTATCCTTCTCTCAAGTCGGATCGTGGAGACCTGGGCCGTTTATATCATGCTCTCAAGGTTAAGATTACCAATAATGGGGTTGCATACGATAGGATCAAAGAAGACATCAAAGAAGATAACCGGAGAAGCGGTGTACTTCCTACAAAATCTGTTGTCAAGTCGTTGGATAATCTGCTTCCGGACCTGCCTAGCGTACCATCCAAACCACCATCGCAGCACTCAGTCAGCAATCCCGATACGCCACACAATGTGTCCACGAGTACCTATGCTACGCGATCTGATCATTCGTCGCATGACATCGCTAGTTCAGGGCGCAAGGCAAAGCCTACCGTGCATCCAAAACCCCAGGCGCTACATGGTAATTCGATTAAATCGGTGCCTGACAATGCTTCACCTGATCTGGTAGCTCGTTTTGCGAAACTCCGTGATCCTCAAGACTCCAGAAACAATTTTTCCTCTCCGCCACTGGCGAAACCCAATGGTCCTAGAGACCTTCCTCTCACTCACCGGCCCCCCCTTTCAGTGCGCAGTGCTTTGCCAGCTATGCCTAAAGTCCCCGATGCCGTCTATAGTCCTGCTAGAGGCACTGTAACAAGCGAGGCTGCTAATCTACCTTCAAGCACGCCCCGTGGCATGTTTAGTCGGACGAACTCACTCGCGTCAGTTCCTAGTACGTCTTCCCGGACCTCTATGGAGAACATTTTCAGGACTTTCAATGGAGAGCAATTCATCACTGCCCATACATACGGAGAACCCCAAACAGCTTCAAAGAGTAGTCTACAAATATCTGACGGAGAACTCATAACGGTCCAGGAATTGTTACGGTATATGCGAGATGGGAGTACGAGCATTAAAACTCTCATCATTGATGTCCGTGATCGTCAATTATTTGACGAGGGCCATATTTTCTCGCAAAACACAATTTGCCTTGACCCTACTATCCTTTCACGTCCGGGTATTTCGGCCAGCGATATAGTCGACAGCATGATTCTTGCTCCCTCGAATGAAAAGTCGGCGCTTGAGCGGCGTGATGAGTTTGATTTGATTGTCTTTTACGACCAGGATTCTAAATCTATACCTCAAAGGATCACACGTAACGCAGAAGAGGCTGTTGTATTCAACATTCAGCACGCCCTAGTCCATTATGGCTATCCTAAGCAGCTGAAGCATACTCCAAAACTCCTTGTCGGAGGGTTAGATGCGTGGATCGATGCAATGGGCAAGCAGTCCTTGCAGACGTCAGATACACAGTCAATTCGCCGACATGTGACCTCTACATCTGCTAGTGCGCGTCGGCGACTAAGAAACAGAACGTTGAAACCAGAAGAAGTAAACACATTCGAGGACATCATTCGACATGATGAGGATGGAGACTTTGACTATGCTAAATCTCAAGAGGACTTTATGCGAAGATTTCCAAGCATAAGGGAGCCAGAGTCTATGATATCTGGTGAGAAAGATGGGGTTTCAGTTCGAAGCATGGGCTCTGCAGGTGAAGAATTCTTGAAAGATATGAGTCCTACACCACCTGTTCGTCCGAAGCCCGCCGTTGCTAGAACAAGGTACAGTGGGCTTGAACCTGCAGAAGAACACGCACCTGGGGCTCTTGCCATGATGGTGAACCCTTCGTCCATTCCGAACGCTGCTAAACCCACGGGATTGGTCAATCCAGGTAATTGGTGTTATGCTAATGCATCTATACAAGCACTTCTGGTGTCTCGGGGCTTTATAGACGAGTTTTTAGATCCTCAATGGCCTACGAAGTATCGTCCGGATGTTCCAGTCACCGACCCCTCTTATAACCAGTTAATGTGCAAAATTCTCGGCAATCTATTCCAATGGTTGAGCCAGAAAAGTTTTGTCACCATGAAAGCTTCAACCCTCATGGTATGTTTCATAAAGCCCTACTTGAATGTCCAGTTGCTTACTGAAAATAGCATTATTTGAGGACCATCCATACGGGTTATAGCTTGAATGGAAGAGAATTTAGGTTTGGGGATACTCATCAGCACGATTCAGACGAATTCATTACCTTTATGTTTGGTCAACTTGAAGCCGAGACTCGTTTCAAGATGTCAAAGAACATTCTACCACAGCTAGATACCACTCAGCCCGTAGGATTCATTGTAGACCGATGGGGAAATCGTCCCAACAATACTCTCATGAGCCGGCATTGGTATTTATTGGAGCTTCACACCTTCGCCTGCAACAACTGCCAGGCACGGAACTACATTGTCGAGGAAGCAGAGAGATACCAGTTTCCGGTCCCACAGGCTGAGAAGGTTTCACTGGCAGATTCTGTCCAAGAGCACTTCGCAGAAATCCAGGTCGACTCAGAGTGTGACGCGTGCAAGTCGAGAGGCAAAACCCTCCGAAAGCAACTTGTGCGCCAGCCTCCGTTGCTGCGCGTGGGGCTGCAAAGGACCAACCAGGCCGGCTCGATCAAGACGCACACGCCAGTGGAATTTCCTTTCCACAATTTTGACCTTGAGCCCTATGCTATTGATGGTGAGTCGAGATCACAAATCGCCAACTTGCTGGGTGGCGACGCAGCTGAGGGATTTGTTCGCGATACGGTCTATTCTCTGTATGCTGTGGTCAGCCACTCCGGGTCAAATCTAAACTCAGGCCATTATATCTCTTATGTCAAATCCGACAAGGGCACATGGACACAATGTAATGACACCAGAATCACGACGGGCATATCCGCCGCGAATGCTGAAAAATCGCTTCATAATTGCGAAAATCGTTTCACGCCAACACAACTATACTACAAGCGGGTGCCAAGGTAGGGAGCGCTCGGTTGACTTCCCAATCCTCTATTCGGGACACTAGGGCATGAAAGCGTGCTACGGGGAAACACAGGAACACTGGAGTCGCCACGAGAGGGTGCGATACTCAAATGGGAGGCATTGCAACGAGGCGTTAGGGCGCTGAGGGTCTTTACCTAGACGATGACATGGGGCATTTGGAGACATTAGTTATCCTGTTATATTGCATGCAACGGGTATAGAGATATATCTATGTGTGATATAACCCATCTCGACAACAAGCGTTCGGTGATTTTTTACGGGAAATAAAGTACATTCATCCTGGGCCGTGAAGGATTTGGCATTCCACAGTCTGCATTGAAATACCAATATGAAGTGTTGTGTCATCTGATGGCCTCCTATACTGGTACTGGTCTTAAGATACCGAGTGACACGTGCTATTGTGAGGTTTATCCATAGGAGAAGGAGACCAGAGCTAGGGAAAGTAGGGGGGGAAAGGGAGCAGAAATGATGTCCAGCGAAGTGGAGACCAATGACGACGGTTGTAGGCAGGCTTCACTCCCGCCTTAAAAACATCAGTACTACAAGGTCTGCTAGTGAAGCGAGTCTTTTCCAATCTGATGCATCCTTGTTAGTATGAATAGATTGATTCCCTGCGGCACAATTTAGACCATTTCGCGGCAATTAATGAAGCTGTACGAGTCACAGGAATACCGTAAGTAGAACCGAGGTACATGTTTGCGTTTTGGAACTCGCGTACAGGGAAAATGCATGGAGTGCTATGCAGGTACTTACCTAGGCCCGAGAATCTGTAAACATGGGCAACGGCTCGCTAACCTTCGGTATCTACCCTGGCTCGCCCGAGCAGTACCCTCCCTGCCGGTTCGGCTGGCCTGCCCTGGGCAGACCTGGGCCTACAGCAAACTCGGCTTGCACTAAATCTCCGATGCCACCGTTTATGTCATAGCACACGACACGACCCATACAGTAGCAGCGTAGTTATTATATGATTCAAGTACTCCGGCGCTCCCTCACGAGTCCCCGTCTGGCTCTCTGCTTTTGTATCCTATTACCCATACTCTCCAGCGTGATAACGAACCATATCCTCAGCTCGACGACCCCGGCCATGGCTCTTGCGACGCAGAAGGAGGGTGTTCTACCCTTGCACATGGTGCAAAAACCTCCCTTCATGGTCCAAGACACAAACGCTCCCGAAATCGAGGGCGAGTCCAGGCCGTACCGGCATTTCAAGGCTCAAAACGGCCTCATTACCCGCCCTTCTCCCGACATAGCTACTGTCTATGACCTGTTTACGACGACTGCGAAGAGATATGGCGACAAGGCCGCAATCGGCTCTCGTTCCTTAGTGAAGACACATGTCGAGAAGAAGAAGGTGTCCAAGGTGGTTGATGGCGTTACGTCCGAGGTCGAGAAGAAATGGACTTACTTCGAGCTATCTCCTTACAAGTTCCTCACATACAAGGAGTATGAGGCGCGCGCGCTGAACGTCGGTGCCGGCCTCAGAAAGCTAGGCTTAGAACCCGGCGACAGGATACATATCTTCGCCTCGACAAGGTAGACTCCTCTTGAAGTCCTCCCTCACTATCCACCTCCTACTTGCTGACGTGATGCACAGCGCAAACTGGCTTTCTCTGTCGCATGGATGCTCTTCGCAGTCCATCACTATCGCTACCGCCTACGATACGCTTGGCCCAGATGCTGTGGAGTATTCACTCACACAGACTGAGGCCAAGGCTATGTACACCGATCCTCATCTCTTTAAGACGGCCAGCCGTCCCCTCAAGAATGCAAAGGAAGTTAAATATCTCATTTACAATGACTCTACTAACATGCCCATATCGGACGAGGAATTGGCTGAATTTAAGGCGTCGCACCCTGAGTTGACTATTCTATCGTTTTCCGATCTGGTCGCTCTCGGTGCCGAACACCCCGTGCCCGCTGTCCCACCTAAGGCAACAGATCTATGTTGTATCATGTATACTAGTGGCTCCTCTGGTACTCCTAAAGGTGTACCCATCACGCACGAAGGCTTGGTTGCTGGTATCACAGGCCTATATGAAGTTATTGCCGAGACGATTTCTTCTAAGGAGGTTGTTCTCGCTTACCTTCCGCTTGCACACATCTTAGAGATGGCAGTGGAGAACCTTGTTATCTTCATAGGAGGAACTCTGGGATATGGATCTCCTCGTACCTTGGCTGATACCTCGATGCGAAACTGCGCTGGAGACATGCGCGAACTTGCACCCACAGTCATGATCGGTGTACCGCAAATCTGGGAGACGATCAGGAAAGGGATTGAGGGCCGAGTGAACTCCGGCAATATGTTGACGAGAAATCTTTTCTGGGGCGCCTACAACTTAAAATCACTTCTTGTCTCGAGTGGCTTACCGGGTGGATACATCCTTGATGCATTGGTCTTCAATAAGGTTCGATTACTTACGGGAGGCCGCGTGCGTTTTCTCTTCAATGGCGGTAGCGGCATCTCTGAGGGCACCCTGCAATTCATGAGCAGTAAGTCGTCCTGATATCATGCAATGCCCCCCACGACAGAAGATAGACCTTGTAGTTTTCGCATGCCCCTGAGTTAATGGCCAAGGGTTCGCCTTTGTGACCAATGCTGACTGCAACGTATGAATAGTGGTGTTGGCACCTATGGTCACTGGCTATGGTTTGACTGAGACATGCGCAAACGGCGTAAGTACATTTTGGAATCGCCTAATACAATCATTACTGACCTTGGTGCTTTTAGTCTTTAGGATGCCCGCTGCAATGGACGTCTAACGCCATCGGCCCAGTGCCACCCTCAATAGAGCTCAAGCTCGTTAGTCTTCCCGACCTCGGCTATAGCACATCTTCAAATCCACCTCAAGGTGAAATCCTTTTGCGTGGCGCAGCCGTGGCCAAAGAGTACTTCAAGAACCCCGAAGAGACGGAGAAGGCGTACACACCAGACGGGTGGTTCCGAACAGGTGATATTGGCGAAGTTGATTCGTTCGGCCACGTCAAGATTGTGGATCGCGTCAAGAACCTAGTCAAGCTGCAAGGCGGTGAATATATCGCGTTAGAAAAACTCGAGGCCATCTACCGTGGCAGCAAATATGTTAACAACCTTATGATCCACGGCGACAGCTCGCAACCGCGCCCAATCGCCATCATCACACCAAATGAGAAGCCACTCGCAGAATTGGCTCAAAGCCTGAGTGTCGACCATGGCAACATGCACCACGACAAGAAGGTGCAGGAAGCGGTACACAAGGATCTGATAGCAGTAGCAAAGAAGGCTGGCCTCAACTCGCTCGAGATGGTGAGCGGCGTTGTGATTGTCGAAGAAGAGTGGACACCGGCAAGCGTAAGCGACCCTCCTGCTCACAAGACGATGATATAAAGCACTAACATTGAACTAGGGCCTTGTCACGGCGACGCAGAAGGTCAACAGGAGAGGCTTGAGAGATCATTACAAGTCAGAAATCATGAAATGCATGAAGGCGCAGTCTTCGTAAGATGGAGTAACACAGCGTGGCTTTGATATTACTTGAACGGCGAGTTTGGGGCCATGCGATCATGTCTCCTGAAGTTGTATAATGTGGGTGATATAATTCCATTGTAACTTGATTCCCCTTTAGTTTGAGAATTAGGTAGATACCAAAGACATAGAGAAGCGCAGGACAATAGAGGTCAGCATCAGCATGTATGCATACATACATAAAATAGACAGCTATATTTACTTAGCTATCTAGTACCTACCTACATAGAGGTATATAGGTAGGTACTGACTTACCTGATATACATGGAATATAATATCTATGGGAGAAACTGTCAGCGACATCTTGCCTGAGGCTTCAAGCACTTCGTACCGCCAATACATAGGTACATACATACATAGGTAGGCATCAGGTCACAAGTTAGGTAAGAATGTAGATGTTACCCAGGCACTAATGTAACAGAAACACCAAATTTGGTGGGGCATCGATATTACCTCTGATTACCTAGCTAAGTACCTAGGTACAGTCTGCTACAGCTAAATCGTAGTAGGTAGCTACTGGGGGGTCAGTGATTCGTCCAATTAGAGAGCTAGAATGGCAACAGCGATGGATAGTGGGGTCTCGATAGATTTTAAGAATTGGGGGAAGAGATTCCACAATCCACACTGCCCACCAAGCAAAGGCACGACAAGGCAAGGCAAGGCGGGAAGAACTACCGCGCCAGACTCCAGCAATACGAATCTTCTTTTCATCTTGGAGCTTCTTTATGACAGCCATACAGCTGTACATTGCCTAGACTACCTACCCTCACCACCAAGTTAGGCTCGAAAGAGCTGCAACTGTCGGCAATATGGCCATGAGTACGCACTTCCTGCCCCGCGCCTCTGGCTTTTGGCTTTTGGTTTTTGGCTTTCTGGTTAATGTCTGCTAACAATCTATGGCCTCCACAGATCTGGACTTATCAAATGGTATGCCTGATGTGAAAACTCCATGATCGTCATTACAACCGCTGACCGGAATCTATCATAGCCGCCGTCATGAAAGACGAGCAGGGCCGGCCGTTCATCGTCGTTAGAGAGTATGTCAAACACCCACGCAAACCCAAGACTTCAGAGGGAGCTATACCGACGAGTATACTACAGACTCTAACACTTGAGACTTAGTCAGGGCAAGAAGAAGCGTCAGTTTGGCAACGAGGCTGTGAAATCGCATATCCTTGCCGCCCGGACCGTCGCCAACATCGTGAAGACCTCTCTCGGGCCCCGCGGCCTCGACAAGATCCTTATATCCCCCGACGGCGACATCACTGTCACGAACGATGGTGCTACTATTCTACAGCAGATGGAGATCTCAAACCATGTCGCTAAGCTTCTGGTCGAGCTCTCCAAATCACAAGATGACGAGATTGGTGATGGGACAACCGGCGTCGTCGTCCTAGCCGGTGCGCTGCTGGAGCAGGCTGCTGAGCTCATAGACAAGGGAATCCACCCCATACGGATAGCAGATGGTTATGACCAGGCCTGTGATATTGCCGTAGCCGAACTCGACCGTATATCAGACACTATCGAGTTTAGCAAGTCAAACACAGAAAATCTAGTCAAGGTCGCCCGCACAAGTTTAGGAAGCAAGATAGTTTCTAAAGCGCACGATCAGTTCGCCAACATCGCCGTCGACGCCGTCCTCTCGGTGGCCGACCTCGAGCGTAAAGATGTCGACTTTGAATTGATAAAGGTAGATGGAAAAGTGGGCGGCGCATTAGAAGACACCATTCTCGTCAAGGGTGTTATTGTGGACAAGGACTTCTCACATCCCCAAATGCCCTCGGAAGTTCGTGATGCCAAGATCGCCATTCTCACATGCGCTTTCGAGCCTCCGAAACCGAAGACGAAGCATAAGCTAGACATTGCGTCGGTCGAGGAGTACAAGAAATTGCAGAGTTATGAACGAGAAAAATTTATCGAGATGATTCAACAGATCAAGGATGCTGGTGCCAACCTGGCTATCTGCCAGTGGGGTTTCGATGACGAAGCAAACCATCTGCTACTTCAGAACGAGCTGCCTGCAGTCAGGTGGGTTGGCGGCCCCGAGATCGAGCTGATTGCTATTGCTACGAACGGCAGGATAGTACCGAGGTTCGAGGATCTAAAGCCAGAGAAGCTAGGAAGTGCGGGCATTGTCCGAGAGATGACTTTCGGCACTACTAGAGAAAAGATGCTTGTGATCGAAGAGTGCGCCAACACTAGGGCAGTCACGGTCTTTGTCAGGGGCAGCAATAAAATGGTAAGTTTTTTTTTTTTTTTTTTTTTGAGTTTTTTTGCTTAATCAGCCAAGCTGGTAATAAAAGTCATAGCGGTTCGTGATACTAACTATACCTAGATTATTGATGAAGCCCGCCGCTCACTACACGACGCCCTTTGTGTAGTCCGCAATCTCGTGCGTGACAATCGCGTCGTATACGGTGGTGGCGCTGCAGAAATCGCCTGCTCCCTAGCCGTCGAGGACGCAGCTGTTCAAACACCGGGTCTCGAACAGTATGCCATGCGGGCTTTCGCCGAGGCGCTCGACGCTGTGCCCATGGCGCTAGCGGAGAACAGCGGTCTCAACCCCATCGCCACTCTAGCTGAGGTCAAGTCCCAGCAAGTACATGCCGGCCCTGAGGGTCGCGGCAAGCTAGGCGTCGACTGCATGAGCAAGGGCTCCAACAACATGAAGGATGCCTTCGTCATCGACCCCCTTATTGGCAAGAAGCAGCAGCTCATGCTTGCCACCCAGCTCTGCCGCATGGTCTTGAAGGTCAACAACGTCATTATCAGCGGCTCAGGTGACCAAGATTACTAGATGGTGTTAAAGTGTCTTAACAGGCCTATCCGCACTTGTCATCCTGCGCTACTTTTCTAAGAACCAAGGCACGCGTTATAGAGGATACCATGGGAAATGATGAGAAAGGGCAATGCAAGCACCTTGCTGTGTTGTTCTAAATGTAATCATTCGGTAAACATTGAACGTATGGTTGAACTTGACATACATACCAGGTAGATAGGGGCTCAAAGGCAGTCAAGGCAGATAACATAATCTCAAGTGATAATCTTGGCAACACTTTCTCAGCCAAAGCTCTATGACCCCTGCGCGATATATGACTTAAGCAGTGTATACAACGTAATAACCGATGGGCTATTTGTTATACGATGATAGCACTCGTTGACAATACCTATTCGAATTGTACCAAAGTAGGTATAAAAATGTAAATGAGCATTTACTTTCGTTGTTTTGATCTAGCGCTTCACGTCTTCTTATACGAAAATACTTGTGTTATTTCCCCTTTCCCAACCGTAAGGAAAGGCAGGTAACCCGTGGATTGTATTGCACGCTAACCATTTCACAGATAACCAAATACTAGACCAACAAAAGGTACGAGAAAGATTGTTGCCCTCGTAGTAGCAGTAGAAGGGGAAAGAGGGCAAGGTGAAGCCTCCGCGCCATACCCCAGCCTTGTATTCAACTCCCCCCAAAAAGACACTTTCCATAGCCAATAATACGGTTTCCTTCTATTGTATGTCTGTTAAATCCCAATTTGAATGCCTTCGATGATTGAAGACCTAACCTTCTTTCTCTTGGGTGTTTACGCGAATCCGAAACCTTCTGCATTTTCTACCGCCATCGACAGTCTTTCCCGTAGTACTTCCTTGTCGCGGTATTCAGGGAGGAGGAGATGGCCATAACACGTATATGCTGTAGGTAGGCGAGCTGCCACACCGTCTTCCTCGCCATTCTTTTGGATGACGAATTGTATGTTGGCCGCTCCACCTACGGGGAGACGGTCGCTAGACGTCACGAACTCGAGTAGCTTACGGCGCATCCGGCTATCGAATTTCTTAACCACGGACCAGAAATCGCGTATTGTACGATGGTTCGCATCCCAGCCCGAGTAGCGCGCAACCCGGCGAAGTTCAGAAATATCGATTTCTTGTGTGCCTTCCACAATAGACTGTAGAAGTGATGGGGTCAATAGTGTAAGGGATTTGGCATGCAAACAGGTACGAAATCCGCGAGCGAAAGCTTCGTATTGCGGCGCTACTGACACATCTGTTAAATACCGGATGTAGTCGCTCACATATGCGCTACGGTTGTCTCCTGTCACAGGTGGTGCGTCTGTCGGGTTGTCTGCTGAGAGCGGCTCTGCGTTAGGGTGCACCGAAGGCTGAGGCCATGTTTCCCGCCGTGACGGGTCCATTTGACGATTGACGGGTTGACCAAGGATCGTGGTAGAGAATTCATACGTCAGAACGAAGACATCTTCCACGGCACCATCATTTTCGTTCCACTCTAGCAGTTTCGTGAGGCCGTTTGCATGTTCAGGCCAGCCATCAGCAATATGGTGAAGTTCCGTAACAGGCTCGCCTAAGAGTTTGTGATAAAGAGCCTTAGGGAACGTAACAGGCAGTGTCAAGCCATTATACACAGCCAGCGATACAAGGAGACCGATTAGCTCGAATTTCCATTCAGGCTGTAATGAGCCCGGCTGGAACCACGTCATTCTAGTCCGGTCGTCAATTGTAAAGGCTCCATAATCCGGATGTAAAGCTTCGGCCATGGCTAGACGAAAGAACTCTTGTTGTACACCACCATAGTCATATCCTTCCTCTCCATTATCCTCGCCGAGGTGGATTTTCAGGGGCCGCATAAGCTCTCGCTCCTCTCGTCGCCAAAGCTGGTCAAAGGCATCTGTCAGGATATCATCGCGCCGTATGTTCAGGATGAGAAACTTTGATGCTGGGGTCCTTAAAAGATCTTCGAGCGCATTCCTCTGATGGGCATCAGTGACTAAGCTACCTGGCTCCGTAATCATCCTGATCCGAAGCTGCAATGAAGTAGCTTCTTCATAAGAGTGGCTCATAATTGAAAAGTTGATAGCGCGGAAATACGTCACTAAGGATGCCGACTTAAACATGAATGGATAGTCTAGGAGATGGGCCTTTTGTCTAGTAGAGGTAAAGGAGAGCCAGGAAACTGGCATATCGACCGAATCGAGCCGGTCCCCAAAGAATTCAAAGCGGAAGTGAGCTTCTCCTAAGAGGAGAGCTTGACGCTTGCGATCTATCGAGGCAAACTAGTCAGTACAGTTCTAATTAAATTGAGCTTATGAACTTACACATGGCGGTTATAAGAGTGAGAGCACCGCCAAAAGGACCATCCCCGGGAACGTCAGGCTTGCCTGTCCATTCTTGGATCATGACTGTTCTTGCCCAGTCGAGAAGCAATATTGGAATCCGCTTCTCATGGACACTCCGCTCAGACTTAGAAAAGCGAATCGATGATTGCATAGATGGCTCGATATGGGATAACAACATCTCCAAGACATCAGGCTCCTTAGCGCTTTCCAGTAAGTGCAGATCCAACTCCATGAGTTCATCGAAGTAGCGTCTAGTGAGAATCGCCATCAGGAGCCTCCTTGCCAGCCTCAAAGCTAGGTCATCATTGAATGCATCTTCGTATTGAAGGGACAACAAAGAACGCTGTTCAGCGACACCCCCATTGCCAGTTAGTAATAACCCGCGAGACCGGATTCGTGACATGTCGAGAAGTTGTCGAGAGTCCTTCACTAAGGGCGCTGCGGCAATCAGGGCATGGAAACATATTGACATGAGAGACGCTGTTTCAGCATTGGAAAATGACTTCTGTGAAGTGGCAAACACTTTTGCTGTAGAAGATCGAGAAGTCTGTAAGGATTTCGGGGGTGCAAAAAGACTGGTCATAGCAACCCACAAACTGTCGAAAACGAGATGGGGAGCTGCTCTTGTTAAGCGCAACATACAGTACCATACCATTTGTGAGTCAATAGCACCGTCGTGACTGGCAAAGGACTCAAGCAAAGCCTGCGGGTCGCTTAGAACGTTGAAGATACTCTGCTCAGCAAAAAGCTTCCACTCGTACTTGAGTACTTGCGGGTAGGGAAGATGAGCCTTTCGTTGTCTTTTCCATATTTTGCGTCGACCTGTACAGTGTCGAAGTGAGTCATCAATAAATGACGGTTCCAACATATGTCGTTCTGTTGTAGAATCATCCTGCAAGACATCGCAAAGAAAGTTGACGGCTTCGGGGTTAAGTCGTGATAGCGACTGAGGAAGATAACTATCTAGCTCAGATGCGGGCTCAAGTAAAACGCCATTCCAAGAATCGTCGCTCTCTATTGATATTGACCTAGTGTCTACTCCGCTGCTAGGCGTGTCCTCAGACCCGTCAATTTGTGCCACGCCATCGTCTAGCCCATACTCGCGGTCGGCCTGTGTTGACGATCGACCATCAGCATTGCTATCTGATGAATCTTCACTACGTGGTTGGGACGTGGAGCGACGAGTTGAAGATCGAACGGCATTTTTGGAAATCTTGTCGGGAAATTTTGCCTCATCCGCGGAGTCCATTATAGGCTCTACCACTACTTTAGATGGCTGAGAGCCAGAAGACGTACGAATCTTCGTGTTTGACCTTTTCCTCGGCTGGGGCGACCGAGCAACCGTTTCGTTTGGTAGTCTCTCTAAAGGAGTACTAGCTTGTTGTTCAATCGTATTCGGCATTGTATTTATTCCAGGGCGACGTCCACTATAGGCATTGACCCTCATCTCAGTGAGAACCTCACCGCGCGAGTTGTCGCGCAGTGTTATGCCGTGTCCGACAGAGTGCTCACTGGGATCTTCAGATGCGGAACTTCCCTGGGAATTGATGCTTGGTTTGACCGAATTGCGGGACGCTTCCATTTGATCTGACAGCGCTTCCATGTTGTTTGGTGCTAGCCACTCGAGCATTTTGAACGCGACAGTGCCAAAGACAGCGGCAGCAAATGAACGGTAATCTTTCTTCCCAACCGGCTTCTCAGTGATTTTCATGGGTATAGAGTTATTGCCAGCAGGACTTGACACATTTCGCGCCACCTTGAAACTTGAATGCAAATCATCGTTTGTACTCTTATTCAAGGACGCTTGTCGAATTGGTGAAGAACCCAGGTCGATTCCGTTTTTGTGGGGTGACAAACGTGCTTTAACTCTTTCTTTCGTTGAAGGTTGCTTTGGAGCAAGAAGGAGTGGTACTATGGCGTCGGATGGTCTGGATGGCTGTTGGACGTAAGGGCACAATCGACTTTCGGGGTTGTCCTGGCCAGCAAGATAGACAGCGAGAGTTCTTGCGCTATTGGGATTATATCGACGGATGGGAGACTTTCCGGCGGCCTTCTTTCGGTAAGTGAAGCACGTTGTAGTTGAGCAGCAGCTATTACCACACCCATAGCGCAGTTGAGCAACAAAGCTGGGCCGAGCGTTAGCCTCGCAAGGAGACTGGGAAAGGATTGGGTCAACGGGGGGCGGCTACACATACCGGTCAATGAGGAGTTGAAGATGATGGCGGCGAGAAGCACGGTGTATTGTATAAACTCGCTTGGGATTCTCGATATTGCCGACTAGTTCTCTTATCTCGGGTGGCGCGTCGAGGGGAAGTTTGGGGAAGGGGGCATTTTCCCAAAGGGCGGCAAGGATGTCATCCTCGAGGATGCTGCAGCGACGACCATTATGGACGGGGCGACTTGCTTCTATCGTCATGACATGCGGCGCGAAAGGAAATCCCGGCTCGTTTGCCGTCCCGCAACGAGGTACCGGGTATCGAGTTAAGGAGAGAGGGTTGGCACAGGCGACAATCAAGTACAGTGCAATAAGGCTGGGCAAGAACAGGGTGACGGGTTGGAGTCGTTAGATTGCGATAGCCTACAGTCGTAGGCAGTGAGCGGCAATGTGCCGCCGCTAAGGAGAGAGGTAAGGGAGCGTTTGAAGTAGGAAGTGTAAATGAAAATGCAGGGCAAAAAGAATCTACAAGAACGTGGAAGGATGAATGCGCTCCTGAGATTACTGGTAAAGGAACAGCATCAATGGGGAGACATATGTATGTATGTATGTAGGTATGTAATAAGAACGAGGCGAGAAGTTGGAAGTCGGAGAATGATAACTCATCAGAGCCTGGTATTGCTTTCCCAATCTATCTACCTGGTACACTACAAGTACTGTAAGTATGGATGGAACAGTTAGGTACGTACACTTCGTGGAGAGTGAGGTATCTCTCCCCCTCCCAATCACCCACTCCTTAGGAGCCATGTCCTGGCCGGTACTTGTACGTGTAAGGTATAATATGTACTGTACTACATATGGGCTGGGTACATGCATGCATACATGCTAGGTAGGTAGTGCGGGAGAGTGGCTTATGGACAGTGTAAATCTGACGGCAGCCCCGGCAGCATCTAGAATCGCATCTCCCATGATACTAGGCTAGAGGGTCTCTGGCAAGGTACCCCCCCATTAGGGGCGTTTAGCGCTCCCATTACATCCTGATCATGGGCGGAGGTAGAGTACTTTTTTCAGAGCATTGAAAGCGTCAACTTTTTTTGGTCTTATCGAGCTCATGACCCTGTCGGCGAACTGCGCATCTACCTGTATGTATGAAATGCATGTTTTTAAGCTTAGCTCTCGATATCCCGCGTCGAAAACCACGGTTGAAGTCATGTAGTATTATTGTATTAGGGAGTCTACCCGTCTACCTACCCCTATTCAGACCCTATTGGTGGGAGGTAGGGAAAAAGTGATGATTGATGTGTAACTTCAACTGTTTGGAGAAAGCCGTAAGTAATATATCGGTAGACTAGAGACATGACTCGACTGTCTCAGCGGTACAGTACTTACCCACTGTAGGACAACCAAACGTGAACAAACATTACATTACATCTGTTTGAGCATGGCGTTGGGCTGCTGGAGTTCATCCCAATGCGCTCTCTTCTACATAGTATTTTACACGGCTTGCTGCGCCTTAGTGCGAAGTAACACCCCCTCTATCATCTGCCTCCAATAGAGAGAGGCAAAGAAGCGAAAGGCCGGAGAGAGAGGACGAAAACAACAACAACAACAACAAAAACCCAAACACGGTCAGGATTGGCAGGTCCAGCCTGCTGCCATATCGGTACACACACATATATACCTACTGTATGAAGTACTCCGTACAGTCCTCACATATCAATCTCCAACTGACAGAGGCCGGGTCGAGGTATTTTTACGGTGTCGCATGCCAAGCTTCAGCCCTGACAGACAGGATCCTCGGAAGTGCCCATCTGACGTACAGCAAGCAGCAGCAGGGCCGTATCGACGCTACCTACGCACAGATTAGGTACACAGTAACCTATATGCCAAGTTTGCTAAGTAATGTACTGAAGGGTTTGAGATATTTTCCCCGTCAGGCTGTCATATTTCGACGCCAACATCTACCAAATTAAAGCAAAAACGGCGCGGGCTCCGAGCGGGTTCACAGCTACCTATCGCAGCGATCGTGCACGATTAGTGACCAGGTACCTACCTATGTAGATAGGTACTGTATCTGTAGGTATCGCTTTGTACTTACTATTAGGAGGTATGTATGTAATAATACTTCCAAGTCCAGACAAGTTGGGATCGTATCACATGCTGAGCCAGGGTACAAGTACAGTAGAAGTACAGTAGAAGAGCCAGGGCTTCTTGTCACGGCTCCTACGGCCCCAGAACTAAACTACTTACCAAAACGACACCAGGGAAAGTCACCGAGACCTACTCGCCCCACTGAAGGGCACCAATTCCTCCGGATTAATCATTCAGATTCCACTATTCAATTCCATCCCACTTCTTCGCCTTCGACCCCTCCATCAAAGAAAAAAATACCTACCCACCATCACCTACATACACTTACTTACCTTACCTACTACCCTATTATCTGAACCAAGAGAAAAAAACCCTCGTGATAAAACGGTGGCGCATTTATAACGCACCTGGGTGTCGCATCCACTTTCTCGCTCCCCTTCCTACCTGTCAACCAAGACAAAAGGGCCCGGGCTTTGCACACGAGGTTTGCACATCCAGACAAACACCATCGTCATCGCCCTGCCAATTATCGCTATACCCTCCCTTGACTTGAGAGATTGTAAATTGAGCGGGCTACGGTTTATCACTCTTCGCAGCATCCAACTGCTGTTGGCTTGCATCCTATACTTCCAAGTCACATCAACTTGACCCTGTCATATTAGCTTCCTACAACACAAAGTCGCTCACATCCGCTTGTTGACCCGTGAAAACATGGCCACCATAGCAAGCAATCGGCCCGCAAGCACCGCCTTTCCGGCCCAGCAAGATGTCGCTCCATCCTCTCACCAATACACCTGTAACACATGTCAAGTAGCCTTCCGATATGCCGACACTCAGAAGGGCCACATGAAGAGCGATTGGCAGTATGTAGCCCTCCCGTCCGTTTAGTGTATATCCCGGCGCATTGCGCTAACAGCTTGCTCTCTCTATAGTCGATACAACCTCAAGCGTCGTGTTGCTTCGCTGCCCCCAATTTCATCCGAGGTTTTCACCGAAAAGGTTATACAAGCACGCGCTGCCACCGCCGCCGAGGCCGATCGTGCCGGCTTCCAACAGCTATGTGAAGTCTGTCAGCGAACGTATTATAGTGAAAACTCGTACCGAAACCACATCAGTAGCCAAAAGCACAAAGCGAAGGAAGCAGCTCTTGCTAAACGAGGAGCCACGATCGACGATGCCAGCTCTGTTATGAGCTCTACCTTCTCACTTGGCAACCCGATATCGGTGCCATCTGAAGGGGTGGACTCTGACGCTGAAGTTGAGTTCAGCGAAGTTGTTGAAGGCCTACAGAAGACCAGTCTGAAGGAGCGCCCCTCGCCCGTCAAGCGACCCTCGAACCCCGCCCCTTCCGACTCTGAAGGTCAGGAAGAACACGCTGCATCAGAACTACCCAACGACACTACTTCCAGAACTGAAACACCTGTTCCGGCTACTACATTGAAAAGCTGTCTGTTCTGTAACTATGACTCTCCCACTATTCCTCTCAACGTCGTTCACATGGAGCGTATACATGGCATGTTCATTCCAGAGAAGCAATACCTAGTCGATTTAGATGGCTTGATCACCTCTTTGCAGCAACGCATCCGGGAGTATCATGAGTGTCTGTATTGTGGGAAGATGAAAAATACTGTCCCTGCCGTGCAAACACATATGCGCGACAAGGGCCACTGTATGATTCCTTTTACCACGGAAGAGGAGCAACTCATGATTGGTGAATTCTACGATTTTAGAAGTACTTATTCGGATGAAGAGGATTCGGAGGACGAGTCCGTCGACGATGACAAACCTAATGGAGGTGCTAAACTCGGAGCTAAGCGGCCGTCAAAGGCGGTTGGGGAGAACGGTGACGAGATTATAGAAGAGGAAGAGGGTTGGGAAACTGACAGCTCAGCTTCATCATGTGATTCGGAAGATCTCCAGTCGATTCCTGTCGATAACTCTTATCGACAATTCGAGCGGCTTGATAAACATCCCCATCATTCATCTCACGACCCTCGGCATCATCACCAAAAGGACGGTTGGCATTCCCATGCTCACAAGCATCGGGCTATCTTCTATGATGATGCTGAGTTGCATTTACCTTCCGGTCGTGCTGTTGGACACCGGTCTCTAGCTAAGTATTATCGCCAAAATCTGCATCACTACCCTACGCCAGAAGAACGTGCCGAAAAGTTGGCAATTGAAGCTGCAAAATCTTCAGACATTGAAGAATCTACCAACGGAAACAGACAAGTTTCTCGTCGGCAAGATCATGGCAAATTTGGAGCCGTAGTTACACGAGCAAACGGTGGTCGCGGTATGACAGGAGTAAGCGAACAAAAGAAGAAGGAAGTACAGCGTGCAGTTCCGCGCAGTGTTCGTCAGCAGCAGATGAGAGAGAATCGCAACACCTGGCTTCTGAACAGAAGAAACAACCACCAAGAGCATTATAACTACCAGATATTGTGATCTGGTTCAGCATGGCAAGTTGTGGTGGAGGGTTGGGCTCGCATATCTGGCGTTTATGGGAAAAGAGTAACGACAAGTTTCTGCGCGGTGATTCATACATGGCTTCCTCAATAAATCAACATTGCATCTAGACTACGCCTCTATCCACATAGCACTGTGTTTAAGACGTGCTCAAATTTAGAATGCATCACCGATATTCTCCGCGAGAACATTGATGAATTAGAGTAGCCACTTTAAATAGATATACATTATAACGGTGATATGGCGAAACAATATCTATCTGCAAACGGATTACGGATACAGCTAGTAAGGACAGACGTCACATTGATGTTTGCACCTTGGTGAAGGCGAAGATCATAATATACTCTCAGTTAAATTGACGTTGGTTTTGCTATTGATATCGGGTTGTCTCTTTTTACGAGTCCAAGTTTCTAAGTATGGCGGTAGATGTACATGTCCATAGAGAATGGTATGAATTATCTAGGTAGCTGATTTCATCTTCTATTACTATGTATGTCATCTTAAGGTATTAGAGTGCTACAATCTGTTTCTTTACTATATAGATACTTGTATTTGCGTGCCAATGAGTTGCGACATCAAAGAAGTGATGCCAAGAACCCCTGATCCCTGCATCGTTTACAACCCCTTCTTCAGACTTGATTCGTTGCTGAAAGAGCCAAGCATCAACGGCTTAGGTAGCTAGGTAAATAATTAGTGCACTGAGAATATATAGCTTCATTCATATTCACCGAAAATCAGTCACGGCAGAAAAGTAACCATGAGTTTAGAAGATGTTTATTCAGTGGCTGTAATTAAGAATATTCCCGGCCCTATGCCAAAAACCTCGTCTCGTATCCCGGGGCCGCCTAGCTAAGTAGTTAGACAGAACCACATGACCCAACCCAATGCATGTGATTCCGTCCCTGAATCAAAATAGCTGCGGCCCCCTCGCCTCAATCAATAAATTGATACTTCCGCATCCGCCACACAATATAATCATTCTCGTTACCAGAATTAACGGTCGTTGTCCGAACCGTCTCAAACGTAATTCTGAGTAAACTCCCCCTTGAATACAGGCCCGTTCCTTTCTGTCCTTGAAAAAACCCTTGAATTTTCTCCATTTTATTCCGGGTTTGAGTTGAATAAGGAGGTTCAAGGTAAAAAAACAAGAAACAGAGCACCGCTGTCTCCCTTTTGAGTCCGCCAGCTAGGATCTCAAACCACAGTCTTGTTGATTCTTCAGTTACAGGTCCTTTCGTGGCGCTCCTCCTCGATTCGCATTTCGATAATTGGATAATGATATAGTCGCAAAAGAATGTCCCTGATTATGTCCTCTCCTCCCACCCCTTTTTGGGGTTTTCCATTAGAAGAATCTTTTTAATAAAAAAGATTTTTGTGACTTTTCTTTCGTTGTCCATCTTTTTTTGTCGCTTTATGTTTTTCTGCCGACTTGTGATCTGCTGTTGTCGTTGAGTAGACGATGGGGTACAAATGGGCTGTGTTAAACGTTGTTGATATAAACAAATCCGAATCGGGTGGTCCTAGCAGCAGCAACGCAGCGACAATTGTCCTTGAGGTACGGGCAAAGGAAATCGTGCGCGTAAAACTGATCGATGCTGTTAAGTATATAGTAGAACCACAAAATCTTTATTCCAAAAAGTCTTTTTTGAAAGTGTCGTTTGCCGATAGCGATTTGATGAACACAGGGGTTGGGTTGTTGTATTGGCCGATGGTCGTGTACTCAGTCCAACAGTCAAACATTTCCGGAAGCCCCTAGCCATCGGAGGCCTTGTTTTTGACTGTTGGACTGGCCCTTTCATATAATATTGTGCATTGCGAAGTCATGACTTTCTTGCAAACCTTTCTGCTAGAAAGTTTTCCGTTGGATAGTTTTATTAAGTAGGTATAAGAAATCGAAAAATTTCTGTGGGCGTCGCGAGTTCGATGGTAGATATATTTCATTTTCAAATGGTCAAAAATCGAATATAGCACCTCGTCCATGTATACCTTCATCATTTTAATGCAGTATCTGTCGGGTTTGGCGTCTTTGTCGTCGTCGTTGTCGTAGTCGTCGTCCTCCTCCAGCAGCCCAGGAGGTTCCATTGACTTGTCCTTGGGCGTAATGAAACCGCCTCGCCCATCTATATCGCTTCGTGAATCATTGTTATCTTTTGCGGCGCCATCCTGTGGGTTGTTTTCTGGCGAGTCGCGTTTCTCTTCAATCTCCAGACTCAGACCCAGAGGTGAGCGAACAGTACCCACAATGCCACTGTCCGTTTTATCCTGCCTAGAACGTCTGGCACGTTTTGTTTGTCGACGACGTGGTGGAGATTTCTCTCTAGGAAGTATATGTTGTGGGCAGACAGTGGTGCGGGTGGCGCACAATCCGGAAAGTTGCGCTGGTGCCTGTCGTGGCTGACCGTTTGAATATGCCGGGGAAGGCGAAGTCGAGCGCAACGGGACCATCTTGATGTACTAATCGATTGAAAAATTATAGATGATATCGGCTGGGGACTGGGCGGGATTTTCCACGTCGAATAATGGTTGAGTGCTGGGTGGGATGAGGTTGTATATGACTTTGATAGGAGTGATAATATCCGGTATGGCTACTAGAAAGTAGCGCTTGAACTTCTTGTGTCTTGTGCTCCTTGAGTAGATTCAAAACTTGGTGAGCAACAATGATACAGTAACAGAACAATATGGTGTGAGGGATAGGTTGTAGTGAAGCGTGAGGTGTTGGTAACAGCAAGTGTGGGAGGTGGTCGTGGTTGTTGTGAAAGAGTAATGGTAGGAAATGCTGAGGAGAAGGAGCCAAGGGGAAAGAAAAAAATGGTTAGACTTCAGTAAACATGTTTAGACTTCGGTCATCGCGTTGCCGGGTGACAGGAAATTTACATTAATGATGAGAAAATTAAGTTTGCGCGACGAACCCTCGCAAATCTCGTTCTTACATGTAGAAGAGAGTTTTCCTGTTAGTAGGAACCTAATTGGAAAGTCTAATGAGCATGTAAATAAAACGCGTCGCGGAGTTTCAATACGACTCTTAGGACTAGAGCGAGGAGTTTCCCTCTGAGAACCGGTGGAGAAGCTTGCCTGTTCTATGTGCCCTCAAGAAGAAAGGGGAAAGAATATCAGCTATGCAAAGTAGCACACTGGACGTAAAATCTGACCGTATCTCCTCTATTGTCGTCTAGACACTATAACTTGCTGGCAAAGGTCTCGACGGTGTAAGTCAATACTGCAATTATGGCTACAAGGAGAGAAAATATAACCACGATTTAGCATTTCCAACCATTTGCCCTACTGGCGATATGAGATGATGGGGAAAAACTGGCATAATGGACATCTGTCCAACATACAGATTTATTTTGTAGACGAAAACAACACCAGAAATTGGAATACGTATACCTTCTTTCAAAGGAAAAGATACGGTGAAATAGAATAAGAGACTTCTCGCGTCGTTGTGCTACTTCTTGCTTCACATCATCCCTATTTACAATTTAAAATTTTTGAAATGGCGACCGACGCTAATACATTCATGCTTTAAGCCTTAGAATCCTTAGCACCTTCTGCTGCTGTCTCTACAACTGGATCATTTGGCGAGAAGTTCAGGCTAACACCGTTGACGCAGTGCCTCTCATCCGTGGGAGTGGGATAGCCTTCACCCTTGAAGACATGGCCCAGGTGGCCGCCACAGTTTGAGCAAACGATCTCGGTGCGTGACATGCCCCAGGATCGGTCAACATGACGGGTTACGGCGCCAGGGATGTTGTCAAAATAAGCGGGCCAGCCACAGCCAGACTTGAACTTCTGGCTTGCCATGTACAAGGGTGCATTGCATCCGGCACAAGTGTAGACGCCGGACTCGGCGAAAAACTTGTCAAACTTGTGTGAGCCGGGGGCCTCTGTGCCCTTTTCCCGGAGGATGCGGAATTGTTCTGGCACACGTCGTCAGCACCTTTTCTGGTGAAGATGGGAGCAAATCAACTCACCTTTGCTCAAGACGGCCCGCCACTCGTCAGGGGATCTCTCATCGGGGTAGGTCATCTTGTTAGCCGAGGAGCTTGAGCCAAAGAGACTACTAAATGGCATAGCTGCTAGGTATCCCGAGTACGGTGAGTTTTGGGGCAGAAACTTGTGAGCGGGCGCAGATGCTCGAACTCTCGTTAAACTAGAAAACGTGTAAACTGTTCGCAGCAGAGTGGCAAAAGGTGGCAATCGCATGAGCGGGGTTGAAAATGAGTTAGCTATGATAAGACGAGGAAAACTGATGAGAATTTTATGATATTCGACAATGCAAGACCAAAACGCGCTTAAATAAGGAGACTTGTGGCGGCAGAGCTGATGTTTGGAGGAGTGATGACAGATTCATTCCCGTTATTTGGGAAGCCGACTGTAGTTGATTTGGAATCACCATTGCAGTGTAGGTAACACAGGTACCGGCCGGTGATGCCGTACAGTGTATCCTCTACCGGTTTGGCCTACTGGTAGCGTCCAATCCGCGGGAATTGTACAGTATGGACACTATATAGCTCTGACATCTACTATAGTGTATCTAACTAAGAGTACCTACCCCAATCTTTTCTACCTGCCTGCCTGTGTCTCAGTACCTCCCTTGGTGTTTGAGATCTCGAGACCCCCCATACCGATGTCGTCAGACTGGAGACTGGCGATAGGGGTGGTAACACCTGGTCTAGGGCTGCTGCGTAAGTACCTAGTAGGCGAGGGAGATAAAGCTTCGGATCAATATAATTAGCGACTCCGAGAAACATGACTGATTCCGGCGGATCCCCTGGATTTTTGCGGCGCAATGACAAGACCCGCTACGAGTGGTTTAGGTAAGTTACCGACTGACATGTACGTAGTACTATTGGTAAGTATGTACATACGAAGTAAGTAGCTTGTACCTTAGATACATCGCGTGAGTGCCTTTTATGTAGTGTACATAGTACAGGAAGCCTAGGACTGCCTAGGCTAGGCCGGCTTGGTTCCCCATATTCCCCAGCCTACCTCGGCATCCACCCAATCCAGTCTATCACGGGACCAGCTCTTACACTGTTATAAAGTCCTGGTATTGTATGTTGCGAGTTACTTGCCCATTGACTGAAAACCTTCTTTTCTATATACACGAGTCATTTGCATATAGATTGTAGACTGTCCACGCGGATTTCTTGCTCACCTGTCCACCCCTAGTCTGCCCCTTTGTCCGCTCACTGAGGCTACAAGTTGGAGGCATAAGTGTTTACAGCGTCCACAAGCAAGGGAGTGAGTGTGCAGAGCGACGGAACGAAAGGCAATAAGAAAACGGAGCAATATCGACGCATATAACCAATATGCCTTTTGATACAGAGCTCACTCGTCGCCTTGGCATCAAGATCCCCGTCGTCCAAGGTGGCATGCAATATGTCGGATATGCTGAACTCGCATCTGCCGTCTCCAATGCTGGCGGCTTGGGCATTCTTACTGCCCTCACTCAGCCTACACCCGAAGACCTTCGCAAAGAGATCCAGAAGACACGGACTCTGACAAAGAACCCCTTCGGCGTCAATATCACTCTTTTGCCTTCTCTCCAACCACCAGACTACGGCGCATATGCTCAGGTTGTGATTGACGAGGGAATCAACATCGTTGAAACCGCTGGGAACAGCCCTGGCCCGGTTATCGCGAAGCTAAAGAAGGCTGGAATCATCATTCTGCACAAGTGTACAACGATCAGACACGCGCAGAGTGCTATAAAGCTTGGTGTAGATTTCTTGTCGATTGATGGGTTTGAATGTGCTGGGTGAGTTTGCCAAGGTACCACCAATTTAGCACGCATGCAGTGCGCTAACCACAGAGGATAAATAGCCACGTTGGAGAATCTGACATTACCAATTTCATTCTGCTCAGCAAAGCCCGGCAAACCCTCAAAGTTCCTTTCATCGCCTCGGGCGGATTTGCTGATGGACAAGGACTGGCGGCTGCACTATGCCTCGGGGCCGAGGGCATAAACATGGGTACACGCTTCATGTGTACCGTGGAAGCGCCGATTCACCAGAAGATCAAGGAAGAGATCGTTAAGGCCCAGGAGACGGATACGGCGTTGGTTATGCGCCGCTGGACCAATACCACACGTCTATATCGCAACAAGGTTACTGATGCCGTCGTCAAGATTGAACGAGAGAGCAAGACCGGCGAATTCGCAGAGATCGCGCCTTATGTCAGTGGAAAGCGGGGACGTCAAGTTTTCGCCAATGGTGATCCTGATTACGGCGTATGGACGGCTGGTCAGGTCATTGGGTTAATACATGACATACCTACCTGTGACGTCCTTGTGAAGAGAATTGAGAAAGAAGCGGAGGAGACCTTGACGTCGAAGCTCAAGCTCGCAAGACCCAAGTTGTAGACTATCCATTTTAGCGTTTTATTGTGTCGAGCTTTTGCCACCTACTCTGGAGAATGCGGTTTGATCCTACTAATGTAAATCAGAAAATTCTCACCAAGCCTTCATCAGTCGTGAAGTGGTGAGCCGAAATTGCGCTCGGTCGCTTCATGCGACCAGCGATGCCTCTACTAAATTGCCTGCTGGGCTGGTAGTGTTCGTTACCACCAGGAATCCTAATGACAGGTGCTAACTAGATATGCTTGTCCATTCGACCTTACCCGAGAATTATCTCTTTCCACGTCGGTGAGCCCTCCAGCTCATGGCCCTTGTTGATCGATCCTACAGCGACGCGCTCCGCATAGTCGCCATGCCACTCAAGGAGCATGACCTTGTATTTCCAACCGGGCTCTGCATCATATTCACCGTCATCTGGTCTCTCGTCTCTCCCTTCGCACAGCAATATAAACTCTCGTGCGAGAGGAAGACTGGGGGATTCAGCTAACCACGCGTCGGCAACCGCAATAGTCCCTAGCTCTCGCTTGTTACTACCAAAGATGCCCAGGACAGTGTGTCCGCGGAGCCAACTGTGACCAGCTTCAGATACAGATTTGTCGAGCTGGAACTGCACTGACACCGTCCAGAATTGTAGAAATCCAGAGCCTGGTGTATCGCATAATATATCTGGATAGTAAGACGCTGCCCCTGTTACTCTTCGCTTTGTTGGCTGCGTCCGCGAGCAGTCCATCGAGAATCTAGTCCGAACCTTTCCACCGTAGAAGTTTCTTGCATCACGAGCCTTTTCATCTCTCGGTCTTGAATCCCAGACAAGCCTACACTCGGTCGAGTCGTGCGCGGCACGCTGGTACCAGATAATCCATGTCCGCGCCTTAAGCGCATTCTGGATACGGCGCGTCTTGGGATTATACCAATCCCAAATACGCGGGAACACGCCCCCCTCCCAGCCACTCCAAGACCAACTCGGCGTTCCCTGGCGGCGTGTGGGCTTGTTCAATGGGTCCCAGAGAAGACACCAGTCGAAGTACTGTGGCGGGATCCCATGGCATAAGTCCGTCCCTAGTAGGTCCCGTATGCGCTGCGCGACTCCCGCAAATGCATTGTATATGTCGCTAGGGAAGGACAGCGTGCGGTCAGAGTAATTCTGGACGGGGGCTTCGTAGGATCGTATGTCGTCGTCGCCGTCCCAGCTCGATGATCCGCCGTTCTCGGTCTCGTGCAAGACGTAACTCCGGTCCTCGACGACCCTGTCCTCGCTCCAGTTGCTGGCATACTTGCATTCAAAAACGACTTGGCCCCCTGTGAATATCAGTTGCCGACGGGCGAAGCAAGTTTCCTGGTACCTGGGCACTGTTAGCGGGAGATTCTGAGCATAGCGTTAGCAAAAGTTAGCCCTTACGTCCAGCCGCGAGTCTGGTAGACGCGTCCGACACTGTCATTCCCGTACGAAGTTCGGAGGCCGAGTCGGAGCTGGGGCGTTATCTGCTCGATGTGTTGGTCGACATCGCGCGTCCAGGGGCGCACGCCTGGCAGCCCAGACCCTGCGTCGCTGCTGGACATAGCCACGATGACTAGCTCTGCTGTCTCATAGATGCGATTCATCTGCTTGATGTGCGGCAATTTCTCCTTGTAGTTCTCGTCTTGGATGATACATAGCGCATCTACCCATAGATATCGGATGCCTATTCCCCTAGTGGCCTGCATAGCATCTTTGATGGTCTGAGGTACTTGAGCTCTGAACTCTGGTGTATTGAAGGCGCCGGGCTTCTCGAGACGTTCGATGTTATTGGAGCCTGTAGATTCATACATTAGTGATTAGCTTACAGCTGCAAGCGGCATAGGATTGATGATGTTCAGCCTGCGCATTCTCCTATACTCGCACTCACTCACCAGCAAGTAGAACGTTAGCCCGACCCCAGACATAACTCAGTGCGACATACTTGCAGTCGCTCGTTCCATTAACTAGGCATCCCAGCTCGACATCGATAAGGCGAAATTCACTCAGAATTGTTGCAGGATGCTCTGGGAAATCATCCATGCCTGGTCTTTTCCTGCACTCATCTCCATGCAGGGCCTCGCATATATCAATCCAGTTGCTCACCATCGTGAAGTCAATTTTCTCCCTACAGACAGGACGAATCAGGGATGTCGCGGCCGCGGGGTGATCGTTGGCCACAAGCACTATCTGAGGGAACACTGCAGCCTCGTCGACGTATTGATCACCTGCTGAGGCCGAGGGCATTAGGACGCGTGTTGACCGCGTGTTTCTATTTTCGCCGGGTTCATCGTTCGTCATAACGCTAACCTCGAGGTTAACGGGCTCGCCGTTCTTCTCATTTGGAACACGAGAACCGCCAATAGCTGCTAGCGCAAGGCGGCAGAAGGGACAGTTTGGTCGGTTACGGACGTCAATGATCTTGCCTAGGTCGATAAAGTTTTGCTCGAAGGAATCAGATGATTTTTCCGATGATTCTTCGTCACTCTCATCGCCTTCTTGGCCTGTGGTATCAGATTGGCAATCATCTGATACAGCGATACTGTCGGCGCTGTCATCGTCTTCCTCTGAGCTATACCCTTCTGAAGAAGTGCTGCTGAGACTCCGTCTTTTCTCTCCAACGAAGAACTTTGACGGATTAAAGCCTACGGTCTGACAGATATCGCAAAGCGCATCGTCGGGTTTGACAATGTCTGACGGAATTGGCTGAAGTGGTGGAACTCTGATGCCGTCTTGGCTTGTCGTCCAAGCCGAATAGTCAGACATGACTCTGGCCTAAGTGGTATGCTACAACAGCAAGGGAAATATCAGCATTTGCTGACTACGGCCTCGGGGCAAGATTTCCAAAGGGGTGGCCTCTTAGTCGTGTTGGCTCGATGGGAGACGTGAACGAGTCTCCTATTATACATGTTCAAGTCTGCTTGGTCAGGGACAGTAGCTCTGATACACAGAAGATGCCGCAAACCCGACCCTTTCATTTTCACTCCAAACGCAACCACCATATCCCAATTGTAAGATATGATTGACGCTAGCAGCATTGGCTCTTTGCCAGCACGCCCGATCCAAGAACATCTTAAATGTGGTAGATGTGGTAAGGGAAATACCTCCGATGCGAAAGGGTGTCAAGCCCAGCTGAATATGTAGGTTTGTGGGGTTGCAGGAGATTGTGGCTGTTATTGGATCACGCATAACAGAGACTACACACAAGTTGGAAAATACATATACTTTTGACAAAGGATTGTTCTCAGACGTTCGTTTGATTCCATAGGGACCGTCACATGCCAACCACATAGACTGATTGATACGATTACAGTAGGCTAGATCGCATCCAAATGGCTAGCCGACAAAAACACCACGACCGCCATGGCACCCCTACATTGTGCCCCCTGCTACTGACGCATGAGATGTGGCTCGACAGCGGCGACAACTCACCCATGTCTGCGATCGATAATATCACTGCTGAGACGTGTTGACCACAACGCCCATGCATCACGGGTATCGGAAAAGCAGCTTGCGCTATTCAACCTTGACTTGGACTCTCAAGAGCCTAGCTACGAGGTCCTCTAGGTTAGGACCACATCCTACGTAACTTGCGAAGGTAGTCATAATATTTGTTGTTGTGCTACCCTCATTTTCGTTCCTTGTTCCTAGTCTTGTTAGTTACTTTCTTTGCTGTCCTTAAACAGTGCACGGGTCGATAAGTCGCTCTTCGGATCATTAAGCCATGGTATCAAAGTGTCCAGGCCCTAACTCCTCCTTGTATCTACCTTCGCATACTTTGATTCACCTGTTCCATTATTATTAGACAATTGAGTGTTATATAGACTGCACCCCTTATGAGAAAAGTCAGATTTCCTCGTGCGCCCTTAGCCGAAAACTGAAAGATGGGATCACCCAACTTATGTATTATGGTTAGAATACCCCATGTCTCCCATACCAGCCTCACTCGCCTTTTATTCTTGATTGTCCCATTCTTCAAGCTCCAGTCTTGCATGAGATATCCCACCGAGGCTGTTGAAGGGATGCGTTACTCATATTCGACCTGATCTTGGCACTTGCTTGGACTAATTCTATCCGTATATAGACTCCTATGACGAAGCTATAACATTGATGCAGCCACTTCAGGGCAACCCTGATGTGTACTATATAAGCTGCTCTTGCTGGAAAGCACCTTAAATCCAGTGTAGCACTCGAACACTGTGCCTTCTACCCCTAGCCGTCTAGGCTACGATGCCTCCTTCGGCTTATGTGAAAATATAGCAAGTACACTCTGTAGTGTGCGGAAACTGTGGAAGGCATACATTCAGTGGTCTTCGCGGCTGGGAAGGCGCTTCTTATCTGGATGTAATTGAGAAACATATGAGTTCGCTTCTTATATTGTTTACATTGCCTCTTCTTGTTCTTCTCTTCCACGGCCTACGATTATCAAATTTATCATCATCATCATCATCATCCACCAATAGAAGACATGCACTTAAGTCACTATGGGGTACATTGAAAAAGTCATGTATTCGATGCGTGTGACCTACTCTCGGTGGCGGGTACGCTGTTTCCGTCGGAGAAACCAAGCTGTCATCAATAATACAGTTGGCCAAAACCACCCAGCTAACGCTGAAGGTCTAAACCTAAGACAATGGGACTCACTGGAAGGAAAACAATATGTAGACGCTGCTTATTTCAACCCCTTTCAGACTGAAAGCTTTCAGTCTGAAAGGATCACTAGAGCTCTGGCAAAGGCTCAAGATGATAAGTTGCTGTTGCCTAACTCAGAACTTGCTTCCCCTCCAAAAGCAGAGTTAAATCCCATCATCGCCACTATGAATGGTACTGTTTATAACTCAGATCATTCTCCAGAAATGATCATAGCCCTAGCAATGGCCGGCATTACACATTGGGATGACTCAGCACTCACTCCAGCTCCAAAAGCAGGCTCAGATCCGAATCCAGAACCAGGCGTAGGAGAACAAGCACCGGGATCGATACATTCATCTGGAGCAATAAAGTCCAAGCTAAATCCTAGGGTGCCTTGTTTCCAACCTCGCAATTATGTTCAGCCTCAAAGTGCTTGTACGTATCAACACACGGATACTTTATCTCGATCAATGATTATTGTCGGAGATGGTCTATATGGACCTATTAGCAAAGCAACTGTCCCAGCTATATCAACTCGCTCAGAATCCCGCTTCTTCCCTAAAATCGGTCACGCATGTCTTAGGCACCAGGATACGTCGACTGCCTCGGCTAACTCAGAACATCGTACGGCCTCCAAAGATAGCCTCCCGCCTCGTGTACATGGAACTCGACGAAGTGAGCCAACTTACAAGGGGAAAAGGATGACCCCTAAAGTCAAACTGCTACCTCGTGTAAATGGAGATTGCCCAAGTGAACCAACTTATACGGAAGCCGCGTTGACTGCATCAACTACCTGGGAGTATCGTGTGGTCCTCGAGGATAGCCTTCCGCCTCATGTAAATGGAATTGCCCAAGTGAACCATTTTACGAGGAAGAACTGGCGGCCCCTAAGGTCAAAGTTCCACCTCCTTCAGTGACATTTTCCTCAAGCGATTCAACCAATAACGAACATCCCGGAGCCCCGGTGTCAGAATTTACACCTCGCCAACGGGCTGTGTACCGCAAGGCTATCGGCGGCCCGACGAAGGTGATCGATTCCGGACGTACTGTTGCCTACGGAGGAGAATACCGCCCGAGGAGATGCCCGAGGAGACGCCTGCGTTAGATTGGTCCCAACTTACGTGTCCGAAGATGGCCGTCCTACCCTCCTGATTGAGGGCGTGTTTAGTATTTTACTGTTCGACTGGCATCTTTCTTGAAGCGTTGAATAGCATTGCATTTTTCGCGGTCTGGAAAGTGAGTTCCATAATATCACCTTTTCGAGCTCAAGAAGCACCGTCTCACACAAGTTTCGTACACCAAGACTAATTTCCGAGTTCTTAGCCCTTCAGCAATCTTTCTCAGCTATCATAGTTTCAGTTCAGCGCTACTTTAAGCTCTTCAGTCCATCTACATTCATTGTTTGACAACGTTTCTCTTGGGTTGTCATGACTTCAACTCAGAGCCGAATTTCGGGTCGTCCACTCCTTGGTCAGTCATACCAGTCGACGCTATTTCTCAAACTCGAACGGATATGGATTCCTAGCTAGGCATATCGATGAGCCGGCTTTGTCAGGATAGCCAATGACATATATTTGGGGAGAGAGCTTTCAAAAGTCAGAGAAGAATAGCTGACATTGGTTATCTTGTAGCGTAGATGTGGTTTTATATGAGCTACTTTGACATTCATTGCATACCTGTGGATATCTTTTGTGACCATGTACGAGATGTTATTCTTTCCTTTCTTTACTTGCTCGGTGATACACCGCTTGGATGGCACGATGAAAAGGATCTCGGCGGAATAGGGGGTGACAGTCAGATAGTGCAAGAAAAGGGGTTTGGTGGGACTCATCGATCGGAAGTAGCACATAGCAATATAGTCATGAGAGCCAATGCATTTTATTAATGGCGAGATCTTTTTATTCTTTATCTCACAAGGTGAATTTAGTCTACGAGTAGCCCCTCATTCTGGAGGAACGTACTAGTGAGTATACAAGTGACTGGTGGCATTTGCGTCATAGTAGTCTTGTCGAAAGTGATTCGGAACTCGATCGGTTGAATTTTTTCAATAATCTTAACCTAATGTAATAACGGACATTATATCTGTACCTGTTGTGTGTTACTACCGGCTAGATATCGCCATGCTAGGTAGTGTTGTGGCCGACGAATGGTTGGTAGCAAAAGCCACCGTAGATATCTTGAAATGATGGCGATAATAAGCCTCAACATTGACCAAACCCTGTCGAGTATGTGAGAAAGGCCCGAGACAATCACCGTTTGAGTATATTTCTGATGATGTCATGATTCCTCTAACCAAGAGCTCTGTTCTAGTAGATCAACCACCTGTTGGATTAATCTTTGGTCTTCTTCCAATTCGATACATCGATGCAGCCACGGCTGCTGTATCGTGTGAGGAAACCCTTGTGTCTTTTGCGCGGCTGCGGAGAATATATCCCAACATTCATTAAACCAGGAGCCTACTTCCTGAGCAGCGCTGTGGTTGTTATTGCGAGTATAAAAACTCTCCAACGCCGAAATGGCGTCGATGGTTTGCAAGTGAGTCGGCCCATAGACCGCATAGCAGAAGTCAACGAGACTACGGCCTATCTGCGTCGCTTGATCGATGTCCCCTTCCCGATCCTTGATCTCGAATAGTATCCAAAGACACTTACACCGTAGATGGTCGAATTCATCGCCGCTAGAGTCTTGCACCGAGTCTATCCACTCGAATATTTGTCCTATCCATGTGTCTGCTTCACTAAGTCTCCCCTGTTCAAGGAATAAACACGCCATTCTAAACCTCGCCTCCTGGAGCAGGAATTGACCAGAGACCGAGTTTGAGAGAGCCGCCATCATAGCTGCCAACGCTTCCCTCCCGAAAGGGTGAGATAGCATCCCGCTGCATTGGAGTTGGATGAACACAAACGCCATCTGCACTAAGCTGTTCTGATCGTTAGGTAACAGACCAACTTGTTCTTTCCACACACTTAGATAAGATTCAAATAATGCTGTCGCATGTTGCTGGAGACCTTGTAGGCCAGTTAACTTGATTCGCGACCAAACGCGATTGAAAGGGTGGCTGGGTGGTAGTAGGATTGAGGTGAGTTCCGAAGCATATTTGATGAACATGTCACCCATTTGTGTGTTCCTAGATCCAAGCAAAAGAGCTGCCTTATAAGTTGCAAGCCAAAAGAATGGGTCAGGGTTCCTTAAGTGAGATTTGTATTGCTCGAGACAGAGGTTAAGCAGATCGAAACCTTCTCGTGTTCGATTATGAGCAATGAGACCTTGCGACGTCGCAATGTAGTGTGCCCAAGTGAAGGCATCAGGCACCGGAGCTGTGGGTGTAATCCGCCATGCCCCAGCCTCGACTGAGCCTGTGATATAACCCCTCAAGATGTTCATACAGTCATGTGGGACCTTGAAATCTGTGGGGTCGTCGAGTTGCGGAGAAAGAGACGGGGAAGCTTCAGGGGTAGGTGAAGGCGTCCGGCAGATAATATGAGACGATTCTGGTGCCATTGTGGTTCGAGAGGTGTTCGTTCCCTTTTCTACGACAAGAATCTGTTCCAAGACCATAGCTGCTGCGCGATATCTGTGTAGAGTGATGAGCCCAATATTTCACCCAGCATTGTAGTGATTGATAACTTGTGGCCCATCTACACATGAGGAGAGCAACATGAAGAAAGGAGAAGTATGAAGTCAGGGGACAAAGATGTGAGACATTAAGTACGTACCGATATCGTTGAAGCCGGTCCGGACTGATCTTGCGGCCTCTTATGTAAACGACAGAGGGCTTGCCTACATTCGCCCGAGCTGTCTGCTGGCGAAATATCTCCACGGCGTCCTCAGCCTTTATCTTCTTCTCAATTTCCCACTGCTGGAAGCGCGCCTTGTACATGCGCACACTTGTGACAGGGCCATGTCAGTAACCAATGGGCATAATGAGGAAACACAAAGTGCGCAATAGCTCAACTTACGTTGCAAAAAAGTTATATTTTTCCTCCATGATTCTCATAGTATCTTTCAATGTCTTATTCTGGTCTCTATAGAGAGTTGTGATCAATGACCGATGGTTGGCCCAATCGCTCGCTGTGGCCCAGCCATCCTTAGGACGACTGGTGCCCATGACGATGGGGAAAAAAGCACCAAAGAACTTTGGAGAAGACTAGTGATTTAAGATTGACAATGTGACGTTACTATGGAGGCTGAAGACGAGACGCAACATCAGCTCGCGTGCACATATAGATGGTATGGTAGGTACGTATATCACGGTGTAAGAATGTGGGCTTGTGTGGTGTATAAAGGAACCCGGTTGACTGCTGTCGGCTTATACATGTAAATGGAGGAGGGTGGTACGTATGGAGTGCGATGGTGAGACGGCATACAACACAGGAAGATAGATATATTGACGCTGGATCCATGCTTGGGCCGGTAGACGAGGGTAGAAAGATATATCGGTCGCCGTATAGGTAGGAAGGTAGTACAAGCAGATTCAGGGTAGCATGGGATTATGTTGGATGAATCTGGCTGGGGGCGCAATCGACGGCCAGTCGCATCGGCTCTGGATGGATCCTAGACCAGGTACCGTCGACGATTCCGTGCAGCTCAATGGCTCGATGGGATGTGTAAGCCGGCATGGCACAGGGGTTGTTCAAGACTAGGACTATAAGGCAAGGGGACACAGACCCAGCCAAGCGAGCTATGGCTGCGCAGGCCTCCTCCTAGTTAAGATAGTATAATACCGCACAGAGCCAGGAATCCGGTAAATAATACAATAACACCTAATCTAACCTACTGTAGGTAGTGTACCGGTAGTATAGTAGAGCCAAGTGGTGTAGGGGAGTATATATGTAGCTCACAGACTGAAGTTCATGATGGATTAAGTATGTAGGCACCAAGGTTACATAATTAGGAGGCACAAAGTGTATAGGTACCTAGGAGGTGCTAAAGCTGCAGGCCGAAGCTACTTAGTTGATTAGTTATTCGAAGGGGACCAGTCTGTCTCGGCCGTTACTTAAAACAAATGACAAAATACCTACTCAGACTCTGTCGGTACAGATTGAGGTGAGACATTGGTCATTTACATAGTAAGTAATATGACAAACCACAAACCCGTACATGGTAGTTTAGTGTACCTAGTATGACTGATCAGATCCATCAGTGCACCACATCCTGGTAACAACGCCATGTACGAGTGTGCGTGGTGTAGGTAGTGTACATGTGCCGTTTCAATAGGTGGCAAGGCGTCTTGTCCGAGTTGGAGTCGTTGGCCACTACAAATACGATTGGGCGCTGCAGGCGTGTATATAAATTGTATACATGTGTATATACGATCAATCATCACCTCGTTTGCTGCGTTGTTCAATGTGTCGCCGTGTCGTGTTCCTCAACAAAACTTATAGGCACGTAGGTAGGTACATACTTACTAATAGGTACCTAATCTCTACCATTCTCAACCGAAGACCCATGTACGGGAGATGCATAGCCGTCTATCCGGCCAACTACTAGACTACCTAGTATATTCTTCTTCTTCTTGTCTTCTTTCTTTATATCAACTACTTAAGCATACTTATACGCACTCACGAGAGCTACTCCGTGACCCTGACCGTAATAGTGCTGCTTTAAGCGCTTCAACCAAGCGAGGGAGGCAACCCAGGATAGAAAACAGAACGATAAGATAGGCAATTATCAGTAGATACCTACTATGTAGGTAGGTAGCGTATCGAGGTGCGGGGTCACGCACAAGATACATGATGCATGTATGCAGAGGTAGTAGGTATGTACACTACTCGACTACCTTAACTGAGATGTCACATCAGGGTACAACACAACGCCTACTTCAGGTAATGTTCTTGAAATGATCGGCGGCTGATCATCGCAAGGTAGACATGGACTTGGTAATGGTGTAAGTAGGTAACCAGGTTACTTTATCTACCTAGTCTGATCTAGGTACCAGGATGTAAAGGATGTAACTCACGAGTCACGAGTCACAACTGTGTGAAGAACCTCTACTTAAGCTGGGCGCGCTTACAGTAAGTACTTAAGTAGGTATGCGACGCCTTGTATTACAGGGGCCTTAGGGACATGATGGGTACTTAGGCTCTGTGACTGCCACGCTGGCGGCCGCAAATACAGTATTTATTACAACCTGTTATTACTTTTACACTGTAAGGACGGCACGCAGTTCTCGATAGGTAACTGCTTAATTAGGTACTTGGGGATACATTTAACATGTGAACGGGATCTGGTCTTGGCCACATCAAGCGCCACACTCAAATTCAGCTGTGCACGAGGGTGCTTTAGGTAGGTACTTCGTACCGCACTTGCACAAACCCCGTTGGCCGGTCAAAGTGCGTGTCATCGTTGTAAACATCTACCAACCAAGTTGAACCAACAAACAACCTCGAAATGCCACAAACTGTCTTCCTCAGGTCAAAATAATGCCAGCCACCTCATTCATCGATACTCTACAAATAACACACACATATGTCTCACCTGCTGTGATGTGCTACTGCTGTTCCGTGTAGACTCATCTCCCCTCATGCGGTAGGTAGGTTGCCCTAACCTTCACCGTGTCAGATCCCGACTAATCGAGGGAGGCAACAGGAAACCAGGCGACATTTATAGCTTTCAGCCGAGGAACAACCTAACTTCGACCGATCCACCTATCCACCACATATCCCAGGACAGCAGCGGCAAGCTTGATACCTACAGTTGCCTCGACAAGGTACCTCGCCAACCCTTCACCGACTTCTGCCTTGTTTCACAGAGTCGATTCCCCCTCACTATGGTGCAGGAACAAGCACCGCCCAAGGCGCCCTTCCGCCCTTGGGGAACCAACGAATCAAATGGTGCCGCCGGCGTACAGCCTGTCGCCTCGAGGAAGGAACGGTCTGGCGTTCCTCCCGCCTCAAATACACCAGGCTTCGCCAACCCCTCCAACTCGTTTTCTCTCCCCCGCCCCGCGGTGAAGGAAAGAGTTTACTCGGGAGGCAGTATGGATGACAAATACGCAAACTTGTTCGTCCAGCCGAAGAACCGTCCAGAACACCATCGTCCACAACGAATAAACGGCCCGCTCCAGCCTTCCTTCAAGGACAAGAAGCCTTCCTCAAATCCCATGTTTGCTTCGGTGCCTGGCCCGGTCGGTTCGGCCAGTAATCCTATAACATTGGCGGATCGTGGCACTATTTCCAACTACAGCCAACCGGGTGTCTTTGCTGAGTACGTGGACCCAAAGAAAGCCGCAGCCGATATCAAAGCTCTCCTGGAGGGCTCTTTGGAGGACGATGATGAAAAGCTTCCAAAGGACCAAATTACCGAAGACAAGGCTCGGATTGAAGGGCTCAAAGTTCGACTCCTGCCTCATCAGATCGAAGGAGTTGAATGGATGAAGAATCGAGAGCTCGGCCCCGTTAAGAAGGGCAGAGTGCCTAAAGGTGGCCTTCTGGCTGATGATATGGGTCTCGGGAAAACATTACAGTCTATATCACTGATTCTCACGAACTCGAAGCCAACTGATAAGCACCCCGGCGTCGAGAAGACGACTCTAGTGGTTGCACCCCTGGCCTTGATCAGACAGTGGGAAGCTGAACTGAAAGAAAAAGTTGAAGACTCCCACAGACTTAAAGTTCTTGTTCACCATGGACCCCAGCGCACCAAAAGCTTCGAGGACCTTCGTCGATACGATGTTGTCATCACTACCTACCAAATTCTTGTCTCGGAACATAACCACTGTAATGGTAGTGTAAAAGCAGGATGCTTTGGCTTACATTGGTACCGGGTCATTCTTGACGAAGCACATACCATCAAAAACAGAAATGCCAAAGCTACAAAAGCCTGCTACGAGCTGCGAAGTGTATATCGATGGTGCTTGAGTGGCACACCAATACAGAATAACCTGGATGAGCTACAGAGCTTGGTCAAGTTTTTGCGCATCAAACCCTACGACGACCTGCGCGAGTGGAAGGATCACTTTGATCTACCAATGAAGAACGGCAAGGGCCATATTGCCATCAAGCGATTACACAGTGTATTGCAATGCTTCATGAAACGCAGGACCAAGGACATTCTAAAACAGGACGGAGCTCTTAGCACAGGGCCAAGTGAAAGTGCCGGTGACAAGAGCGCAACATCTAGCTTTAAGGTCACAGAACGCAAAGTCGTGGCTATTGCTGCTCAGTTTGCCCCTGCCGAGCGACGGTTCTATGACCGCCTGGAGCAGCGGACAGATAAGAGCCTAGAAGCAATGATGCGTGTTAAGGTAAATTATGCCAGCGCTTTGGTACTTTTGTTGCGACTCAGGCAAGCATGCAACCACCCAAAATTAGTAGAAGGCAAGTTAGAGAAAGACAAAGATGCACTATCGGAGGAAACTCGGCCGAAGAAGAACGATGCAGACGTCGATGCTCTGGCGGACTTGCTCGGTGGGCTCGATGTTCAGGCTAAGCATTGCGAAATCTGTGGCTGGGACCTCGACGGAGAACATCGTCAGGCGGGTACCGACAAATGCAAAGCATGCTTCGAGGACCTGGAGTACTTCAAACACCACGAAGAGGGTGGTGATTTGAAGACACCCAAAGTGAGAACCAGAAACAAAAAGAAGACCAAGAAAAACCAGAAGGCCGCGAAAAAGGAGCCTAAAATGGAGCAAGCCGAAGCCGAGACGTTCGTCAAACGAAGACCTAGGAATCGGCGCGCTATCATCGATTCCGATGAAGAAGAAGAGGAAGGCGAATGGGTTGTTTCTGGCGATGAGCAAGGATCGCTTCGCTTAGGCAAAGCTGGCGGCACTGATGATGAAAATGCCGAGGGTGAAGGCGAGACGATCAATACCGAAGATTCCGAGGAAGAGGAATCACAAGGAGGCAGTCGTTTGAATAGTTTCATCGTTGATGATGGGGAGGATACAAAGCCCGAAGATCTGAAAAGAGCCATAGAAGACTCAGGTTCGGACGACGGCGATCTTGGGTCGGTTACAGCCATGCACGCTCGGCTTTCACAAAAACCCTCCCAAGCATCCGAACAGACCGATGAGGGGAGCGATGCTGACACGGAATCTGATAATGAATCAGACTCTGTGAGTGATGAAGGTATTTCCGAGTCAGAACTATACGACGACTCAGATACCGAGAGTTCTTTCTTCCGTGGTCAGCAGGATAAACGCCAGCAAGTGCCACATGTACTTGCCTCAGCCAAGATCCGCCAACTGATAACAATCCTTCACAAGGAAGTTCAAGAACACAAGTTTATCGTTTTCTCGCAGTTCACATCAATGTTGGACCTTGTCGAGCCTTTCCTTCGCAAGGAGGGTCTCAAGTATGTACGGTACGATGGTGGGATGAAGAACGACGCGCGCGAGGCATCGCTTCATAGCCTGCGCAATGATAAGAGCACGCGCGTGTTGCTTTGCTCACTACGATGCGGCGCACTGGGTCTGAATCTTACTGCTGCGTCACGTGTCGTTATCCTCGAACCTTTCTGGAACCCCTTCGTTGAGGAACAAGCCATTGATCGAGTGCATCGCCTCACACAGACCGTGGATGTTATCGTGTACAAGCTCACAGTTGAGAACACAGTCGAGGAACGTATTCTAGAGCTCCAAGAGAAGAAGAGGCTGCTCGCTGAAACGGCCATCGAGAGCGGTGCCAAGAAGGAGTCGCTCAAGCTTGGCTTGAAAGAGATGCTTGACCTCTTCAAGCACATGAGTAGTGGTGGTAGTCGTCGTCGGGAAGACCACGACAGCAGCAAAAATCGTGATCTTGACTCAGCCGACAATAGTCTCGTCAGCGTCGCTAGCGATGCCTCATCAAGCCGACAGAGCATGCGGGGTAGCTCGTCGAAGCCGCAGCGTAACCAGGAAAGCGAGGTTTGGGGACGTCGGTGGTGAACAACCCCAAGATCTACTGTTTGCATGATGTAACGACGGAACGCAAGGTGTTATGGGGTTACGACGTGACGGTGTACACAGCCGCTAGTTGGAAACGGCGTCTAGGGAATCGGGTCAATCAATGAAAGGGGTCTGGGTCTACGGTTGCGTCTACAAGGGTAAGAGGGATGGTCAAGGGGACATGGGTATAGGAATGCTTATTTGTGGTTTTGAATTTTCGTATGACAGTAGATTTTTCCTCGATACAATACACAAGGCTTGCAGCTTGCAATACCTTCACGATACTTGTTTCTCCCCCATGTCCAAACATGATACTACCTTACCCATAAGCACAACCCGTAAGCACGATCCATAGACAAGAAGTGTAACTGCTATTATACCCTCTTTGATTCTTTCGAAACACCGGTGCAACTGTAGAGTCCGGTACACACCTCTTCCCTTCCTTATTACCAATAGGTCTCCGTATCCGTGTATCCGCTCCCTCCCTATCTGTCTATTTTAAGGAACGGCTGATGGGTATCTTGTCTTGGACATCGCAAGATTTTATGCAACACCTCCTGTATCAAGCTGGATAGTCACACACACATACACATAGGAGATGTAGGACCTCTTGCGAGCTGATGTGTAGTTGCATTGCTCCTGAATGCCCGTTCGCGCTATTGCGCCTGTGGCGCTTTCCTTTCGATCCTTACGGTACCGGCTCGCGGGCCGCGCCCGCGGGGAGGAGGAGTAAGCGAGGGGGGCGCTTGATAATCGCGATACTCCGAGATAACGGTGTGGCGCACCCTCTTTTAGGGCGGAATCGACGACGACGACCAGGTACCAGGGTGTTATGTTGCTGCGAAGCAAGGGTTCCATGTCATCGACTTACAGTAGGGAAGATAGATACTGCCTGCACTTATCCCAGCTGTAGGGCCGCTAAGCGAACAGATCCTGCGTATACATTGCAGGATAGGTAGCCTCGGACCCAATCAACGGTAGCACATGTTGATGTATCTTTTCCTTTCTCACGCTTACGACGCTCGATATATCTCGATGACTATTGGCGAGGGATAACCTCCGTCCTCGCTAATGGTTGGGTTGGAGGTGTGCAGTGCAAGGCTGAGGGAATGTTAGGCATCAAGGATGTCTCGGGATCCTGCACATAATACCTACTTAGGCACGATCGTCTAAAGCAACGTGGGAAGAAAACGGCAAGTATCTCGACTATCTCGGCCGTCTGCTTGGGACCTGGTCCCTGGAGGTGGAGATATCTAAACTAGAGCAATGATGGCACAGCTTGGTCAACAAATGGGAGCTTTCATTTCGCATTAATATCTTGTTTCTCTTTGGACGGTTAGCACGGGACTAGAAAGAAAATTCTTTCGAGTTGACCATTCATTGCTTAAGTAGAATGAGTGTGTTGTAATGAATGGCAAGCTAGTAATGCCATATGGACCTATTACAAGGATAGATATGTTATGTTCTTTTGGGGGGTGACGATTTATAGGGCGTATGTCTCAAGTCTGAAACCCGAATCAATCGTACGTTGATATTCAATTGATTTCAATGATTGAGTAACTTGGCTTATTGAACCTTATATATGTTGTAACGAGAATGGGATGCCTTGAGTAACGATTCTTTCCCAAGCCCCTTCTCCCCCTAATAGTACAACATCAGGCGGCCAAGTCATGCGTAATATAGAGTCTGATACAGCCAGACAGATATGTTAGCAGAGGATACTAGGTTGGATATTTGGCAGGAGGTAGTTAGGGGCTGATAGACTGTTTAATCAACACTGGACCCCGTTAAAGCTATTCAGGGGGTGAATATGACCGATTCCATTGAAGCCATCATATACTTGTACGAATTACAATTCTTATTCTCCACGATCAATGGCTGTATTACTATTTTCAGTATATGGAGGTATTGACCCAAAAATGGTTGGTCGCCACTACGAAATCTGGCAAAGGGGCTAAAGGCTTTCGTAAGGGGTACTCCAAGGACCTTGCCAACTGGATTGTAGAAGCATTATTCCAGTCGTAGTGCTGTAGGAGGGGATTATGTTTTGGGGTCTCTGGAATGAATTGTTCAAAGCTTCGTCCTCCACAGATATCAAGAGTGAATAGCAGAACATCAAGTATCTCACGTAACCTTGTAGAGACTGACATGACCTATTCATCTCGAGCTCGGAGGTGATTCACTGTATATTATTTCTATCTCTCAAAGCTTGACTTGTAGATGCCCACTGAAGATGCTCCAAGTAGCTGTCGGGCCTGTATACCTACACTAAATTCAGTTCTATATAACACTTAGTCGTTAAATCCATATCCAACACTCGTGAATCACAAGGCTTGTTCTCCATAACTCCCCAAAATGACATGCTAAGAGAAATCTATCGTCCACATTTCCCTGATTTTACCTCTACTAATTATTCCAATGTCACTGTCCCTGAGGATAGGGTATCTTGCGCCATCACCATATAAGAAGCATGGCTATCGGATTTCTCGAGGCAATGGTAGTGCCCGACTACGTTAATTTCGGAGAGCTCTTCTTCTTCAATGCAGCAACGAAGCCATCAAAAGAAAAAGGATATTTCGCTGGGTGGAGGCCGTTCGTCTTCTACGTACTCGATGGAGACCGCTGTGGTCTACATGACTTGAGCACCAATAAGAGAAAGTCTCGCATTTTCTCCCATATTCCCGGTTGATGATATGAAAAGCTCCTGGAAACCTACTAGGAGGACTTCTAGAACTACTATAAAGCAGGGCTCAACCTACGCAAATAGAGAGTACTCTTACGCTAGCGTAGCCACTACCAAGAAAATCAGCTCTCTTCCAGACCAATCTTCCCATGGTTTGTCATTACAGGACAAAAGTCGAGCTCCGGCTACCGTCGAGAGACTACCACGCCAGAACGGAGTATACAGCCCGAGACACACGTGCCCATAGAGGAGTAGTTTTTCCAGGAGAGCCCTTATCCATGGCGCCCCAAGCGGGGTGTTCATGAAGATCCGTCGTGGAATCTGCTGGGGATATGGGCTCTCGAGGGCAAAGATTCCACGTCGTGCGCAGAAAAACAGAGTAATTGCCGGACGGCTCACGACGCTCGCTCATTCGTGCCACAGCCTCATGGGCCTTTCCTACGCAAGGCGGATTACCACAATGAAGGACCCGATGAGTTGTTGGCATGGCTTCAGCTGCCTAGCTCGGGTAAAAGCTCGGGCAGTAGTTCGCCTGAAGCATATGTATCGCAGATTAAGTTCCGTGCAAACAATTAATTGAGTGCTTCGACTTTACGGAGATCTAGTCAAGTGATTCAAGCTATCTGGTCATCGCATATAGTGTTGAACAACCCCCTCCCTTAAGATATATCTTTCCGTTATTTGCAATTCCATGAAATTTGCATATCCTCTAATATCGACTTCTATCACGGCCCGTCGATTGGAATCTGCTGATACGATTCTAAGTTTTGTTTTAATCTGTATGTAGAACTCGGGTATTGAAGCTCTAACTACAGAATCTCAGGACCACACGATGGAGAAGGAGAGTTTCGGTTGGAGGCTGGCCACTTGGGTTGAAATTGTCTTGATTACCTCCCACTCTTTAGGTAAAGATATCGTATTGTGAAGTTATGTGTAACTAGCATTTACCACCCTTCCGCTGAACCTTTTAATGTTCATGATATCTCAGGCGCTCTTTCATGCTAGTTGAAGTCAAACGTTACAATTGTGCCCGAGTTTGTTTGATGTGTCGTTTTCTACTTAATTGTTGTATTTAACTTCTTCAAGCTTGCTCAAACGGGTGACTACCACGACCTGCGCCCCCTTCAGTTTCCAGAGAAGCATCTACGCTTCTGATACTACGACATCTAGCCCATTATCGGGACCTTTACGAGGATGGACGCCAGAACTGCTTGCTAGTTTTACGTCTTAGATTGATCGTAAAGTAATAACTTATTTACGTCGATTTCCTCTACCAGCATTCGTTAAAGCTATAGCCATGATATCGCTAGACTCACCACCTTGAGCACTCGAACACTCAAATTTCTCAAGGAGTAGCTCAATCTTAAAAGGTTATAGGGGTTAAACAAAACCATACCTATCATACCTCATCCCTCCGTAGGCATATCGTAAACATGTAACACACCTGGGCAAAGCTCCTTCATCTCTTCATCCAACCTCCTCAGGACAAATCCATGAAACACATAAAAGACTACACGTTGCAAACAAAGCAGAGGTTGGGTAAACAGTTTATATATTATATCACCAGAAATAGACCTCACCTGTTAGGTATAGGTGAAGCTAACCTGCTTATCAAAAAGAGACAATATCATCTGGCACCACCGACCTAGATATGATACAGAATCCACTGCCCAGACCAAGCCAAAAGGACTACACTATATAACCTGAATTCAAACAGAGTGCACAGCATAGCACAATGCTAAGCATTCATGGCTTTGCCCTCGGTCCACTATTTCACGTGCTGATTCGCTATTCCCCATTATGTATCATATCCTATAGCCTCAAGCGCTTACCCTGCTCAACCTTTTCAGCACTTTGAACCTGTGTCTCCCATCTTTGAAATCGCGATCATTTCACTAAATTCCAGTACAATTATCGTATGATTCCGTCGGCTTCTAGACTCCCTGCCTCGCTACCTCTTCAGTATGCAGCACCTTGTCTATAGTAATCTTGTGGTGCACTTGGTTCACTACCGACACCTGGCGGTACGTAAGCCTTGTAGTGAGGTTGCTGGGCTTGTTGACTAGGTAGCGACTGGCGTGAATCGTAGTGCTGGCCGCCGGGTTGTAGAGGAAGCGGGGTTACCCCGTCGGGTACCTGGTTATGTGGAATTGGTGGTGCGGCCCCAGTTGGCTGGGGCGGTGGAGGTTGAGACGGTGTGTCAAAAGAGTCTTGGTGTTGAAGGGGACGGGGATTGGGATTATAGGCTGTATATTGCGGCTGGCCAGAGTGAGAGGCCAGGGCGAGAGGTGTAAGCACACCTTGAGGAGGACCTGATGGTCCGGGAGAGGCCGATGGAGCAGGAGCTGTAGGGCTGCTATACATATCGTCTTGGGAATAGGCGGATGCTGAATATGGATCCGGTCCACTTGCGCTATTATGAGTCGCCACGGGTGAGTCGTAAGCTGGTGTAGCTAGTTCTTGAGGGTTACCGTATGTACTCTGTGGTCGTTGCCCTCCCAGGTGCGAGGCAGGTGTGTAGGGTTGATATGCTTGCTGGGGAGGTGGGCTGGAGGTGTGCTGAGGTACAGGCTGTTTACCTGCAGCTATTCGTGATGGTTGATCTCGTGGGGGATATTGCTGTGAGGGAGGCGGTCCGCCTTGAGGAGGCACCTCGGCGCCTTGGAGATAGAATGGCGCTGGTCCAGGAGTTGGTCGTTGGAAATTAGGTGGCGGTGATGTAGCCTGGTATTGATTGTGCTCTAAAAATGAGTGAGATTGACCTTAGAAAGATTGGTCTAGCCCAACATACCTTGTTGCGGTGGCCCCTGAGGTCCAGGGGTATAATATCTCTGAGGATCTTGCGGGCCCGGGGTTGGACCCTGGGGAGCGTAGCCCGGACCCGGTGGGCCAGCCGGAGCTCCATATCCTTGAGGCACGGGGGGACCGGCCCCATAGTGGTGATAATTGTGTTGTGGCGGATGAGACATAGAAGACTCTAACAATGATTCGTAGTCTCTTCTTGCTTTGATAAACTTTTCGTTTAGCTGCGTAAAGTCGTCCTTCTTCTGGGAGTATTTTTCGATTAACTTGATCAACTTCGGCCGAATTGCCAATGTTTGGTGATACAGTTTCTGGCCATATTAGCAACACTCAGCGGGTTTCAAACTGGGCCAAATCCTTACAGAAATCTCCTCATTATCCTCTTCGCGTGGTGCCGTGTTGGACGTGCTTAGTAGTGTAAGTAACTTCTCCACGTTTTTAATCTCGGCGAACACCTCAGCCTCCATCTGCGCTTCTCGTTGTAATTCATCCGGCGTTGGATCCGTAAGCTTTTCGACATAGTTGAGGGGAAAGATGCCCGTCTGGCCTTTTAGAGAGCCCCGCCACCAGTCCTTGTAGACAGACTCTAGAACAGCAATGACGTCTCCCTTTCTAAATTCCAGCTCGCCAGGTTCGGAAGGTACAAAGTCATAAAGCGCACGAACGCGAGATACAGTTGCGGCAGTGGTACCAGTAGGGTGTGACGGTATTGGCTCGGCCGTCCCAGTTGATGCACCAGCTCCTTGGCTGGGACCGGCGCTAGAGCTGGGACCGGGCGGGGAGGACGTGTTCTCAGTCGCCTTCTTTTTCCTCTCTTCCTCTTGCAATGATAACTTGAGGGCCATCTGTAGCTCGTCCTCCTCCTTTTGACGATCAAGGTCGGTGAGCCCAGTCTTTTGGGGGGCCGAAGGAGGTTGCAAGGTTGGGTTACTCTGCTTCAGGCGGTAGTAAGCATCGTACATTATCCCGAGATCAGCATCATTGCTGAACATGTCGGACCATTCCTTTGTGCGTTCGAGAATTTTGGCCTTCACTTGCTGATGTGTGTTACGGTCGTTGGCAAGCTTTAGAAGGGCGTCTGTGAAGGAGCGGCTAGCGAGTTCGCGGTGCATAGGCTTCCCGCAGTTCTGGGAGAGCGCATTTGCGAGCTAATAAAGCCACTGTTAATTTGTTTCTGTTCAGTTTGGGAAGTGAAGCCATGCAACTGTCTACGCACCTCAAGTGTATATAGCTGGACGTTGGCATTTCGATGCGCTAGTCGTTTGATCAAGCCTTGTATAGCTTGGTTGGGACCATTCGGGTCGCTCGAAACCTTGTCGCAAAGATCGATGATAGCACCCCAGTCTTCGCTCGTGAGATTCTCGTCGGTTGCTTTGACTGTAACAGTAGAAAAAAGTCAGCAAGTCAGCAGGTCTGGAGAAATCGCACCTCTCAGCCGGGTTTCGGGAGGATGACGTTACCGATGCCCTCATCGTACGGGTTGCTCGCAGCACCACGGAACATAGTGAAGAAACAAGCTGTGCTAGCTGTCCTGATACAATCAAATGCAGCCTGTTAGAAATCCAAAGCGTTATGTGTTGCGATCACTGAGGAGTTCGAGTAGCTTGGCCTAGGCTTTCTAGAAAAGTAAGGATGTAGAAGCTAGGTAACTACTTAGGGATGGTATCGTGATCGGGGATGGTGGATGGTGGATGGTGGAGAGGTGGTGACGACGTTGGCCGCGCATTGCTCTGGGCACTAACGCAATAGTCTAACCTGCCCTGGTAATTCGGTAGCCTAGATATATCTGGAGGGGGCAAACGACAGCCGGCTAGGTAACTGCTAACACGGTTCTGCCCAGCTAGAAGCCCAGTATTCTGCCCACTGAGGCAGTGTAATAGCACGCTAACGAGGCTCCCTAAAATGGCTGTACTGCACCTACGGTAGCTAAAAGATTCCGGGGTTCTGCCCGGCGATCCCCACACCAAAGGGCTATGCAAGATGACGCCGAACCATCAAGGCTTGACTCTTCTCCAACAAGTGCAATACGCGTTCAACTGTTTTTTTTTTTGTATGGCTGCGGATAGGTTGGGCTATTTCAGCGGCTGCAATTGATTGGTCAAGGTTGGTATATTTGAACAATTGGTGGCTATATTCTAAATGCATTCATTTACAATCGAGTCATGGAGAGGAGGGCGCACGTCACGCATGCCAACCCTAGTCTAATACGACCGTCGTCTATATATGAACACTGGCCCAACTTTGTATGAGGTGGGAAGCCTAGGTATAATGCGAATGATTAATAACACTAATGCAGAAATGCCCTCCCAACGCCGGCAGTCATCATCGAGCGCATCAAGAATAGGAGCATATCAATGCTCGCTCGCTCGCTCTCGACTCCAGCCGCCATCATACCTTGGAAGTCGCCTTGTCGTATCTCCATAAACGCCATCCTGATTGACTCCTCGATGTGATCCAAACAGTTCCAATTTGTATATATATTCCGTAAACAACCACATCCAGAAGGGAGAGAGCCGAAGGGGGAGTTTCTGTGCCTTGCTGGCACTGAGGCGCACCATCGAAATGGCCCGAGTATCCTAGAGGTAAAAATAATAATAATAAAACAAAGCCCGCGAACAATCTGTGTTCTGAGCTTACCAACGACGACTCCTGTGGCTCGTTTCGTACACACCTCGCTCTCCGCCGGGGCCAGCGTTTCTGATAGTATCACGATTCTCCTCGAGGCTCCGTCGTGATTGGTCACGGTTTATTTCTGACATGTCAAAAAGAAGCGGTTCGTCTTCTGTTTCCTCTGTAGAACCACCACCTGGCCCACCAGTGGCGCCGCCGCGTGAATATCCACGACCATACCGTCCATAGGAGCCTACGAGGCTGCCACTACCGGAATGTGGCGGTGTAACCCCTCGACCGGGGTTGCCACCGTAACGCCTGCCATATGGTGACCCGGAGAGACCACTGAAGAAACTTCCTGGTGGACGAACTTCGCGTTCAGCGGAAGATGACGCCTGCCCTTCCGTATCGACTGACCCGATCGCTCGTATGTCAGCAGGTGGCTGAAGAGCTGGTGAGGCTGTTACCTCGTCTTCCTCGGCAGTGGCTCGCCTAAGCAACGTACTAAGGCTGGGGACATCACGATCTTCTGCTCCAAGACTAAGGCTACGCCGGGCTTCTCCATCATCATCATCAGATTGGACACGAGGCTGATGGGCAACAGAACTTGATCGTCGTGCATGAGGATACGGTCGTGGCGACAAAGGTATGTCAATGGCCGTGGTTCTCTCAAATGCAGCTGGGACATTCGTGGGGACTCCCTCTGGTAGGTCGACATCACGATGAGGTCTGGGTGCTGCCCGCACTGGCGCCGTATAATCCACACTCGAGTTCTCACTAAGACGGGAGGGGATAGCGGGCGTGTGGGGTGTATGAGGGGACAACGGTTTCCCAGGCGACGAAGATGTCGACATACCTGGCACATTAGTCAAGTGTCGGCTAGAAGTGCTTAATGATCTCTGCAGTTGCATCGAAGAGTTCAAGGATTCGGTAAGGGCGTTGTTAGACTCGCGCATGTGATAGAATTTCGAGAGTTGAGCAGCGGTTCTCTTAGTTGCCGACTCGCCCCTTTTGGATGGGTCAAAACTTTGAAGTGTACGCTTGCTATCCAGCGCCTTCAGGAAGTCTTGAATACTATCGTCATCAGTCTGGAAAGAGCCTGAGCTACCTCCAGCCCCTGCTTCGTTGAGGAGGCCAGAACCTGGCTGAGCAATGGAGGATGAGAGGCTTTGTTTGCCACTGCTCATTTGATCATCCTCGCCCCTACTAGTGCCACCGAATGAGTGACGGCCACGGCGATGTGTGAAACTACTACTGAAACGGTTTGTGTTTGCTGGTCTTGGTGATCCAGCAACAGAATTATCGCTGGTAGTCTGCGGCGGCCCCCCTCGTAATGAAGCTGGCATCCCAGCCGTCAACGAAGATCTATTTCGTACATGTGTGGCCATGTTCACCCCCGACGTCCGAGGTGATGGTGGGACATCCTGATCTTGCAGGCGCGGGACGGGTGAGCCAGACAGTGACCCATGCTTAAAGGGCGAGGACTGAAATGAGACAGATGGGCGTCTACTTGATCCTTCTGTCATGCGAAGAGAGGATCGCCGTGCTATACTAGAGATAGGCAGAGAGTGAGCCGGAGTTTCCACGCTAGCAGGTCTGGAATCAGGGGGTGATGATGTATCTGAACCTGGTGCCTTCACCGCTCGGAGGGCAGATATGGGACTTGTACCCACAGGACCTTCACCGTGGAAGGTCGATAAACTCCCATATCGTTGCTGGTTTTCGGTAATATCATGAGCGTAGCGCTGATATGGTAAGGATCCGACTTCGTGTGCTAAGGAGTCGTGACGGCTGTGAGTTCTTCGTGGTAGAGACGGCTTGAACATATCATCAGATATCGCCATACCTATCCTGGAACTCAAGAGCGACTCCGTCTCGACCACTTCAAATGCACAATGATTCCGATAGCAAACTGAGACATAGAACCGACCCACAGGCACCTCGAGGTCACCAAACATGTAGTCGGTAGCTACTTCGCCTCTACCTTCAAGTAATGGCGTCCTTAAAGTGTCGGATCCGAAACTTCGCGATTCACCGGAGGAAACACGACAGCGAACTGTCAAGGCAGGATGTGTGCCTTTCGTCTTGGAATTTCTGGCTAGTTTCCACGTAGGTAATATTCCCGTGGTGGTGTATATAGACCGCATTAGAACGATAGCCTTCTTGTACACCGTGGGAAGGAGGGGGCCGAAATCTTCAAGGTCATCGGAGGAAGAGCCTTTCAATTCAATACGCCACCGCTCTAAAACGACATGACTGTTGGGCTTTCCCTGGCGCCCGATACTGCTGTCACTCGACTGGTCTGACGAGTTAATAGCTTCTACAACATCCCAACGCTTCCCATTCTCATCCAGAGCAGCTAGACTCTGACCGCTTTTTAACCGTGATGTGTCGAGGTAGGTTTCAATAATCATGGGCGGAGGGCGATTGTCAAAACTACCACATGTTTTCCATATGCGGAACTCCTCCCGGAAATCATCAATGTCGTCAGTGTCGAGTTGAAACTGTTGTTGACCCCCAAAATTAGCCGGACACATTCCATCCCCAATAGGGCTGTAGCTGTAATTCCTACTTACCCATCTGCTTGTCCTCCTTTCGAGAGATTTGCCCAGGAATATAGGAGTTACCTGCATTCGCTCCTGAAGAATCAAAGTCGCAGCCTTCGAATAGACATTCTTTATAGCAATATGTAAGCGCGATGTGGATAATATATGCACTCAGAAAGGTTTCACTGACCTGGATGATTTGGTCCAGCTTCTTAACAGAATCCCGGGTCGGGCCCCCTACTGCACGAGACGCCATTGTTCCGGTTGCCGTTGGTGTTCGTGTAGAGCTTTCATGGGATGCGGTGTCTGATGGTGAGTTTGGTTGACCAGCAATATTTGTAGGGTCCCGCTGATTGTTGGTTCTCATGGGATTTGTCTGGGGTGATGACGCCGGGGAGGACGTACGGCGTATAGAGCGTGGGGTTTGATGCATTTTAGATGGCAAAGGGCGAGGGTGATCGAAATATAGACAGGCAATTATTGTCGATTATATCGAACAGAGAATTGGGACAAAGTCTTTCAGCTACCGGGACTCGATCGATCAGGGACTCTTCGCGAGGAGAACCGAGGCACGATGCAGCCGATATAGTGGGAGCGGGAAATTGGTACGTGAGTTAGATGGAATTGGGGGTTTCGATGTGATGCCACCTGACTTTAGCATCCATTGTTCACAATATCGAGAGCAAAGCGGCATAAATTATTTATAGAAAGTCAAGAGAGAAACAGAAAGCCTATTAGCGACGACCAGTTCAGACGTGTAGTTCGGCACAGAAGGAGGCAGACACTGTCGGTCAGGGTCGACGATGAACCACTGAGAGATGTTCAAGGAGGCTCTGCTAACTGTATGCGGGCGGCTGCAGGGACGGGGTGCCAAGCTAGGCAGTATATAACATGATTGGGATTGCGATGGTCTAGGTTCTCTAAGTGCTGTTCCTGCTGCTGTTTATATTGTTCTTGTCGCAAGCAATGGCGCCGACGCTGTTGATGATGATGGATGATGTACCGGTATGCGAACAGGGCTCAGAAATATAGGATTGGGTTGCGGTCAAGGAGTGCACAGTCTGGGTGGATGGGTGAAGTACGGAGTAGAAGTACGGGAGACTACCCCAGACAGGCGAGAAACGTAGTGTAAACTAGTTATCGAGGTGAAGTTTGGGAAGCGAAGCGAAGCTCGCATGGAGACGATATCGAGCGAGCGAGCGAGCGAGCTGGGCTAGCTGGGTGCCCGGGGTGTTCCCAGTCAGACGGTTGGCTCCTCGTGATGTCGTGACGACCCTGTGCCATCCGTCATCGGTCCGCGCGCGCTAACCACGACGAGGATGGGGATTGGACGGCGGCAGGACACAGCGAGAGACAGGTCTTCTTTATGTGCCCTCAGCTCCCCAGAGATCAGATGGCACGGGCAACTCTCTGCGCTCGTGTAGATAAGTGGCCGTCTAATATCTCCTGGCGGTATCAGGAGCGATAAGACAATGGGCTTGGCCTATGACGAATTGTAGAAAACAAAGCAGACAAAGGAGCTAGGTACGAAGTACCGTACTACCTACCTACCTACCTATGTAGTAGACTTGGGGCAGTTTGGGGCAGTTTGGGGGCAGCGCTACGGTACTGTGCACCGGGGCAAGACATTGGATCCACCAATCATCTGCGGTACCGCCCCTACGCTAGCTAAGCCCAGAGCAGTAGCAGAGCACCTACCGTAGGTACTACTGCACAGAACTGCACAACGGCGATAGAGGTATTACAGTCTACAGATACTGTACACAGGCAGGAAGGGGTTCTCTTGAACTACCTAGGTACCTAGGTGAGTATTTTGTACTTGGTGATACGATAGACATGGGGAGTTAGGTAAGTTGTTTACTGCAAGGTGATACACGACAACTACAGCGTTCCCTTAATGAGATAGGTCTAGGTATCCAAGTAGGTAGATATCGATGGAGGCAAGCACATATCTAGTAAGCGATGGGCAAAAGTGCACACCTCCAGGCTATAAGTTTTCCTATAGGCACGTAGGAAAGGATTAAACGAAGAATCCATACCTATACATATGTGTTACAACAAGTTACAATAGAAGTAGGTATAGGCAGTACACCTGGGTAAGTACGGTACCTAACAGGCTTCATGGGACATCTGCTGGACACCACAGGCTCCAAGAATGAAACCAATGGGACTCAATGCGACTTTGGCTCTTGGGGTGCGTGAATTGTCCCTCAAGGTGCCAGATGGGATCGAATGTGCAGAGAGGCAGAAAAGACAGTGTAGAGCTAGCTAGGTACCCAGTACCCAAGATGCCTCCTACAGTAGTGTACAGGCTTGATCATGTTCAGGTCCAAGACATATATTCACACTTGCGCAACACATCTACATGTACAAGCGCACCGCAAGATCCTGGTACAAAAAAAAAAAAAAAAAAAAAAAAAAAGCGAGAGTCACATTTCGAATACCTAGTTCGTATAGGTCTAGACCATTTAGATACTATTGGAATCGGAGGGCATTATCCTGTTAATCTTGATAGAATCGCTAGATTCCCCATGGTTGTCTCGGATGATTCTCACACTACGGGCAGGACTTCCCCACAAACATAAGTAGGCACACATATTACTACCTATATGCACACACACACACACATAGAGCTACCTAGCCTAGGCTACCTTAACCTGGTGCAGCCGGTGCTGTGTTGTGCCCCTTGATAGCGGCCACCGGTCTGATTGGCCCCGGATGCTCAATGCGTCGCTCATGTTGCATGGTCGTAGCGATGAGGTGACTTTTTTCAGATGCCGTTACAATCCGAAAACACGCACAGTATGTCGCCAATGTGCCATTCCAACAGTCTACTGCGTATGTGTGTCGGACAGAGTTAAGCATACAGTGCCCTCTATTGCCATTGGCCACGTCAGAACCAGCTTGTGCTCGATTCAGTGGGGTTGCATTCGAATTGACTCATCTGATCGGTTTCCAGGGGTCTCGCCATTGGTGATAGGCAGGCTATGGGCTATGGATGGTAAGTGGACATGTAAATACACTTTGTCATTGCTTTCCACGCTAGTGAGAAAAGTCCTACGATTCTATCACTGCCGATGTCTGGTCCAGAATAGGCAGATACGGCCGTGGAGTGGAGTGGATGTCGCTCGCATATTGATTGCATGTGAGAGCTGAGCGTTTGAAATACCAACAGCAATAACCAACATACGTCAAGCCGACAGGCATCCACTTCACTTTGGCTCTGGTGAGCCCTTTCAAATTATACAACTTTATTCCGTTTCTAACCGGGAATTAGATATATGACAGCCCTGGATAGCGAGCCGGATAGAACTGCCCAGCTTGAGCGCTATTGGAAGCTCGTCCCGAGCAATTCCGGTTTCCTGTCTTTGAGGCCGAGTAACATCTCGCCGAACAAACCGTTGGCCCACGAAAACCATTGTCGTGTCCATCGCCCAGCGTCAAACGTGTCGACAGATTCGTGGATCAGCCCAAGCCCGGCCGTCGATGAGACAAGCGTCTGCAACCCTGCAACAATCTCGTTGTCATCCTCAGAAGTTAACAATGCTGTGATGATAGACATAGGCCAAGCTCGACCAGGTCCAACATGCGGGCCTCCGGTGCTGTCAATAATCGTTAGACAATCCGAATGACATGTAGTAGTAGTATAACTACTCTTGAAGTAGACTCACCCATTGATGACCGGGCCATGCATATAATAGGGGTTCCACGTGGACAGCACAAATTTACGCGTGTTTTGGTACGTCTCGTCCGAGGTTTTGAGAAATTCAAGGATTGGCGCACTTAGCAGACTAGGCACGTTCGCATCATCCATTAGGTTGCTAGAGCCGAAGCCATCAATCTCGAAGGCGTAGATTTCGCCAAACGTGGCATGGTTCACTTTGCCATACTTATTAATGCCGTCTCGGACAGAACTCGCGAGATTGCTCATCCTCTCGGCGAGATCAGCGTCGTGAGCTTTCATGATCTCGGCGCTCTTGCCTAGGTAGCTGGAAAACTGCATGTTTGCCGGAATGAAGAGTTGATAGATCGTGGCATCATCCGAAGGACGGAACGCGCTCCGAACAAGACCAGTGCCGCTCCTGACCGGATTACCAATGCCACCATTGCTCAATGTCTCCGTTCCTGCTGTAGTCGTGCGCTGGAAAGTGTAGGGCGACTTGTTAACAGATCCATCGTCCGCATAGGTACCAACAAGCAAGCCCTCGGCGACATTTAATATCGTTTTAACTCCTTCGATCCACTTGAATTTCCCAAAGAACTCGGCATCCTTGGTCTTGTCATAGTAATCCCATGATAATTGTAGGAATGCAGAGATGGAGTCAAGCTCATACTTGCACTCGAACACAAAGTCAGTAGAGTATCCAGGATTCACATTGTCGGTCTCGGCCGCCGAGTTCTTCTCCGGTGGGAGACCGGATTCGGGCGGTGCCTGGAAAGCATTGCAGTACGGGTTCTGGATAATGTATCGTGCTTGCAGGTTTATGGCGCCGCGGAACAACGAAGCAAGAGAGTCGGTTGAAGCATTGGCCTTGAGCAGCGACTTATAACTTCGAAGCTGGTTGGCAGAGTCGCGGAGCCACATGGCAACAATGTCGCCAGTTGTCACAAATGTAAGCTATATTGGCAATAATCAGTCAAATCATTGCCAAGGTTGTCTAGATCCGTCTAACCACTCACTTCTTCCTCGGTGTCACTGTTCGCAAACCCTTTCCAAGAAATAGTTGTATCCAATGTGTTTGGGAACGCATTTTGGAACAGGCGGAAGAGGTCGGGGTCTTTCACTAGACCCTTCATGTCATCAATAGCATGCTCGACCTCCGGTATCGTATACTTTCTGCATGCTGGCTCAGGGCGCATGGAAGATAAGTGGTATTTCCCCTCTGAGAGCGGCTCGTGAGTCTGGGTGGAGTATGAGCTATAGTCGGGGCAAGCCGCTCTACTACTGATAGCATACGAGGAGGCCGCGAGCGAGCTCAGCAGCAAAGCTGGGAATCGCATCATCTTTGTTGATGTAGTCGGCTCAATTGTTACTCTGCGTATCCCAATGAGACTCCAGCAGCGGGGCGGGGTGAACAAACGGATAACCAGTGAGGTGAGAACAAACGGATAACCAGTGAGGTGACACAGGGACCTCACCTGGAATTCAAATTCAATAGCACTCAAAACAAATGCGAGCTTCCGGCGGTGGACACATGAATCACTTTATTGATTAGCTTCACCGATATAGGTACAGCACAGGACAGAGATTGCTCGGATGCGATCATACATTCAATTACCAGCTTCTTCTTTCAGTTAACTCTCCAACATAAGCAGGTCTTCCTTCCCCGTAAAAAAGCAGAAGCATGCCTGCATGGCCAGCCTATCCCCTGGTCAGAGCTGGTCTAGGCCGGCCATTTCTTCTGAGCCGAGTGAGCTCTTTCCTACTGCACGTCGGCGCCGTCAAGCGTATGACGTCTCATCATGGAAAATTGCAGACAATGCAGCGCCTTAGCGCAGCACATAAAGCCGAGCCGGCTTCATTTGTGCGGGGAATCCCTGAAGACTGCCTACCTGGGATTAATCATTTGGTGGTTACCTAGGTACCGATTCTGGGGTTTTAGCTGGCTCATCGACTGCCTACCTCTACTGGCTAAGTCAGTTACTAGGTAGGTATGATCCAAGTTACTACCATGAAATGCTTCCACTCGCCAGAGTAAAGGTCAGTAAGTAAGTAGGTAGGCAGCGTAGTCTGAGTGTAGGTTCAAATTCCGCCCTCGCGGTCAGCAGTTCGAGCTTCCAGAATTGACACAAGCTCGGCTCTTCCCCGCCTAATGACCTAATGAGGCTCATGACCTGTCCAAGAGGTTGGGGTAATACCTAAGTCTTGGCATTGTGCGCTCTCTGAGCCAGCGAGCGGAGATATGGACTTGATACCCTCTTTCGCTAATTACCTACTACGTACCTACATAGTATGTAGGTAGGCAGCCAGCCAAAGGCATGTGCTGGTTGCGAGGATGTCTGGGAAGACACAGAAAAGACTGTGTGGCACTCTTTATCTTTTTCGTCTAATCTTGTTGGGGGGTCTATATGTGTGCATCGCATCGTTTACTGACAGGTTTTCATTTGCCAACGCGAATCCGAAGAGCGTGGCGACACAATCTCGCGAACGTTTGACATAAAGGTTTACCCTACCTCAGGCACAGCAGCCACATTAACATTTTCCCCGTCGGCAAACAAGCCAAGATTCAAATACCTAGCGAGATGTCACTCACCACCACCACTGTATAGCCGTGCCTCGCATCATGTTGTGAAACACCCACTTCCCATTAAAAGTCATGCCACAATGGCGCGTCAGGCTTCCCCATTCTACAGCAAGACAATGGTCATGAGGATACCTATAACGATGGTATCTCGGGTAGAGCGAGTGCTAGAATTTCCCATACTCAACTCACTGGAAATCGCCTTACACTTCGAATACCCCCGAAGCGGAGCCCCTTGAGACATTTGTCGGGGAAAACGACGGTGCGATGCGAACCGCCAGCGTACAGGATACAACGTGTAGCGCGAGTACAAGGTGTCATGGACTTTATTGAGTCCAGTGTATCATTTCACAGATTCGCTAATGGTCGTGCAAGGTAGTGCCATCAATGCCGAATTATCTAGTGTGGCATTGCCTGTTCCGACGGCGTCGAAGTGTGGCAAATACTGGTAAGGTGTCACCTCATCCGGTAGCGATCGCGTCTCACCCTCAGAGGGGCTCGGCTACACCAGCGCGACTATCTCAAATGTTTCTTCGATGGCAGCTCGCAAGACAAGGACTCTGAACCCATATAGTACAAATTAGTTCTACTGTGCATATCAAGGTAGATAACCTTGCGAATGGTCTGATCTGGGCAGTGACTTGACTATTCGGAGAGTACAAAAAGTGTTCAAATGTCGTCAAAGCCTACCTTAAGAAGCAGTTTTCAGAAAGACCTTCTCGAATTGAATGTTTATGTCATACTTTTCACGACGCCTAGTGCAATTCTCGGTCAATGAGATTGAACTGATCGTAATACCTAGATCCTACTTCGTTGGTAAACCGAAGACTGGACCTTTAAGTCGAACTTAAGCATAACGACAAAATGAGCAATTTAGGTGACCTAACCTCACATATCTCATTATCAGGTTTCCGTACTTGAGCGCATTGAATATCTCAGCGCATCTTATGCCGACAGTTTCTCTCAGCTTCGGGTAGCGTGTGTATCAGTAGGTTGATAGCTGAGCTTACCTATAATCACTTCTCCCACGTCGCGGCAAAACTTGTACCTACATTGACATGTCTCCCGACTTGGCATGGAATCTGTATTCATAGGTATCACAGTCTACCACCTACTATGTATTGTGACTGCCAAGGCCAATGCCGCCTTTTAATTGGGGCCAACAGCGACGGTTGTTAGTATGTCTCATGTCATGTAGGACAATGCCCATATGACAGCGCGTTCAGCGCGTATGGCCCCGTGCAAACATTGGTTTACCGTCAATGGATTGACGCTTCGAACTCTTGCCATGCAAATACCACTATTATATTCGAATTCTTCCTGCCGCTTGTGGGGACGGTCGACTTTAACCGGCCTCTGTTAATTGCCCAGAACGGAGCTACATCGTGGCGTTACACCCTCGGACCTGGACATGTATGTAGGTACGTAAACAGGAGAGAAAAAGAAAGTGGAAAGGACACATACACACTAGACCGACCGTATGAAACAGCTCACATTACGGAGTACCAGTAGTGATATGGAGATTTTAAAACTTCTTTTTCTTTTTCTATAGATCGTTCACCACTGCGTTGTGCCAAGAGACGTGGGATTGGCTCCGGTCTCGAATTAGCCCTCGCCATCACCTCTGCAGTACTGGAGACGCTCATTTATTGACCAGCGGTGCCATTCCTACTGTTCAAGGTCGAGGTCCTTTTTATATACAAATGCCATCTACAAACACGCAGATGTCCGATCCGCTACCTATATTACCCTTCATTGCCACCTAATTAGCCCGCCACAATTAGCATCCCCGGCCTTGACTCTGGTGCCAAGCAACGTAAACTACTTCTAGATGGCTTGGCTAGCCAGCTGCCCCGACCTATCTACTTCCATATCCGGTTGAATTCGCTTGAACGATCCGGTGAAGTAAATTTGCCTCGATTCTGGTTGATCTAGGGAGGGCAGTTTCGGTCCAATTCGAATCGTGGGTTATCTCACGAGCGATTCAGATGTGATGGCGGTTCCTTTCCTGAAGACTTTTCCCCGCCGGCGCAGGGTGTTCTCGGTCGTCCTGCTCTTTACTTTTATATGGGCATTACTTCCCGTCGAAAGTTTCAACCCTCCCCGGAGAGTCTTGCTAAGCGTTACCAAGGCGTTGGCAGGAAAGTCCAGTATCGATGTTCTGGAGTTCGTGGATCCTCTCATTGGCACGGTGAACGGAGGTATGTCCTTATGTCATTTCCATCGCCCGTCCTGGTCATGAAACTAAGCATTTGAAAAGGCCATGTCTTTCCTGGAGCAACTCTGCCTTATGGTAAGTGCAAATATGTCGAGAATCGAGTTTGTTAAAGACATCTGACGAATGAATATAGGCATGGCCAAACCAGTGGCGGACACCAATAATTATGCTGAGGCGGCTGCTGGATTCGTATCTGACGACTCGCTAATTCTGGGCTTCTCTCAGCTCCATGACTCCGGTGAGCCTACTTATGTTCTCTTCATTTAAGTCCCATCGTGCCACTAACTATATGAACTAGGAACCGGAGGTGTGAGTTTCCTTATGTAGATACTCTGTGTGAATCATGGCGGGCTGACAGTGATAGGCCACTTCCATGGGCAACTTTCCACTCTTTCCTCATCCAGGATGCCCGGAAGATGACTTCAAACAATGCCGTTATGTCGGCGCCGACCGAGCTATCTCCCGTCTCATCGACTCTGCAACAGCGAAACCAGGATACTTTGCCATCGGGCTGAATAACTCAGTGTACGCGGAGATGACGGCAACAGCACACACGAGTCTCTTCCGATTCAATTTCCCTGTAGAGGCCGAGGTACCCTATGCATATCCCACATCTGGAATCCAGGATACACCGCAAACGGTACCTAATAGCCCTCTGATCCTTCTAGACTTGATTGATCTGGGAGGCAGTCGCTCAGGTGGCGATATCAAAGTCAATATGGCTACGGGCCGCATGGAAGGAGGCGGCGAATTTCGCCCCTCGTTCGGCCACGGCCAATACAAGGCTTACTTTTGTGCAGACTTCCAGGGCGCCGAGATCCGGCGAACAGGCACATTCTTACGTGCCAATGCGACTGACGGAGCACAGGCTCTCGGAAGCACATACGGCACTACCCGGCTATCGCAAGGGTCTGCCGGCACATGGATCCAATTCGCTCAGACGCCTCAGAATCAAATTCTCGCACGAGTAGGCATATCCTTCATATCAGCTTCCCAAGCATGCCAGAACGCCGAGCAGGAGATCGGCGACTTCGATTTCGCCAGGGTGGTGGCAGCTTCCCAATCGGCATGGCGCGATAAGCTCTCCGTGATCAAAGCCGACCATACAGGTCTCAACGTGGATCTGTTGAAAACGTTCTGGTCCGGTTTGTACCGAACGATGTTGTCACCGCAGAACTACACGGGCGAGAACCCGCTTTGGGTGTCGGATGAGCCGTACTACGATAGCTTTTACTGCATCTGGGACTCCTTCCGGGCACAACATCCTCTTCTGACTATCATCGACCCGGAGACGCAGACGGATATGATACGCGCGCTAATTGACATCTACAAGTACGAAGGGAAGTTACCGGATTGTCGCATGAGTTTCAGCAAAGGATACACCCAGGGCGGATCGAACGCCGATGTGGTTCTAGCCGATGCACTCATTAAGAATCTGACGAGGGGCATTGACTGGGCGTTAGCATACGAAGCCGTCGTATCGGACGCCGAAGAAGAACCAGCCGACTGGTCAATATCCGGACGAGGCGGGATCGAGAGTTGGCGCACGCTGGGCTACATCCCTGTGGACGACGACGATAGAAATGGCACAGGCCCGCTCAGTCGTTCTATTTCGCGCACGGTTGAGTACGCATACGACGATTTCACCATCGCGTTAATGGCGCGCGAGCTAGGGCACAAGGCGGACGAGAAGAAGTATCTCCAGCGGAGCGGGAATTGGAGGAATCTGTGGCAGGCCGAATGCGAGGACCGTTACCAAGATAGCAGCACGGCTGATGTAATACTTGGATCTGACTTCCGCGGCTTCTTGCAGCCTCGGCGCCGAGATGGCACGTTCTCCGAGCAGGCGGCGCGGCTTTGCAGCCCTGTGTATGAACAGCACATTTGCTACTTCGACACGAGCCAGTCTACGTACGAGGGAAGTCCGTGGTTGTACAGCTTCTACGTACCACACGACAGTAAGTACTTCTTGAACCATTCCCATCTTATTTCCAGATACTTCTAGTGGATAGACGCTGCTTTTCCTAGAACCGCCACACATTACCCTCGGAATAGCGATTGCTGACCTGCTGTGCGTAGTGGCATCCCTGATCAAACTCATGGGAGGACCAGAGCTCTTCGTCTCAAGACTAGACTACTTCCACTCCTCTGGGATCAACTACATGGGTAACGAGCCGAACTTTCTCCCAACCTTCCAGTTTCACTACGCCGGCCGTCCCGGACGCAGCGCATACTGGGTGCACCAGTACATACCCTCTCTCTTCAACAGCAGCGTGGCCGGCATTCCAGGCAACGACGATTGTGCCATGGGCGCCTTCTCGGCGTTTGCGTTTATGGGGTTCTTTCCCGTCGCGGGCCAAGATGTGTTGTTGTTAACGCCTCCTCTATTCCGTGAGGTGAGTATACGGACGCCCGACGGGCGCGGTTGGTCGACTCTGCGCAATGTGAATTTCGACCCTGAGTACAAGGATATGTATATACAGAGCGTGAAGCTTAACGGAAAACCGTATACAAGGAATTGGATCACGCATGATTTCTTCAGGAAGGGTGGCTTGTTGGAGTTCGTGCTTGGACCAAAGGAGAGTGGCTGGGGGACGCAGAAAGAAGACCTGCCGCCTAGTTTGTCAATGGGGATGTTTTGAGCTTTCCTTCGGCGTTTATCAGGTGTTTCACAGGTTTCAAAATTCGGGAGCTGAATTCGGATGTTGCTGAGTTCTGAGCAGATGGGTCAAGGTGGCTTCGTAGGTGCATGAGTCTCATACCAACATATTTTTTTTATATAGCTTACAATTAGTGTAGACTGAATCATTGCCATGTATATACACAGGATGAGGATATTTAGATATACCAAAGCGACATCGTTACCACAGGATCTTACAATATATACGAAAAGGGACTGCTACGGGCTTGAATCATTCCTCCTCCTCCTCCTCCTCATCATCATTATTTCCATCATTATCGTCTCCCTCTTCTTCATTCTCGTCCGAATCGCTGTCAACCCCAGGATCCGGCATGACGACATTGTTCAAAAATGTAATCTATGTATCCCCATCAGTAAACTGAGAAACTACCCTTCGATTGTAAGGGCTTATAGGAACGTATGAGCTCGGAAAGGAAACCCCACTCACAAACGGCACCATAGCACGAATAATCTCCATGATCTTGTCCTGTGCGTTGTCGCTATGGAGGTCTTCATCGGATATTTGACAGCCAACGGTGTAATTACGCAATTTCAAGAGGTGGATGTCGCGGTGATCTGGGATGAATCCCTGTCCAAATCTAATTATCAGTCTCATTCGGTCTTCCACTCTCACGAAATCGTTATAAACCCGGCGTTTGGATCAGGTGCACATAGAAAGATCATCAACAGACCTTAGGCCTAGTTTTGAGCGCGTTTTCCTGGTTCTTGTCGGCAAACGCTTTCAGAATCTTGTCTTCCTTCTTGCCGACGGCACTTGGGAGAAAAGTGCGGACAAATCCGGGGTCCGTGAGCACCTGTCGAATACGGTGAGGCCGTTCGTCGACGCTGGCGCGCAATTTTGCGAGGGCCTGGGCCTCGGGATGCCATAGCCCGCCGCCTGAACATACCTATGTGTTAGCATGGCTGCTAAAATGCCAGATTTGCTCAAGATAGTGTGACAACTGACCTACAAGACAACGCCCAGGTTCTACATGCACGTAGTAGCAAGCGTAGGGGCCTTTACGACCAGTACGAGACCTAATATGATAGAATAGAGTTAACGGATACATTTTCTTAATTCTGTCGCTTCTGCGATGATATGCCCTATCATTGCAGTTGACAGGAGACTTGGGGAGCATCATCAAACTCACCACGCAGCTGAATAATGAGGCTAGCCCTCTCCAGAGATTAGCAATAAATTCACTCTTCACAAACTACAATACTCAATCACCGGTATTCCTCACCTTATAAGGAGTTGGGTCTTTGCTAAAGCGGATGTCGCGATAGATGCGAAAGATGACGTCTTTGATAGGCAGTTCCGGTATTGTCTCATCAGCCTCAATAATCTTATCTGTTAGCGTCTCGACGAAAGACTCCCAATCTTTGAGTGAACGTCGGTATTCCGGATCGTGCACTATGTTTGGCGTTGGGTTAGCTCCAATTCTAGCCTTATTGCCTGTTTTCTTCACATGTGTAATGTAATAAGCTGAACACACTCATTTAACTATAGCGTAGTACACTCTGAGACGAATAAATATGGGGATATCTTCACGAGAGCCACGGATCGCAAGAAGCCAATGGAGTATCAACTCACTCTTTAACCAACTCCGCTTATTATTTGCCTTCAAATCACCCAAAAAGAGGAGGGTATTCGGGTGTACTTTTGTGTCTTCATAGTCAATACCATCAGTGTCGCGAAGCTTTGGCAATGGAGTGAAAGTGACTTGTGGTTCGTCATCGTCATCATCATCCAGCTCAGCGTCGTCTTCGTCTTCGTTGCCGCTACGAGTCACCTGACCCTGTCGCTTGGTATTCGGAGGTGTCGGCGCATTTGCAGGCGGCCCGCGCCTTTTAACGGTAGATCCGGATTTGACCACTTTTGTCTGCGATGCTGCTTTTTGCAGCTGTACAGTTGAGTTTTTGGGTGGTCGGCCCCGTCCGCGCTTTCCGGCACCAGATTTGGGCGGGGGCGGCGTCGCGGAATCCTCATCCTCATTGAAAACATCGCTATCCCCATTATCATCGTCTATATCCTCATTCTCATATTGATCTTCATCATCTGACAGGTTGACCTGAGATTTCCGCTTAGAGCATGATAAGTTGGTGGAGGTCTTCGAAGCTTTACGCGGCGGTCCATCACTGTCAGAGTCATCTACGTCATTCTCGAAATAGGAGCTCTTCTTCCCGGCAGAGCTTAGTCGAGTAGAGTGGCGACGGGATCCGGACCGCGGTGTCTCTGACTCAGTCAAATTACGTTTTTTGGGAGGCATTATTGTGCTTTGATAAAAGCGTTGGACGTTTCAAGTGTTGAGAGAACCGAAGCTGACGCGCTTCTAGGATTACCGAGCAACTAAAACGGTGGGGTGAGATATGAGGTCGCCACGCGTTGTCACGTGATAGCATTATATATTGTCATCAAATGAGCATATACATTACTACGAAGTTAGGAGATAAGCAGATAAACACCTGCAACGATTGACACAATCCCGAGATTTTATTCACTCTTCCTTCGACCTGGTGCGTGGTTGGGCAATTTTTTAGGTGCCCAACGACGATGTCTCAAGACCTGCCTCCCATAATGTGAGGACTAGGCCATTCACTGAACCTTCTTTCACATAGTTTCGACCAAATTGACATACGCAAAGCGCTTGGACACCTGCGAGCTAGCAATTGCAATGGCTGATCAACTGAATGCTATCTGCATCTAGTCCCTTCGATGCCTACAAGCTGCGAACCTGGGTAGCTCTATATCGGGCACTTACAAGGAGGTACAGAATAGGTTATATAAGCAGATTCAAGGGTTCCTCTAAGAATACGGAGATAGGTGAACGTAATTGTAATGTATTTTAGAAAATTATGTGACATACACGAGTCCAATTCCATAGAATGATCACACTATCTATATATACAAGTTAGCTTCCGTCGTCCCCGCTCCAAGATGTAATTAGTTTACTCGATTACTTATCTACTATAATAAACCTATGTGTACTACAAGAGCTGCAAGCGTACTGTAAGCTTCATGAGCGATTACTTACTTAATCCATATTTCCAACGTTGTTTTGTAGAATTTAGGCTAAACTTACTTGTGAGGTTGCGGTTGGGGTATCAGCTAGTCTGTAACATGATGGTCGGTAGTACAACGGTACACTTAGGTACATCTACAAGAAATTGAAGCGCTTGTAATATGCAGAACTTCTGTCGTGCCAGTTAAATGTTGATGAGAAGTCGTGGTACAATGCTAATCTCAAAACAGACCTGTCTATCTAAGGCAGTACAACCCAATCACTGGCTAAAAACAGGACCTTGACTTGTACACATGTAGAGTGCAGTTGTTATATAAAAATGTAGTACTCGGGCAGGCGGTTATAATGGACGATGATAATATGAAGGACAAATTTGGTATCATGCTTCATTTCTCCATGACGAGATCATTACATGAACAATCAGCAACCTTGAATAGGACAATGAACAACGGCCACAACACCTCGCTAATAGATCAACCCATTTGCACCCAGTTTCAACGAAACCTGCCACTGCACCTCGACATCAACCAAGTCGAGAATTAGTTCCCATCCTGCCGAGTGGCGTCCTGTCACGTGGCTTCTCTAGAAGGTCAGCGTACCCCTCCAGTCCAATACCAATGACTTTAACGATATCAAAAATATGTGATCCTTTGAACGTTTCGGCCCAGAGTCGAATCACAGCAGCGGCCAGCTGCCGTAACTTGTTACTGTCGTTTATCGTCATATCCATGTTTGAAGATGGGTGGCCCGGCCCTCCTCCTGAGAGGGACGGGTCGATTGGTACTGCAAATTCAGTCTCATCCAGCATGTGACGCAACATCTCCAGCAGTCCCCTTTCTTCGGGGGACGGAGGAGCATCAGTAGGGCAAATGGATGCCAAGGTCAGCAGCCATTTCGAGAGAAGAATGGCACACTCAAGATTACACACTGAAAATAAGTTAACACAACACGTTTGCAGTGACTGGAACCATTGGACCTTACGGGAATGCTGCATGCTCCATTCAGACGACTTTCTTCTAGCCACATAGTTCACGCCTAGCTTGACTAGCATAGATAGCGCATGAATTGCTTGAAGAACAGCCCTATTCGAGCGTGCGCTCCGGACCAGGTATGGGGCGTCGTGGAAAGCCTGAGCTATCTGACCAGAATCTCGAGTCTCGAGAGTCCTACTAGGACTCAGATCGGTGTACAACCGGATTGAAGCCAATCTCCACAGTGCCGTCGAATTGTAAGCAACAGGCCCGCCCGGGAAAGAGTCCGATGCACCTTGCGGATTAACTTCCGCAACCCGTGTTTGATGCTGCTCAAAACTCATTTGCCAAATTCGCAAGGCTTGCAAACACTCCTCGACATCGTCAGGTCGTAACCCTCTAGGTGCCTCAAAAGAAGACACAGAGGTGAACGAGGTCTGCTTGAGTAGAAATATATGTTGCAGTAAGGCATGAATAAGAATGTAGTTGCCGAGGGAGGACATATAAGCGGGTGGTCCTTGCGGAGGGCGGCTGAACAGCCGAGCGAACGCATCCTGGAGGGATATATCCATGCTTGGAAACGAATGGCGGGCTTCTTGCCACTGCCATGCTGTTTCAGCCCTCCATAATTTCGATGAATGGGGCAAATACAAATTGAGCTCCGAAGTGAGTAACAGAGGAGGCATGTTGTAGGCAATGCTGCATAAATTGAAGAAGCAGTAGGTAATGAGCTTGGTGCGATTCCCGCCTTCTATGCGAATCCAGGATTCCCAATCAGCCGTCTGGGTCGATTCGGACAGAAACCCCTCTTCTCTTACCAACAGAGCAAGGAGACTCTGCAAGGACATGGCCTCGTGAAGAATGGCCTTTGCACCCCATAGACCGACAGCGAAGAGTAAGAGAAGGGCCTGGATCGTTTCCATGCGAGCTTGAGGAGTATTTGGAGAACTAGTTCATACGTTAGAAGAGATCTTTCATATGCAAAGCCAGCTGCCATGAATAAAGCTTACTAGGGCTCTCGATGAGTGTCTTGAGTCATTGGCCGTTCCTGCTGCATAGAACTAAAGGAATGCCTGAAACCATGGCTTGGCGAAGGTCTTGTGGAATGCGGGCTGTAGGCTGCGGCGGTCGGTAGCAAGCTGTGAATCTCGTGGCTATGCCGGCGACGGATCTGCTCAAGTGCTACAGTTCTCGCTGCGTACCACAGCGCATTCGACCTGTGACTTTCGAATCTGTATTGAGCTCCAACTGCTAGAATAGCTAGCAATAACTCTGGTGCGATGTCTGCAAGGGCGATTGTTGGAAGGTGTAGGATAGGAAGATGCTCATGGAACCCGGTGACATAACCTTCGAGAAATCGGGTTAGGGTATGCCGCGAGGGAAATACGAAATCACTAGGGAGAACGGCAGAAAACTCGTCCAATCTATTCTTGATCACTGTGTGATCCATAGGAGACACCCTCATTGGGGCAGTCTTGCTGGGCTCATCGTGCATTCTATTGGCACCATCGGTTGGGTCACGAGGATCGGGTGCGAGTGATGGGAATCTTGACGGGAATTGTGAAGATGGCTTGGACAATGCACCCCGCGGCCACAGCCCAACACCCTGATCAGCTTCGAAGGCTTGAGGGAGGAAATGTGAGGATGTTGCAAACTCATCCATGAACAAGTTGTAATCGTCAAAGGCAGAGGAGGGCCCGGTCTGAACGGGGAGACCCATTGACATAGGTCCAGGGTCTGGCTCCCGCCCACGATCTCCATAGGCTATTCCATCATCATAAGGCTTGATACGTGGCATGGAATTCGATGGTTGGGGCAGGTCTGGCATGATAGGTTGCAAGGAGTTCACCTCGTTAGCCGAAGCGATCTGAGTAGCCGCATCGGACAAGAGGTCTAGATTACATGCGGTAGCTCTTGTTGAAATGCGCGGATCGGGTTGAAGAGTGGGCACGGCCATTGACGATGTTATGGAATCCGAATGATAATGCGGCTGATGGGCCCGCGGCATACCCATCATCTCCGAATCGATGTGGTTTTGCCCCGGTAGTGGTGGCTGGGTAGCGGCACCAGCCGTAGATGGTTTCCTCGGCCGGGTGCCATCTTTGTTGGAGCCTTCATTCAAGTGAACGAGCTTCTCGTGGCGAACTAAGAGATCTCTGATGTCCATATAAGCATCATCACCTTCACAATGAAGTATGTCACGATGGGGGCGCAGTTAGGAGGATGAGAAAGGGTTAAAAGCCACCTCCATGTAAAGACCTGGGGGGTGGAGGCAGACGTTTTGCGGAGCACCGGGGTTCTGTGGCGTAGGCTAGTCAAGGCCAGCTGGGGAGCCAACTGAGGAGCAAAAGGTAAGGAATGGAGGTGATAGCGGTAGGCGAAGAATACTGACCTACGACCGAATGTCTTTCCACAGCGAGCCCAACCACAGGAGAAGGGTTTTTCTTTAGTATGAGTCCTTTCATGTCGTTGGACATGCTCCACGCGCCTAAATGAGAGATTGCCGTGTGAGCTATATTAAACGAGGGTTGGAGATGAATTTGGCGGCCATCCTACCTGAAGTGTTTGTCACAAAACTTGCAGGGCAGGGTCTTGGGCTTCTGTTGCTTCCCCTCGATCTTCTCGTCGGTAGTGCCGGGGACAACCGTGCCCTCTATGGACGGCCGCGACTGCATTGGAGAAGAGACTCAAGTAGTCAAGATTGGCTCTGGGGTCGAAGACCCTGTATACAACTATGGTTGTAATGCAGAAAGGAGTCACGCAGCACCTGGAAGTGGGGCAAGAAGGGCCGGGTCGACGACCGAAGGCCCAGAGGTTATGCCAGAAAGAGGAATGCCTTGCGGGGGGTGACGATTGATGGATGAATTCATGAGGGTGGTGGTAGGTGGAGGGAAAGGAAGCAGGATAAGGTATTAGCTGGCTGAGGGCTCTCATCCGGCAACTGACGCAATATTCACCGTTGCCCAGTGCATCAACACAACAACACACCTCTCTCTCTCTCCCCCTCAACTGATGATGACAGTCTTGTGACAAAAAGAGCTGGGCCTGGTAACGATCAATGGCAAACCAGCCCAAAGAACACTGGCCCGACCAGCACAGTGCAACGAAGCTTTGGTACGTCTGACGGCCTCCAAAACAGCAATAAATGATAACAAGGCTACGGCGACGGTGGGGAGAAGATGGAGGTTCCGAGTGTAGCACAGAGACGATGAGTAGTGATTATCCGGCAAGGGAGCGTGCGAACGGGTGGTTTATTGGTGGGCATAAACGCGGAGGAGTAGACACGAGTAACAGAAGGGATGAAAAAGACGTGTGGAGATTGGCTTGGAATATGCCACTTGGAATATGTCACTTCTCCGACTTGTTGAACCCAAGTCGACGGAGGTCAGGACGACAAAAGACGATTGAACGAGCACGAACAGATGCGAAAGCTGGTGAAAACTAGAACGCAGTACGGAGACGATGCGCGAACCAGCAATTGTGCGCTATGCAATATAGAAGGAATTAAGCGCGTTGTGTGCTGGCTATCGTGGCTATCACTTGATGCAAGGAGGAGGCCAGGAGGATGAAGAGGCCGAGGAGAAGAGACGACGATGATGGGGTTTCGGGGTTAGTGATGAGGAGAGAAAATGCGGAGTTGAGAAACTGGGGGGCAGAACTGGAGACCTGGAGAGACCTGGGGGGGCGGGGGGAGGGGGTGGGGTGGGGTGGGCTCGTACCTCTACCGGAAGTACCTACCTACAGGTACTGAGGCAGGCAGTAATGGGTACTTACTTAGACCTAACCTAGTGGGCAACTAGGTACCTGGTACCACCGTACTATGTGCATACCTTTGATAGGTAGGTCACCTACATAATACTACCTACTAGGTACCTAGGTGCATTATGTACTGCATGGCATATATCATACCAGATCATACCTACCAGGTAATAATACATATACGATCCAATCCCTTCTACCACGGTACAAACACATGTACGTAGCAAACACCCGGGATAAAACAGAAGTTGGCGTCAAATCAGAGGGCTGGGTATGCCGCTGCTTATGTGCCTTGGGCAGAACTCAGGTTAGCAGCTTGCCCATAGATGACCGCGCCATTACATGTGCAACACCGACATGTACGGCAGCTAAACGGCAGGTAAACAGCGAGTAAACAGCAACTACACGGCCCAAACCAGCCCCGCCCGGAATTAGAGTACCGGTACCAAGTAGAGGCATCACTGGAGATCTTATTTGATATTCTACCTACAAAGGTCCCTTGCCTATCCTGTTCTCGCTCGCGATCTTCGTACCTGCATATGTCTATTATCAAGCATAAAGGTTCTAACACATATGGTTTCCAAGACAAGTATGCACTGACGGTAGATGTGTGGACACAGATCTTACATCTGGACAACTTCCTTGCAGCAGGATAAGGACAAGTGAATAGTGTACATAAAACCTTACCTATAATAAGTGTTTTCCCCTCCACAGAGCGTCTCTAAGGAGAGGGGCCGGGCCGGTGGCTGGGAAGCGATCGCTGATAAATGGACATCGCGGGAGTTATTGCTTCGTTCAACTTCCCTGTTATTACAACCCGCCAGTTGACTTGCTGGAACCGAACCCAAGGCTCTCCGCTCAGAGATTCCTTGTACTTTATATCCGCAAAGCCACCCCACACTTTCCGGGGGGCCCGTTTTTCTCCAATGCGGGGAGAGCAGACAAAGCCGGCCAAGAGTAACCGAGTACCTAGGTAGGCATAGCTTCACATGGAGGTGGCCAGTCATAATAGAGAAAAGAAAAGAGAAAAAGAAATCACAAGCTGTTCCTGTTCGCAACGATAGGCCTGGTCTGGCAGGGCTTGAAAGGGAGCAAGGTACTGTAGGTAGGCAGGTGGTATAGCGTGGCAATAGCTTGCTTCACCGCGATAGTGACATCAATAAGCTGCATGGCCACCGAGAATATTGATTTCAGCCAAGCAGGCCACAGCGCGGTGACCATCTTCTCCGAGCGGAACAATGAAGTGAACACATGCAATAATGATCCGAAAATATCGAAATAAGATCTCTGCCAATCAGATATGGCCTCGGATCTTTCTTCGCTGTACACGAAGCTCTATGCCGACATGCTACCCAAGCTGAGCATGTGCCGATGACTACAAGATTTTCTACATGGTTGAGCTATACAGTCTCGACAGTCCGTCCACACACATAGGAAGAGGTAGATCGTTTGTAGAAATGATTCTCAGCTGTGGGCCGTGCTATAACGGGGCATCTGTTTTTCTTCCTCCTCCTGTCCAAGGTAGTAGTCAAGGTCCAACGCTGGGGTGCCTCCACGCACGCAAAGCTTGAAATGCTGTGGATCGCAGCTAGATTGATGAGAAAACAAATAAATGGAAGGTCACCTCCTGTTGCCCTCCCCGTTTTTATTTCTTGATAAAGCCAGAGACTATGAGTCATTGCTACTTTCAGATTTCTCATGAGACTATTACAGGACCTCTATCTCAATATTGAAGAGACAAACTTGGAAGCGCAGAAGAGCATACCTGGGGAACGGAACCGACAATAGAAAAGCGGGAAAAGCCAACAAATGAGATATAATAAAAGCTATACGGACAATGAGCCATTTCTTATCGCATCCGATTGAATTCCCTTTTGGCTTGCAGTCTGCACCACTCGTCTCTACCACCCATTACATACCCAGCCAGACAAGACGGGCCATGCATGACAATGCCGTGGATGTCCCGAGTGCGGAGGTTACTATTGTTGGAGCATGGCTACGTCGGAGGTTGGGGTGCGGAGTACCTACGGACTGAGAGATGTGATTAGGTACCTATGTTGCGACGAGGTCTGAGCTTCTTGCTTCTATCGACTTGGGAGCGGTCTGATCGATAGCGCAACAATGACGTTGGAGTACTTTTCTCGCCTACTAGTATTGCATTTGTGGAGTGTCACGTTCCGCATATTATATGCGTGTGTATGCACTCTCATCCCCTCTTACCACCTTACAGCCTCTGACAGATCGTATATTCCAGAAGCTTCGTCGGTCAGCCGATGGACGCTTACCTAGGTAGGTGTTGGTCTCTTTTTGTCTTCCTCTGAGAGATACGTCGTATGGGCGAGGCTCATGAAGAAAGTGTCCCCTTTCTGAGTCTTCTGGATACCATGTGAATTGGTGATTGAAGCAACTGCACTAGTCAATCCTGGAGGGAAGAATCAACCAAAAATAAGGAATCTACACCTATTCCCGGGCTAGTGAAATAGCAACAAATTCAGTTGTTCGATCAATAGTGAACGCGTTTGACAGTCTCAGCTCCATTCCGAAAGATGAGCTATGCTCACTAAATAACTACTAAGACCTGAGGTACGGCACGGAAACGGGATCACGGAGGGAAGTGCCAAGGCGGATGAATTCAGTCTTCACCGCCAAGACGAGGAGATGATATAGCGATGATATTCTACTCCAACTGCAGTGCCTACTCAATTCAGAGAGAGTATTGCAGAATGGCCCGAAATCCCATTCGAACGCCTAGTTCAGGGCTGCCATGTTCATCACGGCTCGTCTCTACTCTTGCAGGTCACTTGGAGTGGTCCTTGAGATCAAAGGTGAATGAATGTTCGATGCCTAATTCCGGATTAAGAGATTCTACACACCTGATGTCTGGACATATTATCGCATCCTGGATCTTACCTCTCTGTGAGGTGATAGAATGTGATAGATCAATAGAATAGTAAAAAGGACAAGTATTTCGGGTTTTGTGCCCATGACAGGTTCTATTAAAAACACTCACCCCAAGCAAGGCCTTGTTCATTGTCTTGATGACGAGGATTACGCTTTATAAGTATGTCGCCGTCTCATCCAATAGACAAGAACGTTACGCCAAGGTAAGCCATGATCTAAGTATGTTGCTGCTTTGAGCTTGAAATAGCTGATTCATCAACATACTACGTACAAAATCGGGTCTATCCTCGGCCTCACTTTGTTGTTCGCCCCCCAAATGGATAGGTAGAGAGTGAAACGTTACTACTGAGTAGCGTGTTCGCAATGGTGTTCTTAGATTTTGAGTGATGCAGCCTTTCCACTCGTGTCCTATCAATTCCTCTCCCTCTTCATATTACAGGTAAGACTATATGTACTAGACACAGGTTGTGTAGTGTGTTAGGTAGGTTTTGGTAAGCTGATTGGTTTCTACCTAGTACACGTGTGGGCACCGACACGCAGAAGCACGAAGGAGCATAGCATACATCCCATCCCCTAATATCTGAAAGTGTCACAAGCAAAGAGCCTCAGTCCCACCCCCGAGATCCTTCGACCTTCCCTCCCTTGTACACGCCGAGGTGCTGTCGAAATAATGATCGATCAAGGTCATGCACCCCAAGGTGCCGATCGCCGCGCTCTCGTTAACACCTGCTCTGGTGAGACTTGGAATCATGGCCACGATCGAGCTCTATTGAGCCTGGTTATGCAACAAAGTTGCACCAAGTGGCAATAGCAGAGAATAACACACTCAACTGAATCAATAGTTATGAGCCTGTATAGTAATACCCAAGCCAGGGTCCAGCAGTGCTACCTACTACAAAGCATGCACCACATCTTGTTGAGGTTATTGTGTGTTGAATACAACCATGTGGATGACTGGTGGTGCCGGGTGGTGAGAGCGTACACGATGAAACAGGTTGAAACATCGTCCCAAAGGGGCAAGTGTTAAGGAGAAACAAGCTACGACGTGGTCTAGAGTTTTAGACGAATCGGCGTCGGCGCCACCTCAATAAGACCTACCAGATCGAACATCCCATCTACCCCGGCCCGCCCCATCTCGACCCCTCGCAATTAACGATCTTGGGCAGAACCTTGGGGGAGGGCCCGGACGGAGACGATGTAGCCAAAGCAGCGTATGCCGCAAAAGGCATCAGAGTCCAATCTCATCGGGCCGTCCCAGCTGGATTTGCTCGGTAAAAGCGATGGTCACTAAGAAGAACCCGTCCAAGCGTGTGCCACCGGCCGGATGGCATCTACAGATTGGTACCTTTGGCGTAGGTTTAAGGTTATTTGGTCCCCTGGATTCTCGTCGGTACTTCTGGACGCCCGGTTGTCTCTACCTAGGTACATAGTAAGGGGGGTGCTAAGGTTACCTACCTACCTAGGTAAGCAATAAGATGCTAACCCATAGTTGTACTTACTACCTACCTAGAGTAGGTAGGTACGGTAGGTACCTCTCCTGCTTGGTCCAGCACAGCGGACAGGGCCGGCCAACTGCTACCAATCATAATACTTTAGTGGCAGATAGTGCATACCTGGCGTATCGTGTAAAATGCCTGCAAGTCATACGTACTGCCTTACCACATGATCCTGAATTATACCATCGTGGCAATATGGCTCTGCGCTGCCGCTTCTTCCACCAACCCACCCTCGTCCGCCTACAGTTCCTTTCCCCCCTATTCATATTGAAACACGATGGCATGGTTTTGCGTATATCGAGCCAGACACGCCATCTAGTCTTGGTAGATGCCTACTGCACGCTTGATACTCTACTGTTATTCACTCAGTTTTCAAAGCAAGTAGGAGGTTCTAAAAGCACAGACCCCATCCGATGGTCCTCAGCCGAGGCGAGAGCATCCACTATGCATGAACAACAGCTTCGAGTGAGCACGCTCACGAAATTGCCTCCTCGTCTCGGCCTTATGCTGCGAATCGGGCATCACATGCTTGGAACATGTCGCCAACCTGATGACTTGCTTGTATGACTGCTTGAATGGCATTTGTAACATTTTGAAGCTAGTTGGGCTTCTGCCCTTTCGAGAACAGGAAAGTCAGCCAATCTAAGCTAGAGGATCGTCGCTGTTCTGCATGGTGCCTGAGAGGACGTTTCCTATTTTAGCAGGAGGCGTCTAGTTTGTCCAACCATGCCTCGCCATCACCTGCCTACCGGTCCTCCCATCTCAAGCATCTCCACGCAAGCAATGCGACTGGTTGTCGCTGGCTGGGAGGGGAGGATGACTACCCTCGACTACCTACCTACCTACTGTATAGTACATATGCCTGCTACTGAACGTCTGCGCATTTGCTCCGGCCCCATCAGGCCCATGCTCTGGACAGTTTCAGACCCCTGGGCGTCTACAACGTGGAGCACGTCTGTGCTAGTTCCCAGCGATGGGTGCTGCAGAAGCGGCATACAGACTTTGACGATGGAGACTGCTTCCGGGGATGTTATCCTATCAAGGTTGGTATTTGCAGGATTTCCTGCCTACCTGCTACCTAGGCAGGTCGTTGAGGATCGGTGGCGCGTCTATGCCGCCGTACTAGAGTATACCTAGGCAGCGTGCCAGATGCCATGTCGTCTTAGTTGGCGTCCGGGGATGAGAGTAAAGACACACCCACACTACACTATTCTATGCGCATCATTGTCCCTCGGCCATATTCAGCAAACGCGCCGCGCCAAACTGACCGAAGAGCCAAGGTCTTGGATCGATCGACAGTGATCATTTGGCCCCCCCGTCCCGCGCTTGTTCCTCATCGGTTCTCAAGTACCAGTTATCTTTGGACGGAGCTATGCCACTGGTGGTCACGCAGTCCCGAGCCTGATATATACCTTCTCGCGGGACTAGCATGGGATGTCGTCGATCGATTTATTATAAGTAAACACGCCCCCAGCCTTTGATGTTTCCCTTGTTTTCTCTTCAGCCAGCCAGGTAGCCAGCCGTCCTCAAGCTTAAGACCTTACAATGCGCTTCTCGACCTTTCTTACGGCTGTAGCAAGCCTTGCCGTAGGCATCAATGCCTACTGGCTTGAGGATATTCAACATCAAGGCGTAGCACCTTTCGCCGGCGATGGGTACAAGGTCTTCCGCAACGTCAAGGACTACGGTGCCAAGGGTGATGGCAGCACCGACGACACGGCTGCCATTGCCGCAGCGTTGAGTGACGGCGGCAACCGCTGCTTACAAGGCTGTGTAAGTTCCAGTCAATAAACAAGACAGACATCAAGCGCCGTGTACTAACTTCACGTAGGCCTCTACCACCACAACGCCGGCCGTTGTCTACTTCCCTTCTGGAACCTACATTATCTCGAAGGCTCTTCAGCCCCCATACTTTACTCAGCTCATTGGTGACCCGACCGACCGACCCGTTTTGAAGGCTACTCCCAACTTTGAGGGTTTTGGATTGATTGATGGCAACCCGTACTTTACTGAGACCCTGAACTGGGTTTCGACCAATGTTTTCTACCGCCAAATGAGGAACTTCGTCATCGATACGACTGCTATTGCGCCCGGTACAGCTGCTACCGGTATCCACTGGCCAACTTCTCAGGCGACCTCGCTTATCAACATCGAGTTTAACATGCCTACTGATCCTAGCACTGTCCACGTTGGCCTCTTCTGTGAGAGTGGTAGGTTACTCTGTCCTTAAGTGAATTTAGAGATGCTGATTCGCCTTAGGTTCCGGCGGCTTTATGAGCGACTTGACGTTCAATGGTGGTGCTACTGGTGCTTCGCTGGGTAACCAGCAGTACACCATGCGCAACCTCGTCTTCAACAACTGCCAGACTGGTAAGCACAAAAGTGGTTTACGAGATGATGCGTCGTTCTGTCCTGCTAACCTTATCCTCGTAGGTATCATCCAACTCTGGAACTGGGGCTGGACCTACATCAACACGCAATTTAACAACTGCGGTACTGGTATCGACATTAGCGCACCTGGTGCAGACGACACCCTTGCTGTTGGCTCCGCGATTATCTTAGACAGTTCCTTCAAGGACACTCAAGTCGCCGTCAAGACTGCTTATACCACCTCCACCTCACCTGATACTGCCGGCAGTCTTATTCTGGAGAACGTTTCGCTTGAGAATGTTCCCACCGCCGTTCAGGGTGGAAGTGGCAACCTCCTTGAAGGTGGATCGAAGATGATTGCTGGTTGGGGACAAGGTCACCGATATGTCTCTGGCACCGACAGGGAGCTCTCTGGCGATATCACACCAAACGAGCGCCCAGCGGTTCTGACCGGTGAGAACGGGTACTACTCTCGTTCCAAGCCTCAATACGAAGATCTCGCGGCATCTGACATCGTGAGCGCTCGTGCTTCTGGCGCCAAGGGCGATGGCACCACAGACGACGTAGGTTGACCTTGCTTTTCATTAATTCTCACCAACTAACAGATTTCAGACTGCTGCTTTGCAAAAAGCTATTGACAGCGCCACCAATGGCAAAGTTCTATTCCTCGATTATGGTCTTTACAAGGTTACGGGTACTCTCAAGATCCCCGCTGGCGCCAAGATCTTCGGTGAAGGCTACCCAGTCATCATGGCTTCGGGCGACTTCTTTGGTGACATCAACAACCCTGTGCCTCTGCTACAGGTGGGCGCTAACTCGGGCGACGCTGGCCAAGTCGAACTGGTTGATTTCGTTGTTGGTAACTCAGGTCCCGCCCCTGGCGCCAAACTCATCGAGTGGAACTTGGCTTCTGAGGCCACCAACCCTAGTGGCATGTGGGAAGTTCACGTCCGTGTCGGTGGTTTCCGAGGCTCTGAGATGTTGGTTGAACAGTGCCTCAAGGCCACTGGAAGTGCCAACATTGACCCCAAATGCATTGGTGCTAACATGATGATGCACGTTACTCCCAAGGCCACTGGATTGTACATGGAGAACACCTGGCTTTGGGCTGCTGACCACGATATTGAGGACAGCACCAACACTCAGATCACTCTCTTCTCTGGCCGTGGTCTTTACATCGAGTCTACTGTCGGCACGTTCTGGCTCTATGGTACCGCTGCTGAACACAACCACCTCTACAACTACCAGTTTGCCAACACCAAGAACATCTTTGTGAGCATGTTCCAGACAGAGACTCCCTACTACCAGCCATTGCCCAATGCGCTTGAGCCATTCCCTATCACCGAATCAATCAACGATCCCGATTTCGCTGCCACTTGCAACGGTGTTGAGGGCAATTGTGCTGAGGCCTGGGGCCTGCGTATCATCGACTCTTCAGACTTCTTCATCTACGGTGCGGGCCATTACTCGTTCTTCAATAACTACGATACTAGTAAGTTCCGCTATAGCAATGATACATGACGTATGAAAAACATTTTCAGCTAACGTGAACCACAGGCTGCTCAACCGTCGAGGCTGGTGAGAACTGCCAGTCACGCATCGTCTCGCTTGAGAACGTCAGCAACATCAACATCTACGGCCTCAACACGATCGGCTCCGTGAGCATGCTCGAAAAGGACGGCTCAAGTGTGGCCATCTGGTCTGACAACGTCAACGTATATCCCGCCAACATCATGCTTTATCGAAGTGGTTGATTCCCATAGTTGGTGAGCTAAGTTGAGAAAAAGGGGAATCGACAATGAACACGTTGTGATATCTCCAAAAAAAAAGATTGGATATGGTTCGTTGTATATATATATTTTATTTCTTCTTTCATGTACATAGAAAGGCAGCAGAGACCTGTCCATTTTATATGATACCAGATCAATTGATCCAGATTGACAATTATGCATGTTCCGTTGTTGAAGAAGAGTCCTAAACAATGACAAGCGATCACTGGCCGTATGAGGGATGGTGCATCTCTTCCCACCTCTAATAGCGCTAATGTAAAATGTCAAGATAAAGGGCTGTCTTGAGGTTTACATGGGACTGCCTAGTTAATCTCCGCGGTAACTATCCATTTCATGCAGGTAAATAGAGTTCTGAGGCACATTTGCGATTAGTGTGCCTGAATTTAAAATCTGCAAAAGATATGCTCCATACTTCGTATTATAATAATTCAGGTAAGCGCATGACATTATTCCATTTCCACCATCCGTCTACTCATACAGTACTTATCTGGAGTATCCAGAAAACTCTGTGACTAAACAGGAGACGAGCTAACATGCTCGCCATACTTACACTGCATCTAATTATGCCCGCATCGTCCCCAGCGTGTCTCAGCGTGTCTCAGCGTGTCTCAGCGTGTCTCAGCGTGTCTCAGCGTGTGCCTTTTCTTGGCTTTCACAGTTCAACGGCTATTAGCTTGGTTCAAGTCTTTTCTCAAGAGGTTGCCTAGTTCATTCTCAGCAACACCGTCAGAAATTATCAGTCTACAGTATAGGATGGATTCCTCCATTGCGTTTTCGATATTCACATGTGGCGATGCTGGGGTTTGCTATCATGACCACCTTACTTACATCAGAAGATAGGTAAAGCGCACTCGTTTATAGACAAGTCATGAAACGCCATGGAATCATATAAGCAGAAGAACATGCATCCTTTTGGCTCATTATGAGCTCTGCTCTTTATGTTTTTCATATTTAATGAGATTGCTTCCTACAGTGATGCTTGTGTTTGATTTGCACTCAAGGGCTCGTAGAGGTCATTCACTACCTAATATTCTCTTTGAATACGCACGAGGAAAGCTACGATACGAGAACGCCAACCAGGCCTCAGTCGTATTCAAACTATAATGTAAGGTCACCAGCTTCTGCTCCCATGCAGTGGTATTATTCCATCGTAGATAAGGACTAGCAAGTGGCACGGGTGGGTGCATTCAATGAAGCTATTATTATACAGTGAGGGGTACCGTATTACTTTATCCACTTCATCAACGTCACCCACCTTGTTCGATACCTCGTAGCCACTAAGATCTAAGATTAGATCTTCCAACTCCAATCTTCCCCTTTCACTTGCATGCATTTCACACTTTGTGACACGAAACTTTCTTCCAAGAAATATGTCATCACTGCGGGCTGCACTAGCCGAAAATGGCTTTGTGATTCAGCGACAGGTGCTCAGCGCGTCAGACCTCGAAGCCCTCCGCGAGGCGGCGACCCGGACAACAGAACGCGCCCGATCTGGGAACTGGCCCGATGTGCGCACGGTCGGCAAGCAATTCCCGCCTTGGCCGAAGCCGACGCCCGGCGAGCCGCCGCAAGACGGCATTTGGGGGGTCCAGGGGCTGCTAAACCCCGCGCTGGGATGCGACGCGGACGTCTTTGCTAGGTCGTACTTCAATGACAAAGTATTAGATGTCGCTAAAGCGCTCATGTCATGCGAAGAAGATGGTGGGCAAGAATGCACAGACGAGGATCTTGTTCTCGAGCTGTATAACATGCTCGTGCGCCCTGAGTCTGATTTCGAGTTGGAGTGGCATCGTGACGATGTCCCGCGGACGGCTACTCCCGAGGAAGAAGCTGCGAAGCTAGGGATACGTTTGGCCGCGAAAGAGGGCGAGAGGGAGGGCAAGCGGGTGAAGAAGAGGTATTGGAATACGCAGTGGAACCTACCGCTTTATCCTGATGATTCGCTGATTGTCGTACCTGGCTCGCATGTTCGTGTGCGTACACCTGCTGAGCGAGAGGCGGCGGCCAAGGAACCCAATATGCCTGGCCAGTTGGTTGTTCATCTTGAGCCTGGAGATGTCGGTAAGTGATGGATTCTCTTCCTACCATGGGTCTTATTGTATTGAAAGCACGCGACTAGAGGCTAGGCGCTTTCTTTTTTTTACCTTTCCTTTTTTTTTCCCCTCCCGCAAGAAAATTCATCATTTAGAGCTTAGTATACATCTTGACTAGGAAGACGCTAAACCTCAACGTTGGTAGTATTCTACGACAATAACATCTTGCATCGCGGTGTCTACAAAGCGGACAAGGAGCGGATGAGTCTACATGGATCTGTTGGCCATGCAGGGGGCGGCTGTTTTCGCGCAACAAACGTGTTGCAGCATGGCATTGGAAAATGGATTGACCAGTGCGATTTTAGCAGTTTGGCGAGTGGTCCCGGTGGTGGTGAGAAGGCCAGACAGAGAGCCGAGGACATGCGCGCACGGCTCGTTAAACTTGGTAGGGAGAGCGGGGATGTTGGATACTCGCTCACAGGATGAGGAAGCAACAATCATAGTTGGCAGTATTTGTTGTATTCCAATTTCCGGGCCGAATTCCACAAGGGTATTAGTATCAGCGCAGCACTACACTATATGTTTTACAGACTGGAAGACCATAAAGATAGCTGGCAGCGGCGCTATCTTCCATACAATAAGGACGCACCATTGTCTAATAATACCTCCCAAGTTTTCCCGCCATCATAAGCTTAGGTACACATGGGTGATGTAGACCACTGAGACTGTGACAGGTCCATACGGCTACGGGTGCGTGTCATGCAGAAGCCCCCCTAATAAGGCATGGGGTAACATATTCAAAGTGAGGTTGTACAGACTTCGTTGGCTTTTTGAGGCGTATTCATGAGCCTTGGAGGTTAGCAACGGCTTGCAAAGTCCGAACCAATCATTTATATGGTCGCAATCAGCCTCCAGGACAGAGAATGAAGTTGGGGTTACCTAAAGAACTTTGATAGCCCTAGCAGATTACATTGCAAACAGCTTCATCAACAAGCCCTATCATCAGTCTTAATAATGACGCAACACACTCACCACCAAATATATGCCCATGGTAGATCATGCCAACCACGTGTTGTGTGGCTCTAGGATCTTATAGATAACAGTATTTTGTTCTAAATTAAGACTAACTGCTAGGAATATATGTAGGATAAGCCATCGGAATTAACTACAATCGTTTTGTTAAATACATAATTCCCGATATACAGATCGTTTAGCTAATGTCCTTTGTATCCAAGACTATTATTCTCCTTTGTGCTCAATTTCGATGGGAAATAAGATGACCCCCTAACTCCTGCTCCCTCGTTGCCGTGATGCTACCCCCCGAGTACCGCCACCCATCCTGTAAAAAATAGAAGGCAATAAAAAAGGAAGGCATTTGTGGGAAATTTTATAAACATCGTACAATTATTCCTGGGCGGCCGATCCCGCTTGCAGCCCTATTTAGCGCCTTTCAGGCAAAACGTGGCTTTGACAAGCAGTCAATTCCTTATTCGTCCTAACTATTTACTCCCCCTCTTTGTGCAAAACGGAAACGGAATTGTCCGAACGATGAACACACTTATTAGCCACATATTGAATTATTTCCTCCAAAGCAACCGAGTCTTACTCAGAAAACACAACGGCCTAGTGAAACTACGGTCTAATATACTGAGTAAAGCAAATGCGGCAAGTCATCCAAAATGAATCTTAACAGCCTGAACCCCAACGCCCGCTTCAACCTTCGACCAAATTACGACCAGCCTCTGCCGGACAACCCAAATGGGACATATAGTGTCGTCTTACACCTCAAGAACCAGACATCTGCTACCGTTGACCAGACGCTACGAGATGTGAAACGAACATTGGGAAGGATTGGCAATGACTGGAGCGGTAACAATTTTCCAGAGATCTTGGTAGGCAATGATAATGGCTCTATGCTCATGGCGGACTACGATTATGCCATTGACTTCGGCAGAATATTGAGGGATAACTTTGAGATTAACAACAGTGATCTGGACTGGTTAGGGACACGAATGTATCAAGCGTACGGCGAGGGCTGGACTGGGCAGCTAGAAAGCCAGGCTCACTCGTGCGGGATGAGATTCACCAAGATGTCGAAGAAACAGGTACTTGAACAGATGATCGATCTTGCAGGGTTCGGGTGGAGGGTACGGGTGAGTAGACCACAATAGCCTTATAAGAGAATTGCTCAGCAGTGGTTGACAAATTGTGGCTAAACTTCACCGAACATCACAGTGGCGTAAGTCCCTGGTTAGACACTTCTCCTTAGCACGCTCATTTAGGTGCTGACATGCTCACTCCATCTCCAGGTGCGATGAATGATTTCAACTTTCTAGTCAAGAAGTTAATACCTGCTGCTGGGTTTATTCACTGCAACTCGGCCAACCGTCACACTTCAGTCAATGTCGAAGTACATGGTAGCGACATATTCCGCGACCTAAAGATCGCGGAAATTCAAACCGACATGTTCCAAGATTTCATCGATAGAGGCAACGGCGTAGGCAACGGTATAGAATACATACAACTGTTTGAAACCTTTTACATTATCAAACATAATGTGGCTATTTCAATGAGTAATATGCCCTATCGCAATATCGAACGTGAGATAGAATAGAAAGCTAATGGTCTACCCAAGAAGAAACGATGCTTCAGAGATATCAAATCAACCCAAACGATACCGTTTACTATTTATACGATTGGATTTTCGAATATATTAATAAGTTCATCTATTGGCTGGATTCTACTTGCCGCGTCCTAACCGAGAACGATGCACTCAACACGACGATAACAAGGGGGTTTTGTGCGTCCCCTATTGTAGCCCTCTCTAATTTCCGACCAGCCCATTTCCAACGTGCCAGCGAGATCTTCTGATATTGATAGTCACTTGCTAACCTCTACTTACCTTATAGTTGAGGCTCCTCGCGCGGCCTTCAGGGCTCTTGTAGAGTACATCGAGAGAATGCACATTAATTTCAGCCAAAGGAATTTTTTCCTCGGTGTCGATATTAGGTAAATACGACTTTGCTATATCCAACTGCTTTTGTAGATGCTACCGTGTCCCACGAGTCTATATGATTAAAATGGCTGCTAACCTGTAGCTATTAACTAGGAACCTGAACTATTGCGTGGACAGTGTGACAGCGCATGTGCGGTCGTGTAGAGCGAACCACTTAAAGAGGGTTACCTATAAGACGGCTTACCAGAGGAAATATGGTGACCCCGTAATCTTCCCTGGCCCCCAAATTCGTCCACCTCCGTTGGCGAATTACTTGTAAGTGTTACGAGGTCGATTCCCATACTCTCTGCGTACGATAATAAGGTGCCATTTAATATATTTGTCGAACTTTAGTATTTTTGGACCTCATCCTTTGGATTGGATGACTCTTGTAGAGAAAAACTGTCTTGATGGTTACTAACTATCATTGTGACAGGTTCGATCCTCATGAGGCTCCGCCTCAGCCTCCGGCGCCAGGTGAGCCAGGTGGATTGTATGTAACCACTGAAGTCATTATCTTCCCGCTTCATATACTACCGAAGGCCGTAGTCGCCTATTAGAGGCACAAGTGTGTCTCGGGAGTATGCCGGACTCTCAAAACTTATACCTGAAGAGTAGTTACTGACTCCGAGGTTGTAGTGCTGGACCTGCAGGACCCAATGAGCTTGGCGCAACAGGGTCACTAGGAGGTCCTGGGGGAATTGGGGGGCCGATGGGACCACCGTTTCCTCCTCAATATTTTGGTTTTATAGATGCCTATAAAGACCCTGACCCTAATACCTCTGCACCCACTGGCCCTGCCAGTGGCTCTGCTTCTATACCTAGGCGTCCTGCATCTATGGGTCTTCCACCTTGGGGTCCTGCATCTATGGGACTTCCACCTATGGGTCCTCCACCTATGGGACCTCCATCTATGGGCCCTCCACCTATGGGCCCTCCAGGTGGTGGGAGAAGGAGAGGAGGAGGCCGAGGTAGTGGTAGCAGTGGTGGTGGTAGTATAAGAGGAAGAGGAGGAGGCCCTGCTCCATTTACAGCACCTGCAAGTTTTCAACCTCCTGCAAATCAAGGATCCACCAATAATCAAGGCGGTGGGCCTGGAGCGCATGGAAATCAAGCACTTGCGGCAGGGCCTGTACACCAAACTCCGTTGGACTCCTTTTCGATGGATGAAGACAGTTACCGTGGCAAGGCACTTCACCAGTCTCGCGTACATAAAACGGGTTGTAAGTGACAGCTAAGCTCTTCTACCTTAACGCAGGCGATCCATGGATTTCCCAACCTACCGTGGCATTCTAGGTATGGCGCTAACAATAACCGTCTCAACAGATGTGAGGAAGGGTGACAATGTATTCCGTGTACAACGCATCGGCGACTTCCGAGATGCGAACGCTGCCGCCTTTGTGAAACGGGCAATCCAGCAGGAGGCCAATATGAGAGAAGATTATGCCAGAGCAATACAGAGCTGGGAAGACATAGACATCGATTACCCCAGGGATTCTTTTCATGATGAAGATGACGATGATCCGTATGAAGCCGATCCGATGGAAATCGATTCCCCGGATGAGAGACGGAGGCAAATTGATGGGTTCAAAGCCGAATTAGCGATCCACATGCTCGACGTATACAAGGCCGAGTTGGTTCTGGGCCAAGGAGTGCTGGCGAATTTTGACCCTCACTTAGAACCACTGTCATCTAATGACAGATCACCTACCATAGAGGAATCGGCAAGGATGCCCGAGTTTTCGATAAACAGAGGAAGAGACAAACCTGTCGCCGAATCGCTAAGGATGAACCGCTTGCTAGGACTGGAGGGTGCTGATGAGATTTACGATTATTGAGCAGCATTATAGTTCTACAACATGATAGTACTAAGGATGGGCCCTTATTGAATTGAGAATTTGACTGCCTGTAATATCTATAGTTATTGGTATTGTGACAGGGACAGGCTGTGTGAAGTTGGACGTATAGGGATATAGCCTTGGGAAACTCTCATCACTGTTGAGATCATTTAACCTGTCTATCACTAGAATTTAGCAAGTACCGCATATTTGCCTAGACCTATATAAATATCTATCTTGTAATCTATCACTTGAAATAAGTATTATATGGAACTGATCATCCAGACCGACTGTTAGTCACTCACCATCTTCCACATTCTGCTTGTCTTTTAACTATCGCTCAACCGTTTTGTAAGTTGTCATCTTTGGGTAGGAAACAAGCCTTTCTATTCATTTGCCAATGCCCAAATTCAGACGTCTTTGCCGTACTATGACATACTTCAAGTATTACTTATTTAGAGGCGTGGCCCATCCCGATCCCGAGTTTGGAGGTGGTGCAGACGGATGACGTCTTCTCCAGCGTGCTTAGCCCCACCGACGTAGACATAATTAGCCTCTCACAAGTTGCATCTACATCTCACAACCCGAGATAATTGTTACGCTTAACTCCGACCGAGTCTTGGCCGCAAGCACGTAACTATAATGACTACAGGCATCTGCCTATAGGAAATCCTAATCATACCGATTCTAGATGAATATTACCGCTGGATTTCCCTCGATACGACTTCTGAACAGGCTGGCGCAACACAACATGCAAGAGATTACCATTGTGGGCGGGGGTATTATCGGCTGCAGCACAGCTTATTGGCTCACGCGCCACCCAAACTACTCCCCAGGCATACATCGCATCACGCTTCTCGAGGCGTCTTCGACGAACGCCGGCGGTCGCACGCCAGATAGCATACAGGACCCCTCCACGCTCGCTGACCCGGCCACGGTGTCCAAGAGAAATCCGGCTCACGACGGCATCGCGGGTGGTGCAAGTGGCAAGGCAGGTGGTCTGCTCGCCCTGTGGGCTTTCCCGCAGAGCCTCGTCCCGCTCAGCTTCAGGCTGCATGATGAACTAGCGCGTGAACACGATGGTGGGAGGCGATGGGGCTACCGACGCTGTTGGGCAAGTCAGGTTGATTGCAAAGCACGGTTGCCGCCCGGCATTGACGCCGGCGCCTCTGTTCAACCGCCTGCCGATGGTGGACACACGGGCGCTTCTAAAGGCCTCCACAAAGACCACAAAAAGGCTGCCGCGGAATTGCGCAAGCTCGGCGTGCCTGGCGACTTGGACTGGGTAGACACGGCCGATTCACTCCGCGCGTACGACAACATCGGCACGCCAGATAACACAGCGCAAGTGCACCCAGAGCTCTTCACACGCTCCATGGCTCAGTTAGCCGAGGACGCTGGTGTGCGCATAGTGACGGGTGCTCGTGTTACTGCTATCAACAGGAGCGCGGACGAGTCTCAAGTGGAAAGTGTGATATATGAGAAAGAAGGTGAAGAGATCACACATCCCACGAATCACTGCGTCGTCGCTGCCGGTCCATGGACAAGGCGTCTTCTCCCAGAGATCCCTGTTAGCGCTTCAAGGGCACACAGCGTTGTGATCAAGCCGCCACGAGCAATTTCTGCGTATGCCCTCTTTACCGCGATCAAACTACCAGTCGGCTTCCGCACACCCGTATCGAAGACGGCACGTAATGGGGCAATCAAAGCAACACCCCTTAGCGGACAACAGGTAGTTGAGCCTGAGATATAGTGAGTTCTGACCGTAATATCCTTACTATATGTCGATTAGTTCAATATCATGGGGCCTCTGTTGGCCATCATCGTGTTGTAGACATTCAAGGAATGCTTCATATATATGCGCGAAGCAGCAACAGCTGACCACCAGAGTGACAGTGCTCGGCCTGATGGGACCGCCTATGCCTGTGGCCCAACAGATGATGCCTCGTTACCGCTAACTACAGCTGAGGTCGAGGTCGACGAGGCGCGATGTGAGGACATTATTGCCCAGGTGGGCGGGATCAGCGACGAGCTAGGACGCGACGGTGAAGTGCTCGCTCGACAGGCGTGTTTCCTACCTCAAGGTGGGCCATACATTGGCCAAGTGGGAAGTACAAAGGGCCTCATTGTCGCTGCAGGGCACACTTGCTGGGGGATACAGAACGCGCCGGGCACGGGCAAGCTTGTTAGCGAAATCATTCTTGACGGCGAGGCGAAGAGCGCGAAACTTGGTGGCTGTGATCCCGCTAACGTGTTATGACCGTCATGGATGGGTGACTTATGGGAGAGACTAGCGGGAACAAATATGTAGGTAGAATGGAGCGTTAGATTCAGTCTCCAATACACAGTACAGTACTAAAAGGTTGTTATGATTATATGTCTCTAGTATACTTAGGGAAGTAAGTACGTCTCCAGCTTACTTGCGAAACATGTCATATGAAGTTCCTCTGCAGCAAGGAAATCACAACATATCTAACAATGTGCGTTCTAATTCCAAGAATATATTTCATATTATATGAAGTGATTCTAGAATCCCCAGTTTTGCCAATTATCTTAGTGTTGGTGTCAGGAACTAACTATTGGGGCGTGGTAAGACTTCTATTGCCGCGTATAGTCTTCAGAGGCATTTAGAGGCTTCATATAGGCCGCATCCTACTGTGGCGGTGGTAAAAGGTAGAATAAATTTCCTTGTACGTGTAAACTACGTATGAACTTGACTAGGGGGCATCCTTTCGTACAAAATCTGTAAAGTGGCACGAAACTCAGGGTTGTATCCCTAGCCTCAGTGGTTACTTCATACATACCTAGGTACTTAGAAGCGCGATGCGCTGACCCTCTGCGTGGCAGATCGCTTGTTCTTCTTCGGGTACTCTCCGGAGCTGTCCGAGATCTACAAGCTGAAGGCACGGACGTACGCGCACCAGCGGCGCGGGGAACGGGACGCCGCCGTGAGGGTGCAGAGGGAGATGCTGACTGTCATGCGCGAGAAGACGGCGATGGATGTCTGGGGCGTCATTCGCGAGCTGTGGGCTAGAGAGGATGTTGCTGCCAGATGCTGATGCTGCGAGGGGCGAGCTCAAGGCGATCAGAGCCGAGGTCGATGAGAAGGCAAGAGCGCTGCTTGCTGATATACCCGATGATGCCCCTTGAACGGGAACGACAGAGACGAATGAATCTAACGAACGAATAAATATGAGATAATAAGACATTCATCACCTAGGTAGGTACCTAGGTAGTTATGGGGGATACATATGCACCTGCTGGATAAATATGCAGCCAACTCTATAAAAACAACGTATATAGATCTTACACAACACACATCCACTACCGGAAGCTTTTGTTCACGATGTCAAACGTTCTAGCTCCGAAAGTCTTAAAGTAGGGAGAGAAAGGCGAGAGGGTACCTACACTCACATACTGGCTTGAATAATTGTTTTAGAAGTCGAACCATACAGGGAAGATGAATTCGAAAAAAAAAAAAAAAAAAAAAAAAAAAAAAAGTAACGCGCGCTATCTGTGATGACACTACATTAACATCGACCAGGTCCGGAAAAAAAAAACAAGCCCAGCCATAAGAAGAACAGTCAGTCGTGGTCTCATGGAGAAGCTATGTTGCCAATACCAAAAATCACCCAGGCGCAGTCATCGAACACAATACAATATTAGAATCTTAACTATATCTCAATAACGTCAACTACTCCTCGCAGAGATAGACCCATAGGGTACTACTTACTACCCAATGATCTCCTCATCGCCATCGTAATCACGATTCATACCTGCTGACATGTCATCCAAACCGCGACTTAGCAATCTCCCTAAGCATATCAATAGTATTCGCCTCGCGCTCCCTGTACTCCCTGGCCCTCTCCTCCCTTTCTTCCTTTTTCGCGCGGAAGATCTCCTCGCGCCGTACCTCGCGCTCCGTCTTCTTCCTTTCGGCCTCGCGCTTCAATCTCTTGTATTCTTCCAACCCCCCGCCGTCGCCGCCCATGAGGTCCGCGTCCGCGAGCTCCGGCACGTCGTTGGACGACTTCGCGTTTGCGAAGGAGGTGTTGGCATCGCGGACCTCGCGCCGCTTCTCCAGACGTCGCGCCTGGGTCCCGGCGTCCGCGCGCGGCACGAGCTCATCCAGGCGCTCTTTCTGCAATGCACGGTCTGCCTTGCGCTCATGTCGTAAGAGTTCGTGAGCATCGTCGCGGTCCGAGGCTTCGTGTTCACGGCGCAAGGCTATGTCTGATAAGGTGGGGATGCCGGGGCCGTGCTTGTTTTGTGATAGGGAGTTGGCACCCCTTGTGCTATTATCTAAATCATCCTGTGTGGGCAGTATAGGCCCGTAACCGTCGTCATCATCATCCTCATCTTCCCCTTTCGCATCTTGCCGTCCCAAGTCGGCTTCTTGCCGAGCGGGAGAACTATGTTTTCCTCCACGCCCCTTGCCCGTCTCTGGTATATTGCTCGTTCCCCTCGCTTCGAGCGCCGCGTCCTCGAAAGTTTCGGGCCGGTACCATCCCTCAGCTAGCTCACTATTGTTCCATTTGCTCACAAAGCTCTTCCAGCGCCCACGGACCTCGCGCTCGTCCAGTGTGGTCAAGTCAATCTGCTTCTGGACATCGAGGTAGCGCGCGAAGAGTGGTCGAAAGGTGCTGAAATCGGCTGATCGTGACAACTCACGAGCGTTACAAGGGAGCTCCCTGTCATGGTTTAGATGTGAAGCGTTCGGAGCATGATGAGACCTGTGGTGATGGCTGTCATGATGGCGGGTAGGTGACCTTGACCGGGCAGACCGGGAACTCGTATGGCATCTGGCGTTGTCGCGGTGCCCCGCGTCGTACCGATCGTCGCGCGTATCGCTGCGCTGGTGACGTCTGTGGCTTACATCTCCAACTCGGGTGTGACCGCGATGGTCTGAATGGTCCGGTCGACGTGGAGATCGCGACCTTCTCTCGCGCATGGAGCCACGCTCATCGATGCGTCTCCTCACACTCCGTCCGTTGGCGTCATGGGGTTGATGCGGGCGCTTGCGCTCCCAGCGAGGAGGCTCGCCCCCACGGTCATTAAGGGTCGGATCGTCCATGGTGTAAGTACCCCACTTCAGAGGCACATCCCCACTTGTGCATGCATACGAGTAAAATCTGCGATTCGCATTTCACTTGCAGAGTCTTAGAGGGCGTACAGTAGAAAGATGCGGAGGAAAGGTTTGGAGGAAGATTCGCAAGAATGCTTGGCGCGCTATGAGAATTACCCCAGCTAGGCCTAAATTTAGGTGTTCGAGGTCAGTTCCCGGGGCCCAGATTTACTGGGTATTGGTGCGCACTGGAAACCCAGCTAGCATTAGCTAAGCTCCACCCACACCCTTCATTCAATCCTACAGTACCTACACCATCCATTTAAGTAGACCTCTACACATTAGTAATAGCATAGTTAGAGAGGTATATGATAACCAGATGTTCGGTACCAGCTAATATATTCAGTCGCCTACTATTAAAAAAGATGCAGACACTATGTATATTTCAATACACACATTCCTGACTTACCTACCCATCTGGGTTAGCAATAAGCTACATGTGCAAGCTTGCTTAAGTACATGTAGCGAAGCGTGGTGGCCGAGACAAGCTAAGACCAGTGTTGGCTTGGCTATTCTCGCTTCGTCTTGCGCTAGGAGATGAATCTACATGTACTATGTAAGGTTGGATATCTAGATCTCTGGTGGATCGACCCGCTTTGCTCCGTCTCGTTTTGCCGCCGCTAGTGTAGAGATTGGCCTCGACCGACCAGGTCTTGATGAGCTGTGACAAGCATCAAGTACACCAGGCTCGGTATCGATATCTCGCTCGGTGGCTTTGTTGTATATTCTATGTCGGGCTGATAATGCCCGACAGCTTAAAGGAGTTTGGTATACATATATATGTACAACATGCAGCATGGCCCTGCCAGCAACCCGCTGTTACTATGAACCATTTTGTCATCCTCTCCAAAAACGCCGTGAGCCTCGTCATTAGATCCCGGCATCAGGGTATCATCTTCTTATGTCCATAAGCTTGGTATGTCTGTAAATTGGCGAAAGCCATTAGTGCCCACCTGCGGCCTCAAATTCCTCGGTAGCACACAAGCTAGTAAGTTCTCGTCGTTGAACCAGCCCCTTTTTTTGTTCATGGAGGAGTAGGTGGGGATCTGGCTGCTGGTTCGCAATGGATCATGCAACCGACGCATGCACATTCGTCACCACACGGGCACGACTGAGGACTTCCGGGACAGTAAGCCACGAACAAGTAGTCGTTCATGCCCATTGACCCTGTCTCTGCGGCCGGCGAACCATCCGCAACGGGCGACGCGAGAACACCCGGAGATGGCTCGTTAGCCCCATTCGGCATACCATTGATCTCACCATTAGATAGGCTTGGTGGAGTCGCGTGGTCATCTTGAAGCGCAGAGAGAACGTATTCCTGCATGGCCGCGTTGAACGGATGAGTTGCGCAACCTAAACACTGACAGCCCTCACCACAACTGCATTGGTTGGCTGTATAGGAGTCTAGCACAGGCGCGGCTGCTTCCATTCTAGACTGTGAGGCCATATAAGTGTTCTGCGGTTGTGCTGGCACGCTCTGCGATTGGCTGGTCATCATCTCCTGCCATTGTGAAAATTGCAATGGCTCGTAAAATGAAGAGCCGTATGCTACAGGGTATGGAAAGACTGCGTTCTGCTGCGTATGTTGCATGGTAGACCGATCGTGTATAGTGCCATTATAACCCATTGAAGGCATGTCTCGGCCCCGGGTCGGGATGGTATCTCCATATCTCATCAAGCCAATTCTATCCTGTGTCCTCCGCTCTTCTGATAGGTCGTTTGCCAGTGGTATCGCCGACGAGCCTTTCCCACAGCAACCTTTGCCATCTGTAGAGAATCCCTTGGTGTAGGAGCTAGAACTCGGCGATCCTGATATTGGAGTATAATGTGGTGTTCCTGACGTATCTATACTCGAATGATTAGACGCCCCATTACTTGAAAACCCTGTTGAAGATGCATTGGACCCGGGGCTCTCAAACAGAGCATTGAGAGCTGCGCCCTCCAGTCTCCCTAACATGCGCGCGTACTCGAAGTTCTGATTTAAGACTCCTTCAGAATTGAAGTTCGGCTGAAAATTTGGTATAAAGCCCGCAGATGACATTTGACCTGCGTGGTTTAGGGAACCATTAGTACCAAGCGTTAAACCATGGCTGGGCATCATGTTGATGGAATTAGGATCCATTTGGCCTAATAGGGATATGTCGTAGGATTGTTTACGGCTGGGTGATTTGGGAGTCGCATGCTTTTGAACTCTAAAAGTTGCTTTTGTAGGTGACATAGGAGTTACGTCGGAAACTGATGACTCCGTTTTCACCGGTGCTCTCGTATCGATGGTTATAGGTTCTGCGGTTCCACATGCGCATTTTCCATTTCGCGGGATGGCAGCTGTGATATTATTGCAATTGCAAGGCTTCCCTTTTTGGTGAGGACATGAACTAAGTGGTCTACCGGGCTTTCGCACCGGTATCATTATGCGCTCCGCTTGATGTGTGCATTTCGTCGACCGGTGCCCTCGTATGCACGGTATACTAGATAATAAGGCAAGGCAATCAGTATATAGAGGTTGCTACATCAATGCCTGTGGGTGCATGAGGCGATACTGTCAAAAGCTCATAGTGGGATCAGGGCTGGAGTCAGGACCAGGCTTGCGAACGTGATGGTTGCAGAGCCATTTTCTAGCAGTTCAGGGAAGAGATGAGTTGAACACTTACCACGCTACCTTGACGCCATCTATAACAGGCATGACGAGACGCTCTGTCGTAGTATCTTACTTGACACGGGATGACGTGAGAGGGGTTTTCTCGGTGGCTATTATTAGGGGCAATGTAGAGAGGGGGTGCTGCTTAAAGCTAAAAACTGGCCGTGAGGTTTCCAAGTTGTGAGCTCTCGAGACTCCCTTTCGTAGTGTGCGAGGGAAATAGGCAACGTTTCTCATGTAGCAAAGCTTCGTCCAATAGCGTATCACCAATGTCGTGCTGCTAAATTCGATATCAGGGATGCGAATGTTATACAGGCAAAGGAAATAACAGTTCAGAAATCAGGGTTAAGAATCAAACATCGAGTAGTTGATAGTATAACTCGATAAAGTTTCTCTACCGATTCACTGGACCCAGTCAAGTGCCAGGCAAAGCCACTAGCCGTTACGAGAGGTCTTAATAATTTAGTCAACCGTCAACATCAGTCCGTTCATCGCCTTCGCAACCCGGATCCCGAAGACTCGTTGGGGGAGTTAGCCGTGGCTCGTGGTAGAGTGAGGGGATAATAACAGGGTATATAAGTCGGTGTAAGCTCGGCTCCGGCTGGAATGTTGGACCATGAAACGATCCCAGTTCAGCTACTCCTGAGGGTGGCGCGGAGAACGTAGGCGGGGAAGATGGGGGATAAGGAAGGCCCAGAGACGAGTTCATGTGGGTGAGATCTGATGATTGGCTTGTTGGAAGCACAATGCCCAGTGATAACAATGTTGGTAAGAGACAAGTAGGACTGCTGGTGGTAAATGAGTGGTGGGATTAGGATCGTTGTCAAGATTGCTCAGAACCTGCGGAGTTTTCTGACCAACGTGTGGCGGGGAAGGCCGGTCCGGAAGACTCGACGCCAGGTGAATAGCGTCTCGTATTGGAAATATATATATAAGAGTGAAGCAGCCAGCGCGAGAAGCAGAGGCTAGTCCCGGATGCTCTGAAGACGCATGCAACAACCGGGAACAGCGGGATCGGGTCGGAACACAACGCTGTTCTCGAGAGCCTGGCGTCGAACAGAACAGACGGACTAAGTGAACAAGTGACGACCTCGACTGCCCAAGTAGGCAACTGAGTTGGTAGACAGCTTAAAGTCGGTCACCTCTTGGGTATCCCCAGGGTTGTGATCAGCTGATGGCCTGCCGTGTCGGCGAAGCGCAGATCCTCTTTTTGTGGCGAGCTTTGTTCTTGTGAAAGGGTTGACGCGGCGGCCGTCTAACACACACACACACGCAGCACGCACGCACACATACACATACACGACTTACTCAGTGCTTGGTAGCAGAGTAGCAAAGAGTAATAGCGAGCAAGGCCGAAATACTCGACAGATAGACAGACAGACAGACTGATGACTGCAGGTTGTCTGTTGAATGTGTGTGTGTGTGTGTAGTGGCCTGTGGCTGCTGGCCGTAGTCTGTCTGAAGTCGTGCCATCGGTGGAGGAGCTCGCCCATTTGAGCAAGTTTTGATTGGCCTAGCGCAGGCAAAGGCTGGCCGTCTCTTTGCTTGCACAGCGAGAGGATGGATGCTTTGGGTATCGACAGGGGCTTCTGATTGGCAGCCTTAGCCAGTGTGCGCCCCTGCTAGCGTGGGATGTAGCGCAGGGCCCCTGTTTAAGGTATGTGTACTACTGTAGGTGGGCATGCCTCGCCATGCCATGCCACGAGCAGCAGCAGCATGAGGTAAGTACCTATATAAGGTGTACTGTAGTGTACTGTAGGTACCTAGTAGGTAGGTAGGTACATACAATGCAGGTAAGTACCCAGGTAGGTACTACCTACCCTCTGCTAAGGTAGGTACCTGTCTCAGCGAAGATGTAACGGCCATGACCAACTACCATAAGTAGTACCTACCTACCTTACCTATGTAGGTACTGTAGGTACTTACCTAGGTAAGTAAATATTTCCAGGCGCACACAACGCGACACCTCCCCTGTAAGAAGATCTGCCCATCATCTGTCTACTACCATAGGTAACGTAACTAATATGTACCTACCTACATACCTAGGTACTTGCTTCACGCATAAAGGCAGGTAGGTATGGTAGTAGTAGGACTATATCTCTCTTGCTTGAACCTTGCTTCAAGCCGAGAGCTCGCTTTACAGGCGCAGTGTTCTCTAGCCCTTCTTCTCTTAGCAGGTTGCACCCAATACCTACGCAGACAACAGACACTACGGTATTGGTAATGTGGCGTCCTCGTCTACCCAAAAGGGTACTCAAGATGGAGAAGATGAGCTTGGGGGGTACATCAAGGGATCAAGGGAAAGCAGGGAAGACTTCGAAGAGGGGTTGTCTAGGTATTGAGTGCTGAATCCCTCGGATATAATAAGTCTAGAACCAACCAGCAACCAACCAACCAACAACTACATGTATACGTACGTACATGTAGCAACTAACAAGTAACAACCACAACTAGATTCCCAGATTGCCAATCGCCAGTACCTAGTTAACGTTTAATAGCCGGCTGCCGACGCCTTTCGCATAAATCTCCCACTTCGTATTAGTCTGGGAGGACGTTGCGTCCGTCCGTGCTGTGCTTGGGGCCGCTGAAAAATAAAATAGAAAATAAAAATAAAAATGAGCACCATTGCAAATGCGGGGAGGGGGCAGGGTCGCGGCTCTTGTTTTCGCTTGACTACAGTCGCGTTCTGTGCAGTTACTTTGCAGGTTGACATCCAAGCGAACCATCCCGTCATCGTCTGACGCGAGCTGGTGGGCAGGCAGGCCGGTAGGGAGCCCATTCGCTACGACGGTCACTTCTCGTCCAAGTCTACTAAGTACGAGTAGTAAGTACTGTACGAAGTAAGGGCGTCATATCTCCGACTCTATGTGAATGATCACCTGATTAAATAACACGCAGAGAAGCCGGGGAAACATGGATCTTACAGTAAGAGGTAAGTATGTATACTACCTCCTTACCGATTCTGTACTTACCAGTGTCTGGGTACCTCGTCTTGGCCAAAATGGTGGACGCAGATGAGGCAAACCGGCAACCCCATCCCTTGGGCTTAGGTAGCTGGGATGCAACATCTGATAACTTAATAAGTAGTATTGTAGCACCAAGACGAAATTCGGGGAAATATACGTGCTGGACTATTTTTGCCAACTATAGTGGTTGATCTATTATATCGTTCAAATTTTGCCTTCAATACATACCTACTCTACAGCCAGTCCTACAAAACCAACAAGCCGGCAACCTGGGTCAGATCGCCTATATCTTCTTTCAGTCATACTGTTTATCCGATGGCTCGTTGCGTAACTCCTATGAACGTCGAAGTCTACTCACTAACCAACTTCTCGCCGAAGACCAGAGAGTTACTATATAAGCTTTCATGCAATGTAGTCGTACGGTTTGAATTACTTCAGATTGCTGCGGTAGTACGATCTCACTCTCTAGTATAGTTGTCTGTATACCCCTAGGGGTCATGGTGGATTCTTTGCCCGTTACCCCATTCCGTCTATAACATGCCTACAGGAAATGCCCACTTCACCACTGCTACAGGGGCTCTAAACGAGAGACTATTTGCATAAATATGTGGGTGACTCGTCTTACTCAATAGCACTGAAGACTAGGGTCAGATGTGGTCCGCCGGATAATAACGGGGCAAGTTTGAAGGTGTCGTAGCAGTTTGCAGAACTTGGTAAGCTTGTTTTGCGGAATACTACCTGACCTCGCAAAGACCCTAGCGTACAATGTCTAAGATGGCATGATCCAGTTTCTAGAAGAAAAAGGTCTATCTAGGTAGCAACCAAGATTTTCGCTCGCACGAATTCGCCCACCGTCCATGCACAAATTTGACCGAGCTAACATTTTGATATTCGCAAGCCAAAACTGACATCAAGGCACTAGCAAGTCTGTTGACTGGACCGCAAATAGTGCTCAGAGGTAAATCACCAGTCTGACTCTATACGGAGACTTCTCTTATCGGGAAAGGTCTGAAACTGGACACCATATCGGTACGACTATGCGCACCGGTACACAGAAGTTCGGTGCTGCGACAGGGCCTAGTAGCACAAGTGATAGAACTGTCTTGGATTGGAACACCCTAACAAATGGCTTCAGATGGGCCAGGTCGTGCTGAGTGACATGGTGTATCGTGTATAGCAGGTTTAATGTCACAGCCATGTTAACACCATCCTGTAGTTCGACCTGCTGTAGACGATTGCTTCTGGAGGTGACACAGTTTTACTGCGTCTCACATTCACCAGCCAAACTGAATGAACCGGCAGCGAAAGATCCAGTGTAGTATTTTTCACTTGCTTTCGTCGGATTCATCAGAGTCAGCAAACATATCCACGGCTCTCATGCGCCTCCCTGGTTGGCGTGGCCGAGCGGATGATGGCGTCTCTTCGTTGACTGGCGCAATAGCATCTCTTTTGGGGTCCGGTTTATCAACAGAGGAGGCGTCCAGTCCCTGTTCGATATTCGCCGCGCTGTCGTTGTCATCATCATCTGCGTCCATGGGTACTCCATCTATGTCACTATCGAGCTCCACATCTATATCCATGCCTTCTTCCATGACTTCACCATCTAGGTCCTCAACACCTCCAGCCTCTCCATCTTGGGTTTCAACCACCATGTCCTCTGACACAGGAAGAAAGCCTTTGCTGTCATTCAAGATCGATCCCGCCTCGACGGTCTTCCATCTCCCACCTTTCTTTGGCCCCTCAGATAGTTCTTCCTTCTTAGCACTTGGTGGATTCTCAAACGTCTCGGTGAAGAATTGGTGAGCATCGTTTGGGAAGGCACACCAGCCTTCCCAAAGACTGAGCACGAGGCCTACACTGCGCTTCCATTTCTCAGCGCGAAGACGGCCCCAGTGCAGGCGTTCAGAAAGAAGACCAAGGTTTTCAAAAACTTTGGCCTCTTTAAGTGCAGTCTCAAAAAGCTGCCGGTATCGCCAGGCATGTCGAACGCCACTAGTGGCCGAAGACGAGAGTATATCGCTTACTACATATAGACCAATCAGGCTAGAAGCACTCGTATCCTGTGACTCGGTGTTCTTCCTAGCAGCATCCTCTGGTAAAGGTGTAGAGTTTAAGGATCCGTGACCGGCCTCATCTCCATCGGCAGTTTTGCTGTAATCTGGGTTCGCAGATGTTAAAGCAAATGGCTTTATAATGTTGGCAACGATTGTTTCAACAATCTCGTCTGCGCCTCGGCTTGAATGTGTGATTGCAAAAGACGTCAGGCGGGCAATATCACCTTTTCGTATTTTTGTCAGGGTTGTAGGAAGTCGTGCTAACAGGTGTGTGAGTTTTGCTTTTCCGATCGGGTTGAGATACACCTTCCCATTGTCTCCATGTTCAGCTTGTTTGTGCCCTTCATCTTCAAATTCTTCGTCGTCGGACGAGTTGTATTCGGGGTCTGATACAAATTCATCCACAGTAGTAGCATACTCGTAAGCCAGCGGCTTCTCTGGCATTTTCCAGGCGTTACTACCTTCAAAGAGCGGGAGATACTTTCCTTGTCGTACCCCGTTTTCAGGGCCACCAGTGACAACCTCCCACAGTCGCCAGCGATACCATACACCGCCTTCACTTCTCGCGTCCCAAATCCATGCCCATCTTTCCTCTTTCTGCACGTCCAGTCGTGACATAAGTAAAGCTTCGAACTCTGGGCCATGTTCAAGAACCGATTCAACCACCTTATGAATCAACTGAATCTGTTTGATGTCACCAGGGGCTCGCACCAGAACGTGGAGAATCGTTCTAGAGATCGGGCCGGCGCCAATGCTATATGAAGGTGGAGGAGCAAACCCTCGTTGGAAGCCACCAGGTTGATGGGAATCGTTGTTATTAGCTTCTGGGACAGGCTTGGCCCCAAAGGCATGTGACGTTGATGTAGATGTAAGAGTCGAAGCCACTGTTGATGAGACAGCAGAGGATAAATGCCTATGCAATGAGAGATAGAAGCCGTAACCAAGATACCTGTTTTGCAATGCACTGACAGCAGTATCAATGTCAGCGGCCGGTGTTTCCGTAGATAGGGTTACGATGGCAGCTATAGACTTTCTCTCTCCCCCTCCAGCGTTCGTTGAAGTCAAGATTTTAACATTTTCCACCACCAGATTTGAAGGAATTAGTGCCTTTACAACGGCCGGCGATGTCACAGGCGGTAAATTCGAAAGCCGTAGAGTTGGTCTTGCCACAGCCTTCACTTCCGCCAGGTCTCTAGAACGTGCATCAGTCTCATCGTCGCTTGTATCGAATGCTCGTGATACGCCCTTTGGCCTTGACGGAGGCCCGTTGTCACTGCTATCCTCGTAGAATCCGAGTCTACCCCTTCCTTCGTCTTGTCCTTTCCTGCCGGAGCCTTGCTGAAAGGTGTCATATCTTTTCTTGCCAAAAGCGGTGGGCGCGGGACCAAGAGATCCGGGCCCGCTCTTCAAACTTGTTACACCGAAATGCCTTCTCCCAAGCCCACCCCCAGTGCCAAACTGCGGTGGGTTCACACCGGGTCGACCAATTGATGCATTATTCTGATTCCTCCTGCGGTCGAAAGCACTATTATCGTCATCCTCGTCGTAGTCATTGTCAAAACTCTTGACAAAGCTTTCGTAAACGGCGGCTGTCTCGGCAGCCTCCCTTTTGCGCTTCGCCTCGGCCTCGGCCTTTTGCTTCTCGAAAGCAGACTGTTTGGAAGGCTTTTGGAGTTTCGCCTCGACATCGGGAAAATCATCGAGTTTGTTATTATTCGACATGATGAGGCAAGTCGACTGAGTGTTGGCGCATGCTGGAGCGTCGCTTTCGAAAGTCGCGCCTCGCTTTGCCGCAGCTTGTGAGGCAATCGCTAGTGCGGCGATGTGGCAAGCGCTACCAATACACAACTGGTGTTGGGTTCGATACCATCCCTATCCCTATGCCTATAGGAGTGTTGCACGCAAAGGATGTGATTAGAATGCTCTTGCAACGGGAACCTACCTAGGCTCACTACGCGATTGGAAGGTACGTATACATAGTACATCATCTGGATCTTTGGCGCGCTACCTTAGGTACCTACTGCCCCCATATCTACCTAGGCATTCTCCAGCCAAATACATTCACTACTTAAATATGTAGGTAAGAAGTGTACGGCCTTAGGCAGTATTTCAGCACAATGTTGAAAATGCAGTACCTAGGTACCTAGGTAGGGCTCTATACTTTTCAGATTTGAGATGTTGCTCAACAAGGACAAGCAAGTGAATTCTGGCCAAAGTCTACGTTCTTGCAAAACATGATTCCCTCCATGCAATCTCTTATCTTTGTTGTCTACTGTAGGTCTCCGGCTCGAGCTAATGTCGAAGATGCCGAGTCATCATCGGTGGGTGGGGGCGCACGCATCTGCACAGCACGCCCTGTGCCGCCTGTACTATGTAGCAATGCAACATAGACAACTTTAGCTACCTATCTAAGTCCCGGCAGTCTGTCGACGGATACACACCCGACCCTTGTTGAAGCCGATACACGGAGTTAACAAATGGGAGTATTGGCTAGGAATTCGAGGTATTTCGGGCACCAGTGCTTAGGAGTAGGCTACTATATAAAAGTCGGGTTCCCAACAAAATACAATTGTTCTATTCCGCGTGCCATGCTTTGAATTGATCTTGAACTCGTCAAAGCTGTAGAAACAATGGCATTCCCCGGAGCCGGAGGACACCCCACTAACCTCAATACTAATGCTACCCCAAATGCACAAGAGAACGAAAAGGAAAATAAGTTCAGGGCTCCCAAAAGGTGACAAATCCAAAGTTTCTTATTTGACAGTTTACTACTCGTGATATGGCGGGATATGACGCACTCTTGCTGAATCACCAATTGTCAATAAAACATCACGAAAAGGGGGCGGGCATTCCAGCACGCACTTTTATTTTATCCCAAATCGAAACCGGACGGATGGCGCACGAAGCTAACGAAAAGAGCGGTACAACAGCATCCTCATCATCGGCTCAGGCGTATTCGGTCTGAGCACAGCCTTCGCTCTAACGCGCCGTTCCGAAATCCCTTCAGACACACCCATAACAGTCATCGATCGCTCGCCCGACCCCGACGTCTTCCCCGCCCGTGACGCCTCGTCCATCGACTCGTCACGCATCATCCGCGCCGACTACGCCGACGTCGCATACGCCGAGCTCGCGGCTGAGGCACAAGAACACTGGAGACGAGACATCGATAAGCCGGACTCTCTCGGCGGCGATGGGCGCTACAACGAGTCCGGACTGCTGCTAGCCGCAGAGAACGGCGCCGACGGGGCCACCGTGCGTGCGGATGGCCACCCCACAGGCCTGGGCTACACGCGGCGCAGCTGGGTGAATGCGCTGGCGTTAGCACACGCTGAGGGCCGCTCGCTTGATACTGTGCGGCTTCTGCCTTCGGGGTTTGGCATTGCCAAGCTCTCGCGCACCGATCGCGAATGGGCCGACTGGGGCTACCTGAATACAGCGGCTGGATGGGCCGACGCAGAGAGGAGCATGCGGTGGCTGTATGACCGGGTTGTGGCAACGCAACGCGTGACCTTCGTGAACGGCACCGTCGAGACCCTTGAAACGCAGACACAAGGAGTAGAGCAGCATGTCACGGGTGCGCGTCTCACCGACGGCCGCAATTTCTCAGCCGACCTCGTTATTGTAGCCACAGGCGCCTGGACACCTACACTCGTGGGTCTAGCGGGCTCAGCCGTCGCAACAGGACAGTGCGTGGCCTATTTGCGAATAACGGACGACGAGCAGGCCCGGCTGGCTGAGATGCCAGTATGCCTGAATCTGACGGACGGGTGCTTCGTGATCCCACCACGCAACAACGTCCTAAAGATTGCAAGGCATTCATACGGGGTATGTATTCACAACCCGTTCCGCCCCAGTTGCGAGACCTAGTTGCTACAAAGATCCATTGCTTGCTAGAGCTAACTGTCGTCACAGTATGTAAACCTTTGATCCAGAAACGTGGCCACCGTGACCTGTGTAATCCTAGAAAATAGGTAACAAGAAACTGGACTAACACGTTTGGATGTACCAGGTATCTGAACCCGCAGCCCGTCCCAAACGCACCACTCAAGCCCTGCCGTTCTGCCACCGGCGAAAATAGCCAAGTAGACAAGAGTAACCCCAAACCCGTCATCTCTCAGCCCCGTACTCACCTCACAGATCCGTCTCTCAACATTCCAGCCGAAGGCGCCGCGGACCTGCGTCGTGCCCTGCGGCGTATGATCCCCTGGTTAGGCGATCGCCCATTCTTCGAGACGCGCCTGTGCTGGTACACGGATACGCCGACGGGGGACTGGATTGTAGACTACCACCCCAGCTACAAGAACCTCTTCGTAGCTACTGGCGGCAGCGGCCACGCCTTCAAGTTCTTGCCAATTCTAGGCGAAAAGGTCGTGGATTGTCTGCTGGGCAGGCATCCCAAGAAGTTTCGAGAGAAATGGATGTGGAAAGGTGGTGTGGGAGGTGCTGTGAAACGGAACGATGGGTTATCAAGTGAGCAGGAAATGCTCCAAGATGAGCTAGCTGTTGAACTTAGTGTGGCCACTGAAGATGGAACCCGAGGGGGCAAACCTGGTCTCATTCTTGTTGAGGAGATGGTTGAGGATGAGAAACCTCACATATTGTCAAAGATATGAGACACCATGACTGACATGTTGCCGTCAAACCGACATGCACGGAACAGAAAATACAGGCAAATTGGCAACGATGGGCTGCACATCGAGGAAACCAGTTGCGGTCCACTCATATACATCACATAGCAACATATAGACCAACTTCTTCCGTAATATTATGTATTCTCTATCGAAAGAGACCACTATGAACTACGGTGTCTACTTGCTCCTGTGGATGGGCGCTACAGGTTGTCATCAACCATGTCAATGCTTATTCAGTTGGTAGAGCATGTGCCTCGCACCTGCAGGGCATAAAGCGCACTTAACAGGCATGAAGACCTTTCGGAAATCAGTATACTGTGTGCGACCAGAAGTGAGTTTGCTGTCTAGACAATTCTCCTCTGTGTATAGGCCTGAGCAAGAAATCTCATTCGGATTCTTGCAGCACAACAACCTCCCACACCTCTTCGGTTGACCGATAATTTCGCCACCAACCCCTTTTCTTTCTCGAGTGAATTAAGACAGCAGAGCTCGAGCAGCGCAAGTGCTGTCGAAGAATGCAATGATGCAATCTATGTTATTCGTCTGACCAGGTCTAGAGACGTTTTCTGTGAAGAAAGAATTCAACCTGGCCCCTCATGTGTAAAATCCACGCCTGTATGAACGCCGATGCAATGCAGTATGGGTGAAATCAATGTTACAAGTGACTGTGAGCATGATGTGGTCATTGGGAGATCCGTGAACATGCATGCTCAGTCACAACCAGTCATGATGTCGTGAAGAGTGTGATACTCGTACAAGTGTGTGGTATATGTAGGGATGAATCATCTCCAGCAGGGGGGAGCACAAGTTTAGAGTGCATAAGCGTCCGCTGCAGCGTTCTCCTCGGATTTAGATCTTTCTGAAATCTGCACAAATTGAATTAACAAAGGCGGTTCAAAGTAAGGGCGAAAGCGATTAGACTTACCTTGCAGAACAGGATAGATCATCTCGAAGGCTTGGTATATCTCCTCGCGCACTTTAGCGCCAGTCAAGACGATTTTGCCACTGACGAAGATCAAAAGCACAATCTTAGGCTTGATCATACGGTAAATCAGACCGGGGAACAGCTCAGGCTCATAAGAGCTGAAGTTGTGGTGGCGGGAGGCAAGACCTTCGAGACGGATCGGGAATTTGATGTCACAACTGCCAACAATGTTCTGGATCTTGAAGTCTGTGAACTTCGCGTTGAACCCCAGCTTCTGAATGATACGGGCATACTTGCGAGACGCAAGTTTCGAATCATCTTCCGACTTGGCACCAGTGACAACCATCTTGCCAGAGGCAAAGATAAGGGCTGTAGTCTTAGGTTCGCGAATACGCATGATGACAGCAGCAAAACGCTGTTTGGGTCAGCAACCATGACGTCATGAAAGTACATTCACGATTATGTCAAGTTCGTACCTTAGGGTTGTACTCAGCATTTCTCGCATGCAGGGCGATCGTCTTCAGATCCAGACGGCAATCTAAGTTGACCGTGGCGACGATGTTTCTTGAGCATGCGACGTAAGCCTAGGTTCATGACACTCTCATGGCAATTTCATACGTACTGCAAGGTAGGAGTCAATCCACTTCCAGCCTGTGTTGCTGCAGGTGTGGCGGCAGGTGTGGCGGGAGTCACCCCAGTCCCATTCGTAGCCTGGCCAGCTTGTGCGCCGTTTCCATTGCGCTGACTGTCGAAAGGAGGTGTAAGCTCAGTAGCAGCGGTCGGGAAGGACAGAGAGCCGGGGGCAGTGAACGCCTTGGCCTGCGCTGCATTCTGAGGATGGGTCTGAAGAGATTCCATGATGTCGACGAGTAGCCTCTGGTGTTTCCACGAAGAAGTCGAAAGTCGGCTCAGAGTCTAATGCGGGATATGACGTCAGAAAAAGGTTGGAAGGAGCATGGAGTACACGAAGTGATTCGTAACGGGTGATGTGGGGGCAAGGCGACCAGGGAAAAGGAATGCAAAAAAATGCGGACTGTTTTCCGAAAATCGAAAAGCAGATGTAGATGAGCTTGCCATGCAGGTTATCGGCGGGGGGTGTGGTAATGTTGTGGCAACCACACAAGAGCGATAAACAACCACACCACCTACAATAATGTGATTACATAGCAGATTGGGAAAGGCAGCGCGACTCAAATAATATTCTCCTTACCAGTAGAAAGAGCTGGAGATGAACAAGTAAATGTCTCCCCAAATGTAGATTTTCTCAATACGTAATGTAGTGGCCGACAGATTAACTGTCGATCCAGGCACGCAAACACGAAGGCACACACACAAGCACGAGGTTCAGGCTCGTCGACGATCGCGACTCTTGCTCGATGGAAATCGGAAGGACGACCGTGTTCGTCTTGACGAAGTACGAAGCGCAAGGGATTCAGAGTATCGTCGAGGTCGGGGATCTGGTGGGATATGACGACGACGACGGTGTGAGACTCGACGGCCTATGCGACGACGACAACGAAAAGAGCGAACAGCGAGTTCAAATTCTTTTCTATTGCGATATCTTTCTCAGGATTACACTGCACTATGACCTGTGCGGCGCAAGGTACTACCAGCGGTCTGGACAGGATGGATGGAGAGGACTGGAAGAAATCGTGCGTGGGCGGACAGGCGAATCCCTAAATAGGTCGGCCAACGGTAAAACAAAGGAAGGTAGGTGAAGGAGCCGGTGGCTTGAGAATCCTTTGTTGCTTCCGCTTTGTCAACTGTCTGAGGTAAGACCAAGCTGGCAGACGTATGCGACGATCGTTACCACAGAAACAAAGCCGTAATCGATAACCACAAGGGCCGCCGATAGCAAGGTGCACGATGTTATGAGAGAAGAGAGATGAAGGGGAGGCCCTGCTAATTTTCAACGATGTGGGTCACCGGCGAGGACGACAAATAACAGGCACAAGAAATGAATTAAAGAAAAAGAAAAAAGAATTAGGGTGCCAGACGACCTGAGCAACTGACAGCTGGCGGATGCTGGCTGGCTGGTTGGCAAGCAAGGTTACGTAAGGCAGGCAGGGATTTGTGGGGGTGGTATGTTGAGGGAAGGTATGGGGGACTTTCGGTCCGGACTTCGGCGCAAGACTCTCGAAACAGTCCAAGTTGAGGGGATGCTCAGGTTCTTATAATTTTTGGAGGCCAGCCTCCTTCGTGGGCCATGCACTGACTTTTCAGGCCACCACGCCCCCCCAATGTGGCGTCCATCCACAAATCACCGCTCCGCTCACAGTTTGCTTGCCGCATCGGTGGGGCGTGTCCGGCGCTGCACCCAATCAGCACGTCATTCCCGGCCCTTGGTTCTATCTGCTTTAATCTTCCCTTTCCTGGCCCGCCTTGTGCTCTTAGGTTCCCACAAGTCACTTTTTCCCTCAAACCCTCTCCTCTCTCTCTCTCTCTTCATACTTCTGTCATCCCAACCCAAGGCCGATCTTCTCTCCTGTCCGACAGACACATTGCCTGTCTACCACTGCACCATGTCGTTGTCGCTCGTTTCCAATGGTCCTCCCAACCCATTTCATCGTCGTCCAGCATCGATCCCGTCCTTCGGTTCATTCATTCATTCATTCATTCATCTAACCTGACAATCTGCGAGGCGACACTGAACTTATTCAGTCACCAGCAACCACCGACCATGACGCGCGCCACCAGTGTTGAGCCAGAGCCCGACCAGTGGCGGCCTGACTCGGTTAACCACTTCCAGCAGAGGAGGCGACCGAGGCAACCAGCAAACGGCGCGATTTTGCCCCCATCCACCCAACTCGCCCAGTCCCTAGCCCAACCTGCCTGCACTGTGTCGAAATAGCCGACGGCTCACAACTCTCGTGTTGATTGGCCCAGTGGCCACAACCGACTTCTGACCAGGCAGAGTCTAGACTAGGTGGGGGGTGTGTGTCGAGGAGATTTCTAAAACCCCAAATTACCCCTAGCCTACCTTGGTACCCTAGTACCTCAAACTCTGCACCCCCTTGAAACGCGCAATCAAGCCGTCAGCCCTCCCTCTCCTCTTATCCCTTTCCACTCTCCTGCCCCTTTTTCCTGCTTCGTAAACTTGCTCTCTCTTTCTACCTTAGCCCTTTCCTGACTTCGTTACTGTGCGCTAGGTGTTGATACGGACAGCCTAGATACGCGGTGCCGCCATTTATCACGCTTATTTCTGCTAAGCATTATTGCCATCTAGTGATTTTCTTAGTCTATACAACAAGCGATCTCAAACGTCTAGATCAAAGCACGCTACACATCCTAACCGCATCGAAATTTCTTCAGAGACCGTCGTCATATTGTGTACCTAACTGTGCGACGTCGCAGTTGCTGACAATGCAGGTCTCATCCACTGCTCGCTCCAGTATTTCTTGGTTACGACGATCGTCTGTTCAGGGTCGTAGGTCTCATTTCGGTGGTTTCGGGGGGCCGGGGTCACTTCAGTCACCCCAGCCGCATATCTGTTCCAACCAACATCCTCTAACACCTGACTCACCACCGCCTTTTCATTGATTTACCACTCTTTCTCCTTTTCCTTTTCCTTTCTCCCCATTGCTTTTCCCTTCCTGGGTTATAGACACGTTGTCTCAAGATTCTGGTGTTCGTATGCCTATGTATAATCAATCATCGGCATAGATGCATTAAGAGGAATCAGTTGAGGACACGTTGATGTTCCTGAACTGGCGGTATTGGACTGGTCGAATGCCGGTGCATGCAGTGGGATTCAGTGGGGACAGTGACTGCTAGCGCGGCTTTATTGGCTTTTCACAGGCTTTCCGCCCTTTCCTTCCCTTTACCTTAACCTTTCATTTTATCTCATTTCCTTGGCGCTTTTCTCGAGCCACCCCTCCCCTCTCCAGCCTCGCACGGATCCTTGCTTTTCATCTAGCATTCCCGCTCCCAGCCGTTGTGTTATGACTCATTCACAGCCTCATCTTTTTATGCACTCCAATGCCATCCTGCGGTCAAGTGCAATTTTATCGCTGCGTGACAGACATCTCGCAGAGACGGCCGCCCCTAGAATCTTTATTTCCCTACCTCATTTTCCTGCTGTTGGCGGTGAAGTACTCAAGCTATGCATGCGCGTTCGCGAAGTGTTGCATCTTGAAATGGCGAGTTGTCCTGATCCGGAGATTCTGTCGCGGACTTCTGTCGCGTCACAGTCGCGACATACAAGTTGGCCCTCGTAATCCAAAGAAGGGCTGCTGTGAGGTCCAAACCATGCAAGTAAGCCACTGCGCAAACGAAAGTTGGAAGCAGTACCGAGCAGTACTTTTAAGTATACAGTATTTGTCACTGTGAGCCACTTGTGAAAATTTCTCTCCCTTCTGCACCACCACTAGTGGGTAGTCGTAGGCAGCACCTAGACTGTATCCACAATATCTATGGTTTATGGCCAATCAATCTTTTCTGCGGGTCAAATTGTAATCTTACTTTCATGAGAATCATGAACATTGGGTACCATGATGCCTGCGCTTGCTCGAAGGCTCAAGGGCTAGGTACACTAGTTTGTACACTACAAGCATTTACACTACCGTAGGGTGTACATAGTAGCTTCTTATCTTTACAAGGAATGTCCACAATCTGAAATACCTGGTGCAATCCGCAAGATTGTGGCTGAAATGAGCCTCTTGATACATGTACCTAGTGTACCTTACCCAACTTAACCCTAGCATTGATTATGGTTGGGCGTTGCAAAAATTACTGATAGTGATCGTCACCATACAAACGGCTCCTACCTATTCTATCCAATTATATATATGTTGTTGCATGAAGCAGGAAATGGATTCAGTATGACACCAGATAGGGCAGTAGTACTTATATATGATAGAAAGTCAAAGCTCAGCATTGCTAGGTTATATGCAGAATGAAGAGTTGCCGTCACTTCTTGATAAAATTGGGGAGCATACTTCGGCCAGTGTACTGTTAGAATACCCCACAGGTTTCTAGGCGAATTCTGGGGTTTTCGAATCTGGGGTTAGACCTTGAATACGCAGTAGTGTTAATCCAATATGTATATGTATGTTGATTGAAGAACTTGTGCCATCGTCTCTACCTCTTATTTCCCAGATATATTGATCTCTGAACGAGCTCAGTTAAGTGCCCTTGATGCTGGTGACTCTGTAGGCTGGAACATGACGGCTGTATATATTATCTGGTGTCTCTTCCGGGCGTAAGGTCCCGGTTGGGCTGACGCACGTATACAGAGATCAGGCTGAAGTCCGCACGATAGTAACTAGGTTGATGTAAGGGAGAAGGATATTACCGGACGGCTTTAACAGAGTCAAGATTCTCAGCCACCTCTACCGACGGCGGAACGTCGTCGAATCAGTGACTTGACTGCCTGCAACTCGGGAAGTGAAACTCGGAAGGGATAGATTCAAGAGCAGGAAGTCGAAGACCCCATCAACATGCTCTCGGGAACCCTATACTATTCTTATTTGTCTACTCGTTCAGTCTTTCTGAAGGTTTCAGATTGCGTTATATGATATATGTCTTGTTCATTGAAGTTTGGGTTACGTAACATACCCAAATCGGTTTCAATTCTTACTACTAAACAAAATGATGAGTGAACAATAATACTTGTTAACATATATAGCGGTACTACTAAGTAGTTGAGTACCTAGTGCACTACTTTTTACTCACAATGCTAAGTCACTACCTGAAAGCTTGGAACACTATATTATCCCTTGGGTCACAATATTCAACGCCTCCTCTTATACCTGTAACAGTCACCCTGCCCATAAGTCTAAGACACTTGCCTTCCTATACTTTGTATCACGAACATAGCCAATTTTCACTTTCAGACGAGGTCCTATTTGACTTGTATTACTATATGTGTTATGCTATGCCACTATGCCTACAGTATTATGCCATGAACAGCAGTGCACCAACACTCCAGCGTAGTAAAAATGAAAAGCAGTTATATACCTCTGTGTATGTGAGTGTTATAGGGGTCCGCGACATAGCTGAGTATGAACGATTAGTCTGCGCTACGCTGGTCGTAGAACACTTACGTGCAAGAAAAACCGACAACTTGGCAACTCAGCACGAGATATGAAAAGGGGTTGAAACCCACGTTCAACCGTGCAGTGCCTCAGCCTCGTAAGGCGTCAAATGTCTCGAATGTCTTTCTCGTTCCTTTTTCTTTCTTTTCTCTCAATAACATAGAAACAACGCAGAGTCGACTACGCATAATTTTAATACACAAATTGACACTCCAATGGCGACAAGATGAAAAAGAAAGGAAGAAGGAAAAAAAAAAACAAAAAAAAAAACAGAGTTCCCTTGCGAGATCTGCGTATGCTAGGCATGATATCGTTATACAAGTGGGCAGGGGCAAGATATGACCTTACATATTTATTTATATCTACTATCATAACCCTCAAGGCGCCTAGTTACATCTTACGCATGAGATGGAAAACAATTGATTGTGCGACTACCGGAATATTAGTGGCCGTACTGATGTCGGACGGAGACAATGTCAACTTCTAGATGGTGTCCATCTAAATGATATACCAGACAGTTCCCGAATAAGAAATTCTAGGGCCGGCGTAACGACGAAGGGTTGACGGCAGGAAATTTGTCTTGAATAATTGGTGACTATTGCACTTCAAGTCGTTATATAGTAAAATTCAAGCTAAGTGTTCATAACCAGGTTGTGTAAATCGAGCGACCCCTGAATACGAATCTAACCTTCTTGATATTCCTGATTTTGTATCAAGTCAACAATCATACGCAGGCTCGATATCTATCTCTTAATATGGCTCGTAAATGGCCTCGAGGCCACACATATTATCTGCAAGTAATTAATACAACTCTAACATTGAGTCTTTGCAGAGGTTGAGTCATATTTGATGGGGTTTTATCATTTTATTTAATTTCCTAGAACAAGTCTTGAATATATTGACTGCAGCTCATCATATACCTAAGTTCGTAATTGGAGTACAAGGCACCATCGTCGTTATTTTACCAACTTAGAACAGAGCTGTTACCAAGTTGGACTGAAAGCATTTCGGAATCAATGTGCCCCTAGGATTCAATTCTGCTGACAGGTACTACGCGTGTATGTGCAACTAATACCACTGCACATGTACTACTACGTAGCTGGATAGGCGTGGAATTCTGTCCACCCATATTTCCGAGGTTGATAACACAGGGGATCACGCAAGTCTTGGCTCTTTCGCACAAGTGTGTGTCAGGGTTGCTGTACCTGCACGTACCCAGCCCTTCGCAGGCAGGTACATGTAGGTGTGCATGTGACCTCTTCCCGGATTTGGTAAACTCCAACAACATCGACCATCTTATAATAATGCCGTCTAGATAATCTTCCAATTGCATTTGACACGTTGCCTCGGAATGTGATACCCAAGTGCTGCAGAAAGTTGTCGTGCCTCCGGTCAATAGCCGACCGGTACGTGGGCACGTGATGCCTAGGGTAGTAGATGTAAGTACAGTAGATCGATCTCGGCCAAGGCTGGCGTTATCTCATCTCCTAGGTAAGGTGTGCCGCCTATATAGGTACACAATACTGAGCTAAGAATACTACCTACCTACTCATACCGCCACGCAAAAGAAAACTTATATCTGCTCAGGTTGCCATCTACTTTCAACAGTGATGGGCTTCATGAATGTTAGAGGGTACCTCGTGTTGCGGCTCAAGTCAACTCGTTTATGCAGGCGGCATGGTTCACCCCACGCCTGTCTCCAAGCCGGTCACCGGAATTGCCAAGCTTGATAGCGGCTACCTACCAAGTAGGTAGCTCGGTACGGTGATCTAGAACAGCTTGCCGGGCCTTTGACCGCTGCCAATGTGCAGTGATGACGCATGGCCACGCATCTCAAGCAGGTTGCCGAGCTGCATAGTAGGTATTGTACCCTACCTATCGTTTTCTAGGCTCTTCTCCTAGCCACCTGCTACGTACATAGATACGTAACAATTGGTCAATCGTTGGCCCCTAATACGACCTGAGATAAACAGAGATTTTTTAATAAGGGGTGGTTAAAAAAAAAAAAAAAAAAAAAAAAAAAGAAGAAGAAGGACATCAGGGAAGGACAACAGAGGCCTAGCCGTATCCAGGACGATTTACACTTTCTTGCGTGGGCTGCGTCATGGCACCACTAAATGTGTAGGAAAGCAAGTACACTTTGAAGATCCTAGATTTTGCTCATGATTCTTACATCAAGACTTCCAACTTTGTTCGCGCTCAATCGAACTGTGTTAGTGGCCCTACTAGCTACGATAGCCCTAGAAGCCGGGTGGTTTAGGCGCTCCACATCTCACAGCTCCTCTTCGTGAGGCTTCACAGTTCCACGCCGCTTTGCGCATAGGTCCTTTGCGGGGGAAAGCCGGCACTTCCCTCCTCTAAGTAAAGCTACTTCTGGCCAGGTTGCCGAGGTCTTGCTGAGAACAACTTCGAACATCATCAAATATGACTGTAATTGACACCAATAAAGACCTGTCGGCACTCTTCTCAAGCCAGGCCAAAGCTACGCCAGATGCTGTAGCTTTAGAAGATGGCTCTCTTAGCTTGACTTACGCTGAGCTCGAGGCCAAAGTTGATACCCTTGCCAGTCGCCTCCGTCGCCGAGGCGTTGGTCGCGACAACTTGGTTGGCGTCTTACTGGGTCGAAGCGCCGACTATGTTATATCATGTCTCGCAGCACTTAGAGCCGGGGGAGCTTTTCTCGTTCTGGAGCTCGCATACCCCCCCGGACTGCTAGCCGATGTGCTTGACGATGCAAGACCCACCGTCGTCATCACTCACACAGCTTATGTTGGCCAGATCAAGAGCACGGTTCCACTCATCGTGCTTGATGAACAGGAATCGGAGAAAACTGAGGACTCTCTACCCAATGGATCTTCGAATGGCCAGGCAGTTCTGCCTGAAGATGACTTGGAACGCCTCGCTTTCGTGTCATATTCTTCAGGCACCACGGGGCGGCCAAAGGGTATCGCCAACCCCCACCGCGCAGCTGTTCGGTCGTACGATTTGAGGTTCGGGCTCAGTGACCTTAAGCCTGGTGACCGCGTGGCATGCAATGTATTTTTCGTGTGGGAGATTCTACGGCCGCTACTTCGAGGGGCTACTGTAGTTACGGTACCGGATGAGATGAGCTACGATCCTGTGGCTCTTGTTGAGTTGCTACGATCAAAATGTATCACCGAAACTCTTATGACACCAACCTTGCTTGCTACAGTCTTGGGACGGCATTCAAACTTCGGCTCTCGTCTGAAGGATTTACGAACTTTGTGGCTCAATGGTGAAGTCGTGACAACTGATTTAGCACGAAGAGGACTCAAAGCACTTCCTAACGCACGTCTCCTCAATGTCTACAGTGCTAGCGAAACCCATGAGATAGCTTGTGGCGATATCAGGGAAATGCTTGATGAAGAAGCTCAGGTTGTTCCCGTGGGTCCTCCATTAGATCCTAAGCATGCTTATATCGTTGATGAGGAAGGTAACAGGGTTGGGACAGGCGTGAGCGGTGAACTAATAATAGGAGGTGACCTCTTAGCCCGAGGATACCTTAACTTACCAGAAACCACAGCAAAGGCGTTTATTCCGGACCCATTCGACCCTATACCTGGGGCGCGAATGTATAAAACAGGTGATACAGCCCGTATGCTCCCATCTGGCCTTCTTGAGATTACAGGACGCGTGGGTTCTATGATCAAAATTCGGGGATATAGTGTACAACCAGGAGCTGTTGAGCATGCGATTGTGACGCATCTAGCGTTCAGACAGTGTACTATTGTACCCCACGGCGAAGGTCTGGACCGACAGCTGGTTGCATATGTAGTTACGGACCCCGATGTAACGCAAGACCGGCCAGCTGTATCTATCGATGATGCCGGCTTCAGTCCATCAGCTAGACGAATCCTGTCGGCGCATTTAGCACACTACATGATTCCGGCTCTCTGGATCCCGATGGATGAACTCCCAACCCACGAAGTGTCCGGGAAAGTTGATATGAAGCGTCTTCCTTCACCAACCCGTGCTCGGAGTCCAGCTAAAGCACAGGTGGACGGAGAAGACACGGATCAAAAGATTACACTGAAAGACATTGCCAAAGTTTGGGCTTCGGTTCTAAACATACCCTACGAAACTGTGATACAGCAAGAACACGGCTTCTTCGATCTAGGAGGACATAGTTTGGCACTTGTGGAACTCATCACGAGACTAAGCGGTACTTATGGCTTTCCAGTTCCTCTTGCTCGACTGGCCGGGAATCCAACCCTCCAGGGACACCTAGAGGTTGTGCGGGATGCACGCGATGGCCATACAGCTGCAGTACAGGCTGACTTGCCACGTGTTCTGGAGACTGACTCTATTCTCCCCTCGGAATTTCAACCAGAGTCAACTAGAACGAAACGGCTCAGCGAAGCGGAAACCGTACTACTGACTGGTACAACTGGATATTTAGGAGCTTTCCTACTGCATGCTTTGATAGAAACGACAACTGCGCGCATCGTCTGTCTCGTGCGTTTCACCGACATATCCCGGGATAGTAATGAGGCTGCTGGCATGGCTCGTGTTCGCAGCAATCTCTTAGATCTGGGATTATGGAATGATTGTATGCTCGAGCGTATCGAGATTCTCCCAGCAAATCTGTCGAGGACACGTCTCGGCTTGTCATCAGAAGATTTCGATGATCTAGCTTCACGCATACAAGTCATTATCCATTCCGCCGCAACAGTGAATCTCGTCTACCCCTACGCAGCCATGCGTGGCGCCAACGTTATTGGGACTAGAGAAATAGTGCGGCTCGCTTGCAAGGCCGGCGCAACTGTTCACCACATTTCCACAAATGGTGTTCTCCCCAACTCTGTGGAGGGTTGGGATGAAGATGCCATGGTAGCCATAAAGGACGTCCCAGAAAAGCTACTCGACGGGTACGGTCAGACGAAATGGGTTGCAGAACAACTTGTGCTTGCAGCTGCAGAGCGTGGCCTCCCAGCACGAATTTACCGTCCAGGAACGATCAGTGGGCATAGCACATCTGGCTCATCCAATACCTATGATCTCCTGAACGCATTGGTTGTCGAGTCGCTTCAGCTAGGGCACGCCCCAAATGTTGACGGGTGGTATGCGGAGATGACGCCGGCTGATTTTGTCAGCAAGGCAATACTTTCAATAGCTGATAATGCAGACACGAAGCAACGTGTTGTCCACCTGGGTGATCCGAACCCCCTCCCTACGAAGGAGCTTTTTAGCATTCTTGGTGAGCTAGGATACCCTACTAAACCCCTCGACTGGGAGGCTTGGGTTGCCCTATGGAACGGGCAAAGAGGTTCTGGATCCGGAAACAAGATCTTCACCGTTGACATTCTTCGCCGTGGTATGCCCACGATTGAAGGGTTGAAGTGGGTTACCGTACTTAAAGACACGGCAACTGCCCCTCTGCTCGCCAAGTCAGGACTTGAACGACCGAAGATCGATATTAAGCTGTTCGAGACCTACACTCGTCACTTCTGCGCTAGGGGCTGGCTACCACGCCCGCCGCGCCGCCAAGATGCTGCTTCGTCCGCTCGGGTTACCAAGAAAGGACCGTTGGCCGGTCGTGTCGCTGTTGTCACGGGTGCGTCTTCAGGTATCGGTGCTGCAGTCGCCACTGCATTAGCGCAGGAAGGCGCACATATCGCGATCGCAGCTCGTCGAACCGATGCCCTTGAATCCCTCAAGAAGAAGATTTCTGCGTCTGGGGTAAAAGTCCTGGTACACAAGACCGATGTAACGCAGAAGTCCGAAGTAGAGTCTCTCATGCGCGAGACAGCTGAGCAGCTTGGACCCATCGATATCCTAGTCTCCTGTGCGGGTGTCATGTACTTCACGATGATGGCGAACGTGCATACTGACGAGTGGGAGCGCACGGTCGACGTCAACTGCAAGGGTCTCCTGCACTGCCTCTCCTCCGTTGTTCCCGGCATGCTGGCCCGCGAGTCTGGACACATCGTTGCCATTTCGTCGGACGCGGGCAGGAAGGTGTTCCCGGGCCTGGGCGTGTACTCGGCGAGCAAGTTCTTCGTCGAGGCTACGCTACAGTCTCTGCGCCTCGAGACCGCGGGCACCGGCCTCCGCGTCACGTCCGTGCAGCCTGGAAACACGGCCACCGAGCTCCTGGGCATGTCCACGGATCAAGAAGCTATCAAGAAATACGGCGAGCCGTCTGGTGCCAAGGTCCTTGATGCCGACGATGTCGCTCGCTCTATCGTATACGCTCTTCGTCAGCCCGCTCATGTCGCTGTTAACGAGGTGTTGATTGAGCCGCGAGATGAGCCTATCTAGGAGCTAAGGTTCTAGTTAATTTAGAATTCGCAAGGGTGTAATGAGAATACTTAGATGCTTGTATGAATTAAACTCATATATATACTTTTCTCCCAGAACATATCCACCTTCTCGCTTGCTCATAGGAATAGATATAGTATGCCACCAATCTGTCTACTTTATCAGGCATTCGCTTTGTTCCGGGCGTAGAATATCCCTAGTGAGTTTGTCCTTTCTTCTAGTAATTACGTCCGAGCGAAATTCCCATGTCATTCACAACGGTAAGTCAATCGTCTTCGCAGCCTATTCGTAATGTAGAAACCCGTTCTCTTTTTCTACGTGATATCGTGAAAAGTCTAGACTAGCTAAACAGGAAGAGTGTATATACAATTGAATGTGAATTCGTATCTGTTCATCCATGTACCTTAATTCCTTCCTGCCGTCTATTCATACAACCCGAGACAAAACAACCGTAACCCAACTTGCAAGTATGAAGTCGGATCAATTCATCCTGCTGCACCACATTGAACATGACCTGTTCTGAAAATGTGTCTCGCTGGTCCCCTTAAGCGTTGTTGAAGAGGTTCCGGAGAACGGTGAGCGGGTCAACCTTGGCCGCGCTGCCGGTCGGTGGGGGAGGAGGAGGAACGTCGCTACCGGCCGGAGGAGGAGGAGGAGGAACATCACTGCCAGCCGGAGGAGGGGGAGGGGGAGGGACGTCACTGCCAGCCGGAGGGGGAGGAGGGGGAGGAGGGACGTCACTACCAGCCGGAGGAGGAGGAGGTGGTGGTGGGACGTCACTACCAGCTGGAGGAGGAGGTGGTGGTGGTGGGACATCACTACCAGCCGGAGGGGGCGGAGGAGGAGGAGGGACGTCACTACCAGCTGGGGGAGGAGGGGGAGGAGGAGGCACATCGGTGCCCGCCGGCGGTGGAGGGGGAGGGGGAGGCACGTCAGTACCCGCCGGAGGAGGGGGCGGCGGAGGAGGCACATCAGTGCCCGCCGGAGGAGGAGGAGGAGGAGGTACATCACCGCCTGGGGGAGGCGGAGGAGGAGGCACATCGCCGGCCGTCAGGTTACCAGCAGCAGGGTCAAGAAGGCCACCGACCACACCAGCGGGCTGTTGGAAGCTGGTTAGTGACATAATCTTACTAATTGCGACTGAAACATGGTTTCGAATTCTCTTACATTGGCCAGAAGGGTTCGTGGCTTGGCGGGCATGGTAGCCACAAAGGAGGCGCCAGTCGCCAAGACCATAAGGACAGTGCTGAAGTTCTTCATTTTGAAAAAAGTTCTTGAGATACTACTAGTCAATAGTAATGAAAGTAGCGGCACAGCTCGCGGAGTTGTGAGGCCGTTGTGAGAACGAAAGAAATAGAGCACAGCTAGATATCGTATTAGTACACGATGACTGGCACTTGTAGAGTGGTTGGCCTATCTTACCTCGAAGGAATGAAGGATAGGCACAGGACGATCTATGCGGATATCATGGTGAGGCTAGAAAGTATTTTTGTTGAGGATGGGACGATGGTATTTATGGAAGATCAAGACGAAATAAGCTCCTATAGTATCGACATGATCTTCGATCAGTATCTACATTGCTCGGTAGAAGGAGGCACAGTTCCGGAGATCTCTGATGTGAAGCTTGGCCCACTTACACCATGTCTTCTTCTGTAAGGGTTAAGGAGACCTGGTAAGGTGCTGATTCACAAAAGATTCGCAAAACATGCTCCATACAGAATAGTGCGCGCCCAGCGATTCAGAATTCGTGGTACCGTATGATCCGAGTAGATCATAGTATAAAGAGCGCGTTAGGTCGTGCGCTTGAACCGCGAACTAGGAGAATTCTAGAAGATCATTCGCCCTGACGATCATCGTGGAAATCGCATAATGCCAAGACTTTTGGTTGGTCTTGTCTTTCGCCATGTGTAGAAATTTCTCGCGGGCGAGAGCTCAGACACCAACGCGAAGATCAAACGGGCCCTCAAACACGTCCCTCACATATATAGTATGATCACGTGAACACACGTAAAAGATATTCGCCGCCGATAGGAGAGGTGAGCTCGGTGATGAGTTGGGCTGCCCCGGTCAATAATTATCTGACACCTAATTCTTGCCGAGCCTGGAGATCACGATTTCCGGTAACAGCCATGGGTATACTCGTTCCAATGATGTGGCTGTGTAAGTTGCAAGATAGTCGCAGGTATAGACCGAGGTTATAACAAGGTGAAATAAGTTGTAATGAGGGGTTTTCCATCTGAGGACCGTGCATGCATATCGGCATTTCGTTGGTTGTTCGCCAGCCTGAACGTTCGATTAACTATTCAGATTGCTTTTAGTGAGGGTTTGGGATCATATTGGTGCTTAGGTATCTTACATCATACTTGCAATTGACGATGAGAAGCGGACCGGACCATATGTTGATGTAAGTCCAGCTGAACGTTTGATTGCTACGAACTCTCATCCTTTTTCTTCGAACTTCTCTCCTAGTAAGAACAAGTCTCCGACATAATGAAAATTTCTCCGTATCTGAATATGCAGAGGTCATGGGAGCGTTTGTTGCTTACCTACGGTACTACCTTCTCAGCATGCAGGGCACCTCATCACGATGTATGAGGTCACCTGCAATCTCCACGTGTACGGAACCAGAGAATCGCTATATGGACCTGATCTTCGGTCTTGGCCTCCCAACGTTGTGCCGTCCTCTGGTCGTCTGATAGAAGATCGGTATGGACTTGTCTATCATCACTGTGGGGAGCGGTAGTCAGCGTGGCTCGACAGGGTTGGAGATCGCAGCCCCTCACCAATCTACCCCTCCATCCTCCCCATGCCGCGTGAATACGAGTTATTGTGGTAGCATTGCTATCTTATATCGTCTGCTCGTTCATCGCTTCCATGCCTATAGCAATGGATATTACAGCCCAACGAGATAGCCAACCAAGACTGCAGCAATACTGTGTAGCATTCGGGTTGGATTATCATCGATTGAGTAGTACTCATTACGGAACTTGGTGGCATTACTTCGTGTGCTTGGTTTTGCCTAGCCCTCTCTGGAGCTCAACTGGGGGAAAACACGAGATCTTTGTGATGATCAGTTGGGTAGAATCATAGATGAACCATGGATCACCTCGATTTGACATGGTAATCTACTTCCCGACGGACGGATTGGGGACGTATGGTGTAGGCAATCACGTCCTGTTGCGTAAAGACCCTAAATGTTGATATTGAGGTCGTTTATATCACAATACGAAGTTCTCAATGATTTCATTGTTGTAATACAGGAAATAATATAAAGGAGGAAGAGCCGGTCGCTCACATTGCTCCTCCAAGGCCGTTATTCTTCTTCAGCAAGTCGGCCATACCTACAACTAGATATCTACTCCTACGATTTTGACAAAATGAAGCTCCTAGCTACCATCACAAGCGCTGCTCTGCTTGTCTGCAGTGTTTCTGCCCAGCAGGCTATAGTTTCCAGCTCTTGTAACTTCACAGTCTACGTGCAGTCATTCCCTTACGACGGGAGCACGCCGGGCACACTAACTGCTGTCCCACCCGGAGGCCGCTTTGCGGAGAACTTCCGAGAGACCGGATCCGTGCGTCTACCTGACTTGACCTTCATGTCGCTAGGTGGAGTCATCTGACCGCATATGTAGACCGTCAAGATCGCGAAGACCAGGACGCTTAGCACCCCGCTGTTCTTTGGGTACTCGTTCTCCTCGAACCCAGATTACGCGTACTGTAAGCCGAAAAACTCGTATTTGCCTTTGCCGAAATTGGGCGCGCTAACACCTGCATCTCCCGCTACTACAGACGAATTCAGCACGTAAGGCGCCCTAGCTCACCCGGTAGCCGTCTTGTGTGTTTTGGCTAATGCCCATTACAGAGAATGGGGGAATCCTTTCGCCGCCTCTCACAATATCTTAACCCCGGGCGAGGGCTGCGAGCTCTTCGACTGTGCTGCGAGCGACGCGGCCTGCTACAGCACGCCCGCTATGAAAAAGGTTTATGGTTGTCCGCAGCCTGTGAATTTGGAGGCCGAGCTCTGTGTCGAGGATTAGGTGGTAAGACTCTGCAGTTGGTAGGTAGTACAGCAGATAAAGTACGTGAGAAATGATAATCTGTCGTGGTTGACTGTATTCAAGAGATTACTTCTCATCGCGTGTACTTATGCATAAAATTGACGCAAATAAAGAAAACTTGAAGATCTATGGAGCCATGTTTTTATTTTTTTCAGCTGATACCAGGGTTACATCGTGTTGGGCGCAAAATACCATCCCTTTTCGTCTGACCTGCATAGAGGACCTTCACCGCACTCCGTACACACCGGCTCTTGCATCTCTGGGCGAACCAAGAGCATCTAAATACCACCGAATGGGACCATATGGATTCGATGTAGCCTCAGCTCAACCACACAGTCGCATTCAGGGCGCGCCATCTGTCATATGTCAGCTCCTAAACATGCCACCCACAATGGCAGTTAAAAACTCGAAGGACCCTGCACCGCCAATGGAGGGTTTTCCCACCACCCAAGACGCTCGTTGCTCACTTTCGTTGAAATCGTGCATTTCCTAAGTGATGGCGTCCTTTCGCTGGTCTGTCGCAGCTGCGGCACTTGCTCTCCAGGTATGCACCGTTGTTCCATGTGCTCGTAGATTGACCTAATAGAATGTCCCATAGACGGCTGCAAGCGTTGTCCCGAGAGTTTCGGCCGCAGACCCGCTGGGATCTGTGCCTGACCTCCCCGGTTCCTGGGCATACAGGGGCTGCTATACTGAGGGTAGCAATGGTCGGGCACTCAATGTTCAGCAGCAAGATAGCGACGACCTCACTATCGAATCTTGCGTCGACATCTGCATCGGCCTTGGTTACAGTGTGGCTGGACTAGAATATGCGAGCCAATGCTTTTGCGACAATTTCGTCCGCAATGGCGCCAACTTGACAGACGACGCGGACTGTAACATGCCTTGCTCGGGCGACAATGAACAGTTTTGCGGTGCGGGAAATAGACTCTCGATCTTTTCAAATGACACCCTCACCGTGTATCTCCCACCCAGTGCCCTTACAGAGGGCCTTCCTGGGTCTTGGGAGTACTATGGGTGCGTTGTGTAAGTGTTGATCATTGGAGACTGTAGAAGACCTGATGCTGTAGTGGGGAGCTAATATGTAAGTACAGCGACGCCATTGACAATCGCGTCCTGCCGTGGATGAGCAACGATGAGCAGAACGCAACGATCGAGGCTTGCATAGCTGGCTGCAGTCGATTCGGTTACAATGCGGGAGGTGTTGAATACGGATACCAGTGTTGTGAGTAACCCGGCGCTTATCCCTCTTCTTCTAGGAGCAAAACTGACCTGAGTGTGCATAGTCTGCGGCGATATTGACGAAGTCACCAAGGCTCCTGAATCTGAATGCACCGTTCCCTGCCCAGGTGATCCTAATCACCTCTGCGGTTCGTTGAGCACATCCAAGTTGACAGAAGTGAAAGACTAACTAGGCTCTAGGTGGCGGTAATAGAATATCGTACTACCAGTGGACTGGTGAGACTTTGACGACATGGTCGTATGCTCAAGGTGCTGCAGCTGGACGCTATGATTTTATCATGTCCGCGCCCCTTCTGCCTCTGATTAGCACTGTTAGTATCAACGAGAAGGTCGTTTTCGTTGAGAAGCATGGCACACAGGTCTATGACAACAGTAGCGGCTCATTTGAGTTTGATCCTACGCTTGCGCCACAATACGGCACCGCCTTTCGTGAACTCCAGCTCAAGACTGATGTCTTCTGCTCTGCATCCCTGGTGCTGCCCGATAAAGCTGGGCGTCACATAAACCTCGGCGGGTGGTCTGCTGAATCACTCTATGGCGTCCGTCTCTTCACACCCGAGCCAGGCTTGGGTAAGAACGGAACAAATGACTGGGAGGAAGATGTGAATAAACTCAAATTATTCGATGCTCGTTGGTACCCGACTGCCCTGACGCTGAGTAACGGATCCATTCTCGTCATGGGTGGTGAGGATGGTTCAGACGGCCCGGTGGTTCCAACCTGCGAGATCCTCCCCAGGCCTGCTGGGGTTACTAACTCAACATACCTGGACTACATTCAGAACGTTGAGAAAATCAACTCGTATCCCTTCATGGCCGTTTTGCCTTCGGGTGATATCTTCTTCGCGCAGTATAATGAAGCGCGTCTTATTTCACAGACCGACTTTCAGACGGTCAGAATGGTGGCGCAGATGCCTGGAGCTGTCAACAATCCTGAAGCTGGACGAAATTACCCCTTACAAGGAACAATGAGTCTTTTGCCTCAGCACGCGCCGTATGATGACCCGCTAGGCGTGTTGATTTGTGGTGGTACAACCGACGGTGCGAACTTCGGTCTCGACAACTGCATTTCTATTCAGCCAGAAGTTGAAGGTGCCGAGTGGACTATTGAGAGAATGGTGAGTAGCATATCGATGCCTTATCAACGATGCTTGTTGATTCTTTACTAACATCCTCATTAGCCGTCTACTCGTGTCGTGACATGCATGGTAGGCTTGCCCGACGGGCGTTATCTGATTCTCAACGGAGCTGTCAACGGACGCGCAGGTTTCGGCTTAGCCACACACCCGAACAAGGGCGCCGTGCTGTACGACCCTGCGAAGCCCGTTGGTGCGCGAATGTCACAACTCGCTAACTCGACCATTGCTCGCCTATACCACTCCGAAGCAGTACTGATGAATGACGGACGTGTACTGGTCTCAGGCAGCGACCCCCAGGACCAGATCAACCCCGAGGAGTACCGTCTCGAGTACTTCTCGCCCGACTACATCCTATCCGGAGCGCCCAAGCCCACGTTCACCATCACGAACAAGGACTGGGCCTACGGTGAGACCGTCCCTTTCACGCTGACCTCAACATTCAGGGGTGACGTGAAGGTGTCGCTCATCGCAGCCGTTGGATCGACTCATGGTAATAACATGGGCCAACGGACTATTTTCCCAGAATTCTCCTGCAGCGGTACATCGTGCACTGTCACTGCGCCGCCAAATGCTAGGGTCAGTCCACCTGCCTGGTACATGTTCTTCGTCTTGGATGGCCCGACACCGAGCCATTCAGTCTGGGTCCGTATCGGAGGGGATCCCGCTAGCATCGGTGACTGGCCCAATATCGAGGGCTTCACGTTCCCTGGCGTCTAGTAATACCGTGAAGAAGGCGCGTGTCTTGTGTGCAAATGAGGCTGGGTTAGTAGAAGTATCACTTTTCATTCACGATAGAAGGATATATGGCCTTAGGCAATAAGCTTCTAGCTTTCACACATTCTTAATTTGTAATTGTAGTCTTCCCTAATATGTCATCTAAATGTGTGATGCCATGTTCATCTATACCGCCATATCTGCTTACTCAACGCATGCGTTCTCAGAACTAAAGAGACTAGACACAACCTCGAAAGATTTCTAGTTAGATACTAGGTAAAATTGAAGATCCATAGCTAGAAGCTGTCGACTCAGAATGACTTACACATCACCCTCGGTCTAGGTAGTCTTGTAACCGTTCATCTCTTACCATGTCTACTCTTAGGTACAGCGTACTTTACCGTAGTGCTGTGGCGATGGGAGATTATCACATGCCCACTGGGTTGGCGCGGTTAGAAACGGATATCAACATGGAGATGTCAAGGGCATGGTAGTAATAATGGGTATCAAACTTACCTACATAACAACTCCTTACCTAGGTAGATGAAATACACAAGTCATTGCCAATTGGTCAATTTTACAATGTCTTTAAAGGTCAAGGATCTACCTAGGTAGGTAATGCTAAGAGGGCGTTACCAAAGGATTCCTCTCAAAAATACACTATGGTAGCTATGTAGGCGAGTAGGTAACCTAGGTGCCCTTGCAGTATACTGTAGGTACCTATGTAGGTACCTGTGAGCATGGGTGAAAATGGTGGGGGCGGGGCATACTACCTAGGTAAGTAGGTAGGTAGCTACTACCTCTGCTATTACCTAGGTAGGCCGGTAGAGTTCGCTAATCCTTCATTTCTGATTGGCTACGTTGGCCTCGGATTTGATGTCATTACTGCCGCTGTCGGAAAGCAAAACTTTGGATACCTAGGTGAATACCTACTTACACTGCCTTCTGCTACTTCGTCACTTCTGTCGCATCTGCTCAGTCACTTCGTTCATTATCCTTCGAATTTGTAATGCGACCGGCGTCGAGGATCTGCCTGTGTCTTGGTCGCGGTGTTCCTCTATTCAGAGCTTAGTAGCACCTCCCGGTGGCTATCGCAATGCCTACCTCCGTTCCTCTCCAGAATCTTGCCCGGCGCGGTCTTGTCTTTCCTGTCCGTTCACGCCTCTCTCGCCAACTTTCCTGCGCCACCTACTCTTCGCCCGCGGCACGGTCGCGAACAGCACGCCAGGCTACCACAACCGTTCCGATACCTCGCCCTTCAGCACGTGCCTTTAGCACAACTCGCCCACGATTCTTCGCAAGCGTCGACGAGAGCTTCGACCCTGCATCCATTGAGAGGGAGAGCGATGAAGTCGATGTCTGTATAATAGGAGGAGGTGAATGATCCACCCGAGAGTTCTATCACTTGCGCTCGATCTTCAACGACATGAACGCTAATGTGGGTACGTTGCTGCAGGGCCTGCTGGGCTAAGTGCCGCCATCCGTCTAAAGCAATTGGCGAACGAGAGTGGCAATGAAGACTTTCGAGTCTTGCTACTTGAGAAGGCCGGCGAGATTGGTGCCCATATCCTCTCCGGTGCTGTCATACAGCCATCCGCCGTCAACGAACTCTTCCCCGACTGGCTCGACGAGGCAAACGAAAATCGTTTCCAGTATGCCACACCCGCTGCCGGAGACAAGATGAGGTTCCTGACCAAATCATCGGCCATACCCATACCGACCCCGCCGCAGATGAACAATCACGGCAACTATATTGTCAGCTTAAACGAATTCACTAAATGGCTTGGCGAGCGGGCTGAAGAAGTAGGTGTCGAGGTATACCCAGGCTTCGCAGCCTCAGAAGTTCTTTATGACGCGGGCGGATCCGTTAAGGGTGTAGCGACAAATGACTTAGGTATCGCCCGAGATGGAAAACCCAAAGATAGCTTTGAAAGGGGTATGGAGTTTCACGCCAGGGTTACCATGTTTGCCGAGGGCTGCCATGGTAGCCTGACGAAACAAGTCATCAACAAGTTTGACTTGAGGAGAGATAGCCAACCTCAGACCTACGGTCTCGGGGTGAAGGAGGTGTGGGAGATTGAGCCAGAGAAGTTTCAAAAGGGCCAGATCGTACACTCCATGGGATACCCACTGCCATCTGATACTTACGGCGGCGCTTGGATGTACCATTTTGGAGACAACCTTGTGAGCATTGGCCTAGTTGTCGCCCTAGACTATCCGAACCCCTGGTTGTCGCCCTACGGCGAATTTCAAAAGCTAAAGCAGCACCCTCTCTACAGATCAGTTCTTGAGGGTGGTAAATGTCTCTCTTATGGTGCGAGGGCTCTAAATGAGGGCGGCTTTCAGTCAATTCCCAAGGTCGCTTTTCCTGGTGGGGCATTGATTGGTGATTCTGCTGGCTTCGTCAACGTACCTAAAGTCAAGGGCACACACAACGCCATGAAATCTGGTATGCTGGCTGCCGAAGCCGCTTGGAATGCCTTGTCGGATGGTGATTCGAGTGCCGTATTTCTCTACGACTACGAGACTTCTCTGCGAAAATCAGAGATTTGGAAAGAATTGAAAGCGGTTCGAAATATGCGACCTTCCTTCCAAACACCCCTTGGTGTTTATGGCGGAGTCGCGTATTCCGGGCTGGAGGCCTATGCACTCAAAGGGCGAGTTCCTTGGACATTGAGGCATAAGCACCGTGATCACGAGGCCACGAAGCACGCTGATCAATGCCCAAAGATTGAATACCCCAAACCAGACGGAAAGATCACATTCGACATCTTGACTAGTGTATCTCGGACAGGAACAAATCATGAAGAAGACCAGCCGGTCCATCTCCAAGTGAAGGATTGGGATGCTCATACAGCTGAGACATGGCCCTCATACAAGGGTGTTGAGAACCGCTTCTGCCCTGCCGGTGTCTACGAGTATGTGGAAGATGAATCAAAACCCCTCGGTGTCCGATTCCAAATCAACGCCCAAAAGTGAGTATGACCCTACAACTTCTTATAGCCTGCGCTAACATCGATAAAGCTGCATACATTGCAAGACATGTGATATCAAGGCCCCTCATCAAGATATCAACTGGGCCGTTCCCCAAGGTGGGGAGGGACCGAAATACTATAAAACCTAAACTGCCTAGGCCTTTAGTGATACAATTGAGGAGGGAGCAAAATGACGTTTATACCCGCGAATACGCATTGTGAGAACGTTTAAGTTAGGTCATGAAGATTTAAGTGTATATATTGACATAGATACGGTGCTGGGCTACCAAGCATATAGATACTTGTTGTTCATCAATCATCAGCAATCACGCTCAACTATCATGAACTCACCCTTGATACGACTTACAACATGTGGCGCGCACGCGCCAAACATCTTATAGCTGCCACTGTGCAGCTTAACTTAGAATCCCTGCTGAGCATGCCATTTCTTCTCCCACTGCGGGAACAGGGGACTTTCGTCCGGGGTGCAAACTTCCCAGTTTCTTTCCACCAGCCCAGCCTCTTTCTGCTCCGTCTCATACCGCTCCAAAAGCGGGGTTACGATATGATTTATATGAGGCGCATGCTTGTACTCCATCAGATTCCCTTTCGCGTGTCTCAACACCTGTAGAAGCAGACTCGGTATGCGCGCCTCGGTGCGGAACTCCTCGATCGGTGTGAACACCGCCTTGAAATTGAACACGATGGCGCCTGACAGCGGTAGACGTCGCAGCGTCTGCCAGTCTACGCGCAGGTGGATCCGAGACGGATCTACGTCACCGTCTTGTGCGTGCCGGTCGCTGCCTGGCGCGAGGAAGAGGGGCTTGTCGACCTCTAGATCCCAGGATCCGCGCTGGATTGGCTTGTTGGTCGGCATCTTGGAGAAGAAGCTGTGAGAAGGTGTTAGTACTGCTGAGGGTTGCCCCTGGAGAGGGATTGAGATAACAGGATGATGGACACTGTCATCTATGGCCTTGAGGGACTCCACGTACCGATCCATGCTGAACTTCATCTTCTCTTTGTAGTCTGGGACAGGCTGGTGAATCTCATCTAGCCTGAGTCCGATCTTGGTCCCTAGACTCCAACCCATCGCTGAACAAATCACGCCGGCGCGGAACGCGTAGTAGCCCGTTTCCGGGTCGCGAAGGGTGATGGCAAAATCTTCGGGGACATGGTCCAGCAAGATCAAAAGGGGGTGCTTCTCGCGGATGTTCGCCCTGATGCCTAGGATCTTGTTCTCGAGCCAGAGCTTGTCCTCTGACAATGTGAAATATGTGGGATATCGGGCGCAGATAAATTGAATGACCATCTCCATTAGCTCCTTGCACGCCAACTCGGAGCCAGGAAGCCATTGCAGTACTCCCGGACCGTGTTTGGCATACAGGTCTTTGCGCTGGGCTATGCGCTCTTTGTAACTATAAGGTATAAGCGCAGTAATTAATTTTGAATACACAGTTGATAGATACTAACGTGGACTCTAGCTCGATCCACCAGTCAGGCTCTAGTTTTGTCAAAGCTGCATAGTAAACCTCAGCACTGTAATAATTTCATGATCAAGAAAGTGAACTCGGCTCTCATACACATCGTCTGGTGATACGGCCACCTGAATGGCCTATACGGGCGCGGCCTAGCCTTTTCTATGTCAAAATCCAGATAGGGGCTCGGCATCGGGACGCCCGATAGGGTCGAGTAATCGGGAAAGGCCCCCAGCGCCTTGATCTCACGGATGGAAAATCCGGAGTAGACGTATTTTGAGTAATCGGCATCGCTGTAGTCTTCCTCGAACCTCAACAGTGAGCTCTCAAACGTCGCCTGGTTGAAGGATAGCTGGCCCAGCTCCTTCTGCTGGGCCGGGGACAGTTTTCGTATCAGTTCCTTGAGCTGGCTCCTTTGAAAGGGCGGGAAAGCTGTCACAAGCGCGGAGGAGTGTGAGGCTAAGGGCTTTGAAAGTGGTTGCTTTTCGAGTGTTGGGGTACTGGGGCGACTTGTGTTCCTAGCGAATCCGAATCTTCTCCATACGACATCTTTCTGAGAGGGCCTGAGTGCTAGAAAGGTTATTATAGGCAGACAAACGGCTAGCGCCAGGCAAACTAGAGTTGTCATGGGCATTTCGTATACGTATATAAGGGTTGTCTTGGGAATATGAGGTGCTAAAAACAAGGACAAAGAAGTAGTCACGGGGCTATCTCGGCTTATGTGGCAGTGAAGTTGAAGTGATAGCAATGACGACTTCCTGTTACACGGAAATGTGATATGGCATCTTGATGTGATCAGCTGGCATCTGATTAGCGCCACTAGAGCTCTCCAACCCCAGGTCAAATAATCAATGAACATATCCGGTTCCTGGGCATGGGACGATTCCATGATAAGAATGACATGAATGATATAATACTATTGGACGCGCACCGATGCGCCGAGTCGATGTTAGTAAATCGGCGATAACTGTTTCCAAAGCGCAAGAGGAGACCAAGAACGATAATACAGCTGGAGGAGATAACTTAGCGCGGATTCTATCTAATCATTACGACAACGTTGGCTTGGCCCTGTAGGTTCCAACCAATCGGGAATACCTCCCAGAAAAAGAGTGGCTTATAGAAAAGCGGACATATACCGGCGATGCGGAGTGCAGTGAGTACTATCAGCATCTACAAGTAGCTGATCGCGGCCGTATTCGATGGCATGATACGTGGAGAGTGGCGGGGGTCCTAACGGGCGAGCGGAGCGGGCATGATAAAGACTTGTATTTTACTTGGAATAACAGTGCTTGTTTTACATAACAATACTTTCGGAACAGATTGGGAAGTTTTATCTTATAAATTATCCCGATGGCCATCACGCTGCTACAGTCCGACTTCTTGGTTGCAATACGACTCCTTATCAGCACAAACCCATGCATCCATAGAGTACCTAGCAATCATAGAGCGAACTCATTCAAGGTTCTTGATTTTGATCCTTCTAGATTTGTGGCTCGTGAGTTACATCATCAACTAAAAGTCGGGTAGTTGGGATTTTGAAATATCATTTGATTTCGAAGACGCTTTGACAGTTCGTTAACTTCTTAGGTAAAGCGAGTATAATATGAAATATTATTGCTAAGATATCGATGCCTTGATGAGTAAACTTGAAGTCCATCAATACACGGCGCAAAAAGCCACATGGCGAGCTGAGTTATCTTTCAAGTACTGCTAATATCAAAGTCGTGCTGAGCCTCGAAGCCATCATGTCCAATGAAATGGAACCTTACACTTCAAATCTTAGCTCGTCTCCTGACCATGACCCTCTGAGTCCACGCCAGGCATCGCATCATAGCCACCAGAAACTGAAGTCATGCCTCTGTTACTAAAGAAAGCCTGAAGTGTTCATAATAATAATTTCTCTACAGATCACGAACTGAACAGAACACGCCTCGGAATTTTCTGGGGTGCCGTCGAGTTAAAACACAGGCCATATAGGATAGTCTATAGGTGGCAATTGACTTAAGGAGAAGACCTCGTCATCGTTATTTATCATATTAAGTGTAACCCATCTATCGTAAACTTGCTCAATTTTCTACTAATACCTTTCACTTCAAACCCGAATTTGACCCCCCGCGCACAGGGGCCTCTTGATGCACAGATATTGAAGGAGTTTAGATGATACCGTCTAATATGAATATAATATGGGACGCCGCAAACCTGTTGTTTTCGTCATGATATATCCCCTAAACACTAAGCAAGCCATTGTCATACACTTTCATTCATTGAAAGTACGACTATGAGTCTCATACTGCAGTTTACCTTTGCTGAAAATTTGAAATCCGAACACGTATGAATTTCCCCGGACTAATATTCTGGTCTGCTGAATCCACAATTGTCCGTATAGGCAAATTTACTTTTTCTATAGTTACGGTAAAATCGCGGTTTCATATGTTCCGACTGCAAAAGAAATTGCGTTTCATTGGGGTGTTACGTAACATGCTCGGCTGAATAGGCTCGATTTTGAGCATGTTTGAGTACATTACTTGTATTTCAGGGGATGTCTAGGCGTGGCCTCGTGTCCGGGCTTGGGGAATCTCGAATAGGACATTCAATTGATCTCGGGAGTTCTAGAGAAAACAGACAACAATATCAAAGGCGAAGATGCGCAGGCGACTATAACAACAGCACAGTGCTGTGCGGGCACTCGTATAAGCGCATGGGACTTCTGCGTATCTTGCTCCAATATACCTGCTTATGATCATAAATCTCAAGCTTTGATGAGAGTATGGTGTCAATGAGCATTATTCATTGAATAAAGAGATGCATTTTAGTAAAGGGGATTATCTCTTCTATGTATTTCAGGCCTCTGAATCCGTACAGAGCTCTCCTCTTTACTAGGCGATGCTTGGAAAGCCATCCGTAATAAGCCTCTATTCGATTCGACATTCATGGACCCCTTATAGCCTTGCTTATCCAAAGTCACCCTTTCAAAATATGATTACTTCTTTGTCTATTGTGGGAGCTGGAAATTGTGGATGTGCGTTCGCTGCTGATCTTGAGAGTCGTGGTATCAGGGTACTGTTATATGCTCACCCCGATCATAGCAGCAACGTCGATGCCATTGGAAGGGATGGCTTTCTAGATTCCATCGGTGTAGTAGCAGGTCGATTCTACCCAATTGTCACTACGAGCATGAGAGAAGCCCTCCAATTCTCAAATGTTGTCATTCTCGCCGTTCCATCCTACGCCCAAGACGACATCTTATCCGAACTGGAGAAATTCGATGTCAGCGACCATATCATCATTGCTGCGAGCGGCAATTTCTTTACGCTTGTAGCTAGCAAACGCATCCGAGCCCGTTACCTGCTGGAGACAAGCGCTTCTCCTTACGGATCTCGGGTTATTGGTGGCAAATACAGGGAGCAACAGCATACTGTCTCATGGTATGGTATCAATGTTTTCGGCTTCAAGACCGTAATGCCAATCGGCTCGCTACCCGCCGACATCGATGAAAATCTCCGTGCAGACATAGGGACGATTTTCCCAGGAACGCTCCAGTGGTGCAGCAACGTCATCGAGGCCGCATTCTATAATTTCAATGGCGTACTCCATCCGATTACAGCTGTTATGAACGCGGGCTGGATAGAGCATACAAAAGGCGACTTTTACTTCTATCAAGAAGGAATGACACCCTCTGTCACCAAGATGATGCAGGCAATCGACAACGAAAGAGTGGCCATTGCACGCGAGTATGGGGCTCGAGTAGTCTCTTGCTTGAAGCAAATGAATACTTATTATGGGATGAACCATGGGTCATTGAATGAATTTGCCAAGGGGTCTACGCTCCACAGCACGATGAAGCTGTGTCCGACAAGCATGCAACACAGGTATCTAGCAGAAGACCTGCCTTACGTATTGGTGCCTTGGTACGAGCTGGGCTTGAAAGCGGGAAAGCAGTCCCCTTTTATCAGATCGCTTATTCTTTGGTGTTCGATGATAAACAGCACCGATTACCTAGGAGTTGGGCGTAACTTGAAGGCGCTGTGAGTAGCTATCATTCCAGTTAACTCTCCAAACATCATGGATAATGACTGACTCTAATATTCTAGAGGCCTCGCTGATTGGTCGCTGGACGAAATCTTGTCCTATATCAATGCTGAGGAATTCACCCCTTTTGATGTGCAATGTATGCCTGGGAACAGTTTGGATCTTAACCGCCTGATGTTATAAGAAGGAATTGAGGGGAATTTCGTAGCAATATTCCCCATAGTGATACTACATAAGAGATGAAAAAACAAGTGTGCACCTCTCTATCCGATTACTGGAATTAGGAAGGCAGGAATAGGTAATCCTGGTGGCTGGTACTTCAACCCACACATACTCTGCTATATAATCAAATGTACCACCCTAATCTATGGTACTTATACTTAGTCCAACTGGTTATAAGCCCGGAAGCCTATAACCATTTCAACTCCAATTTGCGTGTTCATAGACCAAGATCACTTAGAATCAAGCTGGCATGGCTCAGAACTTCCCTTATTCAGTGATACGCACTTATCCCTTTATTGACTAGTTAAGTTCTAAACCACAGCTTTGACAGATGAACTGGCCCCTAGTTCTTTTCCTTCAATCATGGATAGGTGGAATGACTCTAGAGCTGTGCTGATCGCAGCATCAACTATATCCTCGTGTTCCCTTTGTGATTTCACCGTGTCCTCGTCTGCAATCCAATTGACTTTTCGAGCACACACAAGCATGAAGTCAGCGAAAAGGTCAGTAACCGTGTTGGTGAGTATGCCTAGAATGGTGGTCAACACGGCGAATACCACTGTATTGGCCAAAAGGTCGGTGTTGTATCGCTCACGCGCAACGAGGAGAGGTATAGCGAGGACTATAATAGCCGGAACTTGGCCGGCTGTAAGAATTGAGAAGCCGTTGATCATGTCCCTTGTTGAATGATATGGAGATAGTGCCCTTTCACCCTGCCGAAGTAGGACGAAGACGCCAGCAGCCGCGACAGTCAATACTAGGTAGTAGTCGTAGTAATAGGCCACCGCGTTCAGAACTATGATCCCCAAGGTCAAGAAGAATAAAAACAATCGAGGACTCCTAGGATACCGCGGTCTTGATCTTATTTCTCGGAGGGAGGGAGGCGAACACTCAAGCAGAATATCCTCTAGTTTCTGCAAGTCGCCTTTGGTAAGCGCGACCTATTTATGAACAACTAGTCAGTGAATGACTTCTACATAGAACTAGCAAGAGCTTGAGGAGGCAGAATTGACTTAGCAACACTTGCTAGACAGTCAATGTTGAATGCGATGAGGGAGACTCCAAAATCCTAACCTGTGTATTCATGTGTCGCCCTAGATCAGCTTGTTTAGCAAGCGCATGAAAGACGTCAATCTTCTTTTTGAGTGATGCATAACGAATCCCAGCTTGATATTGTAGTTCAATGGGGAGAGGAGGGACTCGTCTCCTCCAGAGTTCCTCCCATTTCAACCAAATATTCATAATGAATGCCTGTCCCAACTGGCCTAGCACATTTGCGATGCCGACGGTAACTTGAAACCATAGCTGCTCTGGAAGGTGCGAGTATTTGGGATTCCATGCGACAAAGGAATAACCAACGGTATTGGCAATAGGCAGAGCCAGGCGCTCAACAGCAAACGTCCACGCTAATCGTAAGCTGGCTTGCGGGAATAAAATCATGGACAGTATCTGAATTCCTGTGCGGCTCTGAGCTGGTAATGTTCGGGCATTGAATGCTCGCTCATTGATAGTGAAACCAATGACATCAGGCAAGACAGTGACGGCTATAATGAAGAAACTAAGGAGGAGAGTGAGGCAAATACGCAGAATAGGAGAGGTGATTGACTCAGATATCCGGACCTGTCGGATGGCATTCATGAACCAGCCTCGCTTTTCTAAGATTTCGAACTGTTTTAGCGAAGTATATATGTAAACTCTCAGTGGTCGTTGGATACTCCCAGCCAATTCTGGGCGCTGTGCAAAGAGCCGCAACGCTGCAATCTCTTCCCGTAGACTTGCAGTAGTTGCTGAATCGCATAGAGTATGAGTGAACTTCTCATCCTCGGCGCGCGTGGTATCTCGACATACCGTTGTCCATCGAAACCCTTCCAACCCTCTATAGCCCATTGCGCTTCGTGATATGAATGAGGGAGATAGTTCAAATGTGATAGCACATCTGAACTATGCAACGAGTTCTGTCACTGTAACTAGAATTGGTCGTGGATATGTGATATTACTATTATTGGAGTCGATCGCCGAACGGGGAGAAAACTTGCTCAATTTGACGCTTCTTATTACTTGCGCTTCTCATAGACCGTAAATAACGGTATTGAGGACTGGGATGTGTGTATATGCAGGGCGGATGTATACAACCTGCAGTAGTTAACCGGGTGTAGATGTAAGGAACTAATACCCCTGCGAAATTATCTCGCATATATGCCGAGTAATAACTTCCAAGCTTGGATATGAAGCTGTCCTCATTGGCAACTCGCACACCAAAGCATACATACCAACGATGCCCTATATACAGCTATATTATTATATTGGCTGATTTGTCATCTTCGTCCACCGGAGTGTTCTCATATTGTTCTTCTAGCCCAAGTGTTTAACGATATTCGAGTGCGCTGTATGTCATTTTACACACCGTTACACGAGAGCTATGTGAGCAAGATTGAGGGTTTTATGGCACTTCCTATATTGTTTTTGCGACAGTACACATCTTGCTTGCCGAGCAAACCATATAGATTCACGAGGAAAGGTCTTCGTCCGCAAATAACTTTGTTAATATGATATTGTTAAGCAAGCTCTATAGCCTAAACCTGTCTGCTGATCACTAAATCACATGTGAATGCCTTGGCCAGTTGGATCGGTAGTTTACCATACTAGAAAAGTGAGTTTCATATCTTTATGCGATTACACAGTCTATGAAATAGAAAATATCGATGTAAAAACCTGTGAACGGGTGTATATGGTTATGTGCGTGCCTGCGTGCGTGTAAATATGTGTATCTCAATGAAAAAATGACCCAAAGTCACTCAAAACTATTTCAACCAGATATTCAAACAACGTAGAAAGTAAAGTGAAGACAGTTGTTCTTGCTAGCCACGTCTGGCACCCCGGTGCCGCCTTTGATGTATGCTTTGGTAGTACCTTTTCCACGAGTTAGTAACTTTTGATTGCAAAAAAGCACGTACGACAGTAGCATCCTCACCTAGTTGCTTGTGCTCCCAGTCGGTAGCTGCTTGGTTCCCAGGACCGTTCCAATTCCCTTCGGTGCTGGCAAGTACTTTTTCTCCGCTTGGCTTCTTGCCAAGAGCAGCTGCTGGGGCGCCTTTGATGATGTCCTTGACAAAACCATTTGAGACATTAGTCCCGTCAGTTGAGGCAACAGTGGCAGCGCCGTCACACCCCTGTTGTAGCGAGATGTCACCGTGAGCCCGCCCATCATTCGATGCCTTGACCTGAAATTCACCCCAGGTAGCTGGTTGCTGATTCCCACGTTGCACACGACCCTTGAAACTTAGGCTTAGAGGTACATGAACCGTTGCATTAGGCCCGACCTCAACGTCCTTCAGGGGCTTGTCGAAGTTGGCACCTGCTTCGCCATTGCCATTCCAATAGTTATCATAGAAGTAGTACCTGCATTTCTTAGCGGACTTGTTTGTCAAGAGAATTCCTGGGCTAAGGTTTTGGGAGTTTGGCGCTACCGCCTTTGCGGCCATCAAACCCATAGTTTCAGTAGCCTGTGTCTCTTCTTCCTTCGCACCGTCTGTATCAACATCAACATCCTCTGTCTCCTGTACATTTTTCTTCCCCTCATCTTGGCCTTCGCTTGGAACCGCCACCAAGTTAACCGAGACTGCAGCGAACGACTGGCCGGTGAAGGGCTTATCAGCCTGTGGAGCAGCATTGCCGTCCTAAACGACATCAGTAAGAGCGGCAACCATTCATCAAGAGCAAGAGACTTACACTATAAACAATGAGAATATCCTTGCTGCCCTTACCCGGGTGACTTTGCTTATTATCTTCAGGGTGGCCAGCACTGTTTCCCCTTCATAGCCAATTAATAACAGCGATTCAAACAACGTCAATCGAACAAGGGAAGCTTACCAAGCCCCAACACCAATATAAGTACGCCCGTTAGCGAAAGTGCGGACGAACTGCTCTAAGGGCTGAAAGTCCTTTGGTGGTCCAATACGTTTTACATTGCCTTTGCCGTCCAGGAAGACGTGACCTTTCAGTTGGTCCTTCTTCGCCTGAGGCAATTTGTGCCAGGCGTTGTTGCAGGCCTGCATGAAAGTCTCGTGGCCCTTGAACTTTCCGGGAGGGTCGCCGACCTGCTGGCAGGTCATGTTTCCGCCAGCACCGCAAATATTGCTGATGTCGATCGTGTCGTTTCCCTCAAAGCCATGTTTGGTAATCTCACATTGCTCACCAATGATACCTTCATGAACTGCGATGATGGCCCCAGAGGTCCCATCTGGCGCTTCAACTATTTACACGCTGTAGTGAGTAATTATCAAACAGATTGAGAATTCAGCACATGTCTTGGGAGCATGCAGTAACAATGACGTGCGAAAGCTGCCCCCACGGGGGGAGGGGGAGGGGAGATTTATTAACTAATGGAAGAAACTGACTGTTGGCTTGGCCATTAGCGTTGATGGTTATGTCCTTGTTTCCATTATAACCATGGCATTGAAAGGTCTGAGGATGATTTGATCTATTGTGAATACGAAGATAATGCATCTTGGGTTGGTTTGCTTCGGAATGAGGTCTGATCTTGATGTAAGAAGTGAGATGCGTGAGATGCGTGAGATCACGGAATCAGGGGAAATCGTGACGTTTTATAATTCAACGATTGTAGGCTTCTGTAATCACGACATTTACGACATAAGCCTTGGGAAGAAACGGTCTAATCATCTGAACGCAGCCATTCCTAGAGTGCTAGGATCCTAACAAGCCACGAAAGACAAGCCATTAAGTCAGTAATTAGATGTGCTCCGACTCTTGTTGGTTTCCAAGACCACAGCCCCGTCGGGAATAGCGATTGTCTATCATGAATCACGATAAGCATGAGCCCCTATCGTACGGCGTTTTTGACTAAATTATCGGCTACTGTTGGACTGAATGGCTGAAGCCTGAGGTGAGATGGCCATCTGACGAATAAGCGTGCGGCCCAGCCGAGTAGTCTACGTTGGTTTGGGAGTCAAGTTGCGGCTTACTCACACAAAACCTCTTACAAGATATCGCAAGTGGTGATCAAATTCGAATTCACTGTATCACATGGAAAATTTGATATCTGTGCCTCTTGGATTCGTTGTAATACGTACGGCAGGATAGATCATTTGACAGAATCGCGTGATTCTGGTTGCTAAGTTTAGTAGAGTTTGTGCTTCTATTCTATCGCATGTCCTGGATACAAGATAATCTTAGCTACTATCTGTCAGATCTACGAATATCATCGTGAGTAGCACGCAAAGGACCCTCGACGATGATATCTGGGTTTGTTAATTGGAGAATATATAACCACCCTTTTTCGCATCTTTCTGTAGTTCTGTTTTCATCAGCATCAGCATCAAATTCAATATTACCTACTTTTAATTTCCAACTTCTAGGCCTACTAGACTCTAGAGCGATCTTTCTTGAAAATGGTTATTAAGAAGCGCCAGATTCTTTGGGATTGGAGCAACTCGTCCGGCCCAGGAAACCCTGGAATCCCTGAAAAGCTTGACCAAGTTCCTTTTGGTGACAAAAGTCCAGTGTCTTCCCTCATAAACTGGAATGCCTGGGTCCCCCAGGAGCTCAAGGGACGAGCGATCTTCCGGCCTAGTACATCTTCTCAACATTATCCAGTTCCAGATCCCTTACGCTGTATATCCTTCGTATTGGTTTACTATAGTCACAGACCTCTAATAAGTGAGCTTTTATAGTGGTCCGAGTCCTTGAGTCCACCAAGGGAAATGATTGGGCCATGATTCAAGACTCGAAGGCTCCGGTAGTCCTTTTTTTCAACGAGCCTGAGCGTTCTGGAATCACGCCTGAGCAGGCAAGAGATATTTGGAATAAACAGATGTTACCCCTAAGGAAGAACAAGGGGAAGAAGCTAGGTTCTCCAGCTGTCGCCTCTGTACGTTTTTCTCTAATGATTTGTGTCCATGCAGAAGTGCTAATTCTACCAGGACGAGCAAGGCCGAAAGTGGATTGAAAAGTTCATGTCACTTACCGCAAATGACAAGCCTGATTTCCTCTGCTTGCACTACTACTCTCACAAGGCTGATGATGCAATCAAGTATCTCGAGGACATGCATGGAAAGTGGCCTAGTTTGAAAGTAGTAAGTAGTGCATAATTATAATCTGTCGCAATTCGGCACCCGCTAATTACACGTGTAGATGGTTACAGAGATTGCATGCATCGACCGTAACTACCAAAATGTCTTGCAGTTCACAGTAAAGATGTGCAATTGGATGGACTCTAAGGACTGGGTCTTCGAATATGGACTGTTTGACTTTCAGCGCAAGGTCGCCGATGGGTTCGTGAGCCCAGCTGCTCAGCTCATGGATGCCCAAGGGAATTTCACAGAACTAGGCAAGATGTACGTCTACCAGCAGCCCATGAAGCTCCCGGGCCAAGCTATTGCCTCTCTAGTGGCGATAAGCAATGACCAGGCTGTGCAAGATAGCCAGGCTACTGCGGCTGCGGATGACATCGAAGTCCAGATGGCAACGGGTGACGGTCCCATTCAGGTGACAGAAGATGACGTGGCCAAAGCTATGGAAGACAGCAAGCTTGACGCAGATAGTAATGAGGTTCATGCTGTAGTCGCATTTACTGCGGCCGCTGTTCTTGACGCAGATGAGCAGAAGGCCCTGGACGCCCACAACAATAAACGAAAAGCGAAGGGACTCAAACCACTCACCTGGGACCACCAACTCGAGAAAAATGCTGAAACTTACGCAAAGCACCTAGCCAAGATTGGAAAGCTGGAACACTCATCTGGTGCTTCACGTCCAAATCAGGGGGAAAACCTTGCATGGTAAGTTCATATTCATGGAAAGTCTCCGAAGACCTTGTTGACGAAAGCAATTCTCAGGTATTCGGCTTCCAACGCAACACCTCTGCTCATGGGTGCGAACCTGTGGGTAGCAGAGGAAAAGAACTACCACGACGAGCCAATCGGACAGGGTAATTTCGCATCGTATGGCCACTATACTCAATGCATGTGGCATTCCACCACCAAGATCGGCATGGCCTCAGCGAAGGATGCTAAAGGCGGCGTGTATGTGGTCGGGCGCTATTCGCCTCCTGGGAACTTCACGGGCCAGAAACCATATTGATTTTGTTGCAATTCCGAATGTCGGAGCAAGATTACAATCGGTGGCGTGATCTATGTACTGTGGGTTATTTTTGATGTTTATGTATAGTTTTAAAGATCGTTATTATAGTCGATGACCATTCTCTATTTTTCGCGACAGAATCGTTTAAAGCTAGTCAAGTAGCAGCTTCGAGTATGAAAACTTAACCCAGAATGCGAACTGGTCTAGAAGTTGCGAGGCTATTACTAATTTGTTCTGTAAGTCGCAAGGGTTGCTATATATCTGGCATGTTAGTTAGATATCCGAGGCTCTTCAACACGCAAGCGAGAGAAAAGGGCTAGAATTTGTGACACTCAGCTTATCGACCTATTTACTTCGATTGAGACTCCAAAGGGAAGGTCAAGGGGGTTAGAAATGCAATACCATCAAGTCAAATTTTTGCTAGCATAAATAACTTGACTGAAGTAACTGTAGCGCTGAGATTTGATCAAAGTATTATCTTTGATTGCATGCTGCATGTTTTATACATGTAATATTATATACAAGAAAGCTTTTTATGTTCCCACGCATCACTTCTATTCTATTCAGTGATCTAATCATGAAGCGTTGGCAGCCAATTCGGCGGCGAGACCACCCTGAATGACATCAAATAGACGGTGTCCAGTGGCGTTGAATCCAGGGACGTAAGCAGTACCGAAGTCCTGGATGAAGGTGTTGTAAACGGCATTGGGCTTGGTGGCAGCCATCCAGGTGAAGGTCTCGTTGGTTCCACGGAAGAGGTAGTCATTAGGGAAGGCGGCGAGGATGCTGTCATAGTCCTCGTCCTTGATAAGGGGAGATCGGGGGCCGGGGAACTCGAAACCCACACTACGGATCATCCACTGGGTCTGGATGCTCTTGAAGTCTGGAATGTCGGAGATGGCCTGCAGAGCGATGGCGTCGTACACCCACATCTGTCTTAGCTCTGGCCATTCCCTGCGTGCATAGATACACATTAGTCGATATATCTAAGCTGTATACCATGGAACTGCTGCATCATGCGACAAAGACACTAAACCATAAGGCAAGGGGGGTTTATACATACTTCTTAGAGCAAGGGTGTTGTTGGATGAACTTCAGGGCACCAGCACCACCGTCCACTTCGAAACGGTGTTCCTTGGTGGTCCAAGGGGAGTCCTCTCGCACTGTAAGTGAAATTTAGTGTTAGCGATTGAAATACCGAAGAGTAATAGCTCTGCTAAGATGAAGTTACGTACTGTCCCAGCCCAAATCATGAAGGAGGGTACCAATTGCATGAGCTTCAAGATCAATCTGAGCCTTCAGTGTGGCGTTATTGTTGAAGGCAGCGGCGCCGAAAAGCCATGAGCGCATGACGTGACCGTACAGGTAGGGCTGGAGAGGGATGAATTCCTCAACTGCCTTGATAGCATTGCGGACGATGGGAGTATCGACGACCTCAATGTTGGCGATTTTCATCGTTGGCAACTGCTTGCCTGCCTTGCCAGTTCGGGCAACGGCCGCGCCAGTAAGGGCCAGGGCAGAAACGACACCGGAGAACTTCATAGTGAAAAGAGTGGAATGGATTAATTATTATAACCTATAAGGTAGAAGAAATAGTCTTGTTAAGAGAAGGTGGTGGTAGACAGATGTGAAGAGAGTGTGTGGTATTCATTGTCGAGGCGGATGCTCAGTCTTCATATATTCGTCAATTTCGTTCAATGAAGCTACTCTTGTTACACTGTCATCTTGCTCTTGATGGTTCGCAGATCCTTCCCGCATTCGTACCAGGTATACTGTTATTCTGGTAAATCAAATCATTTTGCCATGTGGCGAGTCGCGTGTCACATCTCCCATGGTATCGGCGACAAGAATATTTGTAAGTGTGCTAGGAGACACACATCATTTACCGTAAGCACTCTACACTAGAGCATCAGATTGGCTAATCGTAGATGTAGCTTGTTACTAAAATAGGTCTGTGTGTTATTCCCGATTGGTCCATCACTCTATTTGCATTATTCGAGTTACATGGGATGGAAACATAATAGTACTTAGTCATGGCTTGTTCCGCGTACAATGGCTGCCTCGGTTCTACCCATCACGGACCTACCTAGATAGGTAACTAACAGACATTTCTATACCCTTGCGCATTGAAGAATGCTACTCTATAATCAAAGAGTAGCCATGTTATAAAGCACCAGAGCCAAGTAACTCCTTAGCATCTTAGTAATTACTGCTGCATATCAGAGCCAAGGTGTCCCGCGGCCACTGGCAACAGCTAATTTGAGGGCACTCTAGTTTTAAAAGAGAGGCTCTTTGTTGGGTGATGTCGATATGTGGGTGCTAAGTATGGGGTAAGTATCGGAGTGCTGGGGAACTGGCCATATGGTAGAACGACCCCCTGCTTCTAGAATTTGAATGCTTATCTCAATACTACCATACTTACACTATTACAACTTCAGTTATCGCATCTGGCATAAAGTGGCTTATACTTGATGAAGTATGTATACATGTAGGCTAGGGGATTCCGACAATATCTAGTCGCAAGCGGCGCAGCAGCAGCTAAGCTTTTCTCACCGGTACTAACTTCAGGAGCCGCAGGTATTCACCTGGAATTTCCTATTTGAGCTTTGACTAGGGGTTATAGGCATCAGCTTTCTCTTTTATGGGATCACACGAGATACACGGTATTTTTGTCCGTATAATTTCTAGACAGTATCAGGAAACTCTACGCCTAGCTACTGTTGTTGTTTTCTCCTTCCATTTTCTTCTCATAATAAAAATAAGAATTATGCAATCCTCCTTTCCAACAAGTTTAGCTGTAAGTGGACTAGAATGCCTGACAGGCTGCTTTCTCCGCATTGATAAAACAAGCTACTATCTACGCTATACTAGTAGTGCCAGCAGGTAGTATATGGATCAACAGTTCTAGAAGACAGAAGTGGTATAAAAGCTTATTTTGCCTAGACGCCTAGTGTATACTAATTTAATTACCCAATTACCGGATCTGTCATCGTAGTGAGCGGCCAGCATCAATAACGGGTATCTCAGTTCCAACAGTGCTGGTTGGACAATGTGCGCGTCCATGCATACTGTAATAATGCACATCATATCATGGTCATAAGGGCTACTGTCCACAAACAGTAAACGCGCTTGGCTGTTTTCTCTTGGCTTTTAAAACTGTACGGTCCCTAGTCGTGACAATACCTAATGAGGTCGATACGAGATGCGCAACATCCTCAGAGCTTCGCGTACTCCTTTGACGGGTCTTTAGTAGACGTTCAAACTGCCCACTGTCGTAAACTCCATGTCTCTATATGCCGTCACTAACTATTAAGTAGTATAACTAGCCCTGCTCATACTACCCTTGTCAGCTGTTCTCACGCCCAGCCAAGCAAGAAAGCTCATCTCACATTGCTCGGATCCTTCCGTCATCCTTTGATCTCACCGCATTACCCAATTCGCCAAACAGATCTGATCGTATAAGTATAAAGACTTGCCTGACCTGGTCTTACCTCAGCTACCTACTAGCAATTGCACACGATGCAAGCCTTTTGTTCGCCTGCAGATGGCGTGTAAAGTTCTGATGAGCATCACTGTAGCCGTATGGCTGCGCGGGGAATGGACAATTTTTACAACATCTGAAAATATTCACCGACGAAATTGAAACGAGAGCTTATTATGGAGTACAGCGTTGTGTTCGCCCGAAGGTAGAAAGTCGGTTTGCATCGCGCAGCCCTTGTTACACGCGCTGAACACCTTCGTGCGCCTATATACGTTTTACACGCACCTACGCTGAACATGCAGGTTGCTTATGACTACGGGCGCATGTCTTGTAAAAGACCCTTTTATGAGACCCGAAAACATGAGGTAATACCTACAGACCTCGCTGGCATAAGATGCTCTAGGATTAAGAATTGCCAAGGCCGTATCGGTCGTATATGGATACCTAGTACCCAAATCAGCCACCAGGGCCAAGAAGGAATCCTCATGGTATTGAAATGAAACTATTCGGCGTTCGCTCATTTAGGACATATCGACAGGTCTTAAATATTAGGAACCTCGGTCTGATTTGTATACAGAGTCAAGATCAATCATCAAGGCCAGAGAGGAATCCTTGGCTTCAAAATAGTCGTGGCCTTCTCAGCATTTGTTGTAGACCGCTTGTTGCTGAAGATTAGATGAGCCTTCTCATGCCGGAGAACATGGGTTTTGAGCTTTGCACCTTTTTTTATCGCAACATAGCAGACTTTTATCGAGGAGATGGGACCCAATACCCTTGACCCCGCAAACCCGACAGCATCGCTGGACTACGTTTTCATCACAGTCCAACTTCAGGTGTTGCCAGTCTTTTCGTTCTCCAGGTGCGGTATGGCGAGGAGTGGTGATTAGGAGGCGGCGGTCTGATGCTCGAGGCGCGAAAGAAGTCATCCATTTCCACTGTGGGTTTGCATATCCTCGATGCACACCGTGCTAATCTAGCACAAAATTACGATAAATATTAAAAGTTAATTGACATCACGCGGTTATTGGCATGGCTTGCTCTTGTCAAAGCCATTGAATAGGCGCGGAAATAGGAAAGTTGTTAGCGAATAGGCGATATGGACATCTCTAACACCCCTTTCTGCGCTGAAAGTAGGTGCCGTATATCTCACCCTCGAGTGACGCTCGAACTATTGTATCCGGAGCGTTGAATGTTCTGATTGACACTCCAGAGAGTCCAAGGCGGTTTCTCTTCTTTTTTCGGAGGGGAGGGGGGATGCTCATCATCTATCAAGTGAGGCATGTTATGTAATTTTATATAAGCAAACCCAAAGCCAATATAGGAAAGAGACGATGCCATGAAAACTCTATCCAGCCTAGGTCACGCCCGTTACGGTGCTCTAAGAAGCATTCAAATGAGAGACTTATATAGCGAATTCAGAATCGCTGGGTCGTCATGGCAAAGTGGGCATAGAACGGGAGTACCCTACGCCGAGAGATTTAGGGGTTTCTCTTAGATTGGCTTATTCAAATTCTTTTGATTTGAGATCATCTACGTGGATTACATATGTAAGTAAATAGACTACAACTGATCACTCCTGGCTAATGTACTAGCTTATTTCCCATAATAGATCAACTCCACTGCTTCATAAGGATGATCTCCGATGTTATCAGCTTATTGAGCTTATCTACGAAACCTCAGCACATGGGGCCAGGGTTAAGTAGGGATGTCTGAGAACGGTGTATCCATGCTTGTTACACGCGTACAAGCTATACAAGCTGTACTAGCTGAACATGTAGTTCGCCTCGCACTTCGGCCGTACGAAAGGCCATTGTAGGCTGTTCATGATCATTCAAAGACATGCAGGCAATGTTGGAAAGTGAGGTTATACAGACTTCGCTTCTCGAAACAGACCCTAGAGACCCAGGCGGTCTGGGCTGGCAGACCATTTGTATATAGAGTCGAGTCAAGCCACCAACAGCCGAGAAGGAGTTGGTTGGTCAAGGATTCATGCAGCCCTAGATGATCATTGTAATCTGAATAGCATTAAGTTCCAAGCCTAGTTATCTGCCCTTGTTATAATGCTAAGCAAACCTCCATGTACTATCCAAGCCATGATATAAAGCAGAAAGATATCGATTGATAAACTGTATACAATGGTAAAACGTACGGAGCCCAGTAGCTAGGCAGCATACGTGCTTCTTGTTTGTCAGACTGTAACAATTATGAATATATCACCGTGCGCCGTGTTGGTGGCTCTTCAATGGTAACGACTGTTACTGCGCAATGAGGAAGTACCATCTATTAGCAAAGCTTGCCCCTTTCTTATGTACACACTATATGAATAACTTGGGTAAGAATGTGAAAGATCGTTAATATAACTAGTCTCGTTTAAGCATCTGAATTAATGAAATTACTAGTTTTGAACATTTACTTAACAGGGAAATCATGCCTTCACACTTGGTTGAGGAATAATAACTAGAGTGTGTCAATCACCACATGCATTGAACTATAAAATCTAAGTGTATACATCATCAATGTTCCTCCCTGGTTAACAACGACAGCCCATGCGCCCGAGTTCAATCATCAACTTCAAAATACTCCAATATCCCATTCATCTCACTGCAACCTCTTGAACAAGACTTTGACTGTCGGGTCAGCAAGGACATTAACCTCGAACATGATATTCTTAGGCCGCCCAGTAACGCCATCCTCGAATTTGAAGTCGTAGTGCGAGAGGATGTACGCTAAGATAATCTTGATCTGATTGCTAGCAAAGAAGCGGCCCGGGCAGGCGTCGTTGCCGAATCCAAACTGCATGCTGTCGTACGATGTGCTTGCGAACTGGAACTTATTCGCATCCTCGGGCTTGCTGCGCAACTTGTAGAAGCGGAACCCGTCGAAGGCGTGCGGATCTCCCCATTCGACCGGTGCCTCATCTAGCATGTTCGTGTTGCATTGCACAATCGTGCCCGCGGGAATATGGAAGCCGTTCGAGAGATCAATGGGGATCATGGCTTTGCGCTGAAACGTTGCTAAGAAGATTGATTAGCTTGAGAATTTTACACAGCTGAGGGTTCTATTCTCACCAACTGAGGGGGGGTTATGTCTTTGTGACTCTTTCATAAAGCTGTCTAACTTTTTCATTTGCGTTAGATGTTGCTTTCGAAGCGCGCCATTGCTACTTTTTGTAACCTCGGCTATCTCTCTCCTTAGAGGCTCGATATATTCTGGCCTTGCTGCTAAGTCGTAGAGAGCATGAATAATAGCTAATCTAGTTGTGTGGATTGCAGCGGTCGCCGTCAACATTTGGAGATTTGCTAACTCCTTGTTGTCAAATGTTTTATCTCCGAGCTTTTTACCTCTTTGCTGCATCCATTCTATCATGTCATTGCATGGTTTCGATTCTTTCCCAATTGAATCCCTAGACCGCTTTTCTAATTCTGGGAGCACTGTAGAACTTCAAGTTAGTAATATTGTCAGATATATATTTGGGAGCCAACTGTCATGCAGGGATAATTCCGACGAGAAAGAAGCTGTTCTCATACGAAGTTCAATAAGGAACAACATGACATCAAGTTCCTTACAAAGTTCAAAAGCCCGACGGTGATCACCACGAATACAAGTCATCTCAGGCACGAGATATTGAGCTAGCGGCCTTAGACATGGGTGCCAGTGCTTCAGTTTCTCGCCTCCAGTCATGACATCTAGCGCGAACTTTGTGCTACATTGTAGCCATTCCTCATTACGACACATGCGACGACCAACGAAAATGCGAGCTGAAGCTTGTGCCACAACGCGGAGCAACTTCTCATGTAGATCTATCGGCGTCCAGTCTAGGATTCTTGTTAGTTCACATGTGCCTGGATAAGAGATGGGAAATTATACTCACCATCGCAGGGAGGGAACTGGATAGTAAAGCAGTGCGCAACTTCATTCTCGACGTCTTCAACGAAGTTACCAAGATTACGGTTTAGATCGATCTTGATAGCACCCAACATGATGTCACTCTCGTGATCGATCGTCGTGTATTGGCCAATATGACGCTGTCCTGTCAGCTATGATACTGATAAAGTGTAAACGCTTGATGGATACCAACATCGGCCAAAGCCTTCATGCCGCTAGCTTCATGTCGACTAAAAGGCTTCAACTCATGGGCGAATCTCCTCGGGAGGAACACGCGTGGGCCATCGGGAGTTGCAACCTGAAAGATACCGTCGTTGAACTGTGATGGGCATTAGAAACTTGAACGAACTTAGCAGCAGCTCTATCTAGCTTGCTTTCTCATAGCCTTCACGGAGCAAGGCGTCTGCTTGATGTACATAACGTGATTTGAGAGATTCGACATCACTTGTGTCTACTCCGACCGTGGGAACATCGAATTTTCTGGTCCTTCTAAAAAAGCGTTTAATAATACTTGCGACTAGTGCTGCCACACCTAGGGCGGGTACTGTCCATAGAGTTGGCGTCTGTAAGGCCTGCATTTCAAGGGTAATTATGGTTCGCTGTTTACACACAGAGAACAACGTGTGCTTGAATATTCCTGGTTCTGTTTTTTTTTTTTACTTTGAGGTGCAATGTTTCTGTATCTTTTTAATGATTATTACTTCTGTATTACGAGAGTGCTTGCATGATACCCCTGCCAATAAGCGCAGCCATAGCAACTACTTCTAGTTAGATATCTACTCTTTCACTGTTGAAAGTACGATGCAGTACTTTATGGCAATATTCTTTCTGACGACTTTTTATTCAGGTGGCTGCTACATATAGCACGTAATGTATAGTTAGATAAGGATCAAGTACTGTTTAGGTTTGCAGATTCGGCAGTTTTTAGGATAGTCCAGCTCTTAGTAAGACTGTAGTGTCATCGACTTGATAGCCAGCTTCATTGCTTCTTAGCTAACGTTGTCAAGACGTCCTGGAATATGGAGCCCGAGCAGTATTCGGTTACATCTGTTCCCGAGCAGCCACTGGGCTGTTAGCTAGAGGCTGCATAGGTGATAGTGTGCAGGCCATCGACTTAGCCCTGTTTCGAACGACTATGGGCTTAGACTACGTTGTGATTGCAACGTCACACGGGTAGCATCCCTTGGATGAACTACTAGACGACGAGTTGTCGCCACACTCCGAAGGTTATCAATGCATCCAACTTACATGTCACTGTGGAGATGATTCACTGCATTCAGAGTAAGTACTGATACGTATAGACTACGGAGAAACTCTGCTATCCGGAGACGAGGCTACGTCGGCGAATTGCAGCCACTGACACCATTTGCGCCACATCAGGAGAGACATATCGGAGTCCATACAGAGGAGTCCCTCTACACCTTTTATAAGACGCTAATGCAGCCAGAGTGACGTCGAAGAACATTAGCAGATTATCATTGCGCTACTTAATTGACATGTGCTTGGCCTGTAGCGAGATCCTGTTACTAATTCAATATTGTTAAGCATGTTGGGTCGTTGAGCCAACCACAACAGGTGGTTTGGTGCGCATGATTGTGATGAGTGGGGTGTTGAATCAGCTTCGAAGAAGCAAAACTGTCTCGGCAGGTAGGAATATACCTTTTGTATCTCGGATCTACGTGTAATACGCTGAGTTTTCAGGATTACACCAAGCCTTGAGCTTCGTCGGTATGGTTTGGGCCATACTCGGTAGTCTGCTCCGGATAGAAGCGTGACTTATCGTACGTAGTTATCGTATAGCCCCCGATATCTAAAGCCGAGACAAATGGTGGTGCGAGGTAGTCGTTGAACACGTGACAGGTTGCTCTCGTTCCTCGGCAATCGTGAATCTGTATACTTATGTAGGACAACTCGGCTCTTACAGCGAGGGTATACTGCTGATGAGAAGTACATACTACTACTTATGTAAGTAGTATCCAAAGTTCCAAGCACATCTAAATTTGGATTGGTCGTTGTGGAGTTTGCTGCAGGCCAGGGTTGCGTTGGTTGCAGTGCCTCCAACTGCTACCAAGTAGAACTAACAGAACTAACCCAAGACAGAACTCTAGGTATCTACTCTCTTAGTACATTGCTTAACAGATTGGATAACTATGACCATTTTCTAGCAGTATACATGCAGATCAATCCCACAAGAGTTCGATACACAGTTTCCTACCTAGAAGATGGTATGGGGAACATTTCAGTATACTGCCATCTTTCCAGTGTAGCATAATCAGGGTTGTCGTTGTTGTTTGGTACTTTGGCTTTATGGCCTTGGCATCGGATCATGGACACTTGCAATGAACAAGACTAAGAGGATGTATTCTCCCAAGGAGACTACTGGTACGCATAGTTACATGTACAGGAACTAAACACCCAATGACAGAAACCTACCTACTTATATAGTACTATTAGTAGTATTACTTACATTAGTCTATGAGGCCTACTCTGATTCGGGCTGCGCAAGTTCATTCTCTCCTGAATTGGATTAGCCAAGTGCCATCTACACGTGCACATATCCAGGATCATCCCAGTCGGCTTCGGTGTGGGCTGGCAATGACTAGGTACGTAATGTTTATACTACTCTACTTATGTATGTAGGTATGTACTACTACTTATGTGCAGATCTGTATGGAGCTAATGTGCATTATACAGGCGTTCACGCATATATGTATGTATGTATGTCTGATCCTTCCAATGCCCATGTCTGTGCCCACGCAGCTTCGCTTCCCAGTGATTCATTCTCATGGTTCGACTGGGCGTCGGCACGCACCGTACTGAGTAATCCCACCCTGCCCCCTCATCCGCGCTCAGAGATCTAGCCAGAAATCTAGCTTACCAACGGCTTCGTCTCTGCCCGCCCTGTGTCACCATGATCTGCAGCCACCGTCTCTGGGCATCTCCATCGGATAGCGCCTTGACTCTTGTTCCTTGCTTTGCGGTAGGTATATTGGTATTAGTGAGACCGCGCTTTAGCCTGCATACTAGAGCGATGGGGGGGCAACTCTTGCCATGACTTGGACATCGATCGACCCCCCGAGGGACTGATAAAGCGAAGGCGCGAGTACTCACTGAAACATACAGAGCAAATTGAACAATTCACCTCCAGTTAAAGAGGGGGGGAAAAAAGAGGAAAAAAGCCTCGCAGATAGGAAACAGCAACATGGCTATCTCGGCGACACCGACAGTGACGAGCGCACCACCCGAGCTGATCGCAGCCTCATCAGCGATACTACCCGGCCTGAGACTCATTGACCCGAAGAGGCTCGATCCGCGAAGCGACGGAGAGATTGCTGCGTGGCTCCGGCAGCCGCACCCTATCACCTCCGACAAGAATGTCTGGGCATTCTGGCATTCCGGTTTTATAGTACGCGTGCAGCATCTCCCGTGACTTGCTCCCTACGAGATGTAACATACCTAATGCTGGGATCTCCAGAACCTGCCCCCCTGGGTTCAGCGCAACATAATCGGCTGGGTTCGACGGCTTGGACCTGAGTGGACTGTCCACGTCGTCGATCACGTGCAGGTAAGCTGTTTCTTCTCGCTCATGAAAGCTGGACCAAGACTGATTGGCCCCGCGTGTTGTAGGGCTCCGACACAAACGTCACTCACTACGTAGAAAGCTCCTACTTCCCTGATTGTTTCAATAACCACACCATGGATGGCCCTACGGTTGGAGCACATTCGGGGGACTTGGTTCGATTACCCCTCGTTTGGAAGTACGGCGGTGTGTGGCTGGACGTAGGTACATTCCTGTTTCGATCTATCGACGACATCTGCTGGAAGCAGATCGAAGACCCTGCCACTCCTTATGAGATAGCAGGCTTTGTGATTGAGATGCGGCCAGGCGTGGATTGCATGCTCAATGGTTTCGTTGCTGCGAAGAGGCACAACCCATTCATCAAACGCTGGCATGACATTTACTTGGCGTTGTGGGAAGAGGTGAGCAACGCGCACGGTTTCCACAAGCATCCCCTCTTGCGACACCTCCCCCTTCTGAACCCGCCCGTGCAGAAGCTCAACTGCCCTGACCTGAATGTGATGATGGAGTCGTTCAGTGATTATCTGGCTGCCTTTATGTGTTTCGAACGGTTGCGCAAGCTGATCGATCCGGCCGACGGCTTCAATGGCCCCGAGTATTACTCTAATCACATGTTGCTGTTCCCTGCGCTGCAGGAGACGTACTACTTCCAGCAGCAGACTAACTGGTCTGGAACTCGTCAGTTCGAGCTCCTCACAGCGAGACGGACAGGCGAGGGTGTAGTGAAGGACGAGAAATGGCAAGCGGCCGAGAAGTTTGTCACCGACGCTCTCGCAAACACTGCTACCATGAAGTTGTCCCACGGTCCGCCTGACGCCTTGAACTCGTTCTTAGCTGACCTGTGGGACTCCAAGGAACACCAAGACAAGGATAACATAGACGGCACGTTTGCCGCATACCTGAGATATGGCAGCGTGCACTTTGAACAGACGCGCGAGATGGTACCTGTCAAGATGGATTGGCCGTCCGAGGAGATTCTAACTTGTGGCGTGCTTGAGCCAAAACACATAGACTAGAGAGACTTCATATCGCGAGTTCAGTCCAATTCTTCGATAGAACCTTAGATGTTTGATTTAATTTAATGAGAGTATTGACCCAGCAATGAAATGCTGATTGTGTTACAGAGTAAATGACCGCTGCGAATGGTAAAAAACTGATTTGTACGTGTAGTGCCCTGCGCTCCTATTGTTGTGCCATGCGCGAAGGGCTAAAGATGATAAATAGTCACAGGTTGAAGGGGGGGGACGAAATGGGAAAGGAAAGTATTTACAGTCTTCCGCTCGCTCTCATCACATATAGTACACTCTTCACAGCTAACCCTAAGATCCTCATACCTTTTCATTAATCAACGTACGACAAGTCAATCAGAACCTCTCTTTTCTCATTTACTTGACTGCTATCCAGGTATCGACGGGAGTAGTAACTAAATGACGACATTAGCATGATGTCCGATGGAATGAGATGCATATGTTACACCAACCTCCAATAAGCCGTGCCGGTAGCCAATCGTTGGCAACCCCTGACATATTCCCTGATATCCGCATTGAGCTGCTCGTCTGTGTCGCTCCAAGGCAACCTCTCTTCCGCAGCCACACAGATGGCGTAGTGCTCGCGGATCAGATCAAGGACCTTGTCCACCGCGCTGCGCAGAGAGATATTGTACTTGTTCATGAATAGGAGGACTATATTCTCGAGTTGTGAGACTCGCTTGATGAAAGGAAGTTAGCTTACTGTTCTCTCGGGGTTTAAGGGAAATGAGGCGGTGCGGTAGGACTCAACGGGGAAGGGAAACTGACGAATTCCTTCTGCAGGGACAGCACGTCGTTGAGCAGGATTGTGATCTTGGTGCATTCTTGCACAATGAACTCCACGGCCTCATGGTATCGAATGAAGTCCGGCAGCTCGAATTCCATCGCGTACTCGTTCTGCGTGATGCTGGGTATCACGCCCACATCGTCGGATCGGATCTTGAAGTGGTACCACGGGTCAGGTAAGTAGGGCCCCTGGCGCACACGCTGCTGGCGGCCGACACCGTTCACGTAATCGTGGAGTTCGAGGCGAAGACGTTCGGTCGCAACCGGGCCGAGGCCTACGCGCAAATCCCTTAGGATGGGATAGAACATCTCCACTGATCCCCGTGATCCCTCGGGAGGGGAGTAGTTCGGGTTTGGCCCAAGGCAGTCGTCAATGCACTGGTTTGTCTCTTCGCAACATCGGCGAGTGCCTTCATCGTCCTCTGTAAGCTCGCCGCCGGTATCGATCTCTGCTTGACTTAGCCTCCATGTACAGCTAGTAGGTGCAAAACTACAGGGCCACTTCCCCCTTTTACTTACCATCGTCCCAGAAGAATATCCAGTATAAGAACTGTGTGAGAACAAGCATCTTGTCTTTCTTGCAGTGTGGGTAATACACGGCTGTCAGCAGCGTGTAATTGCCGCGAAGTCTATGCTTGGCTTTCTTTTTCTCGTCTATATTAACGCTGTGCAACCGGTCAACTTAACCGCATGTGGCACTACATGTAAGACACTTCGGCATTCAGGACTTACGTGGGAAGCCACTCATCAATTTTATTGTTAATTTCGTCGACATCTGGTTGGACCTCGCTTGGCCATGCCGGCATCAGGGACAGGATGTCAGGTACCAACACCTTCTGATTCAACACTCGTTTGATGAGGTTCTTGCGCTCATTCTCTGGTTCAAGAGCAGTCATTGGGCTTGGGGCCCAGACCCTTTCGATAGCTAAGACCATCGTGTAAAGAAATGTTGAAAAGGGGCAGTAGACAGTGAAGTTAAGCTGCTGTGTATAGCATGTATTCATGATACCAACCATTGCAGAGGCATAGGGCTGCCTGGCCACCTTTTAAACCTGGGAAGTAAAGCTATCATGACTAGGACTCGGCCGAATACCGACACACGTAACGGCAATCTTCGGCTCCTCGGTGCTATTCAAAGAAACTGGCCTTATAGAACAAACTGCTTGTATGTGTACCTTGTGGGATGTTAGGGACAGGGGTCAGTCAGACTGAGGGCTATGTTAGCAGTTGAATCTTACTGGCTGTGCATCTAACGGATTAAACTGTCCGTGTGTGTATGTGCCAGACTGTGGCAGTTAAAATCCACATAGATGATGTTTACTATACACCCCACGAACGGTCATCTGACTTAGTTCCAGATCATGGATTTTACAATCCTGCTTCCACTTTGGTCCATACTGACTGATGAAAGACCACAGACCGAAGACAATGAATGTCTCACCATTCTCTATGGAAAGAGTATTTTCTACTACATTTTAGCCGTGCAAACAGTACGAAGTATAGGTGTGTAAGTGAGGATTAAGGGATACTGTACATAACGGCCTAAGGCAATTTCTGCGCTAACGGAGAGGTCCGCATGTGTGACGCTCTCCTAGCTAGTCAATGCTAAAAACTGCCTCGCAGGGTGACGCTCCTTGGGCATGCCAGGGCATATTTTCTTTTTACTTGACACGATGATCCTACGGCGGTGGATGGGCTCGGTAGATGCTGCGTAGATGAAGAGGGACTATCTACCCGTAACGGAGATAGTTCGTATTGTTTTTCCTGGTGTGCCGAGGCGGCGTGCTGCTTCCTCTTTGGCAAAATAAATAAAAGATCAAGATACCTGCTGGGATCCGCATCGCCTCCTTAGATACTCAGGGCGCTAATGTAAAGTGCGCTTGAAGCCCCGTATAAGCAGAGGAAGTGGTCTCCTTTGGGGGTCATCTATGTTAACTACATGTGGCTCTTCATCGGATCACCACTGGATAAACATGATGTTCTCCAATAGAAAGCAGCTATCTCGTCGTAAGCATTTCTAGAACGGAGAATGGAGAATATGGTGTTATTACCTAAGAGGTTAACAAGTACCCGTTGGTTTGGTAACTAACAGCAAGGATACTCCTGGGAACTACAGCACTGCGTCACACCCCCAAGGCGGGCCGAGACATAGTGCCAAGACAGATATTTAGAGTTATATCGGAATGGACGTAGCACAAACGGTAGGATTGTCACTGAATTCAGCAGCCTCTGGGTCGGCGGTAAAACGTTCAATCGTCGAGACGGTCCGTGCGGCAACGGGATAGTTTTTCAAAGCATCTGCGATGTGCTAGGAGATACTGGTCATAGAGGTAGAGTGACCAGCGGGTTGCTCTGCGTCCCGAATAGCGAAATGGCAACGCGGATGGGCCATCTCGGAGGGATAATCATGTACAGAGCTATAGTGCGATGCTTCCGATCCTTCAGGCGGCTGCCTACGGCACACGTCAACCTCAAGTCCTCAGCAAGACTGACGAAGAGAGATGCGAGTGACAGAAGGTGGAGCGCCTAAAGCACCCGAGTGTGTCCAGAACCAACAGCTTGCCTAGCACTAAGGAGATGTGTGGTGAGAAATGGTGTGATACCGAGCCGGGCTGAGTTGCTAAGTAATGGGAGTGTAGGGATGTAGTTCGTGGGAACGCCATTCGAGGCATGTGATCTTGGCCTGCCTGCATGTAGGAGCGATGTGTCTAATAGGTATCGACATACTCAACTAATGCCATAAAAGAAAACGTTACTGGTACATATTTCGAATATTGTAAGTATCTTCATGTGCAGATACTGAGGAGATCTCTGCGAGTCTCATGTGGCCCTGCCACGCCTCGAGAAGCACGTGGCGTGCATACTTAAGTATTGAGGTACATACATATATCTATGTACACAGTACTCTTCAAGTACCTATACCTAACATGGAGTATGCGTTATGGCCTATCTACAGTACCCTATGTAGGTAGGTACAGTAGGTAGGTAGGTAGTAGACAGGGTCCCTACGCCCCCTAGCCGCCCTGAGTCGATGGCATATAGGCACCTCTATAACACCCTGTGATAGTTACCTTATCACCCCGCTACCCACTAAGCCCACCATCTGAACCACTGCCTCGGCGTGCGTAGCATTACATGCTAAACTACCTGTACCTGTACTTGTACGTAGGTGTCTGGTAGGTGGTTGAGTGCAGAGCAAGTGCCTGCCAACACACGTAGTACCTACCGCAAAGTAGGTCGATCGTAGGTGTAAGTACCCAAGTACATATCAGTAGTAGGAACTTAATCAAATGCATACCTTATGTACATATGTAGGTAGTATGTCTACCCAGTAGGTACTTACTTACTTCTTCAAGTAAGTATACCCAAGGTAAGTCTAAGGTAAGTAGGTACATGTAGTTAGTGTGGTATCGGTCCCCGGGAGGGCCCGCAACCTACCTGCAGCCCGGGTACAGCCCGAATAGGCGTACTGCATGCATTCTCCACTATGCTGCAGCCCCTCCAAACTCGCATCGCATCTGCGCATCTGTACTTCGTACTATGTACATCTCTCCGCTTTGCGCTCTCCGATCCTCCCAGTCCCGATCTTATCAGCCTGGCATAATTCCCTATCTCGACGCACTGACATGCCATTGTGCGCCGTCACTGCATCACTGGATGGTGATACTATAGGTCGCCGTGCTTGGTGTTGCATCCGCTAGCCACGTGCCACAGTCTCAACCGACTCTGGTGACTTGACAACCTCGAACTATGTACTGGTAGGGACTGTCCGCCGGCGAGCTGAATTGCGACGACCCCAGAAACAGCCGAGTAGACGGGTGGCGCCGATGAGCTACGATATCACGCCTATCTCGAGTTCGGGGCTCTCAACCGCCATAGTAGGACGGCAATGTTTCCTGCAAGTTATTATGTTGACGTAGGGCATCTAACCTAAGCACTAAGTAAGTGGTTCAGTATGTGTCCCGCAATGCTGACGCTATGCAATTGTCAAGCTTCGAGCATCCGCTACGTCATTCTGTCTGTCTTGCCTATGCCTATCTATAGTTTGCTACCGGACACATTCCTCGACGCCGGCGGGCTCCATGCCCAATCCCTACCCTGATGAACGGGGGGGAGGCAAAAGAAGGTGTAGGTGATTGACCGTCTGGTGAGCCTCATTGGCTGTGTGACACTCCATCGCCCTTTTCAGCTGGGTACTAAGTCGGTGTTATGACTTCATATGCTTGTGTTGGGAGATAGTGTAAATATGTGTGCCTACCGCCGCAATAAGATTACTAATAGTCGAGGACGAATTAGGCAGAAGTCGTCCCTATTTAGGTCTATATTGCGAAGCTGTTAAATGTAGGGAGCCACAGCAGCCGCTTTTCAAGCCTCGTTGGTCTCGGATAAAATTCCCTCGTCTGGGATGCAAGGCTTATGACGAAGGGACGTAAGAGCAAACGCTCGAACAATACCAGCTCCTTGGGTGAGAGCGTGGCAGTTACACCAGGAGATGTGTCCCACTCAAGTTCTCGTTATGGTTTCAGCAAACTCGGTATGTCAATGGCTCTTATTTAGTGTCGAATAATTATATATATTCCGGTCGCAGTATTATCCGATGATCACAGTAACGGCACTCAAATCAGCCTTACCACTCGTTAAGTATTCGGTTGCTTCTAAGCCTCAATGATACGTCATCCCAGCAGACACATTATTCCCTCTTGATTCCTTGGGATTCTGGTTCAATGATTACTGGTGCCTTGTGATGTCAACTTTGCTGAATTATTTTTATCAGGTCCTTCTACCATTCATTTTGAAACACGACAATTATTATGGTGATTCAACGAAAAACGTCAATGCATCAATAAGCTAAGTGCCGTCCTCGAGATAATACATTGAGGCCCCTCCTACATCATAAGCTTTATAAGCAGTCTCAAATCATCACTAGCTATTGAAAAATAAAATCGCCTAGTTTTATACATTGCCTATTTATATATAGCAAAACGCAGTTAAGACGCAGTTAGCAGCGGCTTAGCCAATAACAAGGCAGGGCCCGATGTTACCTCGACTATTATACTTGGTCCTCTAATAAAGGTAATGTAACACCAAAGCAACAGTAGCATCGGTTGCGGTAGACCATCCTTCTGGAGCTCTAACGTATCATGTGTCAGGCCGATGTACTCTAGTGATGTTCACAGATCACATGCTCCTTCTAGGTCACTCTTAAAATCTTATTGCTTACTTCGCATCAGAATGCGCACTGGTATTATGGGTAAGCGAAGACACATGTACTGATGAAGTAACCCGTTGCGCACATTCTCTTATAAAATGAATCAGCTGGACGCTGATCCTTTCCCTCCAAATTTAGGCGGCGTCGTCAACTACTTTCTCAGATACCTTTCCATCAGCTTGAACAATAACCTTGTCGATCTTCTGCGAGGCCTTAACAGGATTTGGCTGATCGTAAACCCATTCCAGTTGTTCAAGGGTACGGCCCTGAGATTCCACACTAAACCAAGCGTCAGTGAGAGCACAAGATAGAATGGTAAAACTGGTAAAAAGTCAACTCACCCGAATAGATACCAAGAAGCTGCTTCGATCACATCCCAACCAACAAAGACATAGATATACTTGTAGCCGATATTATGAAGGCCGATAGGGCCGGCGAATTGGTTGATGAAACCTAGGATATTGACAATGACGGCCGATGCTGCTAACCCCTTGGCTCGCATAGTCGTCTCCAATGCCTCTGAGGGAATGACACCTTGCAGAGGGGTGTACGTAAAGGAGAAGACAATGTTGAACAAGAAATACGATGCCAAGGCACCCTTAGCGTATGACTCCTGAATATTTTTCCCTTGCGATTCTAGCGCAGCAGATAAGCCCGAGTTGAGAGCAAGGGCGACAGCGCATGCTACATATCATCAGTACTCTTTAATGGTAACATCAAGACATAAAAGCTTACCAAAAGTACCATATACTAGGACAGGTCGTCGTTTCATTTTATCAGTCAGTGATACAGCGGTAAGGGCGCCCTATCGATAAATTCGATCAGTCACCACCATTCATGGAGGTTTCTTCCATATGTTTGAGAGCTAGGGGCAAAACCATCTTGTCGGAACATGTCGCGTTCACTGGGGGTATGTGAAATAGAATATAGCACTGACCACTGCAGATAAGGCGGAGTTAAGTAGGTTGTATCCGAGCTGCGAAGATACCGACTTGATCCCGATCTGCTCGAAGATAGTCGTGTTGAAGTATCCAAGTCCATTGCCAGAGAACTGACCGAAGACGGAAATCATAACAACCTGTGCGAATCGCCAACGGCCGTTATGAGTCAGTAAAAGGGGCCGGTCTAGCACATGTGTTAGCCATTCACAAGCCATTTCACGCTACAACAACATCACGACCCAAACTTACAGTCCCAAGGCCTCTTATCAATACCATCCAAGCGAATACCTTCTCGCATTTCCTCAATTTCAAGACGCACCAATCGGGAGTTCGGGTCGCCATTTCCATGATACTTGACAAGAAACTCGAGGGCTGCGTCGGTCTTGCCGTTGGCCATAAGCCATCGGGGGCTTTCGGGTATAAACCAGATGGTGAACATCACAATCACACACGCGAAGGCCTGTAGGATGAGAGGAATTCTCCATGACCAGCTGCTTGGGATGTATTGAGTGCCAAACACAATAGCAGCAGCAGGGATAGATCCTCCGAACCATCCACAGTTGTAGAAGCCTATAACCCCCGGCTATTAGACAAAACAGGGCCTAAGGCAAACTTCCGAGCATCTTACCTGTGGCACGGCCACGCCAGTGAGGAGGTGAGATCTCCATGGCATAAGCCGGAGCGCTGACTGTCATGGTGGCGATGCCCACTCCAAGAACGAAGCGTCCTACAACGAATTGCGGAATTGTTGAGCTGCTCGCAATAATTGCAGTGCCAATGATTATAATGATACCGCCAGTGAACATGGTTTTACGACGACCGAGTTTGTCTGCAATGATAGCGGCGAATGGCGCACCGACAATCGAGCCTCTGTATCCAGACTTAGGTTAGCGATCAAGTAGCTCCCCTTAAATTTGGGTGAACTAACACTGTATATAGAGAAAATAGAACCGAAACGGTTGGTCCAGTCGTGCCACTATGGAACACGTCTTGAAACTGTTTCATGGCGACAATACCAGTCAGAAGGGACCCTAGATACAGCCAGGCGTTAGTCATTTTTCTTTAATACGAGTGAAATCAGGAGTCTTACCATCGTAACCATTGGCGCAGGCGCAAAGAAAGGCCGTGAAGATAGCCACTATAGCAGCTGTAAGTATCTTCTCAAGAATAACTAACGCGGGATGGCGACAAACAGTATAGTGTCCGCGATTCTTTACTCCATGGCTCGATCTTGCTTTCCTGGATGGCTGCGTACAGTTCTGCCTATGCTTCTTCGTTAGTTTGCAAGGACAGAAAAGGAGTATTGTACAGCAGCCAACCATCGGACTCACTCACATTCTGCACCTCTTTGGCCTTCGCGCCCTCAATGTTGGCAGTCTTGCCAGCCCCTTCGCTCACCACCACAACTGGCTCTATGTGAGTTGACACAGTCGCGCCACCACCATTGTTATCAAGCTTCAAGTCACCCATCCCGTCCGTGCTTGACCTATGTGCTATTCCGTTAAAAGGGTTCAGACCAGAATGTGCCGATAATCCCCGGCATGCTCAGCAGTGTCCGCCGAATACACTGACTGTTCGATTCAGAGTGGCCGCTCAGAGACTTATAACTGTGAATCTCATCCCCAGCTTACCCCAACTTTTCGATCACAAAGGAGGCCCCAAAAGGGAAAGCGGGCCGCTCGCCTCCGCGACCAGACAAGTAATAAGTGCAGGGTTCAAGGGCCATGCTGTCTCGGGTACTGCGAGTTCGTACGCTGTTGGTCGTTTGGAGTGATCCGCATTGCATTCTTAACGTCTGCGGGTCACAAGTTCTAGATGTTCCCATCTCCGCCCATATCGCGCTTACTCAACCATCATGACTGTAGTTTTACGAACCGTTGGGTAATGCCACCTTCCCGAGGCTGACGGGAGCCTTCTGTTGCGGCCGCTCGAGGTTCAGGGGGCCAATACCACAGTCGGCTCCTCAAGCCGTGTTGCCGAAAGACCCTGTAACCTCGCCCGCGTTCGGCGGTCAGGACCCCAGCATTTAGCGAGATTCCTCAATTTGCGACACTGCACAAGTATACCCGCTAGCCTGGGTTCTACAGTTCGAAATCGTTAAAGACAGGGGTCACACGTGTCAGGTTCTAGCTGGATGCATCATATAAAGTGTTACTCACGTTGAATTACGCTACACTAAGCGCATTCGAACGATGAGTTTAGGTCCAGGTCCCGAGAGCTTGGGATCGGGCCATGGTATCGCCAACATCAGCTCTTCTGTCAGCGAACCACGGCAAACACTTGTCCTGATTGCGAGGTTACATGTAGCTCACCCTTAATACCTACTATAGGTTTGGGTCACAAGTATACATCAGGCTTAGGACGGTAGGCTAACACCTAGGTGATGGACATATACGACCTCAACCTAATACTGTAGCAGGCAGCAATAAACATGAGAAGGTGTTTCACCCCATGGATATGTCAATAATATACTTATGTAATATTAGTCTAGAATTTTAGTTCCCGAAGCAGCAACCAACTCCGTAGCCAAACATCTTTCGCTAACGCACCTTGGCCTAACAGTGGTAAGCATCTGTAATTGTACGTACGAGAGAGAGGGTTTTCCCGCCAATCTTACCGCCTTGGCTCTTGAGCGTTTTTCGTTCGCCCCAACGTCGTGCATTCAGAAGCAGCTAGACTAACACACATATAAATAGCGCTCAATTCTCTCTGACAGGTCTCAGCTTCTTTAAAGTTCGTTGTCGGTACTATCGGCCCGCTGAGTTTCCTGTATTGCTGCGCCGCCGGTGGGTTCACAAGAATGGGGGTTGCGGCCTATTTTGGCCCTTGCTGAACATCGAAATTCGCGCCGGATTCCTAATTTCTTGTGCTTATGACCGCTCCTAGCGATATCAGCTTAGTTCCTTCGTATAGCTGATGATCACCTTGCTTAGTGAACACGACATATTCTATCGAGGTCTAGAATGCCATTCAGAACGCTCAAAAGCCACTGAGGCGAGGAAGCCTTATATCCTTCTATTTTCGCGAGATGCCTACTTGCGTTATGACAAAATTCAAGCGCCCGCAGCGACTACCGGTATTATGAGGCGAAGTTACACGTGCCTAGTTCGAATATTGCCGATATAGCCATTTATGTCCAGAACTTTACAGCTAAACAGCCTTGAAATGTCTGAAAAGGCTCGCAAAAATGTAGTTCCCCTGTAATCTATTTGCTACTGTACCGGATCAGGTTTGAGACCGGTGTGGCTACATGTCATTTGGTGCTACCTACATGCGGTTATGTTAAATCGACTGACATAAATGTACGAGTGCAGACAAGCGAGACAGGTGGCGCATCTGTGCCAATTCTGCTATGAAGTACTAAACTCAGATGACGCTGGAGCAAGGAATTTCAATTCCTTCCTTGTCCCCATTGCATCTATTGTAAGCAGTTGTTACACGTGTAACCTCTGTACCGGTTGAAGCATGCAGTTCGCCTTGCACTTCGGCCGTACGAAGGACCATTGCAGGCTGTTCATGACCTTC